CGGACCTCGAAGCATCCCATCTGCGGCGGATGCCCGGCCATTACACGCATAAACTTCCGGGGTAACGAGCTGAGATAACACCCGACCATCTGCTCCTGGTTCCACCGGCCCGCTCGTCGTATCTGTTCCTCGCTTACGCCTTTCAACTCAGCTGTTTTAGCCCCAGCGCTGCGGCCGATATGCGTTTTCTTCTGTGACGTTACCCCGGCGTACTGGAAGGCCTTAGTAACCCAGTCCCGCTGCGCGTTATACGAGAAGGCTGTTGTACGATCCGCCCCGCTCCCCTTGATCAGCCGGATATCGTACCAGGCCGACCGCCGGCTCAGGTCCGGGAAGGGCTCGTCGGTTAGATCCCAGCGGTACAGCAGGTAAAAAGCAAGGCCACCTAGCATACAGATAAGCGGTTTTCTATTGCGGAGTGCCCCTGCGGTCTCAAGTCGTCCATGCTGATTTTGCTTCCCCGCACGGGTAGTTAGGATAACCGGCATACAAGGGGTCGAGCCCTCGCCCTGCAGCTCAAACGTAAACAGGTCCGAGATTTCGGCCGCCCTCCGATCGCCGCCACGAGTAAGAATATAATGGCCGAGAAGGAGGTCAACGAGTGTCCGAAAGTGACATTCGGGCGAGGAGCTGCTATGTGCCCAAAGCTCGTAGCAGATCCGCTCGAACTGCTCCTCGGTATAGCCGTCCAAGATGGTCTCCCGGCCCTTATCCGCGTATAGATCCTTCTCCCGTTGCGCATCCCGCCGCTGGAGAGACCGGACGTACTCACGTACGTGGTCTTCCCGCGGGGAGGGGTGCGTGTTCATCCCTAAAGTCCTCTGGGTCCGATAGAGGTCGGTAATAGCTGTAATATAGCTCCGTACGGAGCGCCACCCGAGCCGCGTCTCCTCCTGCGGGACGCCCTGGTCGGCCTTCCGGCTCCAGGCTCTCAGGGGCCGGTCGGTAACGACCTCAACAAGAAAGAGGAGGAGCTTGTCCTCCGTAACCGTATCGGCATCCTCATACTGCTTCCGCCGGCAGAACTCCTATATAAAGACGTTAGCTACGTACCGGGCAACCTACGGGGCCGATAGGTAAGCGAACAACATACCTGGAACTCCTTCTGCTTCGGCTTGTACGCTATAACAGTGTTCTTCGGCCTGGACTGGTCGATAAGCGATAGGATCCTCTGTGTGTTAGCCCGTAACTCAGCTCTATTAACGGCATCGGTTCCGAGACGCGCAACGCGCCCCGTCTCCTTCGTCCTCGCCATATACAGACAGACAGACAGACAGACAGACAAATAAGTAGCGAGGCCGGATAGCCGGTAGGAGAGCGGTGAGGCGCCGGGGGGAGAGGAGGGAAAGGGGAGAGCGCGGGGCAACTTACATCGTACATCGTCTTGTGCCGCCCCTGTATTTGTATTCGGTCAGGTTAGCAGTATTAGGCCTATCGTTCCAGCGGCTCTAAACACTGGACGAAGCGCTGTATCGCAGCCGGCCAGGGGAGAGGGGAGGGGGGAGGGGGGGGTGGGGTCGGAGGGGTCTTAGGGCGCCAGTCAGCGGCACTTGGCCTTGTAGAGGCCTAGCGGTTCAGGGGGCAGGGGGCCTGTAGCCAATAAGCTAGGCGGTCGCCAGCGGGGCCGTCAGCCGCCATGTATGGTGGAAGGAGATAAACGAATATCCACGTTCCCCTAACTAGGGGGACGACGTGGATATCCCCGTATGTGTGTCGGGGGCCCGGGCGTCAGCCAAAGTCATCCCGAGTCAGCGGGACCGCGAATACCATATGCTAGACCAACGGCCCCTGCGGCAGCCAATATGACCATATCCGAGCGATTTATGAGACAAATGACTAGTGCCAGCGAACTTGCAGTTTGGGTGGTTGGCAGCTTGCATGCAAGATCTGTCAAGGTAGGGACAACGCTCGTGCATACATCGATGTATACCGTAGCCGCCTCAAGCGGCGGCCAGTATATCGACTGCACCCCAAGAACCTCGTACATATAGGAATTATTGGTCCATAGTCTCTAGATGATGCAGCCATTGCAAGTTCTTATCAGCTGAGCATTGAACGCACCACAGTACGTATCCCAGGTGACCCCTCACCCGAGATTGTGATAGTGCCTGATTACTCAGGCAATTTTGCACGTATGCAGCGGGTGTAACCGGCAATAACGCCCGTACATCCCCAAAATGTGGTTTACTTGAATGGTCATGTGACCATGGTTAGTAATATGGCAGCGGTGATTCCTGTCCTCAATATTTGACGATAACAGCTGATCTAACATAATAAATTCATATTTGTTAGGACTTTTCGTGTAAAGTGCCAATCCAAATTAGCCGTAGTTCACTTGCAGAGAGGTGACCCCAATTGGTCACTTGACGAATATATGGAGATAAGGGATTTCTAGTATGTTAAAGATGGAATGTGAACTTACTCACTCCCTAGAGTGGAAGAATGAGTTCATATTTGCCCAGCTGAGGGTTGGGAATCATTGCAGCGGAGCTTGACTTTGGTTGGGCGTGTATGCAAACTCAACGTAGCCCAACCAACCACGAAGTTGCTGCTGGTCATGCGATGACTTTTACAAATTACCGCGAGAAGACATTATCCAGCTATCCAAGTGCTTAAAATAATAAGTTTCTCGATAACGGTTAAATCATTCAGTTCTTGCTAAGCCCTGCCATCGTTAAGTCAAGCACACGGACTGTGGAACTCGGAGCGCAATCGACCCAATCGGATGAGCATCGGCCAACTTGTGGCAGCGGGGATCGGGTATATCCAATCTATGGTGCCCAGGGGGTGGATTGGGGCTGACTGGGGTGGAAAGCAGCAGGGATGGCACACCGTTGACCCACCTGCATTAGCAATCTAGATGGCGGTGACGGCGACATGGGCTGATAGCGGCCAGTCGTCAAGTCGGTGATTCCAAACAGGTAAACTCGCGACCGCCTTCAAATCCTGGCAGTAAGAGAATGGACCCACCGAATGCGAGAGACCGCCATTGAAAACTATGGAAAGGTATTGCCATATGCATCTCAGTGGAGTTTGGGCATGACCACAGCGTCGTACACGTGTCAAGTCAAGTGAAAACGAAGAAAGGGCGACCTTCTTGCTCCAACCTCTTGCTTCTCCCTCTTTTTGCTCTATGTTTCTGTCTCGCAAGAGATGGGGAACCGTGAAACCTCGAATTTGGCGACGAAGAGTGACTCGGGGTATGGTGACGATGCGGCGTCGGAAATCTCACACGATGTAAAAACAGAACCGATGCATCCACTGGGTAAGTGACACTCGGCCCCTTCGACGTAGGCCAAACCAACACATCAACTGATGAAAAAACCCGCAGCGCGTAAAGGCTACGATATAGGCCCGGCGTCGACGTTGCAAATTGGCGATGTGCGTATTGCCACCCCTTTCTCCGGTTCGGTCTTGACCACTCTTGCTTATCTTGTTTAACCTAGGTTTTTGAATTTCTGTGGGCCGATTCTCATGAGTTCGAGTGGGAATGGAAATGTCTGGGCTATACTCGATTCATCGTGCTCCGCCACAGCGACACATTTCCCCACCACTGCGCTTGCATGTAAGCACAAAATGCATCTCATCTGGGGCTCGAGACAGAAGGGCATGCTAACAAGGAGGCACAGACCCATATCGACTGGTGGCAAGCGCGATTTCGCCAAGCCTGGCATCGACGCCTCTCAGCAGGGCTACATCTTCGATGACAACCGGGGCTACGAGCAGACCGAAGGTCGCCTGTCTTTCTCTCCCGTAGGCCTCGAGCTGCGGCCAGGCAAGCTGCGCGTCAAGGAGGACTCGCGGGCCAACTATGCTGACATCATCGAGATCGACCATGACGCCCAGGTCATGATCGTCGGTACTGTTGCCCGTTACTTCGACCGCGTGCGCCGCAATGTCAATAAGGCCTTCATGCGCAACATCGTGAGGAAAGCACTCAGCGAGTATAAGGCTGGCATGCTACCCGGCGGCGGCCCAACGGGGGCACCAAGTATACGGGCATGTGACGACAGCGATGAGGGAGGCGGCCGGGAGAACTTGGGAAATGTTGATGAGTCGGACCAGGAGGAGATCAAAGTCGAGGGTCAGAGGACCATTCAGCAGGAGCAGCAGATGGGCAGATCAGGCGCAAGACAGGTCCCGTCGGCAGCCCCGAGCGAGGCTGGCACCATGCGTCGTAAGCACAGTGATTCTGACTCCATACGCTCGTTACGCCGTGGGGTGAGCGATTCGAGCTCAATATACCGCGGTAGTGGCGGTGGTAGAGTGAGAGGCGACGATATCGACACGAGGTCGATGCAGAATGTTGCCATGGCCAAGTTCAAGTAGTTGTGTCACCCCAAATTTTCATGACCTTGTAGAATTCCGATAGCTTGTCTGCAGTGTGCATATTAGACCGATGGACTCCAGGTATTTTCCTGTTAAGTTGGAAGTAAATGATGGAGGATTTGTGTATGGTCGAAAACTCACCTTGGCCAAGGGAAACGAAACCACGCATTGAAACGTAGCGGACAGAGCCACCTTCATTATATTATGACCATGTCTTGTCAATTATTCTGGTTAATTATGGGAAATCAGGAACGTAGTGCATTGGCATCTGCACAAACTCAATTTGTTAATTTGCCGAGTTATCAATGTCAACTGTTATATTCTGCACAAAACATCCACCCATTGGAGTATACCCTTCCTCCAAGACAATACCCAGCCAACTGAGGGCTCTCTGATGGCCATTCGTGATCTCCGCAATGTGGCCGCCGACAGAATTCCGCTGATACAGGATGCTCGCACCCTTGCCGCAGAAGTTGCGGACCAGTTCATCCGTGTCCTTCACCGGACTGAACTGATCGTGGATCGGCTTATGGGCAAAGACAGGCATTTGTGGCACCCTGTGAAGCCCCATGTACCCGTTGGCTGTCAAGGCACCCGACAGCGCCGATCTCTCAGAGAAGACGGACCGACCGTCGAGGAAGTAGTCGTACATGTTCTGTCCTGCGAATGCAGCAAAAGTCTCCACGATGTCGTAGTTTTCCACGGCCAAGAAGTAAGATGAGCTCATTCCCGGTTTTAGCTTGCTGATTAGGAAGTCGTATGCATCAGGATACTGCATCAAGGGGGGTTAGCAATCACGACGTTGGGCCGGTGAATTTGCTGTTTCCAAGTACATACCTGCGAGGCGACACCAACAAGCCCAGCTGCCATCAGGCCCGCCCAAGAGGTGGATATAATACTGTCGGCCGTGCTGGTGAGATTGGGGGCCAGTCCACCAAGTACAGTACCCGAGAATACCAAGTTGGGACCCAGATCAGCTGAAAGTACGGCCCGCACGGCGTCCAGAGCTGCGTGACCCCCCCTGAATACCAGCACCGCACGCCACCGGGGCCCTCGACCCTTCATAGTCGGGGAGGCTCACATATCAGCCAAGACCCAATGCGTCCGAGATGGCTGCACTGAAAGGGGGCACGCTCACGAGTTGATAGGAAAGGCTAATGTCGAAGGTCGTGTATATGCTATAACTTTGAGAGTCGTCGATGTCGGCTGAATTATAAGGGATGAGGTAGGTGACCATAGGTGTTGACTTGGAGCACGTCATGGGGATGAAAAGAGTCGTCACGGCCCATGTCGGACTTTGCTGGACGTCTGAGGTTCGATACAGAAGGTTATAGGCTGCGGAAGCATTGTCCAGTATTTGGGCTAGTCGAATCCGTAGCACGGTGCCTGGGAGTTCCCTCTCATAACCCGCAGGCGACAAGTGTCACCAAGAATACCATGCTCAATGCGAGCAGTCGGACGAGAAGAGACTGCATGTTTGGATGTACGAAGGAGTATATTGCTCCGTCTTGAGAAGTAGCCATCCCACCGGTTTTGTTCGACTGTACTTATCAACTGTTAGGCTGGCTGATGCCCAGCAACATGTTGTTTACCAGAGACGTTGCCAGGGTCCTGTATAGTATGCACACAATAAAGTCTATACTGCCACATGATTCATTTCAAACTGCAGAGTGTGAGCGGTTCGTATCAGTTTCGCATCCCTCCATGCGCAGTGGGAACTCTAAAGTGGTACAGCACGTAACGTAAAGATGGGCTGGGGATGACATGTTTCTCTACGCCAAACAAGAAATAGTAGCCTGTATGCCTGCTAGCTTCACTAGCGAGGCAGTTCTACCAAAACAACAGTATATATCAACACTGGAAAAGTCTTGGTCTTTTATATGACTGTGCCAAGTCAATGTATTTATAGCTGATATGTCTCCTGTAATGCTTCTATATCTTGAAAACAAGTAGATTGTGGTACGAAGACGGCCTTCTCGGCTTTCGTTCTCACTTACGAGCTGATCACTGAGCATACCTCTCCGTCGACGTATCAAGACAGGACAAGCAATCTGTCTGCATTTTTCCGGCTGCGATGACATTGCGGCAGGCTTGAGTTTCCATGGACAGCCGGGACTACTTACCACATCCTCTCCTGTAGCCACCGTGAGCGTGTCCCTCGGGATTCTTCCACCTTGGACTTTCAATGCAATGACTACCGCTAGCTTCTCCGGATGACAAGATCAACTATTTGGCGTCTGACTACCGGCCGCCACAACATCCCATGTCTCTTGCGAGTGTCATACTCCTTGAAAACAAATGAGACAGCTGGGATGACGTACAATACACTCAGACACTCCAAACTCGAGATGAAGATGTATTGAATTTTTGGCCTTGAGGTATCGAGATTGGCTAGTACGATTGTCATCGACGTGGCCCACGTTGAAACTGTTTCCTTGGCTACGGCGAAGAGTGCATGTGCCCCCCAAAAAAGAAAGGTATTTCAGCAAGAGAAAGCCCAACTCAAAAGTTTGATGGCGTTAAGTGATAAGCCCAGGAGGATGACGTGCTTGGCAACGGGTAAAGCGGACTTCAAGAGTGAGTTCAACTACATGTCAGCTCAGCTGAGTTTTTCATGTGGTGAAAAGCACTCCGTAAGTCGGTTCTCGGATCATAAACAGCAGCAAAGGTTCTCAAGTTTTGTAGTTTCGTAGGGCAAGGGCATCCCGTCCAACCACTGCAGTTGACTCGACTGGGCATGGAGGGGCAGACATAGTCCATGCCTTGTGGGTCTCCACTGCCGGATTCCCGCAAGTGCTGTCACTCCAAACTGGAAAGGTGTGCTGTCCGAAAATCGCGAGTTTCGAGTTCCTGACCGAAGTCGCACAAAAAGATACGTGGAGACGTGGAAACAAATCTCTCATGCAATAGATCTACAAGGACATGTGAATAGCCGCGACATACTCATGGTGTTTGTGCGAAACTGAATCCCGGTTCCACTGCGGCAGTCTGGACATGTTTTTGGGACAGTTGCTTTGAATCTCCACGCCGCTTGTCCCGTAAGAGCCGCGTATCCGAGCCGATTTACCCGATGCTATGCAATGGCCTTTGGCCCACAGGTGCACCGCCTCAGCCGCAGATTTACCTTTCTCCTGACGATCTGGCCACTACATAAAAGCAATTTGTCGCTCTGTGTACTGCCAAGACGGCCAACGGCGACGACAAACACAAGCAACAAGACGGGCGCAACAAGAGAAAACCGCAACGCCGACCAAATAAAAAATACAATCTGGCAACGCTGTGCCGAGAGACCATTCTGTGGCAGGTTTGACGGCTTTTGGAGGTGGACTTGTTGTGCATGGTTACGTAGTTTGCAACTTGGCAGTCAGCCGGCTAGCCGAACCCCTGGTCTGCTGCAAGAGCGGGCCCGCCCCTTGTCGCACCTACAGGCTAGAACTTCAAAAGCTTCACATGGTGCACACCTCAAATGATCTCGGCGATTCACTTGGTCGACCAGCACCAAACCAGCAATCCGACCCCAACGGCATAGACAAAGAAGGTCCCTGGAAATCCGAGCGGATCCTCATTGCAAGGGGCACGCGTGCACACCATGTCCCGCTCGGTGGTTGAGCGTTTCCAGCTCACGGCGTGGCCTACGGGGAAGAAGCGGAGGCGCAACACCGACGTGTCGGCCTATCATGGACAACGCAGCTCACAGCTCACTACGATCCCGCTCGAGATCCAACTGATGATTTTGTCGCATTTGGACCTCGAGAGCATGGTCCGACTTCGTCAGACCTGCCACCTGTACCGCCATATCATCACCGTCGACCTAGTCAAGAGCCAGTTCATCCAGCACGGTCAGCATCACGCCGCCCTACGGGCCTGTTGCTGCGAGTGCCTTTCCATGCCGGGTTTGGGCCGCCTCATTCTAGATCCTCGCCGCAGCAGTCTCGTCTGGCGGTCCATGTGCTTCACCTGCTGGCGGCACAAGCTTGATCTGCATTATCAGCGGAAGCACGGTCCACTACTGCAGTTCGCCAACCACTATCACGGCTACATGTGCCATTTTTGCGCCTACCCCGTATGTGCAGCAGACATGGACAGCTCCCTGCAGCTTTTCCACTCGCGCTGCCGCGTCAAGAGACTGCTGATAGCGGTCCTCTGGTTTGTGCTCACCTTCATCCAGGTCGGCCTGGGCATTCTTGGTGCCGTCTTAGGCTGGACAGTGTACAAACACCACCCCTCGGTCCTTATACCTAGCTCAGTAAGAGACGACCCTGACGCCATGGATTTCATAGGGGCTCTTGCTGACCTGTGTAGATCGACTTTGGCCTATCCATTCTAGCCCTCGGCTTGTTAATAGTACGCATCTGCACTGTCGATGAGCAAAAGTACTCATGGGCACTTGCTACTGAGCTCGGAATGACCGTCGTAAGAATCCCCCCGGTCATATATACGGCTCGCGAATCTGTCGTCCCGGAGAAGTACTCCAGTTCTCGCCTGCTGCCACTCCTTCAATTCGCATCGGGCATATTCTTGCTCAACCTGTAAGCCAGGCCGCTTAACTCTTTCCCTATGCTGCCATGCTAATTATTGCCTGCCGTCTGGCAGAGTAATGCGGTTCTTAGATACCATAGGCTATGCCCTATTGTACTTTGGATATGATCCTCGGAACTTCCTTCTGGTCGGATTGTCCAAACGGCGGAAAATACTGTACGCTTGCTGTACCTCACTAGTCTGGTGGGCATGTGTCCCGAATTGAAAACACAGCAAATCCAATAAAATACAGTATCAGCAGCGACAAGAAACGCTGCCGCATCGTTAATTACGACAAAATCATCCACGATTCCAAGATAACTAATATATGAAATTCATCAGGAGCAGTGTGGATTGTATACGAGTCGCCAACAATTCAAATAAAACAATATATGCACCACCTACTCCCAGCACCTACACTGCGAGCAACTTGTGTTGTCTCACATATAAGTCAAGTGAGCTGTGAGATGTTCCAATTGGGTGGTTTATTTCGAGAGCCAGTTCCGATATAGGCTCAATGTGATCAAAATAGTTCATGACGAAACAAGAATTAACAGGTCCAACAGGCCATATAGGTGGTATGTCTTCCACTGAAGTTGCAGCTCCTACAGCGTGTTGTTGCTGATGATGGGAGTAAAGAGCTTGACTCATTAAGTGCAGAGATAGTCAATGAATGCTTGTTCTGCCAACGAGATCGTAGTGAAGCCATGGAACTTTGAGTCATCAGCTCTTCAGGGCCAGAGTTTTCGGAGCAATCCTACTCGCGTCAGGGAATTAGTACCAAATTAATACGTAAGCTAATCTTTTCGTTCTATACGTCTCTCGTATAATATGAACTATAAGTTATTTTCGTATAACGTGAATGTACACCGAGCTGGCCATGACACCGAGCTGGCCACCCTTACATAACCTCACATAGAAATTTTACGATAGTAAAACCACAACGCCGTAAATCAATTGAAACTACTCTGAATCTTCCTCTCCAGAAGATGGCAATGCGATCTTACAAGTTCGCGCATTACCGGCGTATCAATTTCTCTACCATCTGGCCGTACACCCGCTTTAATGGACCGAAACAGGCCACGTCAAGTGGCTGGAGGATGTGAGATGAGTGCGGAGGCATACACAAAGTTATAATTTTGTGTTCTTTGCAATATAGCTCGAAATCGCCGGAAACGTGGCTCTCGTGACCGTCCAACACTAACAATCGATATATCCCGGACTTTCCATCTTTCGTACAATTATCGAAGTGTTTAATAAATTCCATACCGATCTCGTTAGTCGTCCATCCTTTTGGACTAGGTCTAATTCTCCAATCTTTCGGAATGTTGTCGTCTTCGTACCAAGAAGAGAGGTGGTATCGGCCCGCAACAACAATGAACGGCGGCAGCGCCCAACCGGTAGACTGGACCGCTTGGATTACGGTAACCCATTCCCGGTTACCTTGTTGTATTGATTTCGGCCTGGCACGTCGTTCGGAGCTCGTAACTACTATATTGGTTGAGATCTTGCCCATCATAAACCCAGTCTCGTCGAAGTTGTAGATGTCCGACTCTTGGATACCGTATTTCGCGATAACATTCGCAACAAGCCGAAACCAATCTGCAATAAGCTTTGGATCTTCGCATTGGGCCCTTTGCTAATCGTAAGGACGGTTCCAACGAGTTTTCAACTCTTTGCGACGTGCGACGAACCTCGAGGCCCAGCGCGTTCCAATGGGCCCTGCGTTGCGTGTCGCGCGGATAGAATTTGCCATTGCTTCCACATCAGCAATCTGGGGCGGAAACGCTCGTGCATCTGAGTCCAGTATATGCTTGATAATGACCTCCTCTTCTAATTTTGTCATAGTTCGTGAATTGGGCAGAATATCACGTCGGAAAGGTACGCGGTTTTTACGCGTTTGGAGGGTGCTTCGGGGGACTTGGTACGTTTTTGCCGCTTGTCGGAGACTAAGTTTTTGGTCATTTTTGAGAGCTTGAAGGGCTAGCATTAAGTCTGCTTCGTTGTATGACTTTGCCATAATTGGTTGTTGAGAAAATCAAAGATTAAGTTGGCCGGTCGCGTTGGCGCATGAAAGTGGCCAGCTCGGTGTCATGGCCAGCTCGGTGTACATACGTTATATTTTATTTTGAATTTATTCATTAATATTCGACCTCTCCTATTTCGTATAGGGAAGGCTATCGTATTATAAATAGACGATAGGACGGTTAAAAACAAGTAATTAAATTAAGGCTGCAGGATAGCAAAACTCCTCAAGTGGAGGGATAGATACCCAACTATTAGTAGTTAAACACGTTCCTATATGAAGAGTATAACACCGGATTATCGGTATACAAAAGCCGTTACGATAGGGTAGTTCAATCATCGTATTAGCGATCATTCGTTAATTTCTCTTAGTTATCGAGTATAAGACGGATGGGTTTCCCTACCGACCAACGACTCAACTTTCTCCATCTCGGGCTGGATCGGCCCCCGTCAGTGCATCGGGACCATCGTCATAGTACTCCACAACTCGGACGTCGTCGGGCCCACTGATAATCACGTCGACAGACTTAAAGTACCATCTACTCCACGTCTCCAACATGGGAGCGGACACCATGACGACATGTTGAAGGAGTTCTCCAGTCGACAAGTGAAGACTCTGCCATGTCTGCGGTGTGTAGGGCCAATCTCCGCGAATTTTGTCTTGGAATCTCCCACAATATTACCGGCTCTCCTAGTTGAGTCTCGCCGTGAGAAGATCCACCTATCCACCACCGTGGGCCTCATCGGGCGCAATGATGGCTGATCTCGGTCTCAGCTCGGGCAGACCTGGGGCGGCACACGTCTACGAGTCGCAGCAGTCGGAAACATCGAAAGCTACATAACGGGCTGGGGAAGTCGTCTAGTCTTCGAAAAGAACTTAGATTTCATTGCCTATCTATCTGCCAAAACCGACTCCGCAGGGACAATACCAAGGACGTGTTGAGGCTCTTTTGTTGATAACCACGACCCAAAGATCCACGCCAAAATGACGCACAAGGACAATGAGGCCGGGGTGCCGACGTACTGGGGTAAGTCGGGTCGCGGGGTGCAGAAGCTCATCACCGCCGTAGCGACGACCGACTTTCTGCTCTTCGGCTACGACCAGGGCGTCATGTCAGGCATCATCTCGGCGCCCGCTTTCGTCAACGACTTTCCCCAGGTGGACGGCGATGATACGTGGCAGGGCTTTGTCACGTCCATCTACGCCGTCGGCTGCTTCTTCGGTGCTCTCTTTATCCTCACTTTCGGCGACAAGCTCGGTCGTCGTAATTCCATTTTCCTCGGTGCCACTGTTATGATATTGGGTGTTATTATCCAGATTGCCAGTGTGCCTCCGTCGGTCGGGGCCACGACGCAATTCGTGCTTGGACGCTTCATCACAGGGGTAGGCAACGGCATCAACACCTCTACTGTGCCCACATACCAGGCAGAGTAAGTTACAACCTGTGTCATATATACCCATGACCTAATGCTAACATGCAAACCCCTTTAGATGCAGTAAATCGCACAATCGTGGCAAGCTCATCTGCATCGAGGGTGGCAACGTTGCTATCGGCACGTTAGTCGCCTACTGGATTGACTACGGATGTACCTACGGTCCCGACGCTATGGTTTGGCGGTTCCCCATCGCCTTTCAATGCTTCTTCGCCCTGATTGTCATCATCCTCATGACGGGACTGCCCGAGTCGCCGCGATGGTTGCTCACGCACGAGCGTAACGAGGAAGCATCGACAGTACTGGCCTCGCTCAACAGTACACCCCGCCATGACTCCGAGGTGCAAACCCAGATGGCTGTTATTATTGATGCTATTCGTGCCTCTGGCCACAAGGGCGGTCACACCCCCATGAAGTCGCTCATCACCAATGGAAAGACCCAACATCTGCGCCGGCTCCTTTTGGGCGCCAGCTCCCAGTTCATGCAACAGCTCTCAGGATGCAATGCGGTTATTTACTACTTCCCCATCCTGTTCCAAAGCGCCATCGGCACAGACCATAACCTCGCCCTACTCCTTGGCGGTATCAACATGGTCGTCTATGCTATCTGCGCCACTTCATCCTGGTTCGCCGTGGAACGTTTCGGCCGTCGCAAACTCTTCCTCATTGGCACTGTTGGCCAGTGCCTATCCATGGTCATCGTCTTTGGCGCTTTGATTCCCGGCACGACATCGGCGGCCAAGGGTGCAGCTGTCGGCTTGTTTACCTACATCGGCTTTTTCGGCGCTACATGGCTACCTCTTCCCTGGTTGTACCCAGCCGAGATCAACCCCCTCAAGACGCGTGCGAAGGCCAATGCTGTGTCTACTGTTTCCAACTGGCTCTGGAACTTCTTCATTGTCATGATTACGCCCGTCATGATTAACGGAACCGGCACCCACGGCTGGGGAACCTACCTCTTCTTCGCCGCCATGAACGCCCTCTTCTTCCCCGTTATCTATTTCTTCTACCCGGAAACTGCTGGTCGAAGTTTGGAAGAAATCGATATCATATTCGCCAAGGGCCATGATGAGGGTATCAGTTACGTGCGCGCCTCTAAGGAGCTGCCCAAGCTTGACGAGACTGAGGTGAATGAGAAAGCGAACGACATCAAGATGAACCAATCGGATGAGGAGGGCAGAGTCAGCTACACGCCGTCGGAAGCTCGTGTGGTTCGGGACTCTTCATAAGAAGCGCGTGTGGATGTATATACCCCAACTGTTGCGATTTGGTACACGAATGTACCAAGCAGATACAGACACCAATTATTCAAATGATGTTATGACTCGCTATGAAGTTCTCTTGACCAGAATCCATCGTCCGCATCGAACAGGTCGCCGCACGATATTGTCCGCAAACTCTTATTAAGAAAGCTGAAGCGTGCGCTGGCTCATTGTGAACAGATGAAGTTGCGATGATTCTTGTTCACTACGGTTGTTAAATGAGGTGATTGTTGCGTGTCAATTGAGCCGAGGCTAGCCTAACCTCTGTCGCCATATCTTCCCCCACCATTGGGACATAAGTCGTACGCCCGCATCCCTTCTCTTTCAGCCATACAGCCACGCCAAGAAATAAGTGTCACTTACGTAGTCGATCGGCTCAGGATGGCGAGACTAAAGATGGGGGAGTTATTGGAATTGCTAACATCGAATGCATTCACAGTCTATACTAGTCTGCGGTTTGACTCAGAAGCCAAGACATTCGAACGCAGTATCTCCTTGAGAGTCAATCAAACGACGGGCCTCATCTCAGAGGTATGGCAACGATCGTCAGAGGCGGAGATTCTAAACATTCGAGTCATCTGGACCTGAGAGGTTACACTGTGTTGCCGAGCCTGGTCGACTCCCACATGTACATCTTATTGCACGCCTACGCGGAAATACCATCGCTCAACCAAGAGCGATACAAATCGGCTGGACTAGTCATGATACGTAACCCCGGGGGGGTTTACCCTGTAGCTATAGATAAGATATCTAGATGAGATAAGAGCTTTAAGAGAGCTCTGCTAGGCCAGAATAACTGACCTAGCTAACCTTTCCCAGTTCATACAATTCACATCCCATATGTACTCGCATCAAGTTGTTACGCGCGATTCGCGGCGGTAGGGGCGGCGGTGACAGCTTCTTATTGGACTTCGCGTATTAGAATACTAAGGCGGGGGTAAGAACAGATATCGTAGGTACGGTTATATAACTTACCTACCATTTTTTAGTAAAACCTATACAAATTTCAGGGTACGGCGTGGCCGAAGGCGATAATACAGAGTAAAGGAGAGTATTAGGCGTCTCTACAGGTTATCACCGGGTAGTCACTAGCGGCCACTAGTGGTCTTAGGTAGGGATGCCTAGAATAGTACATCGATCTCTAACCTTCCTATTGTAACGAAACCTCTAATAGTCTAGCTGCGTAAACCACTAAAGAGTCTGTAACGGTTTGTGCTAGTAAGTAAGTCCTGCTGCGGAGTCCTCAAGCAATAATATCGGGGTTTGACGTATGGAGTAGAGTGCTTTGGGTAACTGAAGTATTCAAGTAGGGTAATCGGGAATAGAGTCGTTAAGGCAGTTTGCCTCACCAATGGGTTAGTTAGATTGGTGCTTAGATTGATCACTGAAGTAGAGACTGTCTATCTATGAAATGCCTGGGAGTCCTGTCCCTTATATACCCGTCTCTCCTTCACTGATCCCCACTTGGGTATGTTGGTTGTCCAACATATCCAACATATTGTTACGAACCGTTGACCCTAGACCAACATTACAAGCCCGTTGGCAGGCCAGGTGGATACAGACGCTAGGATCACGGGACCCCGCATCGGAGAAAGGAAAAGACCGACAGGTCACGTGACCTACAGGGGTGGATATGTTGGTCAACTACATATCCAACCAACAGGATATGTTGGCATGAACAGGAATGTTAGATGAAGACAGTCCCCTGTAACATAGATTCGACTAGCATAGACCATGCCGGCACTGCGCCCGGCACGTCTCACGCGATGAGACGTTAAATTTCAATCAATCAATCAATCGATATGTTGGCAGAAAGACTACTCTGCGGGTCCGAACTACTGGGCTCTCAGATAGAGGTATACGATGCGGAAGCCCACGCAGCACTACGGGGGCTTCAGGAGGCTGTAAAGCTTCCGTCCAACAGCATGGCAGATAACGTCCACATCTGCCTCGATAATCTCGCGGTTGCGGGTAGGCTCATCTGTCCAAGTCCCGGAAGCAGTCAAGCAAAATTCACCGCCTTCCAAGAGCTGTCCAAAACCTGGTCACAGAGAGAGCGAAAACCCTGGACATCCCCGGGACAAGTGTATATCTGGTGGTGCCCAGGACACGTAGGCATCCCCGGAAACGAAGAAGCAGATGTCCAGGCCAAAGCGGCCTGTGAGCAACCACCCAAGACACAACACCCGGCCTCATTCGCACATATAAAGAGAATCGCGAGATCCTACACTTGGAAGAGTTTCAACGATCGATGGGCCACTACCTGCCCTCAACAGTATCGAGATCTAGGGATCGCTATCCACCCGCGACCCCCCGAACTTGGCCTGCCCCGGCAACACCTAGGCAGATTACTCGCAGCGAGGTCGCACCACGGGGATTTCGTGACCTACCACGAGAGACTCCAGCATCGCGACGCACTGCTCAACTGCGGGTGTGGAAAGACAAAGACACCAGTCCACTTCTACTTTTGCAAGCGCGGCCGCAAGGCCACGCCCGGTCATCTAAAAGCGCATATGGCCAAGAATAGTATAGATTCCCTCCTAGGCACGGCCAAGGGAGCTCGTTTGTTTTGTCAATGGGCGGAGGAGACCAATTTCTTTACTGAGATCTGCCCATCGCACTGAACAGGAATGTTAGATGAAGACTGTGACAGGCTGTGCCTGATATGGGATCCGGAGCTGCAAGGACCGTGCGTCCGGATCCACCAAAGGAACCATCGAGGGCACACAAAACATAGTCCGTGTTCCCGGGACAACTCGCATATTTTACTTTCCTCCTCAGTTAGATAATTAACAGTATTTGGCCATGTTGAGCTGTATAGTTTCGCAGTGAGCCCGTCACAAAGACAGTCCCCTGTAACATAGATTCGACTAGCATAGACCATGCCGGCACTGCGCCCGGCACGTCTCACGTGATGAGACGTTAAATTTCAATCAATCAATCAATCGATATGTTGGCAGAGAACATATCCAAGTGGGGATCAGTGAAAGAGAGACGGATATATTAGGAACAGGACTCCCAGGCATTTCATAGATAGACAGTCTCTACTTCAGTGATCAATCTAAGCATCAATCTAACCCATTGGTGAGGCAAACTGCCTTAACGACTCTATTCCCGATTACCCTACTTGAATACTTCAGTTACCCAAAGCACTCTACTCCATACGTCAAACCCCGATATTATTGCTTGAGGACTCCGCAGCAGGACTTACTTACTAGCACAAACCGTTACAGACTCTTTAGTGGTTTACGCAGCTAGACTATTAGAGGTTTCGTTACAATAATAGTGAAAGTTCCTGTAGGGCCATTAGGGCTGCTAGCACGTACAAATTACTAAAAATAGTAAGCCATTAGCTTAGTAAGCACTTAGAAACCAAGTTACTAACCAAGTCTCTAAACTGATGTAGCTTAGCAACTAATATCCGGAGAATTGGTGGGTGGTTGGGCTAGCGTCCGGCGGAGGATCGGCGCCGGAACCGACATCATGAAGTTCTAGGCCGACTACCGGAGAAGGGCCCTGCGATTCCCGACCCAGCCGTGGCCGGGCGCACTGTCCATTATGTTCTCACCCGGCGACCTGTGGGCCCGCAGTCCCGCCTCCACCCTCTTCAGTCAAGAAGAGATGGACGCCATTGTATCGAAGCAAAACGTGCGCGCACCCGTGGCAGCCCATGCCCAAGAACCTGAGACGGTTATCATGGTTGCCAGGGTGGGCGTTACTACCGTTGAGCATGGCTTCGCTCCCTCGGACGAGAGACTGCAAGCCATGAACGATACGACGTCATATTTCCCCCCACCTTGTCTGTCCTAGAAAGCAAGATGAACCAGATTGGCGAAGCTGCGTTCCAGGCTGCTGCTCTGGACCACACCAAGGCCGCCTGGGGCAAGGGGGTTCGTCTTGCTGCCGGTAATGATACAGGCCACTTCCCGCATGGCGAGAATGTGAGACAACTGGAACTCATGCATGGCACCGGTGTGACGCTCCTGGACGTCCTGAGGGCCGCAATACTAGGCGGATGGGAGGCTTGTGGTGGAGACTGGGGTGGCAGAAGATTTGGATTGCTTAGGGCGGGCTGGGCGGCAGATTTATTGGCTATTCAAAACGATACGCGGGAAAACACAGGAGCATTTAGGAAGTTTAGTTTGATCATGAAAGATTGGAGTGCCGTGGAAGATTTTCGAATAGTAGAATAACGTGATCCACAAGTCATTTTCGCACACAAGTCACTTTCGCACTTTTTCAAATATTTCAACCTTTTAACTTGGCTTGCACTTTTCTTCCCTCCCACAACATGCCTCGTAAATCCAAAGAAGCCGATCTTCAGCTAGCTATCCAAGCTAAAAAGCGCAACCCTGAAATTTCATGGCGTAAGCTTGGCCGTATCTACAACGTTTGCGACCGTACACTAAAGAATCGATTCGACGGCGACCAAACGCGACACGAAGCTAATATGTTAAAACGAAATCTAACTCACACCGAAGAGGATACGATTGCCCGACGTATAATTGAGCTAGATGCGCGAGCATTTCCTCCTCGGCTTCGATACGTTGAAGAAATGGCGAATATCCTACGACGCGTACGCGACGCGCCCCCCATCGGCAAGAACTGGACCACGAACTTCGTTAACCGCCGAAAAGACCTCCGAACGCGTTTAAACCGTCGAATTGATTACCAGAGGGTATTTAGCGAAGATCCTATCACGTATTACGCGTGGTTTGAGCTTGTTAGGGACACAATCGCTAAATACGGTATCCTACCGGAGGATATCTACAACTTTGACGAGACGGGCTTCCTAATGGGCATAATCACAACCGGTATGGTTGTAACGAGTGCAGAAAGACACGGACGGCCTAGACAGGCTACACAAGGAGGTCGGGAATGGGTTACGGTGATCCAGGCTATTAACTCGCAAGGTTGGGCGGTACCGCCGTACATCATCTTCGCGGGCAAGGTTCATCTTGCTTCGTGGTATCGCGGTAACGACCTACCGGCCAACTGGAAGGTCGACCTTTCCCATAACGGTTGGACTACTAATAATATTGGTGTGGAATGGGCAAAACACTTTGTTCAACATATTATTAGCCGTCGTAAGGGTGCGAAAAGTCTCTTAATATTGGATGGTCACGAGAGCCACCACTCGATGGATTTTGAGACTTACCTCGCGGCGCACGGCGTAATTTCATTGTGTATGCCTTCCCATTCATCCCACAAGCTCCAGCCTTTGGATTTGGTACCTTTTAGTGTGTTGAAACGGCTGTACGGTGCGTTCGTGGAGGGTTTAATGCGAAGGCATCAAACCCATATTGAGAAGCAGGACTTCTTAGCTGGGTTTTTAGAAGCTTTCATTGGTGCTTTTCACGAAAAAAACATCAGATCAGGATTCGAAGCAGCTGGACTTGTTCCTTTTAACCCGGATAGGGTCATATCTACGTTGGATATCGCAAAAGTAGTACGAACACCGACACTCGACCCCCAATTGCCTCCCTCCGTCTGGGTTTCTAAGACGCCTACCAACACCCTCGAAGCCGAATCGCAGTCAACTTTGATTAAAAGTAGCGTCCAGAGGCATCAAGACAGCTCGCCGACGCATATTTTGAACTCAATTAACTCGAATACGAAGGCTACGCATGCAATGATGCATGAGAATGCATTATTACGTCGGGAGAACGAAGAGCTTCGTGAGACGAACCATATACTAAGTAAGCGTCGTAGGACGAAAAATAAGCAAATCCAATATGGAGGAGCACTTAGTATAGGTGATGCACAAGTTTTACGGGCCTTGAGGGGTGATATCAAGGTTATGGAGGAGGAAGAAGGGGAAAGCAGTCGTCCTGTAAAGCGCCGGCAGACCGGTATAAGGCGCTGTGGTATTTGCGGAGGGACTGGACATAATGCAAGGACTTGTTCAATAGAAGTAGAAACTGATAATGAAGAAGATTTTGAGTAATTTAAAGGATAAAATGCGGGTTATGCATAGGATATTACTGAATTACTTGAAGGTGCCAAGAAAAGTGCGAAAGTGACTTGTGTGCGAAAATGACTTGTGGATCACATTAGATATACCTGTGTGGATACATATCGGAAACCCGCCGAAGCACATCACAGACGCGAATGAGAAGCAGGGGGGAAATACAACACATATATTACAAATAGTTACACCTGTTACTTATTTACGGGGATGCCTGTCATGGATGTCATGCGAACCGTGTGCTACTTACTATACGTGAGCTGTTATACCAACCACACCACGTGAACAATATAGAGTCAATAAGAACTCAGTGGTCCGGTCCAAGTAGAAAACTACATCCAGGCCGGAAATGGTTAATCATATGCTGCTATATCCGTATCTCACCTACAGGAGAAACATAGACCTGATCGAGCCTAATGCAGCCCTACCGCAGCGGGTAGAATTGCTGTGTTCTATACTCCTGGGCGTCTTTTTTTCACTGGACCCATAAAATCGGACATGACCGCTATGCGACACCGACCACACATGTAAAAGTCCAATTCTGTTCGAATATTATAGCACTAGTTGCCCGTCTTGGAAGTTGAATAACCCGCATCGCTATTATCTGTCCCTAGACCAGGACAATAGGCTGTAACGCGACGGTACTATTTCGCGTCAGATCCACACGACGAGTGCCATTCGTCAGAAAGAAATACCCGTCAAAAGTCGCCACTGCTACTTACCGTGTCTAGATATGACTAACCTAGTGGAGATCGGGCAACAGAAATTTTTTTCGCTTTTGTTTCCAAATGAGAAAAAAGAGCGGTCACCCCCGCAACGGCTCAATGTCGTCTGCCTGTCAGTATATAATTCTGCTTTGAAGGCTTCTCACTCTGCATCATCCCTCCTTTTCTCCTCTTTCCGGTATAGCATTCACTCCTTGCTTGCACCTCTAAACCTCTCACCTCTTCCATTCCTTTCACACATCCCATCCACCCAACATGTCGTCCGAAGGCGATATCATGATTGAGCCAGCGACTATCAAGGAGCTGCAGCTCCTCGAGGCCAGCCTGTCCGATGTCGACACTGAGATCACAGCCAAGCAGTTCCTCATGACGCGGGACATCTTCGCCCAGCGCCAACAGACCATTGCCAAGATCCCCAGCTTCTGGGCTGTCGTCTTTGATAATGCCGCCTCGGAGCTCGAGGCCGCCATCACGCCCTCCGACGCAGAGATTTTCGCAAAGGCCCTGACCCACCTCGAGGTGACACGGCCTGAGATTCCTGCCGGTGCTCAGCCCAGCGACTCTGGCTTAGACAAGTTCGGCGAGCCGCGCAGCGTCACAATCAAGTTCCATTTTAAGCAGAACGAATGGTTCAACGATAGCGTGCTCGAGAAGACACTGTACTACCGCTACGGCAAGGATGGCTCGGCCGGCCTCGTCTCCGAGCCCATTCGCATCAACTGGAAGGCCGGTAAGGACCTGACGGAGGGTCTCACCGACGCCGCCTACGGCTTCTGGATCGCCCAGAAGAATCAGGCCAGCCAACAGCTTGACGGCGTGCTCTCGGGTGACGCCCGCAAGGCCCGTGACGCCGCCGCCAAGGCCATGTCCGAGTTCAAGGCGCTCGCCCAGCTGCTCGAGGACAAGGTCACCGGCGCCGTCAGCTTCTTCAACTTCTTCTCGTACCGTGGCCGCTGGATCAGCGCCGCCGAGAACCACGAGGCCCGCGCTGAGCTGCACGCCCGTCGCCAGGCTGCCCTTGCTGGCAAGCCTGAAGAGGAGGATGACGATGATGATGATGAAGAGTACCCCGAAGAGGATGTCGAGACCTTCCCTCCCGGACATGAGGTCGCCGTCACTATCGCTGAGGATATCTTCCCCAGTGCTATTGACTACTTTATGTCCGAGACTATTGATAGTGATGATGAGCTGGACGGCATCGAGATTGACTCGGATGATGATGAGGATGAGGACGTCGAGATGGCATGAGTATTGGAATGAACGACTGTTATGAATGAATGATGGCTTAATCGAGGTAAACAAAAATGGCGCGGGAGAGGAGCATGTATCTAGTCGTGCTGTTTAGACTAGCTGGGCATGCTATACAGTGCAGTGCAGCTAATGGCCCAGCGAAATACAAATAAGAACAAGGACAAAAATTCATCTATTGTAACGTTCACACTCTCACCTGGAAGCGTTATGTTTTCATAATATTCACGACTGGAAAATCCCATATTGAAGGCCAGTTAACCGAAACATGATCGACAAACCATCCTTTGTTCACCTGTCGATAAAAATGAGTGGTTGCAAATCTGTTGGAATGTGGACCTTGCTGGCTGAAATAAAACTGAACGATTTATACTATCCAATTGGCTTCGCCGCATTTGCCTTTACAACGCAACTGGGTTGCTGCGTAGGCCTTGGTGGGGGTGGTGCTTTCACCATCTCGGTGTCCAGAAAGTTTTTTTCCCATAGAAAAGCGGAGTACATCCATGTAGGTAGGGCTGACTTATCTCAAAGGGATGAAGCCTTCAAATCGCCAAGCCCTGTCCATGGATAGACTAAAGCAAACCTAGACGGCTAGTGATCCTTAGACACGCAGTGGTGTCAGTTTTCTTTTCTGCCGCTGTTTCTAGTGGCACTAGGCAGGTAAGAAACATACTGCAGCGACTTCACGTTGGCTATTTGGAAAATGACATCATGTCGTGTGCTAAATCTATGTTTGAAGCATAGAAGTCAAGTGATCTAGAGAACAATGAAAAGTCTGAAATTCGAAAGCCTGACCTCACCAATCATTGTGCAAAGCCTCTACCCTCAGATACACCTTTACACGTTAGGGAGACAATATCTAACACCCAGCCAAGTTGAAATACCATGTGCATAATAGATCAAATAGTCTAGACTATCCCAGACCACGTGCCAGATCTAACAACCCCAGGATCTAAGGCAAGTCAAACTTTGTTTTCCAGCGCATAGAAGAAACTGTCCGGCACTCCATGAATATCATCGACCGCAACGATGGCTCGTGGATAGCTGCTGACAGTGATGCACTTCGGCCGAAAGTAATGGGACAAATCGGAAACTCGAGGTTCATCCTCTGGGCTGTTGAAAGACGGGCTTGCATTAATAATGACAGCCAAGAATTGAAAGTACCGCACACACATATTCTTGAGATAGAGTTTGCACCATGAGACAACCGACATATTTTGGAGTGCTCTATCGAAGCTTAATAGAGTTCACTGCCGTTCTCAACTACGCAGCCAGTTTAAGACTTTAGACCAGTCTGTGCCCGATCTGCGGTCCCCCACAAGACGTGCAGTATGCAGATAGTTAGTTACACACTATGCCGATTCAAGACCTGGCTCCGAAACCCCATAATGTAAAACACTGAAACTTGCAACTGCTTTTTGCATGATCCAATATGCTCGTCCCAAGAACATCGCTCTGACACGGAGAACCGGAAGACGACACCGAGGTGGCATCTCAAACTCCTCCGCAATGAGACATGCTTCCGAAAGGTGTTATCCATTGTTATATGCCTTTCAGTACGGGCCATCGTTGTAGCCAATTTCACGATTATTCGGGAATGGGACGTTAACTTAGATTGCTTGAGTTTCATTCGTCAAACAGGCGTTCTTTTCCCGTAAAACCAATATGGCCGCCTTCTGGAAGCCCGATGTTGCGATTCCCACTCTCGTGGGCAGCCTCTCCTCCTTCGTTGCCACAAGTATCGTGGTACTCCTTTGGCTTATATCGCATGGCGCAAAGGACAATCTTCGTTATGCCCTCATAATCAACCTCACATTTGCCGGTAGGCACGAAGCAAACTTATCACCGCCTAGGAGGACTTATGCTGACAACGAAATCGTGGCTACAAGAACTGATAAATTCTCTGAACAATTCCATCTCGGGAAGCTACGTAGTGGCCACACGACAATCAGTTCCACCTGGTGATACCTGCAGTGCAAATGGCTGGATAGGACAGGTATCTGTGCAGGTGAGGTTTCATGGCATGTATTTCCTAGATGAACTGAAGCTAAGGTGAAGAAAAAGGCCGCCGACTTCTCTATCTTAGCCATTGCGATTGCAACGCTTCTTACAATCAAGCGTACACCATGGATATTGAACCCATCATTCACCAAGAAGTATTTCATATGCCTGTCTACCTGGCTCACCCCACTCGCCACAGGTAAACGGACACATCCGCGATCCACATACAAGTCAAAGGCAATTTCTAATTAGGTTTAGCTACGACGGCTCTCGCAATGGGCAAGATGTCGGCTGTCTCGGGTAATTGGTGTTGGATTTCAATGGACCCGCGCGGCCTGCGCTATATCCTCGGTCACGGCTGGCGCTTTAGCATTTTCATCGCCACTACCATCATCTACGCAGTCATTTTCAGGCAATTGCAATATCGTCTTCGGAGTCGGGAGAAATACAACAGGACATTTTCTTTCTATCCTGGTAGTATGAATCCAGCAGTGGAACTTAGCCTCCGTCGGTCTCACCAATCACTCTTGGGCGGTGAAGGCCAACACCAAACAGGAAGTGTAATGCCTCGAGATCAGGCTTTGCACACAAACGTCTGGCGTGAACGGGATGATGAGCAACTTCCCTCAGATTTACCTGTTCATCCAATCCGAGCCCAGAGACCATCTTATTCCTCCACCTTGTGCGACGAATCGACTCTCAAATCTGACTTCCAGCCACGCTTGCGCGTCACGGAAAGCTCGCAACTCGATCAGGATACATGGCAGTGGGTGCTCATGGTCTTCTATCCACTGACGTACGTTCTGCTCTGGATCCCTGGAATCGCCAATCGCATGGTAGAGCTAATGGGCACCGAGTATCGCTGGTTAACTGTCATGCAAGCTTCGACACAGTGTACGGGGCTCGTGAACTCCATTATTTACGGTCTGAGGGAGCATCGCGGGATTTGGAAGACATGGGTCAATCGCTATATTGATCGTCACTACAGTGCATGAATTTGTGGCTTTAGTCCCCTGTGTGACAAGTACTGGATCAAGGAGTTATGACTGTATAATGGCTGGTGTGCGCTCAACAAAGCGCAAAGTCGACTAGTGTGGATGGAATCATGTACGGCAGCAAGTTCATTTATGTTCTAGTTTGGAAAAAAGCCAGCTTAAAGTGCTGTCAAGCTGACGGGGAATAATGATCCCGTGAATTATTCCGGGAACGAGCGATGTAATCAGGCATCCCCAAATGCCCTGTTTCATGGTATCGTTCAAGAGGTCAAGGTGGCCGGAGCGATATCGAATGAGACGGAGTGGGTGTGACGCATCATCCGCTACTTAGATATATCGGTAGTCACTATATATAAGTAAATGCCCAATTAATCAGGCCCTGGGTTGCGGTGTTGGATTTCCCGGGTTGTGATTCTGGAATCTGGCGGGGATTTCAATGATATCTCCAAGGGATGATAGCCGTACGTGCCAAGCACCCATTCCGCCGATCCACAGGGTGAGGATGACCGCCCGGTCACGTAAATTTGCTCAGGCACCTTGATCACAAAACGACCAAAGGGTGTCAAGTGGAAGAGAAAATCAAGGTAAGTTGGAGTGGTATTATTATTATTATTATTAAATACGCCGTAGGCTCGAAGCCCCCGGTACCTCTGCTAGTACTCCCGTATGTCAAACCGTGCCCTAATGGCTGGACTAAATACATACGCTGCGTCGTCGGTTCGCCCTATTGGCGACTGCGTTGCGTCCACTACCATACTACGTTGGTTCTCAACCTACCAACAAAGTCCCCCCTGAGAAGATCGATGCTATCTGGGCCTTGAAGCTGTCCGACCCGTCCCTAGCAGCCACCTTACAATAGTCCCACTAACTACTGGTTCTCCTGTTGCCGTTGCGAGGTCTCTGCGAGAGTATAGTGGCCGTGGTGCGATAGCGGCCCGTAATCGTTCCCTCGGTCCTTCCAACAGCCCGCAAAAGAGGATTACGTGCTCTGCCGTCTCAGGGGCGTCGCCACAGCGGCATAGCGGCGAGTACACGCCAAAAGCCCCTGTCTTGAATAAGAAGGCTGCTAGTCCTATTTTTTCCGTCCTGATCTGGCACAGCGTAGACGCCTCCAGTCGGTTCAGGCCGAAATACTTGCCCCCTTTCGGTATCTGCATCGAAGGGCCCTCCGGTTCCTCAGCGATAGCGCGTCGCTGGCGATCGTGATGCTCTGCTCCGGTGAGCCATCTCTTCCTCCAGTGGCCGAGGAGGGCAGCCGGGACCTCCTTTTCCTCACTCATCCACTCGGAGCCCCGGGCCTCCTTCTCCATAGTGTACCCTGCCGGTCGGAGTAGCTGCGACGCCTGCTTCCTCTTCGCCGGCCTATCCTGCCGGAGTATATGTGACGCTTTAGCGCTCGCGCTGCGAAGCAAATTTCTCTTCCCGCTAAGCCGTAGCCGTTCTTCAAACTTAGCAGCCCGGGCACTAAGACAGAGGTCTAGTGGCGGGATTGCTGCTTCTGCTTCCAGGTGGCGAACCGGCGTCGCTTTGTGGGCGCAGTGGTATTATAACTAGTGCCACAACCGACCTCGACTTGACCATAAAACTGTACCAATTAAACCAACTCCTCAAGGCCTGACTTCAGTGACGAACATATCCCATACACAAATGAATCCTGCCCCTCCTCGAGCGGAACTCCCAAAGCCCCCGTTTGCCAACTCAGTGCGCAATCATGCCCCCTCCCTTAACACTAACAATACTGAAAAGGGCACACTCGTAACGTTGGCAGACTGCACAAAAGCCATCTTGGTAATCCTTTACTGCCCCTGTCCGCAGTCGATGGAAAGTGGGTTGCTCACTTCATGCGAGCAATCCCGTTGCTGCCTAAGTTTCCAAAGTGCCCAATTGCTGATGTTGGGCGCATAACTCAACAAGCCGATGATATGATCCTGGGGCGTTGCTGTGAATTCAGCAAGGCCCTTTGTCATTACTTTCGCGGCTGTCCACATCTCGTTGGAGATCCGTTGGAAGGATCTTTACATAAATAAACATGATAATAGACGTATACGAATAGGCCCATCTCGTTGTAAAATGTGCTAATAGAGCGTCTTATATTGACTGCGACCTGGGATACGAATTTCGCAATGTTGTTGTGGAGAAGGTCGTTACTCAAAGCTCTAACTACCAGCCGGTAGATTAAGCTTGTGAGCTTGGCATAGTGTTTCGACTCTCACAGCGCCCAAGACTTCGAACCTGCTATGGAAGGCTGACGGCTCGAAGAACAATGGACGGACGTCCAGTCCAGGTTTTTGCATAGACCGTGACCACAGCTGTGCGAAGCCCGAGGAGATTGCCGATAGACTTGGGAAGATGAGAGGAGAGGCTATAAGGGGCCCGAACAGGAACGACCAGGAGATGGGGAGCCTCTCAGGGGTGCCGAAGGGCTCTGGAAATATCTGTTCGTGGAACACTGATGAGGGATTCTTCCTTGTCCAGAGTTTGCCAGAGAGCGGACATTCAAAAAGGTACGGTAGAATGAAGCCCGGTCATTCCATCCCCTGGAATGTGGGAGAAGAAAAATGCGACGATGAAGCAAGTCATGATCGTGTCCGGTAGTGGATGACGACGATTCTCCAGGGCGGTATGAAATCAAGTCATGGGGTTTCGAGGATTGATGGGAGAGTTTTCTCAATGCTGATAATGTCTTCATGGCCGACTTGATCTATTTCGATACAGACAACTGGTGTTCAAAATGAATGGTAGCGACGCGTTCATAGTAAGGCTTATCGGTGTGGTTGTCCTTAACGATTACACATAGGAACGGACGCACCTCAACGCAGCGCTTTCCGAAATGAACTGCCTGTGCCTCAATGGATCCAGGGAGATTCGAGTCACTTTCAAATTTATATAATTATACGACAGGTAACTTATAACAGTTATGCAAAGGAAAACATTAGAGCATACATAAAGTTATGTGCATCTTCCAGTGTGTGCTGACAATCCAACTTCATCCTCGCTGGTATGAATCCCAGACCCAGAGACTCATAATCTGTATCATCTTAGTCGGCAGAAGTTCCGGGCGACTTACCCTGAGCGCCTCATGTCGTAACTTGAATGATTAATTATCGTCACTCCCCAGAGAATTGTTCATTCTATGCAGAAAGGGGCGCTTACAGTATAAGTTGACATGATGCAATCATAGAGAGCCATGAAGCTGACTGGCACTCCAGCGTGTTCGAGATCAGTGGAAGCGGTCGATATGGAATAGGATGACCCGCTTGGACGACCCTTATAGTCCAGGGCGACAATATAGATGCGTCCATCAACCTCAAACATGATTCGATTTGCCTTGACCGATAGCCGACCGCCCAGATCGAAGCCAGCAACGTTGAATTCACACTCAATCAGGATGGAGACCTCGCTAACGAGGTCTCCACGGTCCCTTAAGAGACTGTTGCCAACGAGGACAAACCAGCACTCTACCGCCTTTCGGGATGCCCACAACGAGGTCGCCAGAAACCATGCCAGAACCCCATTCGTCATCCTGGAGAGAGATTCCGGGCAAGTCGGCCGCCCGGGCAAACGGGCCAGGTTCGGCCTGGATTGGCGTCGACGGCCGTTCTTGCGTGTTGATGTGACTGGGAAGTCGTTACTGAACGAGTCCTGACTCTCGTGATCAATATCGTCTGGCGCATGCGCATTATTTTTGATATGCCAGTAATTAGTACACCGTGTGATGTTGGCGTTGCCCAAAAAGGTACCGGACTGCTTGCCATACACATGATAGCCGCACTCACCCATCGAGTACATGACGATGTCCTGATCCTGGTCCAAATGGCCCGTGGCACCCTTGGAAATGTCGATCTGAGTGCTTAGCAACGGCGGGTTCTTGGTCATACCGTAGACAAAGCCCTGACCTTCGTTGGAAACGACACAAAGTGTGTTGTATGATAACTGGAAGCCTCGTATCACACGCTGGTGGGGTAAGACAGCCTCGAGGTGGAATTTACCTCTGGACGAGCCGGGAAACTCGGTGTTACAAACCTCGAGAGTCATCTTCGCGATCCCACACGGCCGTGCCGTCCTGATATTTGAGGTGTGCATATGGTCGCACCTCGTCACATAAGAGTCTCCAGATAATGACACCAGTTTCCATGTCGGTCACATTGAATCCATCATTATGCGAGGTGGAGAGCAAGAAACGGCGCTTGAAGTCGGCCGTGAAACGCCATACAGGGTCGTTGCCGACTTGGATGGTGGACTGAGCCGTCTTAGACTTAGCCTTAGCCCAATTTCGGGCGTCTGCCGCTTACACAAGTCCTTCCACGAAGAAACACCCTCGAAGTACCTCGAAAAGCTGGAATGATTGGCTAAAAAAGAGGATTCCAGGGCCCCAGGCGGGTGCGGGTTCCTGAAGTCGGACGAGTAGATTGCATGCTGGTGTGTTGCGTTGATGAACTCATGCCAGGCTTTGGAAACGCGGGTGAGCGCCACCAAAGCAGCAGACGGTGCAAACTCGAGAATCTGGAGGATAGTCTCAGAAGGCAAGAGGGTGAGCGGGTCTACTGGTTCAGCCGTCATTTTGGGTTTGGATATTGATCGTTGGTGCGAAGTTTGCACAGGTCCAATGCAATTCAACGTGTACGATGACCTTATAATTGCCCATGTGGGGTGACGAGGAGAGGATGGCATATGCGAATAGGCACTATTACTTGTAGATAGCAATATTTACAGAGTGGGAACTCTAAGCTTAGGCCAATCGAATTAAGCGCGCGTCGTTGACGCGTTTATCGCTAAAGTTACCTAGGCATCCACAGGTGGACACGATTTCCTTAACACGCACAGTGTCGAGTGAGCAACCCATTGAACTCAAACACAATCAACATAAACGAATTGTTATGCAAGTTGCTATTCGACCATCTTGAGCCACAATGAACCGCCACTTACCCCCAGACATACTCCACCTCATCTGTTCCCAACTGGCCCATTCAGATGCCCGAATTTTGCGTCTCTGCAGCGAGGTCATGGCAAATACTGGCGAAATCATGCCGGTTTTGACAGCTTCACCTTCTATCTTTCTACGAGGCCGATAACCTGGAGGAGCTCACCATGACACTAGAGCAATACATCGACAGGACCAGAATGCCCCGCCTATCGCTATCGCCTTAGCCATTCAAAGGGCCACTGCCTGCCAGACAGTGCTCTTCTGGAACTAGAAGGCCATCTAGCCGATTGATTGATTGATTGATTGAAATTTAACGTCTCATCACGTGAGACGTGCCGGGCGCAGTGCCGGCATGGTCAATGCTAGTCGAATCTATGTTACAGGGGACTGTCTTCATCTAACATTCCTGTTCAGTGCGATGGGCAGACACCATCTAGCCGATTATGGCAGGGATCTGTAACTGTTGCAGGATCACGTATTACAGGATCACGTGACCTGAGCGATGAAGGCTATAATTATGTGAAAAGCAACGCAGAGGACAGAAGAGAGAAAAAAAATCTTGAGAAAGAAGAGATCTTCCACAGTTACACAATCTTCAATCCACAACCATTTCTGCAACAGTAACCGATATTACGAACGGCATACGCCAAAATTTTGCCCAGTACCTTATTGCCGTTGAGGAGCAGCGTGACATCTTGAACAGAGGTGCGGATTCATTGTTGTACGAGACGTCGTATCGCGCCCCCCTCAACTTCAATAAATCACTATGTGCAACGGACAATGCTTACCGAGGAGGGCGCTACTGTGTCGCCTTTCGATTATTTCTTTGATTGACATGGATTAACATTGAGTCGCGTATATCACCGAGTCGCGCTCTCTTTCAACTTTTCTAACCTTTAAACTTTAACGTACAACATGGTCTAATGGAACACTTCTTAAGACCTCGTACAATAAGATAAAAGTTACAACGACGGTTATGGCATTTTCAGTCTGACATCAAATGCGCCTTGAGACGAGCTTGCTGTTCCGCGAATAGTGTCGAATGTGTCAAATACCTTTGAAAGGAGTTGTCAGACCTTATAACTACCAAAAATACCTCATTCTACAGCGAGTGGGTCCCCCGTCTTTTGACAGTCAATTTGGTCCAACAGGAGTCCGAGATGAAGTATCCGCAATACTGAACTTATAGTTGCATTGAACTACCTACCCTCGCCAGCCATGGGCATCCTGAGGTCTAATGACATCTCAGAGTTTCTCATTCTTAGACTTCCTCTTCGCCAGGTTCCTCTCCGCACTCAAGACCAATGCCACGTGATGACTTAATGCAACGATGTCTCCTGCCTCGTCTAGAATCACCACCTCGAGGTCTTGCCGGCCCTTCTCAATCTTCTTGGCGCGGACCCGCACGAACAGCCAGTCGACGCCCTCAGCCGGTAGAGCCTTCTTGATATCCAGGTTCAATACCAGAGTAGGATACCAGAACGGAGGCGGGGTGCTGTCCTCACTTCCCTCCTGCTCGGCGCGCTTTAATGACATCGTCTCGATGATCTGCGGCCACAGATCGCAAACCAGGCCCAAACTTTCTTGTGTGAATTTCTCACCCGATGTGAAGCGGATCCACTCATCACACAGACCGGGCGATACCTGTCCAGCAAGGGGAACATACTGTCGCGCACGGTTCAAGACACGACGGAACTTGGGAAATGGTCGGTCCTTCTGCTCAGTCCAATTCACATCACCACCGTCCTGTGCAAGTCTGGCCAGGTCGACAGGCGGTGGAGCTGGGTCCAACGACCATGCCGTTTCGAAAGATGGTCCGCTCTCGGTGTTCATGTTGGAATTAGTGATATAGCCAACGACTTCTTCGCGGCCATCCTGGGTCAATGCGACATGGATGGTAGAGGTCTGGCGGCCGAGCTTGCCATCGCGGACTGTGACGGTACAGGGCCCTACTTGAGTTCGTCGCAGAAACTCCAAGTGTAGGGTGATGGTGTGAGGTTGCTTTTGAGCCGCGAGCACCGTGTTGAAGTGAGTGGCGGCGACCTGCAAAAGGACGGATGTGACGATCCCACCATGGGGAACTGTTCAATCATGAGAGTGAGAGAGTGGGAAGTTGTTTCAAACACACTTACCTGATCCTACACACCAGTCGAGGTTGAAATTGGCCGTGTACGTATGCGAACTAACGGCTTTCACTTCCATGGCCTTTGCGAACGTCGCAGTCATTTCCAACATGAGGACTTGTGAACCGCCCCTGAAGATTTCGGTGCAATAAGGTTATCCTACTCAGTTGGAGTTGATGTGGCGGTGGGGTGCCGAGGTTGTCAATTGCTTAGTGGACTTCCCCGGATTCTGCAACTCCAGAGGGCTCTTACCAATCTCGAAGAAGGTTAGTCCACAAAACTGTTACGAGGTTGAAAGCCGAAACCCCGCTCCCTCCCATCCCCCTGTTAGGTACCTATGGGCCGCGCTAATGCTCCAACTATGCCCAAAATAGGCAAAGTGGCATGGCCCAACCCACAACATTGTACCTCTTTTAGCACCTTCGCTCCCACTACGACGGGGCCAGTTGAAGCTATCGCGAGAGTTATTTCCTCTACTATTGCCCCTTTCTATGGTGTTTTCTGCTCGTGAAGATCACTGGCTTTACAGCTAAACAAGTGATGGCCACCCGCCTGACGACCTTCCTCGAGCTATCACGATGTCTTTTATATGCAACGTTTGGTGCTTACGCTATAAGATTTGCTCTCCACCGCCTCGGGTTCGGGCGCCGCATTACCAAACGGAAGCCACCGATCGATGAAGACGTCCGCTCACTCCGGCTCGAATGGGCGGAGCTAAACCGTGACTGGACCCTTGAACAATAAGAGCAAATAATATCGACTGTTGAAACATGGGTCACTGGCGGTACTCATCGACGCCAGTACGTCACAAGGCGCCCTGGTGAAGAGAACCATCCCGACTGCGTAGTAGACCAACCACGGAAGAAAAGGGGGTGGATATTTTGGGGTGGTTTTTCAGAGGCAACGGTAAAGGCGCCCGGTGACTTTTGGAAAAAGGATTGGGTATCAATTGATGCCGAAGCCTACTGGGCCCACATAGTACTAGCCATTGATGGATGGATTCATCTCTGCCTAAAAGACGATGGCCGAAATTAGTACTGATGCAGGACGGTGCTTCCGCCCATAGTATCGCGGCCACGATTAAACACCTGTCAGAGTGGAACATATATCAGTACATGGCCGCCCAATTCCCCTAACCTAAATCCCATAGAAAATGTTTGGAACTGGATGAAGGATTCTATCGAGGAACACCTCGGCCTTAACGGCAGCCCCTCGTATGATGTATTGAAGGGCTACGCATTAGAGGCCTGCGAGGCAGTTCCAGAGCAGTGGCTGCGCGAACTACTGGCTTTTATGCTCCCACGTTGGGAGGATTTTATAGAGGCCAATGGCTTTTATATAAAATGGCGAAAAACATGTTTGGACATACTGGTTTGGTGTGGAATTACTAGTTTAGGTATAGTGTAGAATATAGGGAATACATGGCTTGGGCGGGTTTTCCTATCCGTCACACGTTCTAGTGCTCGAAATATCCCGTGTAGATTTTGAATGTTCACTGTAAATTCTGTTTCAAAGCTGGCTGTTTTCATACCTGAAAAGAATCCAAGATATGCTTCACTTGACGATGCCCGGTCCACGCAGTTGGCCAGCGTGCTTGCTCTTCTAGCGAAGCGCCTGGACAGTGTGTTGGAGGTTCATAATAAGCGAGGTAGATAACTTTTATGAACCCTTGTGTGGAGGCATGTGGATGAGTTATTTCTCGCTATTCTGTTTCAGACATGATGTTCATGTAGCCCGCTCGTATAAACAGGATACCGAAAATTGTACAGAGTATCGGCAGTCTTGATATACCCTTTTGCTATGCTCAAACTTCAATGGTTGAATGTTCGGCTGAAACATGGAAATGCTTTGGTAATAGTGTATTCTGGAGCCTAGCTGGACAGAATTTGACTTTGACTGCGCGGATCGCCGAACGCATTGCCTTTCGGCATTTGCGAGGAGCCAGGGTATTCCTAGTTGTACTCTGGCGTTCCGTCCGCATGTACCACATTTACTTAAGTCACGTTAGAGATGCCGACAGTCGAAGATTCCGGGTGATCCGATGGCATGTGGCAAACTTCGTCTGCCGAGAACGGTACCGAAGAAGCGACCGGACGACTATACAAAAGGGGCGACTGCGTCTGACGTTCCAACATTAGTGTTACAGCATCTCTTCAGATAACACGAAGAGTTGAATGGAGATTATCGCAAGCATAAATTGACTCGATCATCGTATGACAATATGGCCCAAAGCCAAGATATATGCATAGACCATGTCATCCGCAGACTGGCAAATACCCACACAGACACTGTCCTCCTCTCCTATCCTTCTCTTGAGGGACACTATGACAACTACACCGGGGAGGGTCTCAAAGATGTGACGGATGCTGCCATCAGCGCCTTGCCCTCCTGGCTGAAGGATATCGCCAGGAATGGAGGAGCAAGAGAGGCGAGCGAGGTGGTGGTTGGAGTAGTAGGTGTCTCGAACCTAGAATGCTACATTGCATTCCTTTCCCTTCAGCGCCTGGGGATAACGACAATGTTGATGTCACCACGCCTCGCTGATCAGGGGTTTGCCCACCTAATACGGACACTGGGCTGTAAGATAGTCATGGCATCTGGGGCTTCCCTCGAGGTGCTCGCCCGTGTCAGAGACTCGGCTCAACTGGATGTGGAAATCATCCCGATGGTCGAGGTAAAGGAGCTGAAGAATTACCGACACGACAAAATTGATGAAATACGTGCCCTGGACCCCCGAAATGACGACGAGACACCCGGTATCATTATCCACACTGGGGGCACAACAGGACTTCCCAAACCGGTGAAACTTCGTTCAGCGGTCTGGATTCGACAGGCCATCGCCGTAACATACCGACTGCTGTTCAATTTTGACATGCTCAGCACCTTGCCCATATTCCACAGTTTTGGGCTAGCAACTATGATCCGCTGTCTAACCACTGGAAGACGGTTATCTCTTCTCCATGCATCAAGACCCATCACCGTCTCGAGCATCATCGCGGGGCTCGACAAGACGCAGGCCATGGCATTGGCTACGGTGCCCTATATTCTGAAGTTCTTCAGTGAGACTGAGGGAGGCGTGGAACGTCTGGCCCAGCTAAGTAGAGTCGTGGTAGGGGGTGCTGCCACACCGGATGAGTTGGGAGAGCGTCTTATAGGCGCGGGTGTGAAGCTCATCAGCGCCTACGGACAAACCGAGTGCGGAGCCTTGATGGAACAATCGGCCGACCAGTGGAATTGGTACGTGGCCATGCCGCACAACGAAAGCTTCTTGAAATTCGAGCCGGTGGAAGACAATCTATACCACCTGATCATCCTTCCTGGCCTGGCGACGAAGGTCTTGTCGAACCGCCCGGACGGTTCGTACGCCTCTAATGACTTGTTTCGATCACATCCAACCGACCCACGCAAGTGGAAGTTTGTCTCGAGGTATGACGACATTATTGTGCTCTTGAATGGTGAAAATGCGGATCCGGCCCCTATCGAACAAGCCGTAGCGAGCAATCCTAATATTCGAGTCACTATAGCTTTCGGTGCCGGCCGGGATTCACTGGGGCTTCTGGTAATCCCCTCAAGCAATGCATCAGGGCTTTCTCGCGAAGAGCTCGTACGCAGCATCGTACCAAATCTTGAAAGGGGCAACGCACTCGTCTCTGCGTATGCGAGGGTAGCCCCTGACGACGTCCTCGTTGCGAGTCCGGAAACAGAGGTGCCCATGACGGACAAGTCTACGGTGCAACGATCTGTGCTCCTCCGACAGTTTGCTGCCGAAATCGAAAGTCACTATATCAAGAGGGAGAGCTCGAATGCTCATGGCGGCCAAGCAGACCTCTCGGACGTTGAAGTCGCGCAAGTCGTACGCCGCTGTGTCGAGACGGAGTTACGACAGGAGGAAACCGACGAAAAGACACCATTGTTAGTAAATACCGACTTCTTTTCACTGGGCATGGACTCTTTGCAAACCTCACGAATACGCGCCCGCCTGCTCCGCAACATTGATATGCGTGGACACCACCTAGCTACCAATGTTATTTTTGATTATCCTAGCATCAGCCTACTTGCGGAACACATCATCAACATTCACAAGGGCCATAAAAAAATCACCAGACCCACTCAAGCTGCTGCGGAGGAGCTTGTGCACAAGTACAGTCAATTTGCCTCTGTGGAGGCGGGTACTGTTAGAATGGGTTCCCAACGAGTTGTGGTAAGTGCAAAGACCTTTGACCATGCGTATCGGCTGCTTATAGCTACCAGCTCCTCACCGGTGCAACGGGATTCATCGGTTGTCACGTTCTACATTCCTTACTTGCACAGGAAAACGTATTCCAAGTGTATTGCCTCGTCCGAGCCACCTCGGACGACGCAGCAGCTTCACGCATTGAGAAAGCCCTTCAGGATGCAGGTATATATGACGAGAAACAAAGCTACAAAATCAAAGCACTGGCATGCAACCTCGGCGACGATCACCTGGGACTTTGCCGCAGTCAGTACGAATCAATGCAGATATCCGTGACCACCGTAATTCACGCAGCGTGGGCCGTTAACTTCAACATGAAGCTGGAGAGTTTCGAAACCCCATCGATTGCGGGTGTGTCACACCTGCTGAACCTCGCGATGCGTTCACCACTCGAGCCAAAGCCGACATTTGCCTTCATCTCTAGTGTTGCGGCCGTGATGCGGGCCAGGCCATTACCCATCCGCGAGGTTCGGCACGGGTGGGCTGGTGTTTCGGAAATGGGCTATGGGCAGTCCAAGTGGGTTGCTGAAGAGGTGTGCTCAGCCGCCGCTGAACATTGTGGCTTACCGGTGCAGATCATCCGTGTTGGTCAAGTGGCGGGCGACACAAGATATGGCATCTGGAACCCGTCCGAGGCGATTCCTGCCACCGTGCAGAGTGCATTGACTATTGGAGCCCTTCCCATCATCGAGAGTGGTGACCAGGAGAACTACTGGATCCCTGTTGACATTGCTGCTTCAATCATTGTGCAGCTCGCACTTCCTAGCCGACAGGCCCCTGGTGCTACCAAGCAATCACTCTCCATCTTTCATGTCGTCAATACAGTACCTCTTCGCTGGAACACGGAGTTCTTGCCTACACTTCAAAGACACGGCCTTTCCTTTGAGATGATCCCCGGGCGTGAGTGGGTGCATAGACTGGAGAAGTCCAACCCGGACCTGCGGCTCAATCCCCCCTATCGACTGTTGGAGTTCTTCAAGCAGAGGTACGGACACATCGGAGACGAAGAAGATGGAGACTTGCGGTTGGATATCGCCAAGTCACGACAAGCGGCGGCGGCTTTGGACAGCGGTTTCGCGATTGACGATGAGCTGGTGGGAAAGTTTCTCAAATACTGGACCTTGAGCTCGTGGCAGGGATCAAACACGAAGTCAAATGGTACGGCTGCCCTGCATGGCAAAATTGTTGTGCGCTGAGGCGCTGTTACAGAACTTGATAATGTGTTCAAAGAGCTTGTGCTCTTCTACTACGATGTTTCAAAGAAATCATTCGTTGCTGCCCAGTGTGCCGGTAATATGGGCGCCAATTCTACATTCTACGTCCAACTTCCGATTGATAATCATCTTTCACCGATACCACGCGATACCATACCGAGGGCTATATTCGATGCATTCCTCAAGAGGTGTAGGTAGTCTCCGAGTTTCTAAATATTCCTGAATTGACTTTGGTCCTCATATAAGGCTTTGCTTTAAAATACATCGTCCACAGTAACTATCACGTATTAATCAATCTCATGAACAAGGCCACCTTCCCCGTAAGTCGCTGCCTCCCAGCCAAAGCTGAAAGGCAGAATCAGATAGAAACTGACTCAGCCCTCAAATAAGGCAAAAGTATTGGCTGTTAAGCCAGGTGTTACGGGCCTAACCGGGACTCGAACCCGGGACCTCTCGCAGACAACTAAGGGTGAGCCCTAAGCGAGAATTATACCGCTAAACCATCAGGCCGATGTTTGGTGATAGGATTGTGCGAAGAGGCACATTAAGTCGTCTGTGTGGTGGGTATGGCTTCTGTGAGTAGGGTAACCGGGTGGGCGCCATGGGGCGTCACCAACCCAAATACTATGCTCATACCCACTTGCCGGTCGCTCTATGAAACTGAAGTAATGATTTTGGGTTCACTTGACTGTCGTCTGTCTATCAGAAAGTGGTGTCAGACTCTGTCAACAGAGGATCGTTGTTTTGCCCTTGGGTCGCTTAGAGGATGCTACACTATTTTCAAGATGAGCATGTTATCAGCAATTGACGCTGAAGGTTGGACCAGCGCCTTGCTACTAACATCGTTTTCCCTCATTGTATGTGAACAATCGTTGGATTTCAGTCCCTGTATTAAATTAGGGAGGAAACACTCCGTTAGAACTGGGAAATGCGTAGGAAACCCTTGGGGCCGCATTACCCTAGCAACGATGGGAAGTTACTACGCCGACAAGTTGCTCCCGTGTATTCAATCGTATAAAAATGGTTTATTGGTTTTTCAAAAAGAGGCAACCCAGGCCAAGAGATTGCTCCAACCTCAATTCGCCACCCGTGCTATTGGAGCTTGAAGCAAGCTCAGGTCACATCCCCTTCCCACCACAAACCAAAACGTGCTCGTTGACGTAGAATGTGAGACAGGATGAGACAGGCCTGCTCCATTGATCCACTAAAATATGGCCTGCGCATTAGGTGGGGAAGAGACGCCACCGGGCATGTTGAACGGCATAGAAGACACGAAGAAGGTCCAGCGGTTCAGCTCCTTGCACGTCTCCGCGAGCTTCTCCAGATCAAACAGTTCGCCTACCATGACATCAGGACAGTTATGTGGCACGCAGGTCGAGACAGTTGACTCACCAATAGGCATACCCCACCCAGGGATGAGATACTCATGTAGTATGAGATCTTGGGAGACTGCAGGCCACACCTCCCAACTCGTAGCATCTCCGGCCAAGGCAGCAAACCCCGAGTCCCAAATCCACCTCAAGACGTCCAATGTAGCCTCGACGCCGGCGTGCTGGGGTTTTGTAGAAGCTGCATGAGCCTTCTTGGCATCGGCATCCATTTTCTGGTCCCATTCCTTGGTCATACCCACGCGGACCAGTAAGATATCGCCCTTCTCAAAGATGATGTTACACTCCTTTGCAATCTGCTGCATATCTTGCAGCTTAATTACGTGCTGCGTAAAGGCGGAATATTCAATGCCCTTCTTTTCGGCCCATGATGCGTAGTCGATGAGGACCCCGCGTCCTGTGATACCCTCCTGAGCCCAGTGCTGAATGCCTATACGGTGGTTATCCTTGTCCATGATTTCAGCTTTTGTGGTACCGCCGTAGAAGATGCGTTCGTCTGAGCCTGAGCTGGCCCGCATGCCAAAGTGGCGAAGACCGTCCCATTGGCTGCTCTGTTCTGCCTCTATCGTTAATGTCTGACACGGGTATCAGTAGTCACAGTGATGGACTGGACGTACGCGGATTCATTGTGTAGATATCATCGAAGCAGACACCTTCAAAGGTCGATATGATTTCATGCTGGAAAGGCTTCCTGCCAAAGGCTGGATGCTCTAGCTTGGTGAGGTCCCACCCTAGATTGACGCGTCTCCCGGTGAGGATCTGTGATGCGGCCGCTTTTTGTACCCGATCTTGGGTGAGAAGTACAAGTCGCCCGAGACCTTCCTCGTGACTGCCAGGCTCGCCAATCCAGACACGCTTGGGGTCTGGGAGCTCGTCGAAACTCAGGTCCATGAGAGACGTGGGCGCCATGTTGTAATGTCGTGGTACTCTGCAGGGTAACTATAAAGCAGGCAAAGACAGTGAATCAATATATATAATGAGGGAGATTCTCGCCAAGGTGCTCAATGACGACGTTGTAACGCATTTATCCGAGGGAGAGTCTTTGGCTCGGAGCCTCTCCGCAGATTACCCTCTTACAGTGCCCTATTTATCCTATGACTGATGTGAAGCACCATAATATGCAGCGACAGAATACAGAAATCAACCACGCCTATCGGAAAGCCACAAGGTGCATGTGATGTTGCAGTGAAACCCCGCTGGTGTTGATCATACATGTGCGGTTACTACCGTTATCCAGCAAGTTTCGCATACACCCTTTCCCCATATTGCAGCCAATAAGGCGTTCTCAACACTGAGGTGATGAGAGGCAAAGATGACCATAACGAAGCTCAGGCCCAGCGAAGCCCAAGTAACAGTAGAAGACCCAGTACGGTGCCATGCCCAACCCCATTTATTCTCCACATCCCATTTCCGTTTTACACTGCAGCTAAGCACGTAGCCGTCATCTCCAAGCCGAGTCTTTCTATGTACCATGGCAAAACCAGGCGACCAGACAAGTCGCTATAATCGACTAGTCATTGCTTTCGTTGCCCTGGGATCGACAGTGAGTCTTCTTCATAATACAATGCCACCATTTCGTTGAAGTCTGGCTAAGACATTGATACTTGGAGACATATGGGTATGGTGCATCTGTCATCGGCAGCACCATCGGGCAGCCTGGCTGGTACACCTTTTTCCAGCTTCCACGGCACGGCGAGCCTGGCTACGGCACTATAACGACGCCCGTAATTGCCACAGCCAATGGCATCTTCAGCGCGGGAGCTGCCGTCGCTTGCCTTGTCCTCATGTGGTCCGGCGATTGCTTTGGCCGAGTACGAAATATTCAAGCGGGTTGCTTGCTGGGCATCCTCGGCGGCGTGCTCCAGGGCGGTGCCGTCAATTTGGCCATGTTACAAACAGGCCGCTTCATCATGGGAACTTCTATCGGAATAATGGCCACCATGACGCCCATGTACTTGTCTGAGATGTCGAGTCCTCTATCCAGGGGCTGGCTGGTGGGACAACATGCCATCTTCCTCGTCTTTGGCTACATGCTCTCGGCCTGGATTGGCTATGGCCTCTATTTCTTGCCCAATACCTCGTTCAGTTGGCGCTTTCCTCTTTGTTTCCAAGTCTTCTTCCCACTCGTTCTCCTGGCTGGATCGCCTTGGGTGCCCCCTTCGCCTCGCTGGCTGATTTCCAAGGGGCGCCACGACGAGGCTTGGGGTGTTCTCGTGCGTCTCCGCAGGTCTAGTGAAGATCCAGACGATCTTGTGGCCAAGAAAGAGTTCCGTCAAATCAAGGAACAGCTAAAACTTGACCACGAGAAGCTGTCCGCTTGGGGAGGTAGCCCCTGGAAAGCAGTATTTGCCAAGAAGAGCTACCGCAAGCGTATGATCATTGGCTTCCTGACCCAGTGGGGTGCCGAGTTCGGTGGTCCCCTCATCATCGTGAGTTTGAATAGACACTATTCCCCCTCGAAACCGCACGCCCGATAAGTGCTGACAGGTCCAGAACAACTACTCTGTCATCCTATATCAAGGGCTTGGCCAGACCAGATCAATGCCGCTGCTTCTATCCGCCCTCTGGCTAACAACCGCCGGTGTTATATATAACCCTGGCGGGGCTTGGCTGCACGATAAGTTGAATTCCCGTAGATGGATGTTTATGACGGGTTTCACAGGTATTGCCATTACCACTTCTGGCTTGACAGCTATGATTGCATGCTTCGCCGGCACCGACAACAAGGTCGGGAACGCCATGGGCGTTGTCTTCATGTTCCTCTACCTATTCTTCCAAGGCACCTTTTGCGACACAACCATGTACATCTACGTGTCCGAGATCTTCCCTACCGAGATCCGATCTATTGGCATGGGGTGGTCCCTTTTCGGACAATTTTCCTGTAAGTTCGTCCTCATGATTCTTGTTAACACCTAATGCTGAATTGCAGTGTCCTGCTCAGCCACAATTATTCTGTTGCAGACTGCCCCGATTGGATTTGCTGCCGTCGGGTGGAAGTACTTCCTCTTGGTTATCTGCTGGAGCGTCGTCTTTGTCCCCATTATCTACTTTTACTTTCCAGAAACCGCACGGATGAGTCTTGAAGAGCTTGAGTAAGTGACTCCCTCATTCTTCGTATCTGAGGGGTAGCAAAACCTGTAACAAGTAGTCTTCTCTGCAGAAATATAATTTCAACACCAAAAAACAACAACATATGCCTAGCATTTACTAACGCGGATAACTGGACAGGAAACAGTTTGGTGACGAGGTCGCTGTGCATGATACCACTGCTTTAGGAACAGAGGAACACAGTGAGCAATAAGAAACGTCCCTGAGATCATAATCAATGGTGGAGAAACATGCAAAAATAGCATGGAATCAATTGGACTGAGTAAATCCAGGAGGCTACTGCAAGTGGGAGTGGCGAGGGACGAGCCCGCACGTATTCAGTTCAAGTACATTACTTAACCTTTATTGGTAAGTGCGTACAAGATTGCTAATTATATTTCTCTATATAAACTCATTATTCAAAATATGGATAGAAGAGCTCTCAAGACGTGAGGGACGTTGGAATCTCCCTGTAATTCACCCTGCGAGATGAAACGTCGATATACAGGCATAAAGTTTGATTAAACCTCCGCAGGAGCCTACTTGACTGAGGAGGTAGTGAATGGAATCATATGAGCCACTCGATAAGTTTTTGTATGTGACTATCTGCCTTGCCTGAAAGCATCTGAGTCAACGTGTCAGAACCTTGCTCACCCTCAGATACCTCTCCCACCACCCTATAAATAACTAGTATCTGAACATACAAAATTCATGTAAAATGGGGGTGTAGACTGCCATTCTTTCCGTGTCTTTGTCTGCGAGAATGTCATTGCGGCAGTGTTATTGCTCTCCCTCAGATTTAACCTCCCACTTCTTCTTAATTGTGTTCAAGTCAGACTGGAGCACGATTTGGTCATTGAGCAAAATCTCGAGAGTATCGACACTGTTAGAAAATTACGAGTATACAGCAGATATTTGAGAATTGATGCCGGGTAGCTACAGGGTATATTCGTGGAGTAAAGAGTAATAGAGTATAATAGGTTGTTATTGTGATATATTGTGAAAGTGTATGCATAGGTGTTGCGTGCCCCAGGCACACCGCCTGTGTGCTAGGTGCAGCGCTTGGGATATTGCCCATAGATAACCCTTCGGTAGCTGGAGCCTTTGGGACTTAGTCCCCATCATCATCCCCAATACAACCCTCTTGCCTGTATTGCCAACAGTAGGTTTGTATGTAGGTGTGTATTCCGGTATGTGCATCAATGTGTTATCTAAGTCTATCGAGAGGGGAATGAGGCTTTTACTTAAAAGTATGAGTTCACTGTTAGATTTCTTTATTACGAATCTAATTCCTTTATTAAGGCCGAATTTGTTCTTTCTTTATCTGTGAAATTCCTCAGTTTCTTTGTTTTAATCACTTATTCTTTGAATTTGTTTATTCCTTTATTATTTGTATTCTTAATAACGTCACCCACAGGTCATTGCCCCACACGGGTCTTTGCCCAACTTTTCAAGAAATCTTGACTTTCCATCTTTATTTATACAATTCTTCCCTTCCACAACATGGCACGCAAATCTAGTGAAGCTAATCTTCAATTAGCCATCCAAACTAAACGACGCGATCCTCACCTAAGTTGGAACAAGCTTGGTAAAATCTTCAAAGTCGACCATAAGACATTGAAGCGCCGTTACGAAGGCGTACAACCATTACACATTACTAACATGTCCAAACGGAAAATGACCGAAACCGAAGAGAATAAGATTACCCGACGCGTAATTGAGCTAGATTCGCGCACTTTTCCTCCCCGGCTTCGATACGTTGAAGAAATGGCGAATATCCTCCGACACGACCGCGACGCGTCACCCGTCGGCAAGAACTGGGCCTCAGCTTCGTACAGCGACAACCAGACCTCCGGACGCGTTTAAATCGTCGAATCGATTACCATCGGGCATTCTGCGAAGATCCTGTCGCGTATCGCGGTTATTTTAAGCGTGTTGCGGACACAATAGCGAAGCACGGCATCCAGCCGGAGGATATCTACAACTTTGACGAGACGGGCTTTTTAATGGGCATGATCTCAACCGGCATGGTCGTTACGAGTACCGAAAGACGTGGAAGGCCTAGGCAAGCCCAGCAAGGCAATAGGGAATGGGTTACTGTCATTCAGGCGGCCAATTCCCAAGGCTGGGCGGTGCCACCGTACATCATCTTCGCGGCCAAAGTTCACCTCGCTTCGTGGTATCGCGACACCACATTACCGGGCAATTGGGTCGTTGATCTATCCCACAACGGATGGACAACGAATGATATTGGTCTCAGCTGGGCAGCTCACTTCGATCTGCACACACGCGATCGTACGAAGGGTGTCAAACGCCTCCTGATCCTTGACGGTCACGAAAGCCATCACTCGATGGATTTCGAACAATACTGCAAGGACCATGGCATCATTACCCTTCCTATGCCTGCCCATTCGTCCCATAAGCTCCAGCCTCTCGACTTGGTGCCTTTTAGTGTTTTGAAACGGGCGTACGGTGTGTTTGTTGAGGGTTTGATGCGACGGCATCATACCCACGTTGCGAAGGAGGATTTCCTTGCCGGTTTTTTGGAGGGGTTTGGCGCTGCTTTTACTGAACAAAACATCAGATCTGGTTTCGAAGCAGCTGGAATTGTCCCTTTTGACCCCGACAGGGTTATATCTGCCCTGGATGTTGCAGAAGTCGCGCGTACACCCTCTGCCGACCCAGAACTCCTACCCCCTATTTGGACTTCTAAGACACCTACTACCACCCTTGAAGCCGAATCGCAGTCAACGTTGATTAAGAATAGCGTTCAGAGGCATCAAGAAAGCTCTCCGACGCATATTCTTCATTCAATTGACTCGATTGCAAAGGCTACGCATGCAATGATGCAAGAGAATGTTATCTTGCGTCGCGAGAACGAAGAGCTTCGTGAGACTAATCATGTGCTAAGCAAACGTCGCAGAACCAAAGACAAGCAAATACAGTATGGTGGGCTACTTAATATAGAAGATGCACAAGTTCTACGGGCTATTAGGGGTGATATGGGTTTGGAAAGTGAGGAAGAGGGTGAAAGTAGTCGTCCTACAAGGAGGAGGGCAACGGGTGCTAGGCGCTGTGGCATTTGCGGAGGAACTGGACATAATGCGCGAACTTGTCAGGCAGATGTAGAAACAGATAATGAAAAGAATTCTGATTAATTTCTTGGATGAATACGGGTTGTTGTTGATCTATCTAAGATTAAAGGTTGGGAGGTCGTGAAAAGTTGGGCAAAGACCCGTGTGGGGCATTGACCTGTGGGTGACGTTTACAGTTAAAGATTCTCTTATTTCTACATGTCGGCTGGTGTAGTTGGTCACTTCGCTGGTAGATAAGTCCCGATTTGAGCCTCGCCCACTTGGGTCGGTGACGAGTCGCGGGTTCGAATCCCGCAGCTGACACACAAGGGGGTTTAGTCAACCCTTACGGCGCGCTGCCCACCTTGTTGACTTCGCTTACCTAGCGATAATAGGGAGATTGGTGCAGTTTAGGATTACGAGCATCCTAGCCAGTCGACCGTCAAGCACTACGTCGGCGGAATATAACTCGACAGCCGGTCCAGAATTCGAATCGTTAATCCGACCCCTTATCGGACCTCGCCTATCCGATAACGCTCGTCGGCGAACCCGTCCCCTCACGATAGAAGGCGCGCAGCACGCCCTCTCGCCGCGATTCTTGCGAGCGTCTGACCACGTTACGGTCTATCCACTTGAGCGTATGGTTGAGATGTATACGCTCGACGAGAACCCCAATTAGCAGATACTACGACTTGTCGCGACAAAAAAATAGTCGAGCATCTTCTGCACATCAGCAGCATCCCACCCCTGAGGACGAATTTAAGTGCCACATTACCACACTTATCGGTAGTTCAGGCAGGGGTTGTAGCACAGACTTAGGGAGGGACAGGAGGTTTAGTAGTCATTTGGCTACAAGTTTACCTGTATAACCGCCCGACGCGGCTTAAGGGCCCGCTATATCATCTATAGCCCCTTAAGGGAGTACTTGTAGAGGTACCGAGGGTTAACACCTACGGCGTATTTAATAATATATTTCTACATCGGTAATAAAGCGGTCTCTTCTATTTAAGGAGAAATCCTTTATTATCCTATAGACACATGGTATTTGACTTTGGAAAAAAACGTCTAGGAATCTGGGCCGAGCTAGACTACGATGTCGGCCGCGTAACAGCTAAAACCTATCCTGAAAATTATCAACTAAGGGAAGGGTTGGCACAACCATGGATAAAGAAGACGTCACTAGCATGCCAACCTGACCGGAATTTTCGATTAGGATAGGAGCCTCGCGAGCAATGGAATTCTTAGTGCTTCAGAACGCGCTCAAAAATTCGTAGATGTTGGCAGAATGTAGACTTTGGTTTAATGTCAACAGGATAACATTGGACCTGGTGTTTGATGCTCATCATCTGCAACATGAGGCTTGGGGGATACTCCCCTTTTACCCCATCCCTGAGGTAGTCAATGCAGTTCTGTCAAGGGGAAGGACCTATAATCATGTTGACAGTAAGACGTATGGATCGGATGGATGGTTGGTCCTTGCCACTGGCTGGGGTAAAAGCTTTCTTACGAGTTCGGCGCCACAACTAGCACTGGAAGGCAAAATAACCCTGATCACTTTGAAACAACATCGGCGAAGACACATTTAAAATAAGCTCGTGGTCAAAATGCCGGTACGTCAAGGAGGGGTATCTAACAGCATATGAGCCCCCTTCTTCATCCCCACCTCTTCGGCCTCTTCGCTTCTTTTGATGATCCTATATAACAAAAATACCATTTCTGGCTTCATCATGACCAAAATTATTACTGTGACCGGAAGCACTGGTGCCCAAGGTGGTGTTGTTGTGAATGTAATGAAGAAGACCCCTGGCTGGCAAGTCTGAGCCATCACCAGGAAGTCAGAAAGTGATACTACGAAGAAGCTTTCTGAAGAGGGTATCGAAGTGGTCCAAGCAAGCTTACGATAAAGATTCTCCGGCCGAGGCGTATTCAAAGTACAGCTCGACATTGCTCCCTTGCGAATCCGCTCGGACACCACATCCGCAATATGCACAGGGCGTCCACGCCATATTTACCGTCACAAACTTGTGGGAACATCTGAACTTGGGCAAAACCGAAGACGAAGCTGGAGAGATCGGAGAGGATCGCGACATGAAGCTGGCCGGGGCCGCAGCGCAGACCCCTACCTTCGAGCACTACCCATGGTTCACCACACCAAGCGCAAAGCTTGAATCAACAACTAACATATCGTTCCTCACATTGAATGCAAGGCCAACGTGGATTCCCGGATCAAATTTGAGTTACTGGAGTCGGCCAAGAAGACGACATATCTCTACTGTGGATACTACCCGCAAACACTGGCTTTCTTCCCACTTCCCAAGCCTATCGAATACGCAAGTCGCCCCCCTGTTCTGCCTATAGGTAATGGCAACATATGACCGTGGACAACACAACAATAGAAAGTATATCCAAGTCGTGCCGACCAAGCCCGACGCCAAAATCCTCCTCCCGAGCGACATGACCGTCAACCCAGGTATTTGGGTCTGCCAAGCCTTTGCCAACGTACTGAGCACCTTTGGTCGGTATGCCAATGTCGCTCTGGAGAAGTGAACCTTCCAAGAGATAATAGAAGTCTGATCGAAGGTCATGAGAAAGACGGGCGCCTTCTGTCAAGTGCTCTCTGGAGGCCTAAACGAAGCTTTGGGTCCCTGCCGGCAACGAGATTGGACTCAGTTATAGCACGGCGAATTTTGTGATCTTCAAGAAGAGAAGGAGCCATTTTGGGGCGTTAAGGACCTCGGGACCGATATAGATGAGGTGATTGGGTTCAGTAGAATGATCGAGGGGCTGAAGTACCTGTCCTAGGGAGTTGGTCATCTCCCAACATGTCATGAACATGGACGCTGTTGTTGCTTGGACCTGGCGGGGACAAGGCCTCATGTTTTTCTGTCTTTTGCTTTGAACCTTCCGGTGTCGAGAACGTCTGGCGGTGGCATATGATGTTCTATGAACAGATATATATACAGTGTAAGGTGAAGCTTTTTCCTCATTAGAAAGTAGGGTGTGGGTTTTATCAAGCAAAGTGTCGCATGACGTGAGAATCTTCGAACTCTGAGACTATCATGTGGTCGCAGAATCTGTTTGGAAAACGAGAAAAGTATGCCTGGAATGGTTGCTATGCACACTGTTCCTCCTACCACTGACTCTGGACTGGCACTGGATAGCGTTCTGGTGGTCGAGTTGCCCCCGAGACATTCTGAGGTAAGCTCCACCCCAAAACCGATGCAATGCAAGCCCAAGCATCAAACCAGTTGCAGCGAAACATATTATCATGAATTGGGTCTTCCATCGGCATAATTAGGCACCCATTGATGTCGAGACTTGTCATAAGTTGTCACCAAGAACCCCTCCAGCTGTTAACCCAAGCCCCACCATCACCAGTACTTCGACCTTTGACTTTTGTCGCAACTTCTTTCGTCGCCTCTTCCTCCCTCCCCTCCCAATTGGTAGTCTCAACCATAAAAGTCCCTCTTTTATCTCGACACCTATCCATAAATTAATACTTGTGCTGCTCAGCCTTGGAGCCCAACACCGACGAAAAGTGGAGACGAAACAACTCACTGCCGAAACCAACGCTGCACCTCCAAACACCTGACAGGACTGGACGCTTGCTCAGGTTTGTCAATGGTGCACTCATACTGCATCATCGAGAACAGCTTGCACTTGGCCAGCTCAATATCGCCGCCCTTGCGCTTCCGGCCCGTCAGATCCGTTTGGATTTCGGATTCCAGCGCATCGGATGCGAAGACGCGGCACGGTGGTGTCATCTTGCGTTTGTGGCGGGGAAGATCATTCAACGGTCTGATAGCATACGAGGACAGGCTTGAATGAGAGATTGAAACAAAATGGATGCTGCGCCTGCGCAACACGTTGGTGCGCGATTGCTGGGCGAAATCGAAGAGGGTAGTCTCGATGAGGTAAGTTGGATCGCTTTCTGCTCTGGTGCTTGGCTTCAATTCGTCAACGCTGGAGTTGAAGTCGTCACACCTGACATGGGACAAAGCTTCACCACTCCGCCTCACTGCGTTATCTTATCGCCTATTTCACCTCACTACACCCAACTACATCCCCGTCTCGTAACTTAACAGCTAACCGCTATTAAACAACAGCTTATCATGGTACTTCGCACTTCAAGTCTCCTTACCAAATCGTCCTCTCACCCTCCCCTCCCCTTCCCAGCTCTCTCCGCCCTCGCATCCCGCTACCAGAAAGCAACCCAATCTGCCCCTCCCCCCATCCTCTCGCTCACCGGCCGCTACCTCGCCTTCCTGTACCACCTCATCTCCACCCTTATCGCCGCACCGCACTGCTACGCCGTCGTAGTCGTCGATGCAGACTACCGCTTTGATGTGACACGTATCGTTGTCCGAAATAGCAATGATAATGGCAGCACTAGCGGTGCCTCGTTCCAAAATCCGCAGTCAGACGACGGGAAGGTGAAAGTGAGCAGCTCTTACCCCGCCACCACGCAAGACCTGAAGCACCTCTACGTCTACCGCCCTGCCCGCTCACCGGCCGCTGTCAAGGCTGCGGTGTCGTCTGCAGCCGAATACATGTTGTACGCGGCGCACGGGAGTCGGGATCGGGCCTGGTGGGGAACCGTTGTCATCAACGGTACTGGGGGCGACGTGAATGCGATTTGGAAGGGCTGGCTTGAGGTCAGGCGGGAGGAGATTGCTGGGTTCGGGGTGGGTATGTGTGTGGAGGAGGCGCTTAAGGAGCGGGAGAAGAGGCAGGCTACTGCGGATGCGCGTGGGTGGGAGGCGGTTGCGGCTGGGGGTAGATTGGGGGTGTATCGGTGGGATGGGTGACGTTGGTCGGCGATCCGAGGTCATGGAATGAGCTGTATGGGAATTTTTCAGACAAGGTCGTCGAGATGTTTGAACACGGTAAGATGGTGCGTGTGAGTACGGAGTCTATGAGGTACCCGCAGTGCTTTTACTTGCCATCCCCAAATCACCAATGCTGTAATGACGATATTTGTCACCCAAAAACATGTTTCAAGACGGGACTGAGATATTCTTTGATCGATGAAATCCACTCTGATGCAGCTGTTCCCTTACCCATGGTTTATCATGATCTGAGTTCAATTGATGCTGACCTGTTGTATTTAGGAACCCACGAGGGTTGCTGGGCACGTGGGCCATAGTTATGTTCAGTCAATTCCATGATGTTGATTCGAACGGCTAGCCGATTCGCTGTATGTAAGTAGCTCACTAATATCACTACTGAGATGCCGATCGCAGTGCATAATTACAAGTTTTTAGGAGTCCTGCGCTATGATATATTGAATTTACTCATTAGTAGACGTAAGAACCGCTATTCGGTGTGGGACAACCAGTACTACGTACAGGTGCAGCTGTTGAAGCCTGACTGTTACCCCAAAGAATTATACAAGACCTCGGTGATCCAACCCATGTACCTGTCTCCTCAATCCTATTTCTTCGGAGTACCCGCTTCTTTAGCCGTGGGGACACTTAGCACCTGCTCGCCCGACTCTCTCCCCTTGATCCGCTTATAATAAACCTTTAAGTTCTCCAGCCCAGCAAGGCCGTCTTCCACCTGAAAAATATCATGCAGCACAGGCCAGAAGGCAAAGTCAGCAAGTGTCATCGACGATCCAGCAATGAACTCCGCCTCTCCTGCATACCCCTCCCAAATATCCAATTCGCGCTTCAACTCTCTGATATTCTGGCTCGCTCTATGCTTGTCTAGCACGCCAAGCCCCTGTTGGAACCGGGCGAACTGTCTCGCAAGCTCGGGCTGAGATACCGTCTCGCCGCCCTTACCATATACGCGGTCGAGGTACATCATAATGGCGATATCGCCCTGGACTGCGGACTTGCCCAAATCATTATCCACGAATTTGATAGGCAGGCTCTCAGGCACCGCTCCGGCGGCGTCCTTGGATCGCTTCGCGTTTTTCCAGTTGAACAGGGGCGACAGGCTCCCCTTCGCATACCCGACCCCAAACTCAGCCAGCATCAACTGAATGCGCATATTCACCACCTTATCACCGGACGTGAACAGCCGCGGCGAAGCTGAGATATGCAGCACGTCGAACCCGATGCCGTAGAAGGTATCCCAATCAAAGTCAGCCGACTGGTTCTCCCGCCCAAACGCCTGCAGCATATTGATCGCCTCGGGCGTCTGGCCGTTAACTACCTCGTGTGCCTCGCCCCTCGTCTTGGCCTTGGCACCCTGCCCCCAGATCAGCCTGCTGTCGCGGTCCAGGAAAGTTCCTATCTGCCTGAACGTTAACGAAATGCGACCGCCGTCATACGCGAGCTCCGCCTCGGACTTTTCGCGGTCAAGGCGCTTGTCCTGCCGAATGGCGTGCAGCCAGCGCTCGTTGGTCTTCAGGCCCATTTGGCACATGGAGTTATGGGGCAGCTGAGCGCGTTGCACCTCGCGTTTTGGGCCTGGTGCCGTAGCGGACTCGGGCTTGGGGGTATCTGAGTCGTGGACCTTGGGTGGTCGTTTCGTTCGTAGGACCATGGTGCGTTCTGCGCCTAGACTAACGTTGACGATGAAGCTGCCTTTTGCGATATCAAGAGTCTTGTCGCTGTGCTCTGAGATGTAGTCGTTTCCATCACGGTAAAACTGGATCAAGGCGTGGTTGAGGGGGTGACCCACACGCTGCTGGACAATCTCTTTGATCTCATTGACTGTAGGTGAAAACGGGAGCAGTGGCGGTGATTCATCTGATGGATGTCGGTAAATAGGCATGCTCCCGTCATTGTCGACCTGCCCTTGAACGGCAACGAGTCTTGGTACTTCGCCTCCTTGATGCGACATTCTCTGCCAGCGCACCTCATCTCTTATCTTATCGAATATGTTGTTCGATAGTGGCTCTAGAAGAACGTTGTACACGATCTTGGTGTCTCCTTCGCATAATGGCTCACTCTCACCCATAAGGCTCTCTTCACTTGAATCCATTGCAGCGTGGCCTTCTACCCTATTTTGAGGCTCGTCTTTGAAATTGAGTGTGCGCTCCATGTCGTCAGCGATCGTGTCTAAACCATCCATGCCTCGAGATTCTTTGCCCGATGTGTTGAGTTTTTCCCTTGTCAATCCTGATTTCTTTGCATCGATTCTTTCTCCGTCTTTTGGGTGACTCGAATTTGACCCGTCTTTCTCGACTACACCGTTTGTTGGCTTCAAAAGTGATGTTTCCACATACTTCTCGACTTTTCCATATGTGCCACTCTGCGGCTGAGCCTTAGTCTCTTTGCCTCGCGCTGTGTTGGCCAACTCATCTTGTGAGTCATCTCCGGAATTTGCGTTCAGATCGTCGTCTGGAGAGTTCTTGACACTTCTCGCTGCTAACTTTTCTTTCATGAAGCGCAGACGCTCACTAAATAACCAGTTGTCGGCGGGCGGAGATGCCGGTGCCGTGCGCGCTTCAGGCTTGGGCCGTCTAGGCGCATCGTCTCCGGAATCGGGCGCATTCAAGTCGTCATCTGGAGATGCTTTGAAGGCATTTTCTGGTATCTTTGCTCTCATTGCCCTGAGACGCTCACTTTGTGACCGTGTCTGATTGGTTGGTGCTCTGGCTGCTCTGGCCGGACCTGGGAGCTCGGCCTCGTCGGCTACGGCATTACCGTTGTTAGGGACACTCGAGCTATCGCCCAGAGGAGCCTTGGGTTCATTGATAGAAAGCCTTTCTCTTGTAAGCTTCAAGCGCTCTTGCTTTAACCAATTTCGGTCTGGTGGCGACGTAGCCTTCGCAGGGCCTGGAAGTTCAGGCAGTTCAGTTGGTGGCTTAGCATCTAATGACAACTTCGCAAGCGCTGAGTCAAGGTCTGACGCCGACGCCGATAATTTGCTCTTCTCTGGGAGCTTGCCATCAGAATCGGCGAGAGCCTTACTTTGTGTCTCTTTTGCGCCCTCAAATTCTCCCTGTGGACCATTTTCCAATTTGGGCGAGGGGTTCCAGAGCTCCAGCAGAGTTTCCCTAGTAATTGCTACGCAACCCGTGTGCTCAGTGAATTTTCTCAGCGCATTGTTGTGGCGCATCAAACTCCGGTGTCCACAACAATCTTCAATGATAGTGATGTCGAATCCGTGACTGGCGGCGTCAATGGCGGTCGCCAACACACCGACATTGGTCAGAGAGCCGCAGATGTACAACTCCGTCACGATCCTCATTCTTAATCGCCGCACGAGCTCTTCCGACCTGAAGGCAGAATAGAATGACTTGACCGACTGCAAATCCTTCTTTTCTATAATCTCCTTGATTGCTGGATGGAAGTTTGATCCGGTGCTGTCTGGGCGCACACATTCCGGCGTGCCCGGCTTTCCTGAAAGAAACCCTTCTGGACAATCAGAGGTAGTCTGATTGTGAGGATTGGCCTGTGGCCTTCGGCCTCGAGGTACGGCGCGCCGAGCTCCAGCCATCGGGCTGTCTGAAGTCAGTATTTGTTCGCTGTTGACAGGCCTTGGCCGTTCGAACTCGCTGCGGACCCAGACGATAGGACCATGTGGCCGAAAGTCCCGGACGAGTTGGACGATGCGATCCGTCAAACCGGTGGGATTTCCAATATATAAGGCGCCATCTTCAGATAAGAAGTCATTTTGAGCATCCACGACGATCAGGGCTTTGCGCGTGCTCAGCCGCGGGAACATGGATGCATCGATGGGCAGCATGATGGCGGCTTTTTCAACATGAAGATGATGGAACTATAATCGATGGCGATAAAGCTGTTTTCTGCATCAGAGGAAGACATGAGCATGTGCCTAGGTTATGCTCACATGAGGATGAAGAGGCCTAAGTGTAGTCGACGTCCCCCATAGTGTCGCGATCACAAGCGCGTTAGATTCCGCGACCCCTCGAGACTGTGGCGAATAGAGGGATCCTGATAACAGACTCCCGACAACCTGAAGGGGAAGGCAGCTGAAGGGATTGTTCATGACATATATTAAGGCGCGATACGGACTACTTTAGATCTGCCAATACATGCGACACAGGTAAACTCTATTTTCAAATGCGAGATAGCTCGGTCGCACCACATGAGGGCGGGGGCCGAAAAGCTGCAGGGGCAGGCAAAGTTTAAGGGTGAACAAACCACCATTCTTCTCGCAATCAAGGTTACCTCCCGGGACATTTGGGGTTACCATCGAATAACTAAGAGGTCAAGCAAAATGGTAAAAGTCCTCGGAGATATTTGAGATAACAACTAGGTACTGGCCGTGAAAGCTGGTCGTTCTAAAACATGTAAATGGCGAGAGCCGGGCGATTCCCGGCGCATTGCAACATCCTGAGGTTGTCGCAAGAGCGTCCCTTGTCGTCAGTCGTCAACCACAACAGCATCAACACTAGGGTAAACACCAACTCAACACATGCCAATTCACTTAAGGATCAAGTTCCAAGAAACTTTGAGAGTATTATTGTACGACGAAAGGTCGAGAATCGTATGAAACTGGGAGCATCCGTCTTCAAGCCATCGCGGCTGTCAGTACCCGCTTGTCAACGTTGACTCCCGTATCGAGGCTGCGAATGCCACACAGTTGAATGTGGATGTGCAGATGATCAATTCAGTCTAATTCACTGCCGGCTGAAAGCTACTTGCGATCTTGCCCCGTACTTTCGCTCTCTTTTCTCTTGATTCGTCCACTAATATGTCTATGTTAGTATAACAACCCGGCGACTATTGAACGCCCTTCAGGTGCCTCTCGTTCTGCTAAAGACGCCACATCTATTGATACTTGGTTCGATCTAGTTGCCAATACCCAGATCATTCCCTTTTCTATACCTCTAAGCCAATCCTGTGACAACATACCAAAAACCACTTAGTCAGTCCCCTTTAGGCTCGCACTTCGACGAGACTCGGCCGCCTGTTTCTAATCCTGTGGATATGCGAGCTACTCAGCAAAGTATGCAAACCACTCAACTCTGCGAGAATATCATGGAAACCCGGACGTTTAATGACGTTGGTAGATGCGCATCTTTTATGCAGTGCCTCGAGTTGCATGTGGGCCCTCAATTCCGTTCCATTGAAACCCGGCTTGATTAAGCCCCATACATCTTCAAGTAGGTGCGCGAAGCCGAGTACCTCGAGTCGCTCCACTGGATAAGCCGTGCCCGCGTAGATGGATGCAGCTCCAAAATCGCCTAGTAAGGCATGGCCATCCTCGTTGTACAGGATGTTGTGGGCATACAGATCGCCGTGAGAAACCCCCTTCTCGTGCAAGTGGACAGCAGCGGCCGCGATGCTCATCAAAATCCCCAGCCCTTGATACGTACTTAGTCCCATGGAAGGCAAGAAGCAATCCCGGGTGCAGGTTTGCAGTGACGGTGGAAGGCCCAGAGTAGAGTAGTTTGGGGGAATGAGCTGCATGACGAGCCCTTTCTTGTTTGGATGATCGTGAACTTTGCCTAGAGGATCGATGAGATTGTCATGGGCTCCGGCCACGATGCACGCCCGCATCTCGTCCACTGGTGTGCCATCACTGGTGATATCGCCTTTAAATAGTTTCACAGCCACATCATGCTTCTGTCCATTGACTTTCCATATGCCCTTGGAGATGATACCCGAGGCGCCCTCTCCCAATAACTCTTGGACTTCGAGATCCGACCAGGATACTTGTGCAAGGCTGGGAGAGGGGATGGACGATGTACCAGATGCCGTAGAGCAGGGGTTGTCAGCGAAGGAAAGAAACGAGAGTTCGGGCATCTGAAAGAGCCAGCTTGGCAAGGTCTCGATACGATTAGCTGACAGTCGAAGTAGACCCAACTTCTGGCATGCCATCATTTCCTCGGGCAGGTCGTGAAGCTGGTTTTCTGAGAGCATGCATTTTTGCAACCGCGAGCACTTGCCAATGCTCTTTGGCAACTTGGTGAGCGCGTTGTTGGTGAGTATCAACCAGCGTAGTCGGGGCGGAAGAACATCCTCGGGGATATCCTCCATGCCATTATCCCGGAAGGCCACCATCTCCAGCGCAGGACATGATGCCAACTCTTTTGGGAACACAGTAAAGTTGCAGTAGGAGAAAAATGCAATCTTGAGTTTCTTCAACCTGCTGATTTCCCGTGGCAAGCTGGAAAGGCCGGTTCCCGAGACGTCTAGCTGCTCGAGGGTGTCGGCATGGTCCAAGATTGAGAAGGGAAATGTGCTGAGCGGCTCTGTGATTTTGAGCTTCTTAATGAGCCCGCTTGAGCTCGCCATTTTGCGATTGGGATGTTGTGGAGTCGGCTTCCTGGAACTTGTTCAGTGAAGCTTGTTGAATGGGCCTCGAGATGTGAGACAGCCAGATCACCACCAATTGATAAGAGCCACAAACCCCTTTTTATCGCTCACCGCATTGCGCTGGCTGTTTGTCTCATAATCTGACTCGATATGTAGTCAAGCAGGTCTTCGTCTTCTATTAGGAGAACAATTCTAACATTCAGAGCTGAAATAAGCTGCCAAGAAGTATGACTTGAGGACCAAATAATTATGAATTATCGACGTGTTGGGTTGCACATAACGTGAATGTACACCGAGCTGGCCACCCTTACATAACCTCGCAAATAAATTTTACGATAGTAAAACCACAACGCCGTAAATCAATTGAAACTACTCTGAATCTTCCTCTCCAGAAGATGGCAATGCGATCTTACAAGTTCGCGCATTATGCCCAGTCCCGTTGCAAATACCACAGCGCCTCGGGCGCGTTTCAACACGCTTTGCGCGACCACCATTTCGGCGCTCTTCTTGCTGTATCTGCGTCGCCAACTCCCTAAAGTCCCGTAGGTCCTGTCCTTCTTGGAAAATAAGTGATTCTCCTTCCCGTAATTGCATTTTTTTAGTCCTCCGGCGCCGGCTTAGCATCTTATTTGCCTCTCGAAGCTCAGCGCACTCGGCCCGTACGAGGGCGAGCTCGTGCATTATCATTTTTGCTCCCTTCGCAAACTGGTCGACAGCTGAGAAAATATTCGTCGGAGAGCTATTCTGATGCTCGGAGATGCGCTTTTTCAAAAGTAGACTGTGCATGAGCCTCTATCGGGTTCTGTGGCGTCTTTGATACCCACGGTCGGGTTGCGATTTCTGGGGAGCCAACAGGCGTCGGGGTCCGTAATCGTACGTCCAGCTTTGAAATCACACTTTCTGGATTGAATGGAACAAGCCCTGCCCTTCGAAAGCCAGCTTGAACGTTTTTTTCGCCGAAAACTGCAAAGAAGGCGTCTTTGAAGATAGGAAAGAAGTCCTCCTTCGCAATATGTGTTAGTGACCGGCGTATCAATTTCTCTACCATCTGGCCGTACACCCACTTTAATGGACCGAAACAGGCCACGTCAAGTGGCTGGAGGATGTGAGATGAGTGCGGAGGCAAACACAAAGTTACAATTTTGTGTTCTTTGCAATATAGCTCGAAATCGCCGGAAACGTGGCTCTCGTGACCGTCCAACACTAACAATCGATATATCCCGGACTTTCCATATTTCGTACAATTATCGACGTGTTTAATAAATTCCGTCGGCTGGTGTAGTTGGTCACTTCGCTGGTAGATAAGTCCCGATTTGAGCCTCACCCACTTGAGTCGGTGACGAGTCGCGGGTTCGAATCCTGCAGCTGACACACAAGGGGGTTTAGTCAACCCTTATGGCGCGCTGCCCACCTTGTTGACTTCGCCTACCTAGCGATAATAGGGAGATTGGTGCAGTTTAGGATTACGAGCATCCTAGCCAGTCGACCGTCAAGCACTACGTCGGCGGAATATAACTCGACAGCCGGTCCAGAATTCGAATCGTTAATCCGGCCCCTTATCGGACCTCGCCTATCCGATAACGCTCGTCGGCGAACCCGTCCCCTCACGATAGAAGGCGCGCAGCACGCCCTCTCGCCGCGATTCTTGCGAGCGTCTAGACCACGTTACGGTCTATCCACTTGAGCGTATGGTTGGGATGTATACGCTCGACGAGAACCCCAATTAGCAGATACTACGACTTGTCGCGACAAAAAAAATAGTCGAGCATCTTCTGCACATCAGCAGCATCCCACCCCTGAGGACGAATTTAAGTGCCACGTTACCACACTTATCGGTAGTTCAGGCAGGGGTTGTAGCACAGACTTAGGGAGGGACAGGAGGTTTAGTAGTCGTTTGGCTACAAGTTTACCTGTATAACCGCCCGACGCGGCTTAAGGGCCCGCTATATCATCTATAGCCCCTTAAGGGAGTACTTGTAGAGGCACCGAGGGTTAACACCTACGGCGTATTTAATATTATTTTAATAAATTCCATACCGATCTCGTTAGTCGTACATCCTTTTGGACTAGGTCTAATTCTCCAATCTTTACCGGTAGACTGGACCGCTTGGATTACGGTAACCCATTCCCGGTTACCTTGCTGTATTGATTTCGGCCTGGCACGTCGTTCGGAGCTCGTAACTACTATATTGGTTGAGATCTTGCCCATCATAAACCCAGTCTCGTCGAAGTTGTAGATGTCCGACTCTTGGATACTGTATTTCGCGATAACATTCGCAACATGCCGAAACCAATCTGCAATAAGCTTTGGATCTTCGAATTGGGCCCTTTGGTAATCGTAAGGACGGTTCCAACGAGTTTTCAACTCTTTGCGACGTGCGACGAACCTCGAGGCCCAGCGCGTTCCAATGGGCCCTGCGTTACGTGTCGCGCGGATAGAATTTGCCATTGCTTCCACATCAGCAATCCGGGGCGGAAACGCTCGTGCATCTAAGTCCAGTATATGCTTGATAATGACCTCCTCTTCTAATTCTGTCATAGTTCGTGAATTGGGCAAAATATCGCGTCGGAAAAGTACGCCGTTTTTACGCGTTTGGAGGGTGCTTCGGGGGACTTGGTACGTTTTTGCCGCTTGTCGGAGACTAAGTTTTTGGTCATTTTTGAGAGCTTGAAGGGCTAGCATTAAGTCTGCTTCGTTGTATGACTTTGCCATAATTGGTTGTTGAGAAAATCAAAGATTAAGTTGGCCGGTCGCGTTGGCGCATCAAAGTGGCCAGCTCGGTGTCATGGCCAGCTCGGTGTACAATCACGTTATCTAAAGTTACTATTTTTTTCTTAGATTTCAAAGTTCATTTAATTAACTTGATCTTTAATTAGTAAGCAGAACCTTCAGATGTAACTCTACTTTCAGATACACTATATTTCTTATGTTTTTGCCTGAATATATATTTCAAGGCTTGCTTTTACAGCTTTTCGTTAGCTTATTATAATAGAAAGTTGTAGTGTTTAGGTCGGAGATTCTGAGATGTGTGGTGTCTTGTTGACCCCACTTCGGCGTGGGGAAGCAGTCGCCACGGACCATTACCCATCCATCGGCATTTCAAAATACCGACCACCGTCGCTCTTTCCTCTGGAGCTTCATTGCCCATCGTTCACGGCTTCACAGCAGCCTAGATCAAACCGATTTGCGTGACTTTGCATTTGGCAGCGCCTGCCGCACCCACTTACCAAAACATTCTTGACAAGAACACCTATAATTTGTCAGACTTATCAGACGCTACCATCTCTCACTGTCGCTATCGATCTTCTCTTCGGGCCCTATATTGCGGCAACGCGACTTGCGGCCTCTCACCAAGAGCCCTCCCCACCAATCTACCTATATCGTGCCTTCGCGAAGAGACACAATATGGATTTCTGGACTCCAGTTGAGAAACGACCCTCTTCGAACGAGCACAACGACAAGAGTGATCGCGCAAGCAAACGCCAGCGTACAGAGACCCTGGAACCCGAGCCAATGCCAGGTACCGTCGGTGCTCTGGAACAAGTAAGAAGGCCTCAGGCAGATGATGGCATGAGACAGGGTCTGCGAAGAGGGATTGCTCTTGCGCTACAGCACGTTGGATTCGACTCTGCAACTGAAGAATCCTTGGAGAGTTTCACCGCAACTGTCGAGACATGTAAGTTAGACGTCAGCAGGGAGGTTCGTATTTGGTCTATGCTAAATCTATTCTGCAGACCTGGCTACCTTCATTGAACACACCAAGGTCATTGCGGAAGCTTCACGCAGAGAATACCCAACACCTGCCGACTTTGAGACTGTGCTTCGACGCCACAATATACCTATCTCTTTCCTGAAGCCACACCTCAAGAACCCAGTAGCGAGGGAGAAGCTGGAGCCGGACTACTACGACCCGATCCCAATCCCCGAGAACGCAGATTACTTCCGAGCGGAAACGATAGACTTTCTAGGCGAGGAGCTTGATGGCAACGATGACAGAAAGGATAAGCCTTGGATCCCCAAAACAATGCCTGCTTTCCCCAGCAAGCACACATACAAGTCTACCATGGTAGAGGCTCCTTCTCAGGATACGCAGAAGAAACGGGCCGAGGCATCAGCGGACGCAAGGAAGGGCGAAAAGGCGCTGAGACGTATTGATCGAGCCGCTAAGATCAGCCGCCATAAAGAAGCCAAGGAGATATCGAAGCGCAACCCACTGAGCAAGGAACGGTACACTTATTGGGAGGACATGATGAAGGTGTATTCCCCGCGAGATGCATCCTCCAGCGACATAACGCAGGAAATCGCAGATCATAGTGTGATCGTGGATTACACACTGCCGTTTGCCAGGAAGGAGCTTCCAAGAGTGAGCACCAGAGGCACTGCGTGATGGAATTTGAGAAGCGGCTAACGAGGCTACACAGGAGAATCGTGGTCGGCATCAACCCAAGGCTTGATCGACAGATTATACTGGTTCTCGTCCGTTTATATTCGTCTCCCCCATAACTTCGTTTGCGCAAACTTTAACCATATTCCTGACTTGGGGGGGGGTTGTGGTCTGAAGAGCTTGATGGAATAGCGTCAGGATTGGATGGCAGAGAGTGCCTGCTAATTGTAATGTTGATGACCTTCGACAACCGAACGCCGCGTTGATGGAGAATATTCGGAAATACGTATTGGACTGACCTTTACATGGTCCGGCGGCACATTGCCTTGTTTAGGTAGGTATTAGGTGTCATAGCATTGGCTCGGTTTGGCACTGGCGTTCGTAAGCATTGGCAGCATTTGCATTGGAGCGTTGATTTCAAGATACCCCCGGTACTGGTACATGGGAGTCAAATATTCGTACCTTGGGCAAAAGATCTTTGATAGCACTCCTTGGGAGACAAGTAAACGAATTGATTCTGTTATTTCAAATATACTGGAACTGTTCGAGACATACTGTCTAGCAAGCCACATCAAAATGTCCACCTCCAAAACTGCTTAACTAAAGGTATCATTATGAGGCATGAAGCCTATGGAGAAGCTTTGACCAGCTCTCTTACCTGTTCAGACTGCGCTCTATCCTCAAGTTAATGCTGATTGGCCACTGCCCCGCAAGGCTGACATCCAAACCCTGCAGACCAGAGGTTCCAAAGCGGCTAGCGATTACCTGACCCTAAAACAATCCCACACAAATTTTGCCGAAAAATTGGGAAGTCGCAGTGACCAGCTCGGCCTTGCCAAACATCTTAATTCGACATTTTCACGCCCTCCCCTCCAAATCAAGCTCTTTCCCCCTTCGACAGACTTGAAGCAGACCGTGACAATGGCTGAGCAGCTGATCTTGAAGGGCACCCTCGAGGGCCACGTAAGTTCGCCCTTCCGCCTATTCGCCGCGACCGCAGAAAGATGCAATGCGCTTGCTCTGCATCGCACCGTGCAAGTTACGATGGCAGTAGCTAACATTGCGTTTAGAATGGCTGGGTCACCAGCTTGGCCACGTCGATGGAGAAGTAAGACAACCGAACAAACCTGCCGGCTACATTGGATATGTGCTGGATTACTGACCGAATTCCTCTAGCCCCAACATGCTCCTGTCCGCCAGTCGTGACAAGACCCTGATTATCTGGAACCTGACCCGCGACGAGTCGCAATACGGCTACCCCAAGCGATCTCTCCACGGCCACTCCCACATCGTCTCCGACTGCGTACGTTTATCTGTCTATCTTACTGCTATGAGAACGGGAGACGGATCGAGGTTGTGGAATTGGAAATGAAAGACTGACGGGATTGGTGCGTTCAGGTCATCTCCTCCGACGGTGCCTACGCTCTGTCTGCCTCGTGGGATAAGACTCTGCGCCTGTGGGAGCTCGCTACCGGCACCACCACCCGCCGATTTGTCGGCCACACCAACGACGTTCTCTCCGTCTCTTTCTCCGCCGACAACCGCCAGATCGTCTCCGGTTCCCGCGACAGGACCATCAAGCTGTGGAACACCCTGGGTGACTGCAAGTTCACCATCACCGACAAGGGCCACACCGAGTGGGTTTCTTGCGTCCGCTTCAGCCCCAACCCCCAGAACCCCGTCATTGTCTCCAGCTCTTGGGACAAGCTTGTGAAGGTGAGTCCCACGCTCCACTGCATGCGCTGGAAAAACGTCGGATCTGCGAATGCTTCACATGATGTATTGCAACAAAGTATTTGCTACTTCAGAGCTTGCTTCGGCTTGCCATGAGACTACTTCACACCATTGCCCTGATATTGAAGCGCAAATCTACGGTTTTCTAGCGGTGAACCAATTCTCAGTAGACTAGCATGCTAACTCGAGTGACTAGGTCTGGGAGCTCTCTACCTGCAAGCTGCAGACCGACCACATTGGACACACCGGCTACATTAACACTGTCACCATCTCCCCCGACGGTTCTCTATGTGCTTCCGGTGGCAAGGACGGTACCACCATGCTGTGGGACCTTAACGAGTCCAAGCACCTCTATTCCCTGAACGCCGGTGACGAGATCCACGCCCTGGTCTTCTCTCCCAACCGATACTGGCTTTGCGCTGCCACGGCTAGCAGCATCATCATCTTCGACTTGGAGAAGAAGAGCAAGGTCGACGAGTTGAAGCCTGAGTTCCCCTCGGTTGGTAAGAAGAGCCGAGAGCCCGAGTGCGTGTCGCTCGCCTGGAGTGCGGACGGCCAGACTCTGTTCGCTGGTTACACCGACAACATCATCCGCGCGTGGGGTGTCATGTCGAGAGCATAGTAATCTCTTGATTTGAAGCTGGAAAAACGCTGGGGTGGACTGGACTCTGAGAACCGGGGCACGTCATTGACTAGGCGTATGGATGGGCTTGTCATTTTCTACATGGTCTTTGCAAGAGGGAAATGATGACAATCACATATTGATTGATATGCAATGAGATCAGAAGAGGCTGCGTTTCTGCGCATCAAGAGCTGCTATTGCATCCTACCCAATGTGAAGAGAACAAAAAAAATTCGCAAACCATCGTGTTCGGTCCCCGTATGTGAAGACCTTTTCTCAGCCATATTAGTGACGGTTGTCAAGCTGCGATCCATTGCTGTACCGGATGTGGACCCTGAATATCTCACATCGGAGGAACCTACCTATCCGGCGCAAGTTGCTCGAGGTCTCGCTATACTGTTGACATCGTCCACCCTCGACTTGTGTTTGAGCTGAGTAGCTCGATCAGGTGCTATTCATCTACTGTTTCATGGTGCATGAGCTCTGCTGGTCATTTGGAAACAACATGCAAAAACAAGTCCGACCTTGCCGGTTGAAAACCTTTACAAAAACGATCTTATCCGGCGCGTCCTAGTTACCATCCATACATTATTCAATGAGCAGAGACCCCAAGGTCTTAAACTATATTGCGGCCCTTAAGGGGATTCAATTTACACAGCACTTTGCTTCCAACGAAGAAGGCGACCAAAAATGACCACCACACTTTCACTTCGAAAAGATTTCATCATAGAATAATAGCTGGACCATTTAAACCACGTGGACCAGGGCCGAAGTCGACGATTGATCACCTCAATCTGGATCATCACAGTGCCTTCACTCGGGTAGTGCCGAAAGCTCTGTCGACTGAAATAACGGAGTTTGCGATGGCTCAGCCACTTCCTGTCAAATTCTCAATTCCTTCGCAAGACAAGCCCAGGTAGGCAATCTGCAACGTGGCTATCCCACTGGTCAACACGTGGAACTCTGCAAGGGCGCTCTTGATAGAGCAAGGGCATTCAGAGTCGCCTTTTACCCTTCCATAGTGCAGTTTGAGACATCTGTAAGCAGGTCAAACTGTTCCTGGTACCCGCGAAATTAAAAATTACCCGTCCTCAGTTGCTAACAACCATTTCATGATGCTGAAATTAGAAACCGCCAATGTGATATGCGTCTTATCGAGATGACAGCAGTAGCCGTTCATCGGGTCGCAGTTGCTCTGTACCAACTCGATGATATAGTTCACTAGGGAGAAATAGACTGTTTCATCTCCTGAGAAGCGCCAGCGGAGCGGCATGAGTTTCTGCCCGGCAAATGGCACATAATAGACCCGTTTACACCTAAACCAACGCCTGTTCTTCCGTGGAGAATACTTGGATTATAACCAGTAATCATTCGACTTAGCGGACGCCGCTGGTCATTAGGCTGAAGATCGCATATTTGTTGGCGTCATGCTCTTTGACCGAGGCGAGACGTGTTATCAGATGAACTGCAAATCACTGACATCTCTAAGCTAGTGCAATGAAGTGTACTTACATCCTGGGAGACACGGCCAGAGCATGCGGATTTGCCGATCACTTGACCACCAGCCAGAAACCACCTGTCATTTCTCACTGCCGAACCAGGCAATGATACTTCGAACCCCTTGCCATTTATTTTGGAAAAGAAAATCTGGCAACGCTTCAATTATAATCATGTAATGGCCTACCATCATAACTATCGCGACCGGTGGGAGCGCGGTCTGCCCCTAGAGAAGAACGAGAGTAATATGAGGTACAATACGGGGGAATATACTGAGCTGCAGGAGCTCTTCGCCAAGATCAATTCAGGTCCGGTGTAAGATGTGACAGTGCAGTTGGAAATCCCGAGAACGCCAGACGTAGAATATGGACAACGCCGAGAAAGATTTGGATAAGCAGGTTAAGGAGAAGATGGAGTCAATGCAAGGAGCCACACAGGGTATCTAGCAATTAGTACGATCACTATTATCTGTCATGTAGGTGGAACAGGACGTGAAACACAGCTTCATAATATCTATTGACATTGGAATCAATTACATATTTGATTGACTTGGACTGGAGAAGAGGGCCACGTATCGTACCTTCGGGTGCTCTGGATATCGGGTTGATCTGAAGAACCTCATATCTTTTGAAATGCTTTTCTCGAACTACGTTGGCGAATAGTATTGAATCATGGAATAGGGCTAAAATAAGAATTTGGTTTTCAGAGGTGTTCAGCACGAGAGGAAATACACATTGGTTATGGGCTTCTCACACTGAGCCCTAGCTTATATCATATCAATGTCAAAAAGTCTGGCCCCATCAACATCTGTAGCCAAACACGTACTTTTTTAAACATAATAGTAGATTCAAATACTTCAGTATATGTGGGAAGTTGTGGCCTCAGGTGTGGAGGGGTACGAGGCAGGCAGGCACGCGTTGCAGTATTTAGGGATCCCTCGGGGCTAACTTGGGACGGGTCCCTCACGCACCCTCGTAGTACTAATACAGCCCCTAGTAATTGGTTTCCGACAATATACAGCTCAATTAGTATAAGATAATTAATATATTATAAACTATAAAATTCTCATATACAATTTGGTTCATAAGCGAGTCATATACTAAAAAAATTGAAGTCATCGGTCTGCTAGGCTATTGGGGTCAAGGGTCAGAACAGCCACACCATGCTAACCTGGTGAGCTAGGGTTGGCGTGTATTTACGCTAATGACATCACCATTCTCAGGCAACCTGGTTGATTTATGGTTGCTAAGGCTCAAATAGCTATTTTAACAGTACTGGGGGTCCCTGCCAGCCGTATGTTTAGGCAATTTGAAGGTGCTGTAAGACCTCCTGTAAGACTTCTTAGCTCTCAAATCTCTGCAAAATGTCTGGTACTTTAAACTCTACCTCTTAAGCCGCTGTCTTATACTATGAAGGGTCTGATTGCCCCTAGAAAGCCGGCTCCGGTGGCATCGCCGTCTCGCTAGGCCTCGGCTGGTACTTCCGGAGGCTTAAGAGCACGTTTTCCAGTGTTTCCGTGGCTTCAATTTTTCCGAACTCGGTAAGGCCGTCTCATCATGGGCGTGGGCCTATGGCTATAATATCCAGAAGGATATGAATGTGAGCGGTTATTTTCATCTGCCGGTAGAGTAGGCACTTCATAGCGGCTAAACCTTGACGCCGGTATTATAGGTATGTTCTAAACACTACGAAGTTAGTACAGAATAGGCTTGATAAACTAGCTATATACTCTGCTTAGGGCCCTGGCGGCTGGGAGAGCTATGGAAATAACTGGTTGGATGAACCGGACGAGGCTATAGCTAACTCCGCTAGCATGTTCCCGGGTGACCGCACCGGTGAGGTTAGCGATAGCTTCATATCTTGGCAGTAAATCTAACTAAAAATTCACTACCCTCACCTAACCTCGCCAGGATCACTGGTTGGTTAAAATCACTAGCGTTTTACTTACTAATTTGATCACCAACTAACCAAGGGGGGATGGTGAGGTTGGTGAAGTTGGTCCGACCCTTGATCGGGGTCTTATACCCCGACGGCCACCTCGAGTTAGACTTGGCTTTATGATGAGGGCGTCTCGTTGTTACCGTACTGAAAATTTCGTAGCGTCCGGGAGCAAATCGTCAACTTCCCGGCAAACTGTAGGCCGTTCTTCTTCGCCTTTGGGCATGCTGATAGATAGCGGATCGATCGTCCAAGAATAACTCGATACGGCCATGGGCTAATTACCCCTTTTTGTTATAGAACAACCGGTCATCCGTTCATCATCACGAGACTGACCCACGATTATCTTCCTATTTAATAATATTTCAATGGTGAAGAAGCTAGATTCCGTGCCTGAAGTTCGCCACATACGGTGCCCCCCGTCGCATTCCTCGCCCTGATTTCTCTCGATGTAACTTTGGGCAGGTGAAGACCGGAGATGATCGTCGGCAAAACGCACTGTTCTATAGGTAGTGGCTGAGATCCTCGGCCTGGTTGATCGAGATAGAGGATGTCGATTGAGTCTCGTTATATTAGCCATGGCCAGGTATACTAAACCGCCAATGAAATCATCCTAATTCGACACTGAACAAGTAATGGACGTGTAAAGAAGTTCAACTTCTATCCATAAAATTCGAATCTCGTGCATGTTGACTGGCGCATCATTTTCTCATTACTCCAACACGATTAGATGACGGTGAATGACTTTTGAGCCACTTTCATGTGTTAACGCCAGCCCTCGGATCACCGCCATCCAACACTAGACCATGCTCCCTGGCATCCTTGACAGCCTCCCTCTTCTCCGCCTGTTCGGCTTTCTTCCTATTTTCAGTCAGTGCCGACCTATTTTAAATTTTGGAAACATCAAAACGCACCTCTCAAGACCGCCCGCCAAGTCTGGCTGCGACCCACTAGCGCCCGATTTCCGCTCCACCGCGCCGGCAACATCGCCCTCGCCCGGTGCGCGCATCTGCTCGCCGTCCAACTCACGAGTCATACTCTGTGCCTCGGTTCGGCCGTGCTGCTCCTCGCCGGGCGGGGCGCCGTGGATCCCCCGCGCGAGACTACTCGCCGTTGCATCCTCGGGACTAGACGACTGCTTAGGCGGCACGCGCTCATCAACAGCATTGCCGTGCGAGTGGTGTTGTGCTGCTTCGTGCTCTGTATTTGTGGAGGTAACTGCATTGCCTTCGATTACGTAAGCTGCAGATTTGGGAGGTTGAGAAGGGTTTGATGGATCCATGGTGTGCTGCTGTACGGATTTGTACAATTCTCGTAATGACCGATTTACTGAATTTTGGTAGTCGACTGATACAGGAAGTGCATACAGGTAGGAAAGGAGTTTTGCGCTTGGAAAAGTTTGGTGGATGATCGCCAGCCATCATTGACCACTCGCCCGGGTCATGTCGTCATTGAGGGGAACCTGAGGCTCTTTCCCGCTGCGACCAGTCCTACGGGCGGTTGCACGTGTATACTGTTGCATCGACGACATAATATGCCAAAGAGCGCTAATGAATGTTGGCATCGGCTATGATTCGACTCGGGTATGCTGCCCTTAATTGATTGTCTCAACTCACAAAGGCAAGCTGCTGAGCTCATCTCATAAGGTGTTATGCGGTGAGAAAGCCTCATCGAGACGAAGCTGCAACCATGCCGGTAAAAATAAAAGATTCACACAGCATCTGATAGGCTTGAATCTGTCATTCAGCCAGTACCTGATTAATAAAAATTGTTCGATGATTGTAAGTCAAGGCGCAACAGTGAATGCTCAAGCGACGACCCGGTTGTCAAATTCTCCGTTGCACCTTTGCGCCCTGCCACAAAGACTCTTTGGCGCCAGGGCCCCACATTCACGACGCTGCCTTCTTCCATACCTCAGACCTATTAAGTATGATTCCCTCATGCAGTCTTGCGCGTACTTGCACAGGCAACTCAACGCGCTGAGGCTTAATAGGTCATTCAATGTTGCCCCGCTGCCAATTTGTCAGCCCATCTGGCTAACTCGCCGATTTGGAACCACGTGAGTCTATGCAGTGCCTGCCTCCCCGATAGGTAAGTCAGCTGGCATGGATCGGTATTATGGCGGAGGTGGGGGCCATCATGATAGCCCTACCTACCTCATCGTCCCTACTTCTCTACTTAAGCATCTCAACCCGCTCCGGGGTTGGGTCGCACTTCCTTCGTTAGTTCCTGCTGCCTTCCTCAGAAACAGCCTCACCCAAAGTTGATCGGGCCTCGGCTTCAAATGTCCTGCACCACAGCCTGGGAGTAGCTTCTATCCCTCATATTCTGCTTACATATCTGTTGCAGTTGCGCCTTCCATCCTGTTATCCATCAAATTAGATCACCTACTGTAGCGAATTTCATATCGAACTCTCGCTCGCCATGTCTTTAATATTCCCCCCACCCCCCTCAGAGACTGCGTACCTATATCGCGACGACCGTACCCTCGACGGTGGTCAAACAGTCAATGTTGAGTTGCCAATAGTTCTACCCAATATGCCTAAGAAGAATAAACAGAGAACTCCCCAGCAGGCCATTGACGACTTCTGGGGCAAGTTCACCACCAAAGCTCCTGGCAAAGGTAAGAAAGAGCACGGATCCCATCCTAAGGACGAAGCCATAATCGACCCAATAACATAGACACGCCAATTTATGTTACTGTGGCCTTTCGTGCGACAGAAAACTGACCTGATCTCCCCACTCCACAGCGACCACTGTCATCCCGCACAACGAATATGTCGATAGAGCAGCCAAGCGCACCAGCAAAGCCGTCGGAACCACCACTCAAGCATCATATGAGGAAGCCGCCGCCGTGTGTAAGCTCAAGGTAGCAAAGATTGTTAAGGAATGCAAACGAGTGAACCAGAAGTATCGTGACCAGCACTTTGACCTTGAGATTGACTTGAAATGGGACCGCCGAGACACACTCGAGTCGCTCTGCAACGTCAAGGACCCATCTGAGTCCAAGTTTCGACCCAAGAGTGTCAAGCGTGTGGCCGACATATTCGATAAACCCCAGTTTTACATCGACGGCCCTACTGCAAATGATGTACGGCAAGGCAGGGATGGAGACTGTTGGCTACTGGCGGCGTTGTGCACGCTCAGCAACAAGCCTAGCTTGATTGAGCGATGTTGTGTGGCGCGTAACGAGCAAGTAGGTGTATATGGCTTCGTTTTCCATCGAGACGGCGAATGGATCTCCGAGGTCATAGACGACAAGCTGTTCCTAACCAAGCCTGACTTTGATGACAGCTTCCTGGAGCGTGTATTGTGGGAAGACCGCGAACGTGTCAATTCTGAGGAGCAATACCGCAAGGCATATCAAAGTGGATCTGGTGCCTTGTATTTCTCTCAGTGCGAACACACCGACGAGACTTGGTTGCCATTGCTGGAAAAGGCCTATGCCAAAGCCCACGCCGACTACGCCGCCATTGAGGGTGGCTTTACGGGTGAGGGCATTGAAGACCTCACCGGGGGGGTCACGTCAGAGCTGTACACGACCGATATCCTCGACAAAGAGTACTTCTGGAAGGAAGAACTCATGAAGGTCAACGATGAGTTCCTGTTCGGTTGCTCCACCGGCATGTGGGGAATTGGTTGGGGTGAGCGCAAAGGCATCATTGAGCTCCATGCCTACTCGGTCATGCGAGCGGTGGAGATTGACGGACATCGCCTTGTCTTGTTGAAGAACCCTTGGGGAAAAGGAGAATGGCGCGGCCCGTGGAGTAAGTGTCTGAATTACTAAGGGATGCATGTTTCCCGAGGTGAGCTAATCGTGCCCAGGCGATGGATCCAAAGAATGGACGGCCGAATGGTTGACCAAACTTGACCACCGCTTTGGTGACGACGGTAACTTCTGGATCTCATACGACGACCTGCTCAAGAAGTACCAGGCATTCGATCGCACTCGTCTCTTTGGCCCCGATTGGAAGGTGACCTCCCTTTGGACAAATCTGACAGTTCCATGGACCCTCGACTATCATGATACGCAATTTGCCTTTTCCATCTGTCGAACCGGTCCTGTGGTTCTCGTTCTGTCACAGCTTGACGACCGATACTACCGTGGTCTCGAAGGTCAGTATCGATTTGAAATCAATTTCCGACTGCACAAGGCGGGACGAGAGGATTACGTCGTCCGCAGCATCAGCCCCTACTGTCAGAACCGCAGCGTCAATGTCGAGCTGGAGCTCGAGGCCGGCGAATACCTGGTCTTGCTGAAAATCAACGCCACCCGCGACATGGACATACTGCCGATAGAAGAGGTGATACGCAACCACGCGCGGGATCGTCGCGACAAGCTTGTCGCCGTGGGCATGTCGTATGACCTCGCCCACAGCAAGGGTAAGGTGGTTGAGACCCCAGAAGAAAAGAAGGCCCGCAAGGACGCCGAGAAGCATAAGAAGGAAAGGGAAAAGCGGGCTCTGAAGAAGAAGTTGATGGAGGCCAGGCATAGGAATCACTACCTGGATGTCAAGGACCAACAAAAACGAAGAGAGAAAAAGGCAAAAGCAAAGGCCAAGGCTCAGCTAAAAAAGGCAGAGAAGGCAGAGAGAGCCAAGGCTAAGGTATCCAGAGAAAAGGCAAAGAAAAATTCAACTTCAGAAGCAGTAAGGAAAGACAAGGAAGATGGCTCTACTGGATCAAGCAAAGCCGTCGACCCCGTAAAGAAACACGTTCAGATCCAAACTCCATGCCAAACCCCTGAGCCCGACCTTGACGATTCGAAGAGGGAGTCATACTTGAGTGCTGATTTGAGTGTCAAGACGCCTTCGACCGACTCTGGAAAGTCTTGTTCCGAGACATCAGCAACCCACAGTCAACCTATTCATAGCTCTGATGAACAGCCATCTTCCACCAAGGCAGAGCCATCTACCGTGGCAATTGTTGCCAAGCAATACCAGCAGCCGAAAGATACAAAGGATGACATATTGTCCGCGGTGTCTCCCGGTGAAACATCCCCCGAGGAAGAATCTTCTGATAACAACACCAGAAAACTTTCAGATTTCAAGACCCTTGTAGAAAAGGATTCCACGGACGATAAGACCTTCGCCGACAAAAAAGCAGATAAAAACACAGCCAAGGATTCTTCACCGGCTGACCCTTGCGAGGAGATTTCCGACGAAACTGACGAAGAAACCTCTGATGAGGAAACGGACATATCGTCTGTCTCGGACATATCTGATCGCGAGCTGGAAATTGAACTCGACCGCCGTGCCGCCCAATCGCCCATGCCCCCGCATCAGCCGCAGCAAATGGTTGTTCCCGAGGAGGAAGATGAATTTGAGCGCAACCCATGGAACGCGGTTGTGACGGTCGGTTTGCGGGTCTACTACAAGATGATGGACGCGGACAGAGATCAGGAGATTGTGAAGCTGAGGGTGATAAGACCGAATCTCTATTTGAAGAAAGACGAGACGTCGGCAGATAAGGGCAATGAAGACGACGATGGAGATGAACAGAGGTTGGAGGAAGATGATGGCGACCTGGATACGCAGGACAAGGAGGGAGATGGAGCGAAAGAAGGTGAAATGGAAAAGGGACTGGATGTTGATGACTCATCCAAGGATGCTACACTGGTCGGCGATCACGAGCGCAGGAAAAAGAGCATTGTACCTTCTAATGAGGGACCTGGAGGCACGTGAAATTCCTGTCCTGGGTGGGAATTACGTATAGTAGTTGAACTACCAAACAGATTGAAATGGAATACCTAGAATGATGGTCTTGAAATTGCGGGGAGTAGGCTTGCTATTGGAACAGGATTATGAAGAATGATGACCACTTCTCTTAGTCACAAGCATTGTATGTTGTCCTGAAATGGGTCTCTTCCAGCAGTGCTGAACGATCGATACAATGGTGATCTGGAGCAGGCGATGAGGGCAGAATTGTCTTCAGCCAGTCTCGCATGGTCACTTTCAGTGCCAAACGAGACGATGAAAGTGGCAGCGCAAGGGATAAAGCATTCTGACGCACCAAGATACAATTTCTTTTCGACGGACGCTCAATAGTCCATGATTGCGATACCTTACTTGGTGTGCTCGAAAATCCTATTCCTCGACTCATCCCATACCGCCCGAGTACGTTATTCATTTCCCCTGATACCGCAGCATTGACCAACTGCATACAGCATATAAATAGTAGTCAGTACATCTGACTTAGAGGACGGCCACACGCCTAACCGCATTGACGCCTTGTGCAATCGAGATTGTATCGTCAACACAACAACCCCCTCAACGACCACTCAGTAAATCATACTTCAGCTGTAGTCTTGTCCAGACTATTTAATAATTAATCTAAGTATCAATCTAAACTATTAGTAAGGTATACTAACTTAACGACTCTATTCCTAACTACCTTGAGTTACTTAGTTACCTAAGTATATTTTCTATACGTACCTCTGTTATTAATTAATGTTACGGTCGTCACGGGGCAGCGACAACGTAGTGAAGTTTGCGCGACGCTGGCGATTAGAGCTCGTTACGCCGTTCGGGGAAATCACACGGCAAAGGCACAAACAACGAGACTCAACTATCGACCTAGCCTGGGTGACGAAAGGGGCTAGGATTGATTACGATGGGGACCCGGGCCTAGAGGGCTCAGACCACAGAGCGCAAGTGATTAGGGTAATATCAACGGGGAAGCAGTCAAGGAGGGCCGCCGCAGTGTCGAAGGGTGGAACTGGGCGATGGCGGATAAGTGGCTCATCGTAGCCGAATCAAGCCAGAGATTTATGAATTATTTGCCGGTTGAGACGATAACGGAGTTGGACCAGGCTGTTGACTGGGTTACCCGGAACCTCCAAGAGATCGCCGACGTGGCGATCCCGAGACGCACCGTTGGCCGAGGCGCTGGGGTCCCGTGGTGGTGCCCGCAGGTTAGCAAGGCTTGCGCTGAGACGAAGAGACGACGGCGGGACTACCTTCAGGCAAGGTCGCAGACCAACTGGGACGAATATACAAGAGCCGGCCAAAAACAACGGCTCGAAATCAGCGAAGCGCAGACGCGTAGCTGGCACGAGAAGCTCGAGGGGACGGCGAAGGATCACAAAAGCCTGTGGGCACTGCAGAGGTGGGCTAGGCTACGGAGCTGGGCCCCCCCTGAGGCCCACGGCTTGCCAGATCTCCGGAGGGACGCCGGCGACACGCTTACGGCACGTACACATGATGAGAAGGCAAAATTACTAGCTGAGAGGTTCTTCCCAGACCCGTGTATAGATCTATCGGACCTCGATCGCGGCCTATTACAGACGAGACCAGAGCTGAACGTCCCTAGGGAGGTGACCACAATGGATATCGAGTCTATCATCAAAGGAACGGCTGCTCGGAAGGCTCCCGGCGACGACCTGATCCCCACTGGCCTGCTAAAGGCCTGCGGTGAACCCCTATGGGAGATCCTAGCGGATCTGGCAACAGCTAGCTTTAGGCTGGGGTACTACCCGGAGCGCTTCCGCTCAGCGAGGGTGGTTGTTATCCCTAAGCCTAATAAAACGACAGCTCAGAAGCAGACCCCTGGCGGCTGGCGCCCCATTGCCCTGCTTAGCACGGTAGGGAAGGTAATAGAGACGGCGATGAGCCAGCGTATCACCAAAGTAGCTGAGGCGGCCGGCCTACTACCAAACGGCCAAATGGGTAACCGCGCTGGGAGGTCCACCGAACTGGCAATACGTATAGTTGAGGACGTGGTCTATACGGCGTGGAGACGCGGGGGCATCGCCTCGCTGCTACAGCTAGACATCAAGGGGGCATTCGATACGGTCAATTACAGACGGCTGATTTCCATATTAGCCCGGAAAGGCTACCCGGAGTGGGTTCAGGAGTGGGTACGCAGCTTCGTGGAGGATAGAACGGTACGCCTCCGGTTCGATGGCAAGGAGTCAGAGCCAATCCCCCTACGAGCTGGCGTCCCCCAGGGGTCACCGCTATCCCCGATACTGTTTATATTATACATTTCAACGCTGTACGAGGAGCTAGCGGAGCAGCATCCACTACTTTTAGTAGTCGGGTTCGCGGACGACACGAACCTGCTAAGCGTCGGCACCGATCCAGACACGACCTGCCGCCGGTTGGAGAGCGCATGGGCTACGTGTCAGCGGTGGGCAGTGAGGCACGGGATGGAGTTCGCTCCTGACAAGAGTGAGCTAATGCACTTTACTAGGGCCCGAGAGCCCTTGCCGCAAAGTATTCGCCTTGGGGACGCCACAGTGTCGCCGGTAGTCTCAGCGAGGTTCCTAGGAGTCTGGTTCGACCGCAAACTGACGTGGCACGCCCATGTTGAGCGTGTTAAAACAAAAATGGCAACTCAAAAGCTAGCCCTGACAAAGCTAGTCAATATGTCGTGGGGCTGCGATCTTATACGGGCGAGGCTGTTATATACGGTGGTTATCCGTAGCGCGATCGCCTTCGGGGCGACTGCGTGGCATACTATAAGTGAGGAACCGGCAGGGCCAGCTAAGAGCCTGATGGGGATGCAGAACGAGTGCCTCCGGGTAGTCTGTGGCGCCCACAAAGCGACGCCGGTTCGCCACCTGGAAGCAGAAGCAGCAATCCCGCCACTAGACCTCTATCTTAGTGCCCGGGCTGCTAAGTTTGAAGAACGGCTACGACTTAGCGGGAAGAGAAATCTGCTTCGCAGCGCGAGCGCTAAAGCGTCACATATACTCCGGCAGGATAGGCCGGCGAAGAGGAAGCAGGCGTCGCAGCTACTCCGACCGGCAGGGTACACTATGGAGAAGGAGGCCCGGGGCTCCGAGTGGATGAGTGAGGAAAAGGAGGTCCCGGCTGCCCTCCTCGACCACTGGAGGAAGAGATGGCTCACCGGAGCAGAGCATCACGATCGCCAGCGACGCGCTATCGCTGAGGAACCGGAGGGCCCTTCGATGCAGATACCGAAAGGGGGCAAGTATTTCGGCCTGAACCGACTGGAGGCGTCTACGCTGTGCCAGATCAGGACGGAAAAAATAGGACTAGCAGCCTTCTTATTCAAGACAGGGGCTTTTGGCGTGTACTCGCCGCTATGCCGCTGTGGCGATGCCCCTGAGACGGCAGAACACGTAATCCTCTTTTGCGGGCTGTTGGAAGGACCGAGGGAACGATTACGGGCCGCCATCGCACCACGGCCACTATACTCTCGCAGAGACCTCGCAACGGCAACAGGAGAACCAGTAGTTAGTGGGACTATTGTAAGATGGCTGCTAGGGACGGGTCGGACAGCTTCAAGGCCCAGATAGCATCGATCTTCTCAGGGGGGACTTTGTTGGTAGGTTGAGAACCAACGTAGTATGGTAGTGAACGCAACGCAGTCGCCAATAGGGCGAACCGACGACGCAGCGTATGTATTTAGTCCAGCCATTAGGGCACGGTTTGACATACGGGAGTACTAGTAGAGGTACCGGGGGCTTCGAGCCTACGGCGTATTTAATAATAATAATAATAATAATAATTAATGTTAGGCAACCTTGGTGGGCTTTGCTAAGACCACCAAGGTTACCACGTGACTTAGCCCTTTGGGACTAAGTCCAACCTTCGTGCTCCATAGGACTAGATAGAATGTCATGCTTTTACAACCTCACAAATCTTTGACCACCTTTGCGTGTAACACGAATAAAGTATGTGAAGCTATGTCCATAATTGAGACTCGATGTTTCTCTTTAATGTTTAAGCTAGGCCGAAGAAGAGAGATACAAAGAATATAACTACAGCTTAATTATTTAAATTAGGGTGTTCTGACATATGAATCAGATGTCGTTCACCTTGTAGTGTTAAATCTTGCAAACGGGAGTGCGTTGCAAAAGTGGGTCAATGCAGTTAGATGGACAGAGCAACTATGAAGTTGAAACTGGCCACTCTTCTCCTTTTTGGGTGAAGCATACGTCCCATATCAAGGGCATTACCATGAGGACTCTCGCACCCAATCCTTTTCTAGCTCGACGTCGACAATATCAAGCATCTCATGACCGTCCCCAGAACCCTCATGAGCACGCCATTCACCCCGTCTACTCAACCAAAAGCATGCCAATGTCAACATTAAAACCTGTGCAGCAAACTAGCAACTTTCGTTCTCTCCATTTCCTCCAAGTCATCAATCTCTGTAGGCTCCCCTTCCATCATCTCAGTCCCAGGCAACTGTTCAACCCGTCCGGCAACCCTTATAAGCAGGACGCGCATGCGCTCCAGTTCCTGCTCCACCTCGCCATTCCGCGTCACTAGATTCTCCTGCACACCCGCCTGGAACGGCGCGAGGAGCCCGTCCATGTGGCGCAGGCGCTCAACACGAGCTTTTGTCGCAGCCCGCCGACCGGAGAGAGAGATTAATTGGGCTTGTAGATCGGTGTACCGTCTCGCTTCGACAGGATGTGCTTCGGCTTCCGACGGGCGGTGGGTTGCCCATGTTGGGGGGAGCCCGGCGATGGAGGGGTCGGTGGCTGGTGGGGGGTTTAGCTTGTGCTGTGCGTCGCGTCACGTCCGGAGTCAAGATTTATGTGCACGTACTCAGATCGATGCCCTCGCGCAAACCCTTTTCTCCCACGTCTCCACCATCAAGTCTATATCCACTGACGTCATCATCTTCGGCGTCGGAGTCCCGCGGTATCGGGTCTTCGGTATTCAAAAACAGCCCCTCGATCTGCTCAGCGACATTGCGAGTTGCCTGCAGAGCATAGACACGTTGCGCATGCTGGCGAAGTGCATGGTTCAGGCGGTACAACGCCTCGTCGACGGCTTTATCGGAAAGCATATGCTCTGATCCATCGTTGGAGGCGCGCCAGGCGGGGGAGGGGTTCAGGGTCTGCGAGAGGTGTAGCGTTTGCGCGGTCAGGAAGGCGGATTTGTGAGTTAAAATTGTTGGAGGTGCCATAGTTTGAGGATGCAACTTGGGAACATGCTATGATGCACGTCGTTGCGAAGGGACGGGCGGACTGCAAGTCTCTTCGTCGAGATGTACCTGTTCGCGTGAATGAGTGGTCGCGTCAACGTAGCAAAGCGCGTCTCGTCTCTGGAGCCAGGATGGATTTCCAGATTGGGGTAGCTGCGGGACGGGCCGCTGTGCGGCATTGCTACGCTGAGAATGCCAAGACTCGGGGGCTCTTCATCTAAAAATACTCCAAAGAGTAATGGTTGGTTATGTTCAAGGTACTTCGTACTTATCATTAAATGGGTTGGATGCAATGTGTAGTACTAGAGACTAATGGGTAAAACATAGCTAGTCCATCTTCTTTGCCGGGGAAGGCGATCATCTTAACATTAGTTCTAACTGGGATATCACAGATAGGAAAGCGCTTGAAGGGTAGTCTAACCCCTGTGTTCCTATAGGCGCTGACAGCATAGCTGTTACTTCCTCACGTGAGCTCTTGAACAGTGCGATTTTTATGTATCCAATCAATCAATCAATGTCTATGTCTAGCCTCTGTTGCATGAGTGTCTGAGTTACTCTTAAGCAGGATTTCCGGAATGCGAGGAGTAACAAACCATGATGTCAGCACCTTATAGTAGCACAGGGGATATCAAGGAGTATGGGATAGAAACCAGGGCAACCCTTAACGGTATTCTGTGTATTTATTCCCTGGTTAAAGCCGTACTTCAACGCTATAGAAGGAGCACTCCCGGGTCTTCTATCCCTGCTTGTCCGAATGCTAAAACAAAGGTTCAAGTCGTGATTTAATTAGGAAGCTCAAAGTACAGAGTATGTGACGGGCTCACTGCGAAACTATACAGCTCAACATGGCCAAATACTGTTAATTATCTAACTGAGGAGGAAAGTAAAATATGCGAGTTGTCCCGGGAACACGGACTATGTTTTGTATGCCCTCGATGGTTCCTTTGGTGGATCCGGACGCACGGTCCTTGCAGCTCCGGATCCCATATCAGGCACAGCCTGTCACATTACCCCCCTCCCAAGGTTTTGAGAGAAGAATTTTATCCCATTATGAATTATCCCGCTCATTAATCTCATCGTCAGGGCTTCCACCGAAGCTCCGGTTGTGCGCTTGCTCCTTCTTGGTCCAATAGTGGCTCCGGTGTTCTCACCGACGCCGTCCCCGGTTCCGAACTCCTGCTCGAACTTGTCCAAGGCAACAGTATCTTCGAAGTTCTTCCTTGGTTCCCAGTTCGGAGATTGGTATCCCTTCCACTTGACGAGTACCTCTCGTCTGTGGCCTCTGCCTCGTGTCTTATTTTCTGCCCTCAGGATCTTTTCGACCATATATTCGCCTTGGTTTCCTTCCGATGAGGGTGGTAGTACGGCAGGCGGTTGCACGTCTAGGACCCTTTGGGACGGTAGAGGGTCTGTAGCAGCATGCTTTAGGAGGTCCACATTAAACCTAGGCCAAATACCTGTTGGTACATTCAGTTCCACGCAGTGAGTGTCGATCACCCGAGTGACTTGATATTTCGCATTTATCCAGGCCAGCTTTTTGGAGAGCTGGGGCGTGTCTATGTTCTTCAAGTTCAGCCAGACCTTGTCGCCGACGTGGAACTTGTCTGCTTCTTGGCGCTTTTTGTTGGCCGAATCCTCCATTCGCTGTTGGACTGACGCCATAGCTGCTTGGGCGTACTCCTGTGCCTCATGCATCCTGGCGACAAAGTTGTCTGCCCGCTTGGTCGGGTCAGACCTAGAGCCTATTGGTGGCGTGACTTGTGGAATGGGCTCCACATGGTAGCCGTGTGTCAGGAAGAATGGGCTGAGTCCTAAAACGGTGTCCCTGTTGTTGATTGCCAGCATCGCGGAGGGAAGCATTTCGGGCCAGTCGAATTGTGCGTAAGAGATAAAGGCTCTGAGATATGCGAGTACCTCCTGATTCATTCGCTCTGTGCTCCCATCGGACTCTGGATGGAAAGCAGTTGACAATCGTTGTTCGATTTTAACCAGTTTGCATAAGTGTGTCCAGAAATCGCCTACCCAGTTCGTTCCCCTATCTGAAGTCAGGAACGAGGGGAATGCATGAAATCGGTAGTGACACTGGAGAAACCTCTCTGCGCAATCTTCAGCTTTCATGCTACTCATTGCTTCCAGCGTGCAGCTCTTAAGCAGTCGATCGGTAATAACCATCAGAAATCGGGGGTCTCCTTTTGACTTGGCGGGCAGCTCTGTCATAAAGTCGATAGAGAGTTCGCTATGGAAACGGTCCGGCACTGGCAGTGGGTGCAACAGACCTTTCCTTTTCTCCCTCCAGACGTGTCACCTCCCGCACACGTCGCAGTTCCTACAGAATTGGCGTACCATTTTCGACATTCCTGGCCAGAAGAAGCTTCTATTGAGGATCGCTAGTGTGCTGTCCCTTCCAGGGTGGCCGGTAATGTGCGAGTCGTGTGTCTTCTGAATCAGAGCTGTGCGTAGAGGTTCCCACTCTGGTACCCAGGCTCGCTTCCTGAATCTTAATACACCTCTCTCGTCGAAGTCACACTCGGAGATTGACGCTTTGAGTTTTTTCAACACCGGTGGAAAACTCCTTTCCCCCTTCGTTAAGGCTTGGTACATTAAGGGTAACTCCTGATCCTCTGCTACTCCGCGGTCCCAGAGCAGCTGCAGCTCGATTTCCTGAAAGATGCTTCGTCCTTTGGGCAGGCTGGTTGACTGTTGCTCCGTTGACACTGGGGGGAGTTGTATGGAGGAGATCTGGGTCTGTAAAAAGTCGGCCTGGTGGGGCTTGACCCATGAGTCCTTCAGTAATTGGAATTCCCTGTTTCGTAGGCGTTCATCGTCGACGCCTTGAGGCATGTCTTGCTCTCTCCGTGAGAGTGCATCAGGACGTAAAGCGCTCTTACCAGCCCTGAACTTCAGCGTGAAGTTGAACTGCGAGAGGGTGTGTGACCATCGGACTTGTCGTTCAGAGAGTCTTCGGGTTGTCATAAAGTACTGCAAGTTCTTGTGATCTGACAGTACCACGAAGGGCTTTTCCAATCCGATGAGCATGCCACGCCATTCCTCCATGCACCTGACTACCGCGAGCAGTTCCTTGTCATGAATCTCGTAGTTCGATTCTGCTGGGCTCAGCTTTTTGGATAGATAGGCGACGGGCCTGAGTCGTCCTTCTTTGTCGACCTGTGATAGACACCCGCCCATTACATATCCGGAACAGTCGGCTTCCAAGATCGTGTCCTTCGACTCGTCCCACATAGCGAGAACTGGTGCGGTCATAAATAGCTCCCTGAGTTGGTCGAACGCTTGTTGTTCCTTCCCACGCCACTGAAAGTTCGTGCCTTTCTTGGTCAGGCGTAATAGGGGGTCGGCGATTTTGCCGAAGTCTGGGATGAAGTTCCTGTAGAAGTTGGCAAAGCCGATAAAGCTTCTAACCCCTTTTACTGACGTGGGGGCTTCCCAGCCTCTAATAGCCTCAACCTTCTCCGGGTCGACCTTAATCCCCTCGCCCAGCGAAATAATGAAACCTAGGTATTTTGTTTCCTTCACCGCGAATTCGCTTTTCTTCGGATCGAGTTTCAGGCCAGCAGCTCCCAGCTTGGCAAAGACAGTATTGACTTTGACCCAGTGGTCTGTTAGGTCTCCGCTAGTATAGATCAAGACATCGTCTAAGTAAGCCGAAACGAAGTCTCCCAAAAAGTCTTTGAGAACTTTGTTGAGCCACCTCTGGAACGCCGCTGGGGCCCCTGTGAGCCCGAATGGTGTTACCAACCATTCAAAAGAACCATACCTCGTACGGAACGCCGTCTTGGACTCATCTCCCTCTCGAACCCGAAGCTTGTGAAAAGCGGCTCTCACGTCTACCTTCGTAACGTATGTAGCTTTTGCCACGGCTCTCAGCGTCTCCCGTATCAGAGGGAGTGGGTAACGGTCCTTCTCAGAGATCGCGTTCAGTGCTCTATAATCCACGCAGAATCGGAGTCCACCTCCTGGGGAGGCGCTGGCCCTAATCCAATTTCGATCAAGGTGGTCGGTAAGAGTCTTCCGAAGTACTAGGAGCTCTTCCCTGGACATGTCATAGAGGGGTCCATTTGGGACCTCTTTCTCGCGTCCATATTCGTCCTTCTGGAGCTCGATTTCCATGTCGACTCCAGGGCGATGTGGGGGAACCTCGTTATTCTCATCCTCTGTGAAGAACCGGGCGTTTTCCCTCACTTCTTGAGGTAAGTTGGCCGCTATTTCTCTAGGCGATTGCTTCCTCTTTGGCTCTACGGCCTTATTAATATCTGCCATTGTAGCAGCAAATAGCCGAGTTTCTCGATCCTTCCTGGCTCTCCTCGCGAGAACCGTAAAGTGGCTGCCGATAACCATCCGTGCAGCACCTACTGATACCGCTGAGACTCGCTTCTTCACGTCATTCGGAGCGCGAGTATGATACCATCCTTTCTCCCTGACTACGAGACCGTGTTTCTTGCTGCCGAACCGAATAGCTCTCCTCTTTGCGAGATAAACCACATCGTTGGCCTCCATCCATGGTTTCCCAAGGATTACGTCATATGCCAGATCTTGGATAATGTACCCGTACACCGTTTCTCGTCTCCCGTCAATGTCCATGTCCACGTGGGTGATTTCTCGGATCCACCTCTTCTTATCATCATTCTCAGCTAATTGAAGCTCTCTAGCCTTAACGGGTATGCGCGGTAATTTTCGACGTCGGACTAGTCCCTCGGAAAATGCAGAGAAACAGAGGCAGCCGGTATCGAACAGAGAGTCCACATAAAAACCTGAGTTAATTAATGTATCTATGAGAAACGGTGTGCTATCCATCTGTTTCATTGCTTCCTTCACTTCCTTCGCCGAGATTGTTTCCGACCCCTGAGCCTTCCAATGAAGCTGGACGTATTAGATTCGACCAGGCGAAGTGTTGCTGTCTCAACGCAAAGGGGAAAGTGGCAACCTGGCCAAAGTGAATGATAACGGACACTAGCGACTAGGCCACTCGTTCTTATCATTCCAGGCCAAATCCTCCATTTCCAATCACGATCGTCCGCCATACGGTAGAATCATAGAGTGGTTGTTACCCAACATGGCCCTGTCTCGAATTGCCCTAGGAAGATGCAAGTGGTGACACAAGAGGTAAGAGCGAACCAAGTTGACAAATCCTGGATGGCGCCTTAGATCAAATTCATCGCCAACTTTTAACTATCATTTGCAATGAGCTGGGGCCTGTTCGATTTTGCAATTAATTAAGCGAGGAGACTGCTCGCTGAACAAAACATTGTACGATTACGTACCATAATGGAAATGAACCTCCCTTCGACCTAGCCTTTGATTGGACAGATACGGCTTAGGTACGGCATCATGTTCATACGAAGGGGGAGCTTGATATAGAAATTGACATTCTCACCACTTGAGATGGTATATGCGTATGCTGCAGCAAGTTCGAGTTGGTAGTGGTGTGTGATTTACAACAATATCAAGGAAACTACAACATATGCTCTCCTGCGCACCTTGTTTGGAACTTGACCATATAATAATATGTCAACATTAGTACGTCAACCACATAGGTATCTAACAACCTGTCTTCGAGCACAAGCGACTGTCTATTTTCAGTTTGAACTCCAGCTATCTCTCCTCTCTATGACAAAATGACAGATGATTTACTTTTCACTATGTCATCCCAGTTCAGACTTATGGTCACCCTACCCACCAATTAGCCTTCCAAAACAACCAAAAGCAAAACTCAACAGAAGAGAAATAAACTGAATTAAAGAAGGTCGTCATCTTTTTGAAAAGAATGATCATGGGTATATCAACAATGATGAAAGAGTAGAAGAGGCATCTCCTCACCGTTTCCTCCCCCCACTAAGCAGTATACTCGTAGCCTCCTCCCAACCCCTACTGCCCGCTATCTCTATAACCGTCCGTCCCGTCTCATCCTGAGCATCTAGATCCGCGCCACAGCGATCAATAAGCAACTTCAACACTGTCGCGTCCCCATTCTCCAATGCCTGAATCACGGCGTTGTGCCCGCGGTAGACTTTATTCGGGTCGGCGCCCTTGGAGAGCAGCATCTCTATAATTTCCATGTCGCCGGCCTCCATGCGGCGGAGAGCCTTGACGATGGGCAAGTGCTCGCCTGGGGCGTTGGGGTCGGCGCCACCTTCGTTAAGTAGGTATTTGACGATGCCCTTGTGGCGCTCACGGATGGCGGTCGTGAGGGGGGAGAAGACGCCGCCGTTGCGGTCTTCGACACTGACGCCCGCTTCGAGCAAGAGCTTGACGCTGTCAAGTTGGTTGGCTACGACAGCCATTTCCATTACGCCCTTGAAGGCGCGGGGCTCGGCCAGGGCGGGGAGCAGGCGCTTAAGGATGGCGGGTTGGCGGACGGCCATGCATACAGGCCCTGGGTAGGTTAGCTTGATGGCCATTGTGAATTGGGGGGACGATATCGACAATAGTAGGTGAAGTGGATGCAGGGGTGGTCATGGGGAACAAGGATTTCTCAAGGAGAAAATATAGTATGGCAGTGGTATACTCACAATCTTGCCCACGAACGTTAGGATCAGCCCCATGTGACAACAACAAATCCACCAACTCGAGCTTATTGTCCCTTATAGCGGATGTCAACGGCGTCGCCCCCGTCTTAGGTACCTTGTCGTTGGGCGACACACCATTCTCCAATAACCACTTGAGTGCCTCGACATTGTTATGCACGACAGCGGTCTCGAGGATGCCCTTGGGCGAGTTGAGGTTCGCCCCCGCAGCGACGAGGGGCGCCAGGAACTGCGGCCGTAAATGCGTCACGCACTTGAAAGCCGGATACTCCGAGGCGGGCTCGTTGGGGTCCGCCCCGTTGGCGAGCAGCAACTGGAAGACATCGGCGCGGTTATCGCGGATAGAGGTGCAGAGGGGTGTGTAGATTCCGTCTTTCTTGGCGTTGGGGTCGACGCCGGCTTTGAGCAGGATGTGCACCGATTCGAGGTTGTTGATGGAAGTCGCGAGCTCCATGATACCGGATGTCTTCTTGGGGTCCGCGCCCCGAGCCAGCAGGACCTTGAGACAGGCGGGTTGGTAGGTCGAGGGCCAAAGCATATGTTTTGGTCCGGGCAGGTTGGGATTGGCGCCGTGGTCGAGCAGAGAGGTGACGATATCGACGCGGCCGGAGGTGATGGCTTCGAAGAGGGGGGTTTTGCCTTCCCGGTTTTTGCCGTTGGGCTCGGAGCCATAGTCAAGCATGAGATCAATGAGTTTCCTGGATCGTTTGGTAGCAATGGCTTTAATCAAGAGTGTCTCGCCGTTGGTCATGACGTGGTTGGCGTCGCCTCCGTAGGTGAGTAAGAGGCGGGCGAAGTTGACTTTGTCTTCAATGATGGACAGGGCAAGGGGCGACTCGGGTTCGGACCCGGCAGCCAGGTTGGAGTCGGCGCCGTACATGAGCAGCATCGTGGCACCATCGAGGAATGACTCCTCAACGGCAGCAAAGAGGGGCGTCACACCCAGCTTGTCGGGAACGTTGGGGTCGGCGCCGAAAGTCAGCAGAAGGCGCACCGTCTCACTGTCGTGACGGAGGATGGCCTCCTTTAGGACTTGGACGTCAGGGCCAGTGTCAGGAGAGACGCCGCGGTCAAGCAGATGCTCAACTTGGGTTGTATTGCGCTGTTGGACAGCAGAAATGAGACCAGCCCTGAGCGTGGGCGTATTGGCTCCGGCCGTGTTCCGGGGCGTCCAGCGAGGCATGGTCTGCGGGTCGGCCTTGAGGCGGACCACCTTGTTAGGTCCAGTCTCAAACGAGTCCCCGTCGTCAATAACGGTGTCTGACTCAGTTGAGCCACCCGATCCATGTTCGTCCGCGGTGATGGCGGTGATGCGGTGACTGAGGGCATGAGACGACATGGTGGCATTGGAAATGGACGTGTGACGACGCAGTTCCGGCGGAGTCACTTGAAGAGTCTCGTGGTCCCGCGCGTGGAAGGAGGAAAAGTCGGATGCTGAGATCTTCTCAATTGGCATGATAGGTGTCAAAGAGGGAGCTACAGATAGGGCTTGATCGTGATCGTGGTTATGATGATGGTGATGATGATGGTGATGATGGGGCGGTTCTTCTTCATCGGGGGATGGGGGTGCCCCGATGGTCTTCATCCTAGTTATTGTCTCCAAGATGGGCCGTCCTGGTGACAAGCGCTCCAACGCTGCCACGAGACCCGTATAGCCAAACCCAACTGACTCGTCGATCCTCTCGTCACCAAACGACCACTCGAAGACCAGGGCGCTCATACGCAGGGCCTCCCGCGTCTTGTTGAGCGAGTCCCTCATCTTGCTGATGTCATTGTCGGCGAACATGTTGCGCCAACCCCTTTGGATCTTGCCAACGGTGCCGCGTCTTTCGTACTCGAGGAACCTGCCGAGCAACTGATCGAGAGTTTGCAGGTCGGCCTGTGTCGTCTTGAACTTCTTGTCGAGCTCCTGGATCATTTCCCGTGGGAACTTCTGGTGCCCACGGGAGCACTCACCGAGGCCAGCCTCGATGGACCACATGATCCGACACATGTCGAGAAAGTCCCGGGCCAGGTCGTCGAAGCCATTGGGAAGGTGCTTAACACTGCTGAGGAACTCGATCATGCGGATCGAGATTTTGTTGCCCAGCACCGTGGCCTTGTGGCAGAGGCCGAGCACCGCATCGACCGACTTGGACTTGATGGTGGCCATGGTGGAGAGTAAGTGACCACTGGATAGTCCACTTCGCGTCTATTTGGCTGTCTTTCTGTGCCTGTGCTATCAATGATGTATTCTGAAGAAGCTAGTTGCCATGGACACGGATACCTGAATTCAACCAGCATGACTGGAGAACAAATAATAGAATGCCGTAGTGGGGACGAAGCATTCCTTTATGCTGTGGGAAGGGGTCAAGTGCCGATACCTTGTCTGCAGCTGACCCTTCTAGCCCAGCTTTCGGTGACACCGGATGCCAAGTTTTCTGCGGTTGGCGGCTCTGGATGCAACCGCCATCCCTCTGTTCGCAGAATCTGGGCAGTGGACATAGCCGTCCGTGCTGCCACCAATATCCCTCTCGATAGTTGTGAAAGCCATCAATATCTTGAACCAAAATCTGGGCCAATGTGGTGGCGTCTGTGCATCAATTGCCCTTGCTGTGTACAGTGACCAATGGGGTCCCGCGCCGCCTTGATCTACAAATCGCTTGCATGCACGCCCTACAGTAGTAGAGCAAACTACACGCAAGCTAGCAAGCTCGTAGAAACCGGCCTTATTACTGCTCGCCAAACACGCAGAACATCTAGTGTCCCGAGTTAGAGTTCGATTGTGCATGAGCCTCTCAGATATCAGTCATAGCTCTAATTACCCATTGTCGAATGAAAGACTGGGAGGAGCATGAGATCTGTAACAGGCTTCCGAAGCTGGGACAAAAACGGCATCGTCATCTCAAGCATCTGGCTCTTGTTTCCTGACGCAGAGGGTGAAACTTGCTAACGTGGTCATCTAATCTCTTCATCCAGTCCCATCTGACAAGGGGTATGCATGAGATGAACGAGAAAGCACTGCTCGACGCGAACATGATGAATCCCCGGTTTCTTTAGCTTTGACAGACTGAATTCCTCAATAACCATCTGACATGGGCTGCTTCTCAAGCTGTCCAACTTGGTGAACTGACTCGGCGCTGAAGGCAATAAGCAGCACTGAGGAGACGGCGGCTCCACCTCCGCTAGGGCACCGGAAACGCCATCTGTAAGAGCGACCCGGTCTCGAATCTTTTTCCCTTGACCCTACCGCCTCCATCATCAAATTGCCCTACCAAAGTTCAGGAGCTCACATCTTCGTTGACGCCTTCCGGCCCAAGTAATCGGAGGTATTCGAACTATTGGCGCGGGCGCAACCCAAAAGGCCGCAAGCCACCAACTTGTCGATCCTTGCATCAAAGAATTCGCACCTGGTATTGCAAGTTTATGGGTCCCACCCCATGTCAATGAACTGCCTGTTTCATCCCCGCTGGCTTCAGCGCGTCACATTTCCCCCATTCGTTCTTTGGAATCTCGGTTCGTCTTATTTGTATCGAGATCCAATTTGCGCAGGGACCTTTTTTCACACTAAGTTTTACGAAATAACTTCTCCCAGCAATGTAGAATAGTAGGGTACATCATACATACACATCATGTAAAGGTTTCGCTGATTAAGAGAATTATTGCCTCTACAATACTGAAAAGCAAGTTAGAGACCAAGTATTGCTACGGGCGCATGTATTAATGTATCGGTCGACTTACGGACATTTCACGCCTCCCACACTACACGACGGTCTCGATAGGTGAAGTTAACCAGGGCTACAAACAACATCCACGCAGGGCAGACAACGCCGGCAAATGAGCTACCAGCCTTGTATACCGACCGCATGCTGTCGAGCAAACATCCTGACTAGACGTCATGATGCATGGAGTGACCGGCGAGCAGTTTACCCAAAATGGCCTGAGTCGCCTACTGTTGCACTTCCTAGGGTATCTGTGTTACATAGCCTTATGCCAGAGGCCAAGGAATTCTAATCGAGCGTAAAGGCGAAGGAATTCGGAAAGATTTACAGCCCCAAGATCTTCCTTCATTGCATGATTACTGTTGGAAAAGAGGTCTTTCACACCACAAGAAATGAAATTTTGCGTTGTCTCCCTTGGCAGGTGCCACTCGACTTAATCATGCGGGCGCCTTCATGTGATCAGCAACGGCCAGCCTTGCCGTGATGGGGCACGGATGGAGCAGCCACCAGGGGCCCCTAGCATTCGTGCGGCCGCGCCTCTATCAAACTTGTTGTGTCCATTCGGAATTTAGTAAACGACCGCTTCAATGGCCTCAGTTTGGCTTTGGACTTTCCCTCCCACCTGTTCCCTACCATACCCACCCAATTTATTACCAATGGGCTTGGGAGCTATCAGCCCACAGTAGTTGTCATACTGTTAGGTCCGAGGAAGGGATAAACTTCGTCGTATTGGGCGCACATGTAATATATCGAACTACGCAATCAGCGAAAGTCAAATTGTAAGGAATTTACTAGGATGTCAGACCGTTCCATTCAATCTTACTAAGATGTTGCATTTCCTTATATCAATATTTGGTACCTCGGACAGTAAAGTTCAGTTTAAGTTATATTGTAGAAGGCGTAGAATTTATACTAGGCTAAGAATTATTAGAGAATATATCACTATGGCTTCGAGGCAACTGTACTAGCCTGTTCAATCTAGAATATGATTTTGAATTCCAGCTTATCATAACTATCCACTTTACCTCCACTACACATTTGTCGTTATTCTCCCTGTCCACCCCCAGGTCACATAATTTCTCTCGCAACGTCGTACCATCAGCCCTCCAGGTACACCCTACTCTTCCTACACTGTCCTCATGCGGCGGCGGCGGAATTTTCCGTCTCACTTCCTTCCCTCCCCCCCCCCCCCCCCCCCCCCCCCCCGGGGGGTTCAAGGCAGTTTAGTAGGCTGTCAATCCCATATTACTATTTTCACTACCTTACCTCTTTTCAATGTAGCGTACTCCCCTTAGATCCCAGACCACCAATATGTCTCCTTCACAACAAAGTTTCCCTTAACCGCCTTTCCCTCCTCAACCTTGCTGCTATCGCTCACGATCACCTCGTACTCCCCATCCTCGACACACCACTGATTGCGCTCCTCATCCCAATAATTTGCCGCATACTTCGTCTCCATCTCCACCTTAACAGTCTTGCTCTCCCCTGGCGCGAGCTCCACCTTCGCAAAACCCTTCATCTCCTTAACAGGTCGGTTTACCTTCGCCTTCTGCTTAGGCTGGACGTACACCTGCGCGACCTCGGAACCCTTCACACCACCGGTGTTCTTCACCGTGAGACTAACCGTCAGTTTGCCCTCCTTGGCGGTAACGGACAGGTCCGAGAAGGCGAAGGTGGTATAGCTTAGCCCGTGCCCGAAGGGAAACAGGACCTCGCGCTCGGCGAACTCATAGTATCGGTAGCCGATATAGATGTCCTCGCCGTAGATGACGCGGCCGCCTTCAGTGCGGTAGTTAAGGAAGGCCGGGTTGTCCTGAACGCGGACGGGGAAACTCAGAGGTAGCTTGCCCGAAGGATTGGCGTCGCCGAAGAGGACGTCGGCAATGGTGTTGCCGGTCTCGTTGCCGCCGTACCACGCGTGGATCAGGGCGTTGACGTCGTTAATCCAAGGCATGGCCACGGGGGTGCCGGATTGGAGGACAATGGCTGTATTCGGGTTGGCCTTGGCCACGGCGGAAATCAGATCATCCATGCCGGGCGGGAGGTCCATATTGGCACGATCGTTGCCTTCTGTCTCCCAGTCGGCATTGAGACCGGCGCAGATGATGACTTGGTCAGCGCTCTTGGCCAGTTCGGCCGCATGGGCGATCTCGGCCTTGGGGTCGATGACTTTGCACCCACCGATCCGCAGGGCACCACCGGATTGCAGAACGGTGTTTCCGGAAAGCTTGGATGTGGGTGCCGATCCAAAGTTGACCTTGAAGTTGTATGTCTTCCCCTTTTCCATTTTGTAGTAACCCTTCTCCTCGATGGTTGCCGAGCCAAAGAAGGCGTCACCCAATGTCTGCTTCTCAGTGTTGTCAACGACAAGTTCGTCGTTAACGTAAAGATTCGCAGTGCCGGAAACGACGAGCCCAAACTCGTAAGTGCAGTCCTCTTCCGCAACCAGCGAGCCTTCAAAGGTGGCGTACCAAAGGTTGGACTTGAGCTTGGGGTTGGTGTAATCAACAAGTAGCATCTCCGTCTTAAGAAGCTCAAGCTCGTCAACGACCTTCCGGTCCGAGACGTCTGGTCCATCAGTGTATACCTTCATTGTCATACCCTGATTACCCTTCGCCGACTTGCTGGTGTACCCCAGAAGGGGAAGCAGCTTGTGAGAGTATTGACCAATTGTGTATTTGGGGGCGATACTCAATTTGTTGCTGATTCCTGTGAATGGAGTGACAGCGTAGTAAGCAGCAAGAGAAGCCGAACCACCACCGTGATATGTCGCGATTTTAGCATTAGGGCCAATCACCACCGTCTGTGCCCCTGGTCAGTGACGTATCAAGGATGTCAAAGTCGAATGCTTACTTTGCGGTCCTTCTTCAAAGGCAGCACATTCTTCTCATTCTTCATCAACACAATTCCCTCGTTCCCAATTCGGCGAAGGAGCTCAGCAGTCTCAGGCGTATCTGCTGTGCCCTCAGGTGCATTATCCTTGACCCCACTGGCTGAGCACTTCTTGATGAACTCGAGCATCGCCTTGACACGCTGATCCAATATGTGGGTGCGAACCTTGTCGGTGGATACGTTAAATTTCAACTGGTCGCCTCGGAAGCGCGTGGGACCTGGCATTTCCAAGTCGAGACCGGCTAGGGCCGCTTCCGTGGTGCTGTAAACGCCAAACCAATCGCTCATGACCATGCCATCCCAACCCCATTCACCTCTCAGTATCTTTTCGAGAAGCTCTTTGTTCTCACTGCAATAGGTTCCGTTAACTCCATTGTAGCCTGTCATGAACGATCCCGGATTCGCATCACGAACAGTCAGCTGGAAAGGTAGGGCGTATATCTCGCGCAGAGCTCGCTCAGTGATCATGGCCTGAACGGCATTTCTCTTGTGCTCGTGGTCGTTGCACACAAAGTGCTTGATAGTAGCCTGAACGCCAGTGGATTGGATGCCCCGAACAATGGCAGCAGCACCTAAGCCGGCCAGGATTGGGTCCTCGCCAAGGGACTCGAAGCCTCTCCCACCGAGGGGAGACCTCTGCATGTTGATGGTTGGGCCTAGGATGACATGCGCACCCTTGACCTTGGCCTCTTCGCCCATCTTCTTACCGGCCTCCTCGAGAAGTTCAACGTTGAAGGTGGCTCCCAGGGCCGTGCCGCAAGGGAAGCAGGCCGCTTTGATGCCATTGAAGAACTTGGTGCCACGAACACCATTGGGGCCATCAGAGAGCCGCAAGGACGGGATGCCGTGCTGGGGTAAAGCCTTTGTGTGCCAGAAATCAATACCTATAAAGGTGACCGTCAATGCCTCTGCGTGCGGGATTCATCATCTTCCGAGGAACTTGACCTACCTGCTAGAAGGTCGACCTTCTCTGCCATGGAGAGCTTCTTCAGCGTCTCCTCGACATTGATATTCGCCATGCTGTCTTCGGCTGGCTGACAGAACTAGAAGACTTAAGTCGTTGGAGTATTGGCGAACGGGATTGGAGTGAAAAACCTGGAAAATGGAAGGAAGACAAAGTCGAGAAGTTGCAAACAAGCGCCTAGGGACTATTTTTATCACGGACGACCCGACGTCGGTTCCCAAGGTCGGCTCCAGGACGCCCCGCTATGTTTGAAGACCTAAGGCGGGGGAGCCAGATCGTGCCGTGGGTTCCACGTACGCGGCTTCCTGCGGTCCACCGTCCGCAGCAACGAAGCATTGCGTTGTCAAATTGAGTCTTGACATTCAAATTCCAAATATGAGCCGGCCTGTCCCTTCGACATACAAGCAAGCGGCGATGAATGCCAGGAATATTTCTGGCGGTAAAGAAGAAAACCACTCCACTTCCCCTCTTCCTTGAAGCGGCTGTTCCCCACAGCTGGGTATACTCGACGTGATGCACCATGTCGAAACCCCTCGTGAGATGATGCAGGAACGATGTCGGTCGAGTGCAAGTCGGGTCATCGGTCCGTCCATCCATCCCGGAGTTCTTCCAGCAGTCTGACTCGTGATTTCCCGATGTTTACCCGACACCAATGGGCTGGGTTCAAGTGGAGGAAGGGGGATCAGCCTCCTCCACTGTAAAGCTTGGCGAATGGGTATTGCTGTCGCATGTGATGTCCTCGCAGTCGGCAATCCAGACCACACAATTCATCAGGAAAGACGCTACAATTCTTTGTACGAGTGAGTAGGCTTACAGTGTGGTAAGCTTATCTATGCGCAATCTATTATCGCTGAATCATGCATGAAAGCGCATGGCTCAACTCCCATCAACTGGCTGGAGCCAAGATTATAAGGCTATGGGTATTCTGATTAAGATGAATCAATGACGCAGTAGCGCCTCCCCGGCCCCGCGCCTGCTTGACCGCTTCTAGGATTGAGCTCTGGTCGACGTCCTGGGTCGCAAAGTGGGCCACTGCCATGTAGCAACCGTTCCTATGGGCCGTCAGTAGCCATTGTTAACTACACCTTACAGTAAGTAGAGACTTCGTGGGTTCGCACTGTTACTAGCATTCCGGCTATATACGAAGCTGAAGAAGAGAAATACAGATGGGGGTTCAAGCCGCACAAGGGCACCAAAGTATCTCAGGTGTTACCTCACCATGACCTCAGGTCACCAATTCCACAGACTTCACTTAAAGTAAACGAGCGTTCGTGAAGTCAGCCCGCCCTGGGCATGCAAATCTTGAGACATCAGACACGATCAACCCAATTAAGGGTTTCAGTAGTGAGCATCGAACCCAACAAACTACATTTTAATCGAGTATATCCCAGTGTTTCATTTTACGTTTGCTGAACGTTACACCGGCAGATCGCAATGAAGTATTTGGGAGATTATAGCGTCAAAGACTTACGTCGTGATCTCGACGATGGGCTTGGATGGGCGCATTCTACGGAAAGCGTAGGAGGCTATTTGGAAACTATTGTGGGTGCCAGAAATCTAGGACTATCGTACTTGAGTATGATTGTCCTAACTTTACACCAGATACCAGAGGTCCTTTGGGCGAAAATAAAGTAAGAACTGCCAAACATCGCAATGCCCTACGTGCACCATACTGTCGCCTTACAGAGGCAGCTATCGACACACATCCCGCTACGACAAGTGTTGGACCTTCAAGGCTACTACATCAAGATTGCCAATCTTGGAAGGACATATGGCCACGCACCGTACGTTATGGGCCAATATGACCACCACCCATCGAACCACACAAGTCCTGCCTGTGGGACAGGCATCAGTCATTTCTGTCTATATAAGGCCCTTAAGGCCGCCGTTCACTTCATTCAGGACTCTCCAGAGTTCATGACACTTTCAATACAAGACCATTTGCCCACGATCCAACGACAAGACGGATCCAAAGAAAGTCGTGGCCACTTCCTTTTTCAACAAGGGCCAAAAAGTAGCAACATGTCGTGCCTATGGTGATAGCACATGGAAACTCCGTTTCACTGCCTTGGGCAAGAACAAACTCGAAAATCTGGGTTGCCTATCTTCCAAGGAAGATGCAGGAGAGCTCGAGGGCACCCATCCTGATCACCATCGATCCTATTGGTCAGATATTTCTTTATGGCGAAATGTGCACGAAGCCTCAAGCACGCTCAGGTCTTTGTTTCCATGAATACCGACGAGCTGCATCGACTCAAGCAGGCCGAGCTAGAAGGACCAGAGAGAAATCAAAGTCTCACACGCAGCCTGCAGGTCGGTGTCCACAGGGAAGAGACAGCTGCCTGTATCAACTAATATGAGACCGGGGAGACACCAACTCCGAAAGCAGACGATAACCAGCCTCGAAAAGCAAATTTGCAATATTTGCAGCGCCACCGAAAAGACATTTCGACTGCCAAAAAAAAGAGAAACTTGCTGCAGATTTAGCGAAGGAGGGATTGGAGCAGAAGAAGCGGTTGCTATTCCAGAAGATAAAGCCAACGCCCTGGAATAGACAGGGTTGGCATTAGAGCGGTCTAAGGCGATGAAGTCGAAGGCGGCACCTGGCTCGTGAATGGGTTCAAAGCGGGGGGAGCCCCTCACAGCCCACAGGGCGTTTGTGTTAACACCCTATAAATAAGTACATGATGCACTTGAATCCACCTGCGTAAAGTCACTGATGTGGAACAACTTGGCGTACATTTGGAATGTATTTGGAAATGAATTCTTTGCGGGTCGTATCGTTTGTTGCCGCAAACCTCACCGAAGTGAAATTCTTGAGTATGCTTATCTACGCTATGGCTAATCAGGCTTCATTCAATGCGCCATATTGCTGCTGAGCCTCCGGGAATCTCCCTTGGTCCATTTAAGCTGTAAAGCCGGCGTGCAAATCGCGGCGCCTAGATGTGTGGGCTACAGCATTGGCAGATGTGATGAGATTAGTGGCGTTGGCAATCAACTCCGACGCTTTCGCGGCATCCTCCAAATCTATCGTATCCACCTTCTTAGTCCATCCCAGCTCGGTTGGAAGACGCTCATTCTCTGTGAACAACAGTGTTAGATAGAGAGAAGAAGTTCGACCGGCGAGTTCGCCAACTTACCAAAGAAGTACAGCACCAAGTCTCGGTCGACGGTGCCAGCTTCTATATCACCAAACACAATGATCGGAGCAGCCATCTCGCCGATACTGAATTGTTCCGTCGTCGCCGTGAACGTATAGTTGGGGTTAAATGATCTAGACTCAACCTGCCGGAACAACTTGCCGTTGGCCAACATGTTCGCATCGAGGACGTCTCCGGTCCAGTGGCTCGTCGTCGTTTTGAATATGGTTTGGTTGAAGACGTGGTTGTTTCCGAAGAACGCATCTGTGCGACTAGTTGGTGGGATTTAGCATCCTGCTGAGTCTTGAGTCTCGAGGATGATGAGAACAAAAGGCTAACCTCATACTAGCGTCATGTTCCAGGACGTTGTGACGGTTGAGATGGTCACTGGGAGATTTGAGTCAATACTCGTAACATTACGGAAATATTGGTTCACTTACAGTGTGAAAAATGTGGCATTGGACTCCGGGTTGGCAATAACAGCCTGTTCCCACATAATGCTGGCAAGCGAAGTGTTAAAATTGAGTGCAGTGTTCAATGCGTAAACGGCGATTTCCTTCGTTATATTTCTACCGTCATGAGGGAGAAATCCATGGTTTGCCAGTGTGTTCATCATGGGACAAGGGCCTCGAACTGTTGAGTATTAGCAGGCAATGGACAGTGGAGCTTGGGGTATTTCCGTCTTCGTACGATCATCTGCTCCAGCGGGCTCCCATTCTGATGTATTTCCTCGTCGGAAGTGAGGATTCGCGGAAGCCAAGGCAAAAGTCAGTGTGGTGGAAAGAATGGTGAACTTCATCTTGGATGAGTTGTAACGACTTTTGCTGAGATGGTGTGGTAATGACTGGAAGTAGAGTTGGGATGGTGATCAATGTCTCAGTCAATGAGAGAGATATCAGGGTATTATTCAATGAAGACGAGTAACTAGAATGTCTCTTACATCGTTATGACGCCCGGTCCTCTCGATTAAAGAATCTACTCGACATGGGTAGATCAACACCATCCCTGCTAGAATTGCATAGCTTTGGCTTATCAAGATGTTATCCGAGCAAGTGCGACTCTCGGTGGACACAGTAATAGAGTATATTGCCAAATCGCTGTGGCCAATCACGTGTTTTCTGTTTCGCATTACGCTCCGCTTGTACCCTACAGTAAAAGCAAAGCCTATCAGAACTTGAATGATTACCTACCTGCATGACAGCCTTAAAATGAGCATATTGAGGAAATCAGGATGACCCCTGTTGGCGAAACCGACTCGCGCAGGCGCAGGGTCCAGGTAATGACGTTTGACGTTCGACGTTAGATGAACCTCTTGTAGGATTAATGCCATGCATTGTTGTCATTGAAATGAGGGGCAGCGGATCTGAGAAATATGCTAGTGGAGATACCTGCATTTCACTCAGCTCAACAAGCAATACATGTACTCGCCTCGAAGGGGCTCAGGAGCGACAACGCACTAGGAGGATTATGAAGTCCATAGGACGAGGCAGAGAGTAGAGTTCAATAACGAGAATCTACAGGGCATAACATTATCTCCCTTCGCAATCTCATATCGTTTCATGTTCTGAGAAACGAAAAGTCGGTAACGTGGTTTACAAGCGAGTCACGCACCCAAGCGAGTCACGCACCCAAGCTAGTCGCGCACTACTCCCCAAAACGCTCCCTCAACTTTAACAACCTAACTCTCTACGGGTATCTACAGAATTTGATTCAAAAGACGCTTAGTTGAACTTAGCAGTCGAACCTCTTAAATAGGACCTAAGACTAAGTCGTCGTAGGGCTATAACTATGTCAAGGTGTGAGCTTAGGGTTAGCTATTTATTATGTTATACAGTAAGGAAGGAAGGTTAGAGGTCCTGTCGATCGTCTGGTGAATATTCCCGGCTGTATACAGGTAGGTGAACAGGAACGCTGCACGGTCGGAATAGAGCTTCTTCTAGTAGGCGTAGAAGTAACTATAGCGCTTAAGGAAGCGTATAGTCTATTTAGTACCTCTTATAGGTAGTGAAACGGGGTTGTTAGGCAACCTTGGTGGGCTGTGCCAAGACCACCAAGGTTACCACGTGACTTAGCCCTTCGGGACTAAGTCCAACCTTCGTGCTCCATAGGACTAGATAGAATGTCATGCTTTTACAACCTCACAAATCTTTGCGTGTAACAGGGGTCAGGCGGTCAGTAGGATATACCTACCACCTAACACACTGAACAGACGGCTCCAGTACCAACAGATCCCATCTGTTGGTCTGATCAGACGAAGATCGTGGTACTGGTTGTAAGAGCGAAGCTCTTACTGTAACGGGGTAAGGCCGGACATCAGGGAAATAGGTTACGGGGCTAGGGGAAAGTTTATTTTCTCTTCTTTAAGAGGCACAGAGGCAGAGTAGGACACGAGTCCCTCATCTTCACGCATCATCATCCTCATCTTCATATCATCATCTCCTTCTTATCTATATCTTCACCTTCGCTTTTCAGTCAGTTATTTAGTTCAGTTATTTAGTTATTTTAGTTATTCAGCTTATCTTTACGTTCGAGATCCTATTATCACGATACGAGTATCAGAGGCACATCCGACCAACTCGCGCGCTAGACGTGTAAGAGCTTCGCTCTTACAACCAGTACCACGATCTTCGTCTGATCAGACCAACAGATGGGATCTATTGGTACTGGAGCCGTCTATTCAGTGTGTTAGGTGGTAGGTATATCCTACTGACCGTCTGACCCCGTTTCAGTAAGTATCTTATTAAGCCCTCCTCGTAGTTTGATAGTAATGCTTACTAGACGCGGTGTCGTAAGGTCTCGCGTGGGATACCGAATACTCGCGCGAGGCTGTTCTCAGGGTTCGTCTGCGAATAGTGTACAGCGTCTTATATCTTTGAATCCATCGCGATCCAAAAAAATACTTTAATTTAGTAGAGATGTGGTGGTTTAAAGATAAGCTCGTCGAGAAATTAGCCAAATCGGTATCCAGCACCACCTTAGATTGGTGAGCTTAAGCGAATCCGAAAGATGTGGGTTGTGTCGAATATGACGTGTGTCCAATCGAGTAGTCAGAAGTGCGTAAGATTGTATATGAATGAGGTGTGTTGTCTCTGTGTTCTGTTCTCGCGAACTCCCGTTGCTCTGCCTTTTATAGATTCTTTAGAAAATGTCGGAGGTACATTGTTCAGGTGTCTGACCCCTAAGTGGACCGTAACTTTGGTGTTACTTTCGGGAAGAGGGGTTCATTTCGCTGTCTGAACTTTAAGTGACACTAGTCTTCTCTAGTGCCATATTATTTCTGAACCTAGGAACCAGGTGCCCTATCTGACAGGTTGTATCGTAGGAATTCGTAGGTCATTGGCTTTGAAGCTGCGCTAGCATGGTGGACCCTGCAGGAACATGATAAAAAGCTTCGCAGCTCTGATCTAATCTACTATGTAGACTATCTACATAGCTTGGAGCTTCAGCAGAGTTCTAGCCTCACTCAAATCGGTAAGGTTCACTTTCACCATCCCATAGTACGCTTTTCGCATCTGTGAAATAGTGGAGATGAATCGATTCGCATTATCGCTGCCGCGCAGCCTTCGCGCCACAGCAAGGCGCACTAGACTCCCGCTTCTCTACTCGCCCTTCCACCTTGACCACCGTCCTCGTGTCGGCTCCCAACTTTGGAATCCCAAACAGCCCGCAAACATCCAGTGCTCTAGTCTTCCAAACGTCAACCGCAATGTCCCCCGCAGTGTCCGACACAATAGTTGGACATCGCAAGCCCAAGATGGCGTCACGATTCCGGAAGAAGAATATAGGTCCGACCCTGAAGCCAGGTTTCGAACAGCGCGAAAGAGAGTCGGCAGAAAGCTGGAGACAAAGAAACACTTCGAACAACTGATGCGGGCCAATTATGGCGTGGGCTGGATGCCCAGCGCAACAGATGCGGACCGATCAAATCGTGCGACTTGGGAGCAGGCCACAGACCTGCGCAAGAAGGCTGAGGAGGAGCACGGCGGATTCGAAAAGCTCATGACAACCATATACAGCGAGGGCTGGGTGGACGTGCTGGAGGTGCAGCGTGTCGAAGAATACAATGAGCGCATTCGAAAGTTCGAGGACGGCATGAAGGCCAAGTTCGGTGACGCGTGGAAGCAGCACGACAGACGAACCAAGGCCTGGTTCCATCCTTAGATGGATCGGGGTCGGGTTGTTGGTCTACGAGGCTGCATGCGGCGCAACATAGTAAGACATACACCTGGAGAGTGGTATGTGCTCATAGGGGCGCCCCAGCCACGTTGTCCGTGTGGCAGGTACCAAATGCCCTTTAATTGCCTAAATGTGTTGGCCTCATCCCTTTCTCTAAACGGTTCTTAAGCGCGTTTCACGTTGCCTGATCGAACCCCATATGCCACAGCAAACCACATTATGTTAAACACAGGAGCATGGATTCCACAAGAAGAACAACTAGGCGAGTTCTGTTAAGAGTATATGAAGGGAAGCCGGCAGTAGGGGATGCGCGGAACGTACTTCAAACGGAACGGTTATGACATCTGTCAAAAGGGGGGCAAATGTGGCTCAAAACTTAGGATACGCAACACATCAAAAGAAGATTGATGATGACAAGAAAAGCACACCACTGAGAGCATATTTCCTCTATGAATCTGGGTCCATCTAGGGAGTTTCTGAGGACATCCCCCTTGGTTACAAAGTCCACAAAACTACCTCGTCTGTGGCCACTCCAATATACTCTATCCCTCTACTCTGCATAGCAATGAATACCGAAAATATGTGTCCCACCATCGATTTAACATAAAGAAGAGAAGACTTTAATCTCAGTCCATCACATCATCGTCGCTTTCTTCACCTTCATCCCCTCCATGATACATTGACCTACCCAAATCTCCCACTCCACCATCTTCCTCATCGTCCTCCTGCATTACCCCCCTATCCCAAACAAGAAACCCATCAGGCAAGAAACTCAACCCCACCGACTCACGTCGCGTATCCTCGTCCAAGTCGGGCCGGTCAAGCAGCTCCTCGAGCGTCATGCGAGAACCAATCGGCCCGTAATGCGAGTCTGCGTCCCCAACACCGTCGACAAAGGGAACAAGAACACCTCGGTTCGTCCCTCCAAAATGCGACAGGTCGCGGCTGAACCAATGGGGACGCATCTTGTCGAGAATCTCCCAAAAGAACTCTTCAACGTGGTGCACTATGATTTGAAACAGGAGCACTGGGGCCGGAGGTGGGAGCGGATTGCCAGGTGCTGAGCGGGAGATCTGCTTGTGTTCGCAGAACGACCATATAAAGTCCTTGATAAGCTTCAATTTGTGGTTGAAAATAGCGGCGAGGAACTCAGCTTTGGCAACTGCGCATGCTTGCGACAGCTCTTCTGCGCGGTTCTGGCCCCGGATAAACCGCAAGGGTTGCGAGAAGATCATCTCGGCGATTTTCTCCCACGACTCCCGCAAGTGCATTTCCAAATATTCTTTGCGGTACTGTTCGTGATCGTCGGGATAGATCACGCCGTCGATCCTCGCAAAGCAAGGGGGGCACTGTCTGCCTATAGCTTCCCTCGTAAGCCTTTTGACATGGCCTATCAGACACTTCTCGCAACGGTTTTCTGCTTTGCCTCCGAGTTCGGAGTCCGTCAGAGGCACGTTCCTCAGAAAGCCTCGGACAGGCTGGAAAGACCCATCGTGCAACGGCCACTCGATGGGCTCAACAACAGCTTGTTTGATGAACATTTCACATTTCCTGTTTCCGCAGACCATGGATTTTCGGCACAGGGGACAAGTGGCACCAAGAGCTTTGTTCAAGCATACCTTGGAGTGCGCATCCCAGCATTCGGTGCAGAGAATATGGCCGCACTTGAGGGCAACAGTCTTGGCGAGGCCATATTCTCGGTAGAACTCGTTAGGGTCATTAGAAAGCTCTTTGGATAGGAGGTGCTTCAGAATGGCCTCTTTGGCGACGAAGGAGATGTCGAGGGCGACTTGACATACGGGGCATTCGGCCTTGAGGATGAAAGACTCGCAGTCTTGGCCCTGTAGTCCCTGATTGCCGATGATGTTCATGAACTTAGGGATCCAGACAGACTCGACTACGACTGGCTTGACGTGCATAGGGGTTTTGACCTCTGAATGGGATGGGTCAGGTATGTTTTTATAGTTGGTAGTGTTGTTTTGCGACGATGCTCTAGGCTTGCGCAGTTGGTCTAGAACTCAGTGTTGTTTTATGGATAGAACCAGGGAGAGAGCATGGTCTATCGTTGGCACTTTTTCGTACTAAATAAATACTATTCTGGGAGGCGACATTGGCAGTAAACACAAACTGTGTCTCAGAACAACAGTCGAATAGTTTTGAACAAAGATCCGCATGCAGCAACTAAGATCCGAACAGGGATTACTATATTGAAACAATACGGGGTGTGTTGCAAAGTAGTCCAGCGCCAGGGATGGTTCGTTACGGCCTTACAAAGAAAAGCATAACTTCCAAGGGCAGGAATGATTTTATTGTATATGGTCTGATATTGACTTGAGGGTGTAGTGCATGTATGTGGAAGGGGATCTTTTGCAGGCACGTAACCTTGGTCTTCCCGAAATCACACGTTCGCGGACTGTCGTAAGATTTTGGGCATCGTCAAGAACGACCAGAATGGCGGCGCGACGTCCTTCTTCGGCAATCCTCCTCCCTTGACCACAGAGAAGCAGTAACTTAAGGTTGCCGGCAACGTTTTCTAAAAAATATCTGCTATCGCACTTCTAACTGACTTGGCGACGCCATCGTTGACTAATTTGTATTTCGGAGGGAGAGGTGTCGGTCACAAATCGTGCTCCACACGAGGTCGACCCTAATTTCCTCGTAAATGATTCGAATAATAAACCTCATCAGGTTATTGGGGAAATACAGATTGCCGATTCCCCATCAGTGGGATTGCATCACATGAACGCTCCACCATGCTCGTAGGTGCTCTATCAGTCTGTGGTCTTTCGTTAATAATGCGGGCCTTAATTGTTGTGACCTTGAACCAAATTAGGCATGAAAGATGGAGCGATGAAATTACATGCGGATGATTCTTCTTTTCCTACGAGTTTCCAGCATGCTAGTGAGATTTGGGAAGCAGTCCCGTTGCAATCGGGAACCTTTCTTGTTTATGGAATCCATGAACATTCACAGCTGATGGACGTATTTTTATCTCTTTTCCTTTTCTTTTGATTACCGTTTATTATACTGTCCTATGCAAGCCTACGGCTTACGAAGAGAGTGACCTGTAGGCCTTTAATTTATAAACACAAAGCCCAAACCTAAACTCCTCTCTAGGGAGGTATAAGAAAATTACCTCACAGGAATAGCTCATTACTCTTGTGTTGTTTTGGCTAGTGAATGCCGAGGATCAGACTTTTCACACTAACGAGACATGGGAACAGCCTATACTGTGGTATCCTAACCTAAGCAAAGTAATAATATTCAGTACTCCTTAAAACACGTAAGCAATAATTAAACAACCACCCCGTATTTGCGAAAGATCTTATTGACAACTACAAGGCAAAGCTCAACCAGTTTGCCTCGTCATTATCGCCTAAGATGATGGTCGACGCTCACGGTTGATACGTAAAGTCATACTCACTGGATCTGTTGCTACCAGTGGCTTCGAATAGTATATGGAACGAGTGTAAGACTCCATGCACATCAGGGCAGGCGTATTGGTTGTTTACGCCCCACTGCACATCATCTCGGCTAGGAAGGACCGGAGCTGGCGTAACATCGAGCTTGTCGCGACGTGGCCTAGAAGGCTCTAAAACTTATGTCAGCTCTGGGCGGTTCTTCGTCTGATATGTTCGTGGCATGATATTGGAGATGATTGGCCCAGAGTATGAATGAGAAAGTGAGGAGTACGACGGGATTAAGTGAGTCTTGAACTCACACGACTTAGCGGGAAGAGAAATCTGCTTCGCAGCGTGAGCGCTAAAGCGTCACATATACTCCGGCAGGATAGGCCGGCGAAGAGGAAGCAGGCGTCGCAGCTACTCCGACCGGCAGGGTACACTATGGAGAAGGAGGCCCGGGGCTCCGAGTGGATGAGTGAGGAAAAGGAGGTCCCGGCTGCCCTCCTCGACCACTGGAGGAAGAGATGGCTCACCGGAGCAGAGCATCACGATCGCCAGCGACGCGCTATCGCTGAGGAACCGGAGGGCCCTTCGATGCAGATACCGAAAGGGGGCAAGTATTTCGGCCTGAACCGACTGGAGGCGTCTACGCTGTGCCAGATCAGGACGGAAAAAATAGGACTAGCAGCCTTCTTATTCAAGACAGGGGCTTTTGGCGTGTACTCGCCGCTATGCCGCTGTGGCGATGCCCCTGAGACGGCAGAACACGTAATCCTCTTTTGCGGGCTGTTGGAAGGACCGAGGGAACGATTACGGGCCGCCATCGCACCACGGCCACTATACTCTCGCAGAGACCTCGCAACGGCAACAGGAGAACCAGTAGTTAGTGGGACTATTGTAAGATGGCTGCTAGGGACGGGTCGGACAGCTTCAAGGCCCAGATAGCATCGATCTTCTCAGGGGGGACTTTGTTGGTAGGTTGAGAACCAACGTAGTATGGTAGTGAACGCAACGCAGTCGCCAATAGGGCGAACCGACGACGCAGCGTATGTATTTAGTCCAGCCATTAGGGCACGGTTTGACATACGGGAGTACTAGTAGAGGTACCGGGGGCTTCGAGCCTACGGCGTATTTAATAATAATAATAATAATAATGATATTGGAGATAATTGATTAGCCCAGAGTATGAATGAGAAAGTGAGGAGTACGACGGGATTAAGTGAGTCTTGAACTCACTGTATTGTTTGCTTTGGTTGAGCTAGAAGTTTGATGGTGCTTACGAGCTAAAATGGGGTCCCATGGATAATTTCCCGTATTAATTAGTGAACCTGTAGAACGAAGAGACAAATTGGATACTTGTCTTAACTTCTGTATAAGTGCCTTGTGAACCTTGCCGGTTGGTATATTGGCCATCTTCTCGTACTATAGGATCAGCTGAACGGTGATGGTTGGTGTATACCATCAGATGCATGCCATCTACCAATTAGATGTACGAATGCCCTGTCACGTACTCTGTTGACAGATCAAGTCTGGCATTTCCATTGTTGAAGCTGCAACTGTTGGTGCGTAATATAAAAGACTGTCGGGCGTGGAGACATTCAAATTCTCTAACAAACAACAATTTTATCTTGTAAATAATCCATGGTAGTAAATCGAGTTAGGAATGAAGTGATGCTTAGAACTTGCGTTGCGATTGTCCTATAGTGACGCAATCAAGTGTGATATTAGTTACTGCGCATAGGCCTCAGATATTGAGCATAGCCATTTGCCAAGCAAGATTGTGCTAAGAGGTAAGATCACTGGAAAATTTATGAATTGGGTCTGTTGGCACCTGAGGCACTCCTTTGTCCTGATTCCGGATATGGTATAACAGCAGTCATGTTAGCGGGAAGTCCGCTTCAGGGATGCGACCCCTGGCCCCAACTACATAAGACAAAGAGATTGGGGGAACTAGAGGGATGTTGGTACTGCAGATGAATTTGTGCAGGATCGCTAATGCAGTCTCTACTGAGCTGAAGCGATCTCCTGCATCGTCTTGTAAAACTGCGCTGGATCATGTCCAAACCGGCCTAAAAACAACCCATCCACGCCCTCTTTCAACCTTTCAAACAATCCCGGCCCTGCACTCCCACCATATAACACCCTCGTGACTCCTTCCCGCATCTGAACACAATCCAACGCCCTAATCTCTTTGACCACGCTCACGACATACCCAGCCCCGGCCGGCTCCGCTGCTCCAATGGCCCACACCGGCTCATAAGCTAGAATGACCTCTGCATCGTCCGCCACAGCAGCCATCACATTCTCGACTTGAGTTCTGCACTCATCGACCGCGATACTGACTTCCCCCTTTGTGCGCTCACCTATGCAGACTAGGGGGATCATGCCATTCCTCGCCGCTGAACGAGCCTTCTTCGCAACATCCTCGTCCATCTCGCCAAATATGCGTCTTCGCTCCGCATGGCCCACTTCGACTATGCGGCAACCTACCTCGGCCAAGACACAAGGGGAAACCTCTCCCGTGTATGCCCCGGAGTCTTCGTAGAAGGCGTCCTGGGCGCCTGTCATGACTTTGCTGCCTTCCAACTGCGCGATGACCGAGGTTAGAGTAATATGGTCCGGGATGACAAATATGTCTATTTGGTCGAGTATTTTGGGCGATTTGGAGAGGTGTTGTAATAATTCGGCGATGTAAGCTTTGGTCCTTGCGGCGGAGAAGTACATCTTGGTGGATACTCCGACGATTCGGCGCCGGGGTGGGGATGGCATGGCGGAAGTTGATCAGCTATAGCAGAAATCAGATTTGCGAGAGGAAATTTCTGAATACGGAGATCTGAAGTAGTCTCTGGGAAGGCAAGGACTTGGAATATGCGAATGAGCGCTACGTAGGAAGGTGGACGACGCATCCTGGTAGACGGGATGAAGTTGCTTTTTACGCTTGCCTCTACATCTCCGCACCGGAGCTGCAGGTGGTTCCACTTTGGGGCGTTATGGGTGATGTTCCCCGGATTCTGCATATGATAATATCCCATTGTTTAAGACATCATTTAACTCAGTATACCTTCCTTCTTATTTGCCAACTAGACTCTCATTTACTGTAGCAATTTCTGCAAGGCCACTGGGGCAAATTGCACAGGTAGATCTGGGTACTTAGTATACAACGGCCTGCAAGAACCTCGTACTGGGGAGAAACCCTGGCGCTCCCATCCACCCTAAGCCAACATCTAACATACCTATTGTCAACAACTACCCTTCACTTCTTCGTCCATCCCCCCTATCCCCTCCCTTTCATACTCCCCAATAACCTGCACCTTCCCCGCACTCCCACTCGCTGGATCAAACCTATACCCCAACCACTCCCTGACCAATCGTCTCGCCAATTCCAACCCCACGACTCGTTCCCCCATACACAGCACCTGCGCGTTATTACTTAACACAGCCCTCTCGACCGAAAAACTATCGTGCGCCGTTACGGCCCGCACGCCACGGATCTTGTTCGCCGCGATGGCTACCCCGAGCCCAGTGCCGCAGATTAGTAGGGCGCGGTCGCACTCCCCGGAGGCGACGAGCTTGGCAGCTGCGGCGGCCCGGTGAGGGTATGCAGTCTTGTCGGAGGGGGTGGAGGAGCCGACGTCGGTAATGGATTCGACGCGGGGATCGGAAGTGAGGTCGTGTTTTAGTTGGGTTTTGTATGATAGGCCTGCTTCCTAGAGGAAGTGGGCGTTAGTCGTGCCGGTTAAGATCGTGCGTGGGTCTGAGGAAGGAGGTGAGGGAGGTGGAGTATGGGGATGTGTGAGTGCACTTACATCGCAGCCTATTGCGATTTTCCACTTGGGTTCCGCCATGATGAGTTTTGTGGATGTAAATGCAACTTCAAGTATCGCAACCTACGATGGGAGAATTTCTGCAAATTTCACATCGTCTCTTCACATTCACCGAAAGCGTAGGTGGACTAGTATGACAAGTACCCTACGTCACATGTGGTAACCCGAAGCGCCCCTCGGCACATTATCACCCATATCCCCATGTTGGCACCCGGGTATAAGAACCGTCACCTGCGGGGAAATGAGGAGGTGGCCAAATTGACCTTTTCCGAAGTCTGGGGTACATAATCACGAAGCGAGCTAATAACTGTGACACCTCCCCGCTCCCCGCTCCAAATCGAGACAAGTAGCCAAGCCCATGGGTGAATTGGGGAATACAACTCACCTATTGGACAGTATCTTGTATATGCATGTGAATTGCCTCTTGTGAGAGTCTATAACCCCTCCCCATGCCGATTTCGCTCTGGGTAAAGCTTCGTAACGCCTCCCCTGTGGCCCCTCATCAACTGTGAAGACGCCCTCGTGTAAGTTTACACCGAGCGCAAGTTTCCTCGGGTTACCCATTTCGGAAACTTGAGTGAAGCGGAGTTTGGGATGCAGGGAACTTGAGATACACCAGTCTCCAATCTCTCACACACACTCGGAACTTCAGTTCACCTACACGTTCGATAATCGCCAGCAGTAACACAAGATATCAGACACAAGATACACCATGTCGAAACGCCACCTCTTCAGCTCCCCTGTAGGCCTAGTACCCAAGTCTCTCCGCGGCCTCATCGCCTACAACCCCACGCTCAGCCTAGATGAAAGCAACCGGGTCGTCTTCGACCCCTCACACCCACGCAGCCAAGTAAGCCTGGTCAGCGGCGGCGGCTCGGGCCACGAACCCGCTTGGGCCGGATACGTGGGCACGAATCTCCTCGCGGCCTCAGTGGCAGGGGACATCTTCGCGAGCCCGAGCACGAAGCAGATCCTCGCGGGGATCGAGGCCGTGCCCTCGGATAAGGGGACCATACTAGTGGTTACTAATTATACAGGAGATTGTCTGCATTTTGGACTCGCGAATGAGAAGGCAGTTGCGAGGGGGGTTAGGTGTAGGATGATTATATGTGGAGATGATGTTTCGGTGGGGAGGAAGGGGGATTTGGTTGGAAGACGCGGGCTGGCGGGGCAAATTGGGGTGTTGAAGGTTATGGGCGGTGCGGCGGGGATGGGGGCGTCGTTGGACGAAGTATACGAACTTGGCGTAGCGTTCTCAAAGCAGATCGTGTCGATCGCTGCGACACTGGATCATTGCCATGTCCCCGGAAGGACAGAACACGGTATACTCGGCAGCGATGAAGTCGAATTGGGGACAGGACCTCATAATGAGCCTGGGTACAACAAAATCTCCCCTGTCCCGTCACCAGAAGACCTCATCAAGCAGATCTTGACCAACTGCTTGGACGAGAACGACCCAGAGCGAGGATACGTCCACTTCCACCCTGGCGACGAGACCATTCTCCTCGTCAGCAACTTTGGCGGTATGTCCTGCCTCGAAATGGGCGCGCTCGTCGACGAGCTCCTCAATCAGCTCGCCCGCGACTGGGATATTGAGCCTGTGCGCGTGTGTGCCGGGCCCCTGGAGACGTCGCTTAACGCGCCTGCTTTTTCAGTGTCCATCATCAACGTCACCAATGCCGCGAAGAAATGTACCTATTCCGTTGAGGAGATTAAGGCATTCTTTGACGCGAGGACCAACACATGCTGGGAGTCGGTGGCAGGAGCGCAGACCCAGAGGAGGAAGAGGGAGGAGCAGTTCGTGCTGCCGCCTGTGGAGGAGAGGAAGATGGTGGATGAGTCTAAGGATTTGAAGGTTGACCCGGAGAGATTAGAGAAGATGTTGCGTGGGGCTTGTGAGGCGCTGGTGGCTGCAGAACTGGATTTGACAAGGTGGGATACCGTTATGGGAGACGGGGATTGTGGCGAGACGCTGAAGACGGGGGCGACCTCGCTGATGGCTGCTCTTGATAACGACAAGCTAGCTGCTGAGGGGTCCGTGGGAGCAGTATTGCTTGAGTTGGAGGATATCGTTGAGAGCAAGATTGGCGGTACCTTGGGTGGTATCCTGGGCATCTTCTTCGTGTCCCTGCGTACGGCCGTGGAGCAGAACATGGACCTTGCTAGTTCCGAGGGTGTGCCTGAGCTCTGGGCTAAGGCGCTCAAGATTGCGTTGGATAACTTGGGGCGGTATACCCCGGCCAAGGTGGGCGATCGCACAGTTATGGATACCTTGATTCCCTTTGCAGAAGCCTTGAAGTCGGGGAATTTTGATGATGGGATTAAGGCGGCTGTTAAGGGGGCCAAGGCTACGAAGGCCATGACGCCAAGGCTAGGGCGGGCGACCTATGTCGGTGCAGATGCAAGCAAGGAGATGCCGCCGGACCCAGGTGCTTGGGGGGCCATGGTGGCTATTCAGGGGTTGAGGTCGGGAATGTAAGGTGCGGCAACGGTCTAATCTGGTTCACGTTATAGTACCTTCATAATAATAAGGAAACGGACTTTGTAATACCAGCATGTGATCTTAAACGTCTATATCCTCTCCATCAGGTGAGATGGCTTGTATACTATGACTGGTTCAATGGCGCAACCACCACCTCTACGCCTTTCCAGCACTCCCCAACTGACGCATATACTCCTCGATCGCCGTCTGCATTGCCTCCGTCCCAGCCTCAATAACACTCGTCAACGGCCTCCCCTGCATCTCCGCCTGCACCCTCGCATAATGTTTGTTCATCCCCTTATTAATATTGACCTTACTCACTCCACCACGAATACACCTCCTAAAAATCTCCTCATCAAACGGATCCGCCCCATGCAACACCAACCTAGCCCGATCCCCAACCCTCTCATTAATCGCCTCCAATCGCTCATACTCAAGTATTATTCCCCGAGGCCCATACTCCCCATGCACGTTCCCAAACGCTGGGGCCAGCATCTCGATCCCCGTATCCACAAACTCCTCCGCCTCCTCGGGCGTCGTAAGCAGACCCTCCAAATCGGCCGTCTCCGCTACCCCGTCCTCCCCACCCTCGATCCGTCCCGGCTCCGCTTCCGCCGCAATACCCCGCGCGTGACAATACTCCACCAACTCCCTCGTCAACTTGAGATTCTCCTCTTTCTCGTAATGCGACATATCGCACATAATGCTGTCGAATCCATCCGGGATATCAGCCGCGCGACGGACGAGCTCGGGCGTCTGCGCGTGGTCTAGGTGTAGCGACACGGGGACCGAGGCCGTGTGCGCGGTGTTGGCGGCTGCGAGCACGAGTGAGGAACCTGCGTATTCGATGGCCCACGGGAAGAGGAGGACCATGGCGGGGGAGCGGACTGATTCAGCCGCTCGGATCGTGGAAATTATCGATTCGATGTTGTAGCAGCACATCCCCGGGACGGCGTACCCACCTGCGCGCGCGGCATTAAGGATCGCCATGGAGCGGTTGTTTGAGAGATCGGGGCGGGCCATTTTGCTTTCCTGGGGATATTTTGATGATGGGGTATATGCGTAGTTGATAAATTTCCTGAGTGAGGTCGATTGTATGTATATTAGTTTGGTGTTACACGCGTCCGTGAAGATGCAGATCGTATAGTCAGGGGTAGACGTTTTCCGAGAAGTGCTGTTCTACCCAATATTACACCGAACCATGGGGATATTGCCATTTGTCACATTCTGGGCCCCCGCGCGAGAGGTACATCGTGGGGTAAAGCGATGTCGACGTACGTTTTCGAGACTATAGGAGTGGGGAAGGAGCGGGGATGGGCGCCCCGAAATCGCTCGGTAAATCAGAGAACATAACCGAGTAAGCAGAAATTCCTATTTGTCGGGTGGCTGGCCTTGGATTCCATGTTCACTGCCATTGCTGGGCCATTTGCTCTCAGCAAAAAGTATTATACACTAAGATTGCCCAGGTGGAGATTTGGCAGTTGCGCATTTCGCGGCGGAGCACCACTATAAGCGTCAGAGTGGAGCACAAGCACCACCACCACCAAAGATTCCATCCCAAACCGGCAGCAAAAGATCACTTAGTGATGAACACCCCCGACTTCATTCTCATGTCATTATTCGCTGCGTAGTCGATATCCAACGAAGAAAACCAAGGCACATAGCGCACAACCATGACATCCCCCAAACCAGACATAGCCTTCATCGGCCTCGGCGCCATGGGCTTTGGCATGGCTACCAACCTGATCAAGAAAGGCTACCCCGTAACCGGCTTTGATGTCTGGGACCCGACCCTCGAGCGATTCAAATCCGCAGGCGGTCTCACGGCCACCAAACCCGCCGAGACCGTCAAGGATAAATCCTACGTCGTATGCATGGTTGCCACAGCGCAACAAGCCCAATCTGTCCTACTCGAAGGGCCCGACGCCGCCGTGCCGGCCTTACCGCAGGGCTCAACTATCTTGCTCTGCTCCACGGTCCCGTGCTCCTATGTACAAGGCCTCGAGAGGCAGCTCGTTGATATGGGAAGGGCCGACATCTACTTAGTCGACGCTCCCGTCTCAGGCGGCACCTACCGCGCCGCAGATGGGACCCTCTCCATCATGGCAGGCGCCTCCGAAGCCGCTCTGTCAAAATCCCGGTTTTTGTTGCAGGAGATGTCCGACCCAGCAAAACTGTACATCGGCCCCGGTGGCGTAGGAGCAGGTAGTAATCTGAAAATGGTGCACCAGGTCCTGGCAGCAGTGCAGATCCTGTCTAGCAGCGAAGCAATGGGCTTCGCCTCACACTTAGGACTGGATCTCCCTCGCACAGCTGAGGCGATTAATTCATCTAAAGGCAGAAGCTGGATGTTCGGGAACCGCAGCCCGCGGATGCTGCACCCCGAGTTTCAACCAGTCGCGAGCGCGTTGACGATCATTCTCAAGGATACGAGTATCATCACCGCCGAGGCAAGGAAAGCTGGATTTGCGACGCCGATGAGTAGTATTGCGGAGCAGGTTTATTTCGCCGGGTTAGGGAGAGGTTTTGGGAAGGATGATGATAGTAGTATGATTCGGGTGTATACCGAGGGGAAGGGGAAGGTTGGGCCCATTAAGGGAGGGGTAGAGAGTGAGGAGGGGAAGGTGAGGCTAGTTGTAGGGTTGTTGAAGGGTATTCATCTGTGTGCCGCGGCGGAAACGCTAGCGCTTGCGAAGAAATTGGGGTTGGATTTGCGGCAGGTTATGGAGTTGTGTGTTAATGCTGCTGGGGGTAGTTACATGTTGGAGGCGTTTGGGCCGGAGATCGTGGGTTTACTTGATGCAAAGAGTTCAGGTACAAAGAGCAGTGGAAGTCTCGATGTCATCATACAAGGGCTACAGGACGCAGTGGAGGAAGCACAAATGCTCAAGATGCCGCTGTACCTGGGCAGCCAGGCGCTGAACATTGCGAGATTGGCGTTGGCAGCGCGTCCAGCAACATCAGCTGAGGCAAAGGCCGGAGACATTGTAAGAGTTTGGGGTTGGTAAATTAATCACTATATCTTGCATCTCCTTGTGTAAGTCGGCATATTTACGAAATGCTACTATTTAGTGATCCATAACCGCTGTTCCAAAAGTATTGAAACAACACTGTTCTCTACCAAGGAGCAATATACCCAACATACCGTTGGAGAGGCTTATCAGTTAACTCGCATGCCGATTCGCAAAAGTCAAGATTGTAGTGCAGTGCAGTTTACGTGAAATAAGACACCATTGCCCGTTAGTCGGAATCAGGTTCTAGGTTAGCATGTTCTTCGCTTATTCTGTCCTCGTAACTACTAAAATTGCACCAAAGCGTAACTGGAAATACTAGCGCGGTGGTACATCTTAGTCGTTTGGCAGGACCCGGAAGAGTCCACCATTAGTGCTTAGGGATGTTACTTTTATGCTGGTGCCGCGCAATATTATGTATACTACCATGTCTGACAACCCTGACAGCTAGGTATAACCTGTGCCAACACCAGGACGACCGACTTGAAATGTAATGATGTTCATCTAGATTGGTGAAATAAAGTAGAACTGAAGCGACATGACTATCACTGTGTATAAAGATACAGCGTCACAACACGGAATAGAGGTGTTAGACCAGGTGTAAATATACGTGTTAAGAAGAAAACGGGGAAGACATTGCTGTGCAGGTTTACTTTCGTATTTCATATTGCCCGTGAGGATAATCGTCATGTGCTATCGAGCTGTCAGGAAACAAGTAGACAACCCAATGTTTAGCCGTCCATGGTCAATCCGATCGTAGGATCGAGTACCAGACGAATGGGTACAAAGTAACAAGGAAGAACAGAAGCAAAGCTAGCCTCGCTAGCAGCTTACAATATCCCTGCAGCATATGAAGATTGAAATGATGAGACTGGGCATGGCAGCAGATCAGCTGTCTCATCATGGAAATTGCAATGGCCAGGAAGGCAAGCACAAACCAAACTTCTATTCCACTTGCATCGTTAGATCAGTTTAATACCGATCGCTTCATGAATGTAATTCGATCTAGTCGTTGCATGTCTATTTGTGCCAAGCTCCCAGGAGTCAGATATCCGTTAGTGGCACACCTGTTTACTGCTTGCTATGTTGTTCCCGGGCAATCATTGTGGCATCAATGGTATATTTTGTATCAAACAGCAGCTCTAGTCAAGTTATTCATTCCCATATTATCACGTCAACAACTCAAGCCATACAACCACGCTCAGAGCTATATCTATCCGCTGTACTGCAAGTGCACCCCTGTCCCCCCGCCAAAGGATCATGACCAAACGCCGTAATAGAAGACACAACCGCCTCATCATTGAATCTAAGCAGAAGCAGCAGCAGTTCGTCTGTTCAACGCACCGCCTCTCCTTGCACCAACACCAGCCCCGGTACCAGGTCGCGCTAGTGTGTACTTGGCGAACGCCCTAGCAAGGGCCTTCTTGCAGCTGACCTTTTGGCTGCCGACGAAACTTTCAACAGTGACTGCAATGGCCCGATCAATGTCCTGGGCACTACAGTACTCGGATAGACGCATGCGACAGAAGGCCTCCGAGATACGGATGATGGCTTCCAAATGACGGACCTAGTTCATCTTTAGTGTTAGGACATCATTGAAGTCTGATACGAGAGACATACCGTGATTGGGTAAGCACCTGTCGCGAGTGATTCGCGGCGCATATCGGCGAACAGACGCGCCACCTTGTCCTCGTCCATGTTCAGGAGCTTGGGTTGGCAGTGATCGCGGGCATACAAGATGTATTTGCGCAAGAGTTCTTGTGGGATCTGGCCCTCTTTATGCTCTTGGTCTTCCTGGCTCTCAGCCGCAGCTTGGGATTCAGGATCAACTTCCATGGAGTCCTCTCCACTTTGGGTGGTAGGATGACTTCGACTGTGAGAACCAACAATGAAGCGAGCAAGACGTTCATCCTCCGCTGGATCCACAGTATCACGCACAACGCAGAGGATGTCGAAACGTGACAAGATGGGCTCAGTCAGTTCCACGTTGGCAGAAAAGGGAATGGTAGAGTTATAACGGCCTCTGATAGGATTGGCGGCGGCAATGATACCACAGCGTGCTTGAAGCGTCGTCACAATCCCGGCTTTGGAAATAGAGATTGTTTGCTGCTCCATGGCCTCGTGGATGGAAGTTCGGTCTTGGTCGTTCATCTTGTCAAATTCGTCAATGAGGCAAGTACCTCTATCAGCAAGCACAAGAGCACCACCTTCCAGTGTCCATTCGCTGGTCAGGGGATCACGACGGACACTAGCCGTCAGACCGACAGCAGAGGCACCTTGACCTGTGGCGAACACAGCCCGATGCGCCGTCTTCTCAACATACTTCAGCACTTGGGATTTGGCGGTACCGGGGTCACCAAGGAGAAGCACGTTGATATCTCCACGGATGTGATGATCGCCTCTAGTGGTCTTGGCAACACCACCAAAGAGCGACAGGGCAACTGCCGTCTTGATGTCGTTGTGCCCGTAAATGCTAGGCGCGATGGAGTTGACAACCTTGTCGATGATCTGAGGATCACGCGACAGTTTCCGGATTGCTTGCTCATCTTCATCGGTGAGTCTGAACCCGGCCAGTTGATCGTGGGCCTTGACCACATTATTGGCCTCGAGAATCGTGGCAAAGACGGGGAAGCCATTGCGGTTATTCAGCTGGGCGTCGTAGTTGTTTTGGTAGATGCCGGTAATTTCAATTTCCTCGCCAGGTTTGGCCTTGTCGATCAGATCCCAAAGCAGAATGACCTCTCGGTGTCTCGGGAGACGACCAGCAGGAACAGTACCAGGCGCCTCTTGTAGGGTGAGCTTCTGGTAGTTTCGGTACACGGTTTTCTCGGAGTTCAAAGTGAAAGGACCCCGCGACTGGCAGCTCTGGCAATATGTAATCCTCACTTCAGCGTTCGACTCCTGCTGGAAAGGACCCAATGTAATACCGCACTTAGAGCAGTCAAACTTGACGTACTTCAACTGGGGGAACACACCGGTTCGCCGAGTGACGACACCGCTGACTCGAACCAAGCAGTTCAGATGTGACTGGCGCAGTTGCCGGAGAGTGTAGTGAACGGGGAGGTCGAAGATGCGGACATGAATCTCCTGGTGGATGCGCTCGTAGTCTGGGTAGTGAAGAAGCACGACATCCATGGCCACATCATCAAACAGCTTGAGCATCTCGGCAGGGGCATTGGCAAGGAAGTAGGCAAGAATGGCCTTGGATGTTGATAGGTGCTCATACGACACCTCGAGGGTCTCGGCATTGATCTCACCAAGGGTACGAATGCGGTTTCCATAGACGGAAGAGCCACTCTCATCAGTGTACTCTGTCAGGAAAGCCTTGAACTCTCTCTTGATCGTTCGCTGAACGGCGGGCTGAGCCACCCACTCCGTCAAACTGGAAGCCTTGACATCTTGCAGTGCTTCCAAGGAGAGTTCTTCGTCCATGATGTCCTGGTCCATCTCGTCATCTGGGTCTTCGTCATAGGCGTGACGCCGGCGACGGGGCTGGGCGGTGAGATCAATATCGCCATCTTCGTCTTCTTCGCCGGGGAGGAACGCAGCGGGCATTCCTCGTCGTTGGCGCGCCACTTCACGGTCTCTGCGGTTCAGTTGGGCCTCGAGGCGTCGTCTGTCGCCGAGACTAAGGTCTTGGTAATCTCCCTCGTCATCGATGTCAATTGCTTCGTAGTCATCATTGTCGTCTTTCGATTTGTAATCTCGCTCGAAGCCCTCTCGGAAGAGATCGACGTCGTCCTCAGCCATCTCGTCAAGATCTTCGAGATCGTCCTCGATCCCGCCATCTTCGGCAACCTCGTCATCATCGTCACCGCCATGTGCAATGTTGAAGGCGGGAGGAGACGACGGCATCGGGCTAGAAGCTGCGACAGAGGAGCTGGCATCACCGCCGGTGCGAGCACGCTTTCGATTGCCTCGTGGAGCGGCGCCTCGGTTGGCCGAGTCCATGTTGCTGCGCAATGGTGAGCTGGGTGGATTTTGAGAACTGCAGGCGGTTAGTTAATGTTCGTTCGGGTCAAAAGAAACAGGGCTTGTTGGGGTGCGGGAAATGCATGCCTCATGATGATTAGTTGAAGTCGTCGGAAAGGCCTACGAACGTTGTCGTCGAAGACTTGCGAGTATTTCCAGACTCGAAAAGATTGATGGTAAAAGCAGTTTGAGAAGAAAAGACGATCCGAATAGACCAGGAGGGGCCGATAGGAGTGGCTCCTCTCAAAATCCATTAAAACAGGGCAGCCGCGTTTTCGCGTTCCTCCCTGACACGCGACGCGACTTTACAGTGGTTGCATGACGCTAGACCCGATGGACACTAAATGGTCGATATGTATCAGTAACTAGCAGTCGCGATTTGATTGGGAGGCGCGTTGTTTGACTGGTTCACTTGCAGCTCACTTGTAATGACCGTCACCAATGTGACGCTTGTGGTGTGATCTGTTGCATTGAGAACGCATCTTCACTATTTCTTCATTTGGTCTTGTCATTCAAATTTCAATTTACAGATCCTCTTCATCAACAGCAATTGCCGGTAATCCCATCTCCACAATGTCTTGCGATCCGCTCATCACCACGGCCGCCGAAGGCTCCCAAAACGCAACCACAGCGGATGCAACTAAGGCATCATGCGAGCGCCGTGACAGCTTGTCGCAGCGATCGGAGGACTCCCAGACTGCCGCCGATTTTATCAGAGATCAGATGCAGCTGGAAGCTGATGCGCGTGAAGCTCTGCCTTACGTGCGTCTTCATATAACCTCGTCTGCCTTGGATGACAGCCTGCTGACACCTGACAGAGCATTGAGAACTGCACCAAGCAACTTGGTCCTCTGCGACAAAATGTGTTTGCCTGCCTCACATGCAACCCGCCTCCTGCGAACTCAACCGATACCTATAATCCGGCTGGTGTCTGCTACTCATGCTCGGTGCAATGCCACGGCGAACACGACTTGGTCGAGATCTTTCAGAAGCGCAACTTCACCTGCGACTGCGGTACTACACGATTCAAACATGACCAACCATGCACACTACGCGTCAACACCCAGACAAATACCAAGGGTGACGTCCATTCCGAGGCGGCTGATCCCAACAACAAATACAATCAGAACTTCAGCAACCATTTCTGCTCGTGTTCTATCGACTACAAGCCCCAGGAGCAGAAGGGTACCATGTTCCAGTGCTTGGGGCTCGGAACGCATGAGACAGGCTGTGGAGAGGATTGGTACCACCCAGGGTGCCTTGTTGGCATGGGTCCCAAGTGGTATGAGAAGATGAGCGGGAAGAAACCGGCGAATGCTATGTCAGACGGCGTGCTACCGTCAATTGCAGAGGATACTACACAGCAAGATGATGCGGATGACGTCGTGATTAGCGCAGATGCAGATGAGGGCGACGACAATGATGCGCCGCTTCCAGACGGCTTTCCTGGCGAAGAAGACTTCGATCACTTCATCTGCTACAAGTGCGTTGAGGCTTACCCTTGGATCAAGCGATATGCGGGAACCACCGGGTTTCTTCCCGCCGTCTTTTTCCAAAAGGAACAACCCACAATCAAAGAGGCCGCGGCACAAGACGACGCAACATCACCAAAGAAGCGAAAGCTTGACGACGAGGAGTCCGCGGGGGCTGTTTCGAACCAACCAAAGCGCATCAAGAGTGAACAGCCGGAAAGCCTCAAGACAACAACCTCTGCCCTCGACCAGATCCCAGCCCAGGTCAAAGAAGAGATGAAAGATAACGTTCCACTTGCCCGAGAAAGCGCCTGCAAACTAAACTCTCTCCCGCCAGCCCCACAGGACCAGTTTTCCCTCTTCATGACCCCAGGTTTCCGCGACCAATTCTGTCGCTGTGATGCCTGCTTCCCCGACCTTAAGCCCCACCCCCAGCTGCTGGAGGAAGAAGAGGCGTATGAGCCGCCGCTTTCGGACTCGGCGTCCGATCACGGCTCCACGCACGGCAGCGGCTCGTTGTACGAACGCGGCGAGTCGGCGCTCCGGAACGTGGATCGCGTGCGTGCTATTGAGGGCGTCATGGCGTACAACCATCTCAAGGACAAGCTGAAGCCGTTCTTCCAGCAGTTTGCTGAGAGTGGCAAGGCGATCAGTGCGCAGGATATCAATGATTATTTTGCCAAGCTGAGAGGTGATCAGGAGGCGATCAAGGAGGCTGGGGATGCGGCGAAGGATGGTGACGATGGCGATAACAGACGCGAGCAGAGCGGGTATTGATGGCGATGTGGTAGGGACAGCGGGGCGTTCGCAGGACCTGGTTTGCAGATTGCAACACAGAAAAAAACGATAAGGTCTGACGATGTATGGGTATATCGATGGTTTGGGTCTGGGCTGGCGTCTGGTTGTGTATAAAATTCAGGATCGAAGAGGATCATCCCAAGGATACTCGACGTTAGGTTGGGACAATGCTATTGCAAGGACTAGGAGCTCGACATAATGCAGAATGAGAAAGAGAAAGAGGAGAGCTTGAATTATGGGCAATGTTGGGTTTGGATTGACTTATAATGCTGGCTCCCACGACTTCTCCCCTTAAACCAGCCCCTACCCAAAACTACCTCCGACGTGCTGCTCTCGTCTCCCATTCCCCTTACCTATCTCCTCTACTACGTGCCTAGATTATGTGTTTAGAAATCGAGTGTAGATACTCAGAAGTGCCTTTGGTTGTGACAGGTCTGGCCGATCTGAATACGATCTTGGCTTGCAGTTTCCTCGATGTCTTCTGCAATGATCGTTGCCCTGAGGAAAACAAAGTTTACTCGAGTGACGTGAGTTTTTATTCAAACAGAGTGACAGATATCTATGCTCGACATCTTCCGAAATTTTCAGTCAGCACTCTTTTCATTTCATCATTTTTCGTTCAGTATCTGACATGTCACATCTGCTTGGCCATGAAAGCGCACGTGGTATGCGATGGCGGTTATGCGAGCAGGCTTCGCTAACACATGCTGTATCCAGATTTAGCCACTCCATAAAGGCCGAAAACCTCGAATGTACGAGGTTCATGTCAATGAATGTAGTAACATTCGATTTCGTTGACCCTGGTTGCGTGTCATGTCACTTGGTATTGTCTTCAGCATTGGATGCAACAGCCCTATTGTGAGACGTTGGCAACCAACAAACCAGCCCGTTTTCTGATACCGCTGGACGGTTTTTTTCTTGGTACATTCCGGTGAACATCCGAACATGGCTTTGAAGCTCCGCATCGTCGGATAATCGCCCAGGTACCACCCACAAGCTTGACTGTCAAAAGGCTTTTTCAACTGCATAATGTAGATGCGCCTTTCATCAGACGATTTCATAGCTTGATCACTATAAATGTGACTTAAAATCGAGTTCATATGTGCTTGAATTTATTTCCTGATCTGCTACCGCTCAGGCTACTACTCTAAGATTTCGACGTCCTTCTCCGTCCGCTATAACAAGACTATTTGTAAACCCGTAGGTTGCATTAATGCAATCTCGCGACTCGAGATGGTGGCCACCAAGGTTCCTTTGGTTCTTCTCATTGTTTGGCCAGGCGTGACCGCTTGGGTATAACAGGACGATTCATCATTTGTGTGGCCCGATTTCAGTTCCCTTTTAAGTGCGGTTGGTACAGTCGTAGCTGCTTTCGGGATTGTTACTTGAATTCAAGATTCAGTAATGGCATGACCAGTGTGTAGTTTCATACAATGTGGTGACCACAGGCAACTTTGTAATCCCAAATCCCATCCACGATTCCGAGTTCATCTTTCCCCTGTTTTCTTTTTGCTGCTGACTATGGCCTGGCGAGCACAACGGATATAGCTTTGTTAACTTCTCTATAAGTTGAGAATAAATTAGATTTCATATACCAATCATAATATTACAAGACCAATCTTGCTTCTCATAACATCCACTGGTTATCTTACAGGTAAAAATAACAGAAGGGGCCAGAAGTGATACTCATGACCTCCCTAATTGTCGTAGATGGAGCGGCATATCCCATGTCAATGACAACAGAAAGTGATGTGAGAATCCAGATACCGATGATCCAACGATTTTGAAGACTAAACACTTCCGTCAACTCGACCCAACGCAATTTACTTGACAAAGAGTCAACACATTTAGTCAAAGCCAACCTAGTTTTAGAGAGCAACATGTCCGTCTCGTATCGTTGAATCGACGCCCCAACCATTACGTTGAGAGATAAAGTATGGAAGCAACACCAACAACGAAGATGCCCAGATCGGAAGTATTTGTCATCGTTCGAGTATATCTGGAGGCTTGGATTTCCCAGATGGTGCTGAATTCGACTATACCACAAAGTAACACATGTTGAACCGAGCTATGAGAAGTTCGGTCGTAAACTCATACGAAAGTATGTCAGTATTTCAATAACACAGCATAGTTGATTTCTTTATAGAAGGTGGCGACGGAAAGTTATAGACGATGACATAGTCGCTGTTTTCTACAGACCGCCCGGCAGCGCATTGTCAAGCAAGGGTAAGGTGAACTTGGTAACTATGGTAGAATAGTGGACGTGTTGGGGCTAACGCGTCCACCATGTTCTCCTTATCAGTAGAACCAATCCGGGCCAGATTTATCCATGAATACCTTTCACTAGACACATTATCGCCCACCGTCTTGTCTCTAGACCATTTTCTGCACTGCGCTTGATCAATGAAAGCCTCCACACGAATCTGGGGGTAGCACTAGCCCCTTTTTTACTCTAGGAACCCTTTGGGTCAACCCAAATATAAGCTCAGTGGCTACCGATCTGGATACACAGAACCAGAGTTCCCAAAAGCATGGAATAATTACAAGCGGAAATTATCAATAGCCCAAAATCTCTAGACAGGCCAATGGCATCTGCTCAATCCTTTATCAGGGGTCCTATTTTTGCTTCACATTTGCGCCTGTCTCACCCAAGGTACTGACATCGGAGAAGTGTCCTAGATTTCGCATGGCAAAGTACAAAACCAGCCAATTTCCGTTCACTCTCGATGTAACTATTTCCTCTGCATTCATTCCTTTTTGTCGTCTTGCATTACAGATATTGCGTCGCTTCGTTGTCTGAACGAACGAATGACTGAGTCTGCAACACATTACTAGATAAAAAGCCTCTGTCTCTGGTATTACCAGTCTTTCCGATAATCAATCTTTCGAGGAGCTTTCCTCGCAGTGTTGATATACGTAAAATTTCCCAACCTCAAATCGAAAATGGGGAACAAGTCCATCACCCACAACTCCATCGGCACGATACCAGCCTCCGTCGACTCTACCACCGAAGGCCATATGGCAACCCAGTCCAACGATGCGGCCGCTGCCAAATCGCACACGTCGCTCAATAAGGCCATCACGACGCGCCAAATCATCTTCATGGCCCTCGGCGGCTCCATCGGCGCCGGCCTCATGTTCGCCTCCGGCAACGGCCTCCGCGAAGGCGGCCCCGGCACTCTCATCACGGGGTTTTCCATTGTAGGCTTCGGCGTCTGGTGCACCATGTGTGCCCTGGGCGAGCTTTCGGCTACCTTTCCCGTGCAGGGTTCCTTCTACGATTACTCGGTTCGCTTCATCTCGCCTTCGTGGGGTTTCGCTATGGGGTGGAACTACGTCATGAATTTTATCTTGATTGTACCCTTTGAGATCACGGTTATGGTCCTCGTGGCCAAGTATTGGAAGACGGATATCAATTCCCTATGGCTTGTGCCGGTGATCATTACTGGGCTTTTTGGGATTGCGGCTTTGGGGGCGAAGTGGTATGCTGAAGCCGAACATGCATTTGGTATTCTGAAGGTAGCCATTTTGGCGACATTCACAATTACGGCGGTGGTCATTTGCGCTGGCGGAGTGCCGAACGATCCAAGAGACGCTATTGGGTTTGAGTACTGGGCCGACGGTGGCGCGTTTACCAACGGTCCTCGGGGGTTCCTGTTGGTGTTCCTCGCGGCCGGCTTGGCTTACGGCGGAACGGAAATGCTTGGCCTTACTGTCGCCGAGTGCAAGCATCCACAGAAGGTGATGCCTCTGGCGGCTAAGATCGTCGGCGGCCGTATTCTTCTCTGCTACCTCCTCCCCCTGTTTATGGTCGGTCTCATCGTCAAGCCGTCAGTTTTCCTTGAGGAGCCCTTCAAGGGCATGTCGACCGTCTCGCCCTTTGTCGTTGCCGTGCGCAAGGCCAACATTATCATCCTGCCCGACGTTATCAACGCCGTTATTTTCATCGCCGTTTTTAGCATGGCTAATGCTAGTATCTACGCCTCGTCACGAGCGCTTCACGCCATTTGTGCTCAGGGTATGGGCCCCCGCCTCTTCGGCAAGACGACTGAGAAGACCAGGCTGCCGGCTTGGGCCCTCGGCGCTGTGGCTGTGGTCTGTATGCTGGCTTTCATCAACGCTGCACCTAAGGGTGATGATATCTTCGATTGGTTGCTTGCGCTGGGGTCGGCGAGTAACTATTTCACCTGGATGAGCATATGCTTCGCTCACTTGCGCATGCGCTGGGCTATGAAAAGACAAGGCAAGACCGATGTGCTGAAGTGGAAGTCTCCCATTGGGGCCTGGGGCAGTATCATCTCCATCATCATCTCGTTCGTTGGTCTGGTCGCTCAACTCGTCTCTGCCATTCTGCCCCGTGAAGACGCCAAGGAGTCGGTTGGTCTTAGCGTTACCAAGAATATGCTGGGTGTGGGTGTTATTCTGCTTTTCTGGTTGGGTCATCTGGGTTACTCGGCTTACACAAACCCCCAGACCTCCTTTCTGAGTGAGTTCATTATCCCGGTCGATGACATCAGCCTAGATACCAACGACACGCTGGCTGGGATAAGCGATGAGGAACAAGCACAAAAGTGAATTTGGCTTACATCGTACATATGCGGGCGGTTGAGGGAGTTCGGCGTATCTAACTTTCTTTTTCTTATATCTACCACGGGTGGGCGGGAGTGTATCATGATTGTTCATCAATAACTATTCGACAACAGTCATATGTAGACTAATTTCGTAATTGAACCATTCTTTCCATGTTGGTGTGTTTCGTGTACTGTTGCGCGGTTAATTTTACGAAAATCTATCTTGCGTTAGATCATTATATCGCCATTTAAAATTTGGAAGTTTGAGTTCCACTATCCCTTCCCACCCACTCGATGGCCCATAGTTGCATTTCTCATTCAGAACCTCCTCTAACCCTGAGTATCATTCCATACCCTGTTTTCATTATGTTCCACATGGTGAACCCTTTGAATACCTATGCCCCAGGACCATGTCTAAAACAAATTCACCAATCATCCAATTTCTCACATGATGTAAACCGGCAACCGGCTCCCAATCAATTCACTCTTACTCAACTGCACATCCTTCGTATTGAAATTATGCAACAATAACCAACAAATCATGCGGAACACGAGCGTGCACCAGACGTTGTTCCGCCGTATCTCAAACTCGTTCTTCAGCAGCGTTCCTGTGCCCGAGCCTTTGTTGGCCAAAGACGAGGCAACTGGCGACGCGTGTGATGGAGTGGCCAACACCAACTTCAGAGCCTGCTGTGGATTCGCACCCCCCTCCTCTTTACTCCCGGGGCTCAGCTGCCCATTCCTCTGGTCCCGCCCCTGATAATGGGTCTGCTGTTGCTGTTGCTCGCTATTCTTGTGTATATCCAGCGATGCCCCCACTGCTGGGTCATCCTTCTCATCGTCTGACGTGCTGATAACCCGGGAGCGGATCTCGACAAAGTATTTTTTCATAAACTCGCGTTCCCTGTTCTCGGGCGGGACGTTGAGTAGGTCATCGAACGTGACGCCGCGAGTGCGTGTGGTGGGAGATGGGGGGTTTTGCGCCCCTGTGACTTGGGCTGCGGTCGTATTGATGGCGAGGAGGACCTCTTGGAGGTGTCGTCTCATCACATCGAGGACGACTTGGTTATCGATCTTTTTAGCGCTGAGTAGCTTGTCGGTTTCTTCAAGGGCTTCGTGGATTTTGTCGAGATGTTGTGGGAGGAAGTTGGTGTCTTGGTGTCGGGGGAGGTCTTGGTTGAGGCCGCTGGCAAGAGCGTTGATGGATTCAATTTCGTCAGGGAGTTTGCGTCCCTCTCTTGCGAAGATGTTAACATCTCCCTTGTCATGAGTTAGCTATCTTCTCCATTCACGGAAACATTGGAACAAAGGTTTGAGAGCGACATACAAGGATATGTTCGTGAAACTCATTGAGCATCCGTCGAAGGGAGAAAGAATTCCTGTTCCAGGGGAAGATGGAAGGATTGGGAAGGTAAGTGAAACATCGGCTCGGGATATGTAAGGTACGTCCGAGCATCCCCAATATCTCGAACGTTACTTCAACGTCATATGATTAGTGTCCTGTTGCAGGATAAGGGGCAAATGTATAGTGGGGGACGGGGGGGGGGGGGGCTTACCTGAGAATAGATGCGTCTCCTTGTGCTTTTCCTGAAGATAGAACAGCTGGGTGCTGGTGTTGCACCCGATGAGCTGCAGTGCGTCGGAAATCTCCTTGCGACTGCCAAGTTGCAGCGTCTGCAGGCTCTTTTGCTCATTGAAAGGCTGGTTCCATACCTCGTCTTCAGGTCTATTCTTCTCGCGGTAGATTGTTGGTATGTTTCCGAAACACATTTCTTTTACCTCTCTAGTAGGAATTATCCTCTCCTCTCGGAACTTATCCCATCCAGACTGTTCGAATACGAAGACGATGCCGAAGTCATCAAGTCTCGAACCTAGGAGACTATACCCATTGCCTTCGGCACGGTATTTGTTTTGGTCTCGATTTATCTCCTTCCAGTACATGCCCTGCGCTGCGTCAGTAAGCGTGCTTTTGACAAGACCATACATTTTAGCGGGCTAGAGGAAATTCTCTTGGTTTCCAGAACATATTAAGGACATCAGAGACACTGGAAGCTACTTACCAGGATAGCTGCAAGCTCAATGATATGGCATAGGGTTGTCGTAGCATAAGGCTTCTTGACCGTCGGATTGGCGTCAAAGCTCCGTTTCTTGCTCTGAACACCGACCGCCAGCGTGAGAACACCGTCATGGCTATCTGGACGTGGCATTCTAGCTTCTTTCCATATTGTGCTTTCCCAGTCGCGTGAATAACGCTCCATCTTTTGAATCGCCCCAAGGAGCTTAACCCACGATGCCAATTCGTTTTCGACTGTATGGACACGTTCACGAGACAGCCTTGTGTTGATGTCGTCTGTTAACTCGACTCTGGTATCATCGCAGCTCTGCAGACTGCCATCGATGTACCAGATGACATCATTGTCCTTGACAGGGCCCAATTTGTTGTCATTGGACGACAAGAAAATGACGGGGGCCTCGAAATTGATCTCCAGCCGAAGCTGCCGCCACCTAAATTTCCACGATGTCAACTCCGCCCATTTACCCATAACACGAGTATCGCAGTTTGGGAGCCCTCGTGCGCCGGCAATGATGGACTGGGCCAGCTGAATGGTGGCCACTATGAAGGCGACGACGGCGACGACCAAAGCCGCAAGAGCCAGCTCGTTCTCGACTTCATTCCCGTCCCCCATGGTGAGATGCTTGTGGCGTTGAGTGAGCACTAGGAGCTGGGCTCAGTCTCCTCCGCGGCGGATCGACGCGTGTGCGGCTCGGCACGCAGAACTCCAAAAGCGTTGTGGTATGTTAGGAGGGCAGATCGCATTAATTTCACGTATATTAACAAGGAGAACTCTACATCAGCAAGTCTCTCGATATCCATCGCACGAGGAGAAAAGGAGGATAAATTGAAAAGTGCGATGTCGAGCAGTGCGAGACTCTAGGTGCTGTTGACTCTGTCGCATTTTGCGGCTGAAGCGAGACTGCTCAAAAGCGCCGCTCATACAAGACAACCCTGTCACAGGACATGTTCGGTTCCCAATGGGCTATAATCACACAAGGGTCCACCAAACAACGAACAACCGAAAGCGCCCCGCACAAAGCAAACAAAGAAAACCCGGTCTACGATTCCTCTACCGAGTATACGGTTTTTTTGGTACGATTCTAATAGCTAAGTATCTTATTTACTTTTTAAAGCGTAGCGTTCTTATCCTCTAAAATAGTAGGCTGGTATGCGAACCATATTATACCTTTCGTACGAAGCTTAACATACTAATCGAAATATCGAATCTAGTCCTGGCCTCTTTTATATAGTCTAGCTAGTTTTGATAACCGCGATAACCTAATCGTTTAGTAACGGGCTATTTTTATACTAGGAAAATGTCAGGGTACGGCTAGGCCGAAGGCGATAGTACAGAGTGATGGGGAGTAATGGGCGTCCCTCCTACGTAGCACCGGGTGGTCACTGGCGGTCACTGGCGGTCACTGGCGGTCTCAGGTAGGGGTGCCCACGATGGTTCATTGATCTCTACCCTCTCTATCTTCTCGGACATCTGCCCCTTACATAGATAGCTAGAACCCGGCTGTAACGAAACCTCTAATAGTCTAGCTGCGTAAACCACTAAAGAGTCTGTAAGGGTTTGTGCTAGTAAATAAGTCCTGCTGCGGAGTCCTTTAGCAATGATATCGGGGTCTGACGTATGGAGTATAGGGCTCTGGGTAACTGAAGTATTCAAGTAGGGTAACTGGGAATAGAGTCGTCAAGGCAGTTTGCCTCACCAATGGGTTAGATTGATGCTTAGATTGATCACTGAAGTAGAGACTGTCTATCTATGAAATGCCTGGGAGTCCTGTCCCCTATATACCCATCTCTCCTTCACTGATCCCCACTTGGATATGTTGGATATGTTGAACAACCAACATATCCATTCCCTCTTATTTCTTCTGGATCATTTGGATATGTTGGACAACCAACATATCCACCCCTGTAGGTCCGTGACCTATCGGTCCTTTCCTTCCTCCGATGCGGGGTCCCGTGATCCTAGCGTCTGTATCCACCTGGCCTGCCGACGGGCCTGTAATGTTGGTTCAGGGCCAACGGTTCGTAACAGTATCCTATGTCGCGTTATTACAGTAGTTGTGGGATCGCACTGGTACTGGCATTCCGGCTACATATGAAGGTGAAGAAGGGAAGTACAGGTGGGGGGTGCAAGCTGCACAAGGGCACTAAAGTATCTCGCGTGTGTCTCACGGGACCTTAGGCGACCAATTCCGCAGTAGTCAATTCACTCTATCTTCAACACTAATTATTTCAGGAGGGGATAATCTGCAAGAGTCATTATAGCCTGCCAGTCTCAACTAGCAAGCTGTGTCGGGAGGGTTTCGCCCTCGATCCGGTAAAACTCCGGATCCGCCCCAGCTCAAGAGGAGATATCGGACGCTCCGACCTAACTAAGATTCCTTAAGAATGAATCTTGTAATATACACACCAGTATCATTAGTCTCAGATACAAAGGGTCACGTGATTACCAGCCACTAGACTTGGCCAGAAATTCTTCTGCAGATGACAGATAACACACAGAACAATCAATCCATCACAGTGAACGGTCAGATTACCGTAAGATCAAGGCCATAATAAGGTCACATTGCAAGATACATGATTATCCAACATTAGCATATCATCAATGGCTCTCTGTACTACCTGACTATTATCCTTGAGACGCGTAGTATCCCCGTTACATGATTATAAAACTAGGTCTACTATACATCGTACGTCCGTCTATTTTACGTTAGTAGCCATTTAAAGTGTCGTAAAGTAACGCTACGATATTAGTAACGTAAGGTTATAAAAGGGATACTTGTCACGCCGTGCTAGGGGTTGCAATCCTTGCCACTACGCCACCGTACCAGATGTCTTCACCAAAAGAGACCAATACCAAAGTCCCTGACTTTGGTATCTGCAACCACTTATCAATCTGTTCAGACCAGTATGGGTCAATCACGTGACAACCGTCACAATACTAGTACAACGGATCGTACGCTTAGTTTAGGGTTCTTTTAAAACGCTTAAAATACTAACTAAATAACGCTTTATTCTTAATTACCTTCCTTCTTAGTAAAAGGTGGAAAATAAGGGACGGAACCTAGGTTATACGGAAATGGGGGGAAGTGTTCAGTTATACCGTGGGGTACGTTACTACAGAGTACTATAGACATTTCCAAGACATCTGCGGCTTGCCGTCACTACTGCGAAATCCAAACAAGTTGTCCCAACCTGCAAAAAACGAGCCATGGACAATCGACATCTTCTCAACCCAAACTTAAGAAATAATGGTTTATCAGCATATTAACGGTAAGTGTTTGATTATCTTAGCATGGGAAGGGTTGACGCAGATTGTACCTTTGTTGGTATCATCCTCCGGCGTCTGGTCTCCGGAGATCTAAGATCCATCCCCTGTCCGACATTCAGGAAAGGTGGGAACCATTGCGCACATATGTCCGTGCCTGCCGGACCCCGGCCTGGATGACATGAAGGTGATTTCATGCCATTGAGCCGTCACATCATTATGTACAAACAGGCATTGTGCGACATGAATTCACTGGCCACTATGACATCGAATCTTGATGTGGGGAAAGGCTTGGCCAAACAGCTACGAGCTGTCTAACGCGTTTGTTTACCTACAGAGCTGTGTCTGAGGGAGCAGTGGGAAGGCACTACCAAACAAATCAGTGGAGATCAAGATCCGAACAACAACACTACGTCATCGGCTGTTGCTTAATTGAATTATATGTATAAGACCTCCTGGGAGTTGGACTGATCAAAATTATTCCAATTTGAACATTCCAGTTCAACATCTTCCAATTCATCACCGCAGAATTTCATCCACATACCACTATCAAGATGACAGGCAACGCCAACCCCGGAAACTTTGCCAACCGGTACGTCTTAGATCGATCCCATGCCCCAATTTACTGTCCCAACTCTAACGAAAACTTCAAGCCCCACCGAGGAGGTGCAAGCCATTGCCTCGAAGGGAGGCCACGCCAGCCACGGTACCGCTGAAGCCCCCAAGACGAAGAGTGACAACCCTGGCAACTTCGCCAACAGGTATGCGATGTCACAATACCTCCATTACTACTTTCAGGATGTAATCTAACAGATTTGCAAGACCCAAGGAGGAGGTTCAAGCGATCGCCTCCAAGGGTGGTCAGGCAAGCCACGGCGGTGGTGTCCAAGCCAGCACGACAAGTGACAATCCCGGCAACTTCGCCAATAGGTACGCGATGTCATATTACCTCTCTTTTTTCAGGATTTATGCTGACAGATTTGCCAGACCCAAGGAGGAGGTTCAAGCGATCGCCTCCAAAGGTGGTCAGGCAAGCCACGGCGGTGGTGTCCAAGCCAGCACGACAAGTGACAACCTGGGCAACTTTGCCAACCGGTAAGTGTCCCAACTGTGATCCTGCCTGTTGAATCAATGAAGCATTTCCACTGATTAAGTGTCCAGACCGAAGGAGGAGGTTCAAGAGATCGCCGCCAAGGGTGGTAAGGCTGGTTCTGTTCCGTAAAAACAAACTTGTAACCCTAAACGACTATGAATGCCCAGAGATTGTGGGGTCGAACTTCGAAACAGGTGCTTAAATGGTTCTAGAGAATCTAAGTTTGCTTTGATTTGGTTGATATACCAAAGATAGATCGATTCATGGTCGATAACATTATAACGTGCAATGCAAATATGAAAGTGAGACAAACCCATGCGTACTCAACATTCGTGTGATACACCTAACTTGGAACACATATAAAATCCCATATATTCATCTCTAGCTAACCTGTTGCAACTTGAATTGATTTCATTCAATTGGTTCATCAAAGTGTGATTAATGAAGAACTTGGTGCCGAAATAAAGCCACAATGGGGATTGTGTTCCATCTAATCAGAGAATAGACGTGTCAACCTAAGCCAGTACAATACCATCCCACACGTATATCTCCGGCCTAGCATTCTTCCTGTACAGCCCCAAGACACTCTAGAATCTATGTACTTTATCCTTCCCATAACCCAGCCGCTCCAAAACGCCCCCCTTCGTCCTCTTTCCCACAAGCGCCTCCTCCATAGCCGGCGGCCCACAAACAAAGACCTTCGTATCTTTCTCCTTAGGCATAACCTCTCTCAATAACTCCTCCGTCACATATCCTTTCCTGTAAACTGAACCCGGCACAGGGTTACTAACAGTATACGTGTACCTAAATCTCTCTGGGAACTTGGCCGCAAATTCATCAAACTCCGGCTTCAAAAGGACATCGGCGTCCGTGTTGACACCATATACAAGCGTGATTTTCGTCTGGTCGCTCGGGTTCTGCAGGATCCCCTGGATAAGCTGGTATGCAGGCGTGATGCCCGCCCCGCCTGCGATCAAAGTGATGTGTGGGTATTGGTTGGGTTTCCAGGCGAAGCCTTTTAGGGTGGCGAGGAAGCGGAGTGAGGAGCCGGGACTAAGGGAGTGCAGGTGTGTGCTTTGCTTGCCGGCGGCGTAGTGCTTGACCATGAATTCTACCACGCCGGGCTCGTCTGGAAGGGGTTTAGTAAGTGCATCGTATTTACAGAGAGCGACGGTTCATACTGGGAGAACTGATGGGTGTGTATGGCCTTACGACAGGGAATATTCTGCCCTCTGGCCAAGAGAATACCAGGATTGAGGCTGTTGAATGTTAGAACTTTGTCACTTGGTTCGGGTACGCGATCCGGCTTACAGGTCAAACCGAACCCCGCAATGTTGTCAGCTTCAGGTAGTTGAAATCGCAGGCGCTTGGTGTTGTGGTTCACTTCTTCCGAACTCTCCAGCCTGAGCGAAACATTGGCCAGACCACCAGAGAAGATCTTCTTCGGCGCTCCCGAGTCTGCATGTGCGTTGGTCACCATGTAGCGGGAGTAGAGGGCGACACCCAGCCCAGCGAAGACAGCTCCGCCGATGATGTTGGCCGGGCGCACCTGCTGTAACGATCGAAAGGTAGACATGGTAAGATTGATGAGAGGCGATTCAGCTGTCTAGTCGTTTGGTTTTTTATTTGCAATGAGAATAAATGAGAGATTTCGCAGGGGCGTTGGCTGAAGTCAAAACAAACACGTAGGACTTCGGAGGCTGTTCGGTCTCGGACAAGTCTGGGGCATCCGAAGTCCGGGATGCACTGCCTGTCAGCCCTATTAATTTTACGAGTTGTCCACTGACAGCAACGTACCTGATCCTCCGGCACGCACCCAAACCGGAGCTACAGTTCCGTTCTGGGGGGGCGATGCGGCTGGAAGCTACCTCAGATACCGGCTTACATGGCTCCGACTTGCCGATAAGTACAAGGAAAGACAAGACGATGGCATTCGCGGCAGTTTGGCCTTGATTAATATGAGCCCTTGGTTGCTCAAACCCGTATCGTGGTTGTATCTGCTCTGAGGCACGACGATTCTTCGAATTGAAGAGTGGTTACCAGCGTCTACGTTAATTTACAATCTTACGATTCCGATCAGCCCATTTGCAACCGGGGATTCCCGTGTGCGCCAATATGACCCTGCCTTCCTTTCACAAACATCCCCACATCCGTACCGTTGTAATTGCCGACTCTCTTACCGCAGGTATTCTCGATTGTTCCTGGCTTTTAGGGGCCCATAGAGAGCGACCAGAAAGCGAAGAAGCAAGGGAAAACGACCATACATCGAAGACCTACAAGCAAGAAAATGGCCTCTGTTGCCGTGACGCTCTTCTTTATCGCGATTCGCTGTGGCCAACTTACAGCTTGGCGCTCCCCAAGACACAATTATACAATTCATCGAAATGAAAATATATTATATTTCCGTTTACAGTAATACTAGATGGACTCTTTTAACATGCTGGGTATACGACAATAGGAATCATTTGACTTTACAACAGTTTTGGAAATCCGTTGTAAAACTTGAAAACCTAGTATTATTTTAACGTCTATTTTCTATGAATACTTCAAAACGACTGGGCTTCACGCACCACGAGTTCGCGGTTTCTCAAACTCGTCATCGTCCGATATAAATGTCGACGTTTGCATGTTCATCTGGTGAGGCCTGGTAGACGGTTGCTGCCACAACAGTATCTCCCCAGGGGGATATTCATCTTCTCTATCGCTCTGGATGGTCTTCGTGGTCATGCGGCTTTTGGCGTCACTCGTATTGGATCCTGGCCGCGACCTTGAATTAGAGTAGCTTTCCTTGACTTCTTTAATCAAGACGCGCAGGACTGGGATGGAGGCTGCTATTATGGTGGCTCCGGATTCGCCGACACTCCACATGATTAATAAGCCGCCATCGACTGGGCGTGTTTGTCAGCGTTGCCGATGAGATGAGTGTTTGAGGGGATTGCTTACATGCAAAGTCGTTGCTTGCTACAGTCGTTATTTGATAGCACTTGATGATTGTTATAGCTCCAGCACTACCGCACAGTTAGCCAGGCTGGATGCATCGCATGAGACAAGGCCGTCACGTACAAGATCCCCATCGACATGGCAACTGCCACGCCAATTTTCTCTTTCGGCTTCATCTGCAGGTGCATAATAATCGTCCACGGTAGCAAAGCAAGCACAAAATCCATAGCACCCGAGTAGCCTCCCGCAGCAATCCCCCAAACCACGGAAACTTGCGGATCCCAACACTTCCCCGGCAAACTTCTATCCCACGCCTTGGCAGCCGGTTGGCACGAAAAAAACAACGAAATTGCATTCGAAATCATCGCCACATTCATGCTCACAATAATCCCCCAGAGAAGCCACCTCAACCACCCATCACGCCCAGAAATCCGCAACAGCGTCAACGCAAATGAAGTCTTGCTCCACGCCGAGGCCAGAATGGCCAACGCACCCGCCACAAACCCGTTGAAGCTGATGGTGCTCCGGTTCCGCGGATCGATGTGCAGCTCATGCTTGCCGAAGCCAAGGGCGATGATGGAGCTAATGATGGAAACATGCGTCAGGGTGCACAGCCAGGAGGCGATAAGGAAGTGGTCGTCCCACCATAGACCGTTTTTGCGCGAGAATTTGCAGTAGACTCGTAGTGCTAGGAACGCGAAAGATAGGATGGTGATGGTCCAGCCAATGGTATTGATTAAGGGTCCGCGGTTAGCGCAGTCGGCAGGTTCGACGAGTTGCAGAGTCATGTTCATTTTGACGCGAATTGGGTTCTAGTTTGGTTGAGCTTGCGATCCAGGCAGCTACCGAATGTTGCCTCTGTGGTCTCACAAACGGCCATGGGATGAGACACGTAAAAATAGGGAAAGCCCATGCGCAAAACGGGAGCACGGCAGTTCTCTGGTATATATTCCATGAGGGTACTGAATACGCATTGAGGATTCCTATCGTTTCCGCATAGTCTTGGGAAGATATCCTTGCCTTACCGACAATAAGCATAATCAACCGCTGCATGAATTGTGTGAAAGTCAGACGGGAAGACAATACCAGCACATCATGCGGTAAATCCGAACAATGAATGGCTGTCGATGATCTACCACGATGAGACGGATCCACGCACACCATTAACGACTGAAATTTGTATCCCAAGTCCACCAGCCAATGGAAAACAAATGAGTTCAATGACGGCAGCTGCGATGGAACTTGTCTGAAGTTTTGACGAGGCATTCTTGCGTGGATTAGGGACGCCGTCTTCTAGAATGCGTCTGGATGCCCGCCAAGCCCAGGGCCGAAACCCAGTATGCAAAGGCTAGTTCAAAGGACGGCACTAAACCCCGCCTTCCCCACACGCTATGCAGATTCGCAAGGTCGGCTGCATTTCCATTCTCCAGATATTCCCGCTGGTATGTGTCCTGCAGTCCTTGCATCCATTATTCACCCGCGAAAAGATCCGACAAATCACATAGACGTGTCCGCGCCACGTGGGTGCAAACTTGTCGCAGAATACTGTGCGGTTAATGCGCTAGCGAGGACGATTTCGCTCATTAGTCATTAGAGGTGATGCCTGATCAAGTAAACCGTACCTAGCAATATTTGTAACTAATAGACCGCAAAAGATGGTAGGTGGGAGTCACGCGGTTATTAGAGTTGAAGCGTCAAACCCGGACCAGGCTCAAGAGTCGCAGGACGGCAGACTATAGGATTGCCACAATTTCATTAGTGTTGCGACGACTTTCTGTCTATCTATTAATTCAGCCGCTGAGCTCTTACCACGCACACAGTTTCATCTCTGTACTATCCATTATCATCTGATTTGAAGGCTCTTACACGTTATGATTGCTGTATTATAAACGAATTAATAGACCCTGTTGCCTAATCGCCGGCATTAAGTACGGCTGTCATATCTGCGCCAACCGTTCCACATGTGTATCCACCTGTATGCATTCTACATACATCCGCATTACACCATCGCTGCAACCCCTGCAACCAAACCGAAAATCAACCCCAAGGGCCCGGCCGTAACCACAGGTCCCGCACCGGTCGCTGCAGCACTGCCGCTAGCTGACGCCGATGCGGTCCCACTCTTGGCTACACTGGCGGTCTCAGTAGCAAGGGCGGTAGAAGTCCCCGTCTTTGTGGCAACTCCACTAACAACCGTCTCATTCGAAAACCCGCCCTGCGACAAAGTCCCCGTAGAAAACGTAGTATGCAGCACCAAATCCGACGTTGAGTCTATAGTCGCAGTAATCGTAGGAATAGTCACCATCAAAGTATCACTGACGGCCCCAGACGACTTGACGCCGCCCGCTGAGGTGGCCGTCGGGGTCTTAGTTTCTTCGGTTGTAGTGGCTGTTGCGGGGACGGAATCGCCCCCGAATCCAGGGAGGAATGACGGCGCGTAGCTTGCCGTGCCCGAGTACTGCGGACACCCCGGGACAGTGGTCTTGGCTGGGGCACGGCCGCCGCCGCAGTCGAGGAACGCGCAGATCTCGCCCGTACCGGGAACATACCAGATCATGCTGGCGCCGCCGTAGGTGACGGTCTCGGAGGACGTGCAGCCAGACAGGTCGGTTTTGGCTGTGATGGGAGTCGCCAACAGGGCGGCAACTAGCACTGGGATTTGGGACTTGGTGAACATGTTGGCGGTAGTAATTGCGTCTGTCCTTGGCGAATTCGGAATAAGGGCTAGTGGCGGAATAAATCAATAAGGATTGACTTGGATAATGTGAACGAGTGGAACGGTGCCGAGGCAATAAGTAACGATTGTGGTGAGGATGGAGAAGTTTGTCCCGTACTGAACAACGGGCAAGCTGGATGGTTTTATGCAAATTCAGATCACGCAAGGCACGGACAGCGACAGTGACGAAATTTCTTTGGTAGACTGGCCGTAAGCATGCTGCGCCTCCTTGGTCATTTCGGGCCTTTGGGATGGTGGCGCTTTGGCTGAAACGGCGACGCGCTTACAAGTGTGAGTTGATTTCTCACCTATGGGAAGAGGGCTCTTGCGGTAAGACGCGACTGTTTTGTTGTGCAGAAGAAAGCCATCAGCTTACGTTGATATGCTGAAGGATATGAAATGACGAGATCCGATCCTTGCTTTCCATTTTTCTGGTTCCGTGCTAGTCTGATCTCGTATACTCGACCGTAATTTACACGTAGCTAGCGGCTACGCGAGCGTGAGAAAAAAACAATATGTCTCATGTTTCCGTGTTGAAGGTAAACCACATGTCGCGCTTCCATCAACAACACTTGAAGAAAATGTCGTCATTCATCAAGTTGCAAGCAGGCCCCCGCAGTCGTCCTTCGCAACCGTCAGCCGTGCTTCACTGAATTCTGTTTCTCCATCCATTCAGAAACTACATTCGCGTACTCCTCAGGTCCGTACGGCTCAAACAGCTCTGCAAGCATCCCCTTCTTCCTGTGCACCGCAATGCCCAGATCCCGGCAAAGCAGATCATGGTACGGCATCACATCGAACACGAAATCAGGATACCGAGCACCGTTGGCCCCCGAGTACCGCCACTTGCCAAACCTACTGAAAAGCACCGTCTCGTACTTGAGTTTGTCCATCGCCTCGGCAGAAGTGCAATCCGGGATTGACGCCCCGCCGCGGAAATAGGCATTGATCCACAGAGCCTGGATATGTGCTGATAGGACGATAGTGAAATGCATGAGGAACCCAGCGAAGGCTATATCGCGGCGGGCGAGGAGATTCGGTGAGGGGGGGACCATAAAGCGGTGCAGCATGTAGGGCGTGAGGGGTGTCGAGGGGTTGATGTGGTCAGTTGTAGACATGCCCTTGTTGTCGAGCAGCGGGGCGTAGCGCTTGTTTATGACGGGCTGGTCCTTTAGGCGCGGGAATTTCTCCAGGATTTCCTTGTCGGCCTTCTCGATAAAGTCGTAGGGGTCGCTGGGCGAGGGGGCGTGCGGGATCCCCAGCTCCTTGTCGATGCCCTCAGGGAGGAACTTGATGGCGGGTAGTATCTTCCACCCAGTTGCGCAGGATAAGGCGTCTGATGAGAGCACAGTGTCGTTGGATAGGTGGACTGCGTGGGGCGATAGGTGAGTGATATCGGCAATATGGATCTTGGCCGAGCCGTTACGGACCAGTTCGAAGATATCGGTACTGTAGCTCAGGATAGAGAAACTGGATGCCGAGAACATAGCCTGGGTCCAAGGTTTCAACTTGGCGGTTTCAGGGTGCGAATCATATTTGTTCAGTCTAATGACGTCGTTACTAAGAAACCACCAAAACGCATCCGTGATAGCTCGCCCAATAGCAGTCCCATTGAAGAACGACCGAATGGCCGCATAGCCGTCCGCGAATCCCCAGATGCAAGGGCTGAACCAGGTGAAAAATCGGATAAGCACCAGTGCCTCAAGCCATCTCTTCAGTGGCGTCACGTGGGAGGGAGTAAACCAACATGGGCCGTGGCCGGAAGCGCGTATGACCCAGTCTACCTTGACGCCTTTGGTGGCGTAGGCGTATACGGCGTCCCAGGCGCTCTTCGTCCCCCCAAAGACGGTTGCGCGCTTCGCTTTGTCCAGCGTGTCCGCGTGCTGGAGGAAGTCCTTGCAATGGAAAAGCGGTGCACCGTAGGATTCCTGTCCGTCGATGTGGGGGAGGAAAGGTTGAGATGTCAGACCAGTAGCGACGACGAGCTTCTTTGCAAGGATCTTGGTCTCCTTGGGGGTCGCGCCGTCAGTGACGTCGCTTAGTACAGTCAGAATCCAACCACCGTTTTCTTGATGCTCCGCTGATTCCACTTCGTTGCCACAGCGAATCTTGTCGATGATGTCGAATTTCTCAGCGTACTTGGTCAGGTATTTGTGGCAGACAGGGCCAGGAATGAATTCTCCGGGCTTGACGCCGAATGTTTCGGTGTCCATGGGAAAGTCGGGGTACTCGTACATTCCCAGCAGGTTGTTGGTCTTGAGACCCGGATAAAGGCGGTGTTGTGCCCATACTCCACCGAGGGTTGAGCTCGAGTCAAGTACGGCCAGAGACTTCTCAGGGTCTATCTGGTGAAAGGTTTTGGCTGCTGCCAGGCCAAACCAGCCTGTTTATGGGCGTCAATTCATACCCAACATTGAATCCCCTTGGTGTTCTCTATTCTATTCACTTACCGGCGCCGATCACCACGAAATCTAGTTCTTCCATAGCTGAAAGCCTTCTTCGAATGGAACACAAGAATTTAAATGGACGAAGAACTTGCGACAATAGAATACTCAACTTCGACGAGAATGCGAGGAACCAGATATCACTCCATCTTCGAGGATATCGAGGCTCCCCTGGTTATCTACGTGACTAAATACCCCGCTGTGGGGTTTGCTCTTTCATGCACATTTGAATTGGATGTAACCTCAGATTCTGAGGTGTTCTTGGCACTGAATATCTTTTTGAATTTTGGCCTCGGTGGGAATAACCAAAGAGCCGGCATGGAAGATACAAGGGACAAGGCAGGGCTAAGAGAAGGAATGCCATGTGACACCAGTATGACAGACAGCGAACTTCAGTTACACTACAGGACGCTGGTCACTCCAACCATCCTATCGACAGGTAGTTCAAACAGGTCCTACCTGCCATTCCCTAGATTTCCTGGGGTCTAGTAGCTAGTCATCGCTTCCTTATTGAGGCAGCCTCGCACTATTGTCGTGGGAATTGAGATTGCAATCGTTACCAATGTGATATGCGTTAAATCCAACAAGACCTAAAGCCAAAACTGGTAGTACCAAGCACATAGTTCGCTGACATCGAAATCTACATGCGTCATAATCGGATCCATGCCCCAGGTATTCAACCGGATTACCCAGTTGCGATACGGGCGACATATGCAGAGTTCGGATCAGTGCCTATTACTTCGTCACGCCATCATGGGATAGTTGCTCGCTAAGCAACCACAGAGTCGTGCTTCGCGAGCTGCAATATCTTCTACCACCCCCCACATTTTGCAGGAAAATTATACGACCGCAACATCGCGTCGCTCGTTCACTTCAATATTATTCTACAGCACACACAAATGACTAATCTACAAACTCGCTATACTTATTTACCCTCGTACAACAGTAACGATCTCCATGTATATTACGTCGGGCTATTCCGCCTGAAATAGCACCACATATAATTAGTTTCATTCCTCTAAAGCCTAGGAACCATCTATTTAACTGCGATCTATAGAAAAAGTCGAGGGTGGTGCTATCTTACAAGGTTCATATCCTAATAGGAAAATAAGACAAGGCTATTATACCTTAAGCCGCTAAGATGTTCAAATTACTTGTAGAAAATGACTAATTACGTAGAGAAATGGACAGAAATGTTCTATACGGACCCTATCCCTTCAAACCTAGCCCGAATAAACTGTTCGTTACCTGAATAACTATCGGGACAGCCTAGGATAAGCGATACATGCGAATACGGCCTATAGTACCAGAAGAGCAGTTAGGAACTGATGATTTTCTCGGGAAGACGGGCCCCTACCGAAAAGGGGGCTCGGACGAATGTATCTAAGTATTTGGAATCTTCACTAGTTATGCTTCACATATAACAATTAAGAAGGAATTGCTACTGTCAGTTTCGTCAAACTATATAAAATACGGTGCTTACCAAAAGGTGGCCGATGCGGTTACTGATTTCGGGTGGATCTGTCCTGCATTAGCCTCCCGTGATTTATAATATATCATTTTGGCACTCGTCAATTTATTAACCCGTCTAGACTTCACCAAGAGTGCCTGAAATAATTGATAGGTACTTCGTTCCAGGCTTAAGAAGGCTATAAATATCCATATTTGGCTGGAACAGCATCAATTACACAATACATCCTGTTTCTGTATTTTAATTACCAATTTCCCCTTCACACACATCTATATCAACCACTCAACGGAAACAATACCATATTATGATCCCCTCCCCTCTATACACCAAACCCCACTCCCTGTCCCCATCCTTCGCCACTCCCACCTCCTTATTCCATATCCTCTCCCTCCGATCTTCCAATGCCCGCCACAGCTGGGGTCACAACCACCTCGTGTCCAAGAACCATCCTCTGCAAGACAGTCTAGACAACAACGCGGCCTTCAAAGCTCATCTCAAAAGCACGGGACCGCTTCTTGATGTGCTGGATCCCAAAGTGGAGTATATACTCGTTGATGAGCACCAGCGCAAGGCGACGATTCGGACGTGTTACTATTTGAGATCCACCGAGTCCGAGGAGGTGACGGAGCAGGATCTGATTTGGGTTTTGGCGTTTACGGATGAGGGAGATTTGGAGGCGGCGTGGAAGATGTGCACGTAAAGGAGAGTGTAGAGTTTATTGATGCGGCGGCTAGTTTGAGCGTTGGGAGTTTGATCAGGGGGGTTCATGGCAGGTTGAAAGATGATGTGATTGGAGGGATGACTATTAACGATGTTTGAGTGAATGGATGGCTGCGATAGGAGAGGCCAGATGGTTTGGTGTGGAAGAAGTCATGATCAGCAAGATGCCGAGAACCTCAAATCATCAAACTTGCGTTGCATTGGACTTGTTAGTCACTGACGGATTGTAATATCATTCAAGCTCCGCAATATTTCGTGAGATCCCGAAGACCATCATAGCTTCGTAAGAGTATCCCAAACGCCTAAACATGCTAAACCATCCCGCTTCTTTCCCATCCGCCAAGCGGCCAGAAGTGCGCAAGCCGGTCAAACCAGAATGCAATATTCAGATTATCTCCAACTCCTCGGCCTTTTCATGCTTTCCAGAGGCAAACTCCTGCGTCGTGGGGATGGCCCGTTTCTTGGCGAACTGGACGGTGGCCCACGCCGACGGCGACTCCCGGAACATGAGATCCAATTCTTCAAGATTGTGACCCATAGTCTCTGGGAAGAAGAGGAAGACGGAAAGAGGTATGCAGGCGGATATGACGGCAGGGACGAGGTAGTACTTCCAGCCGATCGTGTTGATGGCGACGGGGGTCACCATGACAATGACGAAGTTCCTTCATATATATGTTAGAATATGACAGATTGGGAATTCATGGTGGGAAGCAGTCTTACCAGAGCCAATGGTTAAAAGTAGAGATGGACGACATGGCCATGCGCAGACGAATAGGCGCGACCTCGGTACAGTAGAGGAAGTTGGCACCGAGAAAACCGATGGGGACAAAGGTGTTGTACAGGTAGATGAAGCAACCGGCGGCGATCATGGCGCCCTCGTTCTCTTTGGGGAATGAGGTGGTGATGGCGAGCATGGCCATGCAGACGGCCATTCCGACGCCGGAGACCATGAATAGGGGTCGGCGACCAAAGCGGTCAATAGTGAAGAAGGCAATGAAAGCGGACAGGAACTTCCACGTGAGGGCACCGCCAGTGAGGACTCTGGAAAGCTCACTGCTCATCCCCAGGTTGTTTTGGAAGAGGATCGAGGCGTATGTGCTGATCAAGTTGCTTCCACTACGAATGATATTAGTCATCTGGATTGAAAGGGGCTGAGGTTTTGCACTTACGACATCTGCTGGTAGAACTGAAGTAGGATGCAAAGTCCAAAACGGTAGGCGAGTTTCTCGTCGCCCATCGTAAGCAAGTCGGACAACTTCGCAGCGTTGCCGCAGGTCTCCTCGAGTGAGTGCTCGATTCCAGTGACCTCAGCCGTGACCTCCATTGAGTCGATGGGAAGGCCCCTGAAAGCCGACACGACAGCTCGTGCTTCATCGGAGCGGCCCTTCATAACCAACCACCGGGGCGACTCGGGCAGCAGGTAGATTGTAGACATCAGGATGATCGAGAAGATAGTCGCAATGGCGATTGGTGGGCGCCAAGTGACGGGACCGGTCTTGAACTCGAAGAAGGCCAGGTCGATCCAGGCTTCAAGAAGATAACCCAGACACAAGAAGGCGCCGGTCAAGACGACCTGCTGGCCTCTGTTCTTGGCTCCAGATGTCTCGGATAGCCACACCGGTACGATGGAGCTCAGCTGGCCCACGCCCAGACCGATAATAACTCGTCCCACGATGAACTGAGGCAGTCCGAAAGCCGAGGCCTCGAGAATCTCGCCTATCAACGTGCACACTCCAGAAATGAAAATCACATTTTGTCGCCCGAGCTTGTCTCCAGTGTAGCTGCACGACAGCGACCCAATCATGGCACCAATAACAAAGGTAGCGACGACGAACCCTTGAAGCGTCGACTTCGCGCTTTTCTCGGCCCCCTCTGAGTTCACCGTGTCGATCTCGGGAAACGTCTTGACCCAATCATCCTCCGTCAAGAGACCACCGACGCCCGCCTGGTTGTAGCCGAAGAGGATGAAGGACGGCGCCACAATCAAGGCGAGCTGCAGGATAACGAGACCACGCCCCGTGAGGCCGAAGTAGTGTACGTGCTCATTGGTGCTCATACTTGCGGTATTGTCGTCGGGGAAATGTGACGAGCTAACAAGTGATAGGAAGGAAAAGGCAGCGAGTTGGGGCGACCGACTGGCTTCTTAACAGGAAAACCAAAGGGTCCTGTCCTCTGGGATAGGGTCAAAAAAGACTCGTCATCGAGATTACTTTTCTCCTCACTTCCGTCAATTGATTTTTCCCATGCCCCATACCATCAATCCATGAATCCATCGCGTGTAAGGTGAGTATCCACACCCCGTAGCATGGCCTCTAGAGAGTACAACGCTGACAGAAGCGGAGACGGGGTAGATATGGGCCATCATATTGATCGTGTGATAGCCATGGAGCACGCTGCAACACGAGGGGGAAGGGGATGACAGGGGTCCTGCCAGCCCCCCAATGATGAATGACATAATTGCGAATACCGAGGTTTGGCAGGTCGGCGTGGCTCCTGCTCCATCATGAAGAGGGCACAAACATCAGGTCCCGTGCATGTCGTCGGTTGAAAGAAGGCACGCGCACCACAGAAGAACGCGGCGCTTTCTCGGTCTGATGGATATGCAAATAGCTGGGCCCGATATCCACCAGACTGGGTGCATGATTCGACAAGTGCGCCCCGACTTACAGCCAGCCGGTCCAATCCACGACTGCTAAACCGCCGAAAGTGGGAATCCAATGTCACCTCCATAGTGGACCGGGGTAAGCCATACCCGCAGACGCGCAGCAAAAAAAGGGTATGAACGTCTGCCATCCAATGTCTGCAGATGTCAGCTAAGAGAACATATGCAAGCTTTCAACCAAGCTTTTCCCGGGCATGCAGGCCCACTTCTGCGAAGCAGCGAAACTCCTTCTGACCGCAACGTCTTGGCGGTCTGTTCGAGGAAACTGCTCCACGTTTGTGGGCTGGGGGCTGGGAGAATATTCTTCCCCACGTACGTTGCCTCAGGTGTGCCTATCGTATGTCCGACGCGGTGACAATACTATTGCCGCGGCCGCTCTCCGAGGCCGCAACGGCACCAGCGAAAGTAGCGATGTGTTGTGCATGATTGTGGCGATGGTCCCAGGCAACGGTGCCATAGGATACGGTTCCCAACAAAAAGCGTGACTACCTACGGGTACTGACAACAGTCCCGATAGTGAAAGAAGCTTATCCATGATGTGACTCGACGGAGAGAGGCGAGCTGTCTTCGTGGATGCCCACATTCGGCTTTGGCAATCCCGCCGATATATGTCCCTCGCTAGTTCGTATGTAGGTTCAACGCGATTGTGACGAGATCTGATATGAGGCTAGATCTCATAGTTGCAATGCAACCCAGGGCTCCACATCTCAACAAATAAAATACAAATTACTTGCATATCAGGAAACCAGATTATTATGGATACAGCATATAGTACGTGTAGTGCAGAAGTTTCCCTTGGTGTAGCCGGCGCGGGATGACAAGCGAACCTTTTCTCCGTGGGCTCTATTGAACTTCTGAGAGCATACCATACATGTAATTGACCGAGGAGACTTTCATTGCGCCTTAGATATATGGAAACTGCCCCGGATGATCTCGTAGTCTGGGGAAAGCGTACCCCGCGAAAACGGGTAGGGTGAGGTCCCGAAAATTCCCGAGGGTTTAAATATAGGCCAGCATCGACGTCGTTCACGGCCCAATAAAGTAGGAATAAGCTTATTGGAATTCATGGTGCTATTTGAGATCCGCACCAGTTATCTAATTTGCAATTGTGTCGTAATGATGGCGTTGGAAGGAGGTGCGATGCCTTCATTACAAACTCGTGGTCGCTTCCGATTCTCTACGGGACCATACGAAACTATCGACGAATGCACGGAATGAACTAATCGCATATAAGGATAATGCTCATCAAAAAACCACTATGTAAAAAGTGTGTCTTCAGCCGGGATAATGAAAGCCGACATCGTTGGGTAATAGCATCCACCCAGCTCCGCGCCCGCGCTCAGAAGCCCTGGTCGGGTTTGGCCGCAGCGAGGGACCTGATAAGCTAGGGATGAACTGCATTGTTGGCATGATACAGATCAATTACCAATCTGTGTCTTAGAGAATTCTGGTACTCACGCTGCATGATTCCACGTTGCATCCACCGCACATTTCGTAAACTTGCATTCATCGGATTCGGGGCTCCAAGACCCAGTCATATGTTATGATGCCATCTCTACATCCCGAACCACGTGATGTCGACAATCGGGCTTCCTTCGCTCTTTAAGCAGAGTCATCGTGGCATCGGAGCTTGCGAATAGTTCGAGACGCGAACTTGCTTGCCTATGGATCAGTCATTCTCTTGGAAGAAACGGTTGTGTCGAGGCATATTTGATGTGTACCTAACGGGTCATTTAATGGCTTATCGTTCGACAAGATTTGCGCTGTCCGCTTCGCGTCTTGGAACTATGGTTTTCACTATGAGATGCGGCGCTTTTTTATTTCCTTACTTGAGCATGTTTAGTATGAAAACGAGTACATTTTGCACCGAGTTGGAAATCACGTTGTTCCTAAACCACGGGCTTCTAAAGTCGGGTGTCTTGGAACGATGTGGATCACTGAAGTTGGCTGGTCTCAGCGCAAAGAGGACCCGCAACTGGTCCTGTTCCACCCACTTGTGCCCGGTCCATAATGCAGCAAATAATATCTCCTCGGATTATTATTTAAGCTATCCTTGATAATAATTTCGTCCTGTCTCCGCTTACGAGGATGTAGCTGATCTTAATAGATAGTCGCTTCCTATACTATTTCTTAGCGGTTCGTGGGTAGTACCCTATAGAAAACATCCTTAAGCTTACGTTAAGGTCCTTTATAATTTGCTAGAGAAGTAGAGAGCATGTTCATGTAAGGAAAGAGCCGTTGTGGCGGGCCGGTCTCAGCTGACAAGCTGAGTCGGGAGGGATTCGCCCCGATCCGGTAAAACCCCGGAACCGCCCAGCTTAAGAGGAGAACTCGAGACGCTCGCACCTAGTTTAGATTCTTCAAGAATCAGTCTTGCAATATACGCACCCATACACTGGCCTACTTCTAGCTACCCTTTGCACTACCTGACTATTATATTGTGAGACGTGTGGTATCCTCGTTACAGTTCAGCCTCGGTTCGTTAGATTCCTTTACTCTCAAAGAGGCGAGTTATGTATACAGGACATAGTTCCTTACGTTGTCCAGTATTCTCTAGATTTTCTATAATACTAGCCTTTAAATTACCGGAGGGGTTTAAAAATTACATTGTCTATTATTAGCATGGACTATAAGTCCTAATTGTTCTGACATACTATCTCGATCTTCGATATGACTGTACGAATATTCTGTGCTGCATTAGAGTCGTTTTTCGAGGGTGTAACGAGGATACCACACGTCTCACAATACAATAGTCAGGTAGTACAAAGAGCAACTAGAATAGGCCAGTGTATAGGTGCGTATATTGCAAGACTGATTCTTAAGGAATCAAAGTTAGGTGGGAGCGTCTCGAGTTCTCCTCTTAAGCTGAGCGGTTCCGGGGTTCTACCGGATCGGGGGCGGAACCCTCCCGACTCAGCTTGTCAGCTGAGACCGGCCCGCCACAACGGCTCTTTCCTTAGAGGAGCGGATTAAAAACAACACTTAAGCTTACGAATTGAGTCGTCCCGCTAGCGAAGCGAAAGCATATCTAAAGATCATTGTATCATCAGAAAGATTAACGTATTTAGGCTTCTCTGTAAGGGTTACGTGCGGCTCTGTGCCAGCGAAGGTGACTACGATTAGCTGTCACGGAAGTCAATTCCAAGAAGTGTCGCGTGTTTGGCCCTTTTGAGGTGCTCAATCTCCGACAATTATCTGATCGCTCGGCGGCGTCTAGCCACAGCCACACTGTTCCTTGACCTCACACTCTCTCCCTATCAGAACTAGATCCTGATAAATAGTGGCGTTGTCTATTACGTTAGCTACTAACTAGCTCTGCCTTTAGCCCTTCTTCTTCAGCTAATGATTCCTTCTGTTCATTATACCGTTAGAATTGTGCGCGTCTCGCCTTTAGGTTAGCATTAGTGGTTTCGAGAGCCGTAGACATGTCTTGAGTTAGGATTATATACCTAGGGCATAGCGTTCTAACTTCCTCTACAGTGAATATTTTACTGGCCCTAGGATTCGATATAACTCCAGGTGGCCTAGATGGAAGTTTCCAGACTATAATAATAGATTAAACATAGTAATAGAGTCTAGGTATAACGTACCCCACAAGCAAGTTGGCCACTGTTTCTTGGCACCGTACGAACAACCTTTTAATTAACATCTTTACACATACCAAGATGGGATCGAATTGGAAAGAAAGCGACATGATTCTAGCGTGTCAGGCGCTTCAATCGAAACCCGAATTAAGCATCCGACGCGCTGCCCAACTCTACAATGTCCCTCGTACAACTCTAGCTAACCGAAAACGCGGACTACTATCTCGACGCGATACTCGACAATCTAGTCATAAGCTTACGGAATCAGAAGAGTTAGCGGTCGTACAATACATACTTGACCTAGATTCGCCATAATTTCCTCCCCGGCTCCATGGTGTTGAAGCTATGGCTAACCGACTGCTCCGTGACCGTGGCGCTGGACGCGTCGGCGTCAACTGGGCCTCGAACTTCGTACGACGACAACCAGACCTTCGGACGCGTTTTAATCGAAGAATCGACTACCAACGAGCCTATTGCGAAGATCCTGACGCGTGTCACGGTGAGCACAATTGAAGAGTCAAAACACTCTAATGCACTGTATTGACTTAACGATTCTCGACAAGGAAAGAAAGAGAAACTAAAACAGGCTGGCTCACATCTGAGGATCTTCAATCCCGCCTTCAGATGGCCAGTGCTCCTACGGGTCCACAGCTAGTGGGTTTCGTGGCATCGTGACACCGGCCGTCACATTACCCACTGCTTTATGCCGAAGCGACCCCGCGAGGCGTCTTACAACCGCTTATGCCTCCTTGTCTTTCGATGCCCCGTAGCCAATGCCTTGTTATCGTCCTTATGGGCATCAGCTTCCCTATTCTCTTCAGCAGCCTTAAGCCGCTCCTTCAACCGTACCGGTGGACCAGGTGACTCGGGATACTTTTCGTGGAATTGTCTTAATGCCCCCGGGGCATCACGGAACCCTTCCGCTAAATACCATTCGTCATCCTTATCATAGCCACTCCATTGGGCTTGATACTCTAGCTTTCCCCGGTACATCCTCGAATTTCGAATAAAATCGACTGTCCATTGCTGGTTTCCGTGAATCACCTCGGCCGGGGGTTGCTCCTGGGCTTGTCCCGGTAGCGGGTCTGAGGCCGCCTTCCTTAGACGATCTGCATGAAGTACATCGTGGACTTCCATTGTCTCGGGGAGTTCTAACTGGTACGAATGCCCTTTCTTCTGCAGAATAGAGAAAGGACCAGCGTTCTGGTGATCTAGCTTCACGCTTGGCCGATCCGTAGCCCACCCTTTCTTTGACACGTATACCTTATCGCCTGGCTGAAAATCTGGCTCTCGCCGCTTTTTATTTGCTTGCACAGCCTGCCTTTCTTGTGCCTTTTGAAGTCCCTGTCGTGCGTATTGCCAGGCCTGGTAAGCTCTTTTCATAAATCTTTGAGCTAGCTCATTGTTCAGCCGTACCGTTGGCGAGTCTTCTAGTCGTCTCTCTTTATCACTCCAATCATAGGATAACCTTGGAGTATGGCCGAAGACAACTTCGTATGGCGATAGCCCAGTACTTTCGTGTGGCAATGTATTGTGTGCAAAGTCGATTGCTGGAAGGTGGTCACTCCAGTCGTCTTGGAAGTGGTTAACGTAAAACCTCACGCGTTGGTCCATCCATTGGTTCATAATCTCCGTGTTACCGTCTGTCTGAGGATGTCCTGCGGTAGATAGCTTCTGCTTGATATCCGCTCTTACACATAGCTCGCTGAAGAAATGAGAAATGAACTGCGGTCCCCGATCGGACACGATTGTTTCCGGAGTTCCAAAAATAGGAAACATCCGTTCATAGTATCGTCTCGCAAGAACTTCCGCTGTATCATTCTTATACCCAGGTATAGAGACTACCATCTTGCTAAGACGGCAAACGAAGACCCAGACGTAGTTGAATCCTCTTACATCCTTAGGCATATCTTTTCCATCAACAGAGATATGTTGCCAGGCCCGATCGGGTATTGGTAGGGGTTTCAGTAAACCAGGGGTCTTGTCTCGGAATACCTTATTTCGCCTACAGTTCGTACAGTTACGCAAGTACTGCTCAATATCGGAAGACATCTTTTCCCAGAAGTATCGTCCTTGGAGGAGCTTCTTCATCTTAGTCTTGCCCAGATGTGCAGCGGTCTTCGAGTCATGTGCTTCGCGTATCAGAGATGTCCGAAGATAGTTCCCCTCTGTATCGTTCGCAGGGACGTATAAGCAGTCCCCTACCGTACGGAGATTACCGTCTTTTGTTTGCATCCGATTAGTCCGCATGATAGCGTCGATGAGCTCGTGTCCTCGCAACAGAGCTCTTGTTTGATACTCTTGTTGTTCCTCGGGGATCGAGACGTTGCAAGCACTAATACTCCGCAGATGAGCGATAGAGATAAGTCCTGTGGCAACAGAACCTACTACTAACTCCGGCTTGATCAGAGTTTGAGTACGATACTCTCTTTGTTTATCCTTGACTGTAAGAACATCTTCGTTCTTTCGGGACAGGGCATCAGCAGCCACGTTATCCTTGCCCGGACGATATGTAATTATGAAGTTGTACTCTGAGAGTGTCTGGTACCACGTAGCTTGGCGGGCTTTCAGTACTCTCTTCGTCGAGAAGTACTCTAGTGCTTGGTGATCTGTAATAATCAGATAAGGAGATCGGAGGCCCGTCAACTCGGCGCTCCACCATTCCAGTGACCGGACAATTGCCAGCATTTCTTTGTCTTGGATCGGGTAGTTCGTCTCCGCAGCGTTCATTGTCTTTGAAAAATAGCCAACGGGATGATAGAATCCATCGCTTTGTAGCTGGTTCAACACTCCTCCAACGACACAGTCCGAAGAGTCCGTCTCAAGTCTTGTGTCCCTAGAAGGATCATAGTGGCAAAGGACTGGTGCGGAGAGTAGCATCCTTTTTAACTCTTTAAATGCTGTCTGTTCTTTCGTGCCTATATGAAACTCTGTTCCTTTTCGAGTTAACAAGGTGAGTGGCCGAGCAATTCTACCAAAATCCCGTATGAATCGACGGTAAAAATTGCAGAATCCTAAGAAGAACCGTATTCCTTGCAAGGATCTTGGTTGCTCCCAGTCTCTAACTGCGGCTACTTTCTCAGGGTCCACTTGTATCCCGTTGGTCGATATAATGAATCCAAGGTACTTAACGCTCTTCACCCGGTATTCAGTCTTCTTAATATCTCCGTGTAAGCCTGCAGCAGATAATCTTTCGATTACGGCTCGAACATGCGCATCATGATATTTTTCGTCTTCGGACTAAATCAAGACATCATCGATATAGGCGCTACAAACCGTATCGAGCAGGTCTCCTAGTACCGAGTTGATATACCCTTGAAACGTAGCAGGACCGTTGGTAAGCCCAAAAGGAACAACTTTCCATTTATATGTACCATACCGCGTCCGAAATGCCGTCATCTCTTCGGCCTTTTCTGTCATCCTGATCCGATGGAAGGCTTGGCGGACATCAAGCTTTGTAAAGACCTTTGCTTTAGACATCTGTGCAAAGGTCTCGTCGATAAGTGGCAAGGGATACACATCCCTTTTCGTAATGCTATTCAACTTCCGGTAGTCCACACAGAACCTCCATCCGCCGTTTGGTTTCCTTGCAAATAGAACCGGAGAGGTGTATGGTACAGAACAGGGCTCTATAAATCCCTTCCTCTGATAATCTAGAATGAATGTTTTCATTACTTGGAGCTGTTCGACAGGAAGTTTATATAGGGGTGCCACCCGCTGAGGTAAGGTGCTAGTAAGTTCAATGTCCATGTCTACCCCGGGGCGTACCGGTGGCAGCTTGTCTGATTCTGTTTTAGAAAAGAACCCATCTAAATCTTTCAGATGGCGGGGCCACTTCTGGTTCACCAGATCTCTAGTGTCCTCCTCATCAGCACCCAACGTACTGATGTGAGCGATAGCGTTATCAACATCCGTGATAGTGATCTCGCCCGTCCAGATCGTATCACGTAACCGTGTCCACCTGTTGATATTTATCGCACTGATATCGATACCAGCTTGGACAGCGATCTCACTGAGGTTGATACTACGGGTAGTAGCTTCAAGTTTAGGCTTGCGACTTTGAACTGGGGGATCCCCAGCTAGATCTCTTTGCATCTTTGCTAAGCCATCATCCCATCGGGTACCCGTATCTCTAGGTCTTTGTAGGATCCTGACCCGTGGCTTCTCTTGTTCATGCTGTTTCACCTCTGCTGGAGTTGTAGACAACGTCACCATGATGTCCCCAGACAGGTGTGCGGTCCTCGCTGGGGCGTCGTCTGGCCATTGTAGTGATCTTGATGCAGGATCTAGCTTAATCCTGTGCTCTTCATACCACTTTCGGCCGACGATGATATCGTTCTTCATTTCGACTTCCACGAAAGGTACGTCTTGAAAGCGGCGTCAATCCAGCGTGCAATTTAATAACAGAGCTGATGTAATCCATCCATCTCGTCTTCCAGTGTATCCTCTGAGAGGTACTGGCCGCTCTAGCGGTTTGCGCTGGGAACTCGGTATTCCTAACCGTTTCACCAGCTTCTGTGCTAGCCCACGCCTTACTAGCATATAAACGTCTGCTCCGGGATCTTGCAATGCCCGAATGGGGGTAGCTAGTCCTTGATATGTAATAAACATAGTCTTTAGAAATGGCTTGCGATCTACCACTTTATCTAGCTTTATTTCTTCCCCGATCACAGATACATATGGCGCCAGGCTGGAGTCTTGTTCCTGGCGACCTAGTTTTCCGACTCGTCAGTTGAGCCTTCATCTTCCATACCGACTTGTTGGGCAGTAGACTCTCTGTCTGGGCAGTCTTTGCTTAGATGTCCCTTTTTGCCACAGCGGAAGCAGTTGCGTGTCTCTGTCCTGGTTTGTGAAGGAGCCCTAGTAGCACTACGTCTCGTAGTGGACGACGACGTAGCTCCGCCGGCAGCATCTGAACTATGGTGTCCCCCAATAGACGTGCTGCCCTGACGAGTAGAGCCATTTTGGCCACCTCTGCTACCGCGGGTACCCTCAAGGGCCGTAGGTCGCGCCGACCTGCTCCTACTGTTTGAACGGGGAGTATTTCTCTCAAGGACGTACGCCAGCTGTTCCACTGTCTCTGCAAATTCAGTGTATTCCGTGCTGTCATTTTAGGCCTCCTTCGAAGTCTTTAGCTGCAACTCCTTTGGGAGCATTATGTGCAACTTTTCTTTCCAGTCTTCTTCGGGCCAAGCCGTCTCATACAGCTCGTCTTGGAAGGTGGCAAACCAGTCCGCAAAGGGCTTGCCATTTTGTGCGGCCACCAGTTGTTCTTTCTGTTGAAATTAAACCAGTCCCTTGCTTCTCGCTTCCGGTTCCGATTTCCAACGTTGTTGGGAAGAAATTTGAAAAACAATTCCAGGGAATCAAAGTCCTTCCCTCGCTGGAGATACGCACCAACACGGCTAAGTGCCGTACCTTCAAGCCTTCTCCTGCAGTACCTAATTTGACTCTGTTCATCGGGGTAGTTCATCGGCTCGTCCTGGAATTTATCCCTGATCAGCATAATCCAATTGGTAACAGTAGGGTCTATGCCATCTTTCAAAGTGACGACGTCAGCTCCTTTCCTATTCCCGTCCGTACTGCCACGTATCTGCGGACCCTCTACAGATGGTAGTATTGTAGTTGGTCTACTACAGTGTGCAATTTGTTGCGCTTGCTGGATGATCGTGCGATCTTTCGCATCGATTGTCTCCTTGAGACTGTTGATCATCCGCTCCTGTTCCCGAACTCGCGCATTGTAGTTTTGCAGCTCCGCCTCTAAATCCTGCACTTGTTCCTCTAAGTCAGCGATCCTCTGATTCGGATCGATATCCTCCTCCGTCGGGCTCCGCGTTCGTGGTTCGACTTGTGCTTCTGGCTCCTTAGACGTTGCGAACGGGGAGTTTTTCCTTGGTGCCATCGTTTCGGGGGAGGGGTTTTGTTAGTATCTTGTCCGTACACGATTAATGGATCGAATCCTTCACTCGAAGTGCTTAGATGCCTCCCCTTGAACCAGTGTTATTTACCAGAAGAAATGAACAAAAGATGTGCGTACACACTACTACAAACTAGATCCTCCTTTTCTCGCCTCCCATCATACCATATCTACTGTGCTTTACTCGAGCTCTGTAAGTTCGCAAGTTCAAAGTATGCGCTCTTCATCTCCATCAGCCCATCGTGCGTGCCAGACTCGACAACTCGCCCTTGGTGGAAGACGTAGATCATGTCTGCGTTTTTGATCGTGCTCAGACGATGGGCAACAGCGATTTTGGTGCAGCCCCGCGCCGCGGCATTCAATGCCTCTTGCACAGCCTTCTCGCACTCCGAATCGAGAGCTGAAGTGGCCTCGTCTAGTAAGAGAACCTTTGGGCGACGGAGCAGTGCTCGAGCAATCGCGACGCGCTGTTTCTGACCACCCAACAGCATACAGCCCTTGCTACCAATAAGAGTATCCATACCGCTCGGCAGACTGATGATGAAGTCATAGATGTTTGCATCTTTGCAACATCGCACGATTTCTTCCTCCGCAATGTTGTCTCTATCAGTGCCGAGCAGAATATTTTCGCGGATGGTGCCTCGGTAAAGGGTCGGCTCTTGGTTGACAAGCGCCAAATGGGAGCGGTAATCGTTGACGTTGAACGATGAGATTTCTGTACCGTCAACGAAGATCCCGCCAACAAGGGGATCGTAAAATCTCTCCAGCAAGATGATCGCGGTCGATTTCCCACATCCGCTGGCCCCGACAAAAGCGACATATTGTTTGGGTTTAACCTGTAGATTGAGACCTCGAGGAACCGGCTGGGTCGGTCTTGTCGGATACCTGAAGTGCACATCCCGGAATTCAACATGGCCTTCGATGCTCTGAGCCTTGGTGCCGTCCTGGCTCCAGCTGTCAATCTCGGGCTTCCTATCAAAGAGAGCTTTAAGCTTAGCTGCACCGTGTCTTGCCTTTGCCAGGTCTGGCGCATATGCAAACATAGTCCCTGCAGACTCTAATGATAGCGCTAAAACAGAAAAAATTGGAACCTGACAAGAGTTAGAATCCTGCAACAATCTAGAAAAGTACCTCGTCCACTCACATGCTGTACCATACCAGAAGCCGAGGGCCATGCAAAGAAACTGAATTGATCGTGAGGCAGCGCCAAGTAAAGAAGATTTGAGAATTGATAACACTAATTGGCGGCGGTGCCCGGCAAGTTGTTCCCGGTAGTGGTTGCAAATGTCGTCCTCACGAGTTAGAGAGGCGACGGTCCGTATGGCTGAGGTAGCCTCGCAAGCATAGCTTGCACACTGTTGGTGGGCCTTTTCCTTCTCCTTCTGGAATACGACTAACATGGCCAGACGAAAATAACCGCACCCAAGAACGAGCGGGATAGTGGAAATGCACACCAAACTCAGTTTCCACCCGACGGCCAGACCAATGGCGGAAGAGGCAATTAACCGCATTGACCACCTTTTTGCATGCACCCCCATTTTGCAGGGAATTTCTACGCCTCAACAACACGACGTCTCTCAATTTACCTCGCAATTGCTCCCTATCTACGTACAAAATAGCTAATCCAGTGGAGAATAGTCTGGACGATTTTGAGCAGCGAATCGAACGCGCTAAAGAGCTTGTCTGTCAGGGCTCTTCCCAGGCCGTAGCAGCTCATCGGTACGGTATCAAGGGGACTACACTGTCCTACCGTATTCGTCACGGTAGTTCGCATCGCGACGCCGCCTCCAGGCAACAAAAGTTGACTCCAGAGCAAGAGGAGGTTATCATGAACTGGATCCTACACGAAGAAGTGTGTGGACGGGCTCCTAGCAAGCGTTATGTGGCCGACTTCGCTGCCGAAATCCTCCTTGTTCAAGGGGATAACAATACACTCGGCCAACACTGGGTGGATCACTTCGTTAGCCGCCATCCACAGATACGTACCAAAATTGAGCGCGTCGTAGATGCTAGCCGAGTTAGAGCGTCCGATTTGACCAAGATCCGAGACTTCTACACCCTCCTCGAACGCTTACGTACGAAGTATCGTATCAAACCCGACAACGAGTATAATATGGATGAGACAGGTGTTCAAGAGGGGGAATCTGGGCATGGTACGCTTATTGGGACGTCTAATTCACGCCGGGTACGCGTATCAAAGTCGGACGCTTCGTCGTGGTGCTCCTGGTTAGAGTACATTTCGCATACCCAACGGGGTACACCTGTCTGCGTATTTTCCGGCAAGAGAGTCCAAGCACAGTGGTTCCCAGACCAAAATATCCCTGAGTGGGAACACACCGCGACGAGTAAGGGCTGGAGTAATAAAGTTATCGCAAATAGATGGTTAGATCAGGTTTTTCTCCCCGAGACGAAGCCTAGGGGTACCGAATAGCGACTCCTTATCCTCGACGGCCACTAGACACATATTCATGCCGAATTTATATGGAAAGCCTACTCGAATAGAGTCGCCGTGCTGTATTTACCCTCACACTGTAGTGACGATCTCCAGCCGTGCGATGTCGGGCCGTGTCAGGGTACGGCTAGGCCGAAGGCAATAGTACAGAGTGATGGGGAGTAACGGGCGTCCCTCCTACGTAGCACCGGGTGGTCACTGGTGGTCTCAGGTAGGGGTGCCCACGATGATGCATTGATCTCTACTCCTTCCCTATCCTACTTCGAGATGGTCCTTATATAGATAGCTAGGCCGCCGCTTGGACCCGGCATAACAGCAGGGTCGGCGTTGCCGAGGATCTTGACTCTCGTCATCCCAAAGCTTCACATAGATTGTAATCATGACTCGGGAGTCTTTTGTCCGAAACACCCCTCCGGCGGCCCACCGGTGTCCTGCGTTCAGTGTCCTGACAGGCCGTTCTCACCTTTGAAGACCTACTACCGCCAAGAGCTCAGGGCTTACGCTTCCTACAAGGCTACAGCACCAATTTACAAGCAACGTATGCTAGAAGCATATCTACGTGCCTCGGAGAGAGCCTTTACTACGGAAAATATTAAATCTGGCTGGCGGAAGATGTGAAGGTCAACAACCCTCGCAGACTCACTACAACCAGGTGACTTACAGCTGGAACACCTGCCGTGGCAGTGCCAGATGGGAAGCCAATCATAACCCCTGTAGGAGCCCCGCCAAGCGTGGACGACTTAGTCGCGCTCCCTCAAACCTAAGTCGTGATCTTCTTTCCTTCGCTCCTTAGAGTAGAATCTTCGTCGATAGCACCTAATCGAGGTCTCTACCAATGCGATGCAACCCAGGTCGTGACAATATATGAGGCGGAGGATCTGGTGTATGAGGCTCCGGAGGATCACAAGATACGTCGACTAGTCCTTCGGACCCTAGGGGCCATATACCAGTCTTCTGTCACGACCTGGGTTGCATCGCATTGGTAGAGACCTCGATTAGGTGCTATCGACGAAGATTCTACTCTAAGGAGCGAAGGAAAGAAGATGACAACTTAGGTTTGAGGGAGCGCGACTAAGTCATCCACGCTTGGCGGGGCTCCTACAGGGGTTATGATTGGCTTCCCATCTGACACTGCCATGGCAGGTGTTCCAGCTGTACGTCACCTGGTTGTAGTGAGTCTGCCAGGGTTGACCTTCACATATATCACCACCTTTAGTTGATTTTACTCCTCAGAAAGCGCAGCAACTATCTAGCCAACTACAATCGATAGAGAAAGCCGAGGGCGGGGTATCTCGTAAGATTCGTACCCTAGTAGGCAAGGCGGGCAAGGCCCTTACACTCCAGGCCGCCGAGAATGCCAAATTACGTATCGAAAACGAGCAACTATATAAAGAACTCGATAAATACGCTCCAGATATACGCCAGCCCGTCGAGCCAGACCCGAATAAAGTATTCGTTAACTTATCAGCGATCCGAACAGCCCAGGACAAGCGAAATAAGCGAATACGGCCTATTTTACCGGATAAGCAGTTAGAAATTGATACTTTTCTCGAAGCAAGGGTCCCTCCTAAAAAGAGGGCTCGAAAGAAAATATCTAAGTCTTCGGACACTTAAATTAAGTATGTTCTGTATATAAATAATATGGACGAAGTATTTAGGTTGATTCAGTTAGACCCTGCAAAATGGGGGTGCATGCAAAAAGGTGGTCAATGCGGTTAGTTTGATTTGTGTAGCAAGCCTTTGCATTATGCTAGGCGCTGCTACTAACGAATCTCAAAATGAAAGTTACAATAACTACGGCTTAGTAATGGAAATTATGGTCCATAAAGGAAAACACAGCAACTAACTGCATAATGACAACCCTCTCAAATCTGAATATATATTTGCATGAACGCGCTAGCCAAGGGCTCCCAGTGTATGCCTGTTTTTGTTCAATATTCACCTTGCACAAATAATCACCTTCAGAGATGCACCAAAGAGGCGAAGCTCCTTGCTTTCGGTGATACACCGTCTTACTGTAGTCATTTTGCTTTTCCGTTGTCAACCGTATCGTGTACATCGGTTGATCACAGCAGCGGATATGAGGCCATGGGTAGTGCCGAATAACCAGGGTCTCACATTCAAGGGGCACGAAGCTCCACTTAATAGGAGTGCATACGCAGTTTCACAGTAGATCTCTCTAGGGGGAGGACCCGCCACGGTGCAAATTGATTAAGTCTAAGGCTAAGTCTAATTTTTTACTAGGTTTTAGCGCTGTTCTTGCCGCTAGACGCCGCTCAGCCGTCTCAAACCTCACTAGTTCTTCATCCAAAGTCCCCATTAGAAGCGTTGACAACATTAGTGTCTTCTAGAAAGTCAGAACAACCCGGCTTCCGTCTCAAGGCCCGGGTGCGCAAGCCTTGTCACCGGGGCCTACGGTGCTGACTTCCACCGCAAGTGGGACGAACCATGACTGGCGCAATCGTTCCCAACTTGAGGAAATTTGCAAGCGGAAACCCGGCAGCTTTCCCATCAGTTCATGCTCATCTCCGGCGCCCACTCAAGTAGTGCTATCAGAATATCGTGTTGCACAGCACGCGATTACATCGTGTGTTTGCCGGTGAATCTGCGTTTGACCGTTCGCCAAGTCTGCTGGGTGTGCAGGGACTCCTATAGTATCACGGACTACATAAGGAAACGATGCTGCACAGCAAGAGATTTCTGTCAATCCAGGCTTTTCAGATATCTCGTGGCCTATATCGCCTGTCCTCTCTTTTCTCATTAGTCCTTGCGCTAAGTTCATTCATTTCTAACACAGTCGTTCTCTGATTCGTCGAAAAACATTCCAAGCAAAATGCTGTCCAATATTTTCCTCTGCATCTGCGCCCTTGCATCCTTTGCCACCGCCACTCCGACCTTGACTGCTGTTGCCCAGCTCAACGACCGCGCTAGCACCACGTGCACGTTCACTGATGCTGCGAAAGCCAAGTCAGGCAAGACTTCTTGCACCACCATCTACCTCAAGGACATCGTTGTGCCTGCTGGCACTACGCTGGACCTGACGGGCCTCAAGGCAGGCACTCATGTCATCTTCCAGGGCAAGACTACCTTTGGCTACAAGGAGTGGTCGGGACCTCTGATCTCCTTCTCTGGCACCAACATACTCATTGAGGGTGCATCGGGTCACAGCATTGACGCCGACGGTGCTCGCTGGTGGGACAGCAAGGGAACCAATGGTGGCAAGACCAAGCCTAAGTAAGTCTATTCTCTGATAATGCAGTTCCTTGTTTTGCTGACTGGCTTCAGGTTCTTTTACGCCCACAAGCTCATTAACTCCAACATCAAGGGCCTCAGCGTGAAGAACACGCCCGTCCAGGGCTTCAGCATCAACGGTGCCCAGAATCTCGCTGTGTAAGTTATACACTTTCAAATTCAATTTAGAAGTGAGCAACACATACTGACAAGTCCCCAACAGCTACGATGTGACCATCGATAATTCAGCCGGTGACAGCGCCGGCGGCCATAACACCGACGCCTTCGACGTCGGCTCTTCAACCGGCGTCTACATCTCAGGCGCTACTATCAAGAACCAGGACGACTGCCTGGCCATCAACTCGGGAACCAACATCACCTTCACAGGCGGCTACTGCAGCGGCGGCCACGGTCTCTCCATCGGCTCCGTAGGCGGCCGCTCCAACAACGTCGTCAAGTCGGTCAAGATCACCAATAGCCAAATCGTCAACTCGGACAACGGCGTGCGCATCAAGACCGTCTACGGCGCCACCGGATCCGTTTCCGACATCACTTACAGTGATATCAAGCTCACCAACATCGCTAAGTACGGTATTGTCATCGAGCAGGATTACGAGAACGGCAGTCCTACCGGCACCCCCACTGCTGGTGTCCCCATCACTGGGCTCAAGGTCAGCAAGGTCACTGGAACTGTCATGTCGAGCGGTAACGATATCTATGTCCTGTGCGCTAAGGGTGCTTGCTCCAACTGGGCTTGGTCCGGTGTCAACATCACTGGTGGCAAGAAGTCGACCAAGTGCACCAACGTTCCCAGCAGCGCTGCTTGCTAAATGATCTCTGTTGTTTGTGCAACCGGATCAAATGAGGGGGCCTGGAAGACGGCCTCTTGTACATAGAAAATTTCGATTTCTGGGTTGCCAAGCTGTATATATTTGCCACCATATTTAAGAAGCCGGGGCATGCACCGTTTAGCTTACTGTAATATGCATATTTTCTCTGCACACTTCAGTCAGTTCCACACGTTGACCATCCTAGCACTTCAATGAAACCAAAAATAAACTTGGTTCTACCGGCCTCCTTGAGATATTTGAGAAAACGAGTATTAGCATTTTCCATATTTGGAGTACACAGAGTACGTTACATTCACTTCTGGCTGATAAACCACAATTAACGTCCCACACCCACATCCGGGACACCCCCACATGTGGGACGCCCGAAAAATGACACTGTATATTATAACCATTAACTTTAACCTTTTTTGACACTTATTCTATCTAATGCGACTACAATACAGCTTTCACCATCACTAGGGTTTTCAGACTCGCTAGACTCATCTGTACTATCCTCAATTTCACCAGCCTCGATTTGAGCCTTCCGAATAGCCTTGATATCAGTAAACTTCGAATTAGGGCTCATCTTGACCTTCCTCCGCTTCCTAGCCCTACTAGCCTCAAGCTCTGCCTCTATTGCCTCAATATTTCGCTGTGCGACAGCTAACTGGTAGTCCTTCTCATCAAACCCCTTTTGAACTTTCCGAAAGAGTAGTCGCTGGGTATTTGGTTCACTATCAAGCTTGCTGAATAAGCTGAGTTGATCTTGGAGCTCATCTCTCCTCTTAGGCGTTGACCAGGCTACTGCTGATGTCTCTAACGCCCAGTACTGACTACTAGAGTGCCCTTTGCAAGTCTGACTAGGCTGTTTGATTGGTGCTGACGTATTATCAAGGAGCAGGGGGCTCATAAGGGGTCTAGCTATGCTCGAAGGCCAGAGACCAGTATATTTCCATCCACTGATAATGTTCTTGACGGTCAATGCTGCTAGACGTGCCTTTCTATAGCAGAGGAGAAAGTTTCTCTTCCCTACGACAGTAGTAGTATCCCATCGGTCAAGGTAACCAAGCTCCTTCTTATAGGCTGCCTTGAGGGGTCTAAAGACTGACTGATCGAGAGGCTGGAGAACGTGGGATGTGTGTGGCGGCAAGAAAAGCAAGTGTATCTTGTTTATGAAGCAGAGGTATATAAAGTCTGTCGTTTCGTGGCTACTATGCCCATCTAGGATAAGTAACCTAGTCTCTTCAGGGTCCTCTGGTTGAGTCAAAGGAATAAAGATCTTTTGTAGCCACTCAATAGCCGTAGAGTCTGAAGTCCACCCATTCTCTGTTGCTGTAAACCTCCAGGCTTCGTATGGAGTCAAGTCTAGAGGAAACCGCTGCTGCTGGACATACTTCCCCTTATATATCACAAGTGGGGGTAGTGCAGTACCAGTCGCAGAGATACACTCTATAAGAGATGTCCAAGCTCGAGATCCAGGCTGTTTCTTCCGTATAGAACGAGTCTCAGATGATCCTAGAACAAGACCATTTGATCCTCTACCTTCTAGAATACCTATCTCATCCATATTATATCGATTCGAGGCCTTAATAGCTTTGATCTCAGGGATAGCGAGGTATTTGAACCATTGCCTGATCACATTAGCTGAGGCTCCATTAATACGCTAGGAATCGATAGCTCTGCTTCTCTGGACCTTGAATGAAGGGTTCCTCTTGATAAAAGCCTGGACCCAGTTCTTTCCAAGTGGTTCGGTGTCTCCGTGGATCTGTAGGATACGCTCGGCGAAGTCTTTGAGCTGTTGATGGGTTGGTGGGAGGCCTAGGGCAGCCTGGATTCGAACCCATTCAGCCAGATGGGATTCCTGGGCTGGAGAGAGCCTCTGGTAGTCAGCGAAGGCTATATCTCTTGACTGGGCTCCCTGAATCCGTCGTGAAAGAGTAGACCTTGGGACACCATGCTCATATGCTGCTTTTCGGAGGCTTTGACCGGTAGCTATTGCTTGAAGAGCTCGATAAATATCATCTTCAGTATATTGACTCATATTAGTGTAAAGAAGACGTATGTAGAATTTCGTAAGATTAAATCGATATTGGTAAAGATAAAAGAGGTTGAAGTTAGAGGCTAGCGGTGTTGATGAGGCATTTTTGGGTGTCCCAAATGTGGGGGTGTCCCGGATGTGGGTGTGGGACGTTATCCGTAGCGCACGACATTGTAGCGAAAACTTTTCATCAGTTTCATAATAGATCACGAGCTCGAATCCTGGATAGGGCGAGCTGTAATTGGCTATGGTAGGAGTGAGAGGAATTGCGGTTGTTATTAGATGGGGGACAAGTGGAATTTGCAAGGCTAGCCTATCGAAACACCTGAAAATCGCATGAAACTCTATATGCACTAAACTGCCACAAAACGTCATGACACACAAGAAAACCCTCTGGTTGGAGATGAGCTCTTGAGGCGCACTCCGAGCGGGGAAATCCACACTGTCTACACTCACGTCTTAGAACACAACTTCCATTAGTTACTTGAAATAGGACTACTAATGGAGATTTATGCCTATTCAGGGAGTTAATTTGCAATCTGTCACAAACTTCTGGCTCTTTCGGCCTGACAGCACGGAAACGGGTAGTTTAAACAATCCATCATGGACTGGTACTCCGACCCCAACGCCACCAAGCCAGGCGACAAATGGTCGCAGCAAGACCTCAAGCAGCTCAAAAAGAAACTCATCACCGCAAACCACATCCTACACCACCACGGCGTCGTCGACGCGTACGGGCATATCTCAGTTCGGCACCCGCAAGATGCCTCCATCTACATCATGTGCGGGTACATGGCTCCCGGCGTGGTCAGCCGGCCAGAAGACCTGATCGAGTACCGGGTCGAAGACTCGTTCCCGGTAGACCCGGAAGCCAAAAAGGGGTACTCGGAGCGCTTCATCCACGGAGAGATGTTTCGCATGTATGAGAGCGTGAATTGCGTCGTGCATAGCCATGCGCAGGACGTGCTCCCGTACGCCACGAGCGAGGTCCCGCTGATGCCAGTTTTCCACATGGCAGGATTTCTAGGTGAGTGCATGAGAATGGTATATCTTTGACCGAGATCAACCTAGGGTCTGACCCCAATCAGGAAAAAAGGTGCCTGTCTTCGATATCGCGACCCTCTACCAGCCGGGCGAGGCCCAGGATCTCCTCGTTCGAAACGCTTGTCTGGGCACGGAGCTAGCGTCCAAATTCACCAGCCCTGGCGTTGTATTACCCGATAGTGCTGACAAGATTGTCAAAACCGATCACACGGTCGTGTTGATGCGGCGACACGGGTACACTACCCACGGGCCAGATATCGAGACCGCTGTGTACCGGGCTATCTACACCAAGGCCAATGCCAGCGTACAGACCAACTCGTTGCTGATACAGCAGGCCTGGTCGCAGGGGTCGAGTCTCGGTGGCTTGACGCCCGTTCTGCAGCCGTTGACGGAAGAGATGTGTGATGGATGTGATAGGATGAACACGGGGACGCAAGACAAGCCGTGGAGGTTATGGGTTGCTGAGGTGGAGAACTTGCCGTTGTATGTGAATATGGGTTGAGTGTAGTTTTATGGGATGTGTCGTGACGAATTTGTAACGAGAGCAAGAGGGAGATGGAGATATGGAAGAATCTCCTCGAGATTCAAGATTATATTAAATCCGACTATAAGATACTAAAGAGGGCGAAATACATGGTAATGTAATTATTTCTGTCGTTTGGGCGTTGTGACGTCGTGGTGCTTTCTAGTGTGTTTGGGGCAAGTTTGGAGTGAGGGATTATTTCGGAAAGAAGGCATATAGTGATCAGACTCGGATAGTACCGAAGTCGAGAGACTAGGGGGCCAGATCTAACAGTTATGATGTAAGGAAAATATGAATTTTAAATGATATGGAACTTGGCCGAGCCTACTTTGACGGTCAAGCATGCGTCGTCGTTTTAATTCCACTTGAATTAACAACCGTCTTCCCAACACCGAACGCCCTTTTAGATACCGAGCTATGCGACAGCGTTATCCTGACAGGACAGCACCTGACGATGACATTAAGTCTCCTGTAAAAGCCATTTACATTTTGACAACCAGTTTCTTCCCCTTCATATTTCCCTTCTTTAGCATGTCGAGGCCCTCTTGGACGATTTCCAGACCACCTTCCATCAGGTGTAACTCAGGAAGGACTAACCTGCCATCCTCAAGCAACTTGCCCAACTCCACGGTGTATTGTACGTTGGTCTTATCCAACACAAACTGTTTCATCTCCACCGTGTGAACAGTGATGTTCTCCGGAATGACCTGGGAACTCGACATCATAGCCAGCGGCGCGAATTCGACAGGCTGATCTTTGGAAACAGCCTCCAACACTAATGCAGCGGTCTTCGCACCTACCAGGTCAATGGCTCGGGTAATCTTCCCATGTGTGAGTCTCCGAATGTCGTCAACTAACTCCGCGTTCAACTTTTCATCCCTAACAACAACATAGTCGGCCCCTAGGCTTTCGGACAGCGACTTTGTTTCCGCTGAGTTGACGGTAATAACTTTCCGACCGCTTAACGCCGCAAGCTGGGTAGCAAACTGCCCGGTCACCGTGGATCCTCCCCAAATCAAGACCCACTCCTCCTCCCCCTCTACTTCACCATTTTCTCTGTTCGACGGCACCGGCACCCCAAGCCATTTCCACAAAGTCATCGCGGCCGTCAGGGCTGCGACACCAAGGCAAGCTGCAGATTCGAACGGCACCGTGCTCGGAATAGGCAAGACGGTATGTGACGGCACGACAACATACTCCTGAAAACACCCCGCGCGGACGTCCTTGTAGTACGTGCTCGTCCACACCCGGTCGCCGACCTGAAACCCCTCGACAGATGGACCGACTTGGCTGACGACGCCGGACATTTCGCGCCCAGTAACCTAGAGTGACGTAAGTATCGGCGGTTCTCGGGCCACTCCTCCGTGGATGGCGTATCTTACCCATGGGAACTCGGGCAAACAGAAATTGTAATCAACCGACTTCCAATCAATGGGGTTGAGACCGACATAGTGGCTTTGGATCATAATCTCGTCATCATGGACGATGGGCATGGGGAAGTCATGTCGGATCTCGTACTCGCCCTGCCGGGCCACGACGAGCGCCTTTTGGACTGCTGCTACTTTGGATTCGGGGATATCGGTCACGGACGACGGGGATGAGACTATGGAGTGCTCTGAGGTTCTGGCGGAATCTTTGCCTTGGAATCCATTGATAACGCGGGACTTGCGTCGGTCGTAGGTGAGGGTGTTGGATCTGATTCTGTGCAGGAGGGAGCGGACGGATTTCCATGATTTCCGGGCTTGGAGGGATTGGTTGGGGCGGAGGTCTGACATTTTTGAAGGACAGAGATAGGAATGAACGGATAACAACAACTGAGCAACAAAAACCTCACATAGGACGGTTCACTGTGATCAGCGGCAAAAGGCAAACCACCAATTTTAAAGACAAGCGAGGTAATGCTTACAATCCAATTGTTACACCGGAGAGCTAGAAATAGAATTTATGATGTGGATAGCAGTTTGCGGCTCGAAGTGGCCAAAGTTTCAACTTCCAACCGCTCCTTTAGGAACCAAGGCCGGCTCTGCCGGCTGGCCGATTTCATCATCTCCCCGCGCGGCAATGGAGGATACGTTGGTTTGCCCTATCATGATGCTCGCAGGTGGCACCATTTGGGGTTTTGGTGGCAGCGACGGATATGTTGGGTGGGCCCGGCGGTTGCGCCAGATAGATAGGCGATTGCACCATCCCAATGGATTGGTGGTGACGCTTTCCGATGCCGCATCTTCGGACGTGCCCCGAACCTGCGACAGCAGATTTATAATACATCAGAATTATAATGGTGACCTTGATGTTTTGTCCTTTTAAATTGTATGGAATCATCGTTACGTCTTCGGGATGTTTCCAAAGTCACCTTCCGCCAGAAGTAACCCCCTGCAACGGTGCAGGTTCGCTGCCGGTATCAGCAGAATGACAGCTAACAACATTCGAGATTGAGTCGCTTCGGGTCAATTTCGTTATTAATCGACTAGAAGTTCCAGGTTGAAACCTTATCAGTCGTCACATAGTAGTCTCCGTTACCCCAGCTCCATTCGACGTTGAATCATACCGTCTCCTTCCCCCCCGCGACCATGGCATCGAATACCTCCAATCCCCTCTCCCAAAGCTCATCAACATGGTTATCATGAACCACCCCATCCGCATCAACGAACTTAACCACTTCAGGTCCCGCTGACTCATGCCCCTCTGCCCAACCCACCGTCTCCCCAGCCAGGAACCGATCAAACGGCTCAAGTATCGTCATAACTATCTTCCCATCCCCCTCCGTATACCCAGCCCGCCACCCACTCCCCCACCAAATCGGCGTATCAGCAGCATGACAAACCCCCATCTTCGGATCAATCCACGCATCCAGCCCCTTCGCCCTCCACGCAATCCGATATCTGAATAACTCCCCCCTCGGCAACGGCTTGACTCCCTCCCCAGAAGGCGGGTTAAGCAGAAATCTAGTCAGCCCCCGGATCGATGCGTGCACCTGCCCATCGGCTACCATTTGACTGAACACAGTCGCCCACTTGTCTGCGTCCCCATCCCTATCGTCGGGGATGTCGTACTTGGACAACATGGCTTCTACCACGTGCCGAGGGTAGTAGTTACCCAGCTCCTTAACGAGGCCCGCTTTGTTCCCGGGTGGATTGACCAGTTTGTACAGCAGCGCTTCGTCGGCTACTTCGCCCAGCAATATGGACGTTCCGTTCTCGGCTAGCTTTGTTGCGAAGGCACCGGATGTGAGAGACGAGAGGAAGTCGGCGGGAACGAAGACACCGTCGGTGTTGGTGCGGAAGGTGTGCATTTTGAGCTTGCTGATTCCTGCGATCAGGTCTTGGCAGCTGATGGCGCGGAGGACTTCTAGCTTATCTGACGTGGTGGTGGTGGTTTCCGGGACGTTGAAAATGGAGCAGACCTCATTGAACTGTGCTGTTAGAGCTGGCCCATCGGTGGTGTCTGGCTGGATGGCTACCGCATTTGACCAGAGGTACAGCCGCTTGATCAGACGCTTCTCGGGCGGCAGGTGGGTGTCGTAGTGCAACTGATAGAAAGCCGAATTTGCGCCTGCGGACAGGCCGCCGACAGTGATGTTGTCTGGGTTCCCGCCAAACAAAGCGATGTTTTGTGCAGTCCATTCCAACGCGGCACGCTGATCCCAGAGACCGTAGTTCGATACCGAGGGGTCCTCCGCCAAGGATGCTAGCTCTTTGCCAGCCAAGAAACCAAATAGATTCAGTCGGTAGGTAGGCGCAACGATGATTCGACCTTTTACATGCTGGTACAGATCAAAGGGATCGTGATCGTGCGACTGGTTCGCATTTCCCACTTGCAGCCAACCACCATGGATGTGAAACTGGACTGGCCATCCCCCAGTTGGTGGCGTGCCGGCCGGGATCCAGACGTTGAGGTAGAGACAATCCTCGCTCTGCGCATTCTCAATAGGCGTTGCCGCACCGGGGTTTTCCAGCCTGGCGGTGCTGTGATTGTAGATCGGCTGCGGGCATATCGCGTTGAATTCGGAGAAGTTGCCCGGCGATCCGTCTGATGAGGTAAATGAATAGTCAGAAGGCAGAGGCTGAGGCCGTCGCCAACGCAGTTGTCCAACTGGAGGCTGAGCGAAGGGGATTCCTGCGAAGCGACGATAAACGGCGTGGCCGGTTTTATTATCTTTGTATTCGACACCCCGTAGACTTCCTCGCGATGTGGGGAGAATGTACGGGGACACGGTCGACTCTGTTTGACCCATGGCAAGATATGAGAAATCGTGAGACTTTACTGGATGGTTTTGGTTTGTGTTATAGAATCCGCTGCGTATTTGATAGAGATGTGGTCAAGGTCATGTGTTCATCCGTTCTTAATGCCTGAATCGGAGTTGAGATACGGTTAAAGTCGTGATTACCGGGGCCGACAATATGGGATTATCCCGGCAATTAAAGAAGTACCGAAGTCTTTTGAGTGTGTTTGCGCTTGTGAATTACTATAGTTCGACAACACTTTTTAACACCAGACATATTATATTTAAAGTGGTTTGAAATTTAGTTTCACCTATAGTGGTATGAATTGTTTGTGCAAGAGTGACCAGGAGGCTCTCTTCCAGAAGGACAGTCCCCGAACAAATGCCTTCAAACTACTGTGCAGTTTCTATTTTCGCCGTGGCAGTTTTTCAGTCTTTGTATGTGATAATACTATTGGCTTCAGGTTAGAGTTCCCCTCGAGTAACCTTGGGTTCCGGCTCCGACTACAACTCCCGTGTCGTCCTTGTCTGTGTTCGTTAGTGCCGCAAGGTCTACTGTCTGTTTGAACTGCAAAAGGTATGGTCAGAAAAGAAGTGCGCCACTTGATGGATTGGGATTGATCCCATCTGCAAAGGCGGGAAAAGGGTCCACCATTGCCTGGGATGTCTCGTTTGGTGTACACCCCGACACCGCGAACCAGCTTCTCAGGCGGAATGGCGGTCATACCAAAACGTATGACCACACCAAGATTGCCATGGCCTCCTTTGAGCGCAAACCCTCGACCTAGATTCGATGATTTGTTAGCGTTGACGATGGTTTCGTCACCCAGAACCACCTTGAAGTTAACGTTGTCGCAGCCGAAATTGTAAGCACTGGCGAAGAAACTATTTCCACCTCCAGTCAAGAAACCGGCACACCGACGGTTGAGGCCCATGTTTCTGGAACCCTCCTTGTCGTATATCTCAAGCTCTCGGCAAAACCGACGATCAGCTTGTCCCAAGTTGGATTGAAACCAGATCTGTAACAAGGTCACATGTCTTCGCGCTCATGTTTCCCATACAAGTTGACGAGGAGTTCGCACAAATTCCACGCACATACCTTGCTCAATGCTGACACCGTCGGTAATGTAGTCTGACCTAGCGATGCTGTATGGCTACCACTTCATAATTCAATGGACTAACATTTCATACCTACCAGCGCGATTCGCATTATAGAAATCTCTGCGGTGTTGAGGCGTTGCACGATGCAAAAAGAACAAGAAGCACACCTGGCATGGTATGAGAAGGTTTTGAGATAATCGAGAGTTTTCAGTAATTCGAGAGTCGGTGTGGCCGGCATCTCTGTCAGTGACCAAGACTTTAATGAGAGCAGGAGAGTTGGCTCATGTTAATCGTTGCAGCGAGAACGTTATAATCGGATCTGGATACCTGGAATCTCAAGGCAAGACGGTCATTAATCGCCAGCAGAGCTAACAACATTGATTGAATTGATGGATAAAACTTGAAATAGGACGAACTACTTCGTAGCGACCGATGAACCAAGTAGCATTTCGTGGGCTAATTTAATAATACGTAAGAACTCGGGAAACCAAAACAGACCGAAAGAAGGTATGGCTGCACTCTGTCAGTGCGATGTTGGCCTGGTTGGCATGTTCGGAAACTGGGACCAGGACCATCTCGCTTGTCATCCCCATCGCAGTGCGGCCATTTATTTGCCAACACCATGCGTACAGTCCAGTATTCTGTAAGCAAGTTAATCCGCTGTCAGGGGAAATTTGCCCTGTTCTTACGATTCGCAGTTTATGGTTGGAAACTCTTGAGCACATCACAATTTAGCCAGTGCGTTCAGTCGAATCATCAACTTCCTTTCTCTTCACATTACAGAAAATGCAATTTTGTCTATAGGCCACGAGCTTCAAAAATAAGAGAAGTTAACGATAATACAGAAATGGCCGGATTCCCAATCACAAATGCGATTACGACGCTTCTCCCACCACCAAACGAGATTGACTTCGAGCACCCGCAGCGTACCTCGGAACCCCAATGCTTTGGGTCTGTGGTATAGGCATGAATATTGCGCTCTTATTTGGACAGTACATTCAAGTCAAGTTATGGGTTGAACGAGAATTTGACCGTGAAACGATCTGCCTTACTCTGGCCTGGATGCTTTCCGTCGCCATAGAAGGGCATTGATTCGTATGTCTACATGACTTTTGAATCTATCTACGGGTTTCCGTGGCGGATAATTTAGCAGGCAGAAGAAGAAAACAAAGATATTCGCATCAGGTGTCATTGGCGTTCACCTAGGAGATCTCCATCGACCAGTTAAACCACTGGAGCATGTTACGTAATGCCGATTGCTTTTCCCTTGCCAGCTTGATGTATGAATGAAATTCTGAAGTTGATTTGATCGCAGCTTATGATCTTTACACTCGTTATCTACGCGCCGGGAACTGGTTTTGCAAAACTTGTGTTCTCTTCTACAGGATACTATCGCCTCAAACCTGATAGAAATCGTGCAAAAATGCCAAGCTTTTCATTTTGGCGGGCTACAATACAGCTATCTTCTTTGCCCTCATCTTCGCCTGCCACCCCTTCAAAAGGCACTAGGATGCGACCGTCACCGAGGGTAGTCATATCAACCCGCCTGGGCTCTATATATCGATGGCGACGCCAGGAATAATTACTGAGCAGATTCTGCCGGTGGTTTCAATTTACATGGTTCGACTACAAATGCCGAGGCGGCAGAAGGTGGGCCTCGTGCTATGTTCGCCATCGGCTTACCTCAAGGAGCCGCTATCAATGCAGGCCAGCAGGATGTCCAGACTAATGCACCCAGTTCCCTAGGATACTCATCACATCGGTTGGTCGGTCACCTTTTAATTATTCTCCAACTCTTGACGAGTATAGACCAGACTTGGGCAGTGTCTGATGCCGTGGTGTGAGTGTGAGACCAGTCTTCCGTTGAATTTGGGCCCTGTCTCCCCTTTCACTCTTTGAATTTCTTGAAAAGACATTGTCTGACTTTTATTCACCGAATCTACTAATCATTTGCGCCACTTCGCACTTAAGATTTTTGACGAAAATGCAGCCGGTTCCGAACGCAATGGCTCGGACCGACCACGAAAATTTCCGTTCCGTTGCGGCAGTACGAGCACACCTGATAGACATGGAATTTTCGCTATGACCTGAGACGACGGTCTGAAGACACTCGGCCAGGTTGAACCTACTGAGGTCAAGGACAGCGACTAGCCTCAGAATCCAAGACAGAGAAGTCTGCAGCAGAGGTCTGGTGACATGAGGAGATAAAGTTCACGGAACGGTCATTCTGCCACAAGCTATGGAAACAATACCTCTATGAATTGAACGTGTGATTTAGGTCTAGTGGCGATTATAGCCCTGTCACGGCGAGCCTCATAGTACACTAAGACTACGTGATGGTTCAACGAAAGAATTCCAACAAAACAGTAGCGATACTGGAGTGATTTATCCAGTCAATTATGAATTATGTAAAGCAATAAAGAAGTTGCTTGATTCCTCAATCTACTTATGTAGCGACGCTCATGTAGAGTGCTAATGTGATATATATGCTCCCAATGGCCTCCCGATACACGCGGCGCAAGTGCATGAACCACATTTACTATGCAAACAATTTGGCTCCTTGGCTCCGAGAAGAATTGTCGAAATGCTTCAAAAATCCCAACATATGCGTCATTGTAGTTCGGGAAGATAGGAAGAGACAGTAAAACCGCACCGTGGGTCCATTTATATCTACTTGTAAGAATAATCCACGGCCGATGGATGAGGCCATTCAATTTACAGCGACTGTGGAAGGTTTCCCGGAAAATTCATGACTGTTCGAAAAGTATGGCCTATGGGAAAGGTCGGGGCTGCCGTCATCTTTATCCAAGGTGGAAGTGCCATAGAATCCACTACCTCTGACAGATCCCATGTGTCGGGCAAAAGAGTACTTGTGGTGGTTGACCATTGTGTAAATAGTGCATCTGTTAGCTAGAAATATTCCTGTTGGATGGTCATTGACGCCACCTAGTTGTATGCTGGACTGATGTAGTGCACAGTCCCAGCAGAAGCGTCGTTTCAGCTCATGGTTGTCGACGATATCTCGTGTTTACGGGTTATAGGATCCCGACGGCAGGCTGGTCGAATAAATTTTTTGAAGTGATGCCAGTCGTATCATTGGTAGCTGCCACAGCAATTTGTCAGACAAGACGGGCAGGTTTGTTACTTGTGCTATGCTGATCTGTTCACCACGGACCACAATTCTCGCGGTTGAAACTACAGAAGTCTCGTTCTCTGTGTACCTATTGGAATTGACCATAAAGCTGTCACAGAAACATTTCGGACGGCACAGGAAAGTACAGCTGAAGGCAGGTGCGACGTTAGGTTGCATGTATGCCAAGCCGGAAGGGGCGACCGTGATGCAATTTCGCTACACTCCACCCAGATTCAAGGGGACTTTTGCAGGAGACCACCGAGCCCTTCAGCACACTTGGACACCTTGGCTAATCATGAGTTGAATGATCAAGATCAAAGGATGAATATATTAAATCAACGACATGTCCTTCGGCTCTAGACAATTGTTCTGGGTTGTTTTCCGGTCCAGCGATGCGATCTTCTTATTCTACGCCAGATGCAAGCACGTTGGGCAAGCGCTAAATACGCGGCTTCCCGGGTATTCAATATGGCAGCATATCTACCAAACCTTACGTTGACACCATTTGACGACCTCTGTCGAAATACTGCAGTCTCTCTACACATCGAACACGACATCACACTAATTACCTCAGTGTCGAGTCACCGAAGCTGATCTGTGATGTCATCAGCAGATACACACGAGTCAACGAGGCATAACACAATCATGGAACGCCTTGGTATCGGGTGGTGCGTTTGCTTGAACCAGCCAACCTTCCGAGAGCCGACGGAAGCCAATCACAACGGTCTTCGCCAATCATTATGGTCCCATGGATACGACTGGGAGACACGCTGGTCAGTGGCATCAGACGGCGATAGGTCGGCCTTTACAAGTCTCCGGGTCAAGGGGAGGCTGGTCTCCAAGTTGCATTTGCTCACTGCATTTCCGGTGGCCCTAGCACGTCGAGTCACATGATACGATCGAGCGAGGAATGCTGAAAGACTAGTGATGCGAACATCCTACGACTTGCTAGATCTATGCAAATCCGCTCGTTGGATGTGTTCAGGTGTCGAGGCATTTCTGCAGACATCCCTTCTATGCTTTCGCCGCATCAGCTCAGGTAAACTTCGACTAGAAGACGGCAAACTTATTTCCATCCCCTGCGACTAAGACGAGACAGCTCGCGATTTCGCCTTCCAGTAGCACATCTACCTTGCGGCCCAAGGGGCCTGTCTCCTCAAGATGGGTTTGATGTTTTCTTCAAGAAGTTCAGCAAGGTTGCGTTGCAACTCTGCCAAGATCCCACGGAAGGAGCCTCACGGAGTCGTTGCCGGTTCTAACGTGGTACCCACTTTGAAGCTCATTCGAGATGTCTGGCGAGGAGTCTGCCGCCTGCAGCAATGTCCTCTTGGGGTCAAAACTCCAAGGTTCAAAAGGTTTCATGTTTGTCATCATGTCCACCACACCGCAAGTTCAGATGAAACTTTGAGAAACCTGGCTTGAGGCCTGATCACACCTCCAGATAGCAAGCGGAGACGTCGAACGGGTGATCTACACAGGAACAGAGTTCCCGCTACTTTAGCATACCCGCATGTTTGGTAAGCTTATCTTGCCGGAGAACCATTGACATAGCAGTTTGCATAATGTCCCACAACATCATGCTTTGTCAGAAACAGATGGAATTCCCAGTCAAAGTAAGTCGTTGGCTATATCCCGGCTATATGGCAGGATGAATTAAACAATCTGACTAGGTATTCGACTTGTTATTCCCTTTTTCGACTCATGGCTTGGGGTTCTCATGTCGTGCCGAACTAACGTCCCACACCTACATCCGGGACACCCCCACATGTGGGACGCCCTAAAAATGACACTGTATATTATAACCATTAACTTTAACCTCTTTTGACACTTATTCTAATGCGACTAAAATACAGTTTTCACAATCACTAGGGTTTTCAGACTCGCTAGACTCATCTGTACTATCCTCAATTTCACCAGCCTCGATTTGAGCCTTCCGAATAGCCTTGACATCAGTAAACTTCGAATTAGGGCTCATCTTGACCTTGCTCCGCTTCCTAGCCCTACTAGCCTCAAGTTCTGCCTCTATTGCCTCAATCTTTCGCTGTGCGACAGCTAACTGGTAGTCCTTCTCATCAAACCCCTTTTGAACTTTCCGAAAGAGTAGTCGCTGGGTATTTGGTTCACTATCAAGCTTGCTGAATAAGCTGAGTTGATCTTGGAGCTTATCTCTCCTCTTAGGCGTTGACCAGGCTACTGCTGATGTCTCTAACGCCCAGTACTGACTACTAGAGTGCCCTTTGCAAGTCTGACTAGGCTGTTTGATTGGTGCTGACGTATTCTCAAGGAGCAGGGGGCTCATAAGGGGTCTAGTTATGCTCGAAGGCCAGAGACCAGTATATTTCCATCCACTGATAATGTTCTTGACGGTCAATGCTGCTAGACGTGCCTTTCTATAGCAGAGGAGAAAGTTTCTCTTCCCTACGACAGTAGTAGTATCCCATCGGTCAAGGTAACCAAGCTCCTTCTTATAGGCTGCCTTGAGGGGTCTAAAGACTGACTGATCGAGAGGCTGGAGAACGTGGGATGTGTGTGGCGGCAAGAAAAGCAAGTGTATCTTGTTTATGAAGCAGAGGTATATAAAGTCTGTCGTTTCGTGGCTACTATGCCCATCTAGGATAAGTAACCTAGTCTCTTCAGGGTCCTCTGGTTGAGTCAAAGGAATAAAGATCTTTTGTAGCCACTCAATAGCCGTAGAGTCTGAAGTCCACCCATTCTCTGTTGCTGTAAACCTCCAGGCTTCGTATGGAGTCAAGTCTAGAGGAAACCGCTGCTGCTGGACATACTTCCCCTTATATATCACAAGTGGGGGTAGTGCAGTACCAGTCGCAGAGATACACTCTATAAGAGATGTCCAAGCTCGAGATCCAGGCTGTTTCTTCCGTATAGAACGAGTCTCAGATGATCCTAGAACAAGACCATTTGATCCTCTACCTTCTAGAATACCTATCTCATCCATATTATATCGATTCGAGGCCTTAATAGCTTTGATCTCAGGGATAGCGAGGTATTTGAACCATTGCCTGATCACATTAGCTGAGGCTCCATTAATACGCTAGGAATCGATAGCTCTGCTTCTCTGGACCTTGAATGAAGGGTTCCTCTTGATAAAAGCCTGGACCCAGTTCTTTCCAAGTGGTTCGGTGTCTCCGTGGATCTGTAGGATACGCTCGGCGAAGTCTTTGAGCTGTTGATGGGTTGGTGGGAGGCCTAGGGCAGCCTGGATTCGAACCCATTCAGCCAGATGGGATTCCTGGGCTGGAGAGAGCCTCTGGTAGTCAGCGAAGGCTATATCTCTTGACTGGGCTCCCTGAATCCGTCGTGAAAGAGTAGACCTTGGGACACCATGCTCATATGCTGCTTTTCGGAGGCTTTGACCGGTAGCTATTGCTTGAAGAGCTCGATAAATATCATCTTCAGTATATTGACTCATATTAGTGTAAAGAAGACGTACGTAGAATTTCGTAACGATTAAATCGATATTGGTAAAGATAAAAGAGGTTGAAGTTAGAGGCTAGCGGTGTTGAGGCATTTTTGGGTGTCCCACATGTGGGTGTGTCCCGGATGTGGGTGTGGGACGTTACAAGACCAGGCAAACCTAGCTTCTTTGGCGCCGCAGAACATTGTTTGGAGCGGGATCAGCTTCTCGACTCCACCCCAAATGCGCACAACGTCGTTTCGATTGCTATGAAGTGGGGATACTCTGGACCTGGGCAACAGCTTCATCCTGAGTTATCAGTCAACTGGGAGCTTTGAGATAATGGCCGAATGGTTTCGAATGAACCAAGTCGGTTTCGAATGCCAAGCGTGAGACGATCCTCACAGGTCAGGCTTTGTCCCTTGGAAGGAATTGACTATCATAATCAATACATCGCTTTACCTACGTCAAGGTATAAATATGCGAACCCTCCCACGGTATGCCTTGCCTTATAGCACCGGTCCGCATCAGCGTCAGCATCACGACAGTATCTGTTTATAACCCCTTTTCCTTTTCAAACTTTAGCCCTACGATTGACTCGTAGCTGCTGTCAATCCTTTTTAAAACTTACTACTTATAATTCCCCAGGAAATCGTTCTCCGCAACGGTTCTCATCAAAATGCGTTTCCCAATTTTGGCCGCTGCACTCATTTCTAGTGCCCCTCTCATTGCCGCCCACGGCAAGGTTACTGTAGCTGTTGGTGATGCGGGAGGCAACGGCACGGCTTTGGGCATTCAGGGTGCCGTAATTCCCGGTGCCGGCCGCAACAAGGTCACTGAGCCCGACACTACTGTTTTCAAGGGCGATGCTGCCGACTCATGCGGCCGAACCACTGGCGTGAGTTCCCGTTCTTCTCGACAGCGTCGAGTTGGCCACTAATCACCCATTAGCAAGGAGAAAATGATATCGAACAGGGCACTATCTCTGCTATGCAACTGTCCGGTAACCAGCTTCCTCAAGTTACGGCTGGTGGCTCTCTCAGTGGCACACTGCATGTCGTGACTTCGGATGGCGCTGGCGCCTACACGGCTCTGCTTAATGCGGACGGTACCGGCCAGACATGGGTCAGTGCCGAGGTCACGCAGCAAGTTCCGGGCACTCGTGGCAACATCCAGAAGAGCGACAAGCGCTTTTGGGCTCGCGCTCTTCAATCCGTTGGCCTCATGAAGCGTGCCAGCAACATCAACGAGGACTACCCATTCAAGGTTGCTCTTCCCGCTGATATGAAATGCACTGGTACAGTTGCTGGTCAGTCCAATATATGTATCGTCAAGCTCGTCAATCCTTCGCGCGCCGGCCCCTTCGGCGGCTGTGTGCCCGTCCAGCAGGTTCAGCCCGGCGCTGCTCCTGCTGCGGCACCCGCTCCTGCCGCACCAGCCGTTCCAGCCCCTGCACCGGCTCGCCGTGCCCGGCGCAATTTCGCTGCATAGGTATCGGGCCGCTACTACTTTACTACACTGCTCAAATGTGACTCGGAAGAAGGGTAGCGGCAGAGTTTGATGGGTAATTCTTGTTTGATGCAGCCGTCCCGATTCGATTTGGAATGGTGCTTGATTCACTCCTTATCTCCTTCTATTTAACTAGCTTCCTTGCGCTACTCGCTGGGTTTCTTTCATGTACAAAACCACTATTAGGAATTTACTTTCTCTCACGAAGACTCTCACTAAAAAGACGCCTTCCTCTTTGTGGGTAGCGCTCACGTGTCAACTATTTGAAGTGGTTTTTTTAACACAAAACACAAATCATACTACGCGGCAAATAGACCCTTAACCACACGAGAAAGTAAGTTGAACTGAATAATTGTCCAAACTGTCACTAGTACGGTGTGAAAGCGGATCCACTCACATACTCTTAATTTAATCTTTCGTTTGGTCCACGAGTCTGAGAGGCGGCTGAAACTGTTCTGTTAACCTACATTCAAACTATTCTACACACCTCACGGCAGACATGGCGTCCCTCTAGACCACTGAACAACGAGAGGAACACGGTGAGATGTTAAACTAAGCAGGGATGATCCACGAAGTTCAAACTCTTTGAACCGACATCTTCTTCCCTAGTGCTAAACAGCAGGGTCGTTCGCCCGAGTTAGTCGGTTTGTCTGCTTCGGGTTGATATGAGGGATAACTTAAGCCGCGTTACATTCATGCATGCGGCGGATTTTGGGTCAAATTGCCAGAACCCGTTGTATATGTGGTGTAAATCGGACTCTGGGTTTGAGCGACAGCTAGGTGTAACTTGGGTTTTTTCCGAGAGAGCACAAGGTAGTGGCTATGTCAAAGCTGAACCAAGCAAGTCTCTGATCCGGATCTAAACCTATCGGATAGCTGTTATGGTCCGCTAGAGCAGAAATGACGGTGACGTTTGCTAAACTGGAGACTGGCACAAAGCTGTCTTGACCAGATGAGATAACTATTCTCTGAGGTGAGAACATGAAAGAGAACATTTGCGCAGAATTGAGTACCATACAATAAATATCCTTGAGATATATCTAACTGCTACTAAGATTCCCCATATTATTTCACATCCGTTTGTGGTGATGTTTTCTTGACCCTAGATAACGCAGGGCGGTTAGCACGAAACCCAATAAAGGGGGTAGGCAGCTCAATTTGGACACCCAGCATCCGTGGTGTTACCCCTATTGCTTAGAAACTTTTTGATGTCGAACCCAGAATTCTCAGCAATCTATGCACGATAAAGAGAAAAAACGGAAAGCAAAGAGAAGAAAAGCGAGCTCACCAAACCTCACCCACAGGATCCCCCGCCTCCGCTACACAAACCCACTCCCCGCACCCCCTCTCCCTTGGCGCCCTGCGCATACCCCTTCCTCCACCCCCCACGATGAGATTTCCTGGTCTATAACCCTCATCCTCCCTCATACGTCGTATCACCGACCCGTGCACCCTCGCCGTGTGAGGCATATCCCTCACCTCGCCACACGGCAACGGCCACCGGATAGGCCGCCAAGATCCGTCAGCTTTTAGGTCCATCCGCCGGAAGGGCAGGTACTCCATTAGTTTCCAGCTCAGCACTTGGGTTATACTTAGCCCCGAGGAGAATTCGAGGGAGTCGTGAATGCAGGCTACGTGGGCTTTGTAGAGGAGTTGGTGGAAGGGGTTGGTGCTTTCGTGATTCTGCTGGTGGTAACCGTCTTGAGGTTTGGAGTCTGCGTTTTCGTGGTTGTAGTGGAAGCGACTCCAGTCTTTCGACTGTATATCTCTAAAAATAGGCGAGGTACCCGGGCTGGGGCTCGACACGGCGATGCGGATATCGGGCACGCTGGCGTCTAGGCCGTCGGTTTCGTTATTGTCACCATCGAGATGACCATCATGTGTCACAGCCGCAGACGCTTCAGTGTGGGGCGCAGAACACCCCATATCGGCGAGTTTTTCAGGGTCAAAGTGCAACCCGGCTCGCTGCGCTTCGCGGATCATGTACGTGAGTGGGATATGACTGGCTGATTTGCAGTCTTCGATGAATTCCCAGCCGCCGCCGACGTCGCCGTGGCCGCCTGCAAACCTTCACAGAGAAGAATATGGTTAGATGCGAAACTATGAGTTGACATGAGCACATAAGGGGTTGGTATAGCCTACCATATCTCATCGATATCCTGTCCTTCGTTTTCTGAGTCAGAGTCGTACTCAAACTCAGCGTGGGACATGTCGGAAATACCACTTGCCGAGCCCCTGGTAGTGCGGGATTTCGATCGCGATCGTGGTCTGAAGGCCTGCTCTTCGGGTGGAGCGAGAGTCTCTCTCCGTCCGCGGTTCTGGCCGATGGGTACTGACGGACCCGATACCGCTGCCCGCCGGGCACGATACTTCTCGGAGAACTCGTACGGTGTCTTGTTGGCGGGACCATGGCCGTTTCTCTTGTGTTCTTTTCCGTTGACTTGGTAGATAAGGTCCTGTCGGAACTTGGCGCGGCGCTCATCGATGCTGACGCAGTGGCGGATGACCTGCAGTTCGATGTTGAGGCGGTAACTCCATGAAAAAAGGATGTATGTGACGTACCTTGGCGCTGCTTCTGGCCGTGTAAGGGAACTTGGATCTCTGCATCCAAGCTGTCTCGAAACGTGGGACCTGTTGCAGAGTTCATCAGTCATGCAACACCACCCCTAAATTCGGGTTCCTCCGAGATAACTCACCGAATTCACCGTATCAAACAAACCCAAAAACCGGACCCTCTTCACTGGCCGACTAAACGTCTCCCTAAACCCCTTCATATACCTATACATCTCCCTCTTTTCCCTCTCTCCCTCCTCAGATGGATCCGTCCGACGACTCTGCCAATGAGAAAATGCCTTCCAAGCAAATACGACCATCTCCTCATTGCCATGCGACAACAGGCCGACGTAATCGAGCATCTCAGCTAAGAACCGTGCAACGTAAGCTCCGCGAGAAAACCCGAAGAAATAGATCTCGTCGCCGGGACTGTAGAACCGCATAAGGAATCGGTAGCCCCCCACGACGTGCTGGTCGAAGGAGCTTCCGATGGCCGAGTCTTTGGCTTTGAGGTACCAGGACCGTAGGCGGGCGCCTATACTCGTATGTGAGAGCGATTGAGAGATTACGTAGGTGCCGATGCCGGGTTGGTAGTAGTGGTCTGTTTTACCTCCTAAGTCAGCACGTTGCTGGGCTATTCCTAGCACCAACCCATACGAGTTTCCCTAGGAATGAGGAAAAGTTGGAAACATTCTACTTGCATTGGTCACCCGCTGTCCGGTCTAGACAGCGGAAAATCTTGAGGATATTGCTGTCGCTGTCATCCCCCTTGAATTTGTTCCCCGTCCCGTCAAAGCAGAGCACCAGCTTGCGCGGCACGCAGCGTGGCTCCATCAAGGGGTTGATCGTGTTCATGTTCGTGGATGATTGGTGATTTTCTGAAGCTGCTACTCTGTCTTGTGAGCACGGATGTGACGACGGCGACCAAGAACGTCGTTGTGGTAGCGCAATTTGAAATAGGTGAGACTTGTCCACCATCGGCGATATTTCTCTTACTCCACGTATAAGTCTCAAGGTTTGGAGTGTTGCAACATGTTGTGTGACGAGGGGGGTTCACTAGCACAAAGTTGTTCGGAATTACCATGCAGTAATCTAGGTGTGTATTACATTGCACGGCGTGGTCGGGCACGGTTGTGATATTTTGGGCGCCAGTTGACGGCTTCTATATGTACACTACGGGATAAGGCTCTTGTACTATGACTTACTACTGTGATATATCCCAGTGGAAGCGGTCAGTGTGTGACGCCTCGATGGCGCTGATGTCTCATCTGAATCCGAAGGTATTGGTGATCTACACCACGAGATCGCCTCCACAACCCCTCGACGACTAGGAATATGCGTTTGAGACTTAGGATTTTGTCAACATGCTTGTTTCCGTGAGACAGTTTCTGCTAGAGTGTTTCCTGCTGAAGTCAGACACTAAAGGTTGTGGGGCAGACACGGCCGAGGTCTCACCGCACATACAAATTACTATGGTAAATATAACCATAGCTATGACAAGGTGTTGTAATAACTGAAATTTGACCATTCTTTATACAGGCTTTTGATATGAAGTCCTCTGAAATGTACGTTGCGTAGCCGTCTAGAATAGGTAGACGCTATTCCTCCTCAATTTCGTTAGGCTTCGTTTCGGGGATTATAATATTATTTACCTACTTTAGCGTAGTACGGCCGTTAATCTAGCACTTAGTAGTAGCGTTATACTTCTAATAATATCGGGAAAGTGCTAGCCTTATAGTGTTTCTCCTTTAAAGAGGACTATTAGGGAAGGCGGTCGTCAAACTATTAAAGCTTCTATTGAAGACGGGCAGTATATGCCCGCAGGTTTAAGCTGAAGATAATAGAGGCGGGCAACAAGATCTCTAACAAGATCTACTGTCCGGGAGGATAACAGAAGGATAGATTAAGAGCCTTGTTGCCCTACTTAAATCCAGCAGGTACGAATAATCGACTAAGCCTCAAAAGGTCTTAGAACAGAACCACCTTGGCAGGTGGATAACAGGATAAAGCCTTAACAGGAATGAAGAACAGAATAAGACCTCAGCAAGTCATCAAATAACCAGGGCCTCGAAATGTAAAAAACAAAAAAGGAACGAACATTCAATTCTTTGCTACTTGTTGTCTCTTGTTCTATCGGCACGGGAAGGGGCCTGACTAGCACCTCCTTTGTTAATAATCTACTCTACTAGAAATATTTTCTAATTAGGGGATGGTTATTACTGTTTCATAGGCTTAGTAGCGTTATTACGTGTTATACAGGCGGTTTTGTAGGGTAGAAGGAATAATGTTATGCGATTTAACTGTTTTTCGTATGTAATTACCTGATTTAATAGCTTCCTTCGCCTCCTTCGCCTCCTAAAGGCGGCCTTTCCTTTAGCGATCTATTAGAGGAACAGCCGGATTCGTTAGCGTAGCGTAGGGTGCGATCTGAAAGTGCGATTATTTTGGAGACTCGAACGTGGGGCTGTCTCACTACCCCTATTGTCTGACTTCGGCAGGAAACAATCTATCTCTACACATAGAAATGCACGGAAAGCATATTGATCCGCTAGTTAACTTTATGATCTCCCACATCACGTTGATCTCTTTTGATTAGACCAAGACACTAGGGTCAATCTCAGCTCAAAGTTAGCAAGTGGGTATTTGGGAAAAGCTTGTTTTTCTCGTTTATTATACTATCCTATGCAAGCCTACGGCGTATGAAGATAGTAGGTCCGAAGCCCGAGGTATAGCGGTTTAACTTCTCAGCCCTACATGGGAAAGGCTTATATCTGAACGAAGACGCCATTCCGGTCCCGTCAGCGGAACTTGTAAGACCTGGCTTGCAGACTTCCTCTGAGTGAGCCACACGGGGTCAGACAAGATGGACACTTCTTCCATCCAATCGGCTTGATTTATATCTGTCCGTGGTAGCTTAGATAGCCCGCCGATTGCAGGATTGCCGTGCATAACATGTTCACATATTGACGCAGCAAATCACCGTCGGCTACATGACGACCGCCAGTTGCTCTCGTCCAGGACGGACAATCACATCGAGACACACGTTAACCTGCATGAAGCGGCCCGGTATTGCATTGACTAGTCTCTCGTGCTCATCATTGTTGCAAAATTGGTCAAATATGACGCTTTTCATTGTGGTCCAACACTAGTCATCTATGTGGATGCCATACTGCGATATGAAGAGCTGCTTGGCCAAGAAGGGGGTTAGAAGCGGGATTTTAACGATCGTCTGAGGCCTATTAACCCGACTTGGGATGAAATATCGTGAGACAGACTGCAGCACCCCCGTCCCCCCCCCCCCCCCCCCCCCCCCCTCCCCATTCTTTCCTCTTCTCACTGAATTGTGTATATGGCATCGGCCACTGACAGAGATCCTTATAGACCAAAAGAATCAGTGGTGAGACTCCGGAAGCTCCATAACCATATGTCTCTGGTCTCTTCTTCCAGTTCAACCGGATATTGTTGACTTCCCCGTGCCTGCTATGCCCTTCAGCCAAAAGGTGAATCCGCCTTGCGTATCCTCTTCCAATCATGATATCCTCGCCGAGGTCAACTCTGGTGCCCAAGTGACATCGAGCGTCATACTTGTCGGCATGAGAATTGAAGGCTGCATCTTTCACAATCGGGAGCTTGGATAGGAGACTGTGGCTTTTATCAAACATCTCCAAGAAAAGGGGCAAACATATACGTCTGATAGATGGTAAAAACGGCAGACAGTTTGTCTCTACATCGGTCGAGGATGTTCATTAGGATAATAACAACATCCTTTGCGCTCAAATGGCTAACTCAGGACCCGAGCTTCGAATCGGCTCATCATCTTGTGCATTTTCCCACTATTAGCAAAACTTTGCAAGCCCCGCATAGCACCTCGTAGCACAGAGCACCCCTAGAGGGAAGAAGTATCACATAACAACAGTTACTGTGCACCAACCGCCACGGCAACTTGGTACGCTCAAAGCTTATTTCGGTGTAGGTTATCATTTCTTGTATAGAAAAACCGTCTAACAGAAATAAGAAGACTTACAGGAGTAGGTATAAGCCTTTTATAGAGTCAAACCCTAATGGTGCTAGAAAGATTTTGTGTCTGAAGTAGATGTTACCTATTAACAATTTTCTATAGCTTCGTAACCACCTCTGCAAGTTAGAAAAAACAGTTATCGAGCCCCCCGAGTAATCGCTGCGATGTCCAGAGTACCTTTGGACTCTCGGGTAGCTGCTGTGCCTCGCGGACGCCTATCACTCTGAGAAACCACATTGCGGGAACCCCGGTCGCAGGCAGCGACATCTCCGAGTAGATAAGCAGCAAAATTAACCTTCCAGCAACATTGAAATACATTAATAATTAGCAAAATCAACCTCGTACCTTCGTTTTCTTGGTCCCAATTGCTTTCCGGGTCCTTGTCTCAAACTGTATCCCTACACTCTCTCTCAATGCACTGTCACCGACGGCGCCGCCCTCAGCTCCGATAACATCCCCGCCTTCTGGGCAGATCCGCACTGGATTTTGGCGTGGCACCATAGAACGGTCGAGTATCACATCGCCCAAGTCGCCAAGCGCTTCTACGTAACCTGCTGAACGACCGTGGCACTAAGCGACACCAGAAAATCATTGACCCAAAACCGGTCGCCTCATTGGCTATGCTCGGTGGTACATACCTCCACAGTATGCGACCAAGCCCGACGGTACGCCGGCGTGGCCTGAGGCTGTAGTCCCTGCCGTTAGCCCGAAAAAAGAAGCTGAAACCCACCGAGTTGCTGATACCGCTCACTGGGATCCGAATTGCGATTCCGATTTGTTGTTGGAGCCAGTAATTAAGATCAAGAACGAGATTTTAGCAAGGAAATCTTATATGCATGCGTCGCAAACTGGGACTCGGAGTTTCCATATGTTATATAACGAAGGCATCTGATTCTTGTAGAAACTCACAGGTCTGGATTATTTGGCTGTTCATCCGGATAATCAGGGTAAGGGAGTTGGTACTGCATTAATCGAGAGCGGCATAAGAGAAGCGGAAAAGATGGGCTTAGACATCTTCATTCACGCCATGAAAGCCGAAGTAGGAGTATACAAACAACTTGGATTTCGTATCGAAAAGGAGTTTATCCAGGATGATTCTACGTTCGGAGGCCAGGCGAAGATGCCGTTTGTTTGATGATTCATGATCAGTGCCCAGATTCTTGATTTCTATAGACTAAACGTGTTCCGAAGATCTCAGTAATTTATATATTCTGCGATCAGTTCGCATCAGTAGTATGAGCGGAGCTTTTTCCTCTTCCCCACCGGATTATCTCAAACTACAGAGCTATACCGCATTGCCAACAGCCTTGAACCCCAGAGACCGACCCCCCGCTTCTCGGCTACTGCATGGAACATCGTTTCCGGGTCGTACTTTTTGGGCTGGGTATCCATGCAGTTTACGAATAGACGCGCTTGCCTCACTGTTAATGGCATGTTATGGACATTGTCAATGAAGTCAGCTTCAGCGCTACTGCCGAATTGGCCAATCAATGAATCATATTGATATATTCTACTCTATATGAACTTTTCATGACTTCAGATTGGTTCACCGCATATTAGGCGTGCTTGGCTTCACGGCCTCAACAGTACTTCATGTTTAACGCGTTTAACTCATCAGACAACTTATATTCCGAGTTTCCTTCAGAAAATTCATACTCCAAGTAGTCATCCTTGTTGTGTCGAGATTCCAAGATGGTCGTGAATGCAGTCATATTAGTTGGCGACGTGCCTGCCTGTCGTGAGTGCAATCCACCCAACCTGTCCATTTGAAAATTACCCTTGATAGCCACGGAGTCTCGAGATTCCGAAACCTCAGCAAGCTAACGGATGGTGTTATGCATAGAATATCCCCGCAGTGCTGCTCAGTTGGCCACACTGTCTAACCTGCGACGACAACGATGAGGTTTATGCTACCATTTGGGATACCACCGCAGCCGCGTAAATTGAGTCGATGCTCGATGCTTAGGTTTAGCTTGACCTCTGCCAAGATTCGTCTGCTAGCAAAACCACTTACACATGTAAAGCATGGCTCACTCTTGACAAGCTTGACTGGATGGAGACACCATGATGCTGTGATGAAGTGACCACATTCCTTCTCATTCGCTGACTTGCCATGGTACATAGTTAATATTGCGCTTGGTCTCGAGTTTTGACTTAGACCAGTCGGGCTTCTACACATTCTGCCAGGGATAGTACGCTCTTTTGGCATATGTCATTTCACCAAAGCACTGCTTGGTAGCCGGGCCAACTCCTGCGTGCTCACAGCATGTGTTACATATCATTTATGTAGCACAACCATGGGGTCTTCACGTTGATGGATGACCCCAGGATGGCAGAATGGGCCTGTGCAGGTGCGCCGAGTCCCCGACGGTCTTAGACGGCTCTGCCATCCCTGGTGGAAATCCGCCGTCTCCATTACCGCCGCTGCAACTATACCCGGCTCCTATGGACGAAAACATAATACTTTATGGAAAAATTCAGCAACATCCCGTGCTGTTTTCTATTTCTGTACGATCAAAGAATATGTCTCAATCTCAGAGAAGAAGGTCACGACTACAGCGTCACATCGCCCCGTCTATAGCCAGTGTCCTTGGCTCGGACCGTTGGAATCAATTAGCGATGCTGCGAATCAACTGCAATTACCTGTTGGTGGTTGGTTCATGTTATGTAGGTGCCGCGAGCTGTTATCAGATAGCTAACGTGGAATTAGACTAGCTAGCTATCCCTCTAAAGTCTAGTTGGCTGTGGAGAGCTAACACGGCGCGTGTGGCTTCCTGCAGACCCGAGGCCGAATGCACGACATAACGATTAGTCTACGGTGGTTGGACGGTGAAATACCTCATCTTCTTCGATCAGAGTTGCATGTGCCGGAATGTGGCTCTACCGCTTCCGCTCCCTTCTCCCTCTGCCCCCGTCTCCATTTATGCAAGCCTTGGCGGCAATCAGGGGAACGGGGTTGATAACAATGTGAGGAATCGTCTTTCGCAGCCCGTCGGCCGATCATTTTTATGCATAATGCTTTCCGAGTGCACTAGGAATATTCAAGCTTAAGTTAATGCTGGTTGTTTCAAAAACCTGTGTATAGTCAAGCTAAGTAAACACCTCCTTCCATAGTGTCCGCAGAGCCTCAAGTTGTCCATCATTCACGCAGAATCAGGAGACTGCGTTTAACCGCTTGTCATTTCACGATATGCCATCTGTATCTGACTGCCGGATTAGGGAGGTTCTTAAGATGCCGCATGATAGGTCCTAGGGCAGTCTGGGCATTGCTTGGCAGCGGCCTTGGCCTTCGCTTCCATGGTTCTGAATATGTTTGCACTTATGAGACAGAATGCAGAAGAGGAGTTCGCCGTTGGCAGTGAAAGTGGTGTCTACGTGAGCAAGTCAACCTGCGATAAGTAGAGAATCAGGCGCCTTACGTGCATGCCCAGAAAGGCACCGTGACTTGCCCCTGTAGTATTGGCGCGGTATCCAGTTCCAGGATCTCAAATGCTTAGCCACACCTTATCGGAGAAGCCAAGCGTCGACGACTCCTGAGGGTTGTCACCTTTTGATTAACAATGTAGGATAAACCACCTATCACGCAGAGAGGCCCGACGCCGTAACGCCGCATCCAGTAGCATCCTGCAGAAATTATAGCAGACGAGCTGCGGGCCAGGCATTTCGAGGCGCGATAGATGACAGGCTGGCACTTCCTCGGCCTCGGAGATGGACGCCCTGATAGGCTCGTTCGCCACAAGTCAATATGAGTTTGGACGCTTAAGGCAGGTTGCTGCTTTGCGTCGAAAATTTCTAGAATCTTGAACCTGTTCGCCGCCGGGATACCATATCTACCTTCTGTAAAGGGGTTAAAGCTGGCAGCAACACGAGTGCCAACATATAGTTTCGTCAAGTTAGGAACGAGTATAAAGACATCAGCTCTCGTCACCTCTCTCGGAAATGTTTTGGTCACCCTCCTCATCCTATCAAGATTCCATGATCAGCATCCTCCAGTAGCTCGTCCTTCTTCCATCTCGTTCAACATGCAGTTCAAGTCTCTATTACTGGGCGCCCTCGCGGCAACCTCTGCCCTGGCTTACCGAGCTTGCGGTGCTCCTGATCCCACTGAGGATCAAATGGAGGTGGCGCACAGCTTCTCCATCCAGGAGGAGGCCGCTCGTATTGCCGGCAACGTGACCAAGCGTGCCGACATCAACGTCAAGGTCTACTTCCACGTTCTGGCCTCATCCACTTCTGTCAGCGGCGGCTACATCAGCGTGAGTGTTCCTCTTCCCGACTACTTGTCTACGTAACGAGCGAATTGCAGGACTAACATTTCCGCCCAGGCCGCCACCCTGACCCGACAGCTCGCTGCCATGAACAAGGCCTACGCCCCTTACGGCATCGCCTTCACCCAAGCTGGCGCGGACTGGACCGTGAACTCGGCCTGGGCCGCCGACGGCTCGGAGCTGGCCATGAAGAAGGCACTCCGCAAGGGCACTTACGCCGACCTGAACATGTACTTTGTCAATTCGATGGACTACCTGGGATACTGCTACTTCCCCACCTCGGTCACTACTGGCTCTAACAACTTCTATTACGACGGCTGCACCATTCTCGCCTCCACTGTCCCCGGAGGCAGCGAGGCCAACTACAACCTGGGCTACACTGCTGTCCACGAGGCGGGCCACTGGTTCGGTCTCTACCACACTTTCCAAGGCGGCTGCACCGGTAGTGGCGACTTCGTTTCCGACACTCCCGCCGAGGCCACCTCCGCTACGGGTTGCCCGACTGGACGCGATTCTTGCACGTCAGCTGGTGTGGACCCAATTCACAACTACATGGACTACACTTACGAGTAAGTCGCGACGTTAACCCCCTCGTCTTTTGTGATTCGGAGGAGCAACTTTGGATTGAAGATCATACTTTGCTGACTGGCTTTACGTAACAGCACTTGCTACACCGAGTTCACTCCTGGGCAGAAGACCCGCATATACTCCTACTGGGACGCTTACCGTGCTTAAGCGCTTACATAGATGGTTCTCACGAGCTTGACCTGCTGCGGAGTAACTACAAAGGGAACTTGCCAGCGAGCTTTCAACGATAATTGGGTGTGGTGTGTTCTTGGAGCTGATTCGTCGGAGTTGGATGAGGAAGAAAGCATGGGATGGCTTCAAGTTTGGAAAGCCAAAATGGTGGGTGGGCTGGAACTGAAGTTTAGATGTAGATATTGTGGACTAAAGAAATTTATACACATTGGATGTGAGACAAACTACCTTACTAATCCAGTGAATTAGCGCCTATTTCCTATCAGTTGAATGTTATACTCCTATAAATTTAGGGGCAGCATCTAGGTTTTCAATAATGGCTGCTAACTTATTGCGCTGGAATGTCTGATGTACGCAAACATCGGACGGAGATTTATTCCGAGGGAAGAGCAAGACGTCTATTAAGCCACGCAGGTCAGGAGTAAAGGTAAAGATTGAAATTTACCCATGACTTTGGCTCTGCACTTCCTCGAGGATGCTGCACTCCAATTTCGTACTGAATAAACACTACTTGAATAATCTTCCAGTCATAACTACCTAATTGGTGCCATGACCAATTCATATCTATGATGCAGGCAGAGAACCAGGGGTGCATTATACCAAATGAACAAATACACTATGAATAGCGCCACTATCCATTGAGAGGAGTTCCATCAACACCACCAATTGTTATTTATAATTTGAAAACTTCATATATCCTTGATCCGAACTTATGGCCGTGTCGTGATCAGACACTGCGGACTCAAGCCCGAACAAGATCACCAAACGCGTAGGCCGTATGCATATTAATCCAAACTAAACTTGACCAAGCACCAAATTGCAAACCAGAGTCTTTTTACACGAATCTGAAGTGACACCAAACTCAATAATTCTCATAATCTCGGCTGAACGGCAACTAACGCGGTACCCAATCGCAAACGCCATGTATTTAGTTACAACAAACCAACGCCTGCCTATTTGCGCCCCAGTCTACTCTAAAACTATCATCACGAACTACCACGTTCATCTCTGCTGGTCATATAACCCCACCAACCCAAGAATCAACAGTCGAGCCAACTCCCTCATCCTAGCCACAGCATCCCTCGCGCACCCCCTAGCCCTATACCCCAATGGCCAATCCGCAAGCCCCTCATACTTGGACATCCATCTGTTTCAGTCCCCACCCACTATGCCCATACTACTGATATTCCTGTCTCAACTTGGGTCCGTCAGCCAGGAGAAAGTACACCGCGCCTTGGACTCGGCTGCTGGAAGATGGGGTAGAGGAGGCAATCCCATATCCCGCACCGCCCTTCCGGAAGTACTTAAATGGAACAAGTCGAAATGTCGAGTATACTCTCGCTGCAACACCGTGGAACTTGGCTTGGACGCTTGTAGGTACTGTTTTCTATCGAAAATAGTTCGTATTAGTCACTTCCGTATATCCAAACCACACCACGCAAACTCTACCACCCCATTCCGTCCCTAATGTAGTCTGAGATATCACTTATCCACCTCTTTCCCCCAACCACCCCCTCTCCGCTCTCGAACACGGCTGCGCCCCGAAATCCATCTCCCCTACCCTGGCAAATAGTCCATCCATAAGCCGCAAAGGTCTCTGCCACGGCGCGGGTAGCGGGAACTCAGCCACCAAGGCTTCGAGCACGCTCTGGAAGTGGTCCGCCTTGCGGTTCTCATGAATGACATGAATGGCTTCCTTGTTTGCGAAGATGGAGCCGTGGAGGTCAAGGGGTCAGAAGGGCTCCCTCATTGATTAGCGTCAAGAGCTCGGCGACGGTTGCTTGTCGCGTTACGTCCCAGAATGCGGCGTCGGCGTAGGTGAGTCTGCCTTAAAGTCTGACATCCCCTTATATCCCTTGACAATTTTTTGAGAAATAGTATCTGAGACAATCTCCGCACAATCAACAGATACAAAACTGCGACTCTATCAAAGACAACAAAAGCGAAGGGGACTTAGTAATATAAACGTTGGTATCTCTTCTGTACGCCGCCACGGGTAATCTGGTTTCTGAAGCAAAACAAAATAACGAAAAGCGTTGCTGTGGCATAGAACACGTTAAGATCTCACCTCATCTGCCTTGTCAGAGATGTGGTGTAGTCAAATCATCGTGCGACCTGCCTCTGTCGCATATATTGTGTTGATATCGTTCAACCTCCTTCAGTGGTTTCGATGGGGCATCGCTCAGTCGGATGTCTCTTGTCCCCCGTCACACAGTTCTCTCTATCCATCTGTCTCCCACTTCTTTCGCCTTCGACTTGCCTTCTTTCACGTCAACACCCACTCACTCCCCCTCTTAACGAACTTATCAAGCAACAAGGCCAAATCCGCCAGCGCGAACCGGCAAATGTAGAACCCAAAGAACTCAGCCGCATGCCTAGTGCACAGTTCGAGCCCCACCTGCGTCTTATCCGCGTGCCTCAACCCAGGGTCCTCCACCTGTCGGGCAATTTGGTCTAAATCTCCTGGTCAGTTTGCTTTTCCCGTTCCTAAGGACAACTAGACGAAAGGAGGGAGAGACGGACTGAACGACGTGCGAGATATATAGATGGAGATTGCCGAAGAAAAGGGAAAGAAAAGAACATACCGAGTGTCTGCGCAGCATCAAACAACCGCGCCAGACTCGCCATATATCCGGCAAAGGGCCCATCGAACTTGACCGTCGAAATATCTCGCTTGGCTGTCTTATTAATGGCATTGGCGACCATGGGCAGGCTAGCTAGGGACGCGGCGCGATCGGCACCCGACAAATCAAAAGTGCTCGCCGCCGCACCGCTGCCGCTGTTGCTTTTGGCCCCATAGGCCGAGCCCAAGTTGACTGCCGAGCCTTTACTTCGGAGCCTCCTCCAACTGAATGCACCGGCCTTGTTGCTAACGCTGGCATTTCGCATAACGGGTCGTTCAAGCTCGTTCTCGTCTCTGCTTAGTCCCTGGGTGCCGACCTCGTTGCCTAGTTTGCGCGTCAGGGTGATTTGGACCTGTTCCAGCACATTTTCGAGACTTTGCATTTCCTCGAGCACCGCATCGGCATCAGTGCTGTCCACCCTCGCGAGTTTGAGCAATGCGGCCGTGAGCAGGTCGCACTGCGAGGACTTGTCTTCCAAGTTACGTAACTTGACCCCCTTCACTTTCCATACATCGCGCGGAACGAAGAGCTTGTTGGTAATGTAGCCACCCCTCGGATGCGAAAGAGTCTGGTACAGAGCGCGCATAAGCCAAAACGGTCGAAGCATTACATCCGAGGGGCAGGGCTCAAGCGGCAGAGGAGCGTCAGGGTTTGAAGAGTGCGTCGAAGTAGGCGAATGAGGCGCAGGTGAATCGAGGTCATCGAATAGGTAGAGTCCACCGAACCCGCTAATCTTTTCTCTGAAGTGAGCTGCCATGGGCGTGGGCAAAGTCGGCATGGCAGGCTGGCGAGGTATAGGTGGGTTATTAGTCAGGGTGCTAGTACTCAGAGGCGTATTCGGAGACAGGTCGGATACATTGTCGATATCGATCTTGGAAACGGATTGTTGGCGGGTTCTGAGGGATTTCAGGCTCGACGAGGACTGCTTCTTGCGAATTCCCGCGCGAATTGAAGATGGAGAGCCAGTTGTTGCGTCTTCCGATTCTTCGGTGATCGACTGTTGGTGAGGTGAAGTCGGCGGCGCAGCGGCCGGAGCAGGACTGATGCCACGGCCGGGTGAGCTTGGGACTCGCATGGAGAAAGGACCAGGCCGGGCGGTCGTAGCTGATAAAGCCTGCCGTTGTTGGGCAATGTAGCTGCCGGATTGTTTAGGCTGCATGGCCGACGTAACGCCAGGAGGAAGGGTTGCTGGCGGCGGGCCAATCTTGGAGGTTTCGATCTTGAGCTGTTTCGCGTTCTGTCCTGAGAGTCTTCGGCTCCGCACTCCAGGAGGTTGTGGTGGTAGTCGTGGCAGAGCCTGGGGGGGCGGTAATGACGGCGGCGGCGGGGTCTTGGACGGTGCAGGAGACATCTCCGTGACGGTCGATAATACCGTGGTGGAAGTCGGGGGATTGGAACCTGTGGAGCTCTGCCATGTCCGCTGTGTCACTCCGCTCGAGTCGGATTCCCTAGGCATGTGGTTGCTCTGGGGTTCCGACAGCTGCCCGAATGGAAAGTCGTCCATTACGTAGCCCCTCGTCATCTCTTCCAACATGCGCTCTTCTTCCTCGTCCGAGTCGTTGCCGACGTACGGCTCACCAAAAGTCTGCGCGTCGTGACTGTTCTCCATCAATCGCTGCCGCTCTCGTTCGCGCGCCAACTCGATGGCCGCATCCCTTTCCCTTTCGCGCACCCGTTCCTTGGCCAGTTCCACCTTGCGCATCGCATTGGCCACCACGGTATCTTCATTTTCGTCGTCGTAACCCAGTTCGAAAGAATCCATGGGTTCATAGCCATCATCGTAGGCAGCTTCCACGGCGGCGTCCAGTGCTGCATCAAATTCCGCCTCGGTGCCACCGCTCGCAGCCCGTATGTGTTTCCGTCTCACGCCAAATGACGACGACCTCGAGTGCACCGAAGTAGTAGCTGAGCCTCCAGACTCCTCGATGGGGTCCAAGAAGAAGGATACCGACTCGGTGCTTGGGTTGCGTGAGTGACCCCTTCCAATCTCTGGCGCGGGAGCTAGCCGTTGGTTGTTCATGGAAAAGTTCTGTCGGACCACAGTTTCGGGGCTTGCTGGCTTCGCGGGAGTGACGGGCCTTCGAGGAGATAACGGAGCCGGCAATAGCTGATTCACATCGTTGTTCTGCGGTATGTTGAGCTTCCCTTCGAAGTTCCGGCGCATGGGTGACTTGGTAAAGGCAGACTGAAGGGCAGAATGCTGTGGTTCGGTCATTGCCGAGTTCATCGCGGATTTCGGGGGCTCGTATCTTGCGTCCGTCAGCGTTGGAGGCCATGCTCTCTGTCTGTTACCATTGGGCGAGGCCGCAATGCGCGTCGTCGTAGCCGTTTCTATTACGACGGTGTCATCCAGGTCGTCTTCGTCTGCCCGCTCTACTAGAACTCCGTTGTACTCTACGCTCTCTGGTCTTGCCGGAAGCGCCTTGCTTCTATGGATTTGTACAGGCACCATGCCATCTAGCTCTTCGATTCTGCTCGTATACGTGCGTTTCTGCGTGCACGTCTCAGTGACATAGCTCTAGTGTACGATGACGTGCCAAAACTTACAATTGCGTCCAGCTTTTTCTTGTCCTCCTCCCCTGTCGTTCGCCCAAGTACCTGCTGGAGTAAATCACATGCCTCGATATACGATTCTCTGGCACCTTCATAATTCTGGGCATTGTCGAGCTGGACGGCCGTATTCGCCTTCGCCAATGCCCTGGACAGCATGGCCTTCTGCGAAGGTTGTTTGCCATGCCTCGTTTTGGTCGAGTCAGAACTACCCTTGGCCGCTGAGGACCGGCTCCTCGTATGTCCCTTCTTGTCCGGCATGTCGGATCCTTCTCTTTCTCCACCGTGATCCTTATTTGCGTCCACTGGAGCGGGAGATGTTTGCACGGCCGTACGTCCGCGCGGGGCGCCTGGTGATATGCTGGACGAGTTCGGGTCGGCGATTTCATCCCACAAAGAGTAATCTTTTGCCTGGTTGGCGAATACCGAGTTCGGTGTGATCACAGCACTCGGGCTCAGTCGGCTCAGCGCTGTCGGTGGCGAGCCAGTAAGGCCGGGTAGCTGGAGTGAGGGTAACGCGACGATGGATGGAAGATTCGGTGGAGAAGTCGCCCGCGAGTTGGACCGCGTTCTTCCGCTGGCACTCGATGCCGCGCGGGTCTGGCCTACAGGTGACGCACTTCCGCTTGCTTCGGAAGCGCGTCGCTTGGTCAGTCTCCGCGGAGACTGGTGAGCCGGTGGCGAAGAATGATCACTTTGCGTCAGTAGAGCCACAGAATCGACGCTCATGCGGCGAGAAAAGTTGGTGGTAGGCTTCGGCAGCGGTGCAGGCTGTTGCTGTGGTTCTTGATAATCGATCCCCACCCAGTCTCGGTCTCCAGGGCTCGATGTCGTGGATGCTGACCACCGGTTAAGGTTTCGGAAGCCGTCACTAGCACCTCCCGTGCTGCCCGTCCTTTGATGGAAGGTTTGCAGCTCTCTCGGGGTCAATGGCTCGAGGAACGACACGGGCTCCTGGTCGGCATGGAAAGCTTGAGCATTGGCGAGGATGCGCGGCGGCGGTAAAAGGGACGAGGATCTAGGCAATGACCCAGCCGCGAAGGAGGGAGACGCGGGCTCGTCGTTGTCACCTGGGATGGGAGGGGGTTGCGTTAGAGTTTCGCCGTCTCCTAGATTTAGGTTGAGCCCTCTGAGATTTCTTGAACCCTGATTCTGCTGATAATCGGCGACCAAATCAGGGGCACCTGCGCCAACACCTGGACCAGCAGCACCAACAGAACCACCCCGTCCCTTGTGGTTGTAATGGTAGTAATATGCCGGGGCCCTCGACGAGAATGTGGACGGGCCGGACTCGGATGCGGATCGGTCTGCTGTACCTCGTCCTCGTCCGGCAACAGGGGCGAAGCCACCGACTAAGGGGCCGGCGGGTGGAAACCTCGAGATGGACGACGGCAGGTTTGCGGTGGAAGGGGGTTTGTTGTAGTTGGAATGGGTCGAAGTGATGCCGTAGGCGCCGCGGTAGGACGATTGAGATTGAGAGTACGAAGGACGGTGGTTCGCGGCACTGGTAAGGGTGGTGGCATGTGGTTGTGGCATTCTGTGGCACACTGAACACCACTGATCCTCGAGATCAGTGATGGGGGGTGCCCACTCTCCGCCACGAGCATGCACTAACTGGTGCTTGTCACAGTCTCAGATCTCGGTCCGTGGGTGGGAAGTCTGTGTGTTGGTTATCGTTGTAATCCGTAATCCGTGATCATTAGCCCGACTGCTACAATAGCACTGCTGCTACCGTGACCGGGGCGACGATGGTATGCGAGGTTTTATGGTTCTGGGCCGGAATTCGAGACGACCTGGGCGGCGGTTGTCACTCTTCGTAGTGGCGCGGCGCCAAAAGTGACAAGCTAGCTGGCTGTGTGTTAAGGCCGGGCGCGGCTGGGAATAATACTTGACCCTTTGACTTTTGGTTTCGTCTATCTGAATGGAGTAGTGCGTAGTGCAATGCTAGGAATGAAGGTGATAATGCGCCTGTTACCTGCCACAAGGGTTCACCAGGGAACATGAGTCTGAAAGATCCAATAGCACTAGGGAAATTAAATATCATACCAGAATAATCCCTCCAGAAATCGCGAAGCCAATCTTGCACAAGCTCTTTTCCTCTTTATCTTCTATTCAATCCCGCAATTCAAAATGTCCCCTCCTCAGTCACTGTCGGTGGAGGAGCTAGTACGCAAGCCCCCAAGTACTTCGAGATTCGTACTTGTGAATGCTCGCAGCGAGTGGATCAATTGGTGCTCGACCGCGACCGACGCTGTACCACAGACGCCTTGATGCCAGGTACCGCCTGGAAACCTGTCACTTCGCTTCGGTCGCACTCGATGCCCTCATCCGCGTGGCTTGCTGCTTTTTCGTCCTTAATCCTTTTATTGCTGGCGAGGCTCCAGAGCTGTCTCCATGTTGACTGGTCGATTGGCGTCCAAGTTCACGATTACTGCCAAGTTGCAATTGTGATAACGTATAAGGAGAAACAGTCTGGAGAGGGAACTGAACTCCAAATAATTGTGACTAACTGCGGCTGTCGGCTCCATTGGACCTAGAAATCCAGGGGTAGCGCAACGCGACGGGAACCCTTCGACTCACTTTTCGGCGTTTTGGCGCAAAAAAGGTGATTAGTCCCTGCCATAGGGTGTCCTACGTGTGGTTGCTTCACTTCTTGGAATCTGGGCCCCGGGGTCCGCCCCTGCTCTCGATTTTCCCCCGACTCCAGTCTGCTCCAGTCAGACACTTTGGAAACCCCCTTTATCAAATTTCAACGTCGTAATGGGGCCTTTCAGGGATGCCACTCGCCCAATTGCCGTTCATGGTGGTCAAATTCGCAGGATCTTCAATCATCTCCAAAAGGCGGGCACCTCGGTACTGCATACATTACGACAACACGCAAACATGTCCAACCCGCAAAGAGGATGCATTCGCAACCAGGTACATCCAGGTAGACTCAGCAATGGCATCTCCGTTGCCAATGTCTTAATATCTTTAATCCACCTCATTATTGAGCAAATGAAGCCGCGCTCGGAAACACGGTAGGCTGTGCGCAAGCAATGAGCGTACGAGGTACGGATTTGCGATTCCCGTTTTCGTGTTGGTACCAGGCTCGAAACGATTGTAGAACCAAGTGCTGCATAGTGATAGACATGACCACGACCGCATCAAGTTTTAGTGCGTGCAACCTCCATTCCACTTGCTTCTCGACCGTCCCTAAGAAGAAATACACCAATCCCCATGCGGTCGCGAAATCTCGGCAGTTCAAATACCGTTACTTCAGAGCAACGATGCCTCACCGACTTTACTTCCTTTGTTGGAGCAGCCGAGGACTACGAGACGAACTCTGACTACGCGCTCTATCTCATTCCCATTCACGCACAACCGGTTTTGCATGCGGATCGCGTTCTGTGGGGGTGTCTTACGATCTTCTGGAAAATAGCCCAATTCGGCCCAAGCGCTGAGTACCAGGATCATGATGCAATAGCCCTGTCGAAACAGAATCCAAGAAACTCCACAGATGGTTCATCATTCAAGTGATGGTGGAACAATTCTAGAGCGTCTCAGACTCATCCCATCGTGGTCGGAGTGCCGCATCTCCGCGAGAAGCAGAAGATAGATTCAGGTGCAGACGAGGCTCGAGCTTGCGGCTCTTTCAAGTTCCTCATGTCCAGGCCGGGGAACCCTTGTGCCACGGGAGCGACTTCCGCAGTCCTGGACAGCCCTGAACAGCCCTGGAGCCCACAATCATCCACTGAGAGGGGAGCGAGCGCAGACTGCTGCAAATGCTCTAACGATCAGCGAGATGCTTCAAATCTGTCAATAGTCACATGTTCAACTCGATTTTACCTCCATGCTGTAGCTTAACATCAGTACTAATCTATATCACTTGGAAGTAAACATCGCCGTCTGCCTTATTGACACATGTTCTCGGCGTAAACTCCCTTGATCCAGTATTTCGGAAGTCCTCCAAGCAAACAACCATTGAACGACTTCTTTCGTGTAAGGTTATGAGACGCTCGGGAGCGATGATAACAGGTCGACGAAAGGCTTTTGAAACGAACATCGGGAAGCGCCCACGGGATTCGTCAGGGCTGCCCGAGTTTCAAGTCGTCTCTGGCAATCTTCAAACAATGTTGCCAAGGGCCCAACCAACCTCGGTCGCAGGACCCTCGATTCCCACATGTTACTCCCCCAGGGGAAACCTGATGGCCTTCTGACAGCTTCTGTTTCACGAGGCAAACACTCACTCAATCCTCTGGCTTGCGCCCATCAATTGTCAATCGTGCATTGGTTGGTCACGTGCCGGCTTTGTGAAAGCTGTCTGGCAACTTATGGATAACCGTCGCCTCGGATGCATGAAAGGCGCATACGAGCTGAGAGTTGGTACCAACCGCCCTAGGGTACCTCTATTACTAGACTGTATTAGCGACGACGAGCCCGACGAAATCTTATTGAAGACTAGTAACAAGTTGCTAGATATCTCGCATTCAACTCGGGATAAGCATAACGAGATTAGTCCGTTAATCCCGGCTTTCGTACCATACCGACGAAGGCTGGTAAGAGACTGGATTCTGATCTCCCTAAGATGGCCGCCTTAGAGTAGGAAACTCTACGATCAAAAGCCGTGCGGCAGACCCTCTGAACAGCGCCGCTGAGGCTTAATAAATAATGACTTTACACCTTGGATTACTTAACTTGATTATGTAATGCTGTTTAGTAATCGAGGCGGTTTTTGATTCTGAGACTCGACGCGATTTAGTATTACTACGGCCATGGCATTGCCAAGGCAAGTGAGCACGGTTATTTGGTGCTACCCCGCATCGGAACCCCTCAACTCAATTGATCCCTTGTCGCTAATCTATTGGTGGCCTTGAAGTAATGGATGCTCACATCGGCTGTGTGTCTGCACCGCTTCTCGACTCATTTCATACAACAAAGGACCTGTTTGTGTAATGTTTCACGCTGTGGTATTCTCTTCGGGCCAGACTTCACTTTCCGGGTTTCCAAGCTAAGGTCGAATTAGAAACGGTCGGTCCACCCACACGAGATGACGACAATATACAGAAGCGGTTCCACAACTCTTTATTAATATTATATACGCAGCATTCATCGACAAAGTCGGGCTGTTAACCACCTAGCCTGGAGTAGACTGGTTTAGGTGAAGCCCCGAGGCAACGCTGTAACATCGTCTACTGTTGCCGACACGATCCGCGCGCACCACGCTGATGATCGACGAACCGGGTTTATGATGGTCATTAAAGTTGATTATGTCCCATCCACGGAGCTCAATAGCAAAGTCATGTCTTATTTCCTGTTTCCTCCTTCCACGAGCAATCTCCTGTAGGCTTGGTCTCAACCACTACTTCTGGTTGACTGTTCTTCCAAAAACCTCGCCATGTCAAGAGCCATGATCTTGTGCGTGTGGGATGTCCTATGCTGTGTCAGTCACTGCCCACAACCTCAAACCCGGTTTCTTTGACCAACAAATACTCACATGTGTCCACTATTGTACCAGAAATACTCATCCAGTGGCTGGCATCCATACTTGTTCGGGTCCGTCAGGACGTCAAGCTGATTATAAGCAGGGCAATAGTTCGTTGTATTCGTGATGCCATATGTCCCGGGGTTATCCATAATCCCATTAAGGAAGGTATTCGCATCATAAAACATCGTCTTCACGTTCGTATTCTGCTGCGCAAACGCCTTACTCTGCTTCTCAAGTGCCCGATTCCACCACCCAATCTCCGCCTTACTCGGTCTTGGGAGCAGACGCTTCTGGTTTGCCGCCGTGCGATCTAGCGGCGGCAAATTCACAAACAGGAAGTTATTATACCCAGCCTCGTACATGGGCTTGACGGACTGCTCAAATACCGCACTCACAATACGGTCCCAAAATTCACGGAATGCGATCCCCGTCAGCTGATTCACCGAGTCGTTGATGTCGTTAATCCCGATCCACACCGCCACCAGCGCGCTACTCTTGTCCATGTTCCTACCGCCGATGACGGGCTCCGCCCAGGACAGGTACTGCTGAGTCTGGTTGACGAGCGGGACCGTGAAGTCGTGGTGTAGCGGTAGGAAGGCCTCCGATACACCAGCGCCGGCGAAGGCGAAGTCCCAAAGCTGGATGTCGCAGGATTGCGGGAGCGTGCCGTTGTGGAGGCCGCACCCGGTCAAGTACTCGACCCAGTTGGGTCCGCCTTCGGCAGTTGCGGTGAAGTTCTGGACAATCTGGTCGGCGAGGAGGGTTTCTGGAGTGAAGGAGAATTGGTTCGGGAGGTAAGATCCGATGAAGCTGTAGTTGGGGTAGCCCGAGGTGCCTTGGACATAGGTGTATGAGTCGCCGAAGGCGATGCTGGTGCCGTGTTAGTACGGTAATGATGCCGGCTGGGCAATCGGGGAGGAATTCATGGAGATGGACTCACAAGTACTTGGTTTTCTCCCAGTAGAAATGCGGCTTACTGACAGGTATACACTTGACCAAGTTGGCGAGTGCCACAAAGTCCAGCAGAGTTATCAGAGAACGCCTCATGTTTGAATCCCTAACGTACGAAGAAGCAACGGCAACCGACTGACACCTCGGTGAGTTCTTTTATAAATTTCGCCAACCTGACCGCTGCCCAGTTTTATGATTTTCCCCATTGTTTCCAGCATGATATTTCTTCTCCATGAATCCAGTGGGAACCCAACTATTCAGCGATGGGCATGGTACGTCATTGGTGGAAACTAGTGCCTGTCTATCACTCTTTTGGGGAAGCATTCAGAATATCATGCCCCGCAAATTCTTGATCGTATCGGATATTCACTGGCAAAGACACACACCGAGTCAGCCGAGTGGGCAAAGCTTCTCCAACGGTCTCCAACCCCGCCAATATATTGAGGTCCCATTTCTCCGTCATAAGATGAGTTAGTGAACTGTGAGATTGGGGGACTTTTGGGGTAAGGAGTTGGGATCGTCACCTCTGCCCCTGTTCGGTTACGGTAGCGGGGCCGGGGGAGGAGGGGGGTTAGGTGTTTACATAAGCAATAACGCATAGAAGCATTGTCACCAAATGTTGTGCTTGTGATGGATGGACTCAATATTTCCGTGACAGCTGCAGACTATATGGCTTCCTTGGGTGCAGTCTAATTGTTCGCGGTTTCTACTTGGGTACTTGTGAACTTCATGCGGCTTATTAATTACAGTTCAACGGCTTGTGAAAACACCTTCGAGTCCCGTACCGCCCGGATGTGCCAAGCCTCTGGCAGATAGTTAACAGACTACCAGGGCCCCTTGCCACCATGCATTTTGGTCTCGCTGGCGTATGTGGCGCTGTTCCATGGTGGCGAAGCGGCCTCGGCAAGCCCTTAGCGGCTTCTAACAGCCAAAACCGACAGGTTAAGTAGCTATGAGAGATCCGGTTTCTATCGTCTATTAAATAAAGCCAAGGAAGAAGGTTATAAGGTTAGCGGCCAGATTAAGCACGAATTCTTTCAGGATACGGCGTTTCCACTACCTTACTATTATCGTGAGAGGTGTAGTATCCCCGTTACAAAAAGGTATACCGCTCTAGAACCTCCCTGCAACGCCGAATTCGGTTAATATCGCTAAACATACCAGTACTTACCTAACTACCTAATTTCATCGAATTTTTTTGCCCTAATTTATAAAAAGACAACAAGCTAGCCTATATATCTTATTAGAATTGCTACGTTTAGGCTAATCTACCCTTATGTGTAAAGAAAGAGCCGTTGTGGCGGGCCGGTCTCAGCTGACAAGCTGAGTCGGGAGGGATTCGCCCCCGATCCGGTAGAACCCCGGAACCGCCCAGCTTAAGAGGAGAACTCGAGACGCTCGCACCTAGTTTGGATTCTTCAAGAATCAGTCTTGCAATATACGCACCCATACACTGGCCTACTTCTAGCTACCCTTTGCACTACCTGACTATTATATTGTGAGACGTGTGGTATCCTCGTTATAGTATGGCCTCAATGTAGCTAGCTATCTCACTAGATTCATTAGTAATTAAGCCTTCTTTGTTCAAAATAAATTTTACAATTATGAGATTAATATACGTCGAACGTATCCGGGATGATATTGCCTAGGTTATCGAGTTACAGGGTAGTGACGAATACGCGGAACGTACTTGGCCGCTGAATCACACTAAGAAAGAGCCTATTTATACATCCAAACTTTCTTCAAGAACGCGGCTTGGGATAACATCAGTGGCTACCCAGTCAGCCAAGGGGCGGCGGCGGTGGCCGAAGTGGATGAATAGCTTCAGCTTAATTCATTAATTTCACTGCCACAATATATAGACAGCGATTCCGACTAATTCAGCCGGAAAAGAGTGCTTGGGAATAGCTTCTAAATCCAATGGATCCTAGCCTTCAGTGGTACGATGACCTTGCAAGCTGCAACTCGTTTTAGGTGTGGCTATTGCCAAGGGCCGAGCTTCCGACAACCCCTACATGACGCCAAGGCCTTGGTAGTTATTAACCTTTTGTCAGAGGTTCCGGACGCGCCAATATGAATTAGGTGAACATGGTAAAGTAATATTCAAGCTCTGGAGGACCAAATCCGGTCATCCGGGTGGGCCCGCCCTTGCCAAGAGACTGACTCTCTCATAGTACACGCGATGCTATTTTCAACCTGAGGCTGGGTTTTCAGCGACAATAATGCGCGGTTCGAGATTACTCATCTGTCAAGGATTATCATCATCCTTGCACGTATGCCTGGCGCTGGGTAACGAGGCGAAGAAGGAATGTACGAGTACTCTCAAGAGGCAGCATTTCTCATGGTGTTATGGATGATCAATGGTAACGAAATTATGAAAAGAGACAATTCAGACACTAGATTGTTATTGCATGACGATGTTCGCATGTATTCATTGTCTCCTGACGTGCAAGTCATTGATAGTTCCTAGGACGGGCTGCACACCTAAACGCCTTACGTATGGCATGGTTGCTACCACCTCCGATACATCTTGCCTATACTAAACGCACAAGCTCTGGCATATTCAAGACCCTGTATCTTGGTTCGAGTTGTATATTTCTTGTGCCGGTGAATCTCAGAGTATCGTTCGCGAACCGACCACTAGATGCAAACCAAATATTTTGTTGCCTCTCTAGGTTGAATGCAATCATTTGGTACGATTTTGGATCCCTTAACATCCACACTCATATTAACACGAGACCATCTACTTTCACCAATGACGTTACAGAAATATATGTTATGACTGCAAATTCCCAGCGGTTTTACTACTTTTCCTGAATATTCTATTATTGCACGATGGTAATTGATAGTTATCTGGCCGGTAAGCATCAGGGCAACATATATCAGGGTTTTTGCATCAAATTTGTGTTTGGCTCTTCAATTTATTACTGATACAACAGAAAACGCAGTTCCCATACTGACTTTCGTCATTCTGAAGTTGCTCGCGTACCTTACATACCTTACATCTACCGATATCTGCCCGGGCTTGACCGCTGATCTCGGCAATCTGCAGCAATCACACACGGCTTTGATAAGACCGGGATTCTCCACTCACTATCTCTCCGTCCCCATTATCCATCTGTACAGTAGAGTCTCCGCTCTCATGGTAACTGAGCCTCGCGTCCGGTGTTATTCAGTAACGTTGCACAAATTTCGTCATGTGGACTTAGTTGCATGTACATACGGCAGGTGCTGATCAGCCGTCATAGTTATAAGCTTACAATGGTGGACTCATCGGCACGGTAAAAAAACAACTCTGAGTCGAAATCTCACTACGCCAGTTGAAGTCAAGCACGACATCAGGATGCGCAGTGGACAGTATAGAGTGCCCATTGCACTCGCCCCTCTGTTTTTGCCTGCTATCGCGCAAGAGTTCAGCCAGTGGTGTGGGAAGTACTATCAAGTGGGATCGCCGCAGGACCAGAGTCGACCTGCAGGATCGTTGTTCCCAGATCCGGAGATTTCGCAGCAGCCTTTGCTCGACTTTCAATGCGTGACGGCCAGTTCGTTGTACATCGAGAACGATGTGGGGGATCCGCCCAAGATTCTGGTCGATACAAATATCACGCATGACATCGGACGACCGTGTGAGTATCAATGCTGTCCCTGTGCTCGATCTAAAATAGTTCGTGGACGATGACTGACGGCCCGTAGACTACGGCAACGGCAGCGGGACCCTTGAAGTCGAGGTTTACGTCGATGGCGAGTCTTTCCTGACGGGTGGCGTCGTCGAAGTTAACACGATGGGAACTCTCCTCCCATTCAGCACTGCCAACTTGACAGCCTCGAACATACCGTACAATCTCAGTTGCAAGGCGTCACTTAGCGGCCAAGTATTCTGGACCAACGGCAGCAAACTGGCATATCTCCCGCCAAATCCGTACGACGGCAATACAGTCAAGGTGGATCGCACAAGTGGCGCGCTCCTTGTGCAAAACGAGACAGGAAATGGGCAGTGGGAGAAGATCATCCCCTTTGGATGGTACGATGTGAGTAAAACGTATCTTGAATGAATAGCGGCAATATAATACAGTGAACTGAACTAACTTCGTTTGTGCTTACAGAGCTACAACAGCTCATCGACGACGGCCTACGGCTCGCAGTCCAGCAATGATGTAAGTGCAACTGTCCCAGTTCCCTCTTGATCTAACTTGAATTGCCAGCGTCGTAACGACACCCTTACGCGACTGCACATGGCGAAAGACCGTGGCTTCAACTTTGTCCATATTGTGCCGCCTGGTGGATTTGATCCCTATACCTTCTCAGACGAGGCCACAGTGCAGTTCGAAGAGTACCTCGCCACGGCCGAGAGCCTCGGCTTGTACATTATGTACGACATGCGTAATAGTAAGTATTCTCAGACTAACAACCGACGCTTGCTCAAATTTACACAAACAAGGCTAACAGGAAGGCAAGGCTTCTTAAACTTGTCCTCAGTCGAGTACCAAATCAATTACCTTAAATCCCACCCCAACATCCTCCTCTGGTACACAGCCGATGAGCCCGACGGCCAACAAAACCCCCTCAACGCCACCCAGCAAGCCTATACCTTGATCAACACCCTCGACGGCTACCACCCCGTCTCTCTCGTTCTCAACTGCGAAAACTATTACTACGCCGAGTACGGCCTCGACGGCGCCGATATCATCCTAGTCGATCCGTACCCCATCGCCCTTAACGGTGGCTGGTCGAAACGGTACAACACACACGTTGACGAGGACTACGGCTGTTCCGGGTGCGACAATTGCCGAGGTACATTCTACGATCAAATTGAACGGATGGACTCCAGTCGGAACCGAGCTAGGCTGGCGGGGCATTACAGGACGAAACCTACTTGGATAGTACCGCAGGCGTTTGACGATGGGCAGCAGGAGTTTTGGTATCGGGTGCCGACGGGAGATGAGGAGGCGGTGCAGACGGTGTTGGCTTGGAACCATGGAGCGGCTGGGCATTGTGCGTGGAATAGCCAGTATGCTACGCTGGATTTGCTGAACGTGAGTATCTGCTTCATCCTCTGCCCACTGCTCATCGTAATCCAATACCCCTTTCTTTCTTCCTTTCCACCTGGCCACCCTTTTCGTCAATGAAGTATTTCGTTCGCTAATACTCCACCAACCCCAGAATGCATCCTTCATCGCTAATCACCTCTACGCCCAATCGCGCTTCCTGATCGACGCCGCCGACTCCCGCCAGCAGATCTTCTCCAACCTGTCGTACGGCCTCATTAATGGGTATGACCTTGCCTCATGGACCATCCCCGATTCGGACGGCGGGGTGTCTACCGAGACTCTCATCTTTGCTGTCAACTTCAACTACCAGGCCACGGGAGTCTACGGCACCTTCATCTTGCCTAATGTCACGGGCACCGTCAGCGAAGTGCTGTTTGGTAATGTGACGGTGCTCGATGATGGGACACCGCTGTTTTCTATGCCAAGGACCAGTGTGGCTGGTGTTATACTCAAGAGTTAAGGAGTGCAGAGCACACTAGTTTATTGGAGGAAAGGGTGTGCTTTTTTACGTTTATGTCATGCTCTAATTCCAGATTAAGGACCCCGAGGTCCTGAAAAGCCTTTACTACGGGGGATTAATAATATTTACGCAGGATCACACATCTCCAAGCAACACTGACCTTGTACCTATAAGAAGTTAATTCGAAGTCGACTTGGACAAATAAACTCTACAGATTAATAACTCTATCCTTTAGCATATGGTAGTACTTGCGCCACTTATGTGGAAAAAACGGGGATAGTGTATCGTATTAACAGTCAAGAAGCCGGGAGGTGTATAGTTGGCTGGTAGTGCTGTCTCTGTCATCGGCTCCGCCTAGTACTGCGAAAACTACGGCAGTAAGACAAGGATACGATTTCGTGTAAAACAGCTTACGGCAAGGGACCTTAGTTATCGTAGCTCGTTTATACCATTGTCTTAGCTGGTGATATTAGGATCGCACCATAAAAGTGGGAGAGAGTACGGCAAGGCGAGTCGAAATTAGCGAAAGGCAACTCCAAAATACTACCATCAGGCGGCCCCTGTCATTTTAGTGTAAAATATGGAGCCTTTGAGGTACACAAGTGAAATGATCTGCCAGATGTGCTGGGTCAGCTTAACTAAGACGATATCGTAAGCAGGTTTTCTTGCAATATGCTGCCTTAAATAGGACGTAGATCTTCAGAAAATGGTGCTCTCTTTTCTATCAGCGCATAAAACCTTCCTAATGCCTGCCTGCTGCCTGCCAAGGCGAGTCGTAGCACCCTTCAAAGCGATCTTTCCTAGAGACAGATAGTTTAGAAACAATAGAGCAAGAAGTTACATAGTGACGTCTCATGTCTACCAATATACTACCCGCGAGTTCCTCGTCCCAAGCAGATGACGTTATTGTATCCGTTGTAATTAGGAGAAAACTCGTTAAAATCCAGTACTATAGCTAAGTTTTACAAATCTTAGGTTCTGACTAACCCGACAGGCCTGATAGCAGGCTAAACAGCTCCTTAGGAAGATATAGAACTAGGAATTCAGAACGGAAGAACATGTATAAGGATACAACCATATGTTTGTAATTAAATCTTTAGGATAATTCTACGATCTTGACGATCTAGTAGACTAGTAAAGAAACACATATATAGAATAGAGATTCCGAGGCTTTTATAGTAGGTAGTCCTCACCTTAGTAATTAGTCTAAGTGTCTATCTAACCTGCAGATAACGCCTGTTAAGCTTTAACGAGTTTGAGATAGTAGGATTTACGTAGTCCAATGGGTAGGTCAGGCATAGCGGTCCTTATGACATCCGTCCAACTCATCAACAGAGGACCGACTCCCTCAGTACTGAGTTATCATGAAATAGTCCAGGTAGATTAAAACATTCGAGATGCCATGAAGTTGGGGTTCAAACAAATCAATTGCCACAGGCACGAGCTCGGTATCAAGTACATCGATATGGAATCATAATCTATACAAGTGCTGTGCCCCAGGTTGCCAGTAGTGTGATTTGTAAACATTCACGCTCAATGTCTTGGTTACGTAGTGGCACAGTCGGTGTGATATTATGTGCGTTGCGATCAACGAGCTGATCAGAGACCACATATTATGAGGCTTCAATGTTTTATTTTGATCTTCTGAATAGGCCGCAGCTGACGTGAATCTTGTACGCGCAGAAAGAACAAACGCAAACATGTCTCGGAAGATACAGAGATATATGCAGCAGATATTTCCTTGATTTCGATGTCTTAGAGCTATGTGCACATATCACAATCATTATTACAACATGATATACTCCCAAAACGGGACTACTATGAGTCTCGGTACTTTGTCACAAATATCACAAATATCACCTTCGTCAAGTCGCATTCGCTTGAAGAATCCGAACCACAGGGGGTTAAGCGAGGCAGGAACCAATCAATTGCTAGTAGTTGTGGTGGTGTCCAGCTTTAGAACGCCGAACTGTCGGGATCAAGAACGTCTTCGCAGAGAGGCGGTAACCTTAACGGGTTCGAGCTAATGTTACGATGATTCATGATCTGCACCACACAACTTCGCACCTCCGTTTCCAGTTTCGAGATGACTTGCTGATGTGACTTGGATCTTGACATGCAGTCGCTTTTGGCCATTACCCGTCCATGGTACCACATCTCGGGCTCGCCTCTCCATGATAAACAAGTGTGCCTCCTCCAAATAGTCTTGCCACAAATACAACTAGCCAACGGCTGCTTGCACAGCCCAACGGCAGGAATGCTCGGATACAATTTCTCAATCTGGGTTAATTGTATACCTAGTTGCAAATCGTTCTACCGAAACAGATAGCAGTTTGGTAAATCCGAGTCCGCCCCTGCCGTTCCTTTAACCTCCACAGCTCAAGCGCCACTATCTTTCATCGATCGCTATTCTGTTTCAGACGTCGCGGAAGACGGGCGACACATCTGCTATTTTCGCTTATGGCCTGGCCTGTGCAACTACAACGCCAACTATTGCAACAATCATATCTTTAATTTCACCACCATTCGCGTGGGCAATTTCAGCTCGCCGCCGCTTGCGATAAATCTGATCCTCCGCCTGAGAGCGGTCCGTAACCGAGAGCGCATGTCAAATGTTGCAAATTGGCTGCGCTAGAGCAAGCCACTCATGTCCATCATTGGCAGTGCCGACCCGGCCAGTCGGTATTTTCAACGAGAGAGCACACTTCTACACTTTAGAATACGATTATGGGACATTAAGTACTAACGGTCTGACTAATCTGACCAGGAAGACGCCTACACCAGCCCAGCGCCTCCGCATATTGTCCGAGAATTGAATACCGTTATCCATCTTGGCCCACCCAGCTTCAGCACACCAAATCAAACCCGAGGCATTGTTGCACCAAAACCATAAAGTCCTCTATACTTGCGCGGCATCCGGAGCTTGTGTAGTTCGAATCAGAGACTTGCCATTCGCTGCCCGTGTGCATCACACCCCTGCAGCTGGTTCAACAAATTGATTAACCCGTCCCTTTCGGATTACAATACAAGCCAACTTTATAGCTATCAAGGGCCGCACTTCTCTGTCCCTGTGGCCTTTGATGTAACCAACAGCAGCATATAACTAGCAAGGCAGTGTGCCCCATGCCAGAAGCCCTCTGGTGGCAAGTTTCAACATTGCCTTCTCAGCATCTCGGCACGCACGCATCACACACTTGACCTCGAATCATCACGGTAAATCAAACATCACCAAAAGCAATCTTCCGTCAAAACAGACACCATGACGGAAGCTATGAAGCATGTACACCCGCCACCCAATCGACCTTTTCGTCGAGGTCGGGAAACTGAAGACGGAGACTATGAGCATACCGTTCAGAAGATGCTTGATCAAGACTTTGACGACTGGCCCAACGAGGCAGGATTCGAGGGTCTGACTGAGGTCAGGGGGCCAGTCGGGCTGCCGGTGAAAGGGAAGATCCCATCTTGGGCGGCTGGAACTCTGTATCGAACAGGCCCTGGTGACTTTCAAGTTAATGACACCCCAAAGGGCACCTACCGCACCACCCACTGGTTTGACGGATTCGGCCAATCCCACAAATTCGACATCATCCCTGAAGATACCAACCCGGACACTCCCGTCAAGGTAGAGTACTCGTCGCGGAGACAAACGCAAGACCTGATCGACCAGATTCGGCAGGAAGGTGGGCGTTCGGGGTTCAGTTTTGGCCAACGCAGCGACCCTTGCATTGGATTGTTCGGCAAGACCATGAGCGTCTGGCGCATGTTAGCTTCAAAGCGCAGTCCGAACACAGATAATGTCTCTGTTACGGTGCAAGCGAACATGCCCGGCTTCCGGTCTCAAGCCACGCAGGCATCCCAATCAGGCCATCGCGCAGGCGTCAAGAGTATGTGGTTGACGACGGATACCAACACCGTCAAAGAAATGGATCAGAACACCCTAGAGCCCATAGGTCTTGCGACACAGGATAGACTACATCCACTGCTGAGAGGACCTCTGAGCTGTGCTCATGCTCAACGAGATCCTGAAACCGGCGATATGTTTAATTACAATCTAGAGATGGGCGCCTCCTGTGTCTATCGAATCTTCCGCGCCAACGCAGCCACTGGAACCACGGATATTCTAGCCACTGTTAGCGAAGCCGGGGTGAAACCCGCCTACATCCACTCTTTTTTCCTCTCGCCGTCCTTTGTCATCCTGTGCGTGCCCTCCACGCACCTCAGGGGGAATGGTCTGCAAGTCATCTGGCATCGCAACATCATCGACGCCATCGAGCCGTTTGACGAGAATCGAGTCTGCAAGTGGCTCGTCATTGATCGAAAGGGAGACCTGGGGGTAGTCGCCACGTTCGAAAGTCCAGCAGGCTTCTTCTTCCACAGCATCAACTCATTTGAGGAGAGAGATACCGTCACGGGGGACACCGTCGTCTACTGCGACGCCATCGAATACCCCACCACAGACGTCATCCGAGCCTTCGAGATGGATGTCTTACTCCGGAACGAGGGCATGACGCAGAATTTCTGGGGCGACGAGACCCGGAATCGGAATTCGCTCGCCAGACTTGTGAGACACAAACTGGTCGTGCCCAACTCATCGGTTTCTGGAACAAGCGCTGCTTCTGTATCCCGCCGTTCGACAATCCCGATGACGCTAGACAAAACCCTCGAGATCAAAGCCCCCCACGCAGGCGAATTGCCCACTATCAACCCGGAATACGCCACCAAGAAGTACCGGTACGTCTACAGCCTGCCGAACCGCGGCTTCAGCACCCTGCTCGACAGCATTGCGAAAACGGACCTTGAGACGTGCGAGACGGTGTTCTGGGACAACCCCAAAGGCCACACGCCTGGTGAAGCTATTTTTGTTCCCCGGCCGAGATCCAAGGATGATGGAGAAGAAGGGGAGTTGGCAGAGGATGACGGGGTGCTACTAAGCGTTATTCTGGACGGGTTTGGCAAAACGAGTTATCTGCTTTGCTTGGATGCTAAGACGATGAAGGAGTTGGGGCGCGCCGAGTGCGGGTGGGCTGTTGCTCATGGGTTTCATGGGTTGCATACTCCGGCGGCGTAGCGGAGGCATGTGAGGGAAAGGATGAAGGGGCGTGAGATGTGGGCTTAGTCATCATACGAGTCCACATCCCGAAGAATGGGAGTAGCCGGCTTGCACACTGTCTAAACAGGCGGATACCTTCTGAACCAGCTGCGTGGTCCATGCGGGCAGATAAATCTTGAGTAATTTGGTGGCTTATAATATTTCCTCGGTGATCATCTCCATAAAGTATTGAACCATTTCCCTGCTCTGAGCAAGTTGTACGAGTTCCAAGTCGTGTTCGTGCCACACAAAAACACAGGGGTGCCCCTTGTGCAAGTAACTTACCCCGGACATTCTCTATCATCAAGCCTACAAGGCTTGTGACGACCTGGTCCCGGCTGAACAGGGGAGTCTAGGTCGACTATCCCTGGCTCCGGATAAACTAGCCGAGAAAATGTTATCACAGCGGGCTGTCTGGCCAGAAGACAGCCTGGAGAGAAAAGCAAAACGTTCGCTTCAAGAATGGGGATTCTCATTGCTCCAGATTCCGTAAAATAACCCCGACAAGTAGACCCAGTTGTGGTCTGCGCGACCATCTTGCATCATGTATCTAATTAACGATCTGACGGTGTGGTTCGCCTACCACACGGGCGAACGAGACCCTTGAGAAGCCGACAGACGGTTGAGACTTCTATACAAGACAGCAGAAATTACCATCTAGCCCCAAGTAAACTGGATACACCTTCAAGTCGATCATCCGAGTTCTATCTGCCAGTCACCCAGACAGCCCACAAACCACGATTCTCCAGAATCTATACATCTCGAGCACTTCAAAAACTGTCATGTTATTGCCAACCAGACCAGAGTTTGACCTCTCCAACCCAACCCATGTAGAACTTCCCCGACATAGCCTCCAGCTACCCGATGCCCAACCTCTACGTCAATAAGGACGATGCAAAATCTTCCAAGCCATCGATATTTCCCTCGATCAGATGAGCAGTGGGGAAACTGGGGATAGGGGGTAGGAGTTCGAAAGTGATGGTATTTATATCCTGGCGAGAGAGAGGATGAATTGGGGAGGAAGCATTACTGAAGGCAAATAGAGGCGTTTAGTGATGGGAAACATATGTTTTTGTCATAATTAGATTGATAGAATAGAAGCAGAAGTGGAAGAAATCTCGAGTAATGGGGTGGTATACCATCATGTCACTCCATCATGGATCTTTAGTTGCTTTAGTTCTCTTAACGATTGTGTGTTTACCCGTGTATTTCGGAAAAAAGCATAATTGGTATCATCATTCATCCCCACACAGGCCCATCCCATCACCCCTTGCCAAAAACCCCCAACAAGTCGAGAACTACACCTCCTTATGCTCAACCAGATCACTCTCCGCCATATTCTTCTCCCCCTCGCCCAGCACACCCCCACCACCCTCGTTCTGCCTCTGCGCAAACGTAGTGCTAGGAACCCATCCCGTACTCTTCCTCGCACTCTTGACCTCAGAGTACATTTCGTCGACCTCCTCAAGCGACAGCCCCTTCGTCTCGTAAATGTAGAAATACACAAACGCGATGCAGCCGAAACAGCACGCGAACCAAATAAAGAAGATCTTGGACTGTAGATTTGCGTAGCCGGGACCCCAGTTAACCAGGTAGGGCGTCGCGTAGGCGATGGCCCAGTTGAGGAGCCACTATTTTCAAGTCTCAAAATTAGCTTGTGCTTCCCGCGCTGGGTATGGTGATGGTGGAATGGAGGGAAACTTACGTTGGTGGCGGTCGTCATACTGAGCGACTTGGCCCTCGTCTTCAGCGGGAAGATTTCTCCTGTAACGACCCATGCGAGCGGGCCCCAGGTAGATGCGAAAAAGAATATGTAGAGACATACGAAAGCAATGCCGGCTTTCTGGGCCGATACGTTGTAGACGATGATGTGGCCCAGGTCGTCTTGGCCAGTCGTCAACGTACCCAGCATGGCGACGAGGAATTGGGATACAGCCATGCCGATGGCTCCCCAGAACAACAGGGGTCGTCGACCAAACTTATCGACGGCATAGAGACCGGGCAGAGTGGATACGACGTTGATGCAGGAGGTGATCATTTGAATCGTGAACGCGTTTTGAATACCCGAGTTTTTGAAATACTGAGTGCCGTAGTAGAAGATGAAGTTGATGCCGGTCAACTGCTGCAGACCTTGCAGTCCCATACCGGTGAGTTGTCGCTTAAGCATGGGGCCCCGGAAGCAGTCGAGATAGCTCGCCTGACCCAGTGTCATTTCGAAATCGTGGTTGGCCTTGATTTCGCTCAACTCGGCTTGGATTGCTGGATGGTCTGGTGACAGTCGACGAAGCTGGGACAGCGCCTCCGCAGCCTTCACTCGGTCTCCCTTCTTGATTAGGAAACGCGGCGTCTCCGGGAGCACTAGCATACCGCCAACAAGGATAATGGCCCATGCGAACTGCACGGCAACGGGAATTCGATAGGAACCCGTGTCTTGGCGGTTTTGCGTCGAATAGTTGACAATGGCGGCAAGGAGAAGCCCGATGGTGATGGCAAGCTGGTACGCGCCGACGATGGCACCACGAATCCACTTCGGGGCCGTCTCGGACTGGTACAGAGGGATCAAGGCGGAGATCAGACCGACACCGAAGCCGGCAAAAAAGCGGCCTGCCAGGAAGAGGGGCAATGCGACAGCCGCGGTCTGAAATATGACCCCCATGGTAAACACGGCGCTGGAAATGATGAGGGCAAGCCGACGACCGATGGTGTCAGCCATGAATGGAGAGCCGAGGGCGCCGAAAAAGGTACCCGCCGAGAGGATGGAGACAATGGCGGACTCCTGCGACGGCGAGACGGTGGGATGGCCATCAGCGGTAGTGTAGCCAGTCGAGAACAATTTCTGCCAGTATTCCATGGCGAGGATACCGCTGATAGTTCCCGTGTCATAGCTGGAGATTTGATCAGTCACTAGTACCCGGAGCCGAGGGATTGATCGCAACATACCCGAAGAGCACACCTCCAAAGGCGACAAACAGACCAATCACAATAGCCGGCCATGCCTTGCCTGCTTCAGACTCGGGCTTAACCAGGGACAGTTTGCGCAGTGGCAACGCCATGATGAGACTCGGTGCGTGTCGAGGCGTGGGAAGAACGAAGACGGCGTGGAAGACCTTGGTCAGAAGGGATCATTATGAGTCGAAAAATATTGCCAGGGCTGAACGTGGAGGGGCAGTTGAAAGTTTATATGTCTATGAGCCTCTTGTTCCTAGCTTCGAACAAGGGAGCCAGGATGCTTCATGCTGGGTAACCAAGATGAAGCAGGGGTATCGCATCGCGCGAGTAACATGAGGGACGGCTTAGCCGACGTGTTGGAAACAGTCAAATCCAAGATGATCATGGACACATTTAGAGTCCGGAAACTTGGCGAGCTGCCACGGCCCCCGTCTGAGGTATACTTGACCGGGTTCTTGACAGCAATAAAAGGATCGTCGCCGTTGATTAGCATACAACTGCAGACGGGGACCACGAGGGTAAAGCATCCGCGGCCGGGCCGATTGCAGTGCAGAAGACTAATGCAACCTTGCTTGCCTAGGCGACCAGGCTTGCACTCCTGTTGGAGTATGACAGGGGATCAATCCGGCGGGACCAATAGCGAGCCGTTGGGAATGACCACAATACCCAGTAAGACCCGAGAAATACTCGGTCAATCTGGGGTAGTGCCGGCCCCTACAGTTCTAGTGCGTTATCCGTTTGGGCGCGAGAACAATTACCGCTGCCCAAGGCCATGTGGTACGAAGCATGGCAAGAATTAGTTGAAGTTGGGCAAGTGGCGAGCGCTGGGGAACAGAAAGAGATGACACTTGTATGAGCATGCTCTCCCCATGGGACAAAACGGATGCCCGCATAATTACCTTTTCGAATCCCCGCGTTTCAGGTCCACAATGCCTCGACTGGCTCATCTCGCTATTGAAGTTGTTTCATTTCGATATCCAAGCCGACTGAGTAGCTGGACCTTCATCAAATCACCAAAGGGCTGTGTGGCCAGCGTTGAGAAGGCATGATCGCGTGCAAAAATTTGCAGCGCTGGCTTGTCATGAGGCCAAGAGTGGTACCGTAGATGATACTTAGTGCACTTCATAGGTAGAATTTTGTTCCCCGCAGTTGGTGTATGAGTGGTATTAATGACTGACGTTGACTTGCAGGGATCGTTGTAAGTGCCGCCGTTGATGTAGCCAGTCCAGCACTTCCCAAGATACTTGGCGCAAGCTTTCTCGGTGAAATCCATCTCAGGATGCGGTTCGTGATCCGCAGTGTGAGTCCCAGATGCTAGGTGCTGGGATGGCACCGGAAGCGCCGTCTGTCTTCTGTAAATACCCAAGTGCGAAATATGTGGCGGTGACACCATCTGGCGAGGGCGCCAAGGTCCAACGAGGTTGGTTTCAAGGAATCTGGAAAGCCCAGGCTTGCCGCTTCTTGTATTCACCGGCATCTTCCTTGGTCTAAATGTCGATATGATTGTGGCTGGGGGGAGGGAAGCGGGACGGGTAAGTGGCTGCGAATAGCCCGAGACTGCACAGGCCCGGCATGAAATCGCATGACTCGGAACTCGAATGACAGAGAAGAAATTCGGTATCCATTTTCCGAACCCTGACTCACATTGAATCGACGCTCAACCAACGCATCGGATTCAGTTCTCCGTTGCCATCGATCGATCATTTACCAGACCTTCCCCCAGCGCCCATGAAACTGCAGGGATTTTGCTGTTCAAGTTTTTCCCCGCTAACCCCAAGGTATACCCCTCAAAATGATGGGGAAGCTGTTGGGGAAGCTCCAAGTAAAACGAGATCCCCACACTGTCACCCCGTGTCAACTAATCACCATTGGGGTACAAACGTGGATTAAAGTTTACAGTTGGAACTGCTTGTCAATTATAGTGCTCAAATGAACACAAGGGCCGAATAGCTCTGGAGAACTGGGTCTGGCTTCCATGCAACGGCCGTTCGATAAAACTCAATGTTGGAATCAAATTGGGGCGGCCTGAAGTGGCGACGTGAGAGCAACGGTGCCCACGGCAGGTAGCAAGGACCACGGCAGGTCCTTGCTACCTGCCGCCCACGTCCCGAACGCCGTTCGCTGAGGTGTTTTCGACATACAACCTGATCCAAGCCCGGATCGGAGAGGCCGTCACGAGTCGCATTCTGCTGCAGACCACCAGGCGTGACCTCGGTGGGATTGATGCAACGCTGCGCGCCGGCATTCTCCGCTTCGACTTCCCCCGTTGCGACAGGACAACTATTCCTGTGAACTTGGATGGATTCATGTGTGTCGTGACTCGCGCATTTCCGTTCGGAGTTCCCTCGGCGCGCCAAGCGATGGATGGGTAGGCGATATCTTGACTGTTCAGAATTGGTCATGAGGCTCATCACAGAATCGTAATACAGCTGCCAGCTTGTTGTAGAAATCTGCGGTACGAGAAGCGGACGTCCTTACGTTGACTCCCCCCACCGCAAATTGGAGTCGAGAAGCCAGCCGTTGCGTGTACTGCATGGTCGGACTCATATTGGCTAGCTGCCATCGGGTCCGACTTGATAAGACTCAAGTCGGAGTTTTTCAAGCTTCGGATACTGACCGACAAGTAGTGGCTCAAGGGTGGCATGAGCCAAGCTTCAACCAGGACCAATTCCAAATCGACGTCAGCTGAGGAACCTTGAGGCGAAAACACAGCTCCAGATTCAGCTGGTGCACTGGCCATTCTAGCCACAAGCCTTGTCGTCGGGTATCGTGGGGTAAACCTTCCGAGCGCCGATGTCCGCCCCACCTTGCTAACGACACGTTAACATCGAATTTGATGCTAGACGTAGACGCATCTAGATCATCAGCCAACCCACCACTAGATTCGATCCTTCTTCAGAGTCTGTAACCCTCAGGTGACGCTATCCCGGGTCGGCCTCCACGTTAAACCGACAAAATGGGCGAGCCGTCAAGCCCGCCCAAGTTGCCGAACGGTGCGGTATCTTCCCAGCCGTCGGCAGCAGCTCAGGGCTCGGCAGTGCGTGGCGCCTCGCTCCTCATCGTCCTCCAGATCCTCTCGCGCGCCGTGACTTTTATCGCCAACCAACTGCTACTGCGCTTCTTGACGGCACAGCTTCTTGGCGTTACGACACAACTCGAGGTGTACTACCTGTCCGTTCTGTTCTTCGCACGTGAGAGTTTACGTGTTGCGATTCAGCGACAGGGGTCCGCTCCTGCTGCGACCAAAAAGTCCGACGATGGCAAGGATGGCGCTGGTAGTGAAAATGCGCAGGATAGCCAAGCGGTGGTCAATGTTGGCCATCTAGCGGTGGTGCTGGGCCTGGGAGCTGCGATTGGACTCGGAGGTGCATATCTGCACTATGTTGACGCTGCGACGGCTTCGACCCCCTATTTGGATTCCGCGCTGTATATCTACGGTGTTGCATCCATCGTCGAGCTTCTGTCAGAGCCTGCATTTGTGGTGCTTCAGCATAGGCTGCGCTTCGGGCCGCGGGCAGCAGCAGAGAGCATCGGCACGTTCCTGCGCTGCTTCGTGACTTTTGGATCGGTAGCTTTTGCGTGGAAAATGCGCTTAGAGCTCGGCGTGTTGCCATTCGCGCTGGGACAACTGGGTTATGGCTTCGGGTTACTGGGCGTGTATCTGTGGTATGGAAGCAGTCTCGCATCCAGTGAGGGCTTCTCGTTGCTCCCCAGAGGCGTGACATCAGCAACGAACAATGAAAAGAGGATTACCTCCAAAAAAGGGTATACGCTCGGGCTCTTCTACAAACCAACCCTCCACCTCGCCTCGAGCATGAGCGCCCAATCGCTCGTGAAGCACGTACTAACTCAAGGAGACACATTCCTGGTATCTATCCTCTCCAGTCCACAGTCCCAGGGCGTGTACGCACTCGCCAACAACTACGGCAGTCTCCTAGCGCGCTTGGTCTTCCAGCCCATCGAGGAGAGCAGCCGAAACTACTTCAGCAAGCTTCTTTCTACATCAAACTCAACCCCAGCCTCCTTTACCGACAACAAGAACCCCGCGCTCCAACCCGAGAAACAGGCCATCACCAGAGCGAAAAACGACCTTCAATCCCTGCTAAAATTCTACACCCTCCTCTCCACCCTAATCATAACCATCGGTCCCTTCGCCCTCCCACTTCTCGTGCAACTCATCGCCGGCTCCCGCTGGGCCTCGAGCGGAGCCGGCGTCGTTCTATCGCAGTACTGTCTCTACATCCCTTTACTAGCCATCAACGGCGTCACCGAAGCCTTTGTCTCCTCCGTAGCGTCCGAGTCGCAAGTCAATCGGCAATCGTTGTGGATGGGTGCGTTTAGCTTCGCGTTTGGCATTGCGGGATATATCTGTCTCCGCGTGCTTGATATGGGAGCTGTGGGACTGGTATATGCGAATGCGATTAACATGCTCAGCCGGATCGTATGGAGTGGGACGTTTATATCTGGGTGGTTCGATGCCAAGGGGGTTGGATTCACGTGGGGTGATGTAGTGCCTAAGGGGCTGGCTATTTACGTCGTGGGTACGGCAGCGCTGTGGCAGGGGCTCATCATGGCTGGAGTCGGTGTGGGCAGTGTGTCGAGCCATGTCTTCCGGGACTTGGTTACGGTAGGGGTGCTTGCGTTGCCATATGTGGGCTTAGTGTAAGTGGAATTTCCCGTCCTTCTGTTTGCATTGCACTATTCTCTATTCCTGCCTAAGACTCCAGAACACAACTGCATAACTTGCATAACTGATACTTCCACAGCGCGTACGTGGAGCGCAATTACCTCCTCGAGTGCTACCGATCTATCCGCGGCGGCCGGGCGTCATCTCCTTAAAATAACCAGAACCGAAACGTGTACAGAGGGTATCTACGTCATCCACCCCTTTCTAGGTCCACTCTAGATGCAACGAAGGTTTGCTCAGATAGTCTAATCATCAAACGTGATCTTGGTGCCCTTCTTCGTCATGTCAACGTCCTTGAAAAATGCGCCGTATGTGCCGTGCTGCTTCTTTTTGACCGTCGTGCCGAACTTCATCAACTCGTCTGGAATGGGCTGGCCGGCGGCCTTGAGGATGTTGATTAATCTGTGTCGAACAGGTTAGTCATTGCCCTCGCATTTGGAGGTATGATAGAGGGCTGGACCTACTCTCCAGAATGTGCCTTGTCGTGCTCAGTGAAGAGCGTGATGGCTACGCCAGTCTTGCCTGCACGGCCGGTTCGGCCAATGCGGTGGACGTAGTCTTCGATTGTCAGGGGGAACTGCATTATGTCAGTCAGCGCTCCATATTTGGAAAGGCTGGGACAGCATCATGTGTGTTATAATGCCTCAAATAGAAAACCAAAGCAAGCAGATGTGACAACTTACCGTAACGTTGATCACTAGTTTGACCTCAGGGATATCCAATCCACGTGCCGCGACGTCAGTGGCGACCAAAACGGGCGTGCTACCGTCCTTGAACGCTTCCAGACTCCTTGTCCGCTGCTCCTGTCGCAGATCACCATGAATGGCCACGACCTTGATGCCTCGCTGGCCCAAGAAGGTCTCGACGCGCGTGGCCTCCTTCTTGTATAGACAGAACACGAGCACCCTCTCGTTCTTCGGCTGCGCCTTGAGCAACTGCAGTACTCTCTGCTCCTTTCCCCTCGGATCCACGACCTCAACCGTCTGCGAAATCCGAAGATTGGCTTGCAGATCACCAGACTCATTGCCACCGATCTGGATTCGGACTGGGTCATTCATGAAAGTCAGGGCTAAGGCCTGCACGCTCTGTGGCCAGGTGGCCGTGAACATGAGCGTTTGCCTCGCGTCCTTGGGCTTGCAGCACCCGATGATGCGCTTGATGTCCTCCTCGAAACCAGTATCCAACATGCGGTCGGCTTCGTCTAGCACCACAAAGCCCGCGTTGTCCAGCTTGACCTCGCCCTCCTCGAGGAAGTCCTTTAACCTACCAGGAGTAGCCACAATGATGTCGGCTTTCCTGAGCAGAGTCCGTTGTGCATCCTTTGAGGCGCCACCATAAACGCACACAACCTTGAGTCCGACTACATTGGCAAGCTTGGTGAACTGCTCGTTGGTCTGCATGGCCAGCTCGCGCGTGGGAGATACCACCACGGCACGAATGCGACCAGGTCCCTTGGCCTTGGGCATCTTGATGACTGCCTCGACGAGCGGGAGACCGAAGGCAATCGTCTTTCCGGACCCAGTCTCTGCTACACCGACGATGTCGCGGCTGGAAAGACCGAAGGGCCATGAGGCGGCTTGAATGGGGGTCGGCTCCTTGAAGCCCTTGAATGGGGACTTGGAGGTCAGGGTTGTCGTGGGGAGGTAGGCGAACTGGGTTATTGGGCGGACGTTCGTTGAGGAGAGAGGGTCGGAGATGACGATCAAGTTTTTAGAGAGGAAGGACTTGATTTCGGATTTAGGGACAGCGGCGAGAGCAGCGGTTTGCTCGTATTGTAGAAGCTTGCCCATTGTCGTCGCAGGTGTTGACGTAGATGCAGCGGCATCTCCACTCGTCTCGAGTTTCGCATGGCCGTTAGTTGTGCCATTGGCTTCAGCGCTTGCTTCCGCATCTTCCGTCTTGGGCTTCTTGTCCTTCTTTTGCTTCTTTTCTTTCTTGTCCTTCTTGTCCTTCTTCACTTCTGCTTCTTCCTCAACGCCATTGACATCCTCGTCCTCGATCGGCCGCTTCGATCCCTTCTTCTTCTCCTGCTTCTCCTTTTTCTCCTTCTTTTCCTTCTTGTCTCTTTTTTTTTTCTCCTTCTTTACCTCGGACTCGATATCCATCGCATCTTCAGCAGGTGCTTCAACTCCGGACTCGACCTCAGGAACCTTCTCCTTTTTGGATTTCTTATCCTTCTTGGACTTCTTACGAGGCACATCTGCCTCAATCTCGGCCTCTTCGAGTGTGTGCTTCGACATGGTCGCTGGCGATATCTCGAACAAAACAGACAAGTCTATGGGGAAAATGCAAGTCTATTGCTGCAGTCGCAATCGATTTGCTCCAAAATTCTGGCTGGGCATTGGAAATTTTCGAGAAAGTTGCGATAAGATAAGCGCCCCGCAGCGGGAACCGATATGTGCATATTCCCCTTCGGATACATGCCAAGACGGCGCTTCCTCTTCAATCACCCCGCCATCGTCCCTGCTCTGGAAGTAAACAAATTCATTTGCCAACCGGGGAAACTTGAACGTCAACTGCCAGCAACAATCACACTCACCATGGCAGACAAATCAGCGGATAAGGACAAGTCTAAGGTCCACAAGCTTTCGTTGAAGGGCAGCGCGAAATTGGTCACAGAATTCGTAAGTCCCCACTTCACGCCAACATCCAGTGAGGCCACGAGATTCGTGCTAACAATGCATCCATCTGCAGTTCCAATACTCAATCCACACAATTCTGTAAGCTACTCGAAAGCCGTCGCCTTCCCCACCCAAGAGCGAGTCCTGACGTGTATATGCAGCTTTCAACGAGGAGTATACCCGGCCGAAGACTTCACCACCGTCAAAAAATATGGTCTCAACATGCTGGTCTCGTCCGACGATCAGGTCAAAGCCTACATCAAGAAGATCATGAGCCAGCTGGACAAGTGGATGCAGCACAGCAAGATCAGCAAGCTGGTCATAGTGATCACAGACAAGGACACGGGTGAACATATCGAGAGGTGGCAGTTCGATGTATGGCTCTATCCCATGTTATCCTTTCTCTGTCCCTCGTCGAGAACTTAAACTGACGCAGGCCTCGGCCGCTACAGGTGCAAATCTTCAATACAAAGAAGTCCAAGTCCAAGTCCAACCCCGCTGACGAGAACGCCATATCAACGTCCGCATCGAAAGCAGCGACGACTGAGACACCCAAAACCGAAGCAGAGATCCAAGCCGAGATTGCTGCACTTTTCCGCCAAATCACAGCCTCGGTGACGTTCCTACCCCAATTACAAGGAGACTGCACGTTTAATGTCCTGGTGTACGCGGATGCAGACAGCGATGTACCGGTCGAATGGGGCGACTCCGATGCCAAGGAGATCGTCAATGGCGAGCGGGTGCAGCTGCGTGGCTTCAGCACCAGCAGTCATCGTGTGGAGACGCTAGTTAGCTATCGGTTGGGGGAATGAACTCGGCTGTAAAAGCAAGGGGGCAGCCTCGAGAAGGAGGCTACGAGTCTACTGGCGACGCAGACGCCGTGTTGGAAACAACCCCTGAAGTATGGCGGTTGAAAAGTGTATTATTGATGACAGAGCTTGGGATGGCGTTTCGTTTTGAGGGATACCTTGTTGGGGTTGGTATTTTTCTCTCTGTACACTGTGTTCACTTGTATAATATCTTCTGATCTTTCGATGTGGTTTCCTTATGGATTGGGAAGATTCTTGTCCCCAAGTCGGCGTCGCTGCCCACAACATGTGAGTCGGAATTTATCTGAATTGATCTATGTTTTGGTTAAATAATAAGTCGAATGGAACCTCTTTTCGACACTATGCTAATCTCAACTTTATCTTGTTTTTCTGGTTCTCGGTATCACAACTTTAGACATAAGGGGTGTTAATACGACGCTATAAAAGCACACTTCCTTTATTGCCGCACGTGCTTCTGAATAACAACCTTACAAAGTATAGCCAAAGTATAGCATATGTTTCACAACAGTTCGTTTCCAATAATGCAAACATGCTTGTGAGGAACTCATTCTGGCCAAAGTTACTCCACTAGAAAGTAAGGTTACATTTATAAAGCAACATTCTTGCCCTGAGCCCTCAACCAGAGCACACGTTCATCATATCATAGCCATCAGCATCACCACTTGCAGATTATGTTCACTCGCTCGAGCTTTCTCATTTTCAGTTGACCTGCCCCCATTCTTTTCAAAGTCGCGTTAATAGTTGCCCTCGAAAATAACCAAACACAGCCAACACTCAAGGCGGGATCCATAACTGGGCTATCACCAGCAACTACTACCACCAGAAGCGCTAACATCGTTACCGCGACCTTTTTCTAGAAATATGATGTCGGTTTAACCACCGTGGTTATAGAAATATTGACCAACTACTTGGGATGCTAAAGAGCGAGGTGATAGGACGCTTATGTCGAGTGGAACTGTGTATGCATGTAGCTGGTCGGTTGAAGTTGGCATGTTCGGGGTTCTCGAAAGGGAGTATCTAGTACTATGGTAGAGCAAACCGAGCTATATGGTCGTTTTCGTGCTTTTTATCAGTTCTAAGGTCATTTTCTGTAAGTATAAGGCAAAGTGGGAAAGCCTTACGTCTTGCCATTCTCCATGCTCTCTGACAAACCCGGTTTGCGCATTTTCGAAATCGTTCTTCGTCCGGCATCTTGTTCCTCTATCTACGACAACAGCGACCATACGCAGTGATCGTCTCTAGTATCGCCTCTATAATCTCTACGGCGGCGTGGCCTCCTTGAGCCAGGGTATGTAATCAAGCACCTCAGCATAAACCACTCGTGTTTCTATCCTCTGAAAAACGTGGTTCAGACTTACTACGGTTATATAGAGCATAACTGTGGGTACCGCGACTTCAGATGTGTCTGCTTGCCCTAAATTGAGCCGGCGGTGTCTAATTGTGCTATTAATACTTGCGAAGGAATCCCTCTACAACATGCGAAATACTACACTGCACGGATTTGAAATTTGAAATGTGCTAACTTTGTTGTGTCAGCCGACTTCTCCGAGGCATGCAGGGAAGATTACAACGGTAACACTTCATCATCTGACCTACAACAACCACCATAACCACCAAATAGTCAACATTAGTAGCATCGACCAAGACGGCATGACGAACGACTGCCGAGGCAGCCACCTCGACTTCCGGCATAGTGAATATCAATGCTGGGGATGGGAATATACCATCCGGTGGCGTTATTATTGGGATAGTGGTTGGAGTCGTGGTTTGGTTATAGGTGTATTGCTAGCTGGGTTGATGTATTGCAGTCGAAAGTTCAAGGCAGCAGGCGTGCCGACCGTGAATGCGTCGGTAACGTCCCACACCCACATCCGGGACACCCCCACATGTGGGACGCCCTAAAAATGACACTGTATATTATAACCATTAACTTCAACCTTTTTTTACACTTATTCTAATGCGACTACAATACAGCTTTCACCGTCACTAGGGTTTTCAGACTCGCTAGACTCATCTGTACTATCCTCAATTTCACCAGCCTCGATTTGAGCCTTCCGAATAGCCTTGATATTAGTAAACTTCGAATTTGGGCTCATCTTGACCGTCCTCCGCTTCCTAGCCCAACTAGCCTCAAGCTCTGCCTCTATTGCCTCAATCTTTCGCTGTGCGACAGGTAATTGGTAGTCCTTCTCATCAAACCCCTTTTGAACTTTCCGAAAGAGTAGCCGCTGGGTATTTGGATCACTATCAAGCTTGCTGAATAAGCTGAGTTGATCTTGGAGCTCATCTCTCCTCTTAGGCGTTGACCAGGCTACTGCTGATGTCTCTAACGCCTAGTCCTGACTACCCTTACTATCAGAGTACCCTTTGCAAGTCTGACTAGGCTGTCTGATTGGTGCTGACGTATTCTCAAGGAGCAGGGGGCTCATAAGGGGTCTAGCTATGCTCGAAGGCCAGACCAGTATATTTCTATCCACTGATAATGTTCTTAGCGGTCAATGCTGCTAGACGTGCCTTTCTATAGCAGAGGAGAAAGTTTCTCTTCCCTACGACAGTAGTAGTATCCCATCGGTCAAGGTAACCAAGCTCCTTTTTATAGGCTGCCTTGAGGGGTCCAAAGACTGACTGATTGAGAGGCTGGAGAACGTGGGATGTGTGTGGCGGCAAGAAAAGCAAGTGTATCTTGTTTATGAAGCAGAGGTACATAAACTCTGTCGTTTCGTGGCTACTATGCCCATCTAGGATAAGTAACCTAGTCTCTTCAGGGTCCTCTGGTTGAGTCAAAGGAATAAAGATCTTTTGTAGCCACTCGATAGCCGTAGAGTCTGACGTCCACCCATTCTCTGTTGCTGTAAACCTCCAGGCTTCGTATGGAGTCAAGTCCAGAGGAAACCACTGCTGCTGGACAGACTTCCCCTTGTATATCACAAGTGGGGGTAGTGCAGTACTAGTCGCAGAGATACACTCTATAAGAGATGTCCAAGCTCGAGATCCAGGCTGTTTCTTCCGTATAGAACGAGTCTCAGATGATCCTAGAACAAGACCATTTGATCCTCTACCTTCTAGAATACCTGTCTCATCCATATTGTATCGATTCGAGGCCTTAATAGCTTTGATCTCAGGGATAGCGAGGTATTTGAACCATTGCCTGATCACATTAGCTGAGGCTCCATTAATACGCTGGGAATCGATAGCTCTGCTTCTCTGGACCTTGACTGAAGGGTTCCTCTTGATAAAAGCCTGGACCCAGTTCTTTCCAAGTGGTTCGGTGTCTCCGTGGATCTGTAGGATACGCTCGGCGAAGTCTTTGAGCTGTTGATGGGTTGGTGGGAGGCCTAGGGCAGCCTGGATTCGAACCCATTCAGCCAGATGAGATTCCTGGGCTGGGGAGAGCCTCTGGTATTCAGCGAAGGCTATATCTCTTGACTGGGCTCCCTGAATCCGTCGTGAAAGAGTAGACCTTGGGACACCATGCTCATATGCTGCTTTTCGGAGGCTTTGACCGGTCGCTATTGCTTGAAGAGCTCGATAAATATCATCTTCGGTATATTGACTCATATTAGTGTAAAGAAGACGTACGTAAAATTTCGTAACGATTGAATCGATATTGGTAAAGGAAAAAGAGGTTGAAGTTAGAGGCTAGCGGTGTTGATGAGGCATTTTTGGGTGTCCCACATGTGGGGGTGTCCCGGATGTGGGTGTGGGACGTTACTCCCTCTACTAGGTATAAAACGTTCATTTACCCAGTTTCCCAACGATAAAATTTTCCCGTGAAAATTTTCCTGTGCATTACAAAATTCTGACGAGCATGGAACCGTTTCGCCTCTTGTTTTGGGATGCTTCCAGCGAGACCATATGGTTTGCCAGTCGATCAGTTCGAAATTCCATGACAGACATGCTGAAATAGAGAACTGCATGCCTCCAAGCTCTCAATGCAATTCTGCCGAGCGCCAGCATAGACTTTTCAGAAATACAAGCCTTCAGTCCACCGAAGACAAGCCCAATGCGAGAGATCGCCATAGTCGCCAGACCACACATCGCTCGGCCAATCGACTGCGCAGCAGAACGGTCTTTGTACAACAAATCGTAAAACTTCGTACGACGTCGAAGCATGCATGGAAGTATTACCGAATTACTAAGCCGGTGAGTGCTTAAGGATCATAGGTCCTGTGAACCGGGCGCAGGATAGGTAAAACTCTGCGAGGGGCAACGAATGATCTCAAGGTCCTCCAATGCCGCCGCCCCTATTTCACACCGATGACTTGCCAGATAATGTACCAGCAGAACTGGAAGTAGCTAAGTCTGCCCTTCAGTATGCGTTGATCCGGCATGAATTATCTGATGCTGAATCTGTCAGCCAAAATCTGACGACGAGCAACATGCCCATCGATCTGGTGCCCTACCTCCGGCGACGTGAGATACTGACAGAAGACAAGGTGACTCTCCAACGAACGAAGAAGACGCGGCCCAATTAGATAACATCGAAGTAACTTTTAACAATGGGCAAATTGTCCGCATGTCCGCCGAATCAGGAGGACAACATGACGACCAGAATCCAAAGTACCAGGTAGTGGCCAAGCAGCAAATTCAGCTCTCAAAAAACCCCTTCGGTTATTCCGTTCGCTCGTGTTGGATGGTCTGGCCAGCTTTTTGAAAAGCCACACCAACCCCCACGAGGGGCCTCCGCCTCCGCCCGCACCACCTTCTGATCTTCCGATTTCCATTTCCTGGTTTAACGTCCACAGTATCCCCCGAGTTAAGTATGTCGCCGAGCCAGGAAGATCCGCAATTCACTCCGAGGAACCCAATCCCGCCATAAGCCGAACCAATTGGTGCATCCAATCGATCTCAGAGAAAGATGATCCCCAGGTCTTCGAGATACGGCATTCCGTACGGTATCTCACCGCTGTGCTTACATGGCAAGCTTGATATATTGGACTTTGCGCAACACGCAAGCCACCGCAGAAACTTGATTGCGTGTTTCTTTGTGCCCTACATTATGGCTATCCACCAGTCTACCGCCATGTCCATCCGCGTCAAGCACTCGACGAGTGTACAATCGAGTGCGTAGGTCCGCGCAAATTGCACATCAAATCCCGAGATTCTGAAATATGAGAGGACAGGTGCATGCCACTTCCTGGTTTGTGGGCTGGTTTCTCAAGGGTTGAGCCTGTGGTGGATCCTGGTCACTCTGAATGACGAAGGTACTAAATCATTGCCTCTTACCACATTTGAGTAAACAAAGCTTATTGATTCAGGGGCAAACCTGATCACCATAGGCTACCTTGATTCCGATGCTTAACCGCTTCCTTCACTGTCAGTCACATTAAGAGCCTTTATATAAATAATAGTCTGATTAATTTACAAGCTATAGTCATCTCGCATCGTTATACTTAAGTCGTAACCATCTAACATGTCTTGTCATATCTTCATATCGCACCAGGCAATATCCTCCCAATATCATACACGTCTTCGTGCTTTCCCTCCTTCACACGTGACTACATATTTGCTCATCTCCATTGAAGCTCAAACCTGAACCCTACCTTTAGTTCATCGCCCGCCCGACGGTCCCGTACTCCCCCGTAGCCTCGCGAATAAGCGGCATTCTCTCACGGACGACCCTCTCATTGTGGGCAATATCCTCATCCTGCTGCACCTGGAAATTCCTCGCCTTGACAAAGATGAACGTCGTAAGGGCGATGCCGATGACGGTCCCAGCGACAGCCATGGCGATGTTGATGGGGGTCGGGTCGCCATGGAGAGGGCCATGAGTGAGGGCGTCGAGGCCCGACTGGCCGAAGTTCATGAGTCCAGAGAGACAGGTGATCATACCGTAGACCCGACCGAACGTAGCGAAGCCGAAGACCTTGGTTATGTAGTCGCTGGGAGAAGACAATGGTTAGTCTGGCGCAGCGGGCTGCAGATGGTCAGGGGCAGATGCTAGACTTACGATACAGCTGAGTAGTACAGAGGACGGAATAGGACGAATGCAATGACTGTTACGTAGCCAGCCCAGAAGAAAGGCAAGCAGTTCAGGACACCGATAAGGGCAACGTAGAAGGTTATTACAGCAGCCACCGTGGCAACACTCAGGTTGTTCAACAACATTCCGATGAACGGAGTCGCGATGATACCACCAACTGGTAACGCGACATCAAAGAAATCGTTGATCATTTCAGCCGCGGCCTCAGACTGCAACATGAAACGATACTGGGCTCGGATGGTGGCAATGAAGTAGTTCATCCTCAGCATCTGCAGGACGGTGAGGAGAAGGATTAGAATGAACCACGGCGTCATCATCTGTCTGTGGGCTGGAAGACCGTGCATGACACCCCATATGCCACTGACGATGTGCCGTTCCTCTTCCTGGAGGGCTCGCTCTTCTCGTTGTTCGGCATCACCCACGAGCTCCTCGATCTGGTTCAGCTTGGCATGTCGACGGTCAGCGCGGTAGCTCCTGACACGATACAGCTCGCCGTCGCTATACTCCTCGTCTGACTCGTGGACATCGCGCTTGGGATCCATTGCCTTTTCAATCTTTTGCTCCAGTTCTGGCGTCGTGTGGTAAGCTTCTCTGGGCATGAGGGTCCACTCTCCGATGGATAAGACCACAGGAACAATCAAGAAGCCAAAGAAGAACTTCGACGGCGCAAAGTCGCCTCCTGATGCTTCCCAGGCCATGCGGTAGAACAGGAACACGGCCGCAGATGCGTCAAACGCCCCGGTAATCATGGCCACTATGAGGCCGGAATACATGGGGAAAGCATTAGCAAGCTGGAAGCTGGGCACGAAGAGGAAAGTGCCACCAAGGCCGAGAAAGATGTTGGCAACAAGATACCCATCAAACTCGGGAATCTGAAAGGCGTAGCCCATCAGGATGCAGCCGACAGCCAGGAAGACGGACGAGGCCGTGTAACAAACACGTCTGCCGAAGCGGTCCAAAACGGCGCCTGCAAAAAGCGACGACACATTAGTGGTGATGGACGCAGCAATGAAGAACAGGTTCAGCCGCAGATCCTGCTCGGAACAGGGCACATGGAAGCCGTCTTCGGCCTTGCCAAGGGCATCACACAGATCTCCGTAGACACCCTCGGCGATGAGCACGGGCTTGAGCGACGCGAACCCAAACACGATGCCCGACGCAAAACAACAAGCAACAACGGCAAACGCGACCTGGGCTGTTTAGAAAGAGAATTAGCTTGCTTTTGTCCACCGATGCAGGAATGAGTTGCGTGATTTGTGCGAAATGGGCGTAAATCATGGTTCAGATCGTACCAATCCGCTTCGCATTCGAGATCTTGTAAGCAGCAATGTGCGGCGTAGGCTCTGGCTCTTGGAACGGCGCCGTCAAGTCAACGGGCGCAAAGGCATCGTAGCTCAACCTGCGCCAGGTGCCGCCCGTCTTGCTGCAAGACTCGTCATCCTGAATGGGTTCTTCGCGGTCGACACCTTCTATAGCAGTGACGTGATGGGCGAGAGACATTGACCTCTGGATATGTATGAATGCGGTTGACTCGTCGATTGCGATTGGTTGAACTAGCGTGCAATGACTTGGGGGGGGGGGCGCCGGCAAAGTATGGGGCTGTGTCTGACTCGCTGCAGTTGTTATGTCTTGTCTTGAAATCACGCGGAATCACGTCTTTCTTTTAAGCGATGGAGGAAAAGGCTCCCTTGGGCCGATGCGGTGAGAAAATTTGATTTTGTGACGTAATTACGGTAACCAACAGCGGCCGGGGTCGCAGCTTGCCTGTGTGGTACAATATCTGTAGCCACTAGCTGCTGGCTGTCGTGGCCCTGCTAGCGAGCTCCAGGCCCTGCAACAGGTGATTGCGAAGCACGAGCCGCCCGTTGCAGAGGATCGCTTTCCCCCGCTTGCCATTTTGAGAGGTCCTAGAAATTGCCAGAACGCCAGGTGGCTCGTTCGCAAAGTCTAGCGACTATAACATACCTATTCCATGCATGATAGTGGATGCATCTGTTAACGAAGCTAATAGTAGTTAAAAGAACGTTCTAAACTTCAAATGCGCTCGGTCCCATTCCTAGTTCTGGCTATGCTATCCCGGATCATCTATCTGGACCAATCACCCATGACATGGGCCCAGCATGCGCGGTTTAACACAACCTATACGTGTATGCAAAAACCCTCTATTAACTAGATGCCTTGACAACCATTTAAGCGAGCTTCCATTACTAGGTCTTATCTTGTCGGCCTAATTTGACGGGCGCAAGTGTTGAGAGACCAGACTACAATGGAGTAACCGGTGTCCTATCCGAGTGGGCCTTCACCGTGCTCTCCTCAAGGTGCTATCGGCAATCCTGTTCTTGAGAGCGGCTGTGTTTTTATACCAGGGGTATCAATTCCGTTCCAGATGCAGCACCATGAAAGCCCAGGGCATCCTGAGTGGTCATCTTTACTTAACAGCAAAAACTCTCCTGTCCCAACTTTCCCAATTAGAATGTTGTAGTCGCACCACTGAAAATGCTCGGCTAATCTGCATAACCCGTTGCCAAAAGCCATTCCTTCTTGTTCAGCCATATACCACCAGTGTTGCAAAAGCTCAGGGCCAGCCTACCTAGCAACGCAGCCCGAAATTATGGCATGCGACGCCTGGGTTGAACTGGAGAGAATACTTCTCTGGCGCTGCACAATGGATGGGTATGCTGAACTAACTCGCCGTGGATTCAGCTGCAGGTGTGGTGTTCTGTGTAGAAGTGAAGTTATCCATGGAACTGCTGCTGATGGTGTTGCTCGACTGTGCCGCAGCAGATCCTGACGTTGATGTGGTAATCTGTAGAGGGAGACAGTAAGGCTATTTTCGAGAAATTTGGAAGTTGTTCGTTCATCTAGGGTAATACTTTGTTTCCGTGTCGTAATTAGTGTTTGTGTCGTGGTGGTGAACGGAGAAGCGCTGGAGATTTCATCTATGTCGGTTGTGTAGGTCGATACTGTTTCAACTATCACACCCCCATCGTATAGTGCAAAGATAACTTTAATTTCAGCTATAGATCTAAGTACCAGCACCAACTGTACTTGTTTACCCATTTATGAAAGACGAAGTTTTGAATGGGTATGTCATGGCTGGGTTTGCTTATGATTGAACGTACGGGAGTGACAATAAAAGTAAGAGGTCGAAAACGGTGCGCAGCCATATTTGCAGGGACACGGTTCTTAAATCTTCCAGATTGCGCGAATGAAGGGATCGGAAACCGTCAGTGGCCGACCCTGGTAACCTGGTTGCATCCGTGCCCCTATAAATGTGAAGCGTACTGGGTAGAACAGTTACTTTGTTATATGTAAGTTAATGAGTAGATTGTGGGATTGAGCGCCATATGTGTGCCTGAGGTGGTGCCTGAGGTGGTGCCTAAGGCAGTGAAATCGCTTGTGTAGATAAAAAGGTCGGCACCTGACTACCTACCTTAGATGTAACTTCTTACATAGGACTCCGAGCAGTCAATACACACATCACACTGCGCATCGAGCATCGTAACCAATACAGGATCTGTACAGAGTCATCATCTGAGGGTTGAATCCCTCATAGATCAGAAAATATGGGTTGGCTCTCTAGCAAAAGCTATAAACTCGGCGGCAACACTTCGGCTTCTACACTGCCCAACTAAATGCTATATTAGAAAGTACTGTAGGCGCATCCACTTTGGTTAGGAGACACTCTGCAGTGTTTAACCATTCTAACTCGCCTGTGTTGGATTCTGAAATTATAAGTTAATGCATATCATGCTAACGTAGAAAATTTTGATTACGGCGAGGAGTGGCCCATCGCTACAGTATATCATTTAAGTGCGGCACTCGATCGTCTATATAGACTTGCTCGTACGATAATTGGCTGTTCATGACCTCTGCTACTTTTCACAGTTTGCAGTTGGTGTTGTAGTCATCCCACATTATACTACTACAGACGCTTGATGAACCGCCGAGAGGGGGCTTCTCAGTGTTTTGCACGTGTGATACGAGTCCAGAGATATGCGGCGGTGAGATGATGCATTGGTCACCCCACTTTCTGCTTTAGTTGTTATATTGGTGCTGTGCACTGGCCAACGAGAAGAAAAGTGGGGATGGGAACACGAACTGTGGCACATGTCGTCCTATAGAAGTAACACAAAATTATCTCACAAAAGTAGTATCTATCATAACCTTGTCGCGTTCCACCGTAATTGGTGGGATATTGCGGCACATGTCTTCTGATTGACTTCGGATAGCGTTAATAAGAGAACTCTCCCCTTCTTCATTATCTTTCCACCCAATCACAACCAGTTTACATATCAATCAATTCACACACTAGTACCATGCCCATGCGCCAGTTCCACATGCAAGAACTGAGCCGTTTCGACTACTTTCGATATCCTCGGATTTCAAGTTCCTGACGTATCAGACCAGAGGCACTGGCGCCATTGTCAAAACTCTCAACGCAGCGACAGTTTGTTCTTTCGTCTTACCCGTGTGGAGTAAAAGTTGATCTTGGTCCAGCTTGGTAATGAGTCTAGCGGCTGTGCCCATAAGTAATGGATGTCAGAGTCTGTGAAATGTGTTTTAACACTCCCAAATTTACTCTTTGTCTTTAGTGATGGACCGCTCTTTCCGCTATGAAGGTGGATTGATTGGTTTCAATCCATGCTAGTCAAGTTTATATGTAAACTACAAGCCCACGTCATCTTGACTATGGTCTTGTCCATCGGCTTGTGTAACGTCTTAGGTCATCAGACGCTGTTCATCATTAGGGGTGCGTCTCCATGGGTGATACTGAAGAATCATCTCCAGTATAACCTCTTTGATGAAGGGAGAGGCGGGGCTGGAGGGTTGGCGGCGCATGTAGTTCAGTATGTCAACAGGTCGGTTTAGTGTAGGGCGAACCTCTGATGAGGTTGAACATAACATAATGGAGAGCATAGACTGATTAAGTAACCAACCTGTGTTTCTAGTTGCGTTGTTAATAATCTCAGCATCAATGCCCTTATTTGTTTGTATTTTCATTATTGCTAGACTATTAATATGCAACGGATTGCCAGTTCTGGGAAACACTTAACAATTATCTATTTTTCTCTAACAATGCTGCGGCTCTGTTCTTAGTTGATCTCTCATCTACCTCATCAACGCAATGCATAATTCACTGCTTACCCACCCTGGGTCCATAATTTTCTATGCACAGGTCCAAAAACAGCACCCACGCTATGCTCAAGTATCATCTCGCAACTGGCAGGCCGACGAAAAGTCCGCAGAGAACTCCGCTATCCCCCTATCGGCAGATAACTCATTTCTCAGCCCCCTTTTTTTCATGGTTGTCTTTATCTCCTAGTGGACGCGATTGAAAAAGTAGACATATGCCGTCTTCTTCATCTCTTCTATGTCACCAGCCTCGACCACCTTCTCATCGTTAAAAAGGACCCACTTCGGGATCTGGGTGTCGATGATCTTGCGGATGAAAGCCACATAGTGTCTTGTGTGTACGTTGTTAGTTCTCTCGGTTTACCGAGTGGGGATGGAGGAATATTGCACATACCCAGCATGGATACTGCTACCTTTGTGACAAACGATACTGTGCAGCTCAAAGTTGGCCGGCAGGTCAGCATTGCCCGCCTCTTTCTTCTCCTTTGGCTCGGCACTCTCCGCGAGGTCGGGGGCATCGTCGCCATAATCTCCTTGATCGTCCATATGATTGAAGATCCAGTCAATGGCTCTTTCAACGTCACTGCCAGTCTCCTTCAGCGCCTTTCGGGCCTGCGGCACGCTGAAGCCCATATTGCAAACTTGTTCAATCTTTTGAGGATCCACCTCTGCGGTGCTTCCGCTCGTACATGGAAGGACAAACGGCTCATCGATTGATGGATCATCCATGCGCATCATGATCCACTCCAGAGCTGCGTTCATGTCGTTATTGCCAGTGGCGTGAAGTGCCTTGTCGCATCGATTCTTGGGGAAGCCCATTGCCATGAGCCCCTCGAGAGCCGCTTGATTCGGCACGAAAGCTGGTGCCGCAGCTGTGTTCTCTTCGGGCAACAGTATCTCGTCAGGTTGGTGACCATGCGACATATACGCATCCAGGCTGAAGGGCCCTTCGCCAATGATGACGGGGACATCGACCTTGCGGGGGACCCAGTTCTCGATAGCCATCTTGCGTGCATTGACAACAAGCGTCCCCGGAAAAGTCTTGAAAAGTGAACGCTTGGTGAATCCGTCCTTGCTGCCACAACCTGCGCATGTCAACTCAACGACTTCGGAAGCCGTAAGGTTATCTAGGCACTGTTTCAGTGTAACCTCCTTGTAGCGCTCGCCTTCGCCTTCAACGGACGGAAGCTTCTCCAACGGCACGTCGATGAATATGCTGTCCTGTTCATTTGAACTGTAGCGTACCTTCTTGCAGCTCAAACACTGCAGACGCTGTTCGAGGATAAATCGCAACGGTTGTGTGGGGTCAGAAAGAGGAGCAGGATGTTGAGTTCGGGTGATGAGCTTGATGAGGTGTTGCAGAAGCTCAAAAGAATCCTGCTGGCGCATTGTCGAGAATTCGGCATGACCGCGACCAATCAAGTGCTTGAACATGCTGGGTGCAAGTCCTCTCTGGTGATGAATTGCTGATGAGTCGGATGAGACCACTTCGGGATCGGGCTTAGAATATCGTCCGGACAATAAACCGTCTCCAATCTTGCACAGTTGGGTTTCCAGATCTTGCGCGGGGTCAGGGACATTCGGAAGTTCAGCACCGGGTCTATTGTATCGGTCCTGGAATGGCTCAAGGGCGAACAGGCATTGCAGGATGCTGGCTAGATAGCAACTGTTGCCAAGATTCTTGAGGCCAGTCAAGCCAGGACCGAAGATGGGCTGGAGCTCCTTTCCGTCCTCTGTGGTCATTGCGAACTCCCATCTCAAGTTCTGCTCAATCTGCATCTCTGTCAAGCTCTTCTCAGTCTTGACTTGGTCCGACAGGATGATACCCCAATGCGCTAGGTGGGGCGCCAGATCGTTGTCGACACGTTCATCGTCGCACTTGTAGCAGTAAACATCTGCCGTTCCTTCGGGTGTGATGGAGCCGAGCTTGACGGCGACGCCGTGACTCGACTCGTTTGCGTGAGCAAGACCATGCGAATTTCCGCCCACGCCACCAAATTGGGCTCGACCACAGCCCAGATTGCCACACTCCAGACATAGCCAGAGGTTCTCCTTCAATTCGCATTTCGAACAGTGTCCCAAGTCTCCACTCTCAATCTTTCTGCTCTCGTGCTGCTGCAACATCAAGGTGTGCTCGCATGTTGAGAGTTCTTGTTCCCAAGCCTTGACCTCTTCCTGCCGCGAGAACGTATTGGCCTTCATGATGCCGTCAATAACGGGTGCGATCTTGGGGTTGAACAGGTCTATCTCGGTATCGCATGAGAGGCACTTGGCCGAGGTGTGGACATCGTAGCGGTCGGCTTCTGTCTCGGCAGATATGGCTAACTTGGTCATCTTAGCCGGAGGCTCGTCCCTAACTATTTGCTTCCGGGTTCGACGAATGTTGAGAGCCAGTGGATGGTCGCGTTTGGAGTGGTGAAGCTGGGAATGCGTCTTGACGCCGGTGCAACCGCCGTTGAAGCATTGGAGGCAGACATCGAGGCCAGTTGGATCGTCCTGTGGAGGTTAGCTTTTGGTCGTCATCGGAGCTCGCAGGCTCTTGTCGAATTCCGTCTTGAAGACTCCAGCAAGCTTCAAACCACGCCATGACTTACAATAGAGTCGAAGCACTGCGTGCAATCCTCACGATAGACAGACTGGGCAGCTGTCGGAGGGCTTAGGGCTAAGAAAGCAATTTGTCAGTTCGTGTGTCTGTATGATATGCTTACAGCGATGCAGCTACTCACAGATGGACTCCAAATGAGGGCACGCCATCGTGGAAACGGTATTGCTCTCAAGCCGTTGGATGGGGTGAATGTGTGGAGACGAGGCTTAACAAATTGAGTGTAAAAATCAAGGTTCAGGTCCTGGTTGCTCAACGTCGACGTGGTGGAGCAGATGGAAGCTTCGGTCGTGCCTTCCAAAGGTCCAACGTTGCACTTCACCTACAAAGCACAGTAACGAGGGGCAATTTGGGGCAACGGAGCTGAGGCAGTGACGTGACGCGCCAAACCAACTAAGATGCCCCGCGTTACATCAGCTGGCAATCTCGTTAACAGGTGGCATCTTAACTCCGGCAATTTTAATTTCGCCAGTCGGTGCCGAGTAATTCACCTATGACCGACCGGAAATGCCCCCATACAGCATTAAGTACTGTCGTCTAGCTACTGGATCTGATAAATTTTTTGCAGCCACTCGATTGATAAGCTTGGTGGAGCACAGTGTCCTCCGCAAATTCTTGCAGCGGCCCTCCAGCAATTCTAAAACTTGATTCAGAATCACCCAGTGCCCGAGACTGTATGCCGTCACAACTCCGAGTAAGTGAAATCATCGCAGAAAATCAAAGCGCTCTCATAGGCTCGTCGCAGCACTTTCCTTCCCCCGAGATCGCCGAGAAAGCAAAGACCGCACCTGCCAAAACTCTCAGCATCATTATCTCCATTCCCTCTTCCACAATCTATGCTATCTTTCTATTGCATCAAACCCCCACCAACTCACCTACGTATTTTCCATCGAACAAAGGCTGACCGAGCGACTATTTACATTGCTTGTCCTCTATCAACTACTTTCCTTTCGATTTCGATCGATATTCGTCACCTTAATACCACATATCACAATGTTCTCCCGCGCAGTATCGACAACAGCTCGCCGAGCTCTTACCTCGGCACGGCCTTTGGTCACCCGCCAGCACCAAATCGTTAACCCCATCGCAAATGTTGCCCGACGATCATACCACGAGAAGGTTTTGGACCACTACAGCCGCCCCCGCAATGTCGGCAGCATGTCAAAGATGGACGTCAACGTGGGCACCGGTCTCGTGGGCGCACCGGCATGCGGCGACGTCATGAAGCTGCAAATTCGCGTCGACCCCGAGAATAACACCATTGCCGACGTCAAGTTCAAGACATTCGGGTGTGGCAGTGCGATTGCGAGTTCGAGCTATCTGACCGAGCTGGTTCGCGGCATGACTCTGGAGGAGGCGGGCAGGATCAAGAACACAGAGATTGCCAAGGAACTTTGCTTACCCCCGGTCAAATGTGAGTAGTGCCATGGTGGTGGATCCATGGGGAGGATTGGAGATAAGTGCCGATTTGCTAACGATAACTCAGTGCACTGCTCCATGCTGGCTGAGGATGCCATCAAGTCCGCCATTTCCAACTACTACACCAAGAATCCCAACGCAAAGAAGACGAATCTCGCGGGTACTGGACAGTCGCTGTCCATTGGCGACACTGCTGCTGCAACTGCTGCCGCTGCTGCATGAGGTGTTTCGGAAGATTTTCATCGGAAGATTTTCAATTTCTTGGGGTTATTCGCGTCAGTTCTACTACCTTCGCTACACATGGTTAGTGTGATTATGATGTTGCGGTTTGCGCACTTGCGGCGAATTCTTGAGTTTTGTTGGACAAATAAGGAGTCACTGGCACCAACAACGAGGGAATACAGTCGCATACCAGGGGAGGGTGGTTTAGGAGTTCGGAGGAAGAAGATGCTAACTGTCCTACATCGGTCTTCGCGAAGGCGCAACCCGCGTGCCATTGCTGGAAGACCGCAGTGAACTTGGATGATCCGAGTTCAAAATGGACCGATTCAATCGTTCAGCTAGATTGCCGCGGTCTTGTCAAGATTCTCCATGTACCATAATTATGATATACCACATTGATACTGATCAACTTGCAACGTTCAGTATGCCACACTGTGGGTGTTCGAATCAAAAATATGGGTCTGGAATGGCGCCGTCGGCGCCCACATTTTGACTTATCCGAGGACGTGTGTCCCTTCCATCGACCGCAATTGCTTAACTGTACCAATATCAATGTCGAGTATTGAAGCACTTCCTAGTAAACTTTCCTTGCGCACTTGATACCTAAGTCGGTAGCAGCTCTCTGTTGCTTAGCGATTTTCTTGACCTGCTTCTGATATTGTGCATCAGCGTTTCTGCTATTGAGACTGTCGATGGTTCCATTTATCTGCACGCATGATTGCAAGTATAGCCAGGGTAGAATGTTTGCAGCCACTCCAGATGTAATCGTTGCAAGGTGCAGTGTTCTGTTGTTCAATGAGAAATGGAGATATGTCCTACTGATGGCTACGTTGCATTATACTTTTCAAACTGCTTAAGCCATATGGCGGAGGCGATTAGATCCAGTGCATGGGTAAGATTTAAATGAGAGGTCTTGCCCAAAGAAGGCTGGACACTAATAGAACTCAGTACGTTCGGACTTTCAACTGTGAAATCACATCCAACCAGTTCGGACGCTGTCCCTGGATCTCTAAGTGGTCAATCTTCACGAAATGCAGACAGGGTTTGGTGCGGTTGTATGTTCAACACTCTTCCATCTTAGAAACCTGTATGCATAGAGCCTCGAAGTACGCTCTGGCACCACTGTCACATGGAATTCAGTGACCTCATATCAGACTGGAAGTCATGAAATATTGTGGCGAACACAGAATACATAATCGGGGGGTTCATCTGGTGGCCCCAAGTAGTCATACCCCATATGAAAGGGCCCTATGTGTTAACTTGGATGCTGATCGTCGTATTGAGCTAATAATTATGTGCCTTACACGTGCCAAATTCTTAACAGACAGAGCATAATCCGATTTTTGCGATCTTATTGGAGTTACTAATCCTCTCGGAGACGCTCAGATGATTTACAAACCTACTCGAAAGCGTTCATTACGAAAAGTACCTAGCCAATTAAGGTAGTTCCAGCCAAACCACGTACTACTAAGCCGACATTATTAGACCATCCCATAACTAGTCAGATTTTGACCTATTACTACAGTTGTCCCAGAGCTTCACGGCGTGAGACCGAACGCGGATCAAAGTAGGGCTTCTCTCCCAATGACACTACGCGATTACCCTGTCGATTTCCTGAGTAGTCGCTGATAGATTTGTTAGCGGTACATAATATAATGACCAATCGGGTTGCACTCACTTTGTGCCAGTATGGAACACGGAGCGACTGAATTATCGGAGGATGTCAGTGTCGTCTCCCTACTTAAGTCATTCTCAGTGACACTCACTTGTCCCAGATGGCAAGGTCGTTCTTGTTCCAGCGGAATCTGACTTGCAGATCGTGGTTCTCGTGGATGATCTGGTTGACTACGATACGTTAGACCTACCAATGCCAGATGTTAGGAAGGAGCGCACACACAATAGGCCTTGATAATATCGCTTTCCCTCTCAGTCACCCCATTGTACCAACCAGCATGTACCTGATAGGCAGCACCAAACAGGCTCTTCCACCCAGTGACCGGGTTAGTTCGGACGACAGGACTAGTTCATCATACATCAGCATCCAGCAGCCTCTCCACGTACAAAAAGGCAAGGGGAATAATACTGCTCAGCCTCGAAATCCAATCCTGTATTCTCGGGCGAACCACGATTCTGATCAATAAGGTCTTCTCCAAACTCTTTCATGACCTCGACAAAAGCCGGCTGGTAGTGCGTAGCCGCCAGACCCTCAGCAAGCTTCTGGAATGACGGCGAGAGACGGTCGTACGCCTCGTATCCAGACGCCCACAGGGTGTCACCGCCTGCATCTTCGGGAGGCTGGACGATCTTCAGGATGGCGTAGTCCGAGGGGACTCGCTCGAAGGTGATGCTGCGATTGTGTTAGAGCACACATACTTCTGCATAATGATGGGGGAAAGTGACAAATGGACTCACTCGGCATGCCACCCAAGACTCGCAAGTTTCTTCGACAGCGGCGAGAAGCGATCCTTGTAGAACTTGCGGTTCTGCTCGGAAGAAATGACCGAGACCTCATCGTCCAACTTTCCATTCTCGTCAACGGCGATGCCTCGCTTGCTGTTGATCAGCGCATGGCGGTGCAGTTTGGAGCTCTCAGGCTTGCCCGTCAGCTCGCCCAGTTTCTGGCCGAGGGTTTTCTGGTCGTCGATGGTGAGGTCCTGGTTGCGGAAGAAGAGGACCCCGCGTTGGGATACTGTTTAAAGGCTTAGATGGGACCTTGTGCAGGGATTGTTAAGAGCAAGGGTTTACCAAGGATAGCCAGGTCACGGATCTTGTTTTCATCGTGGATAATTTCGCTAATTTGGAGGTCTGGAAACTCTCGACCGATCACTGAAGTGACATCAAATTGGTTGTACTCGTCTAGAGTGCCCGAGTAGGTCAGAGGGACTGTGAGGCGTGATGTGCTGCTAGCTCCTTTTGACACTATGGGCGTGACAGGGTTGTTGAACGAGAGGCCGACATCTGCAGATGGTGGAGACATGTTTTTCTTGATTGGGAAGGAAGACTTTCTTGAATGTATGAGGTCACTCTATACCTGAGTATGTTTGTGTTCGCAAGGAGATAGATACGCGAGTGAAGCGTCGTCGAGATTATCGACAGAACTTAGACTGCCAGGAGATCGCCGCCTTACTTATATACTGGGAGAGAAGACTAATTACCTTGCGATTCCTGTTTCTACTAATATCTCATCCCAATAGGCGCGATAAGCGAGTTCTCTCGTTCATCGTGACATGGTGTAAATTACCCCTCAACTGACATCAGATCTGAGGAATCAGGTCTACCGACGAAGGCCATTAAGTGAAGTCTGGCAACCTATCGTTGACTAAACAGTTTCTCTGCATTATCTGAAAGCTTGGGCAGGACATCGTGGGGTAAAGTCAGGGGCATTACCATCGCACCAATCATGCCATCCGCCAATGTCCAATAACCGACCACTATTCACTTTGCGTCATCCGGCCTAGTAGTAGCATCATAATCCGAACTAACACCTGAACTGAAGGGTGCCACTTTCGCTCATTTACAAGTAGGATCAAGCAGGTAACCATGTTATTCTTATGGCATAATCTTAAGTGCCTGTCTCTATGCCCGAGATGTGTGGGACGAACTCCCTTGGTTCAATGTCAGCTCATAGAAACTGGGCCGAGACAGTGAGTTGCCAGGTTAATGTACAGACTTCTATTATTGAAGGTACTCTTTCGCCTTCGCGGCATGTAGATCCATGGGTTGTTGAAATTCCTGATATGATGAGTCAACATTCGAGTTAGGTCGAGTTGTACGCTTTGCTGTAGCCACGTCCCGTGCAGGTGCTGGTCCAATGTTAGTGGCTGTCCCAAGTGGCCATCCCAAGTGGCCATCCCAAGTGGCCAAACAAAGATGCAGCATCCATCAAGCCAGCCGTTAAGCCAACAAACAGTATTACGAGTCAAGTTTTAGAGTAAGTCCCAGGGTATCTACTTCAATAATCACTCAAGTCCTCTCCGAAAACTTCCCCAATGGTCTGTATGAGACCATTCCGGGCCCGGGCCCAATCTCATCCAGCGGCACCAGCATCGTGTTCTTCTCGATCCTCTTCCCAATGCGCCTCATAGCCGCCCCATGGCTCGCCTCAGCCTCCCGTGTCTTATCTCGTATCCTGGCATCCCGCTCCTCCTGCTCTTTCATCAACCGCCTCCGCTGCGTCCGATGCGACTCGTTCGTCTTCTTCCTTTCCGCCTTGAGCGCCAGAGCCCTGTTCTTGATGGCCTCGACGGCGTCCAGCCATTTGTCCCCGTACTGTATCTTCAACTTCTCGTTCCTCCTCTCTATCCTCTCTGCCTCGTGCTTCTCTCTTTCCGCGGGTGGCATGGACGGTGGTTTCGGTTTCTTGTGTTTCGGCCGGTACTGCACTTTGGGCTTGGGTTTGCCTTCTAGCTTGATGGACCCCTCTTGTGTATCGGGTATTATCTCACCGCAAAGCGCTGCCCGCTCCATTTCTCGCTTCAGTCGGCGTCGTACTTTGGCTGGCTTCAATCTGGGACCGCTTCGCAGGCCATCTTTCTTCTTCGTCTTCCACTCCGGTTTTGGTCGCTTCTTCGCTGAGCTGTTTCCCACGAGGGTTCGAACTGGAGAAAGTTCGAATAAGGCTCTAAAGTTGTCGTTGGATATGTATTTGCCCTTGCTTTCACTGTTATCCTTTCCCTTCCCCTTGCGCTCCTTTTTCTGTTTTCTGCGTGGAAGCTGTGTCGCATTGATCTTATTGTGGAATCCAGCCCGGCAGTTTGGCGGTTGGGCGATTGTCGGCGAGCCCCGTAATGATGAATTGAGCAGGATAGAGCCTGAAGCTAGCTGGCAAGAGTGGAAGGACGGATGGACCCTGAGAATGTCAGCGCAACTAGATGCCCAGGTTGCGCGCCCAATTGATGCGACGACTCGATACATTTGAGCTTGGAAGGCGTTGGACGCGCTTCGTTTTGTATTGAGCGCGTCGTAGGTTTCATCAATGACGTTCGCTGCGGAACTGTTCCGTTGACACGGGCTCGTCCGCTAGCTCTGTAAGCACAGACGGGAACGTTCAACATTGCAGCAACCCCTATTCAGCTGTTCCTCAACGCAACCATCGGATACAGTTGTTACGGAAAGCACTACTTCACAGGAAATCCACCAATCCACTTAACAGTTAGTCCCAACCTCGAAACTTCAGCACTTTCCGCACGCCGCTTTGACATTGGCTAGAAGTGCTGGCAATACTACTACTATCTTCTATTTCGTCTGGTGACAGAGTACTTGGTTAACAAATAAATGACCACAAGGTCCTTCAGAAATTAGTGCTTGATGTCGTTATTATATTCTAGAGCTGACCGTCAACGTGCAGAACGCCGAGTATCTTGGGATAGGTGCACACTTGAGAGTTCGGCTCCATTTTATGGGGACAACGTGGAACTCTTGCTTGTCTAGATCGCATTTGGGGTCGGCAGGCTGTATTGACATTGTAAGGGTGACTCCGCTATGTACCTTATGAAGAAGAAACTGGCTCTGGCTGTTGCAACGGAATTTCTCAATTGACATACAGCTCGAGGAGATGGGCTGATCCAGAGAATCTTGCCCCTGCATCTAACATGCAATATGAGGATCCCACAAGAATTTGAAAGATCCTGGATGCGTCTAGACAGGATGCTGGTGTGATTAGGGCCAAGGCGTCGGCCAAGTTTGGTGGACGAAGTAATACCGAAGGAGCTGATGAATAACCACCTGGGGGACGAGATTTCAGCCACTCAGTCCAGCATGGCTAGAATCTCAGATATTTCTCGCCTTGAAGGCGGCGGAATCTTCTAGGACGCTTGGGGCCGCGATCATGAGGTTCCCCCTTTAGGTTGATATGGGCATCTTACGTATGTATACGCCCAGGAGGTTAAGAAATATGGCACGTGTTAAATGAGGTTCGTTATATCCCGTTATAAGTCGTCTCACTATGAGAATTGCCTAATTCAAATCAAAGCATGGCGCCAACTTTCTTCCTTCACGGGTCTTCTGAAGATATTTGCCCTCCACTAGTTCCAGATACCTCGCATTATCAGAGACTTGAACAAGTTCGAAAGTGCCTTGAGCGGGTGCCTCGTCAATGCGAAACGCACCCAATGGAGCGCAGTGGCCGGTTTCACTACCCATACCGTGCTTCCGACTTCGAAGGGAACTATGTCTAAATCTCGTCTACTTAGTTACGGGGCTTGCATATTATAAAGCGGGTCGTCTAGTATTGCCACTTACATCAGAACTCTTGCTATACCGAAGTACCTAGGCCATTCGGTTATTTTCGGTCGGCGATGTCGTCGTCATCAAGCTGTGTATAAACAGGGTTAGCTGATGTTTGAGACGTGGCCTTATTATGCAGGAGAATTGCATTTTCTTTATTATCCTTAGATATGGAGGTCTCACGACTTCTTTAGACATTAATTCATCCTTCTTTTCTTCCGGATGAAGATGCTTGAAGATACTTGAGAATGACGCGGCGACTTTTGAATATCCAATCATAACAAGTCACCAGAACCGCCTGGCCAGCCTGATTCTCTTGCCTACAACATAGTCCCCCTCAAATTACGACAATCCACGTTCTTTCACCCGCCTGATTAGCCCAAAGTGTAGAACATCTGAGCCTGGCTTGAGGTTACACAACGTAGAGGGCCGACGCTCGACTAGGATGGGTTGCGCTGCGGCAGGCCCAGTGGCTGACTTTGGCGTCTACGGAACCGATATAGGTTGGTTTTAGTTTAGTATTTCGTCATTTTCGATACAATATACTTGTATTGGGTTACTTCTCATCATGCCGTGTGTATGTGACTCTCGAATAGGCAGAACCGTCTTCGCATAGACATTAATCCATTATGAAACTATAGGTGCGTCTGCATAAGACTACTACGCTATGTTGCGACTGACCGGGGCCCAGGAGCGTCAGAAGTGAATTGTCGAGAACTGGTTTGTGGGAACATGCCCCTGGTGAGGTTGGAGAGTAGATCCTACATGGGATATCTTAGTAGCAAGGACTACGTCTACCTAATCACGGAGGACAATGAAAGAGCTAGGATGGAGCCGCTAGCAAACACCATGTTGAAAGCCTTCACAAGCCTGGCAAAACATGTAGGTGCAGGCTTACTTATATCACCTCTTTTCAGTTTCGTCAATCAGCCAACAAACGAAATAACATGTATCAATCATTATTTGCGAACAAAATGGTACAATCTCCAGCATCCGATTTCCAGGACGAGGATACATTTTCGTAGTCTGCGTGAGAATTTTCGACAAGAAATTTAGAAATAAAGCATCGGAAGAGGACCTCTTACCAAGGCGTATATTATGTTATCGTTCGAATCTAACTGGCCTTTCCCATCAACCCGGGTCAAGCGCATGGCTATGTGGATTTTGAGCTCTTTCTGATATCACCGTGGCTCATAGATTTCTGAGTGAGTTCCGGTTCATGTGCAGAAGAGAATCCTGCAAAAAGTGTACCAATTCATTAGAAGCCTTCGTCAGGTTTTGAGGACCTCCTGCGCGCTGGCATCGGTCAGTTGACCAGATATGGAGATCGAAAGAGCAGTTTACAGTTGGCGAGCGAGGAGAGTCCCTCACTTTGTCCGTGCTCGGACAAATATGACAGCAATCATCCACCGGCCTGAGAACCACCGCACGGGACTTGTAGGCTAAGCTGTTTTGCCTCCTGTGCCCCATTCAAGACCTCGTCCAGTTCGATGTGCCCAATTGAACCTGATGAATCGTTTGTCATTCACTGTAATAGAGAGGCTGCAATGTTTAGGTCCAAGGGTCTGAAACATATATTGGCATCAGAGACGAAGGATCTTTGCTCTGCGAGTGGGATTTCGCTAATATGGAGATCCAAATACAGGAGAGAGGAGAAGGGCGGCGACTTCAAATTTCTCCGTAACCTCAGAATTGGCCAATTAGACACGGATGATGGAAGATATACCCAACCAATGTTTTGAAGACACTTATGATGATGCTGTGTAATGATAAAAGGCCATCAATCATCATCTCTAAGCTTCAGAGCCTCATGTGGAGGCACTTTGGACCTTTTATTCAGGCTTAGTTTTGAAGTGTTATTAGTGCCGAGCTACTGGGCATTTGTACTTCGGGTTTTGTCGCTCGCAGCCTCTACTTGACGGTGAGGTAGCAGGAATAGCTCCTCATGGTACACCAATTGGATTACCACTTACCAAATGTGACTTAAGCCACAAAGCTAAGTAGGGCTACAGGACGCGGAACGTGTTACCAAGTTGAAGTTTGTACCTTAGTCTAGCAATATGCTGACCGACTGGAAGGCACTAGACGTTTGAATGAGGTATCATTACACTTATCCGTCAGTCCGATAACTTGTCCATCTATAGGCTCAACTGAATACTAATACGCTGGTCTCAGCGCCCTTGTGGGCGAATACAATTAAACAAGGGCCGCGAACGGTGACACAGGTTACTTGTGGCGGGCTGTTCCGTTTAACTTATCGTTACAGATACTATGATTTATGGGATGTTCAATTTCCTACACTGCAATACACTCATATACTGGGAGCGATATATACATGCTCGTAGTATTGAATCCACGCGTTAAGTATAGTCCAAGATGGGATCAGTATTTGAAGCAATCACCCAAGTCGTTCGTTATGATTCGTCCGATCTCTCAACAGACGTTATCGTCTTGATCATGTCATACATCTGATCTGCCCTTACCATGCTCTTCTCTCTAAACGGTGCGCAAACTGACTACGAGGAGTGCACCTCTAGAGATGTTCTATATGAAACGTAATGACTCGTTTGCAGAGATGGTTCTTTCATTGAATCACTCGACCAATGGAGATCTGGCAGCAAGTGGAGCTTTGGGGTTTCAGGTGGGCAGTGGGGATAGTTACGTCTAGATTGAATCGATTTCCAGAATTGGGAAGTTGGATACTCCTTACAAGTTCTTGGAAATAGATATCCGGCTGCCGCCCGTCTTAACCACACTTGGATTTGATGTTCCCGTTGAAGGAGCAAAAGGAGGGCACATATGCCTAACCTGTCTGTATTGTAGCTAACTCTGGTCCTCTCTTCGAGGGTCTATGTATGGAAACAAAAGGGTTCTTATATAGTCAATGAATGGTAGACTTGCTGATTAATTCAGACAAGTTGTAGAAGCATATAGATAAGTAGGGAATGTTCTATCCTCGCCACATTTCTCGTAATAGAGGTATGTGGGGATGGTCGCCGTTCTAGGTGGCGATAGTGGCAAGTATAGGACCCACATGGCCCACAGGGCCCATATTGTCCAACTATCACAGACAGGTGTCCATCTGAGATGGGTCGCCTGGCTCCTGTAGTTGCTTAGCTCCTTATGCACAGCCAAGAATAGACATTTCGCGTGGACCTTGAACCTCTAACCTTGTATTTACGCAAGCTGCTGAAGAATGTTCAAGAAGTGCAACCTGGTCCAGTCCTTCGGGTCTGACGGCCTTGTCACCGATTTTGCCCAGATATCCCTGTTGACAATCATAAGATAATCCATTGCCCCCATTTTCATTCGATGTCTTCTGATCGCCGCGCAATGTCCGTCCTTGGCAGAAGCTTAGCAATAGCTTGTCCCCGGTTTTGTGCCCAGGCACTTAAACACTGATGACCCTTCAGGATGTTTACTTGTTTCTTTTACCAAAGTTCCTCTGCTTCTAGCGATTTCCGTTCGTTTTGTGGTAGTTGATTTCTACCCATACATTCATTGACAAACTCTTCACACTCTTTCACAATGCCTTGTCTCTCTGCTACTGCGGCTGCCTTGACGGTGGCCAATGTTGCTACTCAAGCGGCTATTTACGCACAGTGTGGTGGAACTAACTGGACTGGTGCCACTGAGTGCGTTTCTGGGGCTACTTGTGTTGTAAGTTTCAATATCTCGGCTTGTAGGATTGGTGGACGATGCTAACATGCGGGTATTAGGTGCAAAACCCATTCTACTCGCAATGTGTGGCATCTTGTAAGTGAAGGACTTGAAGACTACCGATCTGACTTGACTAACACGAAGTTTTTGTAGCTGATGCTTCGGCCTTCCCAAGCTCTATGCCAGCCCTCATGACTTCCGTCAGCCAGGCCCCTGTCTTCAGCTCTTCAATGCCTGTCGCTCCCACTATCTCGGTACCTTCAGTTTCGCATGCGGCCTCATCAGTCTCGATGTCAATTGCATCTTCATCTGCACCTGTCGTTGCAACTACATCTGCCGCCGCTGAATTGTCGTCCGCCGTGGCGTCTACCGTTGCTGCTGTCATTGAGACAACATCTTCCACATCTGTAGCCTCTACGACATCTGCCGCCGCAGCTTCAACCGCATCTTCAACTGCGAGTGGTCTGACCAAATTTGCCGGTATCAATATCGCCGGCTTCGACTTCGGCTGCAGTACTGACGGCACCTGCACCGTCTCAGGAAGCCAGGGCCCCATCACCAGCACCAACAACGGCACAGCGCAAATGGTGCACTTCGTCAACGACGACAACCTGAACATCTTCCGTCTCTCAGTCGGCTGGCAATACCTGACCAACGACGTTGTGGGCGGCGACCTCGACGCCACCAACTTCGCCAACTACGACGTGCTCATGCAGGCTTGCCTGGCCACGGGATCCCACTGCGCCATTGATATCCACAACTACGCCCGCTGGAATGGCGAGATCATCGGCCAGGGCGGCCCTACCAACGATGAGTTCACGGCTCTCTGGACCTCGCTCGCTACAAAATACGCTAGCGAGACCAAGGTCATCTTCGGCGTCATGAACGAGCCCCACGACGTGACTGTGTCCACCTGGGCTGAGACCGTCCAGGCTGCCGTCACCGCCATACGCAATGCCGGCGCTACATCGCAGTACATCACCCTTCCCGGATCTGACTACCAGTCGGCGGGGTCTTTCATATCAGACGGCAGCGCCGCCGCTCTACTGGGAATCACCAACCCCGACGGCACGACCACGAACCTCATATTTGACGTGCACAAGTACCTCGATAGCGATAACTCGGGCACCAGCACCGAGTGCGTCACCAATAACATCGATGATGCGTTCTCGCCGCTGGCTACCTGGCTGCGGAAGGAGGGCCGCATGGCCATTCTGACTGAGACTGGTGGTGGAAATGTGGCTAGTTGTGAAAAGTACGTCTGTGAGGAGATTGCGTACCTCAATGCTAACTCGGATGTTTACTTGGGATACATTGGCTGGGCGGCCGGTGGATTCGATGACACATATGCGTTGGATTTGACGCCCACTGGGGCGGACTTTAGCACTGATACTGCTTTGGCTGCTAAGTGCTTTGCACGATAAACAGGCAGTGTTAGGCGTCCCTTTGAAAGCAAGGGTCCAGAGGGATCGCCGCTAACAAAGTTTGGGACATTTAGGGACAACTTAGTGTAGCACTACTTCTCTTCTTATTCTGTAAATATTTACTTCACATAGTATAACAATGCAATTTTCATCTAATCCAACCATATCAAGCCACCACCAGCCACTCATTCTCTCAGCCGCTTGCTCAAATAACAGTAGTAGCATTACTATCAACCCTAATAAACCCTTCAAACTCCCCCTCGTTCAACCTTTCCCCCGTACTCGGACTCTCACTCCCCGGCGTAAGCAACCTCATGTAATAATACTCGCCCCCCTCAGTATTGTTCTGGTAATTGTACCCCCAAGTCGTAACATTCAACGCTCCCAGAAATACATCCGGTTGTCGCACCCCATCGACGATGTGAGCGTAGGGAAGTATGGTCAAAGTCGGGTCGGGCAGATCCGGGAATCCGAATCCGATGGCTTCTTCAGCGGGTGTGCCGGCTGCGATGACTTCTTTCCAGATTGTTCCGTTTGGGTACCGCGGGAGGTGGGCTTGTAGGGTAGAGTTGGTACAGCGCATTGAGGTTTGGTTCAGGGGTTTGGTGGTTTTGACTGTGAACTAGTTGTTTGGTGTATAGTCAGTCTCCAGCGAAACCTCGTAAGTGTTGATTGTTATTGGGAAAGATATTTCGTGCGTATGATATTGATCGAGAAGAAAGGCGAAGGGGAGGGGAAGGGGGACAAAAACGTACGAATCCCCAAGAAAGCCCATTAGCGGCGATGGCGAAGACAGTGTCGGCGCCGAAACCATCGATCGGCTTATCAGTCGAGTCGGCTACTATGGTCCATGGTCCGGCTATGCCTGTAGTGTTGTCGTAGTCTGGGTATGATGAGCAGTCTGCGGGCAATGGTAGCACTGTCGTGTTTGAGAGGGCTGAAATAAGAGGTAGAAGAGACACAGAGAGGGCCATTGCCTTTGCGAGACACGAAGCCGGTCGCCTCATTTTGAAGCAAATATCACCGTAAAGACAAAATCTGAATTGATCCCTCTGGATGCTTACTGGAGACGGAGGCATGCTTTTATCCTGCATTCAGGTAATATTGCCCCATTTGTGTCAAATGCCTAAATATCCCTACAGCGACAGTGTAGATGAAAGCTGCAACGCTCCGTTGCCACGCACCAGTGGCTAATCTGTGGATGGCCAATTGGTTTGCATGCCGAGTATATGACTTTCCCGAAGCGTAATGATAGTTCGGCACTTGGTGTTGTTAGCTTTTCTAGGGCGCTTCTTTATGGAATTGCGAATACGCTTCATGAGAACCATGATATTCGAAACTACACCCGGAAATGGTGGCAGATCTAAAGGACATATGCTACGATAGTAATATTAGGCTTTTGCAGCAGTTCGGTGATAGTGTAATGGCAAAGCGTTGCCTACCATGCGCAAAGAGTAGCCTACTGCTCACCAATTAGCCCCTAAGCAGGTGGTTGGATTCTAATCATTAGCGGGACTCCCCACTGCTCTTTGCTACGGGGCGTGCTTCGTATAAACCTGCTAGTAGGTTTCGTGTAGTGTACCGAGGAAAATAGGACCTAACTAGCGTCCAGGCTTAAGACCAAATTAAGTAGTGAAGAAATATATTATGCAGATCCTTGATACACTCTGGTAGCCCCACAGTTTGTTCGAAGGCAGGACGATATCAGCTTCCTATGAAGCCACAGTTATTTTCTAGGTTGCCAGAGTGTTGTATTTTGAACAACGCCGTGAATTCGCGATGTTTAATGTTGCGAATCGTTGTGGCTTGCCCTTAACAGCTCCAGTGACATGTACTTAGAAATCCTTAAAAAGCCCCATCTCGCTCTACCCATTGATCATCCCAAGTCAGGGCGGGCTTCTTCATGCCTGATTGAATTACAGCGTCAGCAGCAAGCTCCAGACTTCCTAATTTGCCACCGTCTGCCTCTTGTGACCAGAGTGTGATGGCGAGGTAGTTTGTCCCAGCGTAATTAAGTGTGCCTTCGGGGACCGGGAAGGCAATTTGAGGACCAAGGTTGTTGACTTTTCAGGTTAGTAAGCTTTGAACGGATATGTGATGCGATAGGGCGAAGGGACCTGGCTGGGGCCAAATAGCAGATAAGACTTACTGTATTTCCCAAATTGCCAACCATTAACATACAACTGCACTCTCAAATCGGCCGGGGCTCCACCTGCATCGGTAGTGTTCGCGAATACAAAACTCAGGGGCACATCATAGCCCGCAGGAATGTCGAGTTCGCAACTCGCAGCGTAAAATCCGACTCCAGCTGAATCGATGCCGTCGAGCGGCGACGCACTATCCCAGTCGGCGGTGGGTGGATTCGGCAGGTGATACCCCTGCCTCTCCGCATACATCCCACCCTCGTTGAAAGGCCCACGAAGCTGGTCGCGGTATTGCTCGCCGCCCATATTCCCCGTGACCTTCCAGCTGATGTCAGATTTCACATGCCCAGAGAGCGAGTAGTCAATGATTCCGCGTGGTGTCTTCATCGTGTCGTAGCCGGGGGTCCAGGATGTTTCTTGGCCCATATGGTCAATGAGCACAGTGAGAACGTACTGTGACCCCCGTTTTAATGATGAATTGGAAGGTAAGGCGAGTGTTTGATTGTAGCTCTTCAACAACCCATTCCCTGACCATGACCCGACGTAGGTCTCGTTGATCCAGACAGAGTGGCCGAAGCCGGAGCCACCTGTCGTGGAGAGGTAGAGGGATGATTCGTTTCCATTTGCGGCAAAGTATCCACGGTAAATAAGCGATCCTGTGCTAAAGCCATAATCACCCGCGATGAGCGAAGTGGGTGTCTTCAACAAGAACATGGTGCCGTAATCGTCGCGAGCAGTGTTGTTGGTCGTGGTGTGGTCGGCCTGTACCCATGCGGAATCGTCGTAGCCGGGCTTGATTTCGGGAAGAGAGTCGAGGTACTTCCAGTCCAGATCTGCGAGGCTTGGGAGATTTATGGATGGTGGCGAGTACGTCAATATGGCCGAAAGCCGCCCGTTTGCGGACTTGACACCGGGAACCTTTTGCCCATTGAAGTAGATATTGTTTGATCCGGGAAGACCAGCGAGAATCTCGAGATCAGCGGTTGCGTTCAAGTCACCCGTGAGGTGAAGAGACGTGCCGATTTTCGTCGCTGTGCGCAAGAGATATCCAGCTTTGGCGATGATGGTATCCTTTTTTTGTGAAGAGTAGTTGCCTATTGGAGCAGGTGCCTCGAGTTCCAGGACCCAATACTTAAACGCGTCATTGCGCCAGAGCAGATAGACATCCAGATTGCTCCCGTAGTGCAGAACCTTTCTCGTTGGCGTAACCTCCCATTGCACCACAACGGCCGACCCCTTGGTCTCAATCTTTGCAGATCCGCCTTCAACGATGGGCTTGCCAAGCTTATTTGAGAAGGCAAGCTCATGGGTTTCGCCTGCTCCGCCGTACATGAGAAGCACACGCTTCCCGTCCGTCCTTCTGTGGGTGTAAATATCTGCAGAGGAGTAAAGTAGATTGATGCCACCCACGTCGTAATCCGTGACGTGGATTTTGGTATCGCGGCCCTTCATCGTCAGGCTGCCGCCGAGTTGTGGAATGGTGACATTACCGATACTTGTCGGCACAGTGAAAACGTATGGAGTTGATGCGAGAGATTCGTAAGCTGAGTGCCGCGTTACGTAGAAAGTTGTGGTCTTGCCGAAAATTGGGGTGGTTGACAGCTCGGTTGTGCTCACATAAGACGTGTTAGTGAGGTTGCCGGGGGTTGCATCCAGATATGCCGGAGAGGAAGTGATGAAATTTGCGATTAGTTTTGCTTCGGCATATTTTTCGCGGCCAATCGTTCGGTCTTCCTTGATCGCTGCGCCGTAGTCGTACGAAGTATATCCGCCTGACTGTCCTAGATTGCCCCAGTTGGTGCCACCGTATGTCTGCGTGGTATGTTGTCAGACTGAGGTTCCAGAAAGAAAGTCCGCTAAACATACCATATAAATGTTAAGAATTGTCATGCCGAAGCTGAAGTCATTCTTGAAGAATAATCGCTCAAATTCGTGGTTGGTCATGACAGCACACCCTTCGAGACCTGGCCCACCCCTGCATCTTGTTAGATTGATGCCATAGTCCGCGCGTCTCAGATGCTTACCAGTTATCAATAGCTCCACCCTGGAATTCAACGACAGAATATGGGGTGTCTGGGCTTTGTTGGAGATGAAGTTCTCTCCAGTCTGTGGGTAGTTTTCCAGCAACCCAGTTGGCTTCTGGATTGGCGCCTAGAGCTTATTAACAAAAGATCGGTGAGCTCTGGGAATTGGCTTACAATCCCAGCCAATAGGATAGCTGTCATGACCGTAGATGTTGGGACCGCCAGGCTTCTCAGGGGTAAAGAGACCAATAACGGCCGCCTCATTGTTGATCAAGGGCACGACAATACCGGCACGCCGGAACTGCTCGTTAACGGCCTCAATGTATGCGACATCTGGCCACTTGATCCAATCAGCGCCGTAGGTGTATTCGTTTTCCGTTTGAAGAGCAATGACTGGCCCGCCATTCGTGATTTGGGCATCGGCAATGAGCTTGCCAATATGGGCGACGTAGTTCTCAGTGGCGTCCACATAACCGGTCTCCTTAGTCCTGAGAATGTCAGGGATACGCTGAAGCCATCCCGGAAATCCCCCACCGGATACCTCGGCGTTGATGTATGGACCTGGGCGGGCGATGAGGTAGATTCCTGCTTCGGCAGCAGCTGCAAAAAACGGTTCCCATGCGAACACTCCCTCGGCGGTAAAATGCCCAGGGTTTCCTTCCAACAGAGCCCAATCAACATAAAACGATACGCCTGTATAACCAAGAGCCTTGATCTTATGGAAGACGTCCAGCCAGAGACCAGGCACAGGAAGACGCCACGGGTGAAACTCTCCTGAGTAGAGCATGATCCGCTCACCGCGAACGAATAGAGAGTGTTCGTCCCATGTTACCTGGTAAGTTTAGTACGTTCTGTCGACTTTGACGGAAACACGAGTTATACCAGGTTTTGTAGAGCTTCGCGTTTCCCTGGATGTGCGACTATTAAATGTTGCCCACTTAGAGTTAACGCTAGCACATCAACGCAACAAAATGACAAGAGGATTGCAACAACCCTCTGGATCCAACTCATTTTTACATGAATCAATGTCGAAATTCCCGAATAACCAAACAGTACTGGAAAGAAAGCAGCACTTGAATGCACTCATACTTATACGAGACCGCATTTCTCCTCACCTCGAACTGTCCAGGTAGGTACACAGTTTGTACTTGGCGGTGCGGCGAATTGGACGACATCGGTTATGCAGATCAATGTTAGACCGAAAGGCACGGTTGGCCGCTCCGTATATCCGGAGCAAAATCATGAGATCTGGATGGTGGAATTGTGTCTGCTAATGACATCGACTAGCAGTGTCCCCATGTGTGGGACATTGGAAAATAGTGGGAATTGGAGAAGCTGCTGCATGCAGCCCCAGGAACTGTTCGATCAAGGACAGGGGGTGGAAAGGGAGCGTGCGGAGAACCCCTGGATATTCTCTATTTCTCCGTGAGAGCCATCCTAAGCAGATGGTCAACAATTTGAGGAGACAGCACTGCATGACTTTTCCTTCCGACTGCTGAAATGAGACTAGGGAAAATAACTCAATTTTGTAAGATTTTCTGGATAATGAGGTGATACTTCAATAGTTGAGATAGCTTTCTTAGTAAATGCCTGTGTTTAGAATCCCTTGCTATTGGATAGTCACTGGCCAGGAAAAAGCTGTAATGAACGGATGAGACGAGAGGGCCAGAACGGAACATGTTGGTGCTTCAATAACTTATCATGGATAAATGAAGCTGAAATTCCACTTGAGAACCTGCTATGAGATGCCTCCCTGGTTACAGTCAAGGAGACTGTTCGAGTTCTGTCCCCAATGATGTCGCGAGACCCCACTAGTGTCAGGTGGTGGTGAGTTGTCTCTGTGCAGTTTTGATTAGAGCCATGTCAGCCCAGAAGAAATGGGTGTCGAAGTAGTCGAAACTCAAAGGTATGATCGAATGGGGTTGGACTATACCATTAAAGAAGTGGCGTTTTGAAAGGAGAGCATTTCTTCAGTTTATCAAAGCAGATAATGCTCTTTGCTAGCAGAAGTTAACCTAGAAAAGGGCGACGGGCAGGCACTGTAAAGAAGATATAACCGGTGCATAATATCATAAAACTACAAATTGAAGAAGGATATCAAGAGGATGTCACAGGGCTGTTTACGTGGTTGATTATCCGATAACACTGCAACTACTGTTAGGGCCCTAAATAACAAAGTTTGAGGGTGATATCATCGCAACAGAACATAACTGTGGGATTGAGCGCCACAGTTATGCCCTAGGCGAAAGGTGATACAGTTACTTGTGCAGCTAGTAGGTCCGACCCTTCCTGCCTTCCTTTTTTCCTTCCTTAGAGCAAGAGAATTTTACAGAGCCTCTCAACACCAATCTACGTAGCACAATGCGTAGAGCATCCATAGCGATCAATACGATATCCATCCAGGATTATCAACAGAGTACATATTCCCTCAATAGTAATCCAAAGTAATCTAAGTAGTTAGTAAAGGAGAAGTAAGGGACAAGGTCTCCAGGCTTTCATAGACAAGCAGTCTCTGATTTAGTAATTGATTTGAGTATCAATCTAACCTATTCGTAAGGCATAGTACATGAACGACTCTTTTCCGAATAACCTATTATTCATCAATTATTCCCATATGCATCTTTATTAATTACGACCCCGACAGCAGGACATCCTTTCTAGTATAAATCCTCATAGCACTCTTTAAATGATTTAGCAACAAGACAAATAAAGGTTCGTGAATTTATGTACCATTGTCTCTTTAGGATACTCCAGGTTAGGTTGACGTAGAGCTGTTGTCGGTGAATGGTAATATCTACTGAAGCCCTGCTCCCATGTGTATATATTATCACACTGGCTCAGAAGTCCTAGAGGGGGTAGAGAGCACTCGGACGAAGGAAAAGAGGGGGAAGAAGGAAACTTGGGACCCCGTGCCTCGTCACTTCACCCCGTTTAACACCAGGGTACCGTCCCTCATGTACCGGGTTCCACGACGCTACATTCAACAAGTGTGAAATACTGGCCCTGTCACTATTTTATTGGCCCACGGATGGTCTATTGGTTCTTTTCTGATAGTCTATCACAATATATCCCTCTACGCAGCGACCTGTCTCCTCTCAGATGGATATTCCATTCCTCCTTCGCCACTGATTAATCCGTCCAGCTTTACCATCCTGCGAATCCCGGCGACACACTCACTGTGTCTTGTGTCGTGGCAGCTAGGTTACCCATCCAGAAGCTCGGTAGTCAGTCGGGTGATGACAGACAGCTTTGCATCATCTCTGTTTATTCGTGTCGATCAAGCGGTTCTTAGATCATTTCTTGTGGATGTGCTTGTGCCAGGTCAGGCAAAGCAATTAACAGGAAGGGGCTGTAAATTAGTCCGTCCTTATCAAAACATCCATTACCTGTAAAGAACTAGTTAGTTTGGGAAGGAGTTGGGTGGGCGATTGAGAAAGTGACTAATAATATAGAGGAAGCTTCTTACAGAAGACAGACGGAAGGGAAGCGCTTCTTGATATCTTCTTTGATGCGGTCTATATGCGTGGCATACGTGATATCGTGGAGACCGGTCTGGTCGCCGCTACCGCCATCTAGTATGCCACCAATTCTACCCGCAAGGTCCCAGACGCACGAACCAGAGTCACCGAGGTGCGAAAAGAACCCACTATCTCGGGATAAAATGCACCACTGAGAACACACGCGGGTTTGGCCACCGACAACGACACGCGTTAGGCTTCTCACTTCGTTGCTGATACCCTATGTCAGCCCCGTGGATCTGCCTCTCTTGCCTACTCTGAGAAGGTATTCATCGGTATACATGTTTTTGGCCACCGGACTAGTGATTTCCTCGAGCGGAACGGTCTGTCGGAGTCGCAATATACCGTCGGACGGTGGGGTAAAATAGTGGTTCAAGAAGCCATGATTGAGCTTGTTGACCACATCGTCGCCCAAGGTGCCGAGGAAGACTTGGTTGCTGTCGCCGAATCGTGTCCCGTCTAGTCTGACCAAGGCGTAGTCGGGCAACCACTGGACTTCCCCATCGTCGTCGCTGGCGGCCATGCCAGGTATCTTCTCGGGCATCCGGGCAGGAGAGTAAATGACAGGGCCAATACAGCGGGAGGACTTCGTAGAGAGTGTGGAGAGATGGGCTTGGAGTCGCTGAGCCTTGTGTAAGGCGTTGGCGGAATCTGGCGATGAATGCTCTGACCAGAAGGCGACGGTGGCAGTCACTTCATCAACAATCTTCTTCAAAGTAGCGTCTCCCGGCACCATGATTCGGGTCTGTGGCTTGCCGTTCTGAGCGACGCGCATGCAGGAATCCTGGTCATCATCATAAGCGACGTGATGGGATATCAGAGCGCACTTGACACGTTGGCCTTCGACTTTAGGATCGCCTATGCACAGGTAGAGGCCGAGGGTCCCCTCCTTGCCCGGTGTCTTTTCAGCAGCAACGCTCTGTCCGAGAGTCGGGGTGAGAGTAAGATAGCGCGTACTACCGAGCCCGCACTGCTTGAGGGGTATTAAAGGCCGAGAATGCGAATTCACAACTGAGGTGGTCACGGTAGCCTCACGTATCTCGCAGTGGACGTTTTCGACGCCAGCATGGGAAAGTGCGGCGCGGCATTGCTCGGCCAACTGCAGCCCGAGGCCAGGGTCGAGGCTCTCCGGTTCGACTGCAACCCAGAGCACTACAGGCTTCTGATCTTTGTTGTCGTCGTCATAGCCGATACGAACCACATCAATTGACGTCCATTTGGTCGAGGAGAGGACGCCTATGAGACGATGCTGCAGATCAGCGTTATACTTGGTGACGAGGGGATGGCCGGAACCGATGTTAGTGATGCGTTTGCGTAGCAAATGCTGACCCTGGACAATTGGTGCCCACGGCATTTCGTGGAAGTTGCTTCGAGCCACGAGCTTGGGCTGGCTGGGGAGGCCATAATAGTACTGACTTCTCTCCTGCTCCGATGGCGTCGTCAATCTCGTGCTGCTGGCTGGCTGAGCCATAGTGGATTGACGGGAGCCTGATGGCTGAGGATGAGGTATGGTCGTTGTTGATAAATTGGGGTCGGATGGCTGAGGATTTGATGATTTCCAAAGGTTCAATTCTACAGGTGCAGGTGAGCTCAAGGTACGCGAGATTATTATGCCTGTTCTGGCTCTCGTGGTGGTGGTTGTTGTTGTTGTAGCCATTGTGTATGCACCAAAGCGGGCTATCGTGATGGAGGGTTGAGATTGTTAGTGGAAAGAACTGAGTTGTGCATATTATTAAGAAGATATATCTAGTAAGCCGAGCGGTGCAATAAGCGAGATTCAGTCACATGATGTGCTATAGTAAGTGGACTTTTATGTGGATGCACGGCCCATTTCCGCACTCTACCTTCGCAGTTACCACAACTTTCAAATAGGACTGTCTCAGCTAATTCGTACTTGAATTTCCTGCAGAGAAATAAAATTGAGTTTTTATTTGCCAATGTGGGATCGCACTGGTACTAGCATTCTAGCTACATACGAAGGTGAAGAAGAGAAATACAGGTTGGGGTGATCGGAAGGGTCACCAAAGTATTTCACGTATCTCAGGTGTACCTCACCGTGACCTCATACCACTAATTTCACATTTAACAACTATACTAGTCTTTCGCTGTTGACCGCCTATAATCTTATCCTTATTGAAGTTGTTAGCTCATGTACTAGTAGTGTCGGATTCCAATCACTGGGGGCCGTACCGGTATTATGAATGTGGGTGAGGGATCAATCCCAAGTTGGCCCGGAAGGTCCCTAAATACTACAATTCGTCCTGTCTACCTCGCAGCCCTCCATATCTGAGGCCACAGCCCCCCAAATGCCCTCTTGGCCGAAGTTTTGTGGCCTTTCATCATTCTGAATGCCCTGGTTCGTCCATTTCCGGGCTCATTGACATCAATCCATAGATCTTATTTCCATTTTGACCGCTTTTGCCCTTGAATAATCCGTCAACTGTCAAACAGTGATGGCCCCTGCCGGAGACGCCCTGCGACCAGTCCTCCCCAATGTCTTTGACCCCTTGCTGGCGGCCAGCTCCTTCTGGCCAGCCCCTTTACGATGCTTTCGATCCTTGACTTCCTTGTGGATACAGGTGCCCTTGACTGCCGGTGGCTTGGTGCTCTTGTTTTGGTTGGCTTGCTTATCTTCTGGGTTTTCTGTTGGCGGGTGCTCTCGTGCTTACGTTTCTTTGTTATATGCCAGCGCCCTCTGGCCGATCAGCAGCTGCTTTGTGCAAGCATTCTTGCCTTGTGTGTGTGCCGATGCCCTCCAGCCACAGTCGGCTATTAATGATTATATTCAGTTCATATCAAATTAATTCTGTTAGCACTATCGGATAATCTGTGTGACTACACTACATCGACTTACACGTCCAGTCTAGTGTCGTAACGGGACGGTTACTATGCCAATTTGGACGTCCGTTATTCAGATTACACCCGTTCTTCTATTGGTCACTTTTACAACACATACCCATAGGTATAGAATTAGTAGCTTGACGTTATAGTAAGGTACACATAGATTAATTTTGTGACGGGCTCACTGCGAAACTATACAGCTCAACATGGCCAAATACTGTTAATTATCTAACTGAGTGTTACGAACCGTTGGCCCTGAACCAACATTACAGGCCCGTCGGCAGGCCAGGTGGATACAGACGCTAGGATCACGGGACCCCGCATCGGAGGAAGGAAAGGACCGACAGGTCACGTGACCTACAGGAGTGGATATGTTGGATATGTTGGACAACCAACATATCCAAGTGGGGATCAGTGAAGGAGAGATGGGTATATAAGGGACAGGACTCCCAGGCATTTCATAGATAGACAGTCTCCACTTCAGTGATCAATCTAAGCATCAATCTAACCCATTGGTGAGGCAAACTGCTGTCACGACCTGGGTTGGGTCGCATTGGTAGAGACCTCGATTAGGTGCTATCGACGAAGATTCTACTCTAAGGAGCGAAGGAAAGAAGATGACAACTTAGGTTTGAGGGAGCGCGACTAAGTCATCCACGCTTGGCGGGGCTCCTACAAGGGTTATGATTGGCTTCCCATCTGACACTGCCATGGCAGGTGTTCCAGCTGTAAGTCACCTGGTTGTAGTGAGTCTGCGAGGGTTGACCTTCACAGGGTTGACCTTCACACTCCGCAGCAGGACTTACTTACTAGCACAAACCCTTACAGACTCTTTAGTGGTTTACGCAGCTAGACTATTAGAGGTTTCGTTACACTGAGGAGGAAAGTAAAATAAGCGAGTTTTCCGAGAACACAAACTATGTTTTTATATGCCCTCGATGGTTCCTTTGTTGGATCCGGACGCAAGGTTCTTGCAGCTCCGGATCCCATTTCAGGCACAGCTGTCACAAATTTAGAGCTCTCGTAACGCCTGGATCCCTCTACCTGTATTTCCTTCTTTACCGTTGTATATAGCTAGAATATAGTGCGATCTGATAGTAGGTATATTAACTTGGTCCTCGTTGTGAAGGTCAACCCTCGCAGACTCACTACAACCAGGTGACTTACAGCTGGAACACCTGCCATGGCAGTGTCAGATGGGAAGCCAATCATAACCCTTGTAGGAGCCCCGCCAAGCGTGGATGACTTAGTCGCGCTCCCTCAAACCTAAGTTGTCATCTTCTTTCCTTCGCTCCTTAGAGTAGAATCTTCGTCGATAGCACCTAATCGAGGTCTCTACCAATGCGATCCAACCCAGGTCGTGACACTCGTCTGCTACGCGAAAGGTTATATTCCATTGACTAACTTCTCAAATGGTAGTAGTAAGAGCCTGTATAACGCAAGTTACAATTAATTTAGCGATAAATCGCGCTACCGGGAGAAACTCACAGTCTGCGAATTTTAACTACCTCGCTACTCAGAGGAGCTGCTCCAAACGTGGACCCTCTAGCAGCCTTATAGTTAGTGAAATTTAGTGGTTGTGGCCCGTGTGCGTTATTTCTAGTAGGTGCCTGGATGGGGACGTAAAGGGAATTGGTCATGCATCTGTAGTCCAAGCGCTTATCATTGGTTGATTGATTGATTGATTGAAATTTAACGTCTCATCACGTGAGACGTGCCGGGCGCAGTGCCGGCATGGTCAATGCTAGTCGAATCTATGTTACAGGGGACTGTCTTCATCTAACATTCCTGTTCAGTGCGATGGGCAGATCTCAGTAAAGAAATTGGTCTCCTCCGCCCATTGGCAAAACAAACGAGCTCCCTTGGTCGTGCCTAGGAGGGAATCTATACTATTCTTGGCCATATGCGCTTTTAGATGACCGGGCGTGGCCTTGCGGCCGCGCTTGCAAAAGTAGAAGTGGACTGGTGTCTTTGTCTTTCCACACCCGCAGTTGAGCAGTGCGTGTTCATTGGTTCACAGCATGTTAACTCGCCTTGCCTGAAGCCTCGTCAAAATGGCACGTGATGACCCGCCACCGCCTTCCCCTGTCGGGATTAGCGCAACTTATCCCGTCTTCCGCTCGCGACTTCCTTTCTTCAGCCTGTCCTGGGATCCTAGAAAGATTTGGCTGCCGCATTCCACTTGACAACACCACAGAGCCGCGGCGAAGGGCATCAACGCGCATTGAGAAAAGGAACATTTCGTATATCTCAGGGTGCGTCGCTGACCTTTTTGATAACTCTGATGACTTCTACTGTGCAGCGCTGACCTCGTCAGGCAGATTGCTGCTTGGTAATTTCGGAAGCCAGCAGTCTCAATCCAACAAGTTGCTTCGTCGCCCTTGATCCATCCAGGCATTGAGCGTAGGACTGTTCATTGTCTCAGGCCATTTTCTACCTCAACCCGCAGTCGTGTTGCTTCGAGCCTGATAATCGAACTCGCCTATCTGCTGAAACTTGGAAACTTGAGAATTACAGGCCTCGCGACAGCCTCCCTTTTTTGCAGGCTGTCTCGGATTGTTTCTTCTGCCATTAATCAACATCGATCCTTCCTACGTCTGCTACAGTCGCCACCGGACTCTCTAAAAACAGCACACCCGAATTACCCTGTCGATTTCAACATCACTCGTTTCGCGTTCTTCACCTCTACTTCGTCTGGGAGCTTTGTACATCATCTTCCGAATCGCGCCTCGTTTTTGGACCTGTCTTGCAGCTACCATTTTTGAACTCCTCAGACCAAAGACGCCTCTACATTTAATTCCCACCAAGAACATAAACACCGCGCGAAGATGGAGGAATACGAGGAAGTGTATGAGTACGAGGAAGAGTATGCCGACGAGGCCATCACCCCCGAGGATTGCTGGACAGTCATCTCTTCATATTTCGACACCAAGGGCCTAGTCTCCCAACAGATTGATTCGTTCAACGATTTCCAGGAAACGACGATTCAGGAGCTTATTGACGAGTACTCGACAATTAGTCTTGATCAGAACAATCCTTCCGATTCGACACCGGAACGCAACATTGTTCTTCGCCGATATGAGCTGAAGTTGGGCCACATCACTGTATCCAGACCTATCATCACTGAGGGTGATGGCTTGTCCACCCCCCTCCTTCCCTACGAATGCCGCGACCGAAACCTCACATATTCGAGTCCCCTGTACGTTAAGATTGACTACAAGCGATCAGTATGCGTCGAGCAGCCCGTCCCGTTGCATGAAATGGACGATGATCAGCAGGCAGAATATGCGAGGACCCAGGAACAACCCACGCGTCTGGTTTGGGAGGAAGAGATTGTGTCTCAACCCGTCGACGATAGAAGAAATAACGATAGGAACAAGGACAACCCAGATATGGTCTTCATTGGCAAGATTCCTGTCATGGTCAAGTCCAGGGCTTGCCATCTGAGTCGCGAGACTGAAGACGACCTGTTCGTGCTGAATGAGTGTCCCTACGACCAAGGTGGTTACTTCATTATCAATGGAAGTGAGAAGGTCCTCATCGCCCAGGAGCGTTCTGCAGCAAACATCGTTCAGGTCTTCAAGAAAGCCCAACCCAGTCCATTCTCCTACACAGCTGAGATTCGAAGCGCTTTGGAGAAGGGCTCCCGTCTCATTTCATCACTGATGCTTAAGCTTTACACTAAGGGAGACTCATCGCGAGGAGGCTACGGCCAGACCATCCACACGACCTTGCCATACGTCAAGTCTGACTTGCCTATTGCCATCGTCTTCCGAGCACTTGGCGTTGTGTCCGACGAGGACATTCTCAACCAGATTTGCTACGACCGCAATGACAGTCAGATGCTTGAGATGCTCCGACCGTGTATCGAGGAAGCGTTCTGCATTCAAGATCGCGAGGTGGCTCTTGATTACATCGGTAAGCGTGGCAACCAGACGACAGGTATGACTCGAGACCGCCGTGTGAGGGCTGCCAGGGACATCCTCCAGAAGGAAATGTTGCCACACATCTCTCAAGGCGAGGGTTGCGAGACCCGAAAGGCTTTCTTTTTGGGTTATATGGTCCACAAGCTTCTGCAGTGTGCACTAGGTCGACGTGACACCGATGACCGTGACCACTTTGGCAAAAAGCGTCTCGATCTTGCTGGCCCGCTGCTGGCGAAGCTCTTCCGCAACATTGTCCGTCGCCTCACTCAGGAGATTACTATGACTTTGAAGCGTTGTGTTGAGCAGGATAAAGATTTCCAAGTGCAATTCGGCATCAAGGCGGGCATCGTCACCAACGGTCTTAAATACTCCCTTGCCACCGGAAACTGGGGTGATCAAAAGAAGGCCATGAGCTCCACAGCCGGTGTTTCCCAGGTGCTGAACAGATACACATTCTCCTCGACCCTTTCACATTTGCGACGAACAAACACTCCTGTCGGCCGAGACGGAAAGCTCGCCAAGCCACGGCAGCTTCACAACACGCACTGGGGTCTTGTCTGTCCTGCAGAGACGCCGGAGGGTCAAGCTTGTGGTCTGGTGAAGAATTTGTCCTTAATGTGCTCTATCAGCGTGGGGACGTCTACTGAACCTATTATCGATTATATGATCACCCGAAACATGGAAGTCCTGGAGGAGTACGATGCAACGCGCTACCCCAATGCCACCAAGATATTCCTCAATGGTTCGTGGATTGGTGTCCACCAGGATCCCAAGTCACTTGTGAAGGATGTCCAGCAACTTCGCCGCACCAACCAGATTCCTGCTGAGGTTTCTCTGGTCCGAGATATTCGTGATCGAGAGTTCAAGATCTTCTCGGACGCAGGCAGAGTCATGCGTCCATTGTTTGTTGTCGACCAAGGAGACGAGGACGAGGAGAACAGGGGAAAGCTGATTCTGACCAAAGAGAAGGTCGTTAGACTAGAGCAAGATGCCTACGTTGAGGCCGAAAGCGGTGAGTTCTACGGCTGGAATGGCCTGGTGAACGATGGTGTCATCGAGTATCTTGATGCCGAAGAAGAGGAGACTGCAATGATCTGCATGACACCTGAGGACCTCGAAATCTACCGACGGGTCAAGAAAGGTGGTTCTCAGGTGCAAGATTTCGGAGACGACTTGAACCAACGTGTCAAGACGAAGATCAACCCAACGACGCATGCATATACTCACTGCGAGATCCACCCAAGTATGATTCTTGGTATTTGTGCCAGCATCATTCCTTTTCCCGATCATAACCAGGCACGCATCCCTCCCTACTTTCGCTTGATTCACACTAACACTACTCACAGTCCCCTCGTAACACTTACCAATCTGCCATGGGCAAGCAAGCCATGGGTTTCTTCCTTACCAATTACTCTCGTCGCATGGATACCATGGCCAACATCCTTTATTACCCTCAGAAGCCTCTGGGCACCACCCGCTCCATGGAATTCTTGAAGTTTCGAGAGCTTCCTGCCGGGCAGAACGCCATCGTTGCCATCGCCTGCTACTCGGGATACAACCAAGAAGATTCGGTTATCATGAACCAGAGTAGTATTGATCGAGGTCTCTTCCGAAGCTTGTTTTTCCGATCATACAGCGATTGCGAGAAACGTGTTGGTATCAACACAATTGAGCAGTTCGAGAAGCCTTTCCGCAGTGACACGCTAAGACTGAAGCAAGGCACGTACGACAAGCTCGATGATGACGGTATCATTGCTCCTGGCATAAGAGTCTCGGGTGAGGACATCATCATTGGCAAGACGTCGCCCATCAACCCTGAAAACGAGGAGATGGGACAGCGGACTAAGGCGCATGTTAAGCGGGATGCATCGACTCCCCTGCGCAGTACTGAGAGTGGAATTATCGACTCCGTGGTGATGACAACCAATGCCGATGGCCTACGCTATGTCAAGGTACGAGTACGAACGACCAAAATCCCCCAGATTGGTGACAAGTTCGCATCTCGTCACGGACAAAAGGGAACCATTGGTGTCACTTACCGTACGGAAGACATGCCGTTCACCCGTGAAGGCTTGGTACCTGACATTATCATCAACCCTCACGCCATTCCGTCTCGTATGACCATTGCTCATTTAATTGAGTGTCTGCTGTCCAAGGTTGCAACACTGAAGGGCATGGAGGGCGACGCTACACCATTCACCGATGTTACCGTCGACTCTGTTTCGAACCTATTGCGTGAGCATGGGTACCAGTCCCGTGGTTTCGAGATCATGTATCACGGCCACACTGGACGAAAGATGCGAGCCCAGGTCTTCTTTGGACCCACCTACTACCAGCGTCTGCGTCACATGGTCGACGACAAGATCCACGCCAGAGCCCGTGGTCCGGTACAGATAATGACACGCCAGCCTGTCGAGGGTCGTGCCAGAGATGGTGGCTTGCGTTTCGGAGAAATGGAGCGTGATTGCATGATCGCTCACGGTGCCGCGGCATTCTTGAAGGAGCGTTTGTTCGAGGTGTCGGACGCATTCAGAGTCCACGTCTGCGAGATCTGTGGTCTTATGACTCCTATTGCGTGAGTTCTCCCTTTTCTTTCCCTTGATGTTGTTATTCCACTGGCATAAGTGGTCATCCCCCAGGATAATATTTTATTTCACTGTCATTCTCAACGCTAACGTGTCATAGTCACCTCGCCAACCAGACCTTCGAATGCCGACCTTGCAAGAACAAGACGAAGATCGCACAGATCCAGATTCCATATGCTGCAAAGCTTCTATTCCAGGAGCTCCAAAGCATGAATATTGCCAGCAGGATGTTCACGGATCGATCTGGCGTGTCTCTTCGTTAGGAAATGAAAGAAATGGGTTATACCAGTGGAATGAACAAACTGAGACATATGTATATAGTGATATCCCATGGAATAAACGATATATTCCATATACGCCTTGCTTGCTTCTCTTGACTCACGGGGAGACCACCGACACTCGTAAGCTTGTCTGGATTTATTCGCTTGTCGGACCTTTCGATTGGCAGAGCGGCAGAGTCGAAATGATCCCAGCACGGGAATCAACAGCCTCCATCACAGGCCCCTCTACGAAAATCACCTTGGACAACAGCAGGTGTTGCCTGGTGGGGATTTGTAGTTATGCGGCTTGAGCTTACGGGCGAGAGCTCGATTGGCGCAACTCGGGTTCTCAAGCACGGCGGACGATTGGCGTCAAGAACGGAGTAGAGGCATGGTACGAAAGAAACAGACGACGGCTCACTGTGACGGAGCAATCGCCTAAGAAGATATCATTGTCCTTTCCCCAAGAGATACAAACAGGCAGACATGCGCAGCTTCTTTGCTGAGGGTGATTTAGGTATCCCTGTTTTCATAGCCAACAGACGAGTTGTTTCAATGGTTGCCGGTAGCAGCGCGGCTCTAAAAAACCCTAGTGAAGAGCAGCTAAGGCACAGGTTCGTTATGGTCTTGAATTTTACTATGCTGATAATTACAGTTCTGGTGGAGATTCGACGACCTAGTGGCAAGGACCCGCACATTTATTTGAAGTAAACAGAGGACTAGAGAGGGAATCCATTTCGGATGGGTCGTGAGGGTTTCAGCGAAAGATCAGAGACTTATTCGGCAGCCACGTCAGTAACGGGAGGATAATCTTATCTTATGGAACAGAAACTGGTACGACTGGGAATAGAATTCACTTTTTTCGGTGGTAAACAAAGTTGAATCATAGGAATCCAATATCACATATTAATATAACACTGGTAGACAAGACTCTTGAGAACTAGAATGTGCTTCCTAGCACTTGTAAGATATTCCATGTGTTTTCAGAGTCTTAGGCCACTAAGATAATTTCCAGTCTACCTCTAGTTATGTTATTTCGGGCTTTCTATTAGATAGGGCGATCTAAGTATGGACTGTATTAGTACCATGAAGGTCCGTGAAGGACCAATACCAAGCTGGCCCCGGGGGGCCCTAAATACTGCAGCACGTGTCATCTAGCTAGCACTCAGTTGACGACGCTCTTGACATCCTCGATGAAAGTCATCAAATCGGACTACTTTGGCCGCTAAGCGAGGACGTCTTCAAGCTTTCGATGGAGAGCCGCGCGAGAATCCCAAGACAGCCTCAATTTCGTTGTAGAATTCCGTCTTTTTCTTTCTCGGCAGATCCAAGAACGAAGTCCATGATTCCTTCCTGATTCTACCGTGGGCCGGGCGTCTTACTTCTGCAACAATGAGTTGTCTATTTGATCGGGATTCAAGTCATTCCGCGTCACAGCGCTGGGCTTCGTTAACTCCCGCATGGCTTGTTCTTGACTTTAGCATATCTAGCACTCGTGTTTGCCTTCGCGTTCGAATGATCCTGGCCGTGCGTGGTGTTAATGTTTGGCACCTTCGCGGCTTTCGGACCCAATCCCGTCTTTGCCGCATTCTTTGCACCAGATTTCCCACTACCCGACGCCTTCTCAGGTACAATATACATGAGAACGTCATCTGCAGTTGCCGGGCCCGTAACGTGGATCGATGAATCAGAGGCCAGAATGCTTCTGCCTCCGTCCGCAGTCAAGCGCTTCCGAACCTTGAGCTTGATGTAGCCATTACCCAATGATTCGACCTGTTCGGTACCCTCTCTGGAAGTCTCGATGTCAACTTGTGCAGTAGGACAAAAAAGCAGAGCCTCGCCCGTTCCGAGGGTGACGATAGTATCGAAGAGCGTGTTTTTAGAGCCAGAGTCTTGTTTATTGGCACCAGCGAGATGTTTCTTCAGAATTTCGTACCAGGCGGGTGACAAGAAACGATGGACGAAGGTTGCGTTGGCCAAGTCTATCAGCTCAGGAGAAAGGGTAGGTTCTTGAGTTGCGATAAGCACGCGCGTACCCGTGTGTCTCTGCTGTCTAATAATCGACGTCAAGTCACTGGTGAGTAATCGAGCTTCGCCGGTCTGTGCGAGGAACTGCTTGATTTTAGCCTTGCCATTAATCTATGCTTAGATGAGAGCTTACCTTGTGGGCTTCATCCAATGCCAGGACCCGTCCACATCGGCTACGTTCCTCTAGGAAGATAGAAATGCAGATGGAGAATAGAGAACACGCGTCATCAGAGCTGACGAAGGGGTCACTAAGGTCGACAATAGTCAAGCTACCCGGCTCAAAATCCCAGATATCTTGGTCTGCAAACGCTGGCTTCGTGATTTTTGTTAGGGAGGAAGGGGCGAGAAAAGCATCCAAAAGCTGCATGCGCATTTTCAAGGGCATATCTTGGCCTCTGACCCAGGATATTTCATTGATACGTTTATGGAATCCCGCATAAGTGAATCCAGTTCCTTCCATGGCCATCTCGCGGATGATGTTCATGACGACTTCCATGTAAAGTGGCACATCTTTGGCTACTGGATCGACAGCCATGAGTTTGAGGATCCTGGAGATGTCCAACTGGTGCTCCGTGAAATACAGCGGTAGTACCTTGGGGCGTGGCGAGTCCGGGTGTAGTCCTGGAAGGTTATTATACAACCGCTTCATAGCCCAAATGTTAGAGGGAGACACAAGAACCTTCACCGGGATGCCTGAAGAGCACAGATAGGCTGTCTCACAAAGCTGAGTTGTGGTGTAATTGGAGTAATTGTCATAATGAAGGACCATCCCAGCCAAGGGGTTAGGGAGCTCGCCAGCATCATTGTTCCTCAGAAGGGCACCTTCTAAGAGACATGACAGGGTGTGGCTTTTGCCGGCACCTTGGGAGCCGCATATGAATGCAGACCAAGGGGTGTTGAAGTTTGCAAGGATCAGGCGATCTTCGGGAGGTTTGGTGCTGGCATCCTGGCGAACTCCCATCAGTCCATACTGGGGAGTGAGATTTGTTGCGGGGCCTTTCTGAGGCAAGATTGATTCAAAGAAATCGCTGACAGCTGAGGAGAAGATCGGCACGTTCTGAAACGCGTTAATCCGTTGTTCATAAAGGTTGGCTGAGACCTGCTCGTCGTCAGTAGGCTCATCGTCCTCCAGAAACCTTAAAAGCCTGGCAAATTTCGACATCTTCGCTTCAGGAAAGCTACTGCTTGGAAAACTCTCTGTGTAGGAAGGATTCTAGTCTGAAAGAAGATGGAGAACTGTTTCGAAGCAATGATATCTCATCCGAAGACGAGAATCGGCGTCAAGATTGGTGTTCCGGGACGGTGACATCAGCAACGCCCGATGTGTTGTAGAATATGTCTGATTCAGTAGTGCCACTGGAGGAGTCAGAAATGGAATTGGTTATCCTAGTTGTTCAAGTTTCCAGGAGCGGGTGAGAGGCGAAACCTGATTGGAAATTGATTTCAATGGGATTTCTTGTGGCATTTTATTTCTGTCAGAGTCGGTTCCTTACACCGATATTGATATATTATTATTCTTCAACAAAGGAGAAACCTGAGTTAGACAGCCCAGGGCAGAGCTTGCAGAAGGTTTCACCGATCAGAAACAATACATCTCTACAGAAACAGAACTGGCTTCTTGGAAGCTTGCTTGACAGATATTTTCTTTCAAGTCTTTGATTTTGGAATGAGAACGCAGAATGCATAAAACAAGGATACGAACCATTGATGACATTCACTATGAACTTTGTCCTGTAGTAAAACATGCTAATCAGTGGTATTTAGTTAATGCAAGGGAAGATCTCAAAACTGTTCAAAGACTTTTGTCTCTCCATGCAGTGACGGTCCTCGCCTTGTGTAACATAATGCACGAACTGGACTTCGTGATAAGATTACAATAAAGGTATTGGACTGTACGGCAAATGGTCTTTTTATTGAAACAGCAGCTAGGTGATATGAATGACAGCCATCGGCAATAGAAAAGAAACTCGAAGCAAAAGAACAGCAGCATAATCAAAAGAAATCAAAGGCAGAAACAAAGTACTCCTCTGCTTCTAACCTTCTATGTTACCAGACAAACGTCTTGTCGCTTTGCTAGAGTGTAGATTTGTGTATTGAGTAAATTGGCACTGTCCACTCTGCTCCTGTCCTGGGTGTCTCCAACCTACACCAATTCTTGCATATGGACGGAATTCGCGATAGTCAAGAAGGTCGGTTTTGTTTCCCTTTTGAAAGGCCTTTGACAGGTTCAATCGATCGGCCAACTCGGTACAAAAACCCCGGGAGGAATAATCCTCTATCGCTCTATGCTAAATTTCTGATCAACCTACATGTTCCATTGAGAGATTAATGCTATCGGGAATAGTTGTGTGGTTTTCTCGCTCCCATTTCTTATAGAATCGCCGCATCTTATTCCGTATACCGGAGATTTTTATGAAGGCCAAAAACAGATGTTTTTTTTTCTTTTAATATGATGGTTACTTCTGGTTTGAGGCGGGGTTTTGTAGCCCTGTACTTGGCCGTACCTTCCCATGTACCGAAGGTAGTTGGTGTCTTGTGTAATGTAAACTATACCTTGTTGCAAACCAATAAACTCGGAAAAATGTTTCATAGTCTGCATACCGCGTGGATCGGAACCCGGAATTTCCTCTCGTATCTAAACGAAGTTAGGACGGTTTTTGAGACTTGTTTGTGTCTCGGCTATATATCTCTTCGCTTTTGGGACGGAGTATTTTGTGAACGATATGGCTGTCGATTTTTGATTGTTCTTCTGAGTTTTGAATTACCAAGTTGATGGCCTCATCCCATATTCACCTTAGGCCGGTCACCTGTCTTCTTCCAAGGACTCATGTTATACGAGGTTTCATTTTATGCGAAGATCCGGTGGCTGGAAGTAGAAAAGCGATAACCTTCCAATCGTCGGGAATTCTCTAGAAAGAAGATCCTTTGAGTGATAAGGTGTCATTTGAAAAGAGTTGGGTTGGTGGAGAATGAATACGAGATTAGATATCTTGATTAAGGTGAACGGCGCTATTATATATTTCTACGTTTGGCTTCCTAAGAGTTACTTTTGGAATCCCCAGCAACTGCAACCTCGACCCGGATGCTTGTAAGGCATAAATTTTGCAAGGCTCTAAATGTTGATTTTTCTTCACTTTATATTCCTGAGGGTTGTTTATGGCTTTTCGGTGATACTCGCTGCTGTTTGCACGCTGCTCCGAAATCGCAGTGATGGCAGGCGAGCAGAGAGAGTGACCTATGCCTGAGCAAAAGCGGCGGGTGATTATGTGATCCAAAGTGTCAAGATCGACATTTCCTAATGGCTACGGCTACGGGAGATTAACGCGATTGCATTGGCAATGAACTACCGACTCGACCTCCGAAAATTAAAGAGATACGAGCCGTACAGTCCAGATACAGGTTTTGGAAGAACTTATACCAGTTATAAAATAACTGTACGAATCCAAGTACCTGCTCCTGTGCGTTGTCCCTGAGCGAGTTCCTGTCCAAGGTATGCTCAAGGAGCAAATAGATACTTTAATCTCTGAACTCCGATCGCGTATCGCAGACCCTTCTGGTTGACTAAGTCACTATCTCAAGCAAGCAAGGGAGCTCTGCAAAGCGATCATCCAGCATAAGCGGTCTACCCAGCATTTGATGATGGGCTTATATCCCTACAAGGCAAATGAAACGCTCACGGGTGACTTTTATAGAGCATTTATAAGCCTGGAACCCAAAGTGAAGGTGCTCCTCCCCAGGTAATCACATAGTGTGTCTTATATTGCTGATTCTCCATTGAGCAGTAACCGCACTAGGCCGCTAGCTGGTGGCTAGGGGCTGGTTTAGTTGAGCTACCTTACAACCGGAATAAACGTGAACCCTTAAATTTGACCTGCCACTTTGACCTACGGTAGATTATAGGTATCACTTAACGCAGGGGTATAAGAGCCAGCTCTGGGGGCATGGGGATCAGTTACACTTGCCCCTTCAAATCTCTTTTCTTAGCGCCCACTATTCTTCGGATTCGTATTGAAATAGCTTAGAGGCTCGACGGGCTTCGACAGATGCGGGTTAATGCCGGCCAAATACAGCAGGGGTGCTGCCGGGGTGCTGGATGAACCCGTGAACAAGTCGCTCCAGGCAAGTCGTAAGAATTGGAGTTGATGATTACAATGATACAGAGCCCGCACAAAGAGCTGCAGAAGAAGCACATGCTTCTCTTTAGTACTTAAAGCTCTCGTAGTAAACCAGCTCGGTATAAGAGAAGAAGAACCCGAGTGCATACCTCCAGAACTTTTCATATCGGTAGACTTGGAATTTAGTGTCTTAGAGTATAATAGCCACATTTGGAGGCATTAGGTTGATACCTGGTGTTGGGAATATGAAACTAAAACCTCCAGAAAGGCTCCTATAGACTGGTAAAAACATCAAACTGTTCATCCTTACTAATAAGTCGTGAGGCCTGCAGACCCCATGAATAGCTTGTATGTCCCTACGACGTTGAAGTATGACTCTCATCGGTGGCCTGCGAAACCTGCAACCTCCAAACTTGATGCTACATCGATTATTTTCATAAAGCGAGGCACATCAAGGTCTCTGTCCCACACACTGTGCGTTACCGTAATCGACAAGTACTAGAAACAAGTACAGCGAATGTCGGTTTCGCACATCGTGCGTGCAACAGGGCAAATTCCTCCGATCATCTGGCAAACTTGAAAAGAATATGTCTAACGGATCAATTAACTTTCAACATATTTTAATTTAAGTATCCATGTAGGTGATACCACAAACAAAACACTTCAGCTTGGGAATCTTGATATGCTGTCATTACTGTCAAATATATTGAAATAGAAGATATGAGCCGTTAACAGAAACAAATAATTCAACAGAAGAAATCTAGTCCTAACTAATGATAGTGCCTTTCGGCTTATGTAACTCACTTATGTAACTCCCATCTATGAGAACTATTTTGACACTCGACGCCAAACTTGAAGCATTCCAGGCAAATAGCAAAGTCACCTCCGTTGCAAATTCCGCATTTGTAGTAGTCACTGCCATCCCGAATGCACAATGTACAGACGTTACACCAATTTGACGTTGGATTGAACGTTACTGGCCCAGTTTCAGTGCTCATGTCACTTTCATCGACTTGTAAGCCTGCCTTCGTGGAATAATGGTGGATAAGCTGGATCAGTTGGGTATTCCTACTCCTTCGTGCCCACCACATTAAAGTCCGATCGAAGCAATCCCTAGTACCAATGCAGGTATCATCAGTGATGAGTAAGAGCTTTGCTACCTGCAGGTGTCCATTTCTCAATGCCGCAAATAATGGTGTTGCACTGTAGTGGTCCTTGGTGTAGAGCTCCAACGGGCATTTTCTAAGCAGTAGTCGCACCAAACTGTCGTGTCCATATCTCGCAGAAAGGAAAAGTGCTGTACGACCATCATTATCCATACACATCTCATCAAATTCATGGTATTTGAGAAGAACTTGGACCACATCCACAAAGCCGTACGCTGATGCTGTGTGGAGTGGTGTCCATCCGTTCCTATCCGGAACGGTCAGATCAGCTCCCTTGTCGAGCAGTATCTTAACTAACTCAAGATGCCCTTTACTTGAGGCCGAGTTTAGTGGAGTCCATCCGCCCTTATTCGGAACGGTCAGATCGGCTCCCTTGTCGAGCAGTATCTTAACTACCTCAAGATGCCCTTTACTTGAGGCCGAGTTTAGTGGAGTCCATCCGCCCTTATTCGGAACGGTCAGATCGGCTCCCTTGTCGAGCAGTATCTTAACTACCTCAAGATGCCCTTTACTTGAGGCCGAGTTTAGTGGAGTCCATCCGCCCTTATACGAAACTGTCAGATCGGCTCCCTTGTCGAGCAGTATCTTAACCACCTCGAGATGTCCGTTATTTGAGGCCGATATGAGTGGAGTCTGTCCATCATTATCCGGAACGGTCAGATCGGCTCCCTTATCGAGCAGTATCTTAACCACCTCGAGATGTCCGTTAATTGAGGCCGTGTATAGTGGAGTCCATCCGTCCTTATCCGGAACGGTCAGATCGGCTCCCTTATCGAGCAGTATCTTAACCACCTCGACATGTCCGTTATTTGAGGCCGATATGAGTGGAGTCTGTCCATCATTATCCGGAACGGTCAGATCGGCTCCCTTATCGAGCAGTATCTTAACCACCTCGAGATGTCCGTTATTTGAGGCCGATATGAGTGGAGTCTGTCCATCATTATCCGGAACGGTCAGATCGGCTCCCTTATCGAGCAGCATCTTAACCACCTCGACATGTCCATTATATGAGGCCAAGTTCAGTGGAGTTATTCCATAGGTATTCGGAACTGTCAGATCGGCTCCCTTGTCGAGCAGTATCTTAACCACCTCGAGATGTCCGTTATCTGAGGCCGAGGTTAGTGGAGTCCATCCATCATTATCCGGAACGGTCAGATCGGCTCCCTTATCGAGCAGTATCTTAACCACCTCGAGATGTCCGTTATTTGAGGCCGATATGAGTGGAGTCTGTCCATCATTATCCGGAACGGTCAGATCGGCTCCCTTATCGAGCAGCATCTTAACCACCTCGACATGTCCATTATATGAGGCCAAGTTCAGTGGAGTCCATCCATCCTTATCCGGAACGGTTAGATCGGCTCCCGTTTGAAGAATTATGTCAACTATTGCCAAGTGACCCTTTCTGCAGGCGATTCCTAGGGCTGTTTTTCCTGAACTTGTTTTTTCGTTTGGGTCATAATTGCGCTCCTGAAGAAGATATGTCAATGGCTCCACCAAGCCAAGCTGTGATGCGTAGTGTAGAGGACTGGCTGGTATGGTATCATTTTCTCCTTTTGCTGTATTCGATTCTGTATCATGTTGGTCAAACCACGTCCTCCAGTCGTTCCAGTTTTCGTTATCAATATCAAAGAATCTGTTCATAAGGCTAACCATATCAGCGTCAATTGCCACGCTCATGGTTGTATGTTGATACCATGAACTTGCGGCATAGTCTCGCAAGGACCGCTGTACTGGGTTTTCGTCCTTCTGAAGCGTATCTTCCCAGACCTTTCGGAAATTCACATAGCGTAGACACAGCCTACCCAATTGACTGTTTTGGAAAGCTTCGTTAAAGGACCAGACTCGCTCGTTGGCCACTATGGAACTTCCCGGGGCCGACATGTTGGAAACCAAGTATTGCCTGACTGAGAAATGAGTTAAATGTACAGTCCTGGCCCCTACGTGCGATTCCGACGAAGTACTCCGAACCTCAAGTAGCGAACCACAGAGGCCCAGTATCCCCCTGTTGATATAATCTTCATCGATGGAGTCCGGCATTTCCTCGATGGGGAGGTCATCGCAATCGTCATTGATAAGCAGAGCTTCGCTAATCTCGCAAACCGTCAATGGTCGTAGAGCAAAGGCTGTCCACCGTAGTAGAGAGAAGGCTCGACTTCGTTTCCACTCTGGAAAATTCGACATCCTCCTCCAGTATCGCTCGTAGGTCTGCTCAAGCCCGGCCGGAGTCTCCTCGACTGCGGTCTCGAGCTGCCGTTTAGTCATCCAGCTATCTAGGGAGTCCTCTTGCAACTTGAGCCACAGGAATTGGCCACTGCAACGGTTCACCATCCTCTGAGCAATGTCGCGCTTTATTGTTTCCAGTTTCTTGAACAATTTCTCGTTTACAATGCTTCTGGAGTATGATACCGCGTCGGAATGGACGTCTTCAGTGGAAACCTTGTACTCGAAAACATCATCGCTCCTATTGCTAATGAGGCCTTGCCGAATTTCCGCTTCATCACGACTAACGATCAGGATTCGTGTGTGCGTATCGGCGACTGCTTGCCTAAGAGCCTTAAGAAATTGGGTCACGGCGTCGCTGTCAAATTTTTGATCATCTCTGACCCAAGTGCATTCATCCAGCCCGTCCAAAACGAAAGTGCACTCGGGCATAGCGCAGACGATATTGCGGAACATCTGAACGAGATGTGCTCGCGTTGCTGACTGTCCATCCTGGGCGTCGCATTCGTCACAGACGACTTCATACGCCTTGGGATGAGACATCACTTGGGATATCCATGACCTTATCGCTATGTAAGGGTCGCTACGGCTCTCGAAGTCAGACGAGAAGAAGAAATGCGCCACGGGGGTTCCAATGTCGGCCGAGATGTGTTCGACTATTCTAGCACAGAGGATCGTCTTCCCGAACCCCGCGGGTCCATTGATCCACAGGACCTTGGGCCCTGCTAGGAAGGCGGGCGAAACCCAACTACGGAATGCCGGTCGGTCTAGGAACCAGTCGCATGTGCCGTCCAATCTCTTCTGAGCTGAGTTATGGAAAAGCTCATTCGGTTTGTAGCCACCTAGTAGCCAGGCACGCATATCCTTTCGCGTCTCGGCTGCGTTGATTAGCTGGTTGCTGCAAGCTGGGACGGTGGGACAGCTAACCTTGGATCCTATGCTCTATCTCGGCTAGGATCCGCTGTAATTCCGCGTTCGATGCCCCGGTATCCATGTAGTCACCTCGAGATCTGGGTTAGCTTGTCTCCATATAAATCGGGGTGGGAAGGCGTACTATCCGGGGTGGGTCCGACATGATTGCCAGACGTGGGCCCTCCGTATACTACGCGTGCACCCTTCACCCTATCTGGCGGTACTAAGTTGTATAAACTCTGCACTAGCTTCCCGAACTGTTCTACTTGAACCAGGCGTTTTGCTTTGTCTCTTAATGACCACTTAAGCTTGTTCCGCTTGGATTCGGACGGGCCTGGGTCCGGAAAAGTAGCCCGTTGCGAGTAGATGCGTCTACCCCCAATTTGGGCAGAAGGGCATCGTCTGCATTGCTGCCAATCTCTTTGATTATCGATAGAAGTTTTTTAACTATCGAACGCGTCTGCAGATCGTCGAGGGCTTCATGATGGTTGTCTGATGCTTCGTCTAATGCTTCGTCTCGCTGGACACCAACGGCATGGCCCCATTTTTCGAAACGGAGTTTCTCAGCCTCAAACTGAGTTGCCACATAATGGAGGTCGGTTCCAAAATCCCGGTATGCCTCGAATTTGTCGAGAACATCCAAACAGTTGCTGAAGAGGCTGACGAGCCCTACAACTCCGATGGCTAATCCAGCAGCTTCCATGGGCGCATGCGCTGACTGTAACGAAATAATCAAATCTGGGAATTGCGAGAGGTGTCAGAAGCGAGCGGGATGGGTCTTATGGCCTTCAGTACGGAAATGGGGATTCCAACCTCGGTGCTTCAAAATCCGCCGTACAAGGCAGAATTTATGACTTGAGCACCCCTCCCATTGATACCCATCTTCGGAATATGACTGGCCGCTTTGCGGTAGGCGATGGGCTGAGCAAAAACAGCGCAGCACCACGGCAGGGCAGGGTAGTGTGGCAGTTGAGTATGACTTACAAAGTGGCGGTACAATAGCTACCATACAACCCAACGACCGACCATTGTTAGCGCGACTAGACTTGTGCACGAGTCACCCAGTTTTCTTGCATGTTTAGAGTACGTACTGATAGTAGAACATGGTAAGGCAAGCGCAACCCCACAATCAGGGCCAAGCTGGCTAGCTCTCTTTGAATTCGATTTCTAGGGGCAACCTACGTAGTCCATCACTTTCATCTGTAATTACTTGTAAGTTGACGCGCGAGCATCGGTTCATAGTGTCGAGTTTCATGCCGTTTCCCTTTCTTCATCTACAACACCACAGCTGCTATTGTAAAGTCAGAAAACAGGCAAATAGGACAGCGAGAACTACCCGTGGCATCTCATCAATGGTGACGAATGTACCGACAATCTTTCGCCTGGTTTACTGTCATCCAAGAAAAGCAATTGCAAAATTATTCCTGATGCGGCGGTACCCTACCCCTCTTCACCCTCGGCCGGGCACAATTTTGATCATCTGCGACGGGTAAAATATTAGGTCGGGTTGCTGCGCGATCGCCAGTCTCTTGTCACCAATAACCTCCCTCCAGCTGAACACGAATCCGTCCCATTGGTGGATCATGTTTGTGTTCCCGGCATCTAAGGGGTTGCCATCGGTGAAGTACGGAAGACATCTCTGCCCGTCGCTTGTCCAACCTATTCGGTCAGAGCAGGTCGTAGCAATGCCCAAACTTCCTATGGTTTCTCGCGTCGTTGGTACAAAGGATGGTGGAGATATTCGCAGGTGCGGGCAAAGAGAGCCCAGTTATCGGCCGAGATGCCTTGGTCCCGGTTGGCTTGAGAGCGCATCGTGGCAAACTCAGTGACCTCGTCAGCCTGGAACGCCCATTTGCCTTGATTGTCATGTGTCGCAATATCTTCGAGTTTGTAGGGAAGGCGGACGGCTCGAAGGAATCGGCCAGGGTTCGGCCACTCTCGTGGCAGCGAAGGTTCTTGACGTCCAAGCGGTAAAGCCTGGGGACTTCTACTATTAACAGAGGTCGAGGAAGTGTTCACAAGTTCATGGCAAAGGCTGCGGCCTTTAACGAAGTCATCCTATGACCACCATGATCTTGCTCCCTCAAATGCATAGCATCGAGTCGGTTTCATCCAGCGAATGGTTTGCGGCATCCCACTCAAATACATCCTGCCACGCGGCCATTCGCATGTCGCCGATCCGGCGCACTGGAGTCATGACGGATCGTGCAGGATACTGGGCGCGCCTTGGTGGGTTCAGATTAAGAGGTGTTTATTGGCGGCCGTCGTGTGATGTGTGCTGAAAAGAAGACACTGTCGAATTTACTTGGCCTGACTACTACTTCCGCTCAATCGGCAAATGTTAGTAGTGAATGCGACGAATTCGATATTACGGATCAGGTGGTTATAACTCGAAAAGCCCAGAAGCTTACACTATAACATAGCTGGTTAAAGTTGGATCCCCAAGATCAACCCCATCTCGCCGCCTTGACAGTATTTCAGCATACCCGTCGCGATTGTCAAATTCGATTGGAACTACAGCGGGGAGTGGTGGCTTAGGCCTGTGGGATGACTGATGTCGCAGCCATCAAGAAGAATAAAGCGATAGATCGCGGGGTAGTTCAGCAGGCAGCTTTGGCGGGGTAACTTTGTCAAACTAGCTTCGGTCAGATGACTGCCTTCGAATCCCTCGATATTCGCCTGGATACCAGGATCCGATAATAACATTGGACAATAGGTTATCGGACGATATGACCCATCGCATAGTCGCCTGGGTAACCTGGACATATGAAGGGTTGATTCAGCAGTGAAAGGCCACGATCCAGGCACTGCACAAAAAGGATCGAAACGTCGCGGAGATTAAAACCAAAGGAGTTGCTGTTATTGGCCAGGTTCGGGTTGGTGTAGAAATTTGTCAGACAATGGAGACGTTGGAAACAGGCTCTCTAGCCAAAAACCTCTTAGTGGATATCGGGGATTTTAATGAAAAACAAGGCAGGTTGGATTTACTTGAAAGCCAAAGTCCAATTCTCTTCATAGGGCGGCGATAAGTTAGACGTTTTGCCACTTATCAATCCTCTTGATCATCATCCTCACGAGGAGCTCTGGAAGTATCCCATTCATTACCCTTTCGATGATGTTATTAGCCCTTTTCTGTCCCCCTCTGCATTGCCTTAGTCAGCGACCGAGATCCAACCGGGCGTAAAGCCTGGGTGTACGGCCGCCGCTAAAGTCCACCAGCCATGCATTCATTTGAGAGTAGGATCCGACTGCGATGCTACGGAGTTTAAAGGGTTCCTGTCGGGAAATTTAAGAACAACTGGGCGGTGCTCTTTCGTTGATCATAAATTGAAAGAATATGGATCTGAGCAAAGCCGATGTGTACCGCTGAGGCCCCTTTACTCCCCCTTTTTCTCCTCTTCTCTATTGTAGCAATAATACATTATTCTAACCCAAGATTACGAAGCTACTGCCTGGAGACTATCACCGTTCAGAGATTTGGTCTAGCGTCTGTTCTATACTGATTTGGATCATCTCTCGACTGCTACTGCTAATTCTAGTGATAGATGGTCAGGGGGGGAGGTCGGGCTATGTATATCGCAGTACGGAGCTTCCGACTATAAGTGTGCTAATCTGGTCCACTTTTCCAACACAGTGTCAGCATAGGAGCTACAGGTTGAAATCCTAATGTATTCACGCTTAAAACTGAACCTTGGCTATCTTAAGCACCCCGTGTGTAACCTTAGTAGATAACCTTCAAATTAGCTATAAATAAAACTATCTACAAGTGTATTTCAGCGGCGAATTATCTAATTATAGATATTTATGCTGGCCCCTATATCGAGGCAGAGGTACTAAGAGTACGAATTAAGGTTACGAGCCAATCTATCTATTGGAAACTGAGGCAGTATGGGCAGTGTGGAAGTGATACCGCGCCGGTTAAGTGACCGAGGTCCAATTGACTAGAACCTATCACCAACTTGTTTTGGTTGGCAAACTGACAAGGAGTTCTTCCGAAGATGCCCTTTTCAAGAGAAGTCAGAGTCTTCCCATCATGACTGCGTCGTGCCTTCCATCTCAACCGCAGAATCAACCTCCCACCATAGTTGTTAACCATGGAATTCGCCACCGTGTTTTCCAACACTCTCTCTAATCAATACTAAATTAAAGAAAAGAGAAAACAAGTTACGAGTATAAGTGCCCGTTCCTCTGTTACAAGGGCAACGGGTGTATACGAGTAGGATAGCCCATACTAGGGTGTTCCTACTCACCGTCTAGGTAACAGGCGTCACAGCGCCTAGTTGTAATCATCGCCTTCTAAGTACTATCGTGGGGCTAGTAGCGAAACAGCTTTATCCTCTGACTCTTCTACTACTACCGCTGCCGCTGTATTACTAATTACGCTACTGGTAATGACATTATCTTCCGCTGCCTTCTTAAAGAGAGCTTAAGTATACTATTTAGACTCTTCTCGCTAGCTATCTAGTAGCCATATCCTCCCCTTACAGTTGTTACCACCCTTTAGCTCGATAGCCTAAGCTACATTGATGCGGATCGGCTATACGCATTGCATTGTTGGATCAGATATCATTTGTAGCTACTTTGATGGAATTTTAGTGTAAATTGGCTGAGAAACTCATATTTGAAGCTATTCATTATCTTGCGTTAAGGGGCCGAAAATGGGGGCCCTACGCAGACTTATTTGGGTTCATTGTATCATATCCCAGCAATCCTCGGGCGCAGAATGAGCCAGGGCAAGGAGTACCACGTCAGGTCAGTTGGTGAGATATGAAGAATGACATAGTTTGAATTACTCCTTAATGCAGAGAGAAGAGAGGAGTCTTGATACGCACCATTCGTCCACCGGTTTCTCCATAGTCTTCAAAAGTCCGATCTTATAGGAAGAAGTCATCAAGGCCGCAATAATTGCCTTGGCTCTGAGCGGAATTCTGACTACTATTTTCCGTAACCAAGTGGCTGAGTCAACGAGCTTCTCCACCTGTCCATCGCAAGCACCCGCCAAGATGCTAACCTAGTCTCTGGCACAATCTGACGAGGGCTTGGTTGTCTGGTATATCGATCTCGTCGTATGGTAGCAGTGTTTGAATAATTTATATCGCTTTCTGATTTAGATATCGTTGATGCTCTGGTCTCGAAGACGAAAACTTTCTGTTCCCGGTCTTAGAACACAACTTAACCGGGTAAATCTTAGTTGTTTTCCTATACTTTCTGCCGGACCAGGCTGAACTTCGCCCAGTAGGCTTGCGAGCTAAGAGATGTGCAATAACAGAAAAGTAGAAACCGTCATCCGACCTCATACTACGGTAAACGAGACTCGGACAACAATGAGATATATATTTATGCTACCAAAATCGGTACATCGTTATGACAGGATGCGCCTATCACGAAAAAACACACATGCGATGCCGGCTTCGTTAGCGTTGTCTAACTAAAAACTATGTAGTTAAGTATCAATGCTTACCTGTTTCCACCGGCGATAGAATATACAAGCCTCGTCGCAAAGTGGCCTGGAAGTACATATTGACGTGGGGTTAGGGTTTTTGGGTGCTCGTTTTCGTTTTTTTTGGGATATTCAGACGAGTTATGTAAGCACGTTCTTGACAGGTATTTAAGACCTTATGTACATAGTCACTCTCTTGAGAAGAAGATAGGAATTCAAGCGGCCTTTTCCACAGTAATCTGAACCAATTTCTCTTTACTTGGACAGGCATTCAATGTCTGACGTACCTGTTGAGGTACTTTTGTTGCCCCTATAGATCTGATTGTGCCTGCTGAGGCCATTGTTCCCGCCTTTCACCTGTTGAGGTGATTGATCAAGGACCTGCTGAGGCTCCTTTTCTTCTCTAGCCTGCTGAAGCTCCAGTTGTTCGTACCTGTTGAGGTACTTGTTGTTCTGATCAGGGCAAGAGCTCTTGACCTTGTTATTTCTTTCCACCTCCCGGATAGTAAGGTCTTGTTGAGGATCTTGTTGTCCGTTGCCATCATCTTACACCTTAAACCTGCGGGTGGTTTCACTGCCCGTCGTCAATATATCGGCTTATTGCAAGCGATAATACAGAAAAGACAGACTTTGGAAGTTGAAGGCTGATGCGATCTGGCAACATGATCAAAACTGGAAAAGACTAGAACAGAGAACGTACAGTTAAACAGGAATTTCATGAACTATTGATCTCGATTTGATTACTTGTCCGCTTTTCCATGCTTGTGATGCAAAACGTGAAGCTCATTATAAATCCGCTGCTTGCCTCCATTGTCAGGCAGCTCTTTCTGATTCTATCGAGCATTTTCAAGCGGAGCCAGGCATCCGAGAGAATTTGATCAGCTTTCAAGGGGATATTGAGAATTACACAAGGAGCTACGTTATAAATGGTAATATCGACCAGAGAATTGAACTGACCCCGAGAGACCAGTTAATTTCTTCGTTTCGGATTGGTGATGGAATAGCCTTGATATGAGTATTCTGCGCAATGTACAATTCGAACCGTAACCATCGTGCCCGGGAGGTTCTGGATTGTTTGTCGTACGCATTTGATGAGAGAAAAACTGACTTATTCAAAAGGATCAACGCCTTTCCGGTCCACCTACCTTGCAAGGATGGTTCAACCAGTTATTGGAAAAATTAGACATTGACGCCTTAAGTGTACCATGTCTTCTGTACTGCTTTGGGACTACTGTCGTGCCAAGCTGTTTTGAGCAACCCGAGATTCTACCCCAGCTCGAGCGCATCTTTTCCATCATGGTCGACCCCCCTGTAGGGTGTACCGCATGCCGCTAGCATATATCCCCGACGTTGAGCAGTTGTTTGATTCAAGTTCAAGAAGCTATAGCCTAATACTCTCCACGATTCGATATCTAATACACGTTAATCCTGTCAATCCATTCGCTGCCCGTCATTTGCACCACTTTATAGATGTATTCCGAGGTCCCCTGTCGTGGTTTCTGGGGAGGGAAAGCAATGTGCATTGAAACCCCGTTTACAATTCTTTCTGGCCAAGTAGGCAATGGAACCTCTGGGCTTGAGGGCTTAAATTGATATATGAATTTGTCCGCATTCCTTCGGGGATTTTGGTGCTGTCTCTCTGGACCAAGGTACCCTGCACAGTCTTTAACGAATCACTCCTGGAATCTTGATGTGGCTGGATTTCTTGCAATCACAATCTTAAGATGGCTCTTACAGATATTCGGCAAACGAGTTTGTCAAATCATCGCCAAGGATGTTTAAAGAAAAGTCAAATTATGGGCTGGATAGTCGTCCAGTGTGTCCATGTCGAGGTTAGCACGTTGGTTGGCTTGGAGGGTTGGGTTACATGTAGTAGGATTCTTGATTCAAAACCATTCTTGCGGTGGCTCTCAATGGTCTCCTCAAGTGACCGATGGTCGAGCGACAGTGCAACCAGCTGGATGATTTGTTGTTTTTCTAAAGCGGCCGGAGGCATCCTCGTATTCGCCGAAGCCCGCCTTGGACCAACCATTGGCAGCTACCGCTTAAGATGAACCCTTTTCATTGGGCGACTATCACTCATGAGATAAATTAACAGGCACGTTTTACATAGCAATTTTGTACTATTAGTGTACAAACATTTGTATATCCTATTACAGGCCTCGAGATATATGCACTTTATATCACAGACTAAACAATTACCCTTTCTACCTGGTGCCGAAGTGTCGGAGTGTATTGCCACGCATGGTGACGGCTTAGAATTAGTTACCTTCGTATGTTTTAAGGCATTTAGATAAAGTAGACACATGAGTGACATCGAGCGTCTACAACTTTAAAACAACAACAGCACATATGTCTATCATGAGATGTAAGTATAGAAATATTCCTTGTCTTCTCCATAGACAACACGAATTCCACACCAAGCACGTCTAGCTGGCGATAATTATCTGAACAACTTTTCTGACACGAGGTAGATGAAGAAATCATGAGTTCACCTATAAGATCCCACTCAACAACGTGAGGTAGCGGGAAACTACTATTCATCAGGGGTAAAACATGCACAATGTCTCAACTAGTTTGAATAAACGGAGGCCCGTCCAAGGGTGTTGAGGGACACACAATAGAAATGAAGTGTATTATGGTGATGAAAGAAAGCTAGGCTAGTGTTGGTCTGGAACTAAGTAGTGGTGGTGGCTGCGCAGGTACCACCTCTGACAAAGGGAGTGACTCTTGTGTTTAACCAAATACAACATAACGAAAATCATGAGATTGGTCCTATGATTACCAGTCTTGCGTAGCACCGTGAAATTCGAGATGATGATCGAGGTGTAGAGCCCTGGGGCGATTCCTCGACTTTAGGTGAATCTGTGGATCTGTGAATTTCGTTACGGTCTCTCTACTATGATCCTGGCAAGATTACAGTTATGAGGGGCCAAAAGACTTTGTACTTTCTCGGCAGAAATCACTCACATTGAAATACACTTAGTCTCTTGAAAGAGTATTGTTGCCTTTTGACGCTGAACTCTCTGCTCGACGTTGCTGGCAAGGGATTGGTCTGAGCATGTGAGCAGCAGCCTGAAAGACCTGGGAATGAGTGAGTACTATGAAATGATGTCAAGATAAACCCCAGAAACCGTAAATACGATCAAATAGTAGTTTCAAATTATGCTAACAATTCTGTTTTGAGTATGTGACATTAAGTTAAGCTTCGTATAAGTCGTATCAGCACGATGTTGCAGGACCATTGCCGAGTTCATAACTATCAATTGTACATTGTGTTGATCTTGGTGGGTCCAGAGGTGATTGGACTCCAAATGTTCAAATCAAAGATTGTTCGTAGCGCCTGCGCCACAAGTCAGCCACAAGGAAATATGGCTGCTCTCGGGGCAAAGAATTGTTCCCAGTGCAATTAAGAATGGCAATTTCGTCGGCAAATGGATATGCATCGCAGCAAACACTTGGCGCCGACGGGTCAACTTCGCAAACAACGCAGCATTACGGCGCAGCTGGGTCGCTGTTGGTTGGAATTATCCAGAGGCGGTTATCTCCGGTCTCGACCAAGTAGTCCGATGTGCTGACAGCGAAGATGCCAACCATGGAACTGAGCTCATTGGGCGCTTATGAAACAGCTTTTCGACTTGCTAAAACCGAAGTGTGGGGGTCAGCGATGGTCAGCGGTGGCAGCCTGTCGGGCGGGTTTCGCGCGACTCGCCGCCTCCACCCAAACAAGGCAGGCTCAGGGCCATCGAATCCAACGTCAATCGGAATTGGCATTGCGCAAATGTAGTGTCGCGCCATCTTTCTAAACAGCATTTTTCCCCTCATCGAAACCGATGTTGATGAGGCTAGGCCCCACAGCGAAGTTGCGGCCCGCCATCAATGGATGCGCCAACCGAATCTGGCGGCAGCGGCAAAGACAAGGGCGACTGCGGCCCCGCACCCAGCTCAAGTCGCACCGCATCACCGCCTGTGGACGACGATAGCTATCTGCCCCAAGCCCAGGGAGCACATGAGTACCGCGACAGGAGGGATCAGACACCCACTCCTCGTCGTTCGCCATTTCTCCCTGACGAGGCGGGAGCAACTGAGTCTCAGCATGAGCCCAGCTCGGACATAGTGAGGGAGCGGTCAGAGCAGTCAGCGCAGTCTCCCCAGCACATACCTTACGACCTGAATCCGTGGCAGAAGGACGCTGAGACCAGTTCTCAGAGAACCCTCAAAGCGGCAAGCGAGCCTGGGGATGCTGCTAGCCCTGCCTACGGGTCTCCTGGCCCTTCCGCCTCAGCGGCAGAGGAGGCGGATGAGTCTCGGGCCGCGGCCGATGAAGTCGATGCGGTTGCAGACGCGGACGCCGGGGCTGAGACCGAGGCCGGGCCGTCTGCCCAAGACGATCCGGATGTGCAGGATAGTGATGATGATAGCCATCAGACTACTCTGAGTAGTGGATCCAGTACTATCCCAAACACCCTTGTTGTACGATAGATTCCCCTTGTCAAAAGAAAGTCGGGCAAATATACTCATTCCTTACACAGGTTGATCCAGACACAGACCCGGACAGCGACGGTGACTCGGCTTTAGGCGCGACTCCACTGTAAGCGTACATTCAACTTTTGATGTTGAATATCCCGCGCTTACCCAAATTGCCTTTACATAGCATTTCCACAACGTCACTCGCGTCGACTCTCCTTCGTTCCGTTGAAGAGTATGGCAGAACCTACCACAAGTATAAACAAGGGAGTAAGTATCGCTATGCGAACTCGATTTAGTCTACTAATTAACTTTGAAAGGGTACCTTATGCCTAACGATGAGGTAAGTTAACTGCAACCCGGCCCCTTAAACCCAGCTGACGTCGCATATCATGCAGCAAGAACAGCAAAGACTTGGTGAGAACACATGCCTATCATTATACCATTTCAGCTGATGCTAATTATGAAAGAACTTCAACATTACATATATAAAGTAGCACTCGGTGGGCGCCTTCACCTAGCCCCAGTGGAAAACCCAAATAGGGTTATTGATATTGGAACCGGCACGGGTGTATGGGCTGTGGAGTTTGGTATGTATGTCACACACGTGGCGGGAAAGCTGCTTACACTTGATGTTATATAGCGGATTCCAACCCACAGAGCGATGTCCTCGGCACAGACTTGAGTCCCATGCAATCCTCGTATACAGCCCCAAACTGCCGCTTCGAAATCGACGATATCGAGGACGACTGGATTTTCAACCATAAATTTGATTACATCCACGGCAGATCCATATCCACGCATATGAGGAACGTGCCGAGACTCTGTGCTGCCATGCTCAACAACCTGAATCCTGGCGGCTGGGCTGAACTCCAAGATGTGATTGCCGAATTCAAGACTTTCGACCGCACGATAGAGGGAACCGCACTGCAACAATGGAACCGCCTCATGGTGGAAGGCATGTTTTCTCATTGCCACATGATTCCTAGCCTCAGGACTGACTTCTCATCAGGGGTGAGGAACTTGGGACGCGACATGCGCGCAGCCCGCTCCAACAAGCGGCGGATGGAGGAAGCAGGGTTTCAAAACATCGTGGAACATAGATTGCCCATCCCCGTGAACCACTGGCCCAGGGGCGCACAACACAAGAACCTCGGCAGGGATCAAATGAGAAGCGCTCTCGATGGCATTCAAGCTCCAACAATTCAGGTCTTATCCAAAGGGCTGGGCTGGTCGAGGGAGGAGGCAGAGGTGTTTCTCATAAATGTTCGAAAAGAAATCCAGAACCCACATATTCATTCATATTTTGAAATGTATGCACCATCTGGAGGGCTCTCGATAATAGTTGCTGACCATTCTCAGGATTGTCGTTTTTGGCCAGAAGCTACCAAGGTAGAGAGGACGACAGTGGGACGGATAACAGAGATACGGAAGGAACATTTCTCTCGAGCATTTAGGACGTCATTTGAATACATCGGGTAGATTGCATAGTACGTCCAGACTCGGGTCTGATCCTTCTTAGAACATTGGTGCGTTTCGCCAAACCATTTGAGTCTTTTTGGTAAATGGTCGACACTCACAATGCTGCGATCCAGAGTAGCAGATGCACGGACGGATGCAATCTGCCACTGTCATCTATACCTCTACGCATCATTACTTGGGCTACGTGACGCAGTTGGACCGGTGATGCTTTGCGGCGGTCTACGCCCCTATATCATGGGGCTGCTCACTGCTCGCTGCATCTGAGCTATGAAGACGAGGCATGAGTATGTGGACCCGTGCCTGCGGTAAGATGGCCACACCTTCCTTCGTCGTGGTCTGATTAGTTAAGTTCATCTCATCACCAGCGCTCCTTCCCCAGGATGACCTACAGCCCCATCCTACGATAGGAAGCAGCAACTGCTGTTTCGAAAGCAGGTCCCATTGACCTCAACGACTTCGACCAAATGACCTCGACATAAGCTCTCTTACCCAGCAAGATGTGTTGGATGTTGGACCGTATTTCCAGGATTGAGCTCCCACCGTGGCACTGAACACCACAGCATTCCGTGCTTGAATGAGCCACTGAACTCTTGGCTTCCTTGGCCTTCATATTTTCGTATTATTTCTGTCATTATTCTAATACCACACTACATCTCCAGAATGGCGTCGACGGTAACGCCGACGCAATGCTCTGAAGCCAGCTCTCCTGTCCGTTTCGACTCGCCACCTCCCCCGGTTGCCACGCCCAGCTTGCGACCTGCTCCGCTTCGCATCCCAGAGCGCAAGCCTAGGATGTCGATCGGCGATGATGAAGATGCGGTTGCTGCAGTGGACGGCCCTGGTCAAGGCCGGGATGCGTCGAGGTCTCGCAATCCATCCGATGGCACTACTAGACGAAGGCACTTCACTCCGCCCAAGCCACGATTCGCAGTGACGGACGTGTCTTCACAGCGTCGCCCCACGGCCTTGAAACTTGGCAAACTGGTGTCCAAGTTTGAGATTCTTGATGCGGTGAACAATGCCAACGCCGACTCGTCTCGAATTCCGCGCCCTTCCCAGAGCCACGTCTTTGTTCGGACTGGCTTCCACCGACCCCCTGATGTCTCTCAAAGAGCGAAGCAACAATCCACGTCATCGGGGGAGAAGTCGAGCACTGCTGACGACTCTTTGAACTTGACACCCCGGCAGATGCCAGCACCCAGGGTGCCCGAGCGACGGTCGATGCTCCCGGTTGGCACCTGCCTGAGGACTGCCACGACAGATGATTCCTCAGGATCAAACGCCGAAACGCGATCGAATGCCTGGACTGCGAGTAGCGATGTGTCTCCTAGGACCCAAACACCACGAGGTCGAAACGCCAAAATGGACAATGGTCGTGACACTTTCCTGGTGGGAAGCAATGCATCTCCTGTGAGCAAACAGCTTGGTTAGGATCCCAGACTGGTTGCGGATAGGAGGAAGATGTTTGAGCAGGGAGAGTGTAAGTTCACACAGCCCAATATGGCCTCATGCTGCCAAGGAGGCCAGTACGTGTTGCTGACCAGGCCAGCATACTCGCCATTCAAACCCACGAAGTCACTTTTGGATCCTTCGGCTTTTCGTATCAACCACCCTGGAGTCCCCTTGGTGCACTCACCACCGAAACGCTTGCCTGTATCCAAGTCTTCAAGGCAGGCGATGGCATCGCCAAAGAAAACGAAGGCACCGAGCGACTCGCCCAAAACCGCAGTGGGGTTCAAAACACCAAAGCAGAGTTCTATTGATGATGAGTCACCCACACATGTTCGATCACCCGGCAAAGACCATAATGATCCGGCTTCGATTTCAAATTTAACACAGCGGCAGAAGCCTAGCGTCGCAAATCTTCGCAAGTCTTTCGAGCAAAACTTGACCCATGAGTCGACTGCAGTCGTCCCCGAAACCCCAACAAGGAACAAGGAGGGATCCTCAATCTCTGTCCGCCACTCCAACCGACAAAGCAAGGACCAGTCCCATTCATCTGAGTCGATGCCACGATCACCGGAGCAGCCACTCGAGACGCCCGTTCAACAGACGAAGCTTGAGGCGGCAACTCCGCCAAGTGCCATGGGCAGATCAAGACGGATGGAGCTGAAGCAGAGTCTGTCAACCAAGTCTTCAGGGCAGTTCTCCCCCACACCGCCGTCCGTTATCCCTATACGACGTATCCCGGCTACAGCTCTGCCCACCAGCACCCGATCTCGCCAGCGACAGGCCATGCAGATGAGGTCCAGGACTTTTGAGAGACCAAACTCACTATTTGAGCGTACACCCTCATCTGTGCCCGGGCCAGTTGAGAAAGCGGAACCCGAGCTGCGACCGGAACCCGAACCTGAAGCTGGTACATCGCAAGAGGTCGTTAGCAAAGGATTTCCTCGCTCGAGTCCGATACATCCTCTCTTCTTGTCAAACACAGGCAGACAGGAACGTCTGCAACGGGAAGAACACCAGGAGATTGAGCCGTTGGCATCAGGGCCAGAGTCATCTGCCGAGCCAGGCCAGATCAGTCCCACTCGAAGGAGCAACGACATCCAACCTTCGGTCATGGACAGTATACCTGTCGAAGTCCTCCCCATCGCCGATCCCGTCACAAAGTCTGACTCGACGACAAAACGCAGCATGAAAGTGTCCGACTTGCGCCGGATGTTCGACCGGCCTTCTTTTAGCGGCTCATCACCAGGCCATCTCATGTCCTTGGCGCGTGCAACTCGATGCACCCGTCCAAATCTTGGCACCGATCACTCAAACCCTGGCAAGAAAGACGCCAGTCCTACCACTTCGGTGTCATCGGGCCGCTCATCACAGAAGACAACGTCGGCACCTGAGCTGACGACCGAAATTGCGATTAATGACTTCGCGGTCGAGTTCACCTCCAAGTCTGAGCTCGTGATTGAACAGGACCAGTCGTCGCCCACGAAACCGCGAGCTCGTTTCGACATTCCTGTTGGGCTAAAGGCGGCACCAAAGCCTATTCCGAAGCAAATGTCGCCCCTCAAAGACCGCATCCAACTTTTCGAAAGCAAAGATCATGCAAGCCTGACGCATGGTCGCGCCAAGTCGTACGACACCTCTCTTCATACTAAATACCAGGCTAAGGGCCGGAAGGGAGGCAGAAGCAAGACGACTACTAGCAGCTGGCGTCCGATACGCGATCGTGGGGCAAGAATGTTACGTCGCATCTCGAACTCTCTTACCCAGTCCGTAGATGGAGGCAATGACTCCGTCGACAGTGGGGAGGTTTCTCGTCGTCACACCCGCAGAGGCAAGAGTTCCGAGAAGGAAAATGCCAATCCAGTCCCTGATGAGCAGCCATGCCAGACTCAAAGACGCAGATCGAGCCTTTTCAGTTACTTACACCAGCGCAGCAACCACTCGACCTTGGACAGCGGAACCCAGGTCTGGCAATCGACCGGTCAATCTACGGAGGAAGTGGCACATGGATATCCCAAACGCCATGACTCTACTCGCTCCCGCGGTGGCTCTAGCATCGATATCAACGATTCCCTCGTCGCAACACTGGAAACCAGCCGGCCCTATCTGCGCTACGCGCGATCGCCAATCCGTCCAAGTCCCCTGTTCCCTGCTCTTCCGGCGCGCAAGAGCTTCCCTTTCTTGCAACGCTTCTCAGGTGGCGAAAACAATAGGGGCAGTATCGAATTCGGCTTCGGACTAGACGGACAAGACTCGTCCAAGATGAGGAGGGAAAAGAGTAGCAATATCCTCAGCAACCCCGACGCCGCGGCGGGTACAGAGGACCTACCTACTACCGCCGCCGCCGCCGCGGTCGCGGGGCCATCGTCGGCAGGGCAGCAGAACGCGGCAAATGCTCACACACCCTACCCGGCCGGCACAGGCAGTGGTTCTGTAATCGCTACCCCTTCCCCCATCTCCACCGCCACCGCGCGCGAGAAACGCAAGTTCTCCCGTGAGAAGCGTAAAGAAGCCCGAGCACTTCGAAAAGCGGGCCGGCGGGCTTCGCGGGAGGCGCAGAAACAATCCGCCCATGCCCAGTCCCACTCTCCGCACAACCGCAACAGCCAAAAAAATAATCAAGCCTCAAAGTTGACACAGCAACAACAGCAAAGAGAAAGACGCTGGGGCGATTACACCGCGAGCGGCTTTCCCGTCCACCCATCCAAACTAGGCTCGGGGACCATCGCGGCCCCCAAACCGACTAAGCCGCATGAAGTGAGAAGGATTATCGAAAAGTACAGGTGGATGGAGAAGAGTACTAGCGTGTTGACCATGGGGTTTTATGGGAGGAAGGGGAGTAAGGACAGTCAAGGACAGGGACAGAATGGAGAAGAAGGGAGTGCGAATTCGTCAAGGAAGGCTAGTGATGCTACCGGCAAGGGGAAGACGGCTGAGGGAAAGGAGAAGGCGCACAGTGACACGCATTTACTCAAGTTGAGGCGAGGTCATAGGCAAGGGGGGGTGGCGGGAGGCGATGATGCTGGGGATGCAGATGGAGATGGAGTGCGGGGGAAGGTAGTGGGTTGTGGTGGGTGTTGAAGGTTTACTTGCTCAACTTGAACCGGGTGGCACTTTTCTTCATTTCAATCGGATGGTGGGGAGGAATGGGAGTATTAATGGGAATACTGGCCGAGTAAGGTTCGCCTGACTGGAGAACGGGATGAGAAGTGGGTGAGTATTCCAGGCGCACACGTTTTATGTGAGTATTGGATACATCGGTTATCGAGCTGGAAATGAGCAGCAGGGCAGGGCAGGGTAGATAGGGCAGCGCAGGTGCTTGCTTGCTTTTGCTTGATAACGGATGGAATGGAGTGGGACGCTGGGTGGAAGGTAATAGAAATGAGAAAGTAGACGGGCTTATGAGCGTGGTAACCCGGGAGTCGAATACGATTTTCGATCATTATGTCAATAATTCAACTTCATCAACCTGGCCTGGCCTGTTTTGTCGATTTGATCAAATTTGACTCTGACTCGTCTCATTTACGGCATGTTACTAAGTGCGCTAAAGCCATCTCATGTCATGTATCTACATCTCCTAATGGCTATGAGTATCACGACCTGTGCGTTCCTATTAAGCAAGCAAGCAGCTTACCGCGCCAACCCCATTCCCTTCCCAATCTTTCTTGCCAGCGCCTTCTTCAAGTACCACTCCCTCGCCAAACTCCTCGTCGTCTTAGCAAAAACAGCGGGCGTAATACGGCCCCTCTCAACCGCTCTGCCTAAGATAAATATCGCATCGCCCAACGCCCTCTCATCGGCCACGACATCGTACAACTGGTTGCCGACCACGGTAGGCGCCACGAGCAGCTCGTCGATTCCGGGAGGTGTCAATTTGCGGCTATTGGAGATGACGCCGTCAGCTTCTTGGAGCGACTGCTGCAGGATCGACGTGTTGGAGGCGAGCATGGCTGACAGGGGCGTCAGGGCGTTAGAGTCGTTTTGCAAGTTCTGCAAGGCGCCGAGCATCGCATTTCGTTGCGCAGTTAAGCCGGCGAGGGAGGATTTGTTTTGTTCGCGGGAGCGCTGGCGCATGGTGTAGAGGGTGGATGCGAGTTGGCGGAGAAGGGCGTCCTTTTCGGGGTTGGGGGGGATTGGCGGCGGGGGGAGGTGAGAGGGTGAGGGCAGCGCCAGAGTCAGGGGCTCGTCCATGATGTCGGGTGGGGGAGGAGGTTTGTGTTGTGGTTGCGGTGGGGGCTGCTGCATCGGCGGTTGCCAGTTTGGCGCAGGACCGCCGTAGGATGCTCGCTGTTGCTGCTGGGTCCCGGACAACTGTGGCGTCATGGGCGATATCGTCGAGGTGCGGCGTGGATCCTGGGGTGGGAAGCCGGTTTGCGGACCAGGGGGCATGTAAGGCGGTTGTTGGTGCTGTTGAGGTTGGGCGCCTCGCGATTGACCCTGGGGATGACCCTGGGGATGACCCTGGGGCTGCCCTTGTTGAAAGGGCAGAGGAGGCGCGCTGTCATATCTGAGACTTCGATTTGACTGCTGTTGTTGGCTATATTGAGTTTGCGGATGATGAATGCCAGGGGGCAAAGGGGGCAGTGGTGGACCGCCATCTCTGTGGATTGCCTGCCCAGGGACCACCTGGGGTGCATCGCTGCCTTCTTTCGGTGGCGGAGGCGGAGGACGTCCGTCCATCGCATGTGGGGATTGTGTTAGTACAGGTGTCCTCGCTGATATTTCCTGAGGAAGAGGCGGAATGGGCGGTGGCGTAGGCGTCAACTGCTGTGGTGCTGGTCGCGGTGGTTGGCGCGCGACCACCGGGGGTTCTTTCGCAAACACGTCGCGCAGTATGGCCAAAAAGTCCAAGATGGACGATTTCTAATGACCAAGTCAGCTCTCCGTCATGTGTCTCCGTCTGTCAACCGTGCGGCACTGACATCCCAAAACTCAACCCACCCAACCAGATATGGGTGATATATGCGCCCTTGCGGATCGATGTGCTGGCCGGGCCGGACCACCATGTTCTCGGTCGGCGTCACATAGGCTATCGGGGCCTCTCGCGGGTATGAGTGCGGCACCCATAGCGAAATGGGGAATCGGTAGGTCGTGCCCCTAAAGACGACCGGTATCGTTCCCGACACGTGGACGAGGAGAGCTGATACTCCATTGTCGAATGCTATCTTTCAGGTCAGATCATGTAGCCGAGCTGAATCGAGGTGGTGGTAGCATACTGTGGACATCTGTCCGCGGCGACAACGATGGATACGCAGACAGCACCTGGGCTACGTCGTTGTAGGTGCGATTGACATCATGATATTCCTGGCAATCGAGGCATGTTAGCCAAAGGTAGTTCGCGCGGGTAGCATGACTGAGGGGCAAGGCCGTACACTGGTCAGAACGCTGTAGAGCCAGTTCAGAACATGCTGCTGGACAACCATCTTGCAGGTGTCGTCAGCTCTACAGCCGTCGCATTCGCATCGTACAGCCGCCTGAATGGCTTCACGACAAAGTATGGAAATGCGGAGTGCTTCAGCTATCTCGACGGAGCTTTGTCCTGGCTGCTTGCCAAGGCTGATGTTCCCAGTGGGGCAATTTGGCGTCACCGACACAGACCGACCGTCAGCCAATGATGTAATGTCGCTATGGGGCACCAGCACTCTAGGGGCAAAGCCTCTGGGTAAGGTCTACTTGGTACAAGCACTGGCCCCCGTGCATATCGCCCCAAGCTTGCCGATGGGTGCAACTGCCAATTCTGTGCAACTGTTTTGTGAACTGCTTTTTTCGACCTCTTCTTTCGACTGCTCCGACCAGTCCGTCCTCTGCAACCCGACAAATCCCGTCATCCACGTCTAGATCTAGATGCCTTGGTTAAGTCGTCATGGACACATCATCGGTCCATCTTGCTGCCCACAACCACTACCGCACGCGTCAAGCCGTCAGGGTGCATTCCCACAACGTACCAGGTCCATCCTGCCCGCACGTGGGCCGTTTCAGCAACCATCGGTTTGAATCGCGTGCCTCCAATGCCTCAATGCCTCAACTGCTCTGGCCGTTTGGTTTCGGCTTCCCTGCAGATGACAAGAACAAAATGCGACTTGCGCCATCTTGACGCTACCAGTTGCCGCGCGAACCCTGCATACTGATCATCTAATGTCGAACAAATTTGCCTCGCTGGTTTCCTGGTTGGTCAATTAGTCAGATCCGGGAGCCGTACAACCAGCATTTTGGAACCTTCCAGGTCCAATAGCCGCTGCTCCGATAAAAGTTGCCGAGTTTAAACCTTTATCCTCTATCCGGCTTGTACCGCTCTCGTGAATAAACCATCATTTCTTTCCTAGCCTCTCGACCCCAAACCCTTATGCTCACGGCCACAACAGGTAATCGCACGGCTGAGGAGTATTACAGTGTCATCTCTGTATACTCCTTGCGTCAGGATTTTGTTACTTGAAGCACTTTTCCTAAACAAGCTGCATCTCCATCAACCAAGCCCAGATTGAACCCGGTCCCTACCAGGTCTCGGACTTGGGACAAGAGCCACTCAATCGCCATGATTCCTCCCATTCCCGTCTTGTCGGACTACGGGATCAGCCCAGCCCACGGCTTCCTCCCGGATGTCCTGCCGTTGACGAGGCTTCCTGATCCGTACTACAACAAATGGGAGGCCATCAGCGCCAATCTGCAAAATCTGATTCTTAGCAAGCGCCTCCAAGGGGTCGTTGATCGTCTGCCCGTTCTCTCCACCATCGGTCTGGAACATGACGCAGAATGGCGGCGAGCCTACATGCTCCTGACCTTCTTCGCCCACGGCTATATCTGGGGAGGTGACACTCCCCGTGAACGGGTGCCGCCCAGCATCTCCGTGCCGCTGCTGGAGATTTGCAGGCACCTTGAAGTGCCTCCCGTGTCGACCTATGCCGCCTCGGTCCTCTGGAACTTCAAGCCCCTTTTCATCGATGAGGACATCGATGACCTGGACAACCTCGCCACCCTGGTAACCTTCACAGGCTCGCTCGATGAGTCTTGGTTTTACCTTGTCTCGGTCGCCATTGAGGCCCGCGGCGGCCCCATCATACCGCTCATGTTGACAGCCGTTGCTGCGGCTCGCGCAGGTGATGCTGCAACCGTGACACGTTGTCTGCGCACCTTTGCCGAGCGCTTGGATGATCTGGGTGCGCTGCTTCATCGCATGCACGAAAGCTGCGATCCAGGGTTCTTTTACAAGCGCATTCGCACCTTCCTCGCCGGCAGCAAGAATATGGCTGATGCGGGACTACCCAGAGGCGTCATCTGGGACGATGGCACTGGGAAGTCGGACTATGTGCAGTACTCTGGCCCCAGCAATGCACAAAGCTCCTTGATCCAGTTCTTCGATCTCATTCTTGGCATCGAGCACCGTCCTACAGGGGAGAAGGCCGACGCTTCGTCAGAATCGGAGCGCGAGGGCCGCGCTCGGGCGCCGAAGAACAACTTCATCCGCGAAATGCGCCGATACATGCCGGGACCGCACGCGCGCTTCTTAGAGGACGTCGCATCGGTCGCCAACATCCGTGAATTTGTGGAGAGCTATTCTGGCGCCGACCGCGATCTTGGTATTGCGTACGATGCCTGTCTCAGCATGTTACGTGCCTTCCGCGACATTCACATCGCCATCGTGACGCGCTATATCATCCTGCCTTCGAGGGAGACCCGCGCACGCAGTCGCAGCCCGGCCAACACCCGCCAGAACCTTGCTACTGCTTCCAAGAACGAACAGCACAAGAAGGTCAAGGGCACCGGCGGCACCGCCTTGATCCCGTTCTTGAAGCAGGCCCGCGATGAGACGGGTGAGCCGGCTGTGGAAGCCTGGGCCAAGCGCTTCATGACTCGGCAGTCGCGTTCAACTGGCCAGGGCGACTTCTTTGCTGGCAAACCCGAGCAAGTCGAGGTCGTTAAAGAACCAGTGGTTGAGCATGGGCTGGCGGGGATATGGACGATTGATGACGATGTAGGCGGTATCTGCAACTACTAGACCGTCTTTCCGTCAACGTATTTGTGACTCAGTATCTCGTAGCAAACTGTTTGTAGAAACAAATCATAGTCTTGCAATGCCGTGTCGTGACAATCGTGAGCCGCCTCGTAAACACTTGACCCACGCAAGTCGGCAAACCAGAAGTGGGCCGTTGTGCTACCTCGATGAGTGAGGCACCTTTACACCGTATAGCCCGTCCTACTGGCCATTGACTCATGATGACTCCAACGTGGACATGTGGTTTGAAACATCCATTTCGATTCAAATGGTTTAAACAAGCGCCACCCACCACCAGTACGCATCCCTTTTCCAATCATTTGTTGACTGCGACATCATTCGACAATTCAGGTTGAGCTGGATTAATCTCCAACTCATACCCACGAGACTTGAGCCAGACTTTTGAAAAGACCTACCCAGGTAGTTCATTCATACCTTTGGGAACCCCCATCTTACTTCACCCTTCTCTGTCGCATCCCAAACCATCAGAAATCCCCCCTTGCCCTAGAAAATCGATTTGCTCGGGCCAAAAAAATGGCAATACCCCCAGACAAAGCCGCTATTATCATCATCGTGACGGTCGTGGTGTTGTTGGCGCTCGTGGGATTGGCGGTTTGGATTTGTTGGTGTTGTATATGCTGCGGAGGCGGCGATGATGAGGAGTATGCTGACGAGGAGGCGGGTTCTTGGTGCTTGCCGTTTCCGCATCATGTGGGATGAAATGGGGTAGGAAATAAGGTGCGTAGAGAAGGGATGGGACTGGGGCTTGTTGGTGGAGTGCACTGGGACTGAATATGTCGCAGGGCAATGGCTGGCGATCACTGTGGGTTGGCTTTGGGAGGATGGAAGGATGGAGGGACTCGTCACTGTGACGCGAGAATGGTCGGTAGGAAGTCATGCTAATCGTCCCAGGGCTCCGTCCTACTAGTAGGGGTACCAACGAAGTTACCATGGGCGGTCAGACGATATTAAGAGACAGAGGTGAGAGCAGCAACTGGGCGAAAGCATCATCGGTCAATCTGTAGTACAGTACGGTAGCGCCAAGTGAGGCGGACGGGAGGCAAACACGAGTACCATTGGGCGCACATCAGATGGAGAGTACCACATATACACAAGAATGGCGGTGTACCAATCACCGTGGCTCGTTGTCTTATGCTCCTCGCCCGTCTTTTCCTTCTAGAAGCGACAACGCAAGTATACCGTTTCACATATTGTATCATGAGCTTCTTACCCCTAGAATCAGGTAGTTGAAGATTCCCCGACTATGACCTGGGATTCAACCATACGAAACACATTATCAACTTGATTACTTATTCAGTCTCTGAGCACGCAGCCTTGTCTCAGTCACGGATTGGGTCGTAAACTCCCGTCCACAATGTCAGCAGCATCAACATCGAAGCCCGCAACCCACCTCACCAGGACATCTACCACCAGAAACGCCGCGGTCTTCGAAGCACCATGGCCATTGCCAAATCCCAAATTCCCATCGATCTCCACACCCGCAATACCTGCCTTACCATCCCCATCAACCCTTCTAACCCCTCCCCTAAAGGCCCCCTGCCCAGCCTGCACAACCCTAACCCTAACTTCGACAACAACCTCCTGCACCACACCCTCGCCCTCCATCACCGCGGTCCTCGCCAATTCATCCTGTTGTGCCAATAATGGCCTCGAATGGTACGAAATCGTGGCGATCATCATTTGCATCGTCTTTTTTCTGCTTCTGCTGGTGTGCTGTGGTTGTTGGCCGGTGATCCGCGCTATGTTTAGGGGCTGTTGTTGTCCGCTCGCGGATGAGGAGGATGATTATGGGGGGTATGGGTACAGATGCGGAGGAGGGGGAGGAGGGGGGCGAAGGGGAAGGGTAAGGAGGACCAGGACGAGGTCGGGGAGGAGAGGGTTCGTGGGGGTCTTGGTGCCGGATCCGCCGGCGCCAGAGGTGGAGGATGAGGGGGAGACTGCTGGAGCTGGTGCTGGAGCTGGAGCTGGTGCTGGAGCTGGAGCTGGTGCTGGAGCTGGAGCTGGTGCTGGTAATGCTGGGGCCGGGACTGGGAATGCCAGTCCTGGTTCTGGAGGAGGTGCTGGAGGAGGTGGACACGTTGCTAGTTCGCCAAGGCCATTGATGGTAGGAGGCTTGGCGGTAGGGTCGGGCTTGGGGCCATCTTCAAGAGCTGGGAGTGCAGTTGGAAGTAGGACTGACCGTGGTGGGGGTCGGTCACCGCCGCGTGGGAGGTCTGCTGGGGCGAAAAGGGGTAGCTCGAAGTCGAGTTGAGAATTTCGCAGGAAGGCAATGAGGTCTTGTATGGAGAGTCAAATGTGAGGAAAGCGGTATGGTGTTCCCATCATAGAATGACAGGAATTAGCTGCAGTTGCTTGGACTGTTGAACAAGCAGTTGGGGTTTATTGGAAATATCTGGACAGTTTGAGGCTATTGAGCCCATGGATTCTGCGGACTTACGATGATACGAACCAAACTGAAGCCAGTTGTTAAGCAGAACTAAGCATGAACATGACCTTTCTAAGCTGTTATGTTGCCGTGACTCAGTCTCACTAGAGGTGAAATATATCGACCCTGAACTTAAAGAGACTTACGTAAGATAAGAGTTAACACTCACCATCTGGGATACGAAAATTCCGTGTATGATGTTATGTATACTTACGTAGAGGTAGGGGCAAGTGGAATGGTGGAAGGTGGTATGCATGGCGGCGAATTTGTTTTCACCGAGCCTCAACGCTAATTTGGTCTTCTCATTGGGACTCCGTCAAGGTCACTGTCTTTGACCGCTAACTTCTATTAAATACACGTAAAAGACCGGGACAGACTGACACTTCTGCTCAAAACCTTCGTATCCCAAGGCGTTGAAGGCAGGCTTCACCACTTGATTACATCCAAGCGTCGAAAACCAGGTATTTGCATTAGTGCAGGTCAGTTCCTACAAGTCGATTCACAGCTATCTGAGGTGCTTGCTTATGACTACCATTCCGGTGGGCCCGTGATTTTGCAATTCTTTGGTTTGTACATGCAAATTCAACGTCAAGGTGCTCTTCTCCGGACATTGTGGCTATATGTAGCTACCATAATCTGCAAGAATATCAGTGTAGGGTGACAAGCATATATGACAATGTTGCTACCCCTCTCCATGTATAAAGTCCTTCTCAAGTAGAAGCTCGGGGCCTCGAGAGCACTTGTTGCACATGGCAGTAGCTCTCTCACGGCCTGCACTGCACACGGAAGCGTAATAGCCTTCTTTGTCCCACGCAGGCTCCTGTCCGCAGTTGCTACAGTTGTGTAGGTCGACGTAGGGTACGTACGACGCAGTGCTCGCCAGGCTGGTCACCTTGCGCAGAATGTCGGCCGGAAATTTGGGGACTCCATAATAGACTTGCTGAAAGGCCACGTCGGACAGGATCCACCCGTGTGTAGCTGCGACGAAGCTGGCGGCCACGTCATGAACGGTGTCGTGTTTGCTCCTGTAGATCTCGTCGATTGCGGCCTTGATAGGTGCCAGAACATCGGGGCTGAGGAATGAGGACTTGTTCTCAGCACAGCAGAAGGCCTTCTGAACAGCTTTTGCGTGGGGCTTGAACCAGGCTCGGGCCCGAGCAGTGCACGCGAGGCCCATGTCGGGCATGCCAAAATCATCGGACAATTGGTAGCAGTCGACGAGGGTACCGATAATCCTCTGTTCGATCTCCAAACCAAACGAAACCAAAGTCCGTGTGTAGATCCTGCGCGGAGACAATCAATTAGTGATGAAGTCAAGATGAACGATACGGATAACTGGCACTAACCAGAGGAGAACTGTCCTTGCCTCGTAATCGGTGTAACGCGTAAGGTCGATCCGTCCAAACCAGTCCACGGGCCAATTCTTTGCCAGTGCCTCCTTGAAAAACTGAGATCGAGCACTTAGGATGTCCTTGTGAAGCTTCCAGTTTTTGAACCCCATTACAGCCCCGGTTCTCACAGTTATGTCAGAAAACGCGCCCGTGTCCAGAAGCCTAAGACTCTTGTCAGCATGTTGATCTCCAAGTTCGTCTGATCATGCGAAGAGGAAGAAGGTTAGAGGGTTGGGTGCAGCTAACTCTCTGTCGTGCCCAGCCGTGTTGAGCTCGCCCTTCTCGGCAATGAGCGCGAGCTTGGTCTCGAGCATTGTCCTCTTGACAAGGGCCTCATAATTGGATTCTTCCTCCTCGCACTCGAGCTTGATCTTCTTTCTGGGAGGCTGTCGGGGAGCCATGTTGACACTTCGCGTGGCGTTGAGTTGTGTCAAATGGCAGTCGTAGTGTGTCAGGGCATGGAAGGTATGGCTTTGACCACTACAAGGTGCAATTGATTTCTGAAAGGGGAATCACTCAGCTGAAAGTGAGCCTGAGATGAGGAGCACTTGCCACACAAATAGCTTTACGTGTGAGGATTCCCTGAGGCAACCACCCTGGTCCACCTTAAATGGGTGAGCTTGTAACTCTTGGTGCAAAGGGTGGCCGGTGAAAGCGGCTTAAAAAGCAGGAAGATTCCCCCTGGGACATGAGTGGTTCCAACCATTGCTCACAATATTCTGGCTGCAGATATCCTTTACCATTACAGCCTGCAGGTGTTCTTTCACAACCAAACAAACAGAACACCATGAGTCCATCACATAGATCATGCCACCAATCAAAGAAGATAGGCAGATGGGTTTGACATTCCCATGCAAGTCCAATAAAGCTAATCCAATTAATCACAAGTATACAATGACTTTTGCAGATTGTTGCCAGAAGCTCTAAACTTGCTGGTGATCTGTTCAAATCAATAGCAACATATGTTAAACTTCAGGTGCAAAACGACAAGAGAATCAAATAAGAAACTATGCCTTGGCTCGACCCCAAGCCTTGGGAAAAGGTGAGTAGTTGAGCAGGGGTGAATGCCTACTACTTGTACATCCTGGCTTTTTGTACTTGATGCTGGCTGTGATGCCGGAGTTTTGTTAATTCTTGTCATTACTATTTTTATGACATCTAACAACTTGATAGTGAATATAGCCAAACATATTAACAAACTATCATTCGAAATCTCTAAGCCTTTTCGTGCCACCTTATTGCATCAACTACCTCCAAACTAGCAGCTAACGGATACTCAAAATGATCAGTTGTTTATATGTGATTGCCGTCCAGCCCCGGCAAGTCCAAAGGAATACCCCGAAGTTGCCAAGCCTGCGCTATGCTAAGCCGGATTCGGGGTGATGGCCGGTGCAGTGCAGGGATTTCGGGACCATCCCGAACAAGCGGAGCCTCTTCTCATCTGCCGAATCTATTGACGGGTACGACCATGTGTGACAGGTACAGGGCTTGCTTGCGCTTAGCAAACAGTAAGTGCTGAAAGTCATCTGGGCCACGGTCTGGTCCAGGTGCAGAGAGGCCCGATTATATATATCGTCGGACCCCACGGGAATAGTTTCCTGTTCCGTCCAAGCCAGCTAAAGCGTTCAAGGGACTTCCTTCCATTCGAATTTCTTCGTTACAGCGCCCAAGGGCACTCTCGGCCATCATCTTGGTTTTCACACTCTCCATTCTGGCCCTCGCGAGCTCAGTCCGCGCGGCATCACTTGGCGCCGAGGAGACTGCACCTGATGCTGTTGTCGGCTTTGCCCAAACTGTACCGGATCACGCGGAAGGGACATTGATGCTGAGATATCAGCTATATCTCAAGATTGTAGATGGCTGCGTGCCATTCCCAGTTATAGACGCGGCAGGCGACGTGAGCTGAGCCTTTGCCCCTCAGACTCATCATTTCCAGCCAGTGTCTGTATGTCAAAAGCGCCGGCCTCTCCCCAAGCAGCAAATTCTCCGGCTGCTGCTCCTTTAGCACAGGCCAAATGTACGCCCGCGCCAGCACCTACAACAACTCCTATGTGATCCTACACTCTTGGCACTTCCCCAAAGGCGAGTCGTCCTGGCTCGGTAACCGGGCTGGTGTGGGCCACCGGTGCGACTGAGAAGGCGTGGTAGTCTGGCTTTGGTCCGCGTCAACTGATGCTACGCTTTTGGGTGTCGCGGTTTCGTACCATGGGGACTACGTGACGACGCCTGAGCCGGATTCGAGCGGGATTATCCATCAATTAAGTACTATACCGCGTATGTTATTTCAGACCGTCTGTATGGGTTCACGAGTACGGTGGGCGGCACGCAGCCGCTGGTAGCTTGGGGGAAGATGCCGGCTGTGGCGCAGGAAGCGTTGGCGGACAAAGATTGGGTTGACACGTGTCGAACGAATTCATGTTTTGGAGGGGCGTATATGCTGACTGGATCACAGATGGAAATGTGTATTTTATCGACGATAACTTCGAGCCTAACTTGGCTGAGGCGGTGTTGTAGGTTTGAGAGACATGATGGAAGCCCGACGGACCAAGCCATTTTAGGATATGTGTATTTCACATTGGAAATCATCTGGACAAGGGAAACAGGTCATGGCGAGAATGAAGTGAGAGAATCAAGTCCCAAACTTCCCTCCTTGCGCGTTTCGTCGATCATTTTCTATACAGCATCCAATATTTGGTTTAGTCAAGACACTTAAAACCAGCTGATGGCCGTTACGGGATGATTCAACACAGAATAGGAGCCACTGCTTACCATAATCGTGATCTATCACCAGACCAGCCTGGCATTTATTGCTTACAGCTATGTATGTTAGATAGTATAATCTGACTCACGCTCGGTGATTCAAGCTTAGTGATTCTGCTTGTTCCGCTAGGAACATAGTGATATCTATCTCGATAACAGCTTCTATTTCAGTCTCGGTCATCTCCAGTTTTACTATCATTCCATAGCTCATGTCCCCATTCGTATTTGCTAATAATAGACAAGTCTTGGCCCCGCACGATTGACAAATCAGAACTTACGAACGATGAGACCCCGTATCCCAGACAATGTGACAGAACTTGACGCGATAACAATATTGGGTATTATCACTTTACGTTCCTCGGTCTTTTCGCTATTAAACCGCCAATACCTCCTAGAGAAGCATATAGATGTACCACCCCCTTTGAGCAAATTCCACGTACCTATACTAACACTGAACACTGAGACACAAGATTGCTTGGATGTGATCAAGTGGTGAAGCCTGCCTTCAACGCCTTGGGATAGGGGCATTAATATAGTCTAGTAGCTATCTTATTCCCCTAATCTAAACCCGATAGAGATATGCTAGAACTGGATGAAGGACTATATTAAAGGTAAATACGGTATTACTAAAAAGCCTAGCTATAATCGTCTTCGGATATAGGTAAAGGAGGCTTAGGATAAACTACCTAAGAGCTACTTACAGGAGCTTCTGAAACCAATACTAGAGAGGTGCGAAGCGATAATCGTGGCTAATGGATTGTATACAGAGTACTAGTAAAATGTATTGAATATACGCCAAGAGTTGGCGCGTGCTAAGGTAGGGCACGGTACAAACACAATTGAAAACTTACCCATGACACCATAGTATGGACAGAACGACACGTTCGAGTCAGCCACGGTTCCACCGCGATCATGGACGCGCTGCAGACGCGTCGGCGGTTAATGGTTCCCTCCCAGGAGCATGTTTTAAGATCTCTAGGTGGCCCCACCACGAGGCAAGTCTTTGATTACACGCTTGTCGAGACACGATGCCGAGATCTACGACAAGCACACAACGGTACACCATTGTCTGAAGGGAGATTTCCGACGTAGATTGCTAAGGGGCGACTACAACGCCGTGTAGATTTTGCACCCTCTTGGCACGAGGAAGTGTGGGGGCTGTTCCCGAACCCTGCAGCGTCATTGATCGATCCAATCAAGAGCTGAATGGGACGCTGAGCCATGGACATGATTTCCGATAATGCCGAACATGCACCCTGTAAATCCGGCATATAGGCACTCAAGACAATTGGTTGGCGCCTGACATCCTGCATTCCACCTGGGTACCGGTACCCTATTTGAACCAACTGTTCTGGTCAATGATACAAATGAGCCGAAACCTCCCATCCTCACCATCTGCGCTTATCTTCAAAGGCCATGTAGGTGAACCTCAACGCCCAACATGATCCCGCCGAGCTTGACGTCGCGGCGCAATTGGGCAACGCCCATGGACTGGGAATCCTATCGCGCCCGCATCATAAATCTCTATATCGATCAAAAAATGCCGTTGAGGTCAGTCATGCAGCACATGCGTGACCGGCACCATTTCCACGCCACGTGAGTAAGCGCCCATGCCAGCATGCACCGATAACCAATGGCTGACTTCGCATCCCAGCGAGAAAATGTATAAAATGCATTTCGTACGATGGCGCGTCCGCAAGAATTTCAAAAAGTGGGAGATCGACGACCTCGTTCGTCACCAGCAACAGAGTCAGCCCCCTCTAGAGCTTGGTAAAACTCATCGTTGTCAGCTTTTATCAACATCTTGTCGTACCCCATCACCAGACCCCCCCATCTCAATCCTCTTCCCCCTTTCGACACCCGAAACACTGCACCAACCCGAGCACTTCATGCGCCTCACAACACAATACATAACCTGGGGTTTCAACTCGGGCTCCTGGCAGGCCAACCCGCCCCCCCTCGTCATGTCAGCCAGTTATGTCCAGTTCCGCGCCTGGTTCGACGACATCATCGTCGGCAAACAACTTCTCCTCCTAGGCAACACCAAACAAGCCTTCGCCGTCTTCCAGTCCTCCACCGATAAGTATGCCCGCATCGTCCTGGGGAAGAACCCTCGTCTGATGATCTACACTTACATCACCGCTCTATTCCTCATTGACGTGGCGCCTGATTTGGTCAGGTCTATTATCAATCATGCAGTTGATCTATGCCGCGTTGTCCATCCGAATCCCGCGCACCCATTGAGGCTGTTGATGGAATTGATGACCAGGACGAGCTTTGCTGATTTTCGGAGGAGTGCGCGACATGTGCTGCACTGCTACTTTCATCAGATTGAAGCCAACGTGGAAGCATCTACTTGGAACACGAAATGCGTCACGAAGCTGCGCGCGCCGATATCGAATATTTTGGCGACTGAGGGGCTGCTTGACTTTGAGCAGGCGGAGTGCACATTGAAGATGGTACTTCGGAGGAGCTGCAAGGAGGGTCATACTGCCGAGCCAGTTGACGAATTCAATCTGACTCTGCTCCAGACCAGGCTTGATCTTGCGAGTTTATATCTGCGATGGGCGAAACTCGACGAGGCACATACGAATATTGCTGAAGCAGTTGATTCGGAGGAGATACGGAAACACCCCTTTTGCGTCGTTCAGGCGTGTCTCTTGCTTATATCCATCGCCCGTAAGCAGGGCAGCCAGAAACGGGTCCTTAGCCTGGTCCCCAAGGTTGCTAAACTCTGTCTGCAACATGGCAGAGAATCTGACGGAGTGACTGTCACTGCATTGAATAATCTGGAGTCGTACTTGCGTGAGGTTGGTCAAATCAAAGAGGCAGATTGTATCAGCCGCGATCTAGACGCTGTCGCGACGGCGTCATTGTATACGGCAAAGCTTCCATTCAGGCTTGCTAGTGCGATGCTTCCAGTAGAAAGAGAAACAAATATTCTAGAGGCAGGTATGGGAGGGGCCATCATACATGAGGGATACGATAGAGACAGGAGCGACGAACCTCCTACGAGGTACTCGTGTTCACGCTCTCCGAAGGAGGAAAACTTGCATTAATCATAATTCTCGTCAATATAAAGGCAATTAACGAACTGACCGATGTTGTCTAAAGCACGACATCGTTCCTCCCTCAACAGTAATACTTAATTCATAAACCCAGCCTAAACAGAAATGATAGAAAACAGCTCAAGCAACAATATCATACACTTCCTCGTGACAAAATGCCCCCCCCCCGCCCCTAGTTATCCCCATGCGATACCCGTCACAATATTTGCCGGAGCCTTGCGTTCTTTTCTTTCTGAGCTGTACGGATTGTTCCTGCGTTTCGTGAGCAGAGCAGTATGTTCACCCCTGATCTAGCCGGCTTCCTGGCTAGCATCCGCAGTGGTGCATCAAAGCCAGGGGCAGCGGCAAGCGCCCCCACTCCCGCATCACCATCGACTGAGAGCGACAAGAATACGACGGCCCCATCACCACCAGAACGGTCTGCTCGCAAGCCGCGCGACCGCACGCTGATTGAGCAGCCGCCTTGGCCACGCACAGCTTTAACTAAGACTACTGCTTGTTACCTATGCTCCTACGTCTTGCCTGGATTCTAGGGGGCATGGGAACAATACACGAACCCAGTACGACCGATCTCAGGACAGACGACGATGGGAGTTGAGCGATGGCTCTGCGCAATCCCAGGAGGGAACAATATTCACGTCGGGAGAGCCGAATGCTACTTCAAAATAAGTCTGCGTGAGATCAGGTCTACCCCAAGGGATACATGACTACGTAGGTTAGAGTAGTATAAGAAAGAGATTCGAGTCACGGAGGCCAAAAGTGGGACAAGACACCAGTTGGCCTGCTGCAACCGCATCACAACTATATACTTCATGCAACTCCCGGTAGCTCATTGTCTTAGGAGCTGTACTCTGTTGTATCACGTCAAAATCTGCCTGCACTTAGGCCTTATATTCAGGAGGGTTACACTTTTGTATTCGCTCAACTCGGCTAGGCTGCTCTCCACCACTCGGGGCTTCTCCGTCGCACTCAGCAACGATATGTTGTACCACCGCGATCGCGAAGTCGCCGGCGTCCTCTATATTGCACATATTTCGATAAAAAGGACGCTACTCTCGATGACTATCGGTTTTGAGTTTTTGAAAGCGTGACCTCGATAGTGTTGTCAGTTGCACAATACGTGTCATCCCAGCCGGAAATCACAACCTTATTTTGACGACTAAGCTCGACTGCCCGTGCTCCAGAGCTTTGTCATACATGAAAGGATGAGTGATTCGATCAGCCTCAACTTCTCGTTCGTCTGATCTCCATCCACTTATTCTTGATCCCACCGACGTTAATTTGGTGTTGGCTCTTTGTTCAATTCTTTGGCACGTTTGCTTTGCCTAATAGTGAGAGCCACCGGGCGCTGAGTACGATTGGCGCGCTCGCCCCCAATTGACGGCGTACAAATGCGTCTTCCCAGCATGTCAGGATGGACGCAGCAACCAATTCAGTCGGCGAATGTTTCAGAGACGTTCCCTTCAAGGTTTGTATGCTGGTGCACGACGGGTACCTAGAGGATTTGAGGTGCTTGCAAGGACGTGGTGCTTTCGGAATACCCCGGCGCTCTACATCTCCGCTTCCTTAACCATGAAGTTGTGCTACCTTAGTATGCAGGATCGGCGGGACATGTGGGCCAACGGATGGAAATCCTGGTAGTTTGGGGTCTGGTTCCATGTTCTAGACCGCAGCTTATTCAAAAGGCCGGATGGCCGCTGGAGCCGGTTGATAGTGGGAAAACGACTCGGGTAAGATGGGTTGCTAGGAAGGCCTCCTTAGACACATATGTATATGTAATAGTACATCTGTTTCTGTCTTGGTTCTACAGTACGTGACTGCAAGAACTGGAAATTTCGCACGCATCTTTACTTGGCTGCGACCTCTAACGGTCGCATCGCAACGAGGTGGCATCCGGGCAAAATGCCAAATCATCAACTAATCCCTGCCCACAGCCACCTGCCAGGGACCATTGCTTGTCATTAGACGCCTTTTCTGTGCAATCCACACTGGGATGCGCGCTGAATCCTGTGGGGTTGAACGGGCGCGGTTGATGTTACTGGCTGTGGGGGCAGGAATGGACTAGACAAACGGGGTGACAGGTAGACAAGTATAGAGCAGTTAGATCGCGTATTGAATTGGACGAGGCCATCGGTCACTTCTATTCTGGTAATATGCCTGCGTCATGATCGCCTGCATCTCAGCCCCGTATTAGGTGATTGGCTGGGCGAGTGGATGGAGAAGAGATAGGGCTGCATTTATTACCCACCGATTGTTGCATCCTTTTCAAAGACCTCACGATAGTATCCTTTCTATCTTAATCGTCCCAGGATGCTGCGCCAACCCGGCTGCTTTAGCGCATATATCTTTGTGCATTTTGTGGGAAACACTATAAATGGCTAGAGTACAGTTTGTCCAACCGCAAAGGAGATGCATATGACTTACAGGCATTAGTCTGAAGCTTACATGTCATCACACTCTCCAAGCAGCTTATGTACCATTCCCACAATGCTACTCAAAAGCCTGTCAAATGACCCAGAATTTTGCATATGTCCATTAATCTATTCCAGTACCTCCAAATCGGATGTTCTAAGTATGGGGATGACCGCGACAGCCATGACGCTGCAGGACCTAGTTTTAATGACTTGGCCCCGCACCCACGCACAATTGACCCTCCCACTGCTATACTGTCAGTGTTCTGTTATTTGTTTAGTTCTTGCCCTCCATTTGCTCCTCTATTGTGCGATCCCTCGATGTCTCCCAAGACGCTAAGCGCTTAATCTGTTTGTGAGTGATTATAAACGACACCGACACAGAGAGGCTATCTAACCAACAAGAGTCGGCTGAAGCTGATTGATACCCCGTTCAAAGCTCCGTCCCAACATATCTCAACCAAATGACTACCTCGTGGGTTGGATATGCGCCATTAGCACCGAGTATGCTGCGGCACAAACGTTTCTCGACGAAAAGCATGAAAGACCGGAATACGTATCCCCAAATGACAATAATGACTACACATTGGGCAGGGTCTGAAAACACAACGTCATCATCGCCGTATTACCAGACCGAGAATATGGAATATCATCAGCTGCAAGCGTCGCAAGAGATATGCTGCAAAGCTTCCCCAATATCAGAATCGGTGGTGGTGCGCCAAGCCCCAAGCATGATATCCGTACGATAATCCAGCAATCCACTTTGGGTTAATCGCTTCAGCCAATCAATTGATGAAGGACCCTTCCGTCCGGGATCGACTTTCGAAGGAGATGGACGTCCTCTGTCTCGAAATGGAAGCGGCAGGGTTGATGAATCACTTCCCATGTCTGGTCATTCGTGGCATTTGCGACTACTCAGACACACACAAGAATAAGGAGTGGCAAGGGTATGCAGCCATGGCAGCAGCGGCGTATGCAAAGGACCTACTGAACCGTACTGCACCAAACAGAGTTGAGGCTGAAAAGAAGCTTACCAAGGTTATTGATGAAGGGTTCGCCCATGGTTAGTGATCCAAGTTATTATTAGGCCGAGTTACCTTGATTATTTTTATTAATGTGTTAGTCAATGAAAGTTTGAAGGGCGTTCACTCTTTAGCAAGTGCGTCCCAGAGTGGAGTTGAAAGTCTCAAGGTAGACAAATATCTTGAGAAGCTCAGGAACTGGCTCTCGCCACCCGATTTGTCAACCAACTATAACAAAGCATTAGAGCAACGAAATCCAGGCTCGGGGCAGTGGTTCCTTCAAATCGAGGCATACAAGGCGTGGAAACGAGAACCAAACTTCTTTTTATGGCTTAACGGTATTCCTGGATGTGGCAAAACGGTACTTAGTTCCACCGTCTTTGAGAACCTCGAGAAAATCGAAGCTTGCTCTCAAAACCTCTTGTACTTCTACTTCGACTTTACGAACACTGAAAAACATTCTTTCGAGAAGTTAATATGCTCACTGATTCATCAGCTGTACTATAAGAGTGAGAAAGTCCGAAGATATCTAGACTCACCCAACTCCTCTTTTGATAACGGGAGGCGACGGCCAAGTATTGACCTTCTCTCTACAACCTTACAAAATATGCTTCAACAAGCTGGTGAAGTCTGGATCGTACTAGATGCACTCGATGAGTGTAAAACACGAAAATACTACCCAACTGGAGGACTACTCCCGTGGATTCGAAACCTTCGTGACTTGCAGACGAATATTCACCTTCTTATTACAAGCCGTCCAGAACAAGATATCAAGGAGACCGTCGAGAAGTTAGCGCGTAATAAAGACATCATCTCTCTCCAAAGCGACCTAATAGAGGACGATATATGTGGATATATCCGGGCAAGAGTTAAGCAGTCCGAGGGACTAAGCAGGTGGCACGAGCGGCCGGATATGCAAAGCAAAATTGAAGCCACTCTAGTAGAGAAGGCCAACGGAATGTAAGTTCTTTTATTCTCGTTTTCTGTGGTGATATTACTAAGATAATACAGGTTTCGCTGGGTCTCATGTCAATTCGATGTTCTTGAACATTGCTACAGCCCTCAAGAAGTCGAAATGGTGCGCGCGACCCTACCGGCAACCTTGGATGAGACGTATGCTCGGATCTTGGAGAATATACCCCCCAATCACATGCACTATGCAAAACGACTTCTGCAATTCTTAAGCTTCTCCGAACGGCCGCTACGGATTGATGAAGCTGTTGATGCGATTGCAGTAGACACGGCAAGCAGACCTCGGTTTGATCCTCAGAACGGATCGCCAATTCCAGAGATCTCAAAATACTGCTACAGCTTAGTAGTACTTTTTACGAAAAAAAGCAACCCTTATAAAGATGAGATGGTTACCGAGATACAGCTTGCGCATTTCTCAGTTAAAGAGTACCTGACATCAAATCGCTTAGCAAAAAGCATCAAAATGGACTTCGAGGAGGCCGCTGCCAGAGCCTCTATCTCAGAAGCCTGCCTTGCCTATTTATTGGATTTGGACCAGACCTGCAAGCCACAAGAAATTATAAAGTCATACCCAATGGCACAGTACTCTGCGCAATACTGGACGAGCCATGCTATAATAGCCGAGACCCACAGCGAAACAGGCTTTAAGCTAGCAATCGAGTTCTTTTCCTGTAAAGACTCCATTGAAACATGCTTAGAACTCTATGATATAGGCTAATGTCTTAATATACCGCCCGCATTACATTACGCATCGCGGATAGGGCTGACCAAGTCCGTCCAAAATTCGATCCTCAGGGGCCGACGTGAATGCCCAAGGCGGTCACTATGGCAATGCTCTTCAGGCTACATCATATAGAGGCCACAAAAAGATAATCCAGATACTGCTCGAGAAGGGGGCCGATATTGATGTTTTCCATGCTCCAACATATGGAAGCCACGACGCGCACTACCAGAGCTGCAGCTCTCCCTCCAACGTACTAGAACGGCTTGAAGAAGTAGCCGGCTAGGCAGTACGACAGTTCACGGTTTTCATACTTAGCGGCCTTCCAGAAGACGTTAGTTTCATATGAGATTCCTTGGCGCTTTAATAACATTCCCATCGATGATTGAATAGATATTGTCAAGGTTTCATGCCCACACCGACAATTTTCGCCACGGCCAGAAACGCTACAGTTTTAACTCGAATTGATGTTCCTCTCGTTTCTTGCACTATATTGTTGACTTTATATACTATTTGTGCTTCGCTAGGGCACATTTTCGAGTTTAGGCAGTGGAAGAATCGGCTAGGATGATGGGCAGGCCTCTAACCAACCAAACCAAACCATCTTACGATACTTGACAAACAAAGAGGATAGAGGAATTCAGATCATGACGATGCCGTCATCATTCGCCCAGCAAACGAAATTAAGCGCTCGCACTCCGCACTCGTAGCTTGAACTGTCATTAAATCAAGCACTCTTTTAGACAGCCTAGTCTATTTTTAGCGGCATTCATGCCAGCAAGTCAGGGATCACGAATCCCCTGTTATGCCCAGACTCTTTAGCACGCTAAGCAACCAATTCTTCACCAGAAACAGCATAAGAAAGTGACAACAGCTAGAGGCAACAATAATTAGTTAGGTTTCAGTGTATGTGTATTCATTAGCCCCTTCTCTCCTTCTTCCCACACTTGATGATGACGGTAGTAATGGTATGATCTTCTGTGAGGCCAAGCCTCTCAGAGAGAGGGCAATCCCTACTTTCTGGTCGTAATAAGGCTTTCTACGATAGCGTTCTTTCGCTTATCGAGAGAAATTTGGAGGATGAAGATGTTAGTTGATCCAGCTGTTTCTCCTTTAATTTTACTTCTTCCTCAACGGCTTTGATAAATAAAAGACGTTCAATGTATATCGTCCAGTTCAAGTAGCTTCACGAAGTATTCGTGCTTGTGACGTGGCAGTGTGGCAGTGCCTTCGTGAGCTCGTCAGCTATCATCTGGCTCTTCTGCCATCGAAGCTACATAAGATTTCCACGTGGTTCTCCTATGGCCCCCAAATGCCAAATTCAACCATGCAAGCTGTGCCAAGTCGCAGAGTGCCTTGACTTACGCGAAATGTAACTTGAAGGCTACAACAAAATCATTGGGAATCCACGTCTTAGGTAATAGGGCACGGAAGAATGTTATGCAACCCCAGCCACACCGACCAGTCCGAGAAGTCCAATATCATCTTGTCAAAAGCTGAAAGAAAGAAACCCAAACAGCGCAAATGCTCCTTTGCCTGTGTGACCAAAACATGGCCATCTGCATCAAAAATCCATGGTGGTCAGCCTCAGCCACGTTTGTACAACCCGAACGTACATGTCAGACTGGCGCCCACCGCTGGGCAATGCACAAGATATCCGGACTAATCCTTCGCGATCCAGCATATCCATTGGGTGGTTTGGTATGCCCCTCACGCTACGCGGGCTGGCGGGCTATTAATACGAGCCGCGGCCGCTCGAGGACTTGTTAGCAAGCAGCCCGGCCGTAAGCAGAACAGAACACCAGACAGTTTTTGGATTCAAGTCAAACTGAACTCGCTCCAACTCCCTCATCGTTCGCAAAAGTTAGTAGTAAATAGGTAATTAGGAGAAGGAAACACAGGAAACTCTACGCGACCGGAAACGATTCGAAAATTCCCACACGCATCTTCAACCCTCCAAAAGAAGATGCTCGCCTTTCCGCGCGCCCAATACATATCAGCCTTTAACCAACGCCTCTACGCCGCGTTCCAAGCCGTGTTCGCCATCATCGTCATCATGATCTTCGTCATGACATGGGCAGTCCAAAGCGGCGCCGTTAAGGTTCCGCAATGGGGCAAGGCATGGGATACCGTGTCGTCTGACACACAAGATGAGTATGCGGCCGTGCTAGTGCCGTCGACTTGCATACTGTTTGTCTTGTTTTTGGGTGGTGGGCTTTTGCAGATGCGGAGGCAGGCGAGGGTGGGTAGGTGAGACGGTGGTTGCATTGAGTGCGGATAGACGGTTGGTCAACTTTGGTACTGGGGTTTGAGTCGGAAGCGCAACTTGCAAGAGGTTGTGACGTATCGGGTGGAAGATGATCATTCGAAATCGGGCGATACGCGAGGATTGATGCGGTGGAAATTCAGCCCGACACCGCCCCGCAAGCCCCGGCTCAACTCCACAGGATATCCATATCGGCTAACTAACCCACGCTCCTGATTCTGCTGCGGGATTGGCACCAATCAGGAGACGTATCGTATGGATATATATTTGGTGAACATTCCGTTGGGGGATACATCAGGTGTCAGACCCCTACTAGGGCCTCGGCTCAGGCCGACCTCCTCGGCTCAGGCCGACCTCCTCGTCAAGCCCAAAAACCGGCGATTGAACCACTGCTCACGCAACGGGTCAAATACATCAATTTGACATTTTTGTCCGATACTTCCGAATTTCATCAATTCACAGCTAATTCGGAAGTATGTCTTAAAGTTCGACATAACGCTTAGAAGCATTCAACAGAACGCGTGCGCTTCGCTTCGCGCAAGTCGCTCTTCTAGCAAGGAGCCCCACGCACCCTATCACTTCCACTGTAGCAGCCGATCTGGCCGCCTTCATCAAATCCATCGATTCTGCTACTTCAGCTACCACTACTTGGTCAGCTACACTTCCAACGCCTGCCTGCCATAACTTTACCGATTCCATGACCATGGTGCGCCGGCCTGCCAACCGCAGCGCCAGAGCCTTATAACCAGAAGCGCTACTTCATGGCTAAGGACCAGTAAGACGAGAGCGGCGACTTCGATAATTTGAAGACACTGGCCTACTTCTTGGGTCTGCAGCAACGGGCTACCTGCCGGCGTGTGAAGGGTTCGAAGTTCGGAAGCTATAATAGCCGGAACTTCCTACTTACCGACGCCGAGGATCTGGCACTTCAAGGCTGGGTTTGCCTTAACATTAGCGTTAGTGTTGAAGTCACGAACCAGAAACTCGTGGAGGCCGTTACTATGCTGATGAGATGAAACGGGGGAGACGGCCTGGCGCTAATAACACGGCATGACTCTCTCTTCAAGCACGTTCGCTCAAAGTCTACTATTATACCCCGCCGAGCCGCAATGCACATCAATACTGTTAAGCAGTACTTTGAGCATTATTTGTATGTCGTGAAGCATAGGTATAAAGCTTGAGAATGAGTGGAACGCTGATAAGTCTGGACACAGATACGGTTGCTTAGAGAAGCGCCTTTAGGTCTGGACCCATACTTATAACCCTACAGGTTGATATGGGCTTTGATAGCCCAAATTCTATATAGAAACGCCATAGCCTAAGTCATAGCTCTCGCTATTTCCTCTGCTCTACACCAATACAACAATTGAACCCTTTACAAATAAATCGAATTACCTCGAAACTAGAATAAACGAGCTACCTCATCGGGCAGTTAAACCTATTTACTTCCGATTAGGTGAGAGAAGCCCTTCTTCATAGCGCCGACATGAACCTAACTTAAGAGACCCTCCTAAGACCTTAGTATTTATAGTTAGATGGTCCCTACTTTAGTAATTAATCATGATAACGGCCCCGGCGATAAAAGTGGGAGTGACGACGAGTTTGACGATAGCTTCATCATGTACTGATAATAAACACCAAAATACCATCAACTCCACGAGCATGCTCCGTTGATATCCCATCCACCAGCCCACCAGGCAGTTTGCTTACTGTTGACCTCCAATGCACCAGGCATCATGATGGTTGATATTGAGTTGAGTCGAGGCGTGCGGTCGCTCTACTCGAGATTTGAAATATCTGCAGCCACGAGTACAAAGAATCGTATGCTGAAATGATCGAGTGCACCTGGTCATACAACCATTTCTGCCGAAGAGCTATACATATCACTGGCTGATCAACAATAGGCGCTCATACAGAACGCCTGTTGAGGATTCGAACTTGTCTGGAAATGCGAGGAGCCAGCGTAACCATGGCATGGCTGATTATGCACATATAATCAAAAACCTTCGAGACTTGGAAGTGCATACCGGAAGGAATGGGTAGGGTGACATGTGGACTTCCACTTGCAATCTAAAGCCTCTCCTCAGATCTTGAAATAGCAAACAGTATTGACATTGAAAGTGATCGTCAGGCATAGCGTCGCAGCGATTGCCTGACAAGGGTCTTACCCCAGATTCTTTCCATGTGATCCATAGCGGGGTCCCTCTAAGTTTATTAATCAGAACGATCCTATACACTCTCAGCAGTCAAACCAGACTGCAGGTCTGCTGATCCCTATACCAGTCAGCGTCGAAGCTCTCGTGGGCCTGTCTTGACTGAAACCAATGCAAGTTTTGCGTCTAATCATCCATCGTGGATTGCAAGATGAAGGGACGTATTCATGATCCGGACTTCGCTACGTACGTCGAGTACTCTGTACTCAATTATAAATATGCGTCCCGCTCAATATGAGGCTTGTTCAATCTGTTTCAAAGATATTAAAAGACCAACAAAAATACAACCAATTCTTCATCCACCTCTTCACCAAATCACTTTTACTCCAACAAACTCGCTTCCCGTAAGCCATACCGTCTGAACTCCCCCCATCAACCCAACGAAACACTGACAGCCCCTCCAGAAAATCACTCACCAAATCCACTCCACCAAAAATGATATTCTACTCCATCTACATCTTCACCGTGACTGCGGGGCTAGGCTCCGCCACTTCGATCCCTCAGATCAACGCTGCGCTCATGGCCCGCGGTTGGCTCGGCCAGAGCTGCGGTACATGCGAGGAACAGACCAGGACGGACAATATCCGCAATGACGCCACCTTCTGCGGGTATGCACTGTGCTAGGAGCCTTGGCGACAGGTAAGAGATCATGTTCGGTTAGAGATGGGCTGCGGTGAAAAGCGGTCAGACATTAGTTCTAGTGACTGCGGAAGGGGGCTGGGTTCGATGAAAGTGAGGGAGTGGGCGGTAGAAGCACTGAGGAGCCATGGCCAGTATTGTGCCTTGATTAATATAAATCCGAAAGGTTTCTTTCTTATTTGGTTGTGGAATTATGTGGTGTTACTATAATTCCCGTGTTACATGGCTAGCGATGTGGGATCAATAGGACAGTCCAACTTACCTACTTCACCGGGGATGCAAGTATTCTTTGCACCCACGTATCACTTCATCCTTACTAAGACGTGAGCTTCGCATGGTGATTTGACAATAATTGAGCGGTACATAACCGACAAAGTGGGCAAACCTGGAGCGAGTGTGACTAATTATATATCGCATCAACCTATTCTTCATTCCTGGCGACATGTTTTTTCGCCATCTCTGCGCCATTTACAACCTTCAACTGCACGCAGTTGCTGTGTTTGTTTTCACGAACCATCAATTACGCGATGCAAGGTATGATGCAAGGGCTTGCCGAGGACCATCATTAGTCGCGGGGATTTACAATTCGCCCCTGGCGCCCCATTGCCCTGCTTAGCACGGTAGGGAAGGTAATAGAGACGGCGATGAGCCAGCGTATCACCAAAGTAGCTGAGGCGGCCGGCCTACTACCAAACGGCCAAATGGGTAACCGCGCTGGGAGGTCCACCGAACTGGCAATACGTATAGTTGAGGACGTGGTCTATACGGCGTGGAGACGCGGGGGCATCGCCTCGCTGCTACAGCTAGACATCAAGGGGGCATTCGATACGGTCAATTACAGACGGCTGATTTCCATATTAGCCCGGAAAGGCTACCCGGAGTGGGTTCAGGAGTGGGTACGCAGCTTCGTGGAGGATAGAACGGTACGCCTCCGGTTCGATGGCAAGGAGTCAGAGCCAATCCCCCTACGAGCTGGCGTCCCCCAGGGGTCACCGCTATCCCCGATACTGTTTATATTATACATTTCAACGCTGTACGAGGAGCTAGCGGAGCAGCATCCACTACTTTTAGTAGTCGGGTTCGCGGACGACACGAACCTGCTAAGCGTCGGCACCGATCCAGACACGACCTGCCGCCGGTTGGAGAGCGCATGGGCTACGTGTCAGCGGTGGGCAGTGAGGCACGGGATGGAGTTCGCTCCTGACAAGAGTGAGCTAATGCACTTTACTAGGGCCCGAGAGCCCTTGCCGCAAAGTATTCGCCTTGGGGACGCCACAGTGTCGCCGGTAGTCTCAGCCAGGTTCCTAGGAGTCTGGTTCGACCGCAAACTGACGTGGCACGCCCATGTTGAGCGTGTTAAAACAAAAATGGCAACTCAAAAGCTAGCCCTGACAAAGCTAGTCAATATGTCGTGGGGCTGCGATCTTATACGGGCGAGGCTGTTATATACGGTGGTTATCCGTAGCGCGATTGCCTTCGGGGCGACTGCGTGGCATACTATAAGTGAGGAACCGGCAGGGCCAGCTAAGAGCCTGATGGGGATACAGAACGAGTGCCTCCGGGTAGTCTGTGGTGCCCACAAAGCGACGCCGGTTCGCCACCTGGAAGCAGAAGCAGCAATCCCGCCACTAGACCTCTATCTTAGTGCCCGGGCTGCTAAGTTTGAAGAACGGCTACGGCTTAGCGGGAAGAGAAATCTGCTTCGCAGCGCGAGCGCTAAAGCGTCACATATACTCCGGCAGGATAGGCCGGCGAAGAGGAAGCAGGCGTCGCAGCTACTCCGACCGGCAGGGTACACTATGGAGAAGGAGGCCCGGGGCTCCGAGTGGATGAGTGAGGAAAAGGAGGTCCCGGCTGCCCTCCTCGACCACTGGAGGAAGAGATGGCTCACCGGAGCAGAGCATCACGATCGCCAGCGACGCGCTATCGCTGAGGAACCGGAGGGCCCTTCGATGCAGATACCGAAAGGGGGCAAGTATTTCGGCCTGAACCGACTGGAGGCGTCTACGCTGTGCCAGATCAGGACGGAAAAAATAGGACTAGCAGCCTTCTTATTCAAGACAGGGGCTTTTGGCGTGTACTCGCCGCTATGCCGCTGTGGCGATGCCCCTGAGACGGCAGAGCACGTAATCCTCTTTTGCGGGCTGTTGGAAGTACCGAGGGAACGATTACGGGCCGCCATCGCACCACGGCCACTATACTCTCGCAGAGACCTCGCAACGGCAACAGGAGAACCAGTAGTTAGTGGGACTATTGTAAGATGGCTGCTAGGGACGGGTCGGACAGCTTCAAGGCCCAGATAGCATCGATCTTCTCAGGGGGGACTTTGTTGGTAGGTTGAGAACCAACGTAGTATGGTAGTGAACGCAACGCAGTCGCCAATAGGGCGAACCGACGACGCAGCGTATGTATTTAGTCCAGCCATTAGGGCACGGTTTGACATACGGGAGTACTAGTAGAGGTACCGGGGGCTTCGAGCCTACGGCGTATTTAATAATAATAACAATTCGCCCCTTGTAGGACGATCTTTATTGTGGTCCACTGCAAATGGTAGCACGAATCCAGCATCTTGTACGACCGCAACGAAGATCCTTTTACCCCTAGCGTTCTCGCCGCTTATGCAGGTTGCTTTTTCTCAACTTTAGAGGAGACTTGCTGTTCATCTGCCGCATAACGACAATATGAGTATAGAGGCCGTACCTGGCTAGGGCAGCGCCTTGTTCTTTTTTTCCCTTCTTTTTTCTTGATTTCTTGCAAAAGTTTTGGGCGCGTTATGGGGGTGCTTGGGCGTATCGTTGCCTGCTGGAGTCGGATCATGAACAGTCTCGAGTTCGGCTGAGTTAGTAGGTGTTGGATGCCATGACTCCAGTGTTATCTGCGATGTTCTCATCAACGCTGGTGCGAACACGGGATTCCTTCAGAATTCGGATCAGCAAGAATATCAATTGGTAGAGGACTTCCCGGTTGACAGACTGGATGGTGTAGAGTGACTGACGATGCTAGGAGTCGTGGGAACCAAGTCAGAGACTACCCAGGTAGATACTACAGGTACATGGTCAGATGTAACTTTACAAGTTGATGGCGAACATGAATTCACAGTGTATTACTTATGGTCGTTACTTATAAATAGCTAAACTTTTGCTAATTGACAGGAAAAAAGAACTTGCTCCTATTTTGTGAATTTCATACTATATGTGATGGGGGTTCTTAAGGGACAACATGACTACACGCTGAATGTGGCATGGGTACACCACCAGGCATAACTGGGGGCAGTGAAAAACTAACTGAATATAAGCATTTCCTTAGATGAAAATCCAGTGTGCCCTGAAACTGAAGAATGCGTTCTAGATGATTTAAACACGATGAAGTTCCTAGCTTATGTTCAAAGGGAAGCCACGCTAGTTAGTAACTCACACCAAGATACCCCTTAATTACAATTATACTGAAACAAAACTGCTAATCAGGAATAAACCGCATTAAAATAACTGTCACCTTCCAGTAGAGAAGACAAGATCGCATCGGATAAGCAATTATCCCGACAAGAGAGGTTACCGATTCTAGAACAGTTTTGACTAGCGCACTGGTAGTTTGGCTTCATCTTCTAAATGGTGATGTTACACATGTACCAAACATGATACTGTTACATGTATTATGTACAATTCATTCGGCCGTTTCCCGTTTGGCTCGGAATTCCAGTAGATGGTCAAGCGGTCACACTACCAGCTGTAGTACTGCCTCTGTGCCGTCACAGGGCGGTTCGGGAGATGGACCCACGGCTTCTTCTTAGCCTGCTTCTCAAGCTTCTCCTCATGTAGACGTATCCTCGTCTTCTCCTCCTTCAAAACCACATACATGCCTAATGCCGAGTTAGCTTGCCGCTGGATCACGTATTGTGAGTTCTAGTAAGGTGGACTTACGCGTGGTCGGCTTCCACATCAAACTCTGTCGACCCCTCGAGTGATACTGCACCCTCACACCCCTCCACGGCCCCTTGCCCACCCACGCCTGATCAATATACAACCTCGTCGGATCCTGTACCTCAATCCACCTCCCATCCTTGGTCTGGATCTTCTTAGGCTTATCTAACACCTCACCATTGACAGCGCCCAAGGCCATGCCCCTCGTCACAATGGCGTTATCTCTCGCCTCATTCAGCACATAAACCAGCTCCTTACCCATCTTCTTCTTGCTGTACTTCATCTGCGTAATCGCCTCATCGACCGTCTTCCCCGCCAGCTGATGCGCCAGGTGAACCAGCTTCTTGACGCTCGTCTGCAAATTATCGCTGTGGTCGTGGTGTTCGCGCTCAACAAGTCGGTTCTGCTGGTCTTTCGACAGGGGCTTCCCCGTGTTCCGCACCATCTGCATAATGCGGCGACGCTGCCACTTCACCCTCCAGCGCGGATCCGGGTCCAAAGCGCGCATCTTGTGCTCCCGCGCGTTGGAGAAGCCGTAGCCGGCCATGGGCATCCCCGTCTCGCCTTCGCCCTTTTCGGCCTCGGAACTTTTGATCTCCTCGTCGAAGATGGAGTCACCCGCTGTGCGCTTATTGAGGCGCTCGTAGTACTTCTTGGCGTCGACTTCTTGCTTCTCGACGGCTTCAGCGAGCGGGTCGGCCTTCTTCTTCTTGCCCCATCCGAAACGGTTGAATATGGAGGCCTGACGGCATTGGCTTTGTGGGAGGAGGTTCTTAAGGTGGAGGGACGGTGATGGGCGGGCAGTTAATGATCGTGCTGTTGGTATTTTTAGATTAGCTTGATGAAGTAGTTGGGAGATGCGACAGGAGAGAAAAGAGTGCATACCGGTCTGGACCAGCCTTCGGCCTGGCAAATGTAAGCTCATGGTTGCGAATTGGGCCCCGTTGTCACTGCAAACAGGGAAACAACGGGTCTGAGGCTGTCGCGATCTCGAAGCTGCCAGCTTCAAAAAAGTCGACTTGTCGACGTTCCCGCTCGGGGGGTGGAAAGGCCGAAGATCTGCCGATTGACCTGGTCTACTGATATTGAAATATAGAAATGCACGTGACCTGATTCGGTAACTGGCTCGAGCTCCTTTGCCCAGCGCGAATAACCTCAAGCCGTTTTCCAATCGTTCGATCCTTGGAATTGCAACTACAACCACGTCACAACCAAAACCCACGGATCTCGCAGTCGCCCAATCTCCCAATCTCCCCTCCAACAATCGTCAAAATGGCCGCCATCAAGCCCATCCAAGGAGTACGTTGCTCTCGATCCCAATTGCGGCGCCAATGTCACCAACCGACCCGAACTTCCGACAGCTAACCTAGAATGCAGATGCTCAAGCGCGGTCTTGTCACTGATCTCGCAATTGCTCTCGGTGCGTCGGCCCATACTCTGTTTTCTTGCCAGCGGCCCACTGCAAATCTCTTGGCAGATATATTGCCACTTGCGCTCCTTCACGACCAAGCCCTTGAAAAACTGACAATGAACACAGGTATCGGAGCGACCATGGGAAGCCTCTTCTGGTACGAATCACCATCGCATCCACCCAGACTCGACCTGATCCGAAATCATTCTCGAACATATCTAACAAGTAACACATTTAGGCACGGATTCCACATGCCCCGCACCTTCGCGCGCGACAACTTCTACAGCCAAATCGAGAAGGAGCGCGCAGAGAAGCAGGGACAGTAAATGTTCGGTCGGTGGCGCATTTGCGGGATGAAGGAGATGAAGAGCTTCATGCATGGAGGATACCGACAAAAGAAACACTTGACTTGCTTCTTGTTTTCTTGTGTTTGGAGAATTGCAGAACATAGACGGTGGATGTTTTGATGCGTTGCGAAGAGAGCTGGGGAATTCCACCTGTATCATACGGACCCGGCAATCCGGACTTCATTCAGCATTACTGTGGACCCCTTGTGATACGATGGACAGGAGCAGCAACATATCAGGACAAGCAGCTGTCTGTCCTGACTAACAAAAGTCACCTTCGCCGATAAATTGCTGTTATCGAATGCCAACCTTCATGTTTGAGTAGTTGTAGGTTAACAACTGTACAGCTGTAAGTGTTGGCTGAGTAGGTACTCTCTGACTCTTTATGTATGTTGTGTGATGTGCTTTACGCTGCTCTTCATCGAGATGTTCCAGTGTACATTGACTATTGCTAGTAAAATAGGCAACCCTTTATCGGACAGGCTCGCAATTATTTTGATACCATTTGTAGCCCACTTCCGGAAGGAACATTTGACATGGCCGCATCGGCAACGGTACGAGCTCAGCTTGTTCTCACTACACTGGGGTTGTTCATGTATCTCCAGGGAGTGACGGTCGCGGGCGTTGGGACTCACTGCCCCATTGCCGCGTATAGCACATATGTAGGTCACAGTTGATTTTCTGTTGTGTTAATCGACTGACCGGTTTCCCCCGGAATGCCCAATTCAGATGTCATGGATGAAGGTGCTACCGTTGCGTTATGTCCGTGGAGTCGAGATATTTTCGGAATGGGGCCTAACCCGCTTTCCACTACTATCTTGCTACATCATATCATGGAAAGTTATTGAGTGACACCCATCATCTCCTTGTCCAACTTAAGCTTGAGATATATCTCTTTACTATGAACTGACTTGAGGAGTTACTCACACTGCTCCCAGCTTGACAAATTAGGTGCACTGTATGCTTTGGCCACGGTCTTCTTCTTCTCTGACTTCGATCTGGCATTTGGTACCACAATGCTGTGGTGTATTCTGATGCTAGAAGGTGTTGTTTTCTGTGGACATGACCTCAATATAGTTGAACAAGTTATTAGCAGATTCGACCGTAGTAGGTAAGGGCGATGATACCTCCAAAAAGCCATCTGACAAACATGAGATGGCATGTTCCCGAAGACAAGTTCACCTTTTCCTAGAAGACGCCTACTTGACCCAGTATAATAGTTTGCGTGGGTTAGCTTTCCAACATACGCAAAATTTAAGGGTAGCCACATACGTAAACGGGATTCATTCTCATCTTCGCCGCCAATGCAAAGCTATTCCCCCTCCCTGCCACTCTATTCCAATGCAAATGATGCCTCAATATGACCTCTTTATGTTTTACTACTTCCTTTAGAGCTTGTGCAGTCAGCGCAGCTCCCTTTTCGTAGTCGGCCTGTTTCTCCGGTTCTTTGAGACCCGCCATGATGACCTATAGCATCGTTAAAGCCATATCCACAATCCAACGTTATCCTGTTTATTCTTACATTAATTCGCGGATTCGAGATAGTAATGAGAAGGCCTTTCCTTGGTTGGCCTATAAAGCGTTAATGTAGCTCAGTCGAATCTGGCGAACGTAGATTCAGTGCATATAAAACCCCATAGAAGCGAACCACTTCTTCAATTCCAAGTCAAAGAGAAATCATCGCCCAACAGCCTGAGTATCAGGAACGAAATACTCAACAGTTCGATTTTGTGGATTGGACCCGAGTTATGCCGGCCAGAGCTTTCTGTGTTGCCATGCCCTTGGGCGGAAGGGCCGGCGTTGTTGTGCCCTTCGCTGGTGATATCAGTTGTGTCAGTACCTTGGTTCCCATGTTCAATTTTCTGTTCGGTTATCTATGTTATTTGTTTCTTCTCAGGCTACCACGGTATAGGGGTATCCGAGTATAGATCCAATACCCTGCAATCATCATCTAGACCATCTCGTCCGTATTCTGGTGGTATATTCTAGTTGTATCTTACTGATGTTTGAAAGCATCCAACCTTCTTAACAAGGTGCATATTCCTCAATAGCAAGATGTTCTGAAGTGTCGCCACCTTGCTCCTGAGTCTCTAGCGTCTTTAGTCGTTCCTGTAGTTTCTCCCTATATCTCGCTATGCTCTTTTCAGTCGTCCCGGTAACCACGTGCTGTAGCTGCGCTACGCTATGATACTACTTTCCCTCATGAGCTAAGCAACTCTAAATCGATCGGTCGAGCCTGGGTCTGGAACTTCAGGTCGAGGAGTTTCAGAGTCTTCGTTCTCACCCTCTGGAGCCTGTGCTTCTCGAAGGAGCGGACTACCCGGCGTGTATCTGTCGTGCTCAGATTCGTAGTCTTGTGCTCCGTCGATTGAGGTTCCCTTGTCACCGGATGGGACACATTCTCAGTGTTGGTCGACTGAGCCGTATCAGTATCCACCTGCAGCATACCCGCACTTGTCATTATACTCCAATTAGTCAAGTGTTCGTACTCGGTGGGAGAATGAGCCCCAGGTTTAGCATCCTGTGGTCGCTTTTATCCCTTCTAAACAATCAGCCGAGTCATCAGGCAGTCATTTCCACTCCCGTTTTTATCTTGTTTCATCCCATCCCGTGCCATCCGCCATGCACTTTATCCAACTTGTGGTAGACCTGCAAGTTTATCAGGCCAAAGTTGCTGAGGTCTCTATGCCCACGTCTTATTTGAGTAATTGGACCCCGTGCATGTTCAGTGCTCGGGAAGTTTTCTGTCAGCTTTTCGAAAGATTGCAGAGGGTTGACCAGTACAGAACGTCGTCGAAGGGCCAGCCTGGAGCAGGTTCTGGTGAGACTTCAGGAGAGCACTAAATTGATTCATTGGGTGGTTACTTTGATCATACTCTTTAATGTTTACTCGAAACTCATAATATCCGGGTCGTCGTTGGAAACACCGGCACATTTCCAAGTCATTGTATTTCTCTCTCTCAACATTCTTCTCTGGCACTCGAGACAACTCTGGGAATCACTAAAATAGATCTCGTTGAACGTGTTGTCCCGGTCGCCTGATGCGATTCCCAGGTGAGTTGTGTGATCGCGACAGTATTTGATGAACTGTCTTCGTTTGGCACTGGCGCCGCCCAATCGTTTCGCCGGCCAGCTTGCGTTAGAAAGCCGAAGATGATTGCTGGATCGCCTACTGGAACCGATCTCGGGGGTTCTCTTTCCTTACCAGCAAAACAACATAGGATAGACTTCGGATGTACTGAAACGAAACCTCGAGGGTTATGTGAGCCTCGTCAAAGGGAGTGTCACTATTTTCAATTCCATCCAATGTTGAATGTACATTATCAAGAGGCAAACAATTACCTCCTTCTAAGTATTGGCATGCAATTTTTAGCCACTGGAAATCTTGCCGGCGTAACAAAAGTCCTTTAGACTGCCTGCATTGCTCTTATATTTTGGACCCAGTTGGACCACAAACACTAACATTCCCCCGAGAACCAACTAGAGCTACAATTCTTACAAAAAGGGTCTTAGCGCAGAACGATCCGCAAGGAAAAATAACGGCTCGTTCAATGGCTAGCAAATGGGCGAACAAACATCAGTAACACCAGCCTCCACAATAGGCCCGTTCGAGGAAACTCAGGAGAGTGGCCACACAGAACCCTCGACAATACATCAAACTGGCTGCTCTATAAAGCCCTCACCTGTGCTAGCCGCCAAATAGTTTTCGATTGACAAGAAAAATTTCAGATATGAAAACTGTGCGGAACCCAATTCCCGGAAATTGGTCGTACGGCCAGCGGCGTCCGAAGTTGAGGTTGATGCACCAGAAGACCTACCCTGATCTTTACATTCTAGTAGGGTGTGAGATTAGTCCAATCATGCCATGGAAGGCCACCTTCAGCCTCCGTCTATCGTCGGTAATAGGGCGGTCAGAAATCATGTGCGTGACCCGTTCTCTAGTTAACACACAGCAGGGATAGCCCTTCCTAGGTTCAGTGTAGACTGAGCAGATAGAGAATGTCGGGCTACAGTGCCTTTGACTTTAAACGACTGTCTTTTCCATTTTACTGCTACTATAGCTATTTGACTGATGATGGATGAACCCTACGCACCAAACCCTCGGTGCACGGCCAACTGTTAGAACTTCAGAGATGAAACCTCTGATGTATCGGCAATTGATTCAAGTGTGCAGCCAAAAGGCGCCTTTTTCTCTATTTAAGGCCCTTATGGCCTACTTCGCTCCTTACGGTATGCGATGATCAGAGACACATTCAATCCTATGCTTTGTTGTAGCATGCAATAAGTCTGATGGAGAATGACACTTGCAGTCTAACCCAAACCAACTTTCAGGTTCCAACAATTGGACATAGCACACCATTGTTACTCAGGTTTCAGCCTCTCACGTTCACACAATCATGGTATCAACCGCCACCAACTCGGACTCCGCCCTCCAGCGCGCTATCGATAACGCCGATGTGAAGATCCTCCACGCCGTGCTAAAGCACATGTGTCAGCACTCAGCAGAATGCCATATCTAAGTCTCAGTGTGCTTGCTTCTGCTTCTGTCTAGCTTCATCTCGCAGATGTGAAGTCAAGGGTCCCCCCCCCCCAAAAGAAGAATCGACTTCTAAGAAAATGAAGACGGAAGTCAGATAAAAAGCAGATGAAAAAGAAGAAGGGTTTGAAGTGGAAGTGGAAGAGGTAAAAGCCTTGACACTTGAGAAGTGCTTGACATGGGAGAGGAGGTGCATATATCGACCCCCACATTGAGCGCGTCTAACTATGTGCGGACGGGATTATCGGGAATTGTTGTGAGAGGAACTCTCGGAGTAAGTCGTTTGTATTGAGAGGCATATTGCTATGTGACATGCTTCAATGTCTTGAGATGGAAATTGGGAGAGTTAAGGTTTCATTCTGTTATGGGACTTATTGCAAGTTATAACAAAGCATAGAATTGAATGTGTCTCTGATCTCTCCAAGTACATAGGAGTGATAGTGGCCATAATAACCTTAGTACAGAAAAGTCTGCCTTGTGGCTGTACATTGGAATCAGTTGCTGATACACCGGAGGTTTCGTCTCTGAAGTTCTAACAGTTGGCCGTGCACCAAGGGTGTGGTGCGTAGTTTCCGGGTAACAACTGGCTGTAATGAAGGTCGAAGGCTAGTACAGTCCGACAAATTTGGTCGGTTTACGAAAATGTTGCGTTGTCGGCAATCATGTCATCGGCAACTATGAAAAATTGATATTGTTTTAAAACTATCTGCCAAACAGTGCCGTACTGTGGATGTCAAACTAATTTATTATTTACAGAGTCCTCTGAGCAATGCCACCAATAGCGTACTGATCACCGCGACTTCCACCAGTCAAACCACCTACACCGTGGCTGAGCCCGGATTGTGACTGGCCGGTAACACTAGAGAGTTGTTAACCACGAGACCCAGACGAATTTCCAAGACCAGCTTGTTACTGTCCACGCTGCTGCCTCGTCGTACTCCCAGGTGCATTCAACACCGCATCCAACATACTAATCCCCGGCGCAAAAGCGTTATCTTCACTTGGCGGAATCGCGTTCTGTGCAACACCACTGCCATTCCCACCATGACCCCTGGCCAATCCAGAAGTAATCCCACTCTCGTGCAAATCACGCATATGATGCCTCTCGCTCGACTTGGAGTCGGCACCAACCCAACTCCCGCCACCAACGCCAGTTTCCTGGCTGTTTCTCGCGGTATCGTACCTTTTGGTACTATGGTCGCGGAGCGAGGACGAGTTTCCGACATTAGAGGAGTGGAATCCGTTGCCGACTGACATGTACGAGTTCAGAGTGCGGTCCATGATCCCACCGCCGCCGGTGCTGCTGTGGCGTGATCGTTTGCTACCGGCTCCGGTTACACCGTTATGGATTCCGGTGCTGAGGATGGCGCTCGAGGCTAGTTTTGTGTAGGAGTCTTGGGGTCCCATGAGTTTGGACCCGGTTGTGTTGTGGCTGTGGCTATCGGAAGAGAAGGTGTTGGATATTTGAGAGCTGCGGACCGTCAACCCGACGGGTCCGGTTGTATCTTTGGTCGAAGAGGAAAGGGGGTTGTGGCTCCCAAGGACACCAGGACTGTGAGTATTTGAAGAGAGAACGTTGGACTTCTGGCTTCCTTGGACAGCAGATCCACGCGTATCGGAAGCGAGTGGGTTCTCAATGTTGCTTCCGGTGATGCCAGATCCAGTCGTACCAGTGTCATGAATACCCGAAAAAGTATGATTGGAGCTGTGGCTTCCAGCGACACCAGGTCCAGTGCTATTCCCAATGGCACGACTAGCGTCTCTGTCCGTATCGACTCGAGGATCGGCTGCGTTGCCTAGTCCGGAGTCATGCTGGAGCAAAGTCAGCATTCATATTCCTCACACCGAAGCATTCCAGTTTACTTACAGGTCCAGCTTCGCCCTCACACGTACTTAGCGGGTTATGGCTCGAAGTGGTACTTGGTCCACCAGTCGCCGAGGAGCTATGCAGACCATGGCTTCCACCAGCCGCAGCACCGTCCAGAGAATCTGAAGCCAGCCCTTTGCCGACGCCGTGGCTTCCCTTGCCCGCAATACTGCCCAGGGCCCCTGAGGCAAGATCGCTGGTATACTCATGGTCTCCGACTGAGGTGCTAAGGTTAGCGTGATGTTCCTGGTCGCTGTCGATCCTGGGGTCTGAAGCGTTAGCTACGCGGGAGTTGTGACTGCCGTGGGTGTCAACGTTGGAGGCATCATTGCTGGTGATATACTCAGAGCGGCCCGGGTTGGCTGTACTTGCTGATGGTGTTGTGAAAATAAAACCTTCAGCAGGTGTAGGTGGGAAGGCGCCTGGTAAGCTCAAGGTGTCAGCTGTGGGTTCGGTGGAAGAGGAGGTGGCAGTGTCCGAACGGTCGGAATGCAACATATTCTTCAATTTATCGGTGACACCCATATTCGCAGTTTTATAATGTAAATTCTTGACTTAGGTATAGAATAAGTACAATGACCATGAAATAATTGTTGCTGCCTTTGTTGGTGATACTGGTATATGCTGTTTGGGGTATGTAGATAACAGGTTACTAATAAGGTTGATGATCAACAATCATACCTACCATATATATCAGTGCCAGCACCCCAGCCTCTGTGATACCCACGTGCGTCATAAGGATATTGTCAAGCTTGTTCCCTGTACCCATACCACATCTTGCATGTTTCAGCAGAGTCCTGGATGAGGGTCAAAATGACATCAGCTGAGAAATGCCAGGCATAGCATACAAGAATATCATGATAAAATAAGCGGAGAATATTGGTGAACGTCATTCTATCTAACCTAGAGTAGTGCCAGATGGCCAGGGTGATGTTGCCTTTGCCCCGCATTCAGCCACATTGCCATTGAAGATCGTCATGGTGGGGTCCAGCATTTCCATCGGCGAACGTCACTATCCCCACACAATGTCAACCCCTGGGGGCTGCTTGCTCGTGCAAATGCATCATTACAGGGATATCGCCGCTGGGCTCTGAATAATACATTTCAATACTACCTGTTGAGCAATATTTGACCAAGGGCCAGTTCCTAAGTTTAGCACATGGAGTGCAATGGTATTGGAAGTTGCGCTTATAGAATGACAATTCTGCTCTATTGTCACTGGCAGGGTAAGATCCTATTCAGGGCTTAGCTAAGTTGGCAATCTCCTCACAGTCTAATAATCAAGTGGGAGAGTAACATGCATTCCGGTAACAGATGGTCGCTATGCTGATTCTAGTAAACAAATCCATGTAAACACTGTCTTTTCGGCAACGGAATTTCGTGACTGACCTTGGTGAGCCTAAGCGGCACTAAGAGAAAATTTCATCCCGTGAATAACACCGGCAAGGTCTTCATAAGGGGTGTGGCTTTAGTGCTTCTTAGCCCGGTTCCCCTTTGTTCCCATTTTCGGAAACTCTTCCTTCTCCTTTCCTGCCTTCATCTCTTTCTTGATACGATCCAGCAAGACCTGACAATCCATAGGCTCATCCACCTCATCCAGTCCCATCAGGTCGTCTCCGAAGGCATCCTTTTCATTTTGGTTCACCTTGATATAGAGAAGCTCCACGGCATTCATTTTGTCGCCATGCTGATGCAGCTATCGTGCTAGAGTCTGCGACACCCCTGGTCATGTTGGTGATGTCAACGAGGCATTGAAATAGGATCTTCTGAGTGGCGTGCTTGCGATTTATGAGGCCGATGAGGAGAGCTTGGGCACCTTTATCGACTTTTTTCCGGGACAAAAACAAGGGAAATTAGGGCTGTGTCCACGATGGGTTGTTCTCGGAAGGGAGGGCCGTCAGGCTGGCCGAAGGGCATTGGGAGGGGGCGTTTTGGCAATCCAATTTCAGGATATTCTTGTTCGTGTCTGTCAGATCATGTCTCTAATATTTTATGCTCCTGTGAGTGCTTATTGGGGACCCAGGAGCAACCAAATATCGTCATTAGTTTTTTAGTTCTGTAGAACTATTAGTACTTCTCGTTATTCCAAAGTTGACTTTCCGGCAACGGCGGCTTTCCTTCATCCAAAACCCCCTTCTTCATCAACAACGCTGTACATTCAAAAAAGAAGCGGTGCTGTTTCCGCCAAGTCCTCACCCCATCCACCTCCAGTGTGAGTCTCATCTATCTCTTTCAATAATCGTGAGTCGGACCTTTTACTCTAAATGATATCTCACCCCAACCTATATTATCAATATGATCTATTCACCCAATTATTGTGTTGTACTAACTAGCCTGCCTCAAAGTACGGCAACAACCCTAAATTGTTTCCATTGATGAGTCATCCCATCTATCCCCAACATAAACCTCATTTACCCCTTCCAAGCATCATAAGTCCGTCCTCTCACTCCAAACATTCCAACCGCAACCTGTATCATCCGCTACGTCTTTCACCCCATCCTTGCATTATACTAATTCTCGCAGCTGACACACAAGGGGGTTTAGTCAACCCTTACGGCGCGCGCCCACCTTGTTGACTTCGCCTACCTAGCGATAATAGGGAGATTGGTGCAGTTTAGGATTACGAGCATCCTAGCCAGTCGACCGTCAAGCACTACGTTGGCGGAATATAACTCGACAGCCGGTCCAGAATTCGAATCGTTAATCCGACCCCTTATCGGACCCCCGCTCGCCGCGATTCTTGCGAGCGTCTAGACCACGTTACGGTCTATCCACTTGAGCGTATGGTTGAGATGTATACGCTCGACGAGAACCCCAATTAGCAGATACTACGACTTGTCGCGACAAAAAATAGTCGAGCATCTTCTGCACATCAGCAGCATCCCACCCCTGAGGACGAATTTAAGTGCCACATTACCACACTTATCGGTAGTTCAGGCAGGGGTTGTAGCACAGACTGAGGGAGGGACAGGAGGTTTAGTAGTCGTTTGGCTACAAGTTTACCTGTATAACCGCCCGACGCGGCTTAAGGGCCCGCTATATCATCTATAGCCCCTTAAGGGAGTACTTGTAGAGGTACCGAGGGTTAACACCTACGGCGTATTTAATATTATTACTAACTCTCCATTTCCATATAGCGCCAAGAAAGTGCCAAGAACCAGCAATCATAGTCGCATCAGCGGACGCAGACCAGAAAATTGAGGAGATCCGTCTTGCAATTCAAGACAATGAAGAAGAAATAGCCCAGGCTATAGCAGCCGGTAATATCCCCGATCACCGACTCAACATCATCCTCACCCACAGTGAATTCAAAAGGCCCTGCAAAATCTGCTCGCCCGCCTCATCTGAATCGTCTGCATAACCACGAGGCTTTCCCGCAAAATAAAGTACCTCACCTGCCAGCACCTCTTCTGCAGTGACTGCCTCCAGTAAGTAGGGCTCATGTCCCTGACCTCCGTACCCTACAGTTCCGTCAAATGCTGCATCGTCATTCCCGTCAAGTGCTCAAGACGGTGTACGCCTTTGCCATAGAAGCCTAGAATGCGTAATACCACAACAAGCTCCAAGAGCTGACGAAGCTTCACTGCTTGGACATTAATTGCGGCGCTTTCATCCCTGAAGCGTAAAAGAAGGGGCTCGCTGGCAACTGTCCCACCTGTGACAAAAAGACTTGCAAGTCTGGGGAGTCGCACTTCGCGGGGTACAAGCAACGCTTTGCTATGCCTGTGATTAACCTAATCTGCCCAGCTGCTAGCATCATGAATGCCCCAAAAACGCTGCAGGACAGGTACACAGAATCATGAAAGTCCCAAGAAGACGCTGCTGGATCAGCACCCACTGTCAACAGCAACAAACGTTAAACGCAACGGCAACGAGATCTCGTCGAATCGAGGATTTAAGCTCTAGAGAAGGAAATCAGGGGAATTTGTAATTGAAATTATAATTACTTAGATACTCATACAGCTCACACAAATGGAATCAAAAACACATTGCTTGTATATTGAACTTGTCTTGATACTCTATGTTGCGACCTACTTGATTGTCATCTAATTGACTGAACAGTTCGCCATCTGGGCAAATCCTCTTCCTTTGGATGAAATGGTTATGCTACCAAGACATATGAGGGGGAAACGTATCATGACAATTTTGTGACACCATGAGATTTGGCTCATATATTTCGTCATATCATTCTCCTTGTGGGGATTTAGCAGTATATTCTCTTCTGAGTTGGGGGTGATGTGTAGACGAGACAAGAACAAATTTATCGACTCTCGTGGCCTTGTCATAGATTTCCATACTAACCATACAGTTTGGGGGATCATATCACACGGTATTTGACATCGAACCCTGCCAGTTCCTCAGGAACAACATCTAGCTTTCTCTTCTTCTTGGGCGATTAACCTTCGATTTCCTCGTCGTCGATCATTTAAAAATCGCTGTCCGATTCTGATCATTTTTGATGTCTTTCTCCGTTGCATAGACTCTGATAAGGTGCCAAAGCCACTTATTGGCATCCCGTGAGGGTTGTGTCTCAAGGCCAGGACCACTGTCGAGAGGAAGTAGAACTTATTTTGTGTGTATTTGCTCCGTTACTGTCTTAAGTCAGGGAACGTCAGCCTTCTTATTCCGGCTGTTGATTCCGGTGACCTTCCCATGATAATTGGCCCTTCACAATATAGTGGCCGGCCCGTGAAAGGGCTAATCTCATTGGTCCGGATGGGGTTATAATGGCGTCGGGCTAGGCTTTCCAAATATTTGCAAAGCAAACAACCAAATCAAATTGTAAAGATTGCCTCCTAAATCTTCTGATCATGCCGTCTCGATGTGGATGAAATCATCTACTCCCCAATACGGTGCAATTCACAGTTCCATGCGTGAATTTTGGGCATTGGCGCTTGTGTTCATCAACGCCTACTGTTTTTGCAAGATTACGCGTATGAGGGAGTCGGTACAAGCGAATCGGCTTACCAAGGCCTACCGAGAGAAGCAGCTGGTGGTTGTTGGGGATTAATACTGCCTTCGTTAATCAATCTTGGGGCACCCAGGACTATCTCTGAAAATAAAACACCCGGCATAAGCAAGCTATGCAATTCATCTTTGACTGAAGTATCGGGCTTATTGCAAACTATAACAAAGCATACAACCGATGACCGCTATACAATATAAATAAATGTGCTCCTGTTGGACCTTCAAGGCTACTCCATCAAGACTGCCAAGTCAAGGAGAAAAGTATAGCCGCAAACCGTACGAGTATGGGCCAATATGACCTCTACCCATTGAACCACACAAGTCCTGGCTGTGGGACAGGCATCGGTCATTTCTGTCTATATAAGGCCCCTATGGCCGCCATTTACGTCTCTCAAAAACTCTCCAGAGATCATGACACTTTCAATACAAGACCATTTGCCTACAATCCAACAGCTCCCCTAGGACCCTCTTTTGCAAAAAGATTAAAACATAGATTATATATTTAGAAGCCGTGCGAGAGAAGTTGAACGCTAGATCAGAGCGCTAGATCTGTATCATAAACCCGCAAAATAATGACTTTTCCGGAATTGCATCCAATCACTACCGTAGAACCAGATACAGCTGAAGAACGTGGTCGAGAATCTGCTGTCAACCAAAGGACATTTTTACCGTGTAGAGTTATCCAGCAACGATCAGTGCTTATACCGTAACCAGAGCCATAATCTCGACTATTAGGTGTAGATTGTGGCAGACTTTGAAGAGAAATAGTACCAACATCGGTAAATAGGTACAGCCCTTTACGATCAAAAGAAAAGGTGGATAAAACCCCATCGACTTCCATTCTTTGTAATTCTTCGCCCGTCGCCGCCGACCAGAGTCGGCAATTACACCAAAGAGTGCCAGCCTGTGACGACATATGGCCACAATTATCCTACGATATCGGCCAATGTGGCATACACCCTTCGAACCACTCAACTTTTGCCGGTGGACGGGCATCGCCCATTTTTACCTATATAAGACCCTACTGGTCACAGTACAATTCTGGGAGGGACTCTCCATAGATCATCACATTCATTGAAAAGACCATTTGCTCTCACAGTCCGTTAATGGCCACACTGATCGTTCTCTGAGGCCACGTGGCAAGATCCAGATCCCTGTACAAATCCAGCCAGAAATGACTCTGAAAATACAAAGCAATGGTGTTGAGCACCAATCCCTGTATGGATTCCGTTAAAAATCGATCTGATATCCCCCATGTAATTGGCGGCCACAAAGCTGCCTCGCATCAGGATTCGGCTCTTCGTTACTCCCGCTAAGCCCTACAGTCAAGCCACCCGTCCCCTCGGGTTCGTCGTTCCATAGGCAAATCATTTCGACGAGCAGGTTGTAGATTTCTACATCTAACTTGCGTAAAACAAAATAGACCGAGTGTTGACGGAGTCGTCCGGGAAGTTATAGGAAGTATTATTTCATATATCAAGTAAATTACAATATGCACAGTAACAGCATTTCTGGCATACTTTTGAAGCTGTTGTGGTGAATGGTTTGTGATCACATTAATACAATGTAGTGGAATATCGTGTCAGTTCCACGAGTGGCTCAATCTGTTTTTGAGGCTGATAGGGAGGAAGCCGAATTCGTTACCTACTATGTACTGTACAGGGTGATCGGGCTGTTGAGTTGATACCGGAAGGTCTGGCCATTCAGGCGCTACAGCCAGGAAAACTCTAATATAGTCGTTGGGTGCTGGAAGGCCCAGAACAGGGCTGGTGCGGTCCAACAGACAAGAGTTCCAATGCCGTTTAGACCCAGGTCAATGCGTGGATAATTGGGGACAGTGATTTATCTATCTTCTAATTGGTCTCGATACTTTCGCAATCCTGACACGTATCAGCTCTATCGTGCGTATGAATATGTCTCCATACTACGAAAGACAGATGCCGGATCTGCCTGGATTGGTTCCTGCTATGAAAGATTTAGTCTATTGTCCCGTGTTACAAGTAGATGCTGGCTAACTGGGAAGCAAATCATTTTATTGCATAAACCAGCGGACAACGACATACTATGTGTAAACATAGGAGGACCAAAGTAGCCAGTTCAGCATTGCACGTTGAGGCTCCTGCCTCTGTCAGACACACGTAGTTGACAAACGTAGTTTTCAAACGACTGGATAAGCCTTGACCTTCTGTTACGGAACCAGACCATCGAGAAGATCACTACGTGGCCATGGTGGTCGCTTTACAGTCCTAATAGCGACTGCAATGTGTCATTATCCAAAAATCGATGGCTGAATGTGAGACTCTCACTGTCTTCGTCTGCTGCTTCTTATAGGAACGAGTGGACTGTCCGAAGGCATCGACTTTGGCATAACCCAGATATCTTCCATACCTGCATGTTGTGTAATCGTATTCGCCGGAACTTTCACTGCTGTCGCCGTCCCAGCTGCAGTCATGGCTAAGCACTTCATCCACCATAGAGCGCCCCACTGAGGAATGCAACGATATAAACTTTATGCACACCTCCTTTGTCAACAATCCCTCTAGATAGCTCAGTTGGAAGAGCGACGGACTGTAATAGTACAAGACATCCGCAGGTCGAGGGTTCGACTCCCTCTCTGGAGACACTTTCTTTTTGCGACTCTTTCCGTTGTCGCAAATCTGTGTCTTTTTAGTTAATCTAACTTACAGACCCACAACCATGATCTTCGCAATTATGTTAGCTATACCGAAATGGCAAAAGCAAGTTTAGTTCTCATCTACGCATATTCAAACTTGCAAAAACGGAAAGAGCCAAAAGTTGAGTAAAAGCGAGACTGCGACGCCTGCAGGATTCGAACCTGCGCCTCCGAAGAGAATGCCTATACTACATGATAGCAGGGCACCGCATTAGGCCACTCTGCCAAAGCGCCAGTGAGCCTAGACGACGTATCTAGATTGGGACAACTCGTGCGCTACTACGTGGCTTATTCAACAGGTCACGGAATTGTGGGGTAAAGTCCCCTTGCCCGTCAGTACAACCACGGTGATGAAACTTCGCTCATCCCCAAAACTTCATTTCAATCTGCAGTTGTTGAAATTCCGTCATTGTAAGTACACAGCTTAAACTGCTAGCTTTACTAGGTATCGTACGCCCGGAACAAACTGGACGGTATGCATTTTTGAATGGATCGCATCCAGGTCGGCCAGTCACTACTTTGCTTAACATGCTATCTTGCTTAAGGTTACTTGATAGTATCATGCGGTTTATGGAGTCAATCAGAAGGACATAGTAGCATGATAAAGCTCTAGCGGATGATGGAGATCGACTTCTAGTTGTCGTAGAGCTGGGTACAAGCTTCGAATTAAGTTAAACCGTACCAGAGCTAGAAAGGTTTTGTATCCTACAGATATCACCTCTTCAACAAATATACTAAAGGGCATGTAACTCAAGCGGTGTGTCGAGCTTTCCGCCGCAACCAAAGTAGAGACACGTATCACTGAAAACAATAAGCCTCAACTCGCGATGTTGTTAATAAGACTCGCAAATACGGTTTACTCAAAAGCAGGAGACTGTATTTTGATCCTACCCTAGTTATTCGGGACCAGTGTATGAATTCTTCCACTTTACCCCATCCATGTATCGAAGAGCTGATCCTTCTGCAAACATGTTTCAAGTTCCAGTATTTACGCGTTGCCGATTCTGCAGCTAGTTAGAGTTTAATGTCTCTGATATCCCAGGGTCCAAAGCATTGAGAATAGTCAAAAGGGCCTTAAGTACAGAAAAATATGCCACTTGGCTGTACACTTGAGTCAGTTGCGAATACACCAGAAGTTCCGTTCCTGTAGGTTCTAACAGTTGGCTGTTGCCAAGGATTTGGTGCTCATGGTCCATCCATCATCAATCAACTGGCTGTAATGGGGAAAAGATAGCCGTTGGAAGTTGAAGGCTGGTGCGGTCCAATAAGTGTCAGATAGTCTAATTGCGATAGTAAGGACTACACTAAGAGCTATATCTTGAGCTTAGAAAAGTTGATTCGTGTAATGGAAACCATTTATTAATTAATTGATGGAGCACACCACACAATATTACGGGATGGCGGAAAGGCGAACTATCTAACTCGTTGAACATACGGTGCGTTCCGATGAAAAGATGGTAACGTGTGCGGGAATGGCAATGCTGGGATGGATTCTCATGATGCTGATAGTTCTATCACATTGTAAACGGCCAACAAATGCTTAAACAAGTCAATCTATCTGTAACTGACACGTTCAACCAACCGCACCCTCGGCTTTTTGTGCGATACGTTGCTATCAGAGCTATTGCAAGCTTTAACACATTATGAATTGGATGTGTCTCTATCATCCGAGGCCAAAGAGTGAAGGTAGCCTTGAGTAAAGAATTGGCTCTTAGCTGCACTTTTTTTTAGAGTGCTGATCACGTCTGAAAATAACAGGGGCTGATACGATAGATGAATTAGTGTACAGGTTCTATATAACATCTGGTTAACTGGCTATTACACAAAGAAGCGTAAAAACTAGCCGTTAGGGTTCAAAGGCTGGTGCGGTGCGACAGCTACTCTTCATTTATATCGATCAGTTCGGACAGATCGAAATTGTCGCTAACTTCGGAAATGTCATGGGGCCAGCTGTAGGTATCCGTCATGGGTGGGCCAAGCCAGCCCTCTTCTGGTTCTGCATCGTTCCAAGCTGTGCCTAGACCCTCTGCACTGAAGCTGGAGTTCGGCGGGGAGGAGACGCTCGTGACCAAATCAAACCTTCCGGGGGCCGGTACGTCCGGGCTTGTCGGCCTTAACCCTTGGCCTATGGATTCTCGACACTTGTGAAATCCCCGAAGTATGTATTCTTGGCTCGCTGAGGCCAGTTCACTCAAGATCCTCTCCACAGATGCGTTCCTCATGGGTACATCGATTGATGCCAACTTGCGTATCATCGCTTCTCGTAGACCGCTTCGAAGATGTGACATGATGACGTCCTCCACTTCCTCGAGTTCAATCGTAGGAATGAGTTCTGATATCGGAGTCGATCAGTGACCATACACGGCATTAGGAGAATTTCATTACCTGGCGAGGGGATAATATTATCTTCTGGGAAGAGCAGCCGCCACAAGGATTCCCAAGTGTTTATCTTCTGTTTCCGGTCTGACAACATGGATTCCACCTTTTTATCAATTCCGTCTTCCGGTTCGTGAGTTCGGTGATCTTCTTTTGGAGCTCTATATGTGCAGATACGATCTGATGGCGCCCTCATGTGGTCTATGAGTTCTTCATGGGCGGGAAAGGCTTTCTGGCACCTCACGCAGATATGAGCTTGCTGGTTACTGCCAATCGGCTGCGTATGACAGCTTTTGATATGTCGCCTTCTAGGTGGGTCAATTCCGGATAGCTTCTAAATAGGCTTGCTGACGTACTTGAGCGATAAAAGGGTAGGCCACTCTTGCAAGGCACAATCCTTATATGTTCGCACGTTAAAACGTAGCCTATTTCGTTGTCTAAATGGGCAGGCATATCCTCCCCTTGAACCCAACACTTTACTCTGCTTGTATATGCAGGTAGTCCTTGAGATTTCGCGACCCTGAGGCCTTTGATCTGTGTTAAGAGTTTCCAATCTCCCAGGATCCTCAAGTGATTGCACCAGGGTTCTGGAAGGTTCTTTCTCCTGTGTTAATACACTATTAGCTGAATATTCCTTTGGGTACTTATATGGGTGCTCAGGTGTAACCCGCGCGTCGAAAGTAGAGCAGGTGCTCATGGTGCTCATGGTGCCTGAAAGGCTCGTGTTGCTGTTGTCGATTCCAGAATGAACCACAGGTTCTTGCTGGATATTGTCCGAATCCATAGGGCTTACAAACGACTCAAAGTCGAATATACTGTTCGAAAAGTTGACCTCTGATGGTTCTTGGCTTGTTCTGATGCAAGGAGACCCCTCTGGTGTATGGTACTCCACGTCCGAGGGTGTTCTGACTATGGTTTACATAATGTTAGAAGTCACTCCCAGAACAGCAACTAGGAGCCCAAATGATAATGAATCTGTGTGAGTGGTCTTACCATCCATGGAATCGGGGTTGGCCTGAAGTTCGTTTCCCAGAGGTACCAAAGGCAGCCCTCGATCCAACCGCTGTATCTTTTGCCGGGATATGGCCCGTCCTCGAATTATAAATACAGTGTCCTTTCCATCGACTTTGCGGCGTCTGTCTCTAATCCTTGACATGGCATGCCTATCACTTGCGTTGATATTCTTGGTTAATCTCCATTCACTAATCACTTTGGATTCAAATTGGCGTTTCCTGGATAGATGTGTCAGTGAGCTATCTTTCACTGCGCGTGCGTGATCTTACGACATCTCAAATCCGTGCTCTCTGGCCATGATGTTTATAACTTCTCTCATCTTCAAATCCCGATGTAGGTAAAGCTCCTTGATAATTGATTTGTATTGATCCCATTCTTCCTGGCGTATCGGAGTTCGCGTCATTGTGAGTTTGTGATGTCGCTGCCATCATGAAGCAGGCATGGTAGTAAGAACTTAGGATCGGTACTGCTCGAAAGCTGAAAATAACAGGTCTTGGGGGCGCAGCACGTTTATGAATGCACACACCGTATCTTCGTTGACGGGACATATATTTATTGATATGATTGGGTGAAACCCCACTAGGCAGCGACCCGGGCGTGTTTGGATTCATTGTCCAAATACGGGCGAAACCATCAAATCTCGATTATGCTGCAGCCCCCAAAAAGGCGTCTAGGGAGGCCATTGGACAGCAGGGAATTAGTTCATCTAGTAGGGCTTTCATTGGACCATGACGAAATCCCACACTTGAGCGGCAAGAGCTCTGTCATTGGAACATGGCAAAACCCCCAAATGTGAGATTGCGCGTCTACGAAAGAGTCAAAAATACCATTTATGGGTGCGAAGGACTGTGATATATTAGATATCGTAATCTCTAAATTATTTGGATACTCCAGACATGTCGGCGTCTCATTATCTACAAGAGTTTCTCCCCGTATAGCGGCTCCTTGCTCTCCGTTGACTCCAACATCTTGCACGAATTCGACCTCCATCAAACTCGGCGCAATATTGATTCTCTCCGATGATCTCTGGCGACTAACCGAGCCCAGTCACCTCCGGACTTTGTTGAAGGATGGGAGGGTGAGAATCCAAGTGAAGGAAGCCAAGTACACCTGCAGGGGCGAGGGGATTCAGTTGACCCTGAACCGACAGACCGCCTGACCTCTCGAACACGCAGCCGCTCAGTGAGGCAAAACCATTGCTCCGACCTGCGATAAACTGGTTGCCTTGTCGACTAGTGCCGTTGCCTGCGCGGATTATTGGAGTGATGAGAAGCAGTGCTGCTGCAGCAATCACTTGCCATCCTCCTTCCTGGGGATAGCTTTGCTTCAGGTTAATCATGGTGGCTTCCGCGCTAACTATAAGCAGGTCCACAGGCCGGCACACCACTGAACTCGGACGACGAGTTGCCAATATTCATTTATTCGCAGAGTCGACTAGGTGATCAACGAGGGGGCAACGGATTGGCGGTGGCGAAAGCTCGAGATCGCAAGCCGGGGAGATGGTCTCGAGGGTCTGCTCTGGCAAGCGCACGCGCAAGACAGAAGACGAGCTCGTACGTCCACGTCATCGCCCTCTGTCATCTTCAAAGGTTCCTATTCTTGGCGGCTGAAGAAGTCCTGGCGCGCGAAAAAATGGTTGATACAGTGCACAAGGCAAGGCCAGACCATGTTTTCTACTCCATATGGTTTGGTACCTGGGACCCCATTGCTCAGTTGCCCTGGCTCATTGTTCAATGAAGACATTCAATTTCACTCAACTTTACCTTCAATTACTGATAAACCTGACGTGCATTGTGATGATGCCCGCCATGCTCTTGCACAGGCTACTTTACAGTGCTGTGCAGGTACAGTAGCTCTGTACTCTCTGAGGGAAAACACCTTACCCACACCTACCTCGACATCGACAATCATGAAAGCGGTATCCAGTCACTCGTCGAATGCCAAAACCATAGAGCCATCCCGTCTTGGTAAATATAACCGCAGATACTGTACTATGGTACAATGAAGGGCCCATATCTGGATATGCTTCTGTCGAACTTATCTTGAGTTTGAAGCATCTACGATCGATGAACATGATAACTGGTAAGTCGCCCTGTCAGACCACACAGTCCTCATGACAGACTCGTAATTGACGCGCACTAGTCCAAGTTACTTGCTCCAGGAGAAGGTAACATGAATCGGTAGAGCTGCATGAATCTCATTGCCCGTGATCAACTTTAAGTCCCACCGTGTCGACGTCTCGCTCGCCATGTCATTTAATGCGTCCATGTCTGTAAACACCCACATCCCTTCCCCTCGCCCCTCGGTGACGCTGCGGAACTGCTTTCCCTTGGGATTCAACGACCAATCTTGCAGACATACTCATTTCGATTCTTCCGAATAACTACGCCAGGTTGCCAACTTTTTCTCCTTGTAGCGCATCCACTCGCGTTCTCTATTCCCCTACGGTTCAATTGGCCACTTCCGATATCACCAGACCTGCTTACGTGTGTCAATATCTCGATATTTCGCCATGTCAATTTGCACGACCGCCTTGCTTGTCAATGGGTACGAACATTCATATTAATTAACCACTTTCTCTCCCAACCTCTATTTCCCTGCCCCGTGATCTTGACCCTCCATTCTTTCGCTTACTACCTACCCAGTGAAGAGCCTGTCAAGGTTCCTCACAGGTACTCCGAGACGACCGGAGTGAGCGATGCAGATACCTCGACGAACAGAACGGCGACTTATATGCTTGATGTTACGAACACTGGCGCCGCGAACTTCGAGCCTCTCGATGCCAGGGCTGCCCGCATCCGCGACGTGCTGGACAACACCAACAAGCTCTTGTCTTCGCATGTTGGGGCACAACCCAGGGGTTAATTACCGATTCAGGATATTTCAACATCAGGATAACTCGGTCAGTCATCTTGTATGATGAACAACGTCTTGTACGAAACCAATTGTTCCAAAGACCATCAAGCTGTGGCGCTTCGACATATTGTCCTTGTCCTCTCCCACTCCTTCGACATATTGTCCTTGACCTCGCCCACTCCCTCTTCGACATATTGTCCTGGTCCTCTTCCACTCCCTCTTCGAAGCTCAATCCGAACCTCCTTTTCCACCATCGCTTCTTTTGCCCAACGGCAGCAATACAAAGTCAACGTGGACAGGATGGCAACGGTGTTATGATTGACGAGAAATGACAAGATTTGTTTCAAGTACGAAATGACGAGTAATGCGTTGCTTTGTACTTAGTTGCAAGCATGGATGAATAAATAGGTCTCTCATGTGATCTACTCCTTGAAGTACGAAATGACGAGTAATGCGTTGCTTTGTACTTAGTTGCAAGCATGGATGAATAAATAGGTCTCTCATGTGATCTACTCCTTGATCTATGGAACTTGACGCTGAATAGATATTGTGTCTTAATTTCATGATCATGTCTCTCACCGCTGATGCATTCTCATATTTCAATTATCCAGCGACAACGAGAACACTACTATCGTTAGAGAGACCGGGATTGTGGGCCTTGATTCTACCTAGGGCGACCTTATTTCAACAACATAGAGATAAAGAGTTGATTGAGCCACAGGGCGTTTGGTTTGACTTTTGTGGCGCTTCTCCTGGGCTGAGGCAGACCTCCCAAATAAAAATCGACCGTCATTCCAAGCAAGAAGCAACTTCTCGCCTGTCTACGTTTTCATTTACCCCATCCTTTGAGACTGTACGACTACAGTGTTCCAATATCATTTTCCAGATATATATTGGAGACTAAGACGTAAGCTCAGCCTGCTACATGAATGTAAGTCCCCTCGAACGGGCAGGAAGATACCGCGAAGAGCGACGTGTACGAGCCTAAATGGTATCTCAACTACAAGATTAACATCACGGAAAACTACTCTCTGAAGTAATTGACCACTTGTGTTGCCATATATCACTAGCATCCGTTATACTGGGCTAATCAACAGAACCAGCACGACGGAAATAAGTAGGAACTTTGCAGAACAGCAGTTTTCGGTATACTCAATCGACCCAGAAATTCGATGAGACCCACCTACCTCAGGGGAAACAATGGAAAAGAAACGTGGATAAACCCCTGAGAAACAGCTGAGAAGGAGCACACAGCAATGGAAGGGCAGGTGCGGCCAAAACTAGTGTCTGGGATTATATCACCACATCGCGGGCCTCTATCAGTGGTAACAGTTAATATACCATTCGATTCCATGTACAGGTAGTTTGTCGAATCCAGATATCTTACCATGTGGCTCCCCTATAAATATTAAACCAGCCACAGCTCCCTCAGCTTCAAAGTCAAATTGTTTGAAAAACATTGAATATTAACTATTCGTACAGTGAAGGAAGTAGTGCCATAGGAACCGGACCCGTCTGCACCGGTCGACTAGGATAAAGCTCGAAGCAGCTTATCTATCTGTTGCGTGCCCCAGGCACACCACCTGTGTGCTGCGTGAAGCACTCGGACGAATTGCCCATGGATGGCCGTTCCGTAGCTGCAGCCTTTGAGAGTTATACCGAAGATGATATTTATCGAGCTCTTCAAGCAATAGCTACCGGTCAAAGCCTCCGAAAAGCAGCATATGAGCATGGTGTCCCAAGGTCTACTCTTTCACGACGGATTCAGGGAGCCCAGTCAAGAGATATAGCCTTCGCTGACTACCAGAGGCTCTCTCCAGCCCAGGAATCCCATCTGGCTGAATGGGTTCGAATCCAGGCTGCCCTAGGCCTCCCACCAACCCATCAACAGCTCAAAGACTTCGCCGAGCGTATCCTACAGATCCACGGAGACACCGAACCACTTGGAAAGAACTGGGTCCAGGCTTTTATCAAGAGGAACCCTTCATTCAAGGTCCAGAGAAGCAGAGCTATCGATTCCTAGCGTATTAATGGAGCCTCAGCTAATGTGATCAGGCAATGGTTCAAATACCTCGCTATCCCTGAGATCAAAGCTATTAAGGCCTCGAATCGATACAATATGGATGAGATAGGTATTCTAGAAGGTAGAGGATCAAATGGTCTTGTTCTAGGATCATCTGAGACTCGTTCTATACGGAAGAAACAGCCTGGATCTCGAGCTTGGACATTTCTTATAGAGTGTATCTCTGCGACTGGTACTGCACTACCCCCACTTGTGATATACAAGGGGAATTCTGTCCAGCAGCAGTGGTTCCCTCTGGACTTGACTCCATACGAAGCCTGGAGGTTTACAGCAACAGAGAATGGGTGGATGTCAGACTCTACGGCTATTGAATGGCTACAAAAGATCTTTATTCCTTTGACTCAACCAGAGGACCCTGAAGAGACTAGGTTACTTATCCTAGATGGGCATAGTAGCCACGAAACGACAGAGTTTATGTACCTCTGCTTCATAAACAAGATACACTTGCTTTTCTTACCGCCACACACATCCCACATTCTCCAGCCTCTCGATCAGTCAGTCTTTGGACCCCTCAAGGCAGCCTATAAGAAAGAGCTTGGTTACCTTAACCAATGGGATACTACTACTGTCGTAGGGAAGAGAAACTTTCTCCTATGATATAGAAAGGCACGTCTAGCAGCATTGACCGTCAAGAACATTATCAGTGGATGGAAATATACTGGTCTCTGGCCTTCGAGCATAGCTAGACCCCTTATGAGCCCCCTGCTCCTTGAGAATACATCAGCACCAATCAAACAGCCTAGTCAGACTTGCAAAGGGTACTCTAGTAGTCAGGACTGGACGTTAGAGACATCAGCAGTAGCCTGATTAACGCCTAAGAGGAGAGATAAGCTCCAAGATCAACTCAGCTTATTCAGCAAGCTTGATAGTGATCCAAATACCCAGCGGCTACTCTTTCGGAAAGTTCAAAAGGGCTTTGATGAGAAGGACTACCAGTTAGCTGTCGCACAGCGAAAGATTGAGGCAATAGAGGCAGAGCTTGAGGCTAGTAGGGCTAGGAAGCGGAGGAAGGTCAAGATGAGCCCTAATTCGAAGTTTACTAATATCAAGGCTATTCGGAAAGCTCAAATCGAGGCTGGTGAAATTGAGGATAGTACAGATGAGTCTAGCGAGTCTGAAAACCCTAGTGACGGTGAAAGCTGTATTGTAGTCGCATCAGAATAAGTGTAAAAAAAGGTTGAAGTCAATGGTTATAATATACAGCATCATTTTTAGGGCGTCCCACATGTGGGGGTGTCCCGGATGTGGGTGTGGGACGTTACCATTTAAATATTTTCTTTCTTCTTGTAGAAAAGCGTTTGGAGCTGCTTCCACCGAACAGGCAAAAGATACCGTTTATTTCCATGGTTCAAAAAACATGTGCCTTTTAATATATTCCCAATGATGAACAGTGGAATCAGACGGTCAGAGCTTTTGTTGTTAGATTTGCAGTAAAAAGTAATCGGTTCGATACCGTCTACTCTTAGTAAAACGCCTACGAATATTCTACGTTCTTGCCTCTGAAGTATACCATACGAACAAGCGACTTGACAGGGGGTAGTTTCGAGTTATTCTTTCCAGCGATTTAGGCTGAACACCATGACCGAAACCGTTACATGTCCCGTGCCTGTTTCGGGGAAATGATACATGTTTTTGTTCTCAGAGAGTGACTGTCAGTCCCGATATTATATCTCATCGGCAGTCTATGGTTGAGCGAATAGATAATCTCGCGATACTCATGTTTTAATTCTGGTGGCACTTTCCTGTCACATACAGAAGCGCAATATCCAGCCTCCCTCAGTTCGAGGGGTTCCCAGATACAAAGGTTTCAATCTTTCAATTATATCATCTGCTTACTACATAATTTGCTATAAATATCTGAACCTGTCTCCTTTCCGAATAGTTTTTGGTTCTTTGAAGTGATATATATGTTGACCAGTACCAAACATTCAAAGCCTTCCACTTATGGCTCATAGCATTAGCTTGGCGCCTCAAGCAAGAAGTCAGTTACCTTGCGTGTAATTACAAAGCACGATAATATCACATTACTTTAAGCTTATTATCTGAGAGTCGCTACGCATCCCCCAAAATCTAGGATGTGGTTATGGGGCCAAACCTTCGCAACCGGCCTGAAATGCCTCAACAGTTATTATGGTTTATCTAATTGACGAGCTGGACGGCTTGTGTGATCACGTCATAATAACTTGGTTCTGAGGGTTAGATTTGCAGTCTATTTAACTATAGGTCGCTCGCTTCATAGATTCAATACAGCAAGCAGTCAATCATTCTTCCATTTCTACCAACCCTCGTATATAATAAATCATGGACTACCCGCAAATTTTGGCTGGCCAAATCAAAGTCTTGTATAGACAGACTGTAACAGCTAGTTAACATTAAGTTGTTGAGGGAGCAAGATCTTTGCGGATATAACTCAGATCGTCCACTGCATCAGTTGAAAATTTGACAGTCAAACTTCTTGGACTGCCCAAGTTGAATTCCGAATTGAACCGTCATTTGATTGGTGGTTCAAAAGTGCGGAGTGGGAAGGTCGTTTTTCGTTGGCTGTCACCAATCAATAATTACATGGATATAAGTGTATGCTCAACTCATTGGCTCGCTCTTTTCACCCTTGGTTTTTGGGATAGAACTGGCACTTCGATATAATTGGGGGAGTACGCAGTGATGTCGTATTGCGACCGCCACTGCTCAATGGTGATTGGCAAGAATACGGGTTTCTCGAGGAAACTTCAGTTCACGGGCACATATCAGTGGAGAGGGGCGGCAATTGCTTAGACGAGGTAGGTCTAGCTTTCACCGGATGTTCAGGGAAAAGCACAGTCTCAGGCATACTAGTCACATATAAGTCAAGTGTGAACCCCGAACCTTTCTGGTTAGAACTCCAAGTTCTTGGATCTTTCTCCGTCCGGTTGATAACCACGTCTGGGCGCGATGCATGGGCAAGTGTCCATCTACTCTCCATCCGTATCGGATCCTATGTCCTACGATACAGCCGGTGGAGCCCCCAGATAGCCTGGCATCTTCAACCATCTTCAACCATCCACATCGTCCGGAACATCATTCGCCCCTTCCGATATGGCTAATGCGATGCCTCCGACTCTGATCGAGCCGCCGTCCCCCTCTGCGACCGAGGAAATGAAAACAAGAAGAAAGTAGCAGCATGTTATATTGGGGGCAGGCTTTTGACCCCAGAATTCCAGGGGCACCTCGTCTTCCTTTTTTGGTTGTTCAGGTGGCAAGAATCCTGGTCGTCTTGGCTGGTTGGCCTTGCTGCCTTTATATGCCTTTTCATGCTGCGCCGCGTGTGATTAAGCGCGCTGAAATGCAAAAGACCACACCCCATACATCAATACCTAAGCCGCCTTCTCACGTTGTGGGGGCCAAAACGAGATGATACCGATGACAAATATACGCAACGCCAATCATATTAGGCGACTGGCTTCGTGTTACAACAGAAAACTTCTCCATGCACCCGAGACCTCAGCTTCCCCCGCCATGGAAAGCTGTGCATGGAGTACGATGATGGGAAGGTTATCGAGCCTGGCGATCGAGGAGAAGCAGGCTGGAAGCCAAAAGGGAAGCGTCACTTGGAACCATGCTTGCGATCCTGGCGCTTGGTGTTGATGATTGTGTCGGCCAGGCCGATAGTGTGCGCAATGGGCATGATGCTGAGCATGGTACTCTGCAGCGCCCAGCCTCGACGATTCTTCGGCCCCCACTGCCTACGATCTACTGCACGATGTCAGAGTCTCCCTTTCTACCCTGCGTCTTTGGTCCCTGCTAACCATTTCATTTCGATTTACTCTTCGTCTCCGAGCGTTTGGTTTACGGCATCCTTCCGTATTTTCCGATTGGTGGCCACTCGGTGTTCTGACCCAGCACTCAAGCACCATCAATGGCCGGCCGGAGTGAGACACGTGTGGACTACTAGTTAAGCCTTGTCAGAGAGCTTACAGCTGAACATGCGTGTCATATCTTAGGGTGAACTACTCGGTCGGCTTGCCGATCAGCTTGGAAGCCGGTTGGAACTGGTGCTTATACATATCCTTGTGAAACGGCTCTAACCTTTTCTCGAAGGATTCTGCAGATATGCTGTCGAACTACTCATCTGGCCGCACTGAGTAGCATCTCCACCTCTGCTCTCATTGATGCCACCCCACGACTCTCACAATGCTGGATATCATTTCGGCCCCAACTTTGTCATCTACTCTGGCCTGACGATTTCGTTCAGCCCTGGATAGAGAGACAAGGTCATCGGCAGTTGTTACCCAGAAAAGGACGCCTACATTCGGGTGCTTTCATTAGCCCGTCCAGCCTCATGAATTGTCAGCTGCCAAAGTACGCTTGTACTACCATCAAGTGGTAAGAAATCAACGGCGCTTGATTTAAAATGAACGCAATATGGAAGAACGTCGGATTGTAATCAGAGACACCATTCTTGGTAATAGAATCGGTATCGACTACTCTAGTTCTCTGTACCCAGGCATATGTCGGTAGATGATGCAGAGTGAGTTGACTCGTGCTGTTCCACTTGCCTTGTCTTCACTCTCTGTGCAACAGCACACTGAAAACTACTACATCTACTTATTCTCTTTTCACTTCGCTGAAGTTTTGGTTTCTTCGTATCCGCGAAATCTGTTTACAACCTCTCCTGACATTCTCTCGGAACTCGTTTGGCACTTTAGTCTTTTTCAATACCGGCAACACAAACCTTCCCACACTTTTCTTCCAACACTTTTCTTCCAACACTTTTCTTCCAACACTTTTATATCATTTGAGACGGGGTAGGCAAAACAAGAATACTTGACTTTCGTACACATCTTTCTCGTGCTAGTCTTGTCCCACCATGTCAACTCCTCCCTGTCTTTCTCTGGTTACTACAACACTATCCACACAAGCCATGCCTACCAGCACAACGGCCTCACTTTACAGCGGGTAAGAGCTGAAAAACGGTCCCTGATCTCAGGGAGCCCCTTTTCTGAACCCAACTTGTTCTCGCATCAGTCTTAACTAACTGCAGCTCGACAGCCATAAGCCCACAAAGAAACGGCACAGGTATTCCAACATGGATAGCTCGGCAATCGACAAGAACATCAAACAACACGGAAAAACAGCCTGTTACGTTGCTTCGGAAACCAACGGCGGTGCCGTGTTCAGCGAGTCGGTTGATGCGAGGTCGCAGCGGGTGCAAGGCGTACTGGCAGATACCGCTGCGGCGCTTGCTTCTCCGAGTGGGGCACTGGGATAGATGCAGCGGCTTTGAATGTCTGAGATGCCAGGAAAGTCGAGAAGTTATCCACGTCCTTGGGGAGCTTGTTGTGGGCCGAGGATTTGATTTTAATTGATGAGTGGGATCGCCGGCAGCTTTGGGATTGGAGAGGCTCCACAGGCCCACCAATGAGCCGGATCCCTCAGCCAACATATGCAAAATGGTGCTCGGGTTTTCGATGGCATGACGTTGCCGCTCTAGTTTGGACTGGCTTTTGGATGGAGTGTATTTGGGTTTCCGCCTTAAGGGGCTTTGTTGAAGGACTTGTACGAGTATTGTCAGCAACGAGATCATACAACTGGTTTATCCGTGTCTTATAGATGATTTATTTCACTGCCAAGCTTACGCTGGTTTAAGATAGCCAAATAGTCTGTCTTCCCCTACCCTTCCCTCGAAGTCGCCAGGGCAGAGGCGTACTGTGCCTCCTGTGCTGTATGATCTTCTCGCTTCTACTGCCTCATTACTGGGGTTCCCCAATGGCTATGGCTGTTATTTACTCTTCCATTCTTCAAGGAAATTTTCATATTGTATGATACTTTGTACTTAGGATGAGAAAAAGATGGCTTAACTTTAGAAGCTGTCAATTAACTAAAACACAACAACGAGACACTGATAGTGAGCAGTAGTTGGTAAAGGTTAGATTCTAGCTAGTATTGATGCAACATACGCTCCCAACCAAACCGGTCCTCAAACGAGCGAGTTTGTAGTAAGACCAAACAGTACACCTTAAACACGAGAACTGATCCCTAAACGAGTGTCATGTGTATTTTATGACCCAGAGAAAGAGTACCAAAAACAATTGGACCGAACCTAACATTCCATGAAAATAGTTCTATGCGCTATATCGATGATACATCTTATCACGTTCTTAAAGGTCGGCTTATGGATTAAATCTAAGTTCTCACTGGGTGGGGGATGGTATCGGAGTTATCGCAAGCTATAACAAAGCATGGAATTTGATGAGGCTCCCTTTCTCTTCTAATCGAAAGGAGTGAAAATGGTCAGAAGTGCCTTACTTACGGAAAATGTGCCTCGTGGTTGCAAATTTTGCGACTGCTGATCACGTCTGAGCATAGAAGTAGCTGTTACACAGAGAATTCGTTGCTGAAGATATTACAGGGACTGATACACCGGAGGATTTGGGGCTTAGTACTCAGAATCCTGTCAACTAGCTTTGTAGCAGGAATTGGGGGGAAAAAGCCGTTGGGGGCCAAAGGCTGACGCGGGTCGACAGATGGGAGTAGTTGACGCTCAGAAACGGGTTTTTCTTGAGGTTGGAATAATATGCTTAGGTGCTTGACTGGGTTTTGCTGGCCGCCGAGTCTCCATTAGAGCCTGCGCCTCCAGTTTGCCCTGTGATCCCGGATGTGCTTTTTACCTCTGGTTCTCACTATGTTGTGAGCTGTCGGTTGTGACAGCTTTTGATTGTCGGAGTCCAGCTCAGCGGTGCAGTTTTCAAACGTGCCGTTTCTCCTATTACCGAGATGCTGTTTGGTGGTAATGATAGCTGTAGGTACGAGGCAATGCTGCATTTGTTTCTAGTGGAGCATGAACTGAAAGGTGCAGGATATCTTACCTAGGTTTACCTAAGTTTACGTAAGTAAGTATGCTTGCACCAGAAACTTGGAGAAATTTAAGTGCTACAACCGCATACTTGGTAAAACGTCTCCGCTATCACGCCTCTATCGCTATTTCGCTAACAGTTGCTTCCAGATATTAGGGCTGAACGGCTCACGATTTACCGACCATGCAGGCACCAACGGATTCGTACATGAGCTGTACGACTACCTGCCAAATCGGTGGGCCCCCTCCCCCACCCCGGCAACAGGGCTGAAGGATTGGGACTTGCAGGGGTACATTGAGGAGTGCAAAGCCGAGTCGAACCCTCCAGGGAGCAAGTTTTGCTTGCGTTTCCCCGGATTAGAGGAGGTTTTTGATCGTGAGTAGTCATGGACAATGGTCGAACGATCCGCAATGCAAGGTCCACCCTCTGAGGAGAGAATGAACTTGGTGGCTATGGTCAAGACGATGATGGTGACAGACCCTGCGAAGCCCCCAAACATGGCCGAAATCCCGACCCATGCGAATTTCAGAAGTTACTGTGCTCATCTGGAAAGAGAACGGCTATCCCTACTCAAAGAACATGGATAGACCAAAAAGCGACCGTGGTGGAAAGGACACCATCCACTTCATTCGCGAAAAGGGCGAAAAGACACCGACAGCGGAATTACGGCGTCAGAAGTGCCTTTGGTAAGAAGGACGCTAATCTTCGCCTCAGCCCCATGATGAAACACTAAGTGTGATACGTGAGGTGGGAAGGTACGGCCAAGTACAGGGCTACAAAATCCCGCCCCAAAACCAGAAGTAACCATCATAGAGAAAGAAAAAGAAACATCTTTTTTTGGCCTTCATATAAATCTACGTGAACCTATGGGGGGTTACCCTGTAGCTATAGATAAGATAGATAAGAGCTGTAAAAAGAGCTCTGCCAGGCCAGAATAGCTGACCTGGCCATCCTTTCCCAATACAACAATTCACACCCCATATGCACTCGCACCAAAGTGAGTCGACCGTTTCAGGGGTATTAATCACAATTAAGCTATATGGCGAGACAACCGGATCTTGCTGCTACGTATGCTAGTTATATGATTTCACTGCATTAGATCATGAATTCATGAATTTCCAGAGAATAAATGCATAATCAGTGCGTAAATTCAGTGCCTGCACCATCTGCTAAAGCTCAACAGGGTGATGTACAATTGAACAATAGACCCAAAGTCAATACCGTAATAGTGGACCACAGACTGCATTGTGGGACCAGTGTATCTGATCTGTATTAGGGAAATAGGTACCGGAAGTAAATTAAATAGAAAACTAACAGACATTGTGTTTCCTAGGTACTGCTTAACTTTCTCTGAATAAGGCTGCGCTGAGTTTATGGCAACAAGTTAAAAACAGAAGATCACTATCTTTCCTTTCAGTAAACATTACTCTCAAACGTCTGAAATGATGGCAAGGACCATAATCATTAAAAACAAGTAAACATAAAAATAAAAATGATAAGTCTTTGCCTCATCCAAGTCTAAGAAACAGGAGCCAATGTCATTTCAAAACTTAAAGGTTTGATCAATCTCTACATAACCACAAAGCGCCTCTAGCGGCATCTTCTCGGTGATTTCAATGGGCACAGGTTCTGAGAATAAAAACACAGGGGTGGAATTAAGCCCTGCGACAGTTTCCTTGCACATGAATCCGTCGCTATTTCTTCGCATTTCTTCGCTGGACAGTTTAACCCCGATACTGAGATGGTTTATATAGCGATCCCCGTCTTCACTTATAAAGGCAGCTTTTATAGACAGTCATCTTAATACCAACTATTAAACAGCCAAGATTGGGAAACTAAGAAAAGGGATGAGTGCAGACTCACTAACCAGGTCGGGCGCCTGGCATAAATACCCTTGCAAGTGCACTGCATGGAATCAGTAACACAGCTATCTTTGCACCGCGGCCGAAATTTGGAGGTCAGCACGCCATTGACCTGGGATACGACCCCGTCGGCGCGGCGACGCGACGGGCCACTCGCCGCAGTCTGATTCTTTCGGGTTGGAGGCGCCTATGTACTCGACGTCTGCACATTAGGAAGGCGAGCATATTCTCAAGGACGGCGATTCTGCTGATGTTTTCGGAGCAAGTTGCTTGATCAGGTGTGTGCTTAAATTATAAACGAAAACCATCATTTAGGGGCTCAGGGCTCCAGGATTAGGAGTGGGGTGTAGCCTACTAAGTTGTCTCATAAAATATTTCGGCACAATCTTCCTGCTCTTAATAGTCGTCTCCACATCATCCATGAGCGCAACTCGAAACGAGTGTTATATACGCACTACGACTTTAAGAAATAAAGAAGTCCCAAGCCAAAATTTCAAGACGGATTCCTTAACCTGTGTTTCCATGCCTCCATCTCGAATTTACTGCTTCCGTTCGCTATTAATCCAAACCTTCTGACCAGACGGACCGAACCAAAGGGACAAAGGAAAGACTGAATAAGAAGCTACTTAGGGGATTTCCCTCCAGCCTCGAGATTCTTCACATTCCTCCTAGCATCTGAGCATATGTAAAACTTGTTTGAATGTCGTGGGCTGTACCAATGATCCATCTTATCACTATCTTATAGGTCGGCTTCTGGATTCGATCTTAGTCCTTACTGCATTGAGGAAGAGGTTAGTTAGTCTCCAGGATCGGGTTCCTCTCGAGGTTCATATTTTTTCAGGTCCCTTGGTAGCATTGATTAGAGCCACCGCCTTGATAAAAGTTGGGACCGCCTCTGGTAAACCCTGTGCCCCTGTTCGGCCGTTTGACTCTATTAGGCCATGAGGGTTCATTAAACCCTAGGTCTCCTATATAGGTTCCTGAACCTCCTCTGACCCCTTGGCCACCTATAATAATCTCCGGCCCCCAGCTAAACTCCAGGCCTCCCATACCAGCCCTTACGCCTCCGGTAAAGCCTGTGACTCTGTTAGGCCCAAGGAATCCCCTAACCCCTAAACCTACTTTGCTAGCATTTAGTGCGCCGTTTCCAGCCCATCCACCCACTCCTATAGCTCCGGTTCCAGCATCTCCAATGCACCATTGCAGTCCGTGTTTCATCAAGATACCATATTATTCTGAGCCACCTCATCACTACGAAGAAACCCTCCATGGCGTCTCACTTCGGCATTACGAACGGCAACCGCCCTGTCGCATGCTACCAGACTATGCAACGCGCATCTTGAAACGAGCAGCCCGCCGCGCGAACTGTCGAGGTTTACAACCGCGTGACCACCGCTACCTGCGTTACGTCTTAGGAGGACGTCGTCGTTTTTTCTTTTGACTCTATGGAAGAACGCGTACGTTTACCCGTCTATATCCTATCACTCTGATCACTTACCCGTTGGCGCAGTGCAATAGTCTTGCCTTCCTTCGCCAGACAGTTCCCTTGCATTCTCAGAGTGCCTAGAACACTGGCTTGGGTGGAGCATGCCCTAGGTGTATCCTTCGATATCGATACTATTGGTTCATTTAACGATGGCAAAGTTTGACTGTCGAAGAGTGCGCTCCTTACTGCGCGTGCTACGATCAGGTCCCAGAATGACAACCACGGCCCCACTCCGATCCAGATGGCTGTCCTATCCAATCTTCTTGAGCGCTTCGAACAAAGTCCAACAAGATATCAGTAGCCTGGATGATCCTCGATTGGGGCAGGTTGTGTTCGGTATAGGCCACACTTTTAAACTTACAAAGGAACCTGGCCTGTCATCTCGATGCTACCCCCTCTGTTCTGAAGCGTCCGCAGTCATTGGGGTTTGGGACCCGTAGTGTCACTTGCAGCCGTATATCTTGCTGCATGTACTGAGAAGATGAGAACTGAGGCATTGGAGGCATCGGGCCCTGGCGGCCCTGTGGAGGAGGCGTCGGTAAAGCTCGGGGTACAGCTGATATAGGGGTGTGGGTATGCGGCAGCCCCCAACGAGCCTGAGGTCCCGCAGCCGGAGTACCTGGGCTCATGTTTATGGGAGTCTATGGGACTGAGACAAGGTGACGTGCAGTATGTCAGACCTTATAACTACCTCATTCTACAACGAGTGGGTCCCTCGTCTTTTGACGGTCAATTTGGTCCAACAGTTATGAGCCCGGGTTTGCGTCTTAAGACTGCAAGATTTTATCGGGTATTATCAGTCCTCTAATTCCGCATAAGATCATCGGCAATGGTTCGAGACGTAGCCAAACCGCGTCAAAAAATAAGAGTTTTATTACAGAATTCATACTCAAGGTAGAGGGGCGGACAATAAAAAAGATGTTCAAGACCCTGCAGACACCGTAGATGAAAAGATGTATGACGGCCAACGAGGCCAACCAACGACATAAGCCAGATGCTACTACAACTTGACGATATCTCTCCAAGCTGAGGGGGTGTGTCAGACCCTATAACTACCAAAAATACCTCATTCTACATCGAGTGGGTCCCTCGTCTTTTGACGGTCAATTTGGTCCAACACAGCAGTAGAGGGACCGGGGTCTCGAATGGCCCGAGCCCTACACTACGGCTTCATATTAGTTTCTTCCCAGTACATCATTCCTGCTCCGTAGTCTTTAGTATAAGAAAGAGTACATAGCACGCCCAGCGCTCGTTGACTTCTCCGGCACAAACCACGAAAGAAGTTCATCGTCATTATAATCCTTTATATGTTCAGAACACACCTAAATACCATTGTCCTAGATCCGCTATTTCGAGACCTCAGTGCAGAGTTTCCCATATTATCCTGGAGGTTGCGAGGTAGAAATTCACGTGTTGTGCAGCCTTTCGGGGATCTAATATACTGTGTACTTTCATAAACAGCTCAACTGCGAATTGGCATCCGCCTACGTCAAGACCTCCATTCCACTCGCACTCAGGGTCATGAATACCTCTAAAGCCTGCAAAATGGTGAATAGCAAGTCATCAATAGCCTTGGTCATCTCACGATATATTTCTTCATGATGCGGGACGCGAGTAATCTAGCTTAACCGTCATTGGAGGTACTACTCGTACATGTATCCCATCAGTGATGATCCTAGCAACTTCGCCACATCTTATTTAATCAGATGTACCTTTTCACGCCAGATCATTGTTGCTAGTCCCCTCTTTGCCATGCCAGGTTGATATTAGCAATGGCTATCGCTATCCAGTGCTTCGTAGTAGTATGGAATTTGATGTATCACCATCACCGATAAATTCCGATCTGTCAGGTGGAGATGGCCAGGTTTCCCGGGCTGCCCTGCTAAACGACGCGACCGGCTTGGAGTTACACGATTGACGTGACTTTGTGCGCGAATCTAGCTTCTTGGTCTGATGATGCTTCGTGCACGACCTATAAGACTTTACCAGTCAAGCTCCGAAATGGGAGCCCACGCTTGCAGGGTTATGTTAGTCCATTTTGTTCAGGCACCAGCGTTTGCAGCCTTCTGCCGCCATTACGCGCTCTGGAGTATCCACACATCCACACCAAATCAGATGCACCAGGGACTTTCACCTACTTGGCTTCAGCGGCTAAAACGTCGATCTGAAGAGACATGGGGCTGTGCCAGATGAAGCTGGGGGGAGCTTGTCTCAGACTCTGCAGCTTTGTAGCACTCCAAACCTGTTGGGGCACCTCAATGACTACATCTGGAAAATGCAAAGCCTGAAATAAACAGTTGGCCACGAGATCCAACCAATTTGGTGCAAGGGCGCCTGACTAACCACCTCCTGGCCAATCGAAAGCCTGTTAGGTGCGTGCATTCAACTGTTCCTTGACAGAAAGCAAGACTATCAGGCTGATTCGTACTTGCAATTGCGCGCGCCAGTCTTCTGCTTCGCCGAACAACCCACTCGCCGGAAAACCCTTGTCATTTTTAAGGTCGGTCGGCAAGATTTTCGATGGTTGAACGAGAAGGCCGAGACATGGGGCACTATTGGGGCTTTATGCCGTCCTATGATTAGCTCATTAAACGCCCTCAAAACAAAACATCGTTTTACAGCGACAGGACAATGTGGGGAGTATTCTCAAAGCCCATAATGGCACGAACAGCGTCAGGCGGTTACAGCAACTGTTGCCCGTAAGGATTAGGATTGATTTAAAGGGATCTCGTAACGTTCTCGCCTAGATTGCTGTCCTCTCGCCGTTGCCATACGTAGTACGCAAGACACAATATTACGGACCCGCTGAAGCAGTCTTGTCTGGCAATAGTCCCCGGCCCCATCGACTGGATTTATTTGTTCCATGTCAGCACTACCCCGCAACACCCACGCTGAGGCAGACTGTTGTTGATGACCTAAGCTGGAAATTCCATGCCACGAGAATTACTGCCGTCGCTCGTCGTTACTTATCAACATCTTTCGTACGGCCCGTTGTTTAGCACAATTGATCATGTAAGTTTAAACTAAACCTATAGTAAGTGAGGATTCTAATAGGATAGTAGCGCTCTTGATTGAGAAAAAAATATATATTACGACAAGACGACTTCGGATTTTTCCATCCAAAATTGTCCTCGAGGATGTCCAATCCATCTCAGAACATCGAGCCCCGACTACCACTACATGAATATACCGTGGGATGGATCAGCGCATTGCCGATCGAGCATGCCGCAGCGGCCGAAATGCTCGATGAAGAGCATGAAGCACCAGCTCGGCAAGACAACGACGACACCCTGTATACCCTTGGCCGTATACAAGGTCATAATGTGGTAATCGCCTGTCTCCCTGCTGGCTTGATTGGGGCTGCCTCGGCGGCAAGCGTCGCAAAGGGTCTAACTGACCGGTTTCCTAACGTTAAGCTTGGCCTTATGGTGGGCATTGGCCATGGAGTCCCGTCAGAGGAGGTGGATATCCGCCTAGGGGATGTCGTCGTTAGTCAACCTAGAAGAGGTAACGGCGGGGTGGTACAATACGATATGGGGAATCGACAATCCAACGGCAAATTTCAAGACACTAGCCACCTTAACACCCCTTCACCACTCTTGCTAAGTGCACTCGCCCAAGTGCAATCAAATCATATCCGACGGCGGAGCACATTCGCCAACCACATGTCCAAGTTCGAAGGAAATGAAGAATTCGAACGAGGACAAGCAGGACCCGATCAATTGTTTCAACCAACGTATCAGCACAAGCGAGGCCCTACCTGTGCGGAATGCGATAAGCAGGCACTTATAAAGAGAGATTCTCGTCCTTCGCATAAGGCGGTACACTTTCATTACGGGACGATCGCATCAGCGAACACGCTCATGAAGGATGGGGTAGAGCGAGACCAGACCTGCCAACGGCTCGGTGGTCACGTTCTTTGTTTCGAGATGGAGGCCGCCGGACTGATGAACAATTTCCCTTGTCTTGTGATCCGTGGCATTTGTGACTATGCTGATTCTCACAAAAACGAAAGATGGCAACCGTATGCCGCTGCGACGGCGGCCGCCTTTGCGAAGGAAATCCTCTCGGTTATCCCGGCGAAGGACGTGGTAGATCTGGTCCCGACCAAAGGTACGCTACGTCATGCTATCAATTATGTTCCAGAGTATGAGGAGATGGAGTTTTTAGCGATGAAATTATGATGTGATGATATGGATCAATTGCAGCATAATGATTGCTCATAGAATGAGGTTCATAGTCCCGTGGATATTACCATTCAATAGAAAACCTTCCTTTACCGGCCGAAGTGATATCCTTGCACGCCTCCATCAATGCCTGAAAGATCCAGAACGTCATCCATACGTTGCCATCCACGGTCTTGGTGGCAATGGGAAAAGCGCTGTCGCCATCGAATTCGCTTATCAAGGTCGAGATGACAATCTCGGTTGCGCCATATTCTGGGTCTCTTCATTTACGGTTGAACGTTTCTAAGAGTCATATCGGGAGATCGCTGCACATTTATAAATCTCAGGCGCCGATAACTTAGAGGAGCATATGCTGAATCCTGTTAAAAGGAAGCTGAGTGAAGAGGATCAAGGAAGGTGGCTTATGATCATCGACAATGTGGATGATAATAGCGTCCTCATCGATACCACACTGAATGGTCGCCGGCTATATGATTATCTCCCTCGTAGCCGACGTGAGATGATTATTTTCACTTCGCGTAACCGCCAGATTGCCGTTGATCTAGCACCAGATGATGTTTACCCGTTGGGTAGACTAGAGTCTAGTGAAGGAGGGGAATTGTTACGCAAATCTTTGCAGCACGAGCGAGCCCTATACTCGGAAGACTCCATCAGCGAGTTTTTCACGTTGCTCACATATTACCCCCTTAGAGGTTCTGGAAGCTATGCGGTGGTGCGTGGTTTTGTGGTGGACCTGGTGCTTCTAGGAGCTCTGGAGGCTGCGCGGTTGCCGCGTTGGTGATCTTGATGATCTTGGTCAATGCGGGGCCGAATTTGATGATTCTGGTGACAATAAAGTCGAATGGATGGATGGATGGTTTGGTGGAGTGGCTGCTCAAGCGGATTTTGCCGCTGCACCTGCTATTCAGATAGCTTGGACCATTAAATTATTGATTTAGGCATTTGCTGCAGAAAACTAATCCATGACTTCGCTATCTTTAGTCGTGAGGTCAAAGTCTACATGCTTCTGCTCCTGATGAAGAGGTTAAATGATTTTAGACACCAAGTTATCATAGCATGGTATGCATACATTTATCGATACGACCTCGACTTAGCCCTTGACCCTAGTTCAGGGAATGGTATCCACCTCGTCACCGTTGGCAAACAGGTCGTTGTTGTCGCTCTTTAAGCCTTCTAATTCTTTCCATCGTGGTCGAAGGGCTTCTTGTCATCCGGTGTGGCCATTAAGATGGGATCAATAGCTACAGCCTAGAACTTAGCTTTGGTTCTTTCTATTCATGACTTATTCGGCTCGAGTTATTGATATATGCCATGAGGAAAGCGCCCAGCGAAGCGCCCAGGACTGTTGAGCCCCGTTGCTCCGTGATACCTTCCCAGATATGAACCGCCCAGAATCCCTTGTGAAACTGCCAGTTGGTTAGTATAACGGCGTAATGGGTGTGAGTATGACAACAAATATGGCAGTACAGCCAGCCAGGTGCCATCTTCTGGTGTAAGTAACGGCTGAGGTTATCCAGCTCGTGGAACAATAAAGCGCTTTGACTTTGTCACGGGTAACGAATCAAGCTCTCCGTGCCTCTTTAGTCGTTGTGTTACTTATTTCAATTCAAGTATTTGAGGACGGAAAGCATACTTACAATTACTTGGCAGCATCATCCCCAAGGGGCGCAGGGTTTTCCTACTGCTAGCCCCTCTCCATCTGTAGAGGGAGTTTCCTTCCGGCCTTTCAAGCCTGGGATGTTGAGACTGACAACCCGTCCCTGTATTCCAAGCCAACGCCAATAGCCACAGCTATGACCAAACATAGTTTCCACACTGCTGTGGTCATAAACTTGTTGACTTTGAGAATGTGCTTGGTGTGACTTGGATGCTGCGACGTAAGGTAAAGATGAAGTTGCCAAAGGCAATGTTATGAATTGCCGAGAGATAAGCACAGGAGCTGTGTCTTCCTCTAGATTTATATGAAGGCCAAAAAAAGATGTTTTTTTTCTTCTTCTATGATTCTTCTTCTATGATGGTTACTTCTGGTTTGAGGCGGGGTTTTGTAGCCCTGTACTTGGCCGTACCTTCCCACCTCCTATAATCAACTCCAACCCCTAAGCCCACCCGTTCAACTATTCAGCTTATTGCCGATTGTTCCGCAAACCAAGACTTCCATATCGTGTCATGACTCGCACATTCCTACACCAGAGCCCCACCGGTGTCCCACCGGTGCCTATGGCATTCTGTTCTCTGACAAGTAGATCCATCGTGGTGGCTGGATGAATCTTCTCTTAATGGGTTTGCTCATCCTTGTTGGTGTGTCGTTTTGTAGCAACAAAAGTCACTCAATTCTCTTGAGCATCTCACTGATCATAGTAAATATTTTATTTAATATTCCAACAAGTTTCATCTCATCAATGAGAACAAGCTCAGTATTTGGTCAGCGCGGGACAGCCAGCACATGCAGGGAACGAATGTTTCGTTTCCACAAACACCTTCTGCATGCCATCTTCCCGCTTGTCGAATTTGTAATACACCTTGTCCAGATCCTCCATGCGAACACGGTGCGACACCATCTGTAGGGGGTCGAGCTCCCCAGTCTGGATCTTCTTCAACAATTCTTCCCAGTACTTGAACACCGGCGCCTGGCCGTTTCCGATAAGTCGGATGCCGCGCTGCATCATAGAGCCTATGTTGAAGTGATTGGTCTGTTTCGGTTAATATTGTGTGCAGATTGCCCTTAAGAGACACAACTTACGTAGCCAACATAAACACCTGTGACGCCGCATCGTCCGTAATTCCTCACGCCTTCAATCATTTCGTTGATGATCTCGCTCGTGTCGGTCTCGGCACCTACCATCATCTCGAGCCAATGAGCCCAGCCCTTGGCATATTCTCCTGCGGCACACTCGAGAGCGACGTCAGGACCGCGACCACCACAAAGCTCCTTCAACCTGGACACAACCGTCTCCTTATTTGTAGCTCCAAAGGACAACTGCTTGAAGTCAACCAGCTCCAACTTGCTAGCATACTTCGCTGGCCAGTGCTCTTTGACAAAGGTTAACCGAGGCTCGGTATCGACGAAAATGATCTTGCTGGCTCCCGCATCCGCGGCGAAGAACCCGGCCATTTGTCCAATGGGACCGGCACCAAACACCGCCACTTGATCGTTCTCGTAGATGGCAGTGTCGTGGGCGCAGTTGTAGCTCGTGCAGAGCACATCCGACAGGTACAGCGCCTTCTCATCGGGCACATCATCTGGGATCTCAAGGAGGTTCACATCGGCAAGCGGTACGCGCACGTACTCGGCCTGACCTCCGGCGAAGCCACCAACGAAGTGAGAGAAGCCGAACAATCCGGCGGTCTGTCCACCATACATGGCCTTGCCAATCGTGTTGGAGTTGGTCCGCTCACACTGAGAGGATAGCTTCTGTTTGCAGAAGAAGCAGTCACCGCAAGCGATCTGGAACGATGCGACATAGCGTTTACCGGTCTGGACCTTCTTCACACCTGATCCGACAGATTCCACGACACCACAGAACTCGTGTCCCAGGATATCGCCTTTTTTCAGCTGGACGACGATGCCTGTGGTGAAATTAAATTTCCAACACTTGTTCCAACAGGTTATAGGATGCAGTTGCTCACCATGTAATAGGTGGAGATCACTGCCGCACACGGTGCTTCCGGTAACTTTTAGAATCACGTCGCCATCATCGACGATCTTGGGTTTAGTCACGTCCCGAACCTCAACCTTCTGCTTACCCATCCAGCATAACGCCTTCATGGTCTCGCCCTGTTCGCCCGTCTTCTCGTAGTTGGAAATGTCCTGCTCGAGGATGGAGCTGTCATCATGGCCAATTGCCTTTTCAGCGGCGTACGCTGCTTGCGAAACTGCCATATTGACTTTATTTTCTTGTTAGTTTGTCCCTGAATTGTGTAGTTGATGGTGTCAAATTTGGTGGTGTTCTGGGCTTGATATGCGACTGTTTAGTACTCTGACGTCTATCTTTATCAGAGAATTCATTGATGCGGCAGGACGTCCGCACTCCTCGAAGGAACCACAAGATCGACCATTACAGATCATAGACCCCGCGGTTGACATCCACATTGGGAAATTGCGGTGCGTAATGGGGTGCCATGTATGACGTTGGGCTGGGCAATGGTGGGTGAAACAGAGAATGAACGTCATGGACTTGTGGCAGTTCAAAACTGGCTTCGAGGGAGAGCCAAGTCACATTATCCCCATGCCAGGGACTTCTGAGAGCTGCAGAACCGCCATCTACGATCCAATTGATATAATTCCATCTGGGTTGGCGGAAGTCAATGACAGCTACTATTGGTGTCTGGCTGCTGTCGCGGTTAGATTGATGGAATCTTGAGGTCATAGTTAAGCCCCTCCGGAATAATCAGTCCGGGGTAGGCGCAGATGGCAGACAGGTGCCAAGGCCTGCATTGCGCTTACCTGCATCAAACTTTTGCAAGTCGCTATTTGCTGAAAGCTGAAATCTTTCTCGATATACATTGGCCAACTATCTGGTTAGAATGAATGACCGTGGCTACAAAGAAGTGACGTAAAGTAGCCTTCGGCTGATTAAGCTGCGTTATGTTCAAATCTCGGCTGAAAGTAAGGCTCCGATAGGCTGGCAGCCAAGTCTCTGACATGGACCTTCCTGGCAATTCCTCCTGGTGCCTGCCAAGACAAAACTTGAGCAACGTGATTCCTTGTACGACTGCACCTGGAGGCTCTAACCATCTAGATATCAGCCAGGGTAACTTCCAAACTTCATCGCCCGGGCGGCCACACCCAAAAGGCCACCCAAGATAAAATTGATCATGGAAGACTGTGTGAAGGGCATCGAGATGCGAGAAGCTTCTGTGGAGAGGAAAGTTATAATGTCCGAGTCGGCTGGTGTAGTTGGTCACTTCGCTGGTAGATAAGTCCCGATTTGAGCCTCGCCCACTTGGGTCGGTGACGAGTCGCGGGTTCGAATCCCGCAGCTGACACACAAGGGGGTTTAGTCAACCCTTACGGCGCGCTGCCCACCTTGTTGACTTCGCCTACCTAGCGATAATAGGGAGATTGGTGCAGTTTAGGATTACGAGCATCCTAGCCAGTCGACCGTCAAGCACTACGTCGGCGGAATATAACTCGACAGCCGGTCCAGAATTCGAATCGTTAATCCGACCCCTTATCGGACCCTCACGATAGAAGGCGCGCAGCACGCCCCCTCGCCGCGATTCTTGCGAGCGTCTAGACCACGTTACGGTCTATCCACTTGAGCGTATGGTTGAGATGTATACGCTCGACGAGAACCCCAATTAGCAGATACTACGACTTGTCGCGACAAAAAATAGTCGAGCATCTTCTGCACATCAGCAGCATCCCACCCCTGAGGACGAATTTAAGTGCCACATTACCACACTTATCGGTAGTTCAGGCAGGGGTTGTAGCACAAACTTAGGGAGGGGCAGGAGGCTTAGTAGTCGTTTGGCTACAAGTTTACCTGTATAACCGCCCGATGCGGCTTAAGGGCCCGCTATATCATCTACCTATAGCCCCTCAAGGGAGTACTTGTAGAGGTACCAAGGGTTAACACCTACGGCGTATTTGTAAAAAAAATATTATTATTATAATTTCCGACCCCGATAAGATGTAAAGGTGAAATGTTCGCCTCGTATCTATGGTAACTTGTTGTTGGAGTCTGGATGAGGAGAGGTTCCTTCTGTTTTGGTTTCCTTCGTTTTCTAGTACAGAAAATTCAGTTGAACGTGCAGGCTCGTAGTTAGACAATGTAGAGGCAAGTTCAACGTACCGGGCTTGCACAGGGATTCTTGTCGGGATCATACGGCCTTGTAGTCCATTCCTCCGAATAACTGTGTTGAGGACCTGCTGCGGTGTCGACAAACCACCTCTGCACCGATGCAAGCATGGTAGAGAACTATTATTCTTCCTCTAACGGCCAATGACTGTTGACCTTCTCGAGCGTCGAAGCAAAATACGTTTTTGCAGGATCAAGAAAAGAATATAAAGGAAACGATGGTCTTCTTGTCTACCATGTGTGTACCTGGCATATTTCTTTCCAAGGCACTTCTATGTCAGGTCATTTAGAAAGCTTGCAGTGTATGTTTTTTATGATTTGAATTCAAAGAAAGAATAAAATTTAAGCAAAATTCCAGGGCTAGGTACATTTAGAGCTGGGTAGACACATCTAGGGATACTGTTGAAGGTCCCTTCAATTTGCCATGGCTCTCCATCACCAACCATTCATCAATCCCCTTATAATCCCACCGATGAAATCATCCGTGTAGATAATCAAGCAGATGTATGTCCTCTCTGAGCCCCACACCGTGTCCATCATGACAGCTAATATGTTGTACAATGAAAATGCGAGGCTCCATCGCGGATATTTATAATCTAGCAGTTATTCCCCGAGCAGCTTCCACCAATGAAGCGGAACGACTGCGAACTAGCATACTGCGAAATATCCCAGCAGGTAGTGCCCGTCGGGACGGACGCACAATTTTCCTGGCAAGGGCAGTTCCCAGAGGGGGAGACCACCAGGGCGTAATCGCCGTTGGCGCCACCATGGAACAGGATGGACCGGCGGCCGGATTCGTTGAGGCAGCCCGGGTTGGACACCTGCACGGACTCGCCGCAGCCCTGGGAGCAGTCGGTGTCGTCGCAGAACTGGGCCCAGTAGTCGGCTTTGATGACGGTCCCGTTGGATGGGAGGGCGACCGTCAGGTGGGCGGTGGCCGCGACGAGGAGGACGAGGGTCTTGATGGAGTACATTTTGGAGACGATGATGGTGATTTTGTTTTTAGTTGATGAAAAGAGTTTGGTGTGTGTGTGTGTGTGTGTGTGTGTGTGTATGTGAAGAAGATGATGGAGAAGGGCGCAAACATCAGATCAGACGGGCCTCTTTTATATTCGAGACATCACAATATCTCACTCTCAGGAAACCTTCTCTTCCGGAAGTAGGCTTCTACTGATGATGATCATGACCATAATGGATGAGTACTCTACTATGGTCAGCAGCGTCATAGTGTGCCTCATCCGATCAAGTGCTCGAAAGCTTTGAAAACATTCAGACGTTGTCGACATCCACATCATCAGGATTCAAGCCAAAGAATCCACATCAATGAATGAGCCTAATTTACGCTAAGAGTAGATATAAGAGTGCAGATCAGGCAAGGCTGGGAGGCATCTTTGCTGGAGGGCTCTAACCCATTCGTCACATATGTTGTGTATCCAGTAAGTACGAGTAGGTATCGAACGAAACGACGTGTATTGCGCGTTCTTCTTGTCACATAAAACCCTGTCTTCATTATAACCAATGATAACACAGACGATCCTTCATGACACTCGCGTGGCATTCAATCACTCGATTTGCAGTTCCTCGAGGTAAGGTACTTGATGACTAAATATTTTGGTCCACTGGGGCAGCCCCCAGCGGCTTAGACGTGCAGCTGACACGGAGCCTTTCCGAGATCCAGTAGAACCTGAGGTTTCCCTACCAAAATCGACAAACCGTTGGTCATCAGCTGTTCATGTTCCGGACCTTTGCATTCTCACTGCAAATCGCTCCTTATACGGTAACAAGAGTCGTAACATGCTCAAGCTCAATATTGAGCTGAGTCATATTGTTGAATTCGAAGGATTACTTATTCTTAGTACAGCAGGCAACTCAATAAGGCCTTCTGAATGTGCTCTGCAACACCCACAATCGTCGTAGTTTAGCGCTGGAAATTCTCCAAAACACCGAAGGCGTTGTCACTTGTAAGGTGATGAACTAACTTAACCATTGTAACTGCACCGGACTTCAAGCTAGAATAGGTTCAAAGTTATTATCATCTATCGAGATGTAACGAAGTAGAACCGACTAGTACGCGCATATAAGGAGAGTAGTTTCAAGCTAGCCCTAAGTAAGAATGTTCCAAAACGGTGTGTACCCTTTTCATGCATTTCATGCACCATAAATCCAAAATGGGTTACAATAGGCAAGGACGGGAGAAGATCTTCTAACCCAAGCCAGGGTTGAGGTGTAGGCCGTGTGTACGGACACTGTCTACCTTTGATGTAGCCTTGCCGAGGGAGCCTTGAATGGAAATTATCTACATCAGGCTGCATGCGGAGTCTTGAGCCGGAAAAATTTGTTCGTATTGTACAGACCAGTCAAAACCCCAGCACCCAAAGCTGACGTGAGAGCAACTTAGCAACCCCCAAAGGATTCCAAAAGCAAAGCCGGGACTCGTTATTTACCTGCAAGGGCCGAGGGGCTATACACCTAAACTGCTGGGACGGGATCACAATGATCCCCGCATCAGGCCTTTACCAGGCTGACATTCTGCAATTTAGCAATTTTATCCTGATTCCTCAACATTAGAAAGCTTTCTTCTCTCTTTCACAAACACGCGTTTTACGCGTTTTTGCAGTCCTACATGCCTTTGCTTGCAGTGACATTATTTCAGAATTCAATTACTTTCATAGAATCTTTTCGCTGAAGTCAAAAATAGTATGCAACTCAACGTAGGCCTGATTTTGGGCTTTTTGTTCGTTGTAAGTCAGCCATTTCAATTGACAACGGCACACTATAGTCTATTTTGGAAGAGACACACTCTCTCGGAAAGGGATATGTACTTTTCCGTGCCCTTAGTCTACCATTTCGCTTAGAACAAGGGTTAATAACATCTTGGCGCTGAAGTATTCTTCGCTCATAGGATATATCCGGTCAAAATGTTGGAAAGATCCAACGTCCAAGTTCTTCCAAGCCGAACGTGCACACGTTGCCACATATTCGGCGCATCGAATACAACAAGCTGTTGAATACGCTGACCTGGTGGGGACAGAAGAACGAGCACAAGGGAGCAGGAAGAACTCACCCGAACTATGCATAGGCGTTCCCTCGGTGCAAAGAGACGGCATATCATACCTAAAGTCAACACTGGGCTCCCTCCAATACGGCCTGACCGCAGAGGAACGAGCGGGTCTCCGCTTCGTTGTGCTCCTTGCCCATACCGACCAGACAAAGCATCCAGACTACGGTCAACCATGGCTCGCTAGCATGGCTGACAAGCTTCCTTTGTATCGCGACGATGCAGAACAACTAGCTCTGGCTAAAGTCATGGAGCTCAACCAAAGCCACGGCACCAAATCCAAGTTTGACTACTCCATCGTGATGGAAGAGTGCGAAAAGACTGGCGCGCCATACATCTTGCTTGTGGAGGATGACGTGGTCTTCTTGGACGGATGGCGGCATCGAGTTATGCAAGCTTTAGACGTGGCCACAGCCAAGTCTTGGGAAGTAGGACATACGGACTGTAAGCTTGTCGGCACCTTCATACGATGAATGGCATGGCTTAACTAATGGAAGAAACAGTCCTGTACCTACGCCTATTCTACTACGAGGGCCTTCTCGGCTGGAACTCGGAATCCTGGCCAACCTACCTATTCTCGTCCCTCGCCGTCACCACGAGCGTGATATGCCTCCTGGTCCTAACACGACGATACGTCCCCGCAACGCGCCTACACCTAGTCCGCTCCGTATTCCTCCTTACCACCCTCGTCTTTACGCCCCTCCTCATCATCCTCTTTTTCGCCGCGGGAGCCAACTGCATCCTGCCACAGCCCGCCGGCGTGCACCTGATGCCTCAGCACGCATGCTGCGGCCAGGGTCTCGTGTTCCCCCGCGCAACCGTGGCCGACGACCTGCTGCCCCTTTTCCGCAATAATAGGTGGTCCAAGGTGCCGACCGACAGCTTTATAGAGGAGCACGCGGATGCGACGGGCGCGTTGCGTTGGGCGCTGACACCGGTGGTGATGCAGCATGTTGGTGGTCAGAGTAGTCATGGCGTTTTTAGGGGCATGTATGGGAATATGACGCCGAGCTATCTATGGAATTTTGGGTTTGAGGAGAATGATGCGAGGAGCTTGGCCGCAGAGCATTCGCGGGTGAACATTGGGATGCTGTAAGCTACGGAATTTATATCTTAAGGCGGCACAGCTACGGTCGTTCGGTGCACACTGGGCAAGCATGATCTAGAGTTGCCTTTGCCTCCCAGCGTTTTCAATAGTAGCCTGATAGATATGTTATGTAATGTACCAGGTATTTACGCCCCGCTAGCATTTACTACACAATAGGTGGCAGCTGCAATGCTGGTCTCTGGGCTCTGTAATGGTCCTGAGCTGGCACAGCGCATCTGATATCTATAGGTTGGATAAGGTTCTAGCTAGAAGTTATTGCTAGCGCTTGTGACAGTAGGAATATTATTAACTTAGAGACTGCTATAATGTTTTAAGAACTTCTTATACTAGGCTAAGACCGTTACTAAGACGGTCACTAAGAGCGTCCCCCATGAAGCCTTACCGCCCCACTTTCGTCTTAGACTGTCGCACTGTCGTACGTCACCCCGTCCTTCGCCACCACACCCTGGCACATATTTTACACAGCCTCAGCTCCTTCACATAAGTAAGATATCTGCAGGGTTATAGAAGCGCGATATTTTCTTCCGTTTCCATGTCTGTGTCTGCAGCACATGTGCCGATTCGAAAAATGGGATCTTCAACGCATTTCCCCATATTCACATCTGCTGATGTCACGCTGATAGCATCCATGCACATATTTACTCTTTTCCCTATCCTTCCAGCCGAGCTACGCATCAATATATGGCAATTTGCACTAGAACGGCAGCGCATCATCAAGCTACGCCTGCGGGACCGTTGGCTAATGGACGGGCTCCTCGCCCAGCAAGAGGAGACCAGACCCCAGACGCACGAGGACGAGCGCTACGGCTTAGTTGTCGACGGCTACCAGACACTCAGCAAGTTATTCCGTGTCAACCGAGAGTCACGAGATGCAGCCTTGGGATTCTACCGAGTGCACCTTCCCTGCTGGCTGATCAAAGGCGCGACGACGAGGGAGGCCATTGCGATGAAGCCCGGCTTCCTTTACTTCAATCCTGAGTACGACTTTCTCCACATCAGCAACGACACGGGCCAAGTCATCGATTTCCTTCACGATTTGAAGACCGTCCATGACCCCCAACATGTAGGGCTGCTGAATCTTGCCATCGACCAGAACAGTCTGACGGGCGGGGGCGGCCTCTGCGGTGTCGATCCCTCTTCACTCGCTCCCCCGCTTAGAACGAGTTTGACCGGGACTCTCAGTCAACTCCAAGAAGTATTCTTTGTACAGGACCAGCACACGGGCCGTCACGTATTTGGTTATTGGAGCGGCGCGCCCACTTCTGAAAATCACATGAACCTTTCATTTCCCCTCACAGCCATGGCGCTCAACTTTGATCGTCTAGGTGCCGACCCCCGGCCTATCAGTCAGGACTTGGGCAAAGTCTTCATCAATGCTGACCCCCGTGGTATGGTCTACGCATGGCGACGGCTTTTACACAATCACTTTGGTGATGGTGTCATACCGCAAACTGAGCACCGGATTCTTTTGACCTTCGGGTCTTCCTCCGGCGTGTATGATCACCGGGACGCAGAAGAATGGCTGCAGAAAGAGCAAGACATCTGGATGAAGCAGACTTCTAAAGACGGCCAGTCCAGCCAACTTCTGGGTGACGGCTCAGAAGCGGCGGTGGAAAACGCCTTTGGGTTCTGGCTGTTTCCTGTACAGGCCTTTGGTGCGCTGCCTGAAAACCTGAACGATGGATTCAGGTTTGAGCCACCGCGCTACATGGATTTGAAAGAGCACTGGCCTGAGCTGGGATTATTGAGTTTGCCTTAGCACTGTCATATCATTTGATCGTCATACTAATGCAAGAGTATCACAATCATTCTACTTGTATATGACTTTTACTTGCTGTTTCTAGAATGCATGGTGAAGATGGGATGGTCATTATGAAAATTGCCGACTCTCTATGAACGTCCGTCTCTTGTTCCAACTAGACGATACAGAGCGTATGGGATGGAATCCTGAAGACAATCCTGAATGCCAAAATCCGTCCAGGCTACCATCTTTGAACAAAGCGACCCACCGTGTCAATAAGTCGCTATTCAAACACGATCGAGAACACAAGGTCAGGCTTGTTGCAATTGTCGTAAACCGAAGCAAATCTGGTCAAGCCGATGACGTAGATGTCAACGTATCGTAGCATTGGGGCCCGGAGCCGATGTTTTGCAGGTTCTGGTTACCCCATCCTTCCAGTCATCCTGCCAAGCCTAATTATAACAACAGAACAAAGGCTCAGCTCGGCATTGCTACTGTGCGCGCAGTTACTGTGTACAATTCAGACGATCATTACCCCACAGAACAAGGCCCCGGTATTTCCACTAGTTTATTATTACCGGAGGCTCTACAGCATGTAGCAAGATCGGAGGCCAGGGGTATTTTACCTCTGGCTGCATCTCCATTGGCGCGACTGTAGGATCTCGTAGATTGCGATCGACTGGCAGCAATACCAGATAAAGAACAAATATTGGAATGAGGAACGGAAGATGGAACGGGCGAGTGAACTGCGAAAGCCAGGTAAGGCTCAGCCTTGGATCAAAAATGCGTTGTTAGCAGCGCGTTGCCAGCAGCGCTAGAGAGACTTAGAGACGAAACAGTTACTTGCTAGGTACAACACCAAGCCTGACTGTTGATCGCTCTATATTTAAAAAGTTTCAGCTCATCCTTAAACTTGTGTGAAAACGCGTCGCCGCTTTATCAACTACTATACTCGATGTCGGCGTTGTGATGATCACCATATTCCTCAGGATCCTCACAGAAAACTCGGATCTCCACGTGAAAGTCAGGAGGGCTTGTTCCTGATGTTCTGATTTCGTCCGAGTCCCAAGTCTATACTGAGAGCAATCCTCTCGGAATGGCAAGGATATCGATATCAAGTATATAAAGTCTGTAGTCCATTGTCAACTCCAAACCTTCTCTCATTACCAGAACCAGTTTCACTCTCATCAACCACATAAAGAGAGCCTTAAGCACATACAATCAGTCCACATAGAGTCTCAGTACCTCCTTTAGAAACCTAGCAACATGCATTTCCTCAAGTCTCTCACCACCCTCTTCGCAGGCGCCGCCCTCATGGGTGTCGCCTCGGCCGCCGCTGTCAACACCAAAATTTCAGCCCGAGATTCTCCTTTCTCTGACCTCGGGCTCGATAGCGACTTCTGGGGCACCATGGACAACTACTGCCGCGGGACCGCCTCCTCAAAGCGTGTCGTTTCCTCTCTGCAGGCCCGCGCCACCGCCCCCAACGGCTACGACGTTGTTTCCCCCGGAAAATACCAGGGCTCCTTCCAAGTCATCACCAACGGCGGGGCCTGGACCGACTTCCTCGTAACTTGCTACGGCGTGGTAATTGTCGGCGATACCACCAACGCGGTAGCCAAGAATAAGTTCCTGGCGCACTTCTACGCCGTCGATTCTTTCATGGATGATCTGTGGAGCGAGCTGTCCGGCGAGGTCGGAAAGCAGGACCTCACTAATATGAAGGCCTGGGTCAGTCTGCCCGACATATCGACCGCCCCGCCCGACTTAAACCGGGACAATATGCAGACCGTCGAGAATAAGATGAAGGATCTGCTTAAGGGTCTCACAGGCCAGGCTCCTACGGCCAGGTACCACAGCATGAGCGATGCTAGTGACAGAGTTGGTGACATCGGTACGATGCAACTGAACTACGCGGATTCGACCGTCAAGATTGATGGGCAGGATGTCGCTTTTGGCAGCTAAGGTTTTTATGTATTGTCAGCCTGCTCATCTATCTCTCACTCTTAAGTATTGAGCATGGAATTGTTCGTTTGGGTAGCATGTTGGGATATATACACATATTTCAATATTTCTTGTGGTGGATTCGTAAAGGGTTATTGAGACTGTCTTTATAGTTCCTTTCGGGTGTACTTATTCATCCTGATAACGACGAAAACACTACATTATTTTTATCTTGATTTATTTATTTTAAACATGTTTCGACTGGCGATGTGCGTAGTTTTCTCTTTACATTATAATTCGTCTCTAAAGTTGCTATACTAAATACTTGGCAATCCCAGCTATTAAAATTACCAAGTGCAGTCCGTGATGTACCTCCTATACCTAAGTAGATGCCCCAACCTTCAGGTGTACCAGGACTCATGCTCCAGCTTCCTTTTCTGAAGGAGCAATGATTTGAATACGCATTCGAGTTACTCTCATAGTTCACGCATCACTAATTTGGGGAAGTCTTTGGCTCGATGTGCTAAGAGCTGTTTAGAAGTGGAAGTGAGCTGTTAATGCGTTTACTTTCCCTACCCCAGAGCGCATCTAGTTTTTATCTTATTTAGGTTCTCATGAGATAGTCATACAGAATTTGGTTATATTGGACTTCAAAAATTCCGTATCTAGTGGTCGCTATCCAGGATGTTGCGTAATTTCATATTCTGAGGTACGCTTAAGTACTGGAGTGCATATAACTCGGAGTAATAGTATCATCAAAACAGAGTTTAGGAAAACCTGACAGTTAGTAATTGCTATGGGAGTTGTCTGTCAAGGGGCGGTCGAGCTATTAGCAAACCCTCAACTTCCCCACAAGGCGTTGACTCCGACCCCCCCCAACTTTCTCCAAGACACCTCTGCCTGCAATCGATTTCTCGGAACCTGACTTGCCGCACGAGATGGACACTGTTACACAAATTCTGAATATTCCCAGTAGTGGCTTGCATATCAAATGTTGACCCCACAGCTATGCCGATCCAATTCATCACGTCGCCCGGATATTCGGTGCGATGATTCACAAGCCAAAGCAACGGCAATACACGAGCGCCAGTCCGGCCGGTTAGGGCGCTCTCTCCCCTGACTGAAACCAAATGCATCGACATCACAGTAACGCCCACCATGGCTCCCTCGTTTCTCTTCTTCAGCCTCCTGTCTACAATCGCCTCCGCGCGCCCATGCCCGTCCCTAAATAGATATCAAATGCCCCATTATCTTGACTTGCCAAGTGACCAACACAACACAACTGTCTGGCTTCGTCGCATACTCGAGCATCTTCGACCCGGATTATGTCCGTAGCAGCCAGCCTTGGTCCCAGACGAGCACCGGCATGGGGCAGTTGTATGCCAAAACCGCGTTCAAGAATGATTCTACTCTCATCAGAGGTGGTAGGTAAGGCGCGATTCTAGCTGTATCTGCGTATAGTACAGTATGCTACTACAGTCAAGACGGCGTGCTAAGGTTTTCTATGTTGCTCCGTTTTTCTAGGCCGACTTATCCTACAGTATGCTATTATCGGTATCTACCATCTATGCCTCTGCATAGGTGTACGCGAGAGCGTGGGGACATAATAGCGGTGTTGATAGGTTGGCCGGCCTAGTAGACAGAAGTGGAAAATTCCGCTCTGGACACTAATCTACTTCGAGATGCCGCCGTGCGGGGTCACTTGGCACCTCGAGGAATTGCAAACTATTGTAAACTAACGTACCCCACAAGCAAGTTGGCCACTTTTTCTTGGCACCGTATGAATAACTTCAATAACTTAACTAAACTAAAAAATAATAATTCAAACTAATCGGAATCCTCTTCCTCGTACGTATCTTTACCATTCTCACAAGTACGAGCATTATGTCCGGGCTCTCCGCAGATCCTACAGCGCCTCGTACGACGACGACTTACACGTATATCATCCTGTAGCTGCTGTTCAATATCCCGTTGAGACTGTAAGTCCTGAGCGTCTCGTAAACTAAGAGATCCTCCATCTTGTAGCTGTCGATTTTTAGTCCTTCGACGACGGCTTAGCTCTTGATTGGCCTTCCGAAGTGTAGTAACCTCATCCTCAAGTAAAACTAACCGATGCATAACAGCCGTCGCACCACGTGAAAATTGGTCAATAGCCGTAAGTATTGTCGTTGGGGAGCTATTCTGATGCTGTACGATTCTATTTTTAACGTATTCAGACTGGGATTGCGCCTCGGTTGGGTTATTTGGAGTCTTTGATTCCCAGATTAAGGGGGCGCCAGACGAGCTCCCAGGAGGTGTAGGCGTATGTAGCTTAATATCCAGCTGTGAAATCACATATTCTGGGTCGTACGGAATAAGTCCTGTCCCCCTGAAACCTGCCTGGATATTCGACTTAGTTATAGTCGTACGATACGCCCTATAGAATGCCGAAAAGAAATCCTCCTTCGAGATATGGGTTGTCACGGCCTGGGTTGCATCGCATTGGTAGAGATCTCGATTAGGTGCTATCGACGAAGATTCTACTCTAAGGAGCGAAGGAAAGAAGATCACAAACTTAGGTTTGAGGGAGCGCGACTAAGTCGTCCACGCTTGGCGGGGCTCCTGCAGGGGTTATGATTGGCTTCCCATCTGGCACTGCCATGGCAGGTGTTCCAGCTGTACGTCACCTGGTTGTAGTGAGTCTGCGAGGGTTGACCTTCACATAGGTTATATGCGCCCGTATTAGGTCTTCAATTTCTTTGCCGTACGACCTTTTCAAAGCCCTAAAACAGCCTACATCGAGAGGCTGGAGCTTATGTGACGAATTAGCAGGCATACTAAGTGTAATAATAGTATGCTCTTTGCAATATAGCTCGAAGTCAGTCGAGTGGTGGCTCTCATGCCCGTCGAGGATAAGAAGACGATAAACACCCTTCGTACGATCCTTCGTATAGCGATCAAAGCGCTGGATCCAGTCTACACCTCGCTCATTTGTTGTCCAACCGTTTTTGGTTACAGCGATTACCCAACCGGACGGGAATGGGCTATTCTCGTACCAGGATAAGAGGTGGTTTTGACCCGCGACAATAATATACGGCGGGATAGCCCAGCCGGACGAATTAATACCCTGGATTACTGTAGCCCATTCTCGATTGCCTTGTTGGACTGTACGAGGCCTTCCGCGTCGTTCGGCACTTGTAACTACCATCTCGGATGAGATTAAGCCCATCGCGAACCCTGTCTTGTCGAAGCTATAGATATCCGCCTCTTGGATACCATATTTCGCAATTGTATTTCGTACGAGCGTAAACCACGCGCGATACGCATCAGGATCTTCGCAATAGGCTCGTTGGTAGTCGATTCTTCGATTAAAACGCGTCCGAAGGTCTGGTTGTCGTCGTACGAAGTTCGAGGCCCAGTTGACGCCGACGCGTCCAGCGCCACGGTCACGGAGCAGTCAGTTAGCCATAGCTTCAACACCATGGAGCCGGGGAGGAAATTATGGCGAATCTAGGTCAAGTATGTATTGTACGACCGCTAACTCTTCTGATTCCGTAAGCTTATGACTAGATTGTCGAGTATCGCGTCGAGATAGTAGTCCGCGTTTTCGGTTAGCTAGAGTTGTACGAGGGACATTGTAGAGTTGGGCAGCGCGTCGGATGCTTAATTCGGGTTTCGATTGAAGCGCCTGACACGCTAGAATCATGTCGCTTTCTTTCCAATTCGATCCCATCTTGGTATGTGTAAAGATGTTAATTAAAAGGTTGTTCGTACGGTGCCAAGAAAAAGTGGCCAACTTGCTTGTGGGGTACGTTAGCTGTTTATCTAGTTACCAATTCAATAATTAGGCTCTACCAAACCTAGAAACTTGCCTATAGAGCCAGAGCCACCGAAAAGATAGTAGGTACTATAGGCGAAGCTTTAGGAGGTAATTCTAAGTGGACTTTGTACATGACATGTTCTTTATCACATATCCAACCTGCAGCATAGTTGGCAAAACCCGCAAGCGTCCAAGCCACTTACACATGGTACTACTTGACACCTCGAATCAATTAGCTTTCAGCTCTCTACATACTCCAATAGTACTTCACCATTCTAATTCAGCAAGGCTTCACGTTACGCTGTATGACGAAACTACGATATTGGTCGTTGAAGAAGGCTGTGCTCAACATTCCTCCACGAACCTACTTCGAGTCATCCCTTAACTGCATCCGCTATATACCATTGTACTGTATATACACCCTAATCCTAATATTGAGCCCCCCTGCATGAGATATATCTCATGACTATCCCGATCCCCCACCTCCGAGTCCTGTGTGCTCAGTCTGACCACCATATCAAAACTTGTATATCCTGTGGTCTCGCGAAGTCGTAAATAGACCAGAAGCCGTCCCCATTACATACAGACCCAGCGATTTTAATGCTAATAATCAAACGAAAGACCTTTCATGCAATGTCCCATCGTGCCCTGAACGCCATGCCCGTAACCAGTCAATAAAGCCCCGTCCCTCTTTGGTTTTTATTCCCTCCCGCAGCACATACTGCCTACCCCTGCCTCGACTGTTTGAACAGCCAATCACTACTCGCATCCACCATGAAATTCGTGATATTATATTCATTCGCCCCAGAATGGCCAGGCGTTGCCGGAGGCGGATCCGCGTGCATCGCATCCATATTCCCATTTCCGTTCCCATTTCCGTTCTGCTGCTCGTTCTGATGATGAGCAGCAGCTTGAGCTTGAACCTCATTATTAAACGGAAGTCTTGGAACATTGAAAAAATCAAACACATCCAAGTACTCAAGCTCATTCGGCGCCGGGGTTCGCGCGGGCGTCACGCTAGGTATGCGACTCGGGTCTCCCGTGTGGTGACGTGGCTGGCGGCTGATGAGAAAGTCGAGATCGAAGGCCGTCCTGCGCATGTCAGCGAGGATCCGGACCGATGATGGCGTGACGCGTTCGCCTGTCGTGCCCATACTGCGTTCGCTGTCGCTGTGTTCGTCGAGGACGCGTTGAAGGAGCTCGGAGTACCGTGCCGCGACGGGCCAATATCTTCCCATTTCCCGAAGCGTGTCGACGAAGAAGGCGATTTGGGGAGCTAGCTTGTGCTCGACTGTTGAGCCGTGGACCAGTAAGAGCCGGGCAGCTACCCACAAGGTGAATGCAAAAGGAGGTCCGAGCTTGGTCAGCAGTCCATTCTGAACTACGAACTCGCCTAAGGCCGCTATATTCTCTACTGCGCCATGGCAGCGTTGGCTCGCGCTGTAAGAGGGAGTAAATATAGGGGACCGCGTGGTCGGGTAGGCTGCTGAAGAGTGCAGCCGAATGACTGCTGTGTGGTAGGTTGCGTGTAGCATCACCCATCCAGCGTTTAATGTTTTGCTAGATCCCGGCTGGAACAGCCTAGCCATGTTGCCGTACTCGCCCGGCAGGCCAAACTTCCATGAGGTAAGCAGGTTGTCGAGTTCCTTGTACCTCATCTGCCATTTTTCCACGTCTCCCAGAGCGCTAATGTCCACAGGTTGCTTCAAGAACTTATGCACCTTTGACAGAATGCCTAGGATCTCGATGTAATAGGAGAAGGCACCCAGGTTCTCGGGCTTATTCAGGTCATGGTCTGGTAGATCCGACGGGTGATCTTGAGTCTGGAACCATCTTGTTTCTACCTTCTGATTCTTGATCCACAGATCATCGCGGCAGGGTAGAGTCCGATCAATCTCTTTGTCGTCGAGTGCGAACTCGAATGCCGTGGCAATGGTAGCGTACCTGTCCAACAAATAGACCATCCAGAACAGCCTGCGCCGCGACTCATCCTCGATGAAGTCCCTGGGTTCCGGTAACGTCATGGCCCTTAATGTGTAAATGGATGCGTAATTTGGCGATACCGAAAAGGAGGTGCTCTCCACAGCCAAGCCTAACTGTACGACGGAGCGGGTGATTAGAGCCATGATATTCCACCCTGGAGGGCCGTTACTGCTTCCAACTAAGTCTAGAGCGAGGATGACAAGAGCTTGAAGAGCCTTGACGGATGAGTTTTGCATTCCGTAGAGCAAGACCTTCTGTTTTGAGACATCATGGTAGTGGCTTCGCTTCTCCTCGGTCAGCCTGGCATCGGTGGAATATCTAAGAGTCGTGGCAACTATGGCATGCAGCAGAATCCTGTCTGTATCGTCCAGGGTTGACGGTCCAAATAAAGAATCCAGCGTCGTCTTCCGATGGAGAATGGGACACCAAGTGTTGATGTGCTTGAAGTACAGATCAGCCAAAGCATACAGCAGATCGTACGGAGGAAGATGTTGATCCGTGGAAATCTGCGTCTGGCTCTGGGCGACGTGAAGACCAGGCGAGGGAAGGGCCTGTCCATTTCCATAGAACTCCTGAGCTGCCGAGGTTTGTTGCAAGCTCGGGAGCCCATTGGGAGGGGAGATGCCGGTCATGGGCATCTGAGACTGGAAGCCGTCATGGATAGATGGCGTCGGAGGCGGTAAGCCGAACTCCATCCCCTGTGAAACCGCAGGATAAGAGGGCTTCTGCAGGAATAAGGCTGTCTCAGCCTGGGGAGTGCGCATGGGGTCGTTCTGCCGGAAGAGGGGCGCATGGTCTCGTGGTGAAGTACCGTGGTCGCTGGGAAGACTCGGGCCACTGTTACGCATGCTCGGAGCGCTCTGGGAGTTGTGTGGGACGTTGTTCAAAAAGGAGGTCTGGAGAATCTCCGAGTGAGAGCGGATAATCTCCTCGAGTTTGTCGAGACGTTGTTCCAGCTCCCGGCCATAACCGGCTCTCAGACCAGGCTTTTTCCGTTCACGATACTCGCAGAGCACCGAGTTCCGCTTACACCAACCACAGGAAGGCTGTCCCCTATCGCATTTCACCTAGACGAAGAATCAGCATACGCTTTTGCAATGTTACATGGGCAGCCAACAGTGGGTGACATGGGGCTGGTTGTCAACGCTCACCTTTCTTTGCTTGCACAGCTCGCATCTTAGGACGGCATTGAAGTTAGCAGGCCGCTTTTTCTCACTACCAGAATGAAATTCGGAGTGCTCGGGTTCGTTTCTTCGGACGATTGCCGCCGATGGGCCGGCAGTGAAAGATCGCGGCGACATGCCAAGCTGAACCACGTGGGCATCAAAGTTGCCGTCCAACGTGCCATCAAACATGTGCCACATGATGAAAGCAAATTCATAACGCAGAACAGAACAGAATAGAACGGGCACGGGGGCCAGGTGTTAAAGCAAAGTGGCAGCAACCCAGGAGTGAGACCACGTTTTGGGGAAATTGTTGGCTAGGATTTATCTCGAGGTTGATAAGATAGGTGAGAGCTAAGAAAAGCGATTGTGACATACGATACAGAGATAGGCCTTTTGCGCTTGCCATGGCGCACGACATCCGCGTCGTCGTGGTCGTCGTCCGGGTCATTCTCATCCGCGGAGTGCAAGCCATGTCCGTCCTCGCTGTCTGGCTCCGGTTTCCCATGCGGCGACGACACAGACTGCTGGGTACCGGTTTCAGATTGGGTGGTCTGCATCATAGGTACTTCGAGGCAAGTACACAACAAAAATAGTCTTGGATCAACGAGCTTAAGCGCAAAAACACGGGGAACCGCAGCTGGATTTTCGGGCTCTCGCTTGGGCGCAGCCTCATGGCAGTAATGAAGATTCTCGGGGTAATGATGAGTAGAGAGTGAGATAGGACGCGACTTTGGGGCTGTGTGGGTGAACCATCGCACCTTGGGCCTTGAGCGCGGGGAATAATTTTATTGTGGGCAGACGGACGTTCCGCGCAAAAAGAGATCCAGATTCCCGTCCGGGGTTGGTCTCATTTCTCCAAATGCCCCCAGTTGGGCCCAGTTGGGCCACAGGAGATTGGCAAGTCGGCAGGAGACCCACCATTTTGCCCTTGTAAGTGTAAGGGTGGCAGCGGCCGCGCATCTCGAACCGTTTTGATGCTTCTTTCCCTGCCCAGCACGGTTGGAGTCAACGTTGACTTGCATCAACTGTATATTGCACTGCACCCAAACCGGCAACATGGTCCTTGCCGGCCGGTGTTGAGAGCGGCCAAAGGGCAGAGCAGGGAACAGGTTGATTTTCGCTGTCTTTGCTGCCTTGAACAAGGTTTGACATGCGAGAGCCGACCGCATCTAGTGCGAATAGAGAGGCTCTTTTGCCCCGAACAGCTCTACCTGACCACGTCCAGAAAGCATGGCCGCAGATTATGCAAAGTAGCCAGGACTGTGGCTAGCCAGTATTCGTGCAGTAAGCTTCCACAGTAGGCAACTCGCATATTGTACGAAGTAGTGCTTGCAAGTACTCATCTTGTGGTCGTTTCGTCAATGTGAGCATTGAAGCGGCGCACGTACAAATTTTTAATGTTGGTGTGGGGGAGTCGGAAAACGGTGGCTGTCAAAAAGAAATGCGGAGATGACAAGGGGCACGGGGCAGGGCGCTTTCTCGGCTCAAGGCCTTGGTCTGGGCAATCTGGGGCTCCCGCCGGCCGAGTGCTGCCAAGTTAGCAATTCGCGTGGCCGCTTCCTAACGGTGGACCGGGATCGACCGACCTCGCCTAGGCTGCGCGACACAACTTGGTTGATCGTCGGGATTGAAAGGTGAAGAGAAAGTTTTGAGGGGAAATGCCGGGAAGACACATTCTGCAATAAAGGCAGCGTGAGCAGACTTCAGACTTCGTACTCGTAAAAGAGATAGACGGTGATGATCTTGACCAAGTGCATTTGGATTAATGAAAGCGAGTCCATGATTGGCTTCTAACACCAACATCTGGCTTTCCGAGGGGCCTGGTCCATTTCGGCGACGTGCTGGGACAAGTGGCCCGAGGTGACACTTCAACTCGAGCTCGAACTTCATGATTTTCTCTGCAAGATTTGGGAAATTGGGTAAGTAACAAATCTTCATGAGCAGACTCGAGGTATAGCTAACCAGGGTCATGTAGCTCAATCGCTTTGGCCGTAAAGTGTGCTAAAGCACTGCATGTGCGGAAGGGGGGGCTATCGACGGGCTTCTGAGTCTCTCACTTGGCCTGAGCCTCGTAATAAGGTAAGTCCCCCAATCTTTGCCACGGATGGAAGAATTGTTAAATACTCAATGACTGGCTACCCCGACCCGGCAGACAGCTCGCTTAACTATGTACCGCGGTGTGAGGACCCGGGGCCGTCTCTCCCGACGTTACGCAGTCCATCTGCCGCGACAGCTGCCACATTGGACAACTGCACAAGGGAGCCGTCTCCGGCCTCACATGGCGCATTGGAAACCGAGCCATCTTTCGTTGTTTCACCTCTTACACCTTGGGGTAAGTGAAAAGTGTGGGGAAACTCAAGTCCAATCGTCGGGCGATCTCATACCGACACTGTCAAAGGCTTCAGACGAACTTCAATTTCAACTGTTCGTTGTGCTCGTGACTCTTTGTTTCTGTTTATCTTATTAAATATTCCTTCTCTCTCGATTTTGTGAGGCTGTCGAGTCTCATATTCGTTCTAGTTCCCGAAGTCGTCAATTGATCGCAATCTCCTCTTACACGCGAGGAAACGACCTTACCCGTCTCGTCATCCTCCAAATTAGTTGCTAGCTCAACACCATGGCTTCATCCGTGAGAGACTTTCCCACAATCAAGGCCATTCGGTCCTTTATAATTGGTGGTGTGGGCTCAGGTGCGCCGGCATTTCCCTTTCAGCATGGCTCAAGATTGCGCAGGTTAATATGTTTCAGGTGGTGACTATCACAACGTCAAGGGTGGTCATTGGTGCGTAACGCGGCCCTGAAACAAAAAGACGATGTGTGCCGGGAAGCTGACAGTTCATTTTTGTAATTGCATAGGCTCATAGATTCCGACATCTCGACTCCATGCTCCATCTGGGATCAATACAAGAAGTCGAGGACAAGCTGGGGGATCAATGTCTTAGGATCTTTCCTAATTGAGATTGAGGCAACAGATGGGACTGTGGGAATTGCAACGGGCTTCGGAGGTATGAGGAAAGCCACACACACGCCCACGCGCACCCGCATAATGTTCCATGGCACATCTTGCAGAGGGCACCACTGATGTTGCATTTCAGGCCCCCCAGCATGCTGGCTAATCCACCAGCACTTTGAGCGCTTCCTGATCGGCGCCGACCCGCGCAACACCAACCTACTGTTCGAGCAGATGTATAGGGCCTCCATGTTCTACGGCCGCAAGGGGCTTCCCGTGGCCATCATCTCCGTCATCGACCTGGCGCTATGGGACCTGTTAGGCAAGCTGCGCAACGAGCCGGTATACAAGCTCATCGGGGGCGCCGCTCGGGAGCGCCTTGACTTCTACTGCACCGGACCCGAGCCGATGGCGGCCAAGTCAATGGGCTTCTGGGGCGCCAAAGTGCCCCTACCCTACTGCCCGGCCGATGGCCATGTGGGGCTGAGGAAGAACGTCGAGTTCCTCCGCAAGCACCGCGAGAGCGTTGGGCCCGACTTCCCCATCATGGTGGACTGCTACATGAGCCTAAACGTGTCCTACACAATCGAGATTGCCGATAAGTGCAAGGATCTCGACATCAACTGGTGGGAGGAGTGCTTGTCACCCGACGACACGGACGGCTTCGCCCAGATCAAGCGAGCCCACCCGACGCTCAAGTTTACGACGGGCGAGCACGAGTACTCGCGGTACGGCTTCCGGAAGCTGATCGAGGGCCGCAACCTCGACATCATCCAGCCCGACGTCATGTGGCTCGGCGGTCTGACAGAGCTGCTCAAGGTCTCCGCGATGGCGGCCGCGTACGATATACCCGTAGTGCCGCACGCGAGTGGGCCTTACAGCTACCACTTTGTCATTTCGCAGCCCAATACGCCATTTCAGGAGTACCTGGCTAACTCCCCCGACGGCAAGAGCGTGCTTCCCGTCTTTGGCGATTTGTTCCTCGACGAGCCCATCCCGACCAAGGGATACTTGACGACGGCCGATCTCGACAAGCCCGGGTTCGGTCTTACGCTCAACCCTGTCGCCAAGGCAAAACTGATCCCTTCTTCATATCTGCTCAACCCACCGCCCGTCGCTGCTTTGAAGCCTGCAGAGGCGGCCTCGAAAGAGAAGGAGCAAACCGGGTTAGTTGAAAAGCTGACAGAAGGTGTCAAGGGTATGAATGCCATTTAAAAGGATTTCTGTGGAGGGGTTGTGGAGTTCCTGCATGCAACTGGATGAGGACCTGCTCTGCCGACAACTGGCATTGGACATAAAACTGTTATGCATGCTCTAGGCCGGAACCAGTGTGTAGCCCTAGGCTAGATTGATATTTTGGACGGCACGAACCAACCATCAGGTGGCCCTCATTCAAGCCACGCTTCCCAGACTTGGTTGTGACGGCCGTGACACAGGATCAAGCACGATTAGTGGTCTGATCACCAAATTCCTGTATTCAAATGTTGCATTCATCAGGTTAGTAAAAACTCCAAAATAATCGACCTTCTCAACACCAAAAATTTAGGTCCCAGGGTCAATGAGAACGATGCCAAAAATCATCATATATCGGCTCAAGGGAGTGTAATGGTTGTAAGGTAGCTAACACCTAGACACCTAGGAAGCCGAGTCAAAATCCTCAAACGGCCTCGGTGGCCAATGCACCGAAACGCGGGGGTTTAGTGGACAATGAGGGGACCCCGCCTAACCTAGTGGATTCAAAGGACCACAAAAGTACACTATAGATAACTATCACGACTCTTCCGAAACCGGAACCTTCTTTCCAACGAACTGACTTGAACGTTGTCGTGAAGTTTGTACACCGCTTAGTGTTCTTGATGAAACTACAATCAAGTAACTTCAGTGGGGTAAACTGTTGAATAAGCAAACTGATCGGAACTAATACTACCCCACTGAAGTTACCCCTCCCTCACCTCACCAGCTAAACCATCAAATTCACTCTTAATACACCCCCACAACCAGCACCAAACCTGAGCTTGAAAAGCAGTGTTGCCTAGAGATCTCACAATATGGCACCAACAAACCTTCTCCAAGGCAAAACCGCCATCATAACCGGCGGCAGCACCGGCATCGGTCGGGCCATCACCCTCGAATACTTGCGACAAGGCTGTAACGTCGTGGTCAACCACCTGGGTCTCCCGCAAGACGCAACCCATCTCTCCTCCCTCATCGCCGAAGCAGCCTCCCTCAAGTCCGCCTCTCCCTCCACCACCGGCTCCCTTGACCACCTCCCCGGCGACGTGACGGACCCGGCCACAGGGACGGCCCTCGTCGCCCGCGCAGTGTCCAAATTCGGCCCCCGCCTCGATATCTGCGTCTCCAACGCCGGTGTCTGCGAATTCGCCGAGTTTTTAACGGTGGAACAGGATCTATTTACGAAAACGGTTAGGACGAATCTAGACGGCACATTCTACGTCGTCCAAGCGGCGGCGCGGCAAATGGCGCTGTCCCAGACCCCACCAGGGGGTGCCATAATCGGGCTCTCGTCCATCTCGGCGCTTGTCGGTGGTGGGAAACAAGTGCACTACACGCCCACGAAAGCCGGGGTTCTCAGCATAATGCAGAGCACGGCGGTGGCGCTGGGCAAATACGGCATAAGATGTAATGCGCTGTTACCGGGAACGGTGCGGACACAATTAAGCGTGGAGGATTTGAAGGACGATGCGAAGAGAGAGTACTTGGAAAAGCGCATACCCCTGGGAAGGATCGGGCTCCCTACGGATTTGGCTGGGCCGGCTGTGTTTTTGGCTTGTGATGAGTTGAGTGGGTTTGTTACAGGCGCTCAGCTTTTGGTGGACGGCGGGTTGTTCGTTAATCTGCAGTGAGATCAATGAATGGATAGCTTCTTAGCTAGCTATCTGGTGTAGTGGGGCCAGGCCGGACGTCAGGAAAGTAGGTGACGGGGGCCAGGGAGGACTTTCCTGTCTTCCGCACTTCTTAAGAGACACGGAGATGACAGACGACTTTCAACAACTCGTCATCTCTCTTCATCATCTTATTCAATCAACTTGACTTTTGGTTTCTATTCTAGTTAGCTAGCCCTTCGATTATGCGGTTCATTCCAACGTGCACTTAGACACTACTTTCGAAATCCTATTATTCTGCCCTCATCCTAGCCTTGACAATGACAGAGGACTGTATCTTGCTCTGATCAGAGCAATCTAGTGCTAATGAGAGCTTCAATTCGACTTCCAGAGCCAGACGTCTTGTTCTGAGAATCATTCCGACGAGAGTCTCAGAGGCACATCCGACCAACTCGCGCACCAGACGTATAAGAGCTTCGCTCTTATAACCAGTACCACGATCTTCGTCTGATAAGACCAACAGATGGGATCTGTTGGTACTGGAGCCGTCTGTTCAGTGTGTTGGGTGGACTGACCTCCTGACCCCGTTTCACTGGTCGTGTGGTGTGCTAGCTAGGTTGAAAATGAGATGATGCTGATCGTCAGGTTGAAACTCTAGTCGAGATGTTGTATTAAAATGCTGTTTGTCCTGTGTTGAAGACATATGTAAATCCATGTCGCTCAGGTCTCGATGATTGTCATTAAGTATAGTCGCAGTACGTGCAAATTAAACTCATGTAGTCGCATCCCATGCACCCCGCCACCGCCTCATTTGGAAGTCGCGATGGCTTCAGATTAGCCGAAACTAGTTAAGCCTATAAATCGTGGGGAAATTTGGACTTGGATAGTCTACCATGGCCAAGGTGTGGCGCAAGGCTTAATTCAACCGTCAAGTTTAAACACACCATTTTACATCAATTCAGTGCAATGAAAAGTAGGTGACATTTCAGCAAAGTAGTTTAACTGATTTAGATTTCAACTCTGCCAGAACCATGTATTCTGTGAGAATATGTCTCAAAGAACAGACCTTACATGTTTTGCGAAGAACTCTCCCTCTCTTTGTGCAGAAATACTTCCATCCTTTTTTGGGGCGAGGCAGATTGGAATAAAGAGAAAAAACAAGAACGCCGCCCAATGATATTCCCTATCAATCCACTTATGCCCAGCGAAGAAGCGGGACACTGCAAGTGATATAGATTCCAGCATGCAATTAGAGAAAAAATGGAAGAGCAATACCCTGTCAATGTGTCATTTCGCTTATGATCTATAAATATTGTTGAGGGTCTTTCAATATGTGTGATAGTGTAGTTTGTTGTCATAAGCGGGTCGTGACGTCGTACTGGATGTGCTCTAGTGGGCAACCAGTTCAAGAGCCCGTTCCTCGGAAGGGCTCAGCACGGCGCAGTCGGTGCTATCCAGTAGCCATCTGGGCACGTTGGTGAGCTTGGGGCGGTTGGTTCTGCCGTGATCAGCCGCCACGAGGTTGGTAGCTGACAGCTTCTTCTGTTGACGACGCTCCATCTCGCGTCGGAGACCAAAGTTCACGGCGTCCAGCACTGTGGTAACGGTGGAACGGGGTTTATATGTCGGGATGGTGCCTTGCTGGTAGACGCCAGTCTCGACCAGGATGCTATACCAGTCGTTCTCAGCCTTCGCATTGAAATCATTAGTACCCCGGATGTCACTCTCGGGGGTGTCGCCAACGAAATAGACCGTCTCGGGAGGAGAGTCGAGGTTATGCGCGTTCTTGCGCCAGCGCTTAAGGAGCCTGGTTGCGAACTCAAAGGTGCCGATCTGGGGCTTGCCGAAGGCATGCGTCGTCAAGGTCTTGCCCTTAGTAATTTCCTTGAAGGTATACTCGACGATGCCACGGAGAGCACCCATGCCAAGACGAGGGTCATCGTGGGCCGCGGACCATAGAACGTCGCTGTGGGAGAAATAAATAGGAGGACCCTCCTCGAACGTCTCCGATCGGGTCCCAACACGGCCACCCTTGGACATGGCAATATCGAGAATAATCTGCAAGTCGCCAGCCCAATCACGGGAGTCGGCGAAGACAAAGACAGCTTCAATAGTAACATTGCTGAAGTCACGCTCCTTGGAGTTGGCGAGTTCCTCTGCCGTGAGCTTACGGAACGGCGTCGTAGCACTATTGTTCTTTATGATATCACCAGGTGTGACGACATCAGTGAAACCGTAGCTCTCGGCGACCTGGCGGCACTTTTCCCCCTCACCACCAACGACGAGCACAGTGCCATACTTGGTGGCCATCTCAGACATGGGCGTGTGGCCGCAAATGAACTGAGCGGGGGAGATGTTGATTTCAAGCTGACGGGATAGATCGCCACACCGCTCGGCCTCAGACTTGCCCCCACCATTGGTCAAGAAGATGTACGGGCTGACCAACGTCAGTGATTGTTTCGTCATGAACAGTAGATCGAAAACTCACATTTTGATTCCGTACTCGTTCTCGCCGTTGAGTACCTTCATAGCCTCAATGGCCTCGGGGATGGGCCGACCACCGCGGATGAGCACGCCATCGATATCAAAGGCGAAGGCAAAACTGTCTGCAACCAGGTCTCCATCCCGGGCAGTGGTAAGTTCGGGTGGCGAAACAGCTCCCGAAGGAGGGGTAGAGGGGGCAGCGGAGTGACTTGGGCTTAAGGGAGGAGCCGACGCGGAAGTTGAAGGAGACTCGGCGAGCGATTCACCCGTGAGCAACCTGTGGGTCAGATCGGTTCTAGCGCTCTCCAGCTCGTCGACAAAGCTGCCACGGTGGAAAGACGGGACCTGATGGTGAGACTCGTGTTGGAGAGACATGGTTTATTTGGAGAGTTTGGTAAAGAACGAACTCGACACGCGATAAAAAACAGACAGTGGTTAAGGGTTGGAAAAGCGCTTGTTGCCACAGCTTGGACCGATATCTCGGGTTTGGTGTTTCGATGCGGATGGACGGAGAATAGATGGGAAGATCCAGATATTATCCCCACCGAAATAATCTGGGGAGATAGATATATATGTGGCAGCCGGGCTTCGATGCGTCTGAAAGAGTGGAATGGTGGATTGAGGATGTGGATACGGGGTCCGTGGATGGCAAATGGTGTTGAACAGGATATCAGACGCCGTTCGCGCTGGGAAGTCAGAATTCCATAGACCGAAATCAAATGTGTACGTAGTATTCACACGTAAGTCCATATCACCGTCATGGAACCTGGTGGAGCGAGCCTGAATCAGTCCCTTGCCGGAGTCTCAATATCTGAACTTGGAGCCTGTCAAAGCTTCATGTTGCTAATACCTTCCAACCCGTCACTGCTTCGTTCGTTCTTCCTCCTTGTTGCTGCCGGCGGCAATGGGAATTCAGATGTTAGACTAGGTCAGACCTGAGTACATGATACCCTGACTAGCATCACGCATCTTTGCACATCATCAACTACGTGCTTGCTAATTCAGGGTCCTTAGCGGGTCAACCTTGTCTTGCTTATGTGTACTCATCATAGGCGAAAAGGGAACGTTTACCGGCTGCCAACCAACAGGGCATGGGTACTTGGTACTTGGTACTTGCAGGCTTGCCTGGCTCGTGCCTATCTTCCTCGGACAGACCATAAGCAGACAGGCATGCGTAGCCACGGCTGCAAGGCTGCCCTGGGATGGGCAACATGGGTCAGAAACGGCCAGGCTGGGTCCCGAGTAGTATTCGCGCAAAGCAACCTGGTGTGCAATTGGATGCATGCCAAAAACCAATCGACTGACTGTACGTTGACGGAATGACGATCATCGCTGCCAATGTGGGAGTGTACGACGTGCAACCTGCATGGTTGAAGTGGTACATTGCTGCAGAGGCCCAGTTTTCCAATACTTATTCTCGCCGTGGCATGGAATGGTTAAAGATATGGAAAACTGAGCCCATTGGTGACAAGGTTTGAATTTCATGGCCATGATAGCACAATGACGGCAGCCCCGTGTATCAACATAAAGCGCCGAACAGTTCCGCGAGGTTTTCTTCGTACAACGAGGCGATGCGGTGAATCAACAACACCTGGCCGCCACAATTCCAGAATAGAGGTTTGCCCACATGATAATGACTGCATGGCTTGTCAACGTTGTTGCCCCTGGCGCGAAGGAGTCCCCCAGGGAGAAAATGCACAGCCGCATGTGCAGTTGCAACTGGTGACGTCAAGCTTGTGCCGGCGACAGCTAGAAAAGCGGAACTGGTGGGGTTATTTTCCAGCATGTGTGAAGGACTGATGCTTGCAAATCTTCTTATCTCCACAATGCCCCGCCTCCTCAATGACCCCTCACTACATGATGCCCCTCCAAAAAGATGTCCCTCGATGATGCATAGCCCCTTCCAATTCAATATGCCGTCGTCAACGATAGTGGTGTCTGATGGGTGTTGATGGGTCTCGACATTGTGGACACGCCCAGCTATTGCTGGAGCTTCGGGGAACCTTGGGTTGACTGCAACGGGGTCGGACTCTCGAGTCGCTTCATATCACCACCCGCAAAATAAATCCGTCCGCATTTAAACACCAAGGGAAGGCTGGAGGCCTCTATTTCCCCTGCTTCTGAAGTCTTTGCTGGTGGAGGGAGGGATCTCGGCCCCATCAACGCAACTTGCGAGCCTTTACTTTCACTATCTAAATACACGCAGATAACTAAACCCCTGGATCAGCACGCGGTCCGCGTTGCCACTGGCCCTTTTTCTTCATGGGTTTAATTATGCCGCAAACGTTCCAGTGCCTAGGGGTTGTACTTGTTGACCGCAACACTGTAGATCTCTCCAAATAGCTCTTCGGCAATCTCTCATGCCCAGCTAATATAGGCTATAATTTTTTAGAAATCGGAAGATATGCTGTTGTACATTACTCGCACACTGGGCGGTGGGGTACCGGCCGTGTGATCGAGATTCGCAGAATGGTTCAGCGGTTTGTTAGCTCGGGTTGAGAACCATTACTCGATAACAACCACTGGTGGTGAGCAGATGCCAAGCCGACGGCGGGTCAATTCTTAATCAGGCCCTTGCCAGCCGGATTCACTGGGTGTTTAATCAATAGGCTCGTCCGTAGTGGTGTAAAACGTTTTGTCCGACACCACTTCGATGCGGCTTCTGCCATTCTAGGAAACCACACTGTAATGAACTCAAGTCAATCTTGCGTTCCTCTGTTTGACGGGCCGTTGCCCTGACGTGTGGCACAGCATTTCATGCAGAGTGACGTGAGAGCCGCAGCGCAGGAGGAGTCATAGAACAGAAGAGAGTAGATACGCTGGCTTGTCTGACATCTGATGCCCCGGTAGCTGTATTGACCGCAGCCCAAAGACTTGGTTGCATTGCGGTGCAGATAAGAGTACTCTAAGGAGGGTCTCATGAGTGTCGTGTGTGTCTTGGGCCGCCTGTCGAATCGCAGGTCAGTTTCGCGTGGAGGAATTTTGGTTCGCATGCATGTGAAAGAGACTTCGTGCTGCTTGATGACGGCTGTGTCACAGTAGGTCGTTTTACAATATTGCCGGGCGAATGCATGTATCCGTGGGTAACATCATATGCCGTCCCTTGCGCCGCTCACTGTACCTATCGGAGCTAATCTACCGATTTAATTGTTGATGGTTTGGATCGCCATACCATTTTTAGACCCGCTTACATGGTGGGTGGGTGCACGGGGTGCAGTTTTCACCCTGAGATCGAAGCGGTTGTATAACCTGCCAATCAATACTCCAGTAGCATGCCACATGTGGCCGATTTTGAAGTGGTTGGCCAGTATCGTGATAAAAAAGTTTTCCGCCCGCAGAGCCGCGACGGTTCCGAACGGTCGATATGCCAGGTTCCTGGATTTAGAGCCTGGGATCGTCGGGGAGTAGCTGTTCACTGCTATTCTTTATGAAATTTGCCCGTTGAAAAATTCCCCGTATTCTGCAGTATTGCCCAATTAAGCTTGCCAAAGAGCGAAAACGACGTGTGACTTCCCAATCCACCACAGCAGCTCAAGTCGAACCAACGATGAAGATACAGATGATTGAAACCTGGACCTTTCGCTTTCGCTCTCCTGCTGAGCTATATCCCTTAATTATCCGTGCCTTGCGATGACTCCTCTATTCTCCTTGGCGACGGACTGATCGACCAATAGGTCGCTCTAAATTGTTTTACTACTCTAGCAAAACATTGTAGATGCGAAAACAGAGCAGCCCTCGGGCGGATATTAGGGAAGCGCTCGGCCCTATTATTTGTCTTCTCCACGGGGTTTAAAGCGGGTTTGATGGCCGATCGGGTTTATCAGCGTAACTCGATGTCGAGGATGCCATGCATAACACGTTTTTTAGAAACATCGAGAGAAAAACTTGCAAAATGTACAAAGAGGAGCTAGAATCTGGCGGTGTGAAAGACCCATTACTGATTAGATGACGACCGATGGTTGCGATGATGGTGAATGATACGCAATCTCGAAGCGTATCACATCATGTTTGACGTCGCGGCCGTTGCTGCTGATTTAATGTGATATTCTTCTCGCACATGATTGCCCTGGTTCTCTCAAATACCCTGTGTTCTTCCAGAAATCATGTCACATCATGTCGTTGTCCAATAACGACACCGATCAATTATGTGCAAATATCGGACGACCGGGGTGGCCTGCAGCTTCTGCCAACAATGGAAAGTATGCTTCATCAGTACCATAACTGGTCAACAAGCGCGGCCGCAAACTGATGACCCTTCCTTTCATCAGGCGAGAAACTCAACTTACCAGAGATCAATGTCACTGATCCGGTGGGTGATGGGCATGGTAGTGCCCGCAGTTACAAGTAGCCGCCTGAAAATCATGGAATCCCAAGTTGATCTATGCAAGTCGCCCATCAAAGTATCTCTCTGCCCTGTCTACCTTTCTCTTGCGAAGAGGGGATTCAATGCAAGGCTATTGATATACACATGTTGCGTATGTCCATGAGGAGCAAGTGATCCGGCGATCACACACACCTCTACTGAACATGACCAATAAAATCCTGTCGCTCTCGCATTATCATATTGGAAGGACTCTATGCGGTTAGATGCTGCGACTTCGAAAGAATGTCAATAGATGGGTTGTCAACATTGCTGAGAACAAAAACAAAAAAAAACCGGCTGAGCTGCCCTCAGCGCGGCCCCGGTGCGGCCACCTACCAAACCAGACCCGACTGGACGATGCATCTTCTAGACATTTGTAGCAAAGGCAAAACACCGCAAATAGAAATCGGAATGACATGAAAACAAGCCAGCCTAGATAGAATAGCTGTGGTTGCAAAGGGTATCATCACGCATCATTAGACGCAAGCCCTTAGATCAGCCCCTAGGAATGCCTCCACACCGGCTTGATTGGCTTCCAAATTGTCGGGCGCCTATGTGTTGCATGGAATCATACCAGATAGACGGACGGGGTCCACCGCTTCTTTAGTGGCACGTCGTCACGTTATACCCTCGGTCGTGGTAATCCGGTGGAACAAACACACGCACAAGTCGCCAGACGTTCGGGTTCTTGGGATCAAGCGAACCCTGTGAAAGATTATTTGATTGCGTATACATAATAACTAGCCGCAACTCTCTGATGCAATACTACACGTGATTGTAATAGCCATCTTATTGTGGCCCGTAAGCTGCAAGTCGTTGAAAGACTCTTCAACCAAACTTGCCACCTTGTGTTGAATCCGAATCGTGTATAGAAGGTAGTCGTGCGCCACGACCCCTGTTCACCTATAGGTATCAAACTGGCACAACGCAGGTGGGTTCCACCCAGCCCACTGCACGATACTACCTTGGCACCCCCATTTCCCCGGATGCACGACAACGTCATGCCTTCTCGTCCCACGGAAGCGGGTAGGTCCCCACCCAGTCAGCGACTTCAGCACGCAGCTGCACAATCTCGGCATCGTCCTCGCCAGTACCAAGTTGTTCGAAGAAGAACTTGAGCTTGTATTTCTCGCCCTTGTCCTCTGCGGCCTTGCGTGCATTCTTATCCACCCGTGCCGCGATCGTCACGGCACGATCAACGATGTCAGCCACACGGACGAAGTCGTTTTCGTTAAATCCACGAGTGGTCATGGCGGGCGTGCCTATCCGAAGTCCACCGGGAATCATGGCCGACTTGTCACCCGGTACTGTGTTCTTGTTACTGGCCACACCAACAAGCTCCAGCACCCGCTCAACTCGTGCACCGTCAACTTGTTGTGGCTTTAAGTCCACCAATACGAGATGATTGTCCGTTCCGTCACTGACAATCTTGTATCCCAGACCCCCTTTGGCCTTGGACTCGCCTAGCCGGTTCGCCAAAGCCTGAGCATTGGCAAGAACTTGCTCCTGGTACGCTCGGAATTCGGGAGATTGAGCCTGCTTCAGAGCCACTGCTAATGCGGTAATGGTGTGGTTATGAGGTCCGCCCTGGTGACCGGGGAATACGGAGGCGTTGATCGGGCCCTCCAAATCGTACATAACCTCTTCCTTCTTCTTATTGACCTTGCGGACTCCTTTTCGGAAGAAAATTATGGCACCGCGGGGTCCGCGAAGACTCTTGTGGCTCGTCGTCGTGACGATGTCTGCAAAGGAGAAGGGGCTCGGAACCACCTTGGCAGCTACCAAGCCAGAAATGTGTGCCATATCGGCAAGAAGATAGGCGCCCACCTTTTCGGTAGTCTCTTTCATCTTCTTGTAGTCAATAAATCTGCTGTAAGCACTTGCGCCGGCGACAATAATCTTCGGCCGATATATCTGCGCCAGTTCGTCCAATTTAGCATAGTCAATTGTGCCGGTCTGCTCGTCCAGTCGGTATGGGACCGTCTCGAAGTACTTGGACACGGCGGAAATCTTCTTCGTAGGTGTCTGGTATCCGTGGGACAGGTGGCCGCCGTGTGGTAGATCCAAACCCATCAGTCGATCATGGGTATCCATGAGCGCAGAGTATACGTAGAGGTTTGCCGGTGCCCCCGACAAGGCTGACGTGGTCGTTAGTCCTGAAAAGTCGAGCTATACTCAATGGATGGTTTGATGATGCTCACCTTGAACATTAACGCCCCACTCCTTCTCGTCTAGACCGAAAGCTTCCAAGGCCCGTTGCTGGCATAATCTTTCGGCCTGGTCGATGAATTCGTTACCGGCATAATATCTTGCGCCTGGGTAACCTTCGGAGTATTTGTCTGTTTCAATGTTAGCCTGGCATGACCACTCGAAGTTCCAATGGGATCGCACTCTGCATGACACTTCCCAACGCATCGAGGACTGCTTGCGAGGTGAAATTCTCGGAGGGAATCAGGTTGATGAAATGCTTCTGTCTGTTCTTTTCCTTCTCGATAATGTCAAAGACCTGGGGGTCGGCTGTCTGCAAGTGGGCAGCGAGCAACTTCATGCCACCATCATCAGTACCACGAGCTTGAACTCCGTCATTTGCAGGAACATGCCGTACACTTTGCTGGCCCTCAAGTGCGACCGCCGACGACTTGGCCCTTCGAGCACCAATCCGGCTCTGGACTGCCATTGTCGTCGTCGGCACCCATCTTGGGAAGCTGCGGAGAGCACGCGAGGCGCCTCGGAAAGCGGGAAGAGACATGGCTATCTGCAATTGCATCAGGAGTCAGCTGGGATTGCGCACTTGGGATGAGCTGGGAGGGTTCCATACAGGTGCTTCTATGGTGCCATTATTCGTGTGGAGGATATGGGTCGCTGTTTTGCAGCGAAGTCGGCTTCGTTGAATGGCTCGGTCACCACTTATTGCTTTCTCTTATCCGGGAGCTCCACCGTATGAGTGTACCTGAAAGTCATAGCATCAGACAAGTCAATGAATGAGTGGCGAGGTTGGCTACCGAACGAAGCCGAGCTCCGGACCAATCGTCATTGTGTCCTAGCGCAACAGTCACGTGGTGATAAGATAGTCCCAAACAGATATCACGCTGGATCGGAGTTTTCGCACAATTTCTCTCTTTTCTTCTTCTCTTTACAACTAAAATTGGGCGTGATGAGCCGCTCTCTGCTCCGCACACTTGATTCCGCTTTTGCTGGGATCATGCTGGATATGTCCTGGCGGCACCTCACCACCTTTGAAGGACAATTTGAGACAATCTGATCCAATTACAAGTTGACCCATGATTATAATACATATACAAATATTCTCGAATTGGGAGATTTGTTACACTCTGGAATAAAGCGAGCCATACTAGCAACTTGAGACAGCCCTGCGAACATTGAGTATCCGACGGATTGGCCCACTGACCAGACAAGTGCTAGGGTCATTGGTTGCGGATATGGAAAATGGATGAAGGAAAAAATTCAACTCGGTGACAGCCCTTAAGCAGTGCCTTCACTCCATTCTGCAAGAGGAATGTCATTATGACCACGTCATTGAAGTGCTTATGTCCCCTTTGAGGAAATAGAGGTCAAACTTTGGAAGATGCCGTTGTGCATTGCTAAGATGCTGGGTCACCTCTATCCTAAGCGAACAGTCGCGGCGCGTGAGGGCATGTTAGATGCACCTAGGAATCGACGATTCAAGTGCCGCTATGCGAGTAATCTGGCATGGGATCGAGTACATGGTTAAAGACATTCTGGCACAACACAAATGTTATGCAAAGCAAGGCAACGCTATACCATTATTGCCAAGCCTTCATGTGGTCGATTTCGGAACTTGTGCCACTTTCTTAACAATCGTCAGTGGGTGTCTCGCCTCACAGTGTTTCCTGTCTTTGTCAACTCAACACATGGACACCAACATCATCCTTCGCTTCAAAACTAGCAGATTGAGGATTGATCAGGGAAACCCCATAAAGGTTGTCTCCATCTCTTAGATGCTTCGATCCGTAGTCATCTTGTTGTATTACCATATCGTCATGTCTGTACGCAGGACGCAATTGGCCGTCCAGGATTTGGTCGACAGCGAGGGCACCAGCTTGATTCAACGCCTGGTCTATGTAGCAATTTTAGGCACCTGCTTTGCGAATCATCAGTAGACTCTTCAAAGAGCGAAGAAGTCAAGCGCTTGGTCGAATTCACTGTTGGCTTCACTAGACCTGGGCTCTGTGACGTAAAAATTAAGAGTAACAGCGAACATCAACGCTCTAGTAGAGAACTAGAGATCGACTGTGTCTAGCATTCTATCCAACGCCCAGTAAGCCAGAGGCTCACCCAACGTAGTATAAGACATTCACTTCGCAGTTCGCATGGTTCAATACCTTCACTTTATGTTATACAAAGAGGGTATTATCAACAAACTCATCCCTGCGCGCAACGTCATTCGATCATTCCAGCAGTGCATGAGCCCTAAACCTCCTAGCAATCCCACCACGGACTCCAACTTCGTTTAGGCCTGCAAGTGGATCAACATCCTGTGTGGATCACTTTACAATACTTATCCCAAGTTCCAGGATTTTTGATAGGAGATCTGGCTCAAAATTCGGCAACGGCTTTCGGACTACGCAAGGGTTGAAGGGGGATGAATCCGGGGGCGAAAGGAGAATTCAACAAGTGAAGTATTTTCATAGTGAGGGCGAGCTTGCCTGTGCCCATACACAAGAAAAGGATCATCATCTCAAAGAGGTCGCCGGCGACTAGAAAAAGTCATGAGAAACTATTAATGTAGTAGGCTGCAGCGGGCAGAGTACTCTTTGGTGTCTTTGGTGGGCGTACGGAGTTTCCCCGGTCCATACCTCATTCAAAATATAATTCATCGTTGGCCGACGCAACGTACATTTCCGTGCCAGGTCCAGCTGCATTCTACGTTCTAAACTTTCGATAATCACTATAAACTTGAATATACTGATAAATACCGCCGTGCAAAATATTTCCGCGTATGCTGCTTTGTCACGAAACGAGGCGCTGGCTTGTGTACGGAGAAGTACCAAGCAACGGGTAACAGGGGTGGGGGAAGAGGACATTGGTGATCGTTGTACCAAACGAGGAAACATCTAGGAACCGTAAGATTAGGGCTGCTGAAAATAGACTTAAGAGGTTTTGCTCTCATTAGTACTGTAGAGTTACCCGTATATGTTATAGCATGCTCACTTTTCTGTCAGCTTGATAGGAGATACTGCTTCCAACTAGACACTCTGCGGTGATCCCCTTTACTAATGGTCCTGAAGGTATAGACCTGTACTAGTTACATCATAACACGAAATGCTCCTAATAATATAAAGTTGCGTCTTGTTAGAGAAATGAGCTTCATATTACCGCTGGTGTAAATGTGACTATTAAATACTAGATTCAAGCCCCTTTTTTGGATAGTGTATTACGTGACTTATGGACAAGAGTTTGAGCCGGTTGCTGTCAAACTTCTCAAAGTGATCAACCAACATATCAATGATATTTATGGTAGTAGTACGTACAAGACCAATGCACATCGAACATGACAAAAATATCAATCAACAGTGGAAGCTTACCTACTCCAACGATTCCCTGGCCAAAACGCGAAATTCGTCAACTTCAACAACTTCACCTTCAAACTATTTGAAAATATGTTTGCCTTCTGTCTCACCACCGTAAATATGCAACAAGCTGCCATGGTCTTGAGGCATTGTCCAGAGGTACTGAAATAGCCAAAAGCTTCGAGACCTTTCGAGCGGCTGTCCAGTGGCTGAAACTCAATAGTAACGGGTACAGTGGCGCCACTGTCATCTACCAAAGCTTCAGCACCAGGCACCGTCTAAATGGGAGTGGTAGGAGTGTCGTCTGAATTTATACATCCTATATGTCCAAAAATAGGCAGAGAACGAAACATCACCGCTCGCGGCCTCTAAGTTGAAAGAGCTCAGGACTTGGCTTTAGAAAGAGAACGAAACCAAGCCGAGGGTTCTGAATGATGCAGAAAAGAAATAGCCGGGAGAGTGAATGCAAAAGCCCTAGAGACCAAATAGAGGGATATGTGGGCTGAGAGTTGCTAGGCGTGGTGAGAAGCCCGAGCAAAGCCTAAGGGTCAGGGCTCATTAAGGGGATATTGGGACACGGCCAGGCACCGGCAATCAAGTACACCAGCCTGTCACATCAGGATTCCAAACATCAATGCCACTTTAGTTCCCGATTAAAAGCTCCAATCGATGTGATAGGACTTTGCCATGACCGTAGTAGGAAGGCGCTAAACAGTGTTAGCCAAGAGTCTCAATCAGCCAACCACTAAAACTCCATTTTATGTTACACAATCGCTTGACTCGAGAGGCAATATGCTGATAAAGCAAGGTTTGATCATGAGCCCAACGGTGACGGAATGGCTAGTTATAATGTCTATATACCGAGAGGATCAGAGCGCAGCCCGTCTGATTTTATTGATTATCACTTCGACTGATTAGGTCGATGTCGCATTCGATGGCTAGGTGTTACCGTTGAGGTTGGATACTAGAACTGGCGATACGTTCATTGCGTCCAATCGTTGTGACACGGCTGGTTGCGCCAGTGGATGCTACGAGTTGAAGGTAACTTACCAAATTAGCAGTGAAACAACTATTCTGAGGAATGAAACGTACGGAACCTATCTGGGCCAAGGCCATGTCACTGGGGACCTGTTTAAAACAATAATCAATGCGCACGGCCATTGCACTCCTCAGCTGTGGTCATAATACTGGAGACTCCATTATCGGCACCTTTGTAGCACAGAGGAAACTCAAAATCCACTATTCTCCCTAAGATCTCCGTGTTTTGCCAACCCAGCCGCGAAAATAGGTAAGCTGATCCTCAGCGAAGTCGAGCCTAAGTACAGCCCGCTAGATAGCACATACAGAAACGTCCGACGGCCTAGTCTTTAGCTATGCAGGGCATCCGAATCAACGGCGTCGAATCGACGCTGCGCCGGGCTGTCTTAGTCCCGACATGTCTCTGTCATTGACGCAGGAGCTTCGCACATCTACCTTTAAACGCAGGACTGAACGCCGTTATGAACCACTTTGACGGGATCACGTATGTGCGCTATGACACTGGAGGGGATGACGATTTTTGTAGTGTGCTAGGCCGCAGCTGATGCAGCTCAAGTTCCATGACCAATTGTGTGCTGTTGATATGCTGGCCGGGAAGTCGTTTCGACAGATGGGCTATCCATCAATGTCCTGACCAAACCCAAGATACGCAGGTGTCAAGCTAGCATTTGTTGAAAAGTAATCCGATTTGGGGATTCACTGATGGGTCCGCCGTTTCTGCGATTCGTTTTCGCCGTCTTTGATTATGTTTCTGATAAGATGTACCCAGTGCAATCACGTTTGGGGAATGACGACTATTGTTGATATAGATATTGCTATGGGACGGTAAAGGCAGGTACATGCGAATATTATTTTTGCCTAGTTGTTCTCGTCCTTCTATGATACTCGGCATGGTCCCACCACCACCGACCCCTGCGTTGGTTCAGAGGAAACTTGTTCGTTGGCATATCGAAACGCTGTTTCCCGCCCGAAGGGAAAGGACGTAGTGAGACATGTGGAATAGGAACTCTCTTCAAGTGGATGCTCAAGTGGTCATGTTGAAGTCAAGGGTTGTGATCATCTCATCGGAGGTATTGACTTCAACCACCGACAATCAATGTCGGTAACCTTGAGCAATGGTGATCACTCGACTGATAGGTGGATAGAAAACATGATAAAGTAAATACAAATAGCAAATAACCCAACCTTTTTCTTTCTTCTCAATATACAGCATCCATGGCGGTACCCAAATACATTTCGTGGCATCACAAATCCAGCTCATGCAATGGAGGTAGCCGAAGGCAATTCGAGATCAGACCGTACTTTTGTCTCTACCACAGGTCTTGGAAAATCACCAGGCCTGACTCGAAAGCAAGCATCAATTGCAAGAGGAACTCCTCGATCCGTAAGAAATAGGTTTCATCACAGGATGATCTTTTTCACCACAGTTGCAAATATTTAGAAATTGCGGCGTCAACTGCTTCGACCCACTGAAACCGGAGAGTTGCAACCAGTGGATCACGTGAGCCCCGAGTGCCCTAGCGCGCCTAATCGGGCTTAGAGTCCACAAATCTGCTAAATTGGCAGTCGCTTTCCAGAATTATCACTTGAGATTCGGTTTAGAACGCCCCTCTCGATTTTTCAACTCCTTCGCAGCAGCCAGACCTCGTAATCCAACCCGACGGCCATCAGGAAACATCGACATTCAAGATGTAAGTTGCTAGCGAAATATAGCACGTAATTCACCGAAACTCCTGTCGAACAATTCCTCAATACCCAGTGCGAACCCGATACTGAAACCGCGATGTTTGGCGGCGATGGTTTGCTGTCGCCGCAATTCGCGGCACCTCGTCATCGATCTTCACCCACAACGCCAAATCATCCCCGATTCACCACCACAATTGCCAACAATCATCCAGAGAGAAATAGGAATATGGGCTAACGATATTGTGTCGGACCAGGGTCAACCTCACCACCCAGAAGCGCCTGGCCGCCTCGGTCATTGGCTGCGGCAAGAACAAGATCTGGCTCGACCCCAACGAGGTCAGCGAGATCAGCAACGCCAACTCCCGCCAAACCATCCGCAAGCTAGTCAGCGATGGCCTCATCATCCGCAAGCCCGTCACCATGCACTCGAGATCGCGCGCCCGTGAGCTGAACCTCGCCCGCCGTGATGGTCGCCACCGTGGTTTCGGTAAGCGCAAGGGTACGGCCGATGCCCGTATGCCCTCGCAGGTCCTGTGGATGCGCCGCCTCCGTGTCCTCCGCCGTCTCCTCGTCAAGTATCGTGCCAGCGGAAAGATCGACAAGCACCTGTACCACGAGCTGTACCACTCCAGCAAGGGTAACGCATTCAAGCACAAGCGCGCATTGGTTGAGCACGTACGTAGCAAATTCTCCATGCCCTCAAGCGTTTCTGGAGCCAGAACAATCAACTAACATGTCCTCCAGATCCACCGTGCTAAGGCAGAGAAGGCCCGTGAGCGTGCCATCCAAGAGGAGATGGACGCCAAGCGTGCGAAGACCAAGGCCGCCCGTGAGCGCAAGCAGGAGAGAGTGATTCAGAAGCGAAACGCGATGATGGGCGAGGACGAGGAGGAGACCAAATAGACGGACATGCCAGATGGAAGTCTCATGAGGATCCATTTCACACGGTATCTGACACGGCTGCATAAGGAGTAACTGGTTTGGGTCACCTTTTTCGAGTCTCGTTGGGCTCACGGGTGTCTGGTACATAACGCGAATGAATCCAGGCGTCCACAAGCACTTGCAAGTACGGCAATGAAGATTACGGAGCAATCACTACCAAAGTCCCAGCTGTGAACGGTGCACATGTGAGGCCTGGGCCACGTTGGTAATGAGGGCTAAGGCCATGATGGACTAGGCCTGTTGTGGATGCCGTCGTCAGCGGTCTCGGTTACGAATGTGTAAGACCAGATGACCCAGTCTTGTTGATGGCCATTATGCATTCGAGCTAGCTGCTGTCGATACGTGTTTAGGCAAGGAATATAAAATGGTGTGTCTGGTTCCCGCTTGACTTTGGCCATACTTAGAAAACTACGCGTTCAGCTGAGCGTCATTTACCCAGTAACTGCTGAAGGTAGTACTTGGCCGATACTCCAAAGAGTTCGCGATAGTTTTTACTTCCTGCAGCCAACGAGCAACTGCCGTAGACGATTCCGATCATACACAGGCGCCCAAAAGACGACTGTACTCCACGTTATTGGGGCAGTGACCACAGGCGCTTGCCCCATGTGAACAGAAGAGATCTCAACAGAAAGGGTTGACGCATTTCTGAAGGCATAAAATAGAATGGACCGATAAAGCCCAGTATCCCCAGTGTATCGGCCTAGAGATACAAATAGTAATACTGTATTATTGCTTTCGATGGAATTCGGTCATGTCTGATACCTGGCAACAGTCCTATGTCTGCCACTAGTGGCATAATGCTATTCTCTCAAGCCATCTATTTAAATACCACTAAGCAATGCAAAGCCATTGTATCCTTGAGATGGTGTCCCTATCGGTTGACTACAAATATAGTCCAATGCATCGAGGAGCCTCTTTTGAACAGTTGCCTCCACTGGAGTGTTCAGATTCTATGTCTTTGTTTGATTCATATCAGAAGAGGTATTGCTTATGATCCGAAGATTATGAATTCTAGTTTTGCTATTTCTCCTCGTCCCTTTCCGTTTTTCTTGCACGCGAAGCATCATGTGAAATTCGGAGCATGCTGTATGTGGTAGGACCAAGCTTCCCTGCGATTTTGTATGATGTACAGCCATTCTCTGGAATTGTGAACCTCCGCCCTTTTAAATGCATGAAGGAAATCAATGGTTTTGGAAACCCCTTGGTTTGGGCCATGGATTCCGAGATCCTTGAAGACTTCGTCATGTCAGGGGAAGACGCTGTCAACGATTTTGGGGTGGCATTTGAATCTTTTAGTCCTCCATCGAAGCCAACTGGGATCCCCATAGGACACAGTGCCCCTAAAGTATTTTTGGGTTCTAGACCAGGCACTGGGAGCGATATTTGGTCCCTTGCCTGCACAATTTTCGAATGGTACGCGGAAGAGAAATTTGGGAATAGAATTCCCGAGCTATCAAAAACGATGGAATTTTATCTAGGACTTCTGCCTGACGAATACAGACTCATATAGGACGAAAACTGCTGATAGAAAGAAGAGGGAAGCCGCAAGAAGTACAAAAAGAGTATGGCCCAGAACCAGCACCAAAGGATAAGACGTATCAAATTTCCAGAGTGACGTTCTAAACGATGAATATCTTCAAAGGTCCAGTCACTAGATCATGTGCATAGATATATGTAAGAGATACTTGTGGGAAAACAGGGAATTCAAGTTCCCGGTCCTCTGGGCGGTGAAGTGTGCCGTGTGCTATATGAAGTTAATAAAGGATATAAACACCCAATGAAAGGAAGAAAAGTTTACGATGACTGCTGGTGTTGATAAAATATTAAGGGCTCCGTGACTAAGGATTTCGAGTTTCTTTTATCTATTGACGAGCTTAAAACACAACTAGGATAGGTCATTGATGCCATAGTTCAATGGTTCAATTTACTAGTGTCCCGGGAATCTGTCTATAAATACTTACTATACTGTTGCTTTATAATATTAATTATCTTGGACTAAGAATGGCACCTGTACAGATTAGAAATGTATCCTGGATACCCGGTGTAAAATGAAGGCAGGCACGGGCCTTGAGGAGTGACAAACCCAGTGGAGATTATTAGAGATTATTAGAGATTGCACTTTTGAGAGCCCAAATTTAAGCTGCATTCTGCCTTTTGTTTTTACCTAATTCTACATGAAATAGATTATATTCTAATGGATTTATTGGATTGCGCGCTTTCTCAATCATAATGACTACGATCATACCCGCCGCTTAGCTTGCAAGAGGCTTGTCCGAGAGACCGCGCGGGAACTCAATTGTACTCATGCCTGGCTTAGGTATGAACTCATACATTATTTTTGAAGCTACTCCTTATTACTAATGCTTTAAGATGCGTTAACCATGCCATTTGGGCAGTTTTATCCGCCAATGGTATCCCTGTTGATTTGCCCACTCGATCCCACATCATGGTGGCATATGAGACATTGTCGACTCAGGTGTCGTGAGGGACACCTATATAATGATGAGAACGAAAACAAGACTCCGAGAAAGTTGTGCCACCCGGACAGAACCTAAGAGGTTAAAGACAATCCTCAGTTGTAGGCGGCAGGATGGCATTTTCTGTCTGATCTTCCACAGGAACATCGTAGTGAGTACTACTCGTGAAACTAGCCTACAAACAGACAAATATAGTCGCAGGAAGCTTCATCAAAGTTAAAATGGCGAAAGCAACGATGACACAAAATACAACACGGTTGTTCTCTCCCCTAGCCCCTAACCGGATCAAAGTAATAACGGCCAGATACCATTCATAGTCACTCTGGAATATCAAGCCCACTGCTTGTTATCTAGATGTGTCCGTCACATGTTGAAGCCTGTGCAGCTTTCTTGATCCGAGAAGATTTCAGGTTACACTCAGAGAAAGGTTGGTTTTGGTAGGCTCTCTGCGTTTTATCAGAAGCAAAGCAAGACTATACAACACTCATAAATATTAACTCTGTAAGAATTTTAGAAAAAATTGATGATGGAACTTGAAATGTGCGTAAAAGAAAATTCATGTCAGGCATGAGCAAGACATCCAGTAGATAATTCGTATCCACATTCACTGTAATAATAAAATACCGGCTTGGACATGGAAACAAACTTCTCTAATTAAGAGATAGCGATGTGGACATCTACTATACTCGAAGAACGCCGGTCATAATAAGAAGTTAATCGTTCCTAGCTTCGATCAACATCACAGGTGTTGTATTCTTTTGCTGTGCAAGTGTCAAAATGTATACTTCAAAGAAACACTTTCTAAAGCATAGCTCCGGTTCCTCAGCCTACATAATTAGCCAAACAGTGGTGTAACATAGCGGGAGAGATAGACATTTGCCCGAATGTCAGCGTGGTGATTCCAAATATGAGGCAAAAAGAGACGTAGGTTGAACTAACAGTTTTTTTAGTGTAATGCAATATTGACTTGACGAACGCTGGTGGTTGGCATTGAACCTGTTGAGGGAAAATTGTCGCATTTGAACAGTGTCAATTCATCATCGCTAAAAGGTCATTCAAATATCCTTGGATCGGCCCGAAAATGGTCGTAATTAATCTGTGGGCAATATAGATAAGAGAGCTAATTGGTGATGAGACTAACTTCCAGGGATCTACACCTACAAAAGGGGTATCTATGGGCAATTGACCCCAGCGCTACACGCAGCACACAGACGGGGACGAGTATAATTATTGAGTCGGTTACGGCTGTTGCTGGATGAGTCAATGCAAATTCAACTGTAAGTATGAATGCAGGAGAGTCTATAACAGGAATATGCCATGGGTGCTTGGCTTACATAATACATAATTTGTCATCAGAGGAAGTGTAGAAGCAGTTAGTTACTGATAGGAGCAAGGTAGTTCCTCAATTAGTCAGATGAAGCAGCGAGTATTCAACACCATTGGCTTCGGCTTCGGCTTGCAGATGCACACACCCACGCATACGAGCAGGGTGGGCAATTTTAAATACGTTTAGTCGTAAGTACAAGTAACACAATCCAATGAAGTTGTTAGGAAACGAATGGCGGCGTAAATTTAAAGTAGTCCGCATAGGATCAACATACCTTCACAGACAGCCACAAGCGGGGCAGTATAAAAAGGCATACCAGCAGCTATTGAAGTTATTCGCAAGTGAAGTGAAGAAGGTGCCGGTCAACCGATCATTATCTTATCATTATCTTCAAGATCGAGTCGTTACTTTCATACGGCCTTTTACCAGAGTTCAGAAACCATGAGTGTGCTCCGATCTTGCTTGCCTTGCCGATCGGCAAAGACCAAGGTTAGTAACCACTTCAATAACCTAATTAGTGACGTTCTATACTCGAGTGCATGAGTGCCTAAACACTAAATCCTCGGCAGTGCGACCTCGTCCGTCCCACATGCGGACGATGCAGCAAGCGAGGAACTACCTGTTCAGGCTTCCCTCCCGACGAAGGCTTCATTTTTCGGGACGAAAACGAAGAAGCGCAGCGGAACTCTGCGCGCGCAAGGGGGGAGAAGAGATACCTGGGCGGTCTGCAGGCTGCTTTCTCATGGGAAGTGGAAGCTTTTTCTTCTGCTGCCACGCCTACACAATAATACAAGCAGCGACAATTATTGCCACCACGGCCGCAGGAAATACCCCGGGAGACCCAGCAGGGTGTGCACAACGAAATTCAGCAGTTGCAAACAAGCCCCTACAACCCAAGGACAACAGATGACGCAGCAATCATCTACCAGCAATACCCCTGGCCCAATGCCTCAGCCCTGTCCTCCATTGTCCCTCCCTCTCTGCAACTCGACCTCGACACTTGTGCCCTGGACCGCTTCTTCGTTAACTGGACTTTGCACCCGTGTAACCACGGCGTGTCCCCGGGCCATATGGACCAGCTTCCGCGGTTGTACCTCAGCGCTGCCCCCGGATCGGTCTTATGGCACGCTATCCGGGCAGTGGCCTTTGCCGACATGAGGTATCGAACTATATCGGCTCGGGGCGAGACGCCATTTCATATCCGGGCATGGCAGCAATATGGCGAGGCGCTCAAGGCGATGAGGGCGTTAGCATTGGGGGTGAACGAGGGGGTTGCGGATGATAGTTGTTTGGCGGCCATATTGCTCATTGATAACTTTGAGGTATGTGACTTTAAATTTTCCAATATCTCATTTGGATAACTGCATTCAACGATGTTATTCATTTTTGTTCTTTACCCCTTTTCTTTGGCCATCCCCCTGTCCAAAAGTCACTTGATGCTAACTCAAACATCCAGCTCATGTACCTAGCCCGCAATGGACCCCTAGGACCCCACAGCGACGCCATCCGGTACATCCTCCACACCCGAGGCGATAGCCAACTCCTTGACCGGTCCGGCTTCGCCCTCTGGCGCATAGCCCACCACCGGCTCCAAAGCCGCCAACTGCTCCTCCGCGAGGAGCCCGATGCGGAGCAGACAGCGTAGGTGAGCAAGCTGAACACTGATCAGCCCGATATCCGCATCTGCGCCAACGTGCTGCATATGAACACGCTCAGTGCGGCGGCTAATAAATTGCTGGATGAGAGTAACATGCACAGGAAAGATGGCATGATGCCGTTGTTTCCGGATGCGGTACTACAGCGGGCGAAACTGTTGGTTAGTTCGATTCGGGAGCTGAATGCGTCGGTGGATAGTTGGGCAGCCAAATTGACGGGGGTTTGGAAACCCGAGGTCAAAGACCCGCGGAGCATCCCCATCTCTCAAGTAGAAGAAGGAGGTTTCCCCGTGCCTCGGTTCCCCTGTCCACGGTTCCTCAGCTACCACGATATCTGCCTGGCCTATTTGTGGAACCCGCACGCCGCCAGCCAACTAGTATTACGAGAGTCACTGGTTGACGTCATCCGATACATTTCCTCCCTGGGCCCGTTGGAAGAGGGCGATGAAGCGGAAGCCGAGACTTTTATCGAGGAAGAGAAGGCGGCCGTGGAGTGGCTCTCGTCCGTTATCATTCGGTCCTTGCCGCCACTTTTGGGGTTCACACACAGGCAGGAAGGGCGTAGGCCGCACTCATTTACCCAGGGAAAGATGGCGGGGAGGTTGTTCTCGCTGTTTTCTATGTGGGTCGTGGAGAGGGCACAGTTCACGTCGGTGTTGCATAAGCAGACGGCTAGGGAGGTGACGGCGTGGATTAATTCGTCTCATCGGTTGCTTTAGGGGGTTGAGGCGTCATCGTACGTGGGAATGGAAACTTGGAGACGCATGGAATTTATAGTGCACGTATATTATACCCATCATGTATTGGATTGGACTTGTGGAGTATAGCATCGTATATAATCATTTATACGGCCTTGTGTTGATATTCGACTGTATTTTGCGTGCGGCCCCTGCATACTCAGTCATCATGTCACAACTCCAACTACCTAAGATGCGCGCGTTATATGCATTCCCGGGACCGTAGAGACATCATCTGGCACTCCCGACTGTTTGTCGTAGGCACACCCCTACGGTCCTGCTATTCTGTATCCAGCAGTTAGGCCTAAATGAGTCGCACGCCTAGCGCGCGGGGCCGGCTTACATGACTATATTCGTGCGCCTAGTTCTATCAAGTCTACCCTTGAATTAGACTCAATCGTCGTACACTTCGACCAACTGACAGAATGGCCATTATAACACTGACGAAATCCACCGTAGCATTCTATTTACACAAAAACGATTTTATAAGAATCTTTGAAGCAATAGTTAATAATGTTACTACTTACGAGAAGGTCCGTACATATATCTCATTTTGGGCCTATATTATAGAATATTCCATACCAAAAGAACTAGAATATCTACAAGACTCTACTAAGATTATAAGAGGTATTTAATTTTTATAACATAGTCTAGCTGATCTTTCAATAAAATTCTACTTTCTAGTGTTACAAAGCCTTTATTATGCGAAACTGTTGGAAAACACGGTGGTGACTTCCATGGTCGATAGCTCCGGTGGTAGGTTGCTTTTGTGATCAAAATGGAACGCACGACGCAATCGTGACGGGAAGACTCAGTCCAGAATCTGACGTCAAGACTCTGACTTCACTTGAAAGGAATCTTCAGTGGTACTCCTCAGCCAACTCACTTTTCGAAGATATCTTCTAGTCAATTGGACCTCATTGCGTTGACCGATACGGTATCACTTCCATACTGCCCATACTGCCTCATTTACAAATAGAAACATAGGCAAGTAACGTATAAAAAGAGTTATATACTGATAGCTTAAGAATTATATTATTTCATCCGCTAGAAACTTCTTCCTATTTCTTTTACGTAGATATAACTAGTTACGTAGGATGCAGTACTCCAGCTGGTATAGCACTAGTGACTATGAAGGATACATAGGCCAAGGGTTAGTCCACTCGACGGCAGGCGTATGCATGTCGTCCTCGATCTCGACGCGCGCTTGCCCTTGAAGTAAGAACGAAAGACGAGATCCGAGAAGCCGACTACCACTCTGGTCTTGTCGGAGCGCAGGAAGGGGTGTATCTGCCAATTCGATCATGTCAGTTTCTCTCTTTTCGGACCTGGGCTCAACTTCAGCTTTATACGCCCCCTTGCAATTCTGAAGAGACTAGTATGAAGCCTAATAAAGCTACTGTAGTAAATAATACCAACCACGTGGGGGACGCATACATGTTGCAGGGATATTACACATCCAAGCTAATGGAAGTAAAGGATCAGGATCCTTGTCAGTATTACATGTGTGGGCAGAAATGGCAGTGTTCGGCCCCGCACGAACCACCCAGTGTGGCCACTGTAGATTAGCCAGAGCTTACGGCAAGTAACGATAGTCATAAGAACAACAACAATGAACGGTGGGCTGCGATTGCCCACAACATGCTTCTTTACGCCTTTGAATAGTAGTATCTCCTAGTGTCAATATAGTGAACCATAAGTTCCGCCACTGGCCAAATTGGACGTGAGCACATTTCAGGTGATTCCTCTCGAAGCTGGTTTCAAATAAGTTCTAGCTAGCTAGAGAAGAGACACCGATCGATGGCCCTATTTGGACTAGTCTCTGCAAATAACATGACCACACAAAGATGAGCAAGCCGAGCGCGAAGCTGAACAGGCCTGACACTGGCTCCGTACCTTATACCCCATTACCTGTTCGCCGTCTTGACGAGATTTAGCTCGTCCTCTATTAGACCTTATCGTCCTCCCGCCGAATTTCCAGTGACTCTTGACCGCCAAGTTCTTAGCCTGCGAGCGGTCCTACGGTCATACCCAGGCACGGTCGAACACCAAAGCTCCAAAACAGAGAGAGGACACCTATTCGGAGTCTGCCTAGCAACTCTAGGACTTCCCACAGGACGCGGCACTGCTTCCTAGAAAAGAGAGTACGCGTAAGCATAGTTACTGTGCGCATATCAGTTCCCATAACCCACTGCTTCTTCAAATTCCGGCTGTCGTTTGACTGGTCTTGCATATGAACAACCGCAAAGTTGGCCCTGAGGGCATGTAGTAACACATGCGACAATGCCAGTCTACGACAGTAGCCCTCAAGTATTATGTGCCCGTAATGTGTGTATAGATGATTGTGCCGAGCTCTATACTCTGTGACTTATCTATCGTGTCTACATTACTCTGCTCCGCAAGTATTGGGCGTTTATCATTACATCGTCCATGAAACCCAGCCCTCTTGCTCTGGCTCTAGAACCTCTTTCAACCGTCCTCCCCTGCAGACTACGATACGAGATGCGAGCCCCCCACGTCAGTAATATCCGTATCTGCCTGCTTAAAAGCCTCCTCGAGGGGTATATCCTTTAGCGCGACAAACTGTGTCTTCTTTAAGAATTTCCAAATGACGAATGCCAATATCACAAGTGGTATATCCCTGTGCCAAGCTGGTTAGCACTAAACAGTCATATTCGTTGAGAGCTTCAAAGTAGACAGGCGAAGAAAGGGGAAAGGGGATGGGTGAGGAAGAGAGGGGCCGACTTACAGATATGAGGAGACAAATTGGCTGGGGTCCCAGTTGCCCTTGGTGAAGACCTCGAACCCGCCGGTAAGCAAGATAACAATGCACATAAAGAGCGCGGCGTATGAGCTATAGACTGTAGGAGCAACCATCAGTACACATCTCCCGGATCGAGATCCAATCGTCCCTAAAACTTACTAGTCCAGGCATTATGCCACGGCAGCCTCGACACCGGAAACCCCTGCTTGCTCATGGCCGACTTCAGCCGAATATGATTAAACAGGATAGTCGACCACGAAACCAGCACCCCGGCCGCCGTCAAATCCACCAACCACCAAAACACCGTCATTGCCCCATTGCTCAGACTCATAAAGCTGAGGAACATAAACGCCGTAAACAGCAACACACATACGTAGGGCGTACCCCAGCTCGTAGTCCTCAGGAAGATTTTGGGCGCTTGCCCCTTGAGGGCGAGGCCGTACAGCACGCGCGTGCCCGACAGGAGAGCCTGGTTGGAGGCCGACCAGGCGGACGTGATGACGATGGCATTGACCACGGACGGAATAGCGGGGATCCCCGCCGCGGACGCGGCTAGCACAAAGGGGCTCGTGGCCGCGGTGCCAGAGTCGTTCCCCAGGGCTGGATCGTCGCTGCGGACGAGCATGCCCACGACGAGGACGGAGAGCATGTAGAAGAGGACGACCCGCAGAAAAACGTTCTTGCAAGCCCTCGGGATGGCGCGGCGCGGGTCGCGCGTCTCAGCCGCAGCCATGGCGATGGATTCCACGCCGGCAAAGGAGAAGACGGCCGAGGTCATGACCCCCCAGAATCCGAGGAATTTTCCCCAGTTGCCCGTGGTGATGTACTCGACGAAGGGGCCCGGATTCTGCCAGTACGCGAAGCCGATGCGCGGGGTTCCCGGGATGCCGCCCAGATCGATGACGAGACCCAGGATGATGAGGAAGACGACGAGGAGGATCTTGAGCACGGCGAAGAAGTACTCGACCTCTCCGAAGACGCGGATAAACGCAATCCCCACCACGAACGTGGCGATGATAAACACCACGATGAACACGCTCGGATTGATATCCGTCCAAAACTCAAACAGCACACAGATAGCCGTGATCTCGCTCGGAATCGACAGGATATTCCCATACACCAGATTCCATCCAACAGCAAACCCCAGCGCGGGATCAACGAGGAACTCAGCATGTCGTACAAACGACCCGGTGACAGGCAACAAAGCCGACACCTCGCCCAGCGCGAACTGCACGGCGCACACAATCATCCCCACAACCGCATACCCCAGCAACGCGCCCAGCGGACCGCCAGTCGATATGGCACCACCGAGACTGAGAAACAAGCCCGTGCCAATGGCGCCCGCGATGCCGAGCATAGACAGATGGCGCTCGGCGAGGCCGCGCTTGAGGTCGCGGTCTTCGGCCCACGTGACGAGATCACCATCGTGGTCGTCACGGGGGCCGGAGAGGTTCGTCTGGCAGAAGTCGTCCGAGGGGATGTCGGAATCCTCGACGGGCTGGGGCGCCATGATGGTGAGGCCCGCTGCCTTGGCTGATTCAGTCATGGTGGAGAGTAGCGGGGTTGATTCAGCGGCTTCTTCAGCTTCGGAGACCCGGATGGACAATGACGAACTGGAGGACGGAACCTCTTTGATGGTGGGAGGTCGCATGGCGAAAGACTTTTCTTCTCTTTTTCCTGGCCCGTTTTCTTCACCTCATTTGCGCTGCGTCTTGCGCAGAGTGCTGGGGTCCTGATCCGGCTAGGGCGTGGATAAGGTGTTGCTGTCGCAATGGGGACAATTGATGGTGTAATAATCGCCGGAGTGGGGATGTACCACGCGTCGTGCTACCGTAATATTTCGTGCTAGAAACCAGACTCTCTTCCTGACTCTTCCTGATCTTGAACTGCGTCGTTCGTTGAAATGGCCTTGTCCAGGCACATTTCCGTCGTGAGGTTGGATGTTTTGGCAAACACGTTGCAAGCCAGGAAAGGTAGAGTTATCTGCGGCCCCTTCCAAGATTTATGGCCACGGACGACGGCGGGTCCAGTGCAGAGGCTAGTGCCACCCAGCGGCGGCGATACTGAAACTCCCAACATCAACTGCCCAACGCCTGCGTCTAAACATCTGGCTTAATTATCGAGAACCTTGTAGTTATGGAAAAATATAGGTACTACCCAGACTAGGCGTGAATCCTGTCACGGTGAGCATAATTGAAGAGTCAAAACACTCTAATGCACTGTATTGACTTAACGATTCTCGACAAGGAAAGAAAGAGAAACTAAAACAGGCTGGCTCACATCTGAGGATCTTCAATCCCGCCTTCAGATGGCCAGTGCTCCTACGGGTCCATAGCTAGTAGGTTTCGTGGCATCGTGACACCGGCCGTCACAAATCCGTGACCAGGCTACACTAACTGGCCCTTCTCTCAACGCAAGTTGCGAGGCTGGTGCAATCAATCCATCACTGGACACACATGAAGTTTGGAGCATTCCCAGCACCTATGATCACTTCAATAGCCCCAAGACCAGAGAAGAGCAATAAACAGGTTAAACGCATCTCGCACCTTCAACGTATCGCTCCCGGTAGAAAACCAAAACATCAAAAATGGCAAAAGCTCAGGCAGGGATTGAAGCTCCAGTGGGTCGCATTGCTACCCTACGAAAACCCAAAACAAAATGGCGGCTGTCGGATTTCACAAATATACAGTGGGTGGCAATAAATTTGCTACCCTGCCAGGTATTGCCAAGCCACTAAGTCAGAAAAGGGTAACGATATATTGCTGCTTTTTAACTATCTACTTGTATATTCACCTTCTTGTTGTTGTTATGGTTATAGCAGTAATAGAAGCAGCGGGCAGCCTCTTACCCCTTTTGGATTTAGTGGCTTGGTGGTACCTGACAGGGTAGCAAATTTACTGCCACCCGCTGTACCATTCAGATGGTTCGTTCTCGATAAGGAATCCGGACTAGTCCAGCCCCATGACTTCTCCACAGGCAGGGAGGGACATTGCTAGATGTCAAGAGCCGACACCCGCATAACGTACTTTACACAAGTTGTGGCCAGACATGGCACAGTATCCGGCCTATGCACGTGGCGAGTAGCGTAACTACTACCAAGATAGGTAGAGCTGATAGACAACCTACGATAACTTCCTAATTCATCACAACAACGTCGACCGTTTCTGCCCACAAGTACAGCTAGATAGCACCTTGGAACGGAACGACCAACACGCTCCAGCATCTCTCTATTCCGAACCAATCATGAGATTTTATCAACCTAAAACGCAAAAGTCGTCTTACGCACTGGATCATATCTCACAAGCCCCGTCCAGCCGATCCCAGCATCCATGCTTCATGGCAGAAAACGTTAGGACGTCTGCATCCAGCATCCATCATTCACCCCTCTATCCCATCTCATCCCCCCTAATCATAAGAAAACACCCCCTCCCCCGCATCCACACTCCCCACACTCCAAATCTCCCTCTCATCTTCCCTCTCATCATCACTCAACCCGAGCCCACCATGCGCCTCCCTCCTCTCGCGGGCCTGCCCCGCCAATCTCGACGCCACGCGCTTGAAATAATCATTCATCATCCTCCTGGTATTCGCGTTCATCTCCTGGCCCTCCTTACCCTGGAGGAATTTCTCAAATACGCGCGCGTCTTCATCTACGACGTCGAAGAGCTGGATGAAGGCCGCTTCCGCGGCTAATTTGACGGGAATCACGGGGTCGCGGACGGATGCGAAAACGGGTGGTACGAGGAGCGACAGGTGAGGGCGCACTAGGTCCATGTTGGCTCGGCTTACGGTACGGATGATTACTAGGGCGAGGCGGCGGCTGTCGCCGGGATTGCCGGGGGCAATGATCGAGGCTAGGGTCGAGAAGATGGGTTTTGCTTGCTCGAAGGACGGCGTGGTCGAGAGGAGGTATTTGCCTGTGGCTAGGATAGCGTTGTCTGCTACGAAAAGCTTTGTGGTTTGGAAGTTAGCATCATACATTATGAGGCCGGGGCATCGAGGACGAAGGGTAGAGGCACAAAAAGTACTTACGTTCTTATTTGACATGCCTTGGCACAGCACATCAGGCAAGTCGTCAGCCAGCGGGCTCTCAAGCAGCGCCTCCTTGCTTTCGACAAACGCCGCGTTTAACGTGAGTATCGAAGCATTGGTGAAGTGCGTAGTGGTGACACGACTCTTCAACAGAGAATTTGCGAGCTCCGCCGGGACTACCTTGATGAGCGCACCAAGAAGTTTGGCATTGGTGATGATCATGGTCGAATCCGTTTCGTCCACTTCGGCGTCGATGAGCCCCAACACCGACGTCCGTGAACTCTCGCTCATGTTGGCTCCCGCTTTGCTGATGACCTCGTATAGTGCCTTCAGCATGGCTGTTCGCACCCCAGCATCCGACGTCTTGGAGCCAGTGACAAGCTCCGCGATCAGCGGATCGACACGAGGCGTGAACTTGATGAGCGTACCGAGGGCTTTGGCCGCACGGGTACGGAGTAGCTCGCTCGTCGTGTCGGCCAAGGCTCTCGCAAAGGTTCGTTGCAGCTGGGGCAAGAAGGGCTTAAGCGCCGTGGGCATTTTCTCGAGGAGATTGTTCAGAGTGAGCAGAATGGCCGCCTTGACGTCAGTCGACCGCTCAGAAACCACACGAATGAGCGGACCGGTGATCTGCGTTACGAATGGCTTGAGGGAAGCCTCGCTGGTTCGATCGACAATATCCGAAATGGCCAACGCAGCTTGAGTACGCTGTTCAGGTGTGCCGTTCATGAGACCCTGCAGGAAAATGGGCAGGATGGCATTAATGCCCTTGGGAAGCTCAAAGCCTGGTAAGTTGGCGCCAGCAACACCGACTTGGTTCAATGTCTGTCGCGTGGACGACACCAGAGCTTCCATCTCCTCCTTTTTGAGCTTCTTAGTAAAGGCGCTGAGAGCAGCCCAGGCCGACTTGATCACCTCCTTGTCTCGATCATCGAACAAGATCAACAAGCAACGAATTATATCTTGATTGTACCGAGAATAGTCGACACTGGCGTGCTCAAAGAAGTGGGCCAAGCGGTTGGCTGTACTGGCCCGCTTAAAGTGATCATCGTGCTTAACAAGCTGCAACAGGACGTTCATGATCGTGTTCAGTCCGTCGTACTCGTCAATGGACAAGATGACAATATCGAACGAGTTCTCAAGGTCGGTGCGCAAGTCGTCTTCCTTGGTGTTGACGATGTTGTCCATCAGCGAGTGGACAATGTTGGGCAGGCGACGGTTCATAGCGGCGCCAGCAACTTGAGACAAGGACGCAAGGGCCTTGGCATTGAACGCTGAAATGGGCGGCGTAATAAGTGTGGGGATGAGGTTTGGTAAGATGATGTTGGACCGCGTGCTTTCGGTAAGAAGGGTGAGAAGAGCAGACAGGGCATTGTCGGCTCCTTCGTCGGAGCGAAGCAGGTTGAGGAGGAAGGGCAGCACTTGATCGACAGCACGCTTGCCAAGAATCTGTTGTAAAGAATCGAACGCTTCGGCAGCGGCTTCTCTGACCTCTTCGTCTGAGTCCGTCAAAGCTGTCCTGACGACGGAGATCAGTGTCTTTTCGTGGTCTTCCAAGGCTTCGTCGGAAGCCGATGCAATGAGCTCCTTGAGGGCCAAGCAGATGCCTTGCTTGGCATCCGTGTCGGTGGATGTCTGCAGTCCTTCCTCGAGCGTTGGTAGCAAGCTCGAGAGAACACCATCGCCCGCTTTGCGAATCAGCTCTCCCAGTGCATTGCTGGCAATAACCTTGTGTTCCATGTTGGAGCTGCCCAGCCGACGAATGATGAGCTGTGTCAGCGTGGGCGTGAGCTCCTTCAAGGTTCGCGGCGTAGCAACCAGAGCCTTCCACACGCCGATGGCAGCCGAACGAACAGAGCCGGCAGTATCGCAGCGGCAAATGTACAAAGCAGACAGGATCTTGTTGCGCTTCTCTTCTCCAAGGACTTCCCGAAGCGAGGCACCAGCTTCCCTGGCAGATTCCTCCTCGTCCTCGGCATCGGCATTACCAGTGATGCCCGTGAGGTTGAATAGGAGGTCGCCCACGAGCTCAACTGAGCTGAGACGGATTCTATAGCTGTCGTCAGCCAAGCCGCGTTCAAGCTCAGGCAGCAGCAGGTCCACGGCTCTGGCGGCGAAATTCTTAACGAGAAGTCTACCAGCTCGGAGAGCAGTCTCCCGGATAGACTCGATATCGTCGGCAAGTCCAGCGAGAATGGGAGGAATAATCTTGCCCAGGTAGTTGGCAAAGCTGTTGCCGAAGCAGACAGGCAAGAAGATGAAGAGGGACATGAAACCTTCCCTGACGGCAGGCTTGGAGGATTCGACGTTTTGAAGAATGGTTGGCAGTGTTTCCTCCAATCTTGTCGTACCCAGCCCAGCCAAGACTTCTGAAAGTGCCTGGGCGGAACCAAGACGGTCTCCAGCACCAGTATCCGACTTGAGGGTTTGCATGAGACCAGGAATCAGATCTGGTAGAGCATCCTCGCCAAGCTTCTCGACCAGAGAACCAAGCGCCCGAGAAGCGGTCGCACGAGTTGTTGGTACCGGGTCGACGACAGCAAGTTTCAACCCAGTAACAAGGACCGGCAGATGGGCTATCAGATCCTTTCTCTCCGTCAGATGTGCCAAGCTGCCGATGACTTGAGCCGCCTTGCGCTTGGTGTTGGATCTCTCTCCCAAGCCACGCTGCAGAATCCTGGTGACCAAGGCCAAAGATGGTGCATCCAGATAGTGCACGAATTGAATCTTGATGAGTGAGTCCAAGGCGTCATCGGTGTATTTGGTCGGATCGCTGAGAGCCTTCAGGAGAATGTCGACCAAACTCTTGACTTCAGGGTTGTTGATGACCTCGCCGAAGCGTTTCAAGCTCTTGTTGGCCGCAGAGCGGACCTCTTTGTGACTATCGTTCAGCACGCCGGTCAGGGGAGGAATGATGTCAGGCAAGCTCTGCGCGAGCTGCTGAGGATCCAAATAAGCCATGGCACCTAGCAGCTCGCATGCACCTTTCTTGCTGCGCCATTGGTCATCTTCAAGACCATAGAGAAGCGTCGGGAGGATCTGTTTGACACCGTAGGAGCTCAACTTCGCGAAGCATGCCTTAGCGGCAGCCAGACAGGCATCTCTTACATCGGCGTTGCTGTCGCCGAATCCTGAGAGCAGTTGAGGGACAATCTGGATCACGTATGGCTCGAGAAGACGGCCAAGAAGTAGAGGCATCAACTCAAAGGCCAGGAAAGCTCCCTCACGCTGCTGCGATTGGGTTTTGTTTTCAGTGGCACTCTTCAGGGTCACCAGGATACGATATTCTCGCAGTACCGACACTCCTCTCCCAAGCACGAGACCAGCGAGGCCGTAGGCGGCGCCTCTTTTTGCGGCATACTTCTTGGAGTTCAGTAGCGTATCCAAAACCTTGTCAAAATATTTGGAAGACTTGTCGCCGCAGGTTCGGACAAGCGGTGGTAGGCATTCTGCGACGGCATACTGAACGGCCTCGGATGGGGTACTCAAAGTTGCCAGTAACCTTTCGATGACCACGGGAATCTTGGCATCACCAGGTTTCAAGTGTCTAGCCAGAGCACCGTACATGACAATGACGGCCTCATTCACCCGATCCGAAGCCTCCGTTCCGTTGTCGGGTCCTTCCAGAGTATGCTCAAAGGTCTTCATAAGCTTGTCAATGATGTCTCCACCGTGTATATCGATGGCGCGAATGGCAGCATCCAGCATCTCACTTCTGACAGCAGCATTTTTGTCCCCAAGAGGGCCGTTTTCGATAAGGAAATTGAAGTGGTCATCGAGTTGGCTCTTCCGCAGATGGGCCGCAAGCTCTCGGAACGCCGCGCCGATTCCATGTCGTGCTTCCCAGGGATCCGCAAGGTCTGACTTCTTTGGCATGCCGAACTGATCGAGCTCAGGCTTTCGAGGCTTAGCCAGCTCGACGTACGTTGAGCGCAGTTTGCTGAGGACTTCATCAATTGTTGCCTGGTTGGCTTTGCAAGCATCAGCCAAGGACCTTGCAGCAGCACGTCGGAGCTGGCCGTCCTTGCTCTCCAAGTAGGGCAGCATTCGGAATGGGACGTTTTTTGAAATCTGGAAGCCACTTTCCTCCCAGATCTCCATGCCAAGGTCTACGTTTTGTTCCACGTCATCATGGCAGGCGATCCATATTTCGTCCGAGAAGTCCAGTTCACTCATATCCACGTCGGCGCTAATGGATTGCAACACTGTCTCCCGCACTGAAGCGGAAGGAATGATGGCGCCTTTTGCGAGTATCTCAATCTCAGTGATGCTCATGTTCGGCGCGACGCACCGTACTAGATCGGAGAAAGAATCTTTGATAATCTTGTGGTGCTGATTGTACTGCTGCATTGAAGAGATCAGGGTGGTCATCAACTCACCCCGCGGAATAGCCTCGTCCGCACAGACATCAGTGTGGAATGAGATGAACTCCACGGCAAGAACTAGCTGGGCATCTCGCTCATCCGTTGCGTCACCAAGGCCACCCTTTTGAAGAACGAGGAATATGAGAGATAGGATGTAGACCACAGAAATGGCATCGAACGGCCTCTGCTCTCCAGCGAAACGAAGACGGTACAAGACTCGTGTGACGAGTTCTTCTAGGCCTTCACCTTGCAGGTGATCTGGCAGACCAGTCACCCCAAGACCTCGAAGTGTGGCCACACCGATGAATGGCCGGATGGAACCGAGCCGATCTGTCACTCTCTCGGACATTGCAAGATAGGTAGACGGAGCAGCGTCACCTGTGATAAGGCACGCCCCAGCTGCCATGGCCTTAAGAAGAGCCTCGACCGCGGGTCCCATCCATAGATTGGCCTCAGTAGGCGGACCGGTGACGAGCCCCTTGATGATCCCAATGCCACGCATCAAACGTGCTTCGAGCTTTTGGATTGATTTACGGATCTCCGACTCCTTGTTCAATTGCGCATGGACTTTGGCTTGCTCGTCGGGTGTAAGCTTCTTTTGTGTGCCCTTCTTCTTCGCAAGCTGGCTTCGAAGCTCTTCTTCCCACTTCAGAGTGTCGTAGTCCTTGGTGTTCTTGTTCGGAAGACTCTGGGACTTCTTGGCGAGGACATCGATGAAAGCTGTGCCTTCAGCCGTGCGAAAGATGGCTGCTTCTACAGGGCCAACATCTTGCAGTTCCTCTGTATCCAGATCATGTCGAATCAACTCTATTATTTTTGGGGTCATGGCTTCAGGCGCCACGAATGCCAGATCTGCGGCAGCTTTGCAAGCCGCACTCTTGACAGAAGAAGACTATATTCCGTTAGAAAACATCCATAACAATTGGAAAAACTTGTCGTATACCTTCTGCTCAAAGCTTGTCTTATCAACTACCTCCTGGATAAGTGCTTTCTCATGCCTTGATGCCAAATTTCCAGGATCAAGTCCGACCCTTAAACACGTGTCTATCCAGCTAGACCTAGGAATTAGGTCTGGTCGCGCGAGAACGATCAGGCGACACATCTGTGTTTCCATTAACTCTTGGTTTTGCTCGGAGCCGTTCTTGGTGAACTCTTCGGCATTCAAACATATTGATCGAAGAGGCGCATGCAGGTTAGTGTTCTCAAACTTGGCACACGCCGCTACGCTCTCCTTGTCGCCACTCTCTACTGAAACAACCCACTCCCAGAGTCCATCAATTATGGCTTCGGAGATCAGAGCAGGTTGCTTCGCATATAATTTGGATATCGTCTCGCCAGTTTCCTTTCGAATCTGAGCGCCGACAGTGGGAGAAGAAGCCAGGTATATCAATGCTTGGGACCACGATGATTTTACCTTGGCTGCAGCGTTGGGTAGGTCCGCTACGGCAGCGGAAAGCGCACAGAGAAACCACCGCAGGTCATCTTCAGTTGTCAGGCGCACATACACACGCTGGTTAAGGAGGAAGGACGGCTTGGGTTCCGTCACGAGGCATTCCTTCGACACGGCAGCCTTTTTAAGTAGGGCTTTGGTTCCAGCACTCTCGATGTGAGCCAGGGTCTGGTGCGCCAAAGTAGAGAAAACATAGGCGCCGGTGATGAGTCCGTTCTGTGCAGATGCAGGAGGGTTCTTGATGATCTCAGTCCAGGTATCCGCGAGGGGTGCCGCGACCGCTTCAGCGAATTTCACTACGTTTGGGGTCAGATTTTGAGAACTGCTGTTGAAGTTGATAAGGATCTCTCCAGTCTTCAAAATCCATATTCGTCGCGAGGCGATCTTTTTGTCGGCAAGACCTTTGACATACGCATCGACCGCGGGCTTGGCCAAATCAGTGCCTTGCTGTAGCTCAAAGTTGACCGCACGGCTGAGAGCAGACACTTCCGAAGCCAACGCAGCCTCGTTGCCTTCTTTGGCTGCAACGGGCGGTAGGGCTGTGGTGACTTTTGCAGCGACAGGGCCCGATAATGGCACACTCTGGAGCATTTCTGAGTGAAGTACCCGTTGATCAGCAGAAGCGAGCTTTCCCGACTTAAGGGGGCCAAGGACGTCGTCGGCGACTTGCTCCATGGCCTGCGGGTCCTTGCTTTTGGCGGCCGTAGCTCGAAAGGTGGTCAGGACCCCTTGCCGGATAGCCGGGTTCGTTGACTTAACATTCGAAAGCAGCGGCTTCATGAGATGACCCGCAAGAACCTTGGACAAGTCTGTATTATGAGGAAGGGAGTTGAAGACAGCCGGGACCAGATCCAAGACGACTTCAGGGGCGCGCAGAAGCCCCTTTTCTACAGGAGGGAGAATTTCCTTCTCGAGGTCCTCGATGGTAACGAAGTCGCTGAAGAAATCCCGCAGACCGGAGGCAATGTGCTGTGGGACTGCCGTTCGAGATCCCACGATTTCCCTCGTAAAAAATGTGAAATAGTCGGACTTCTTTGCGGCAAGAATAGGTTTGGCTTGAGTGTGACGAGAGCACACTCCAGCTACCACACCAAGCATGATCGCATTTCTGGTCACTGGCTGTCCCCCCTTAGCAGTGAGAGCTTGGACGGCATCTTGAATCGCCTTCTCGTGGAACTCCTTGTACCAGAACGCAGCGCGTAGTCCACGGCGGGTGATCACGATGGCGGATTGGGACACGGAGGATCTTGTTGGCGGCTGAAAGCACTTCTCCAGAGCGGCAGCATTGCTTTGAATGATATCCAGTCCAAATTTATCATACATGGACGTCCCAGCTAACCCTTTGAGCAGCAGACAGCACCATTCGACCAGCACGAAGGCGTTTGCGGCGGCTATACCGGGCTTCTGGGATTCGGCGCGGAGGGCGGCGACGAAGGGCGCAAGGACCTTGGAGTCGCTCGCGGTGGCGACCAAGGAGGCGATGCACGCCTGAACAGCGCGTCTCGACGGTCGGTCATTATAGAATGCGTGAGTATCAAAGAGGAGCTTCGACAGCTTGGGTATTGAGGAATGATCAATAGCTATGTATCACGCGGAGCATTAGCCAGCCTGACACCAATACGCAACAGCAAACTTGTAGGGTAGGGCAGAATACGGCGAAATCTCACAATTGTTCTTGATACTCTCGTCCAGCCCTCGCAATTGGGCGATTCTTCTGTTGGTAGAAGCGGAACTCAGGTCTGCCTTGACGGTGGGGAAGTCAATGGCAGCTTTCGAGGCGCCATTTGCAGTCGCTTCAGACATTTTGGCTGTTCGAAGGGAGGTTGATGGACATTATAGATTGCCCGGGAGAGGTTGGGAGAGGTTGAGGCTTGAGGAGCTTCTCTCGAGGGTCGGCGCGAATATCTCAAGTATGTTAAATTGGTCTATTCCCACCTGTCGTCTAACTTCTCGTCTTGTTCGTTGTTCAACATCTGACTGCCCACATTTTGTATCCAACCGAACAAGCGGCATTGTGGGGGGAAGAGGTGAACCTCCAGTGCTTTCAGGGTACCTTTGCTCAGTAGGGCAGGCGGTCAAGTTGATTTTCGGTGTTGACTCAGACCGGCCAACTTCTAACCCAGCCACCAAGAGGTGACAGAATAATACTGCACACTACGGGTGGAATAATACTTGTAGGATAGGTCCAGATTCAAGAGAAGCACATCATGCATATATTCCTTAAGTAACTTCTGAATACGGCGTTTATTCTATCGCCTAGTTGGGCACTTCAAAAGTTCAATGTCCGAGGGGTAAGGAAAAAGTCAGTCGACCCTGCAGCTGGGCTCTGATGTCAATTCGACCCCTCCATGCCTGCAAGCCCCTCCATTCCCCATCCGCTCTCCAAACATTGAAGCTGCCATTTTCCTCCCGCAGTAAACCGCCCAAGACTCCCTTGATGGCAAAATCAGCGCGCGCGACACATTGGACTTTTTCACTTTTGAGAGAGCGGTTGACGCTTTCTCACTTTAATACCTTCCAGTTTGCTAGATTTTGATCGCCATGGCGGGAGCTAAAAAGAAGAAGACGAAGCCCGTTGCGAACCCAGCCAGGGGCTTTGCTACCACGTCCGTCGCTTCGAAGCCAGTAGTCCGCGTTGAAGGCGCAACTGAAGCCCAGAATCCGACTATCCATGTGAATCCCGATGCTGCGGTTACTGGAGCTCCGGTATCTGCAGCTGCCGAAACTGATTCGAAGACTAAGAGTGATGCAAAAGAGACACTAAGCCCCGAGGAATTCGAGCGGAGGCTAGAAGAGTCGGAACTGCAGTTGCTGGTCGAGAAACACACACAGAAAGCGAAGCGGGATGCTCAGCGACAAAAGTCGCGACTTGAGACCGATCGCCGCTTGCTACGAGGACAGGCCGAGACGGTAAACACGCGCAAATGGCTGCCGCAAGAGCTCATGGATCATATTCTGGATCTTATTCAAGCCGAGAGTCGTTTTGCAGCGTCTTCCCTGGTGGCAGATAACAACAGCCCGGGGAAGCTTTTGCCCGAGGAGGAACTCACGATAAAGCTTTGGACACTACAACAGACGCTTACAAGTGTTGCGTTCCCTGAGGACAAGGTGAGGGCTGTTTTGCAGTATGTTCTGGACATTGCACCCAGTATCAGCGGGGCTATCAAAGAAAACATTTGGGGCTTGGAGGAGGCTTTGGACTGGCTAGCAAGAGAGTGCACAAAAGACGAACTTCCGGACTATGATCATAGGGGCAAGACGACAGCAAGGGACACACCCCAAGACAGCCCTCTGCCATCGGGCGCCAATACACCAAGACTGCTAGAGCCCAATGGTTCACAAAAGGGTCAGGGGAATGGGAAGCGCTCCCCTCGAGCCGTGTCGCCAAAGAAGGTTGTTGTCACATGCAACGAGGATATCGAGCCTGACGACCTCATTCCCGCGTATCTCGAGACCAAGACCAAGCTCTTTCATCTTCAACGCCCGAAGCAGGCCAACCAGAAGATCAAACCAATGAAAAATAGAACCACAAACGGCAATATTTCATCCAAAGATATGGAGGAAGCCAGGCTCGTCGCAAAGATCGATCGAATAGAGCAAGACGTTCTTTTCGACAAGCACATTGCTGAGCAACAATGGCGCGCTGACAAGATCATCTTGGAACAAGAATATGCTGCTGCAAGAAAACAGGAGGCAGAGGAAGCCAAAGAACAAGCCGAAGACACCCAGGATGACGAATCTGATGATGACATTACTAAGGAGGCGCGAAAACTGGCTGCGGAAATCTTGGAGCAAGGTTCTGACGATGAACAATCGCTATCTGATCTCTTTGCCAGTCTACCAGTTCAGGAGATTGACCCCAACACTGGTAAGACAGCCAATGTGATAAACAATGCCGACGGCGGTAAGACATTCGTCCGGGACTTCGGGAAATGGACCGGCGTGAGTCCTGTGCGTGCCTTGGAAGAGGCCTGCCGATCAAGGTAAGGAACGTGGGGGGACCAGAATCATTTCGTGTCTGACGTATTCTAGGGATTCTGCTGTAAAGATCAGGTATGCTGTTGTGTCTGATACTCCATTCGCAAACCGTCACATGGTCACGATTTTTTGGTCCAAGGCACAGGACCTCATCTCGCCTCCTGAGATCTCTTATCTAGAGAGCTCGGTGTTTCCTCTGCAGTTTGCCTTCAAGATGGCATCAATTGCGACCCCTGATGCGAAGCAGTCAGAGGCGTATATTGCTACAGCTGCACTTTTCTTCATTTTTGGATCAACCAAGGAGGACAAGGTTTTCATGCGATTGCCCGTGGCCTGGAAGGATCTGTGGTATGAGTTTTCCGAGGCTAAGAAGAGCCAAGCAGATGCTCGAGATAGAGCAGCCATCAAGGAGTTGCGTGCTATGGTCCGGCAGCGTCAAGATCAAGAAGAGGAGGATGGCGTGGTTCTTCAGGGCGCCTTCAGAGGCCGAGGTTCTAACCGGAATCCGGCCGACATGGGTGACGACTTGGGCCTAGACAGGTCAAAACAATTGCTGGATCCCGAGTATTACCAAAGAATATGGTCTCAGAAGTCCAGCACTCACAAGTTTCACGTCATGCTGGTAAGGTTTCCCTATGGAAGATGGACCATGATCTAGAACTAACTCTCGGCCGAAGCAATCGCGAATGCAGCTGCCCATGTGGCATTTTCGACATTCAGTTCTCGACGCAGTAGAAAACAACCAAGTCGTTATCATCTGCGGTGAAACCGGATGGTAGGCGAAACCCATCGTTACATCGAGATCCCACTGACCGAATGCTGCAGTGGCAAGAGTACCCAAGTCCCCTCGTTCCTTCTCGAGAACCAACTGTCTCTTGGACGACCATGCAAAATCTATTGTACGGAACCACGCCGAATCTCGGCCATTTCATTAGCTCGCCGAGTCAGCGAAGAACTAGGCGAGGGCAGGGGTGATCTTGGCAGTTCCAGGTCACTTGTCGGATATTCAATCCGTCTCGAATCCAACACGTCGAGAGAGACTCGATTAGTATTTGCGACGACTGGTATCGTGATGCGAATGCTTGAAGGTTCCAACGAACTTCGCGAGATCACGCACCTTGTCCTGGACGAGGTCCACGAACGCACAATCGATTCCGATTTCCTGCTAATCGTCTTGAAGAAACTCCTCATCAAGAGAAAGGACCTCAAAGTGGTGCTGATGTCTGCCACTGTGGACGCGGAGAAGTTCTCAAAGTATATGGGCGGCGCTCCTGTCCTTAATGTCCCTGGTCGGACCTTTCCAGTTAATGTTCAATACCTCGAGGACGCTATCGAGTTGACTGGTTACACACTTGACCAGCGAAATCCTCATGAAAAGATGACGGACCTCGATGACGATCCCGCTGAGAGCGAGTCTGATCCAAGCTCAACAAGCGACGCAGTGAAAGAACTACGGCAGTATTCGACCAGAACACGAAACACTCTGGCTCAAATGGACGAGTACCAAATCGAGTTCGACCTCATAGCGCAGCTGATTGGCAGAATATCGGCAGACCCCAGTCTTATCAACTACAGCAAGGCAATTCTCGTCTTTTTGCCGGGTATTGCTGAAATCAGGACGCTTAACGATATTCTACTTGGCGACCCCTACTTCCAAAGGGGCTGGGAGATATTCCCGCTACACTCGACCATCGCGACGGAAGACCAAGAGCGTGCGTTCCTCGTCCCGCCCGATGGATTCAGGAAGATTGTCCTTGCCACCAACATTGCAGAGACGGGTATCACCATCCCTGATGTCACCTGCGTTATCGACACCGGAAAGCACCGTGAGATGCGGTTCGATGAGCGAAGGCAGTTGTCTCGTCTGATCGATACCTTCATCTCGCGTGCCAATGCCAAGCAACGTAGAGGAAGAGCGGGCCGTGTTCAGGAGGGTCTTTGTTTCCACATGTTCACAAAACATCGCCATGACAACGTCATGAGCGACCAGCAAACACCGGAAATGCTGCGTCTCTCTCTTCAAGACTTGGCCATTCGCGTCAAGATCTGCAAAATCGGTGGGATCGAAGAAACTTTGGGCGAAGCTCTGGATGCTCCATCTGCAAAGAACATGCGCCGCGCCATCGACGCCTTGGTAGACGTCCGCGCCCTCACTGCATCTGAAGACCTGACACCGCTTGGCTACCAACTAGCTCGTCTTCCCCTGGATGTCTTCCTGGGCAAGCTGATCCTGCAAGGTGCTATTTTCAAATGCCTTGACATGGCCATTACAATTGCCGCAATCCTCTCCTCCAAATCGCCCTTTTCCGCACCTTTCGGTCAGCGAACACAAGCTGACCAGGCACGCAAATCCTTCCGCCGCGGCGATTCGGATCTTCTCACCATCTACAACGCTTACCTGTCATGGAAGAAGGTCTGCCAGACAACTAACAACGACTTTCAATACTGCAAAAAGAACTTCCTATCTCCGCAAACCTTGTCAAACATTGAGGATCTTAAAGGCCAGCTAATCGTTTCGCTCGTCGACTCGGGCTTCCTGCAGTTAACGGACGACGAAAGACGGACCCTAAACCGCATGCGCTACGCAAGCCGAAGACGCCAGTTCTTCGAGCTGCCTCAGCGAGTCAACATCAATTCAGATAATGATGTCATCGCCGCGTCGGTCATTGCGTGGAGCTTCTACCCTAAGCTGTTGGTGCGCGAGGGTAAGGGGTGGAGGAACGTGGGCAACAACCAGAGCATCAGTCTGCACCCTAGTAGTGTCAACAAGGGGCAACGGGAGCTGAAATGGCTGAGCTACTACCACATTATGCAGGCCAAACAGTAAGTCATGTTGGTGATTGATCTGGTGAAAGACTAAAATCTAAGCGTTTGCAGATTCCTTAATGCTCACGAGACAACGGCCGTTGATAACTTCGCCATCGCACTGCTCTGTGGCGATGTCAAGGTTGATGTAATTATTCCTTTCCGTTTACCTTCTCTCCTCTTAACATGTTATTCATCACGACCCCCGACCTCGCTTCCCTCGACACTCGTCGAAATAACGACTAACAAACCCTCTCAGATGTACGCCGGCGTCCTCGTCCTCGACGGCAACCGCGCCCGCTTCAGCGTTCCTGACTGGAAGACTTTACTCGTCCTGAAGGTGTTGCGAACCCGACTCCGCGACGTCTTGACGAAGTCATTCAAGATGCCCGGTAAGCTGCTCACGACGCAGCAGGAGAAGTGGCTTGATGTGTGGCAGCGCATCTTCACGCAGGGACAGATTGTGGGTCGGGTTTGATGTTTCTGGCCTTTGCGTTTCTCTTGTCTTGTCTACATCGGGGTATGACAGGAAATAAAGGAGGGAAGGGCGGTGGTGTGTAAGTAAGTCGGTATATAGACCCACCAGCGTACTTGAGAAGAAAGATGGAATCCAATAGTGCTCTTGGGGAGATAGACAGATGCATCATGCTGGAGCTAGAGCTAGAGCTAGAGCTAGATCTCTCCTTTCCTGGCATGAGATGCTAGAAGAAGCCTGGTATTGAGGCAAGTCGAGGTAGTCGACTAATAGACTCAATTTAGAACCACGAAACTCGCGCATTGACACTTTTGATCGTGGCCGTATCTGAGCATATATGTTTCTTCCCGGCCCAACAAGCTCTTACGTTCCTCCTGGAAGTCTCTACGACACTATCCCGTAACACGGAGGTAAAGGATAAACATCGAACTAGGATAATGATATATGGCAGCTCAATAATACATAGTAGTGAACCAAGTGCAACTTGATGATCCTACCCTAGTGCGTCGTGTGTTCTTTTGGTATCTCCTTACTACCCCAATACATCGCTTCGTTCCCCGTTTCCGCCCCTCCTCCCAGCGCCAAAAAGACAGACGACGCGTAGTTCGAAGTACATTGCGTAAGGAGGGATTGATTTCCCCGACGCTTGCTACTTGGACTTTGACAGGTCAGCTTGGAGCAGGCAGAAATACGCATGTGAAGCTCGTGAACTAAAACCTGGTCTGATGTATCGACTATGTATATGGCTGAGAGCTGGACTAAGGTGTTCATAGGAAAACCAAACTTCCTTCCCATCGAGCACATGTCACGACGATGGTTGTGATAAATTTGAAGCATGTACATCAACTTCAGCGGGAAGCCCAAAAGTAATGCACTTACGCAGTTGCAAGTTTCCGTCTAAAGATTACTTGCGTGCGGATATATTTTGTCCCTGCCACCCATTGAAGTTTCCTACACTTGCATTTCTATCTATAAACACCATGCGTCACTTACGGTAGGAAATCAAATCGCCTTTCTCGAACCACAACCTGATGACGAGTAGACACATATTATAAAAATGCTGGACACACTATTAACAGTTCACTATCAATCACGACACCTCTGAGCAATGCCATCCCCGATGGCGGCTTTGCGACCATCATCGTCGAATAGGGCAACCAGCTCTGCCTCAAACGCCACCAGCCGGGTTAGGGCAAAAAGCAATGCAAATGAAAGAAACCTGTCATGCATCATGTCCGTTACTCCTTTCCAAATTCCGTTTCCATTTCTTTGCCAGCCAGCCCAAATGTATCTTTGGGCTCTCCTGCATCATATCTTCTCCTTCATGCAGGTGCGGGCGGGTATAATTTTGTTGGAATAACATTTGAGCCACATCCGGGTCATCATCCCCTTGCCTCCTTCAATTTCTTGCATCATTACCGCTCTCCAAACTCTGCTCCCCCTCAGGAACCACCGTTTACATCCTTTTTAACATCACCTTGTCCGCTAAGGAACATGGCCTTGAACTCGGCATTACTTTTCGGCTTGACTGCCTCAGCCGTCCCATTCACAGGGGCCTCCTTGACCCCTGCCTCGTCTGGTTTCTTGGCCGCCACGAAACCCAGTCCGTGCCTCCCGCCCCGTTTTCCGCCGCCGCCGAGCGCAGGCCGTCTGATCGTCAGGGGTGGCGGCATGAATCTCGGGTTGCCACCATTCTTGGATCCACCTGTTGGTACAATCCTGTCCATCTTCTGCTCTGCCTTGGTCTTGAACAGGTCGGCCACCAATCCGGTCCGCAGCTTCCGCCCTGGCACAATCTCATACCCATCCAGCGCAAGCATAGCGCGGCCGACGGTTGCGGCATCTGCGTACTCCACAATGGCTCCCTGGTGATCGGGACGCAGGACGATCTTCACGATGTCGCCGTGCTTTTCCGCAAAGGCGCGAATTCGAGCGTCATTAACCGTGTCGGGGACGTTCAGCAACGCCATGGTTCGATCCTGGATCTCCCGGCTGCTGGGCTTGTTGGACGTGTCTCCCTCCGCCATTGCGACATCGGCCGACGGTGCAGGACTCGAAGCGGCGGATGGCGAGTCACCTTTCGAAGTAGCAAAAGGTTTGAAGTTGGTCTCCTTCGTCAGTTCGACATCCAAGATGCGTCCGTTCATGTTGGCCTTGTCGAGGTCGACCGCACTCTCCGCCTGTCCTTTCGTCTCAAAAACGGCGTACGCAAGACCAACGTTGGTGCCGCCGATATTCTTGAGGACATTGACGCTCTGCACCATGCCGTACTTCTGGAGCAGGCTCCGGATGTCACCCTCGCTGGCCTTGGGGTCGAGATTCTTGATGCGGATTTCGCGGCCTTCTGCGGTTGCGCCCTCGCGCGTCTTTTTGCGTGAAGGGTTGGAATACTGGGACACCAGCTTGTATTTTCCTTCCAGCAACTTGCCATCCAACTCTGAGCCCTTGGCGGCTGCCGCCTGGTCCACGAATGAAATGTAGCAGAAGCGACGGTGAGTGTTATACTTCAAAGAAGGCAGGCGAATGCTGAGAATGCCGCCACAATGTTTGAACAAGTTGCGGATGTAGTCTTCGTCGGCTGCAGGCGGGTAATTGGTGACATAGAGAGTGAGGCCAGTACCCGGTTCGACGCCAATCTGCGACCGGCCAAAGTATTTACCGTCACGAAGCAGAGCTGATTGGGCTTCCTCGGGCAAGCTGAATTCGATCAGAGCGGTGGCAGTGGCTTGATCGGAGCCATTGGCGGCATTTCCAGCCTCCTTGTGCATGGTTGCGGATTGGATGTGTCCGTACTCCTTGAAGTACTTTCGCACAGCAGTTGAGGTCACGTCTCCAGGCAGGTTGGTGACAAGAACGCTCGTGTTTTCTCGGTCGCGCTTCAGGTTCTGTTCATTGGTCGCTGCGTCAGCGCCGTTCACTTCAGCATTTTTGGGTCTCTTGGTGACAGGGTGTGCTGACTCCTCGGGTGTAGCTCCCCGTTTTCTCTTGGAGCTAGAAGGTGAATCTCGCGTGGTGGCATCATCGGTGCCGGTGCCCGTCGCCGCCTCTGGCTGCACGTGGGTCTGCGCAGCGTATGCGGCCGCGGCGTTGGCTTGTTCCTGCTGGCGGCGCTTTGCCACGGTTCTTTTCGTCTTGTGGATGACGTCTAGAGCACGGTGGAGGGTTTCGGGCCGCTCGTTGTCATTGCAATGCTGATGGTATACTTCCATGACCCGCTCGGGCCAGTCCAGGGTCTTGCGCTTCAGGGCACGAGCTAGGACGTTGGTGGCCAGCGTGGGAACTCGCCCGAGCATCGTACCATTGGCCGGAGTCGGACTGCGGATCTTCGGCCGGGACGAGAAGATGACCATTTCCCACAGGTAGTAGTTCAACCAGAAGTCATAGCTATCCGCAAGAAGGGGCTTTTCGGCCATTCGGTTCCACATGGATCTCGCCGCGTCGATTTCGCCCTTCTTCTCCGTGAGATACTGGATGAGGATGCGCTCGATGCGGTAGTTGGGGTCCCCCTGGTAAGCACTCTTGTACAAGCGCTCGCCCCAGAGCTGCACGTCCTCCAATGCGGCCGAGAAGCCAACGTCGGCAATGTCCACAGCATCCTCGGGGGCGTTCGGGTTCATGGCTGTGCGCTTGAGGTAGCCGCACCAGGCAGCGTACATCTCGAGCACACCCGTCATGCCATTCTTGTCGAGCGCTTTCGCGTTTGTGGCGGTGTGTTTGATGTGCTCAACATCGTGGAAAGCCCAGCCCGTCTCTTCTGCGCACAGGATGTAACGACTCCAGAGTGTGCCCGACCAGGGGCAGTGGGACACGGCTCTCTTCAAGATGCCCAGCATGTCGGGCAGGTAGTGTTGGGCCTGGCCACTCTTGACGATGCCGTGCATGGTAGAGAGGTAGACGACGTAGTTGGTCCAAATTTCGTCCTCGAACGCAAACACGCCCGTCAGCGCCCTCGAATAGAGACCAACACAGAGCTGCGTGGCGAGCGTCGCGGTCTTGGGGGTCTTCCTGTTCTGTGCCATCTCCCAGTCCAAGTATTCTTTCATGATGGCCTTGTGAGCCTCCACGTCGCCCGACCTGGCGGCTCTGTTCAGCTTCAACTCGAAGGGTTCTCGTAGCTCGTATGCGTCTTTGGAGTCCTTGGCGAGGGCGGTGACCTCCTTGAATTCGGACTCGTAGGCCGCATTGTTGTACGTGCTGAGGAAGCTGGAGAACATCTGCGACGTGTTGTCCCAGGTGGCGTGGGGGACCTGGAGGCGGTCGCGGAAGAGGTGGGATATGCGCCTGACGCCAACTGGGGTACGGGTTCTGGCCAGTTGCTCTTGTTCTATCGACACCCAGCGGTTCCAGAACTCGTGACTGTCGTTCAATCGGTACTTGATGGACTCGTAGCCCTCGCTCCAGAGGCTCAAGGCGGCGTCGAAGGTAAAAAGCTCGCGGCCCAGCTGCTGCTCCTCCTCGGGCCAGCCCGCCTCGTTGCTCTGGCAGTCGGTGAAGAGGGACCAGAACCACTCGCAGTAGGCCAGCCAGATCTTCAAGCTGCCGGGCTCGGAGACGATGGCCTGCTTGAAGAGCTCGACCACCTTGACACGCGACTCAAGGTCGTATGCATGGCGGCTCTGCTCCTCGACGTAGGCAAGCCAGTTGTCTTCTCCAACGACGTTCTCCATAATGGACCGTTGTCGCGCTGCTAAATCGGTGGAACTCCGCGGTCGGCATGTGATGAGTCGCGAATAGTCCTCTTGGAAGAAGTGCCGGGGTGCAGAGGGGATCCGAATACAGATGCAGTCTGTCTGTCGCGGCGCTCTAGGCGGTCATTCAGGTCCTGCACTGCCCGCTCACTGCGTGCTGCACTTGAACGCGATGAAATGCGGGCCGGGCCTGGAGAAGTCTGATTAGGTTCGGAGGTATCTGCAACCGACGAGTCCCAAGTGGCCTCGGTTCGGACACGACGAAAATTAACAATAAGGAGCGACTCGAGAAAGGGCGGCCAAGAATGGAATGATCTGCGCGAAGGGCTAGTTTGTTGATCGGTTCGTCGTCAGACGTGGTTTGGTACGGAGCAGCCTCGTTCTGGAGGGATCGAGTGTCGTGTACGTTGTTCGGCAAGGCAGCAAAAAAAAAAGTTCTGGGCGCGACCCTTGTGTACTTGTCGCAAGAACTTTTTCAGCGCCACTAGATCATCAATACCCCACAGAAAGATGTCAACGAGGGAACCTTATTGCAGCACCTCTCGGCCCAAGCTGTCCGTGTGTTTCAGATTGGCTATGATTCGTGTCGGTATCGTTGACTCGCGCCGGGGAACGAGAAAGTTTGCGGAGAATTTGACAAAAGGGTGGAACACGCAGACAAATTCAAAAGATGCCCTGGCGCCGCTTGAACTGCGGCTGTTGCTCTGCTCTCGTCTTCGCGAGCTTCTCTAAATTCAGCTCCAGCTGCTGGTCGCAAACGCTGGCCGATACGGCGGCGAACCCCCCATGTTCCCCACTGAAAAGCCCCTGTCTTTTGGTGACCTCGGTGTACTCAACCACTGAGAAACGTCACTTGAGCAAAGTTTTGCAAGGATGCGAAGTAGGCAAGTACCTGGGCCGAAGCCGAGAAGGGGTCTTTCGCGTGTTCTAGGCCATAACAGAACCCGGCTTGGTCCAATCACCATCATCCTCCGGTGCCATGTCGTCATTGTCTCGCCAGAAGCCCTCGTGGCTGCATGTCTAACTGCTTTTTGGAGATTGCCATCCCATCTTCTGCCGTCTCGGGATTTGACTTCACACCGTGGTTGTGGTGCAGCAACTCCAACAACTCCGACTCGCCAAGGCGTGATGCGTCTAGCACTAACCTAGGTTCAGCACTCACAAAATTGCAGTTGACAATATGCTGATCTTGTCAGTGCTGGTGGTTTTTAATGTCTCCAAGAGCGAATGATAACGGTCTTATCGGGAAACCCCCGAGAGGCACACCATTAACGGGCGATCCCTTCGGGTCATGACTACCACACTGAAGCCTGACAGAAGATACACTGGGCTTTCCTTCGAAGACTAACGCTGTCCACGCTAGTAATCAGGTACTCGGTGTAATTGAAATCTTGCATCTTCTAGGCTGGCAGATGATGCATATGGGTCAAACCCAGGCCATCCTAAACTCGCTACAAGCTGGAAATGTTTGATCGCATCGTTAGGATACTTGATGATTATCGCGAAATTATTGGGGTTTGGATTTATTGTAGAGGTGTTGTCTATTTGGGACAACCCCCAACCATAATGATCGGGCACCATCAGGCATAAGATCTGCGGTAAACTTGTTCCCCGTGGAGCTACATAATTGGTTGCATCCCTAGTAGTAACCCTTCAAAAACAAGCCGCATATCTGCCCTTTAGTACTGGCGTTCAATTGGTCACTTAAACCTGCAAATCGCAGCGTCATATAATAAGGGCGTTGCGTATACATGAACGGTAACAGCTAGGGTCTAGCTATCATCTTGTCTACAGATCAGTTGAAGACTGTTGGTGCTTGTACTAGGTTATGGTAGAGGTTAAATATGTGCATACGTTATTTTTATTTTTTTATTTTTTTGCTTTCGCCATCTTCATGTTGAGAAGGCCTTCTCCAATGGCTCTGTTGGAATGACAGAAAATAGTGTCTAGCCAACAAGTTGTAGGAGGATCCATAACCCCTGTAACCATAGGGATTCGGTACACTGTGCAAAGACCAGTTGTAATAGTTACGTGAAACTGGTGGGTTGGGTGCCTGCTCTTTGACTTAAAGCTCCTTGGACGCAGTACTTGTTCCTGGTTTTATTTACTAGATTTAAAGTCTGTTCTGAGACAATCTACACTCATAAATGAGCCCGTTGATCCAGTTCCCAATAGCTTTCATAGTGAGATAGATGATTGGCGGCGGCATCCGTGCGTTATTTGCCATGATGCAGCCTTTTCGGTTTACCTCCGGCGAGGAGACGAGGTAACTAAATGACAGAAATTGTGTCCAGGAAAGAAATTCACGGTTGGTTGGTCCCTAACCGTGAGATACGGACAGGGCGCCGGGGACCGTTGGAAATTTTCGAAATAAGATGTGCTGTCCCTCAAGAATATACTGCCTAGAACCTGAGTCTATTGAAGGATTTACCTTGAATACTCCACGCCACGAGAACCAATAAAGGAATCAGCCTCAGGACCCCTCGACGAGAGTCACATTTCCATCAAGCTTCGCCAAAACCAAAATCCGGCCTTTTCATATAAATACCTGTCGCCCAGAACTGAGGCGGTGGGCATGCCTTTATCGCCTCGACTCCGCCTGTATGGCTCATAAAGCGCAACTCAACTGCCACATTGATCTTGTCACTCATCCACCTGCACAAAGCAATACGCACCACAACCAATCATCACCGGCCTTTTCGTCACGCCATAGCTGAACTACCGGCTTCTGAAGATCAGCTCTCATGGAAATCCAAGTCACAAACACAAATCGCCAGCCCAGAATGTCAGTGTTTCTGCATTTCCACCTAAGCTCCGCATAATGATTGCTCATCTCCCCCAGAGGAACCGGGTAACAAGCAATGGGCTACAATCCACTGCCTCCCGCCGTCCCGCGTCGCTCTTGTTTGCCGAAAGTCATATGGCCATTCACCAAGCAAGTACGAACGAATCCAATGCAGGCAATTCTACGTCTGGAATCATACCGAATACCCTGCCCAAGACTCCCGGTAATGCACTCGGCACACCTAGACGTTGATACTCTGTTCCTCCATAAAATGATAACAGGCGGACCCAGAAGATATCACCCATTGAGGTTTCTGGTGCCGAAGCTACGTTAATGTTACCGAATGTTACGATGTCGAGTTGTCTCAGCTTGCGCGAAGCTTGCGAACCTTCAAAATGAAGTCGAGATCCGTACTTGTCAGACAAGATTACACCAAAATCATCCCCATCACCTACTCAAATTCGCAATGAGGCACGAATTACCAGGGCCCAGTCATAGAGACTTGCTACGTGGCGATGTATCAAAGCATGTACGGACTGAAGTACAGTGAAGTCATGTGGACTAGTCGCTGTTGGACCAAATAACCGTCAAAAGACGAGGGACCCACTCGTATTAGAATGAGGTATTTTTGGTAGTTATAAGATCTGATAGTCGCCAAGGAGGGCCGGATTGCCTTCATGAGCAGGGCAGAAAACGGGAGAATCGAGGAGAATCCCGCAATGCTGAGGACATATACGCGTTTCGCCGAGTCGGATATACGCACGTCGGAAGCATACATCTCTCTGTCTAAAAACTCCTGCATCCGGGCGACGGGGGCAAATTTGATAAAGAGGAGTTTGGGGCTCAGTTACTGTGGTGCTGGGCAGAAGCTCTGGCTCATGTGGAATTCAGCTGCACGTATGATGAGCAGGGCAATATACGTAGTAGTCATTGGTCTCTAATTTGGAGCGGCCAATGCGGACCGACTGGTGCTGGGGCTCGCCGCCGATCATGAAAGGAGCAAGTGACCTGGGAAAGGAGGGGACGACAACAGGGGACAGCTCAGATATCGAGAGATGGCTACCTTGTGATTACATAATTTTCTGCCTATGTCTCAAGCCGCACAGAGGAGTTTATCAAGAAGACGAAATAGGTATTCCACGGTTGGTGCTGTGTGATGTGTGTACAAATTACTTAATTTTTTCCTCTTCAGGACTTGAAAAGACTAGTAAATACATCAGTATTTGAGCGATTATTCACGACTAAGAGTGGGCATTAATAATACGAATGTACTCGTCGAGACTAATAAAAAAGGCGGTTTGACCAATCGCTTGACCTGTGGGTCAATTATCTGTCAATGTTTGGATATACGCTTAGAAAGTATTCAACGAAACATCCAGTGCCAGAAGATGGAGAGGATAACGAGGATGAAGACTCCTCGGCCAATGGCGACGACGAGGCAGTGGTTGAGTGGCCAGTTCTTGAATAACGATGCCAGTAAGTTGTTGTGAAGCCAGCAACAGCTGGACATATTGCTGAGACACGGCCTTAAACGCCAATTTGTCAATTACACCCATCGTCGGCGGACAATCATACGTCTGAACATGACGTTATCCGATTCCGTCAATTTATCGCGGGATTATACTCGATTCGCGATGATGTATAAGATTACGCATGTGTGGACTAAATATTGATTATTTAATTATTGGTCTACGCCACGCAGATTCAATGGGGAGGGAGGTTACTAACAATTTGGCGCAAATTACTACCATTCGGAAATACCGGAACAATGATAAACAGACTTTATCAGTGGGTCTAACCGCCATTTTTAAGCTTGACGAGAAGTTCTATATAGATAGAGCTACTCGCATACACCGTGGAGTCAAAAAATAAAACAAAATTTAATCTAGCCTGCCGCAGATCGACACTGAGCGGATTCGAACCGCTGCTCCCGAAAGAACAAGATCACTTAATGAATAACTTCATTCGAGTCTTGCGCATTAGACCACTCTGCCACAGTGCCAATTAGCTGATTAATCACTGCGATTATACGCTACGTCATATCCGACAGAACCCGCCTGACAGCTCCGGATTCCTGTGCCCTAAGTGGATTCCGGGCACAGTGCAAACACCCTTGGAAATGCATTCTGCAGCAAAAGTTATGCGTTATAGTGCTCCTTTCGCAATTAATTTACTATTCAATTGGCAGACGTCTAACTCTCCCACAAGCAGCACTAGTGGTTTAGTGGTAAAATCCATCGTTGCCATTCAACCTCGATGGGCCCCGCGTTCGATTCGCGGCTAGTGCATAAATTCATCTTTTTGCTCTTCTGCCAGCTGCTATTTTAATTTTGTTACCATATCGTGTTAGGTTCAGTTATTGTTTTCTGCTCTGCTACTGCTAACTTCATATCATGTTAGGTCACCACCTTTTAAGAAATTCCTCATTCAAGTTCCAACTTTCGCTCCTTGACAAAACGTGGGCTTCGAGTTCCATGTGACACTGACTAACCTACATAGTGGACTTAAACAAAAACTTGACCAGAGAACAGTGACTTGGCATGTTATGGGTCTAAATAGCTGGAGACAACCTGTTACTCCGTTGTGACCACTGCATTTTTTCTGGAACTTGAATTACCATGGTGTCTGACCTAGATTAAGACTTCATTCGCTAGGACACACAATATAAATAGCGTAACTGAAGCAACAATCAGAAATTCAACATATTCCGCGCATCTATAAAACGCTCCAAATAGCGATCGTATGAAATGAAACTGTGCTTGGTTGTTTGCAGCGTAGCCACATCGCGCTATATAAGTCAAATGATTATTATTATTATTATTAAATACGCCGTAGGCTCGAAGCCCCCGGTACCTCTGCTAGTACTCCCGTATGTCAAACCGTGCCCTAATGGCTGGACTAAATACATACGCTGCGTCGTCGGTTCGCCCTATTGGCGACTGCGTTGCGTCCAGTACCATACTACGTTGGTTCTCAACCTACCAACAAAGTCCCCCCTGAGAAGATCGATGCTATCTGGGCCTTGAAGCTGTCCGACCCGTCCCTAGCAGCCACCTTACAATAGTCCCACTAACTACTGGTTCTCCTGTTGCCGTTGCGAGGTCTCTGCGAGAGTATAGTGGCCGTGGTGCGATGGCGGCCCGTAATCGTTCCCTCGGTCCTTCCAACAGCCCGCAAAAGAGGATTACGTGCTCTGCCGTCTCAGGGGCATCGCCACAGCGGCATAGCGGCGAGTACACGCCAAAAGCCCCTGTCTTGAATAAGAAGGCTGCTAGTCCTATTTTTTCCGTCCTGATCTGGCACAGCGTAGACGCCTCCAGTCGGTTCAGGCCGAAATACTTGCCCCCTTTCGGTATCTGCATCGAAGGGCCCTCCGGTTCCTCGGCGATAGCGCGTCGCTGGCGATCGTGATGCTCTGCTCCGGTGAGCCATCTCTTCCTCCAGTGGCCGAGGAGGGCAGCCGGGACCTCCTTTTCCTCACTCATCCACTCGGAGCCCCGGGCCTCCTTCTCCATAGTGTACCCTGCCGGTCGGAGTAGCTGCGACGCCTGCTTCCTCTTCGCCGGCCTATCCTGCCGGAGTATATGTGACGCTTTAGCGCTCGCGCTGCGAAGCAGATTTCTCTTCCCGCTAAGCCGTAGCCGTTCTTCAAACTTAGCAGCCCGGGCACAAAGATAGAGGTCTAGTGGCGGGATTGCTGCTTCTGCTTCCAGGTGGCGAACCGGCGTCGCTTTGTGGGCGCCACAGACTACCCGGAGGCACTCGTTCTGTATCCCCATCAGGCTCTTAGCTGGCCCTGCCGGTTCCTCACTTATAGTATGCCACGCAGTCGCCCCGAAGGCGATCGCGCTACGGATAACCACCGTATATAACAGCCTCGCCCGTATAAGATCGCAGCCCCACGACATATTGACTAGCTTTGTCAGGGCTAGCTTTTGAGTTGCCATTTTTGTTTTAACACGCTCAACATGGGCGTGCCAAGTCAAATGAATAATTACCACTGCAAGTTTGTATTAGCGAAGCTTACTGACTGTGAGCATCGAATATAGTTGGTGGAATGCTTTTCTTGTAGTGACTGACCAGTAAGCCTCGAATCATTATGAAGAGCTATATTAAATAAGAACACACAACGACCAGCTCGCTTCAATAGTCATAATTATAGAGGAAGAGCAGCTGGCTTGGCCATCACAAGTCTCCAACTAGCTGTTCGCGCGCATGTGCGCTGTTCGACTGATAGACAGAAAGTATTCCAAGTCTGGTACCAAATCTGCGTGCAGATTTATCCGACATCAGAAGCTTGACTTTGAAGACCGCCTAGCCCTGTGCTAGCTTCCAGGCTGTTCTTCTGGAATCAGTGTTAACTTTCAGTCTCCCAGTCCTGAGGACTTGGCACAGAATTGGGATTCCATCTTCTATTTCAAGTCGCCGCTCCTTAACAAAACGGGTATTGTAGCAAGTAACTGTTATCGACCGAAATTTAATATACACAGCTTGCGCTCTACACAGCCCAAGTCCTTTGCGGCGTGGCTGTGGTCTCCGAGCGTTGCTTCTTTTCTTGTGCGCCGTAGCGTGCATAGCGTATCGCCAGTAAAACACATTTATAGGTACTCCGGGCTGCTACACCAAGTGCACTATTTATCCTAAAATAAAAATAATATTAAATACGCCGTAGGTGTTAACCCTCGGTACCTCTACAAGTACTCCCTTAAGGGGCTATAGATGATATAGCGGGCCCTTAAGCCGCGTCGGGCGGTTATACAGGTAAACTTGTAGCCAAATGACTACTAAACCTCCTGTCCCTCCCTAAGTCTGTGCTACAACCCCTGCCTGAACTACCGATAAGTGTGGTAATGTGGCACTTAAATTCGTCCTCAGGGGTGGGATGCTGCTGATGTGCAGAAGATGCTCGACTATTTTTTTGTCGCGACAAGTCGTAGTATCTGCTAATTGGGGTTCTCGTCGAGCGTATACATCTCAACCATACGCTCAAGTGGATAGACCGTAACGTGGTCAGACGCTCGCAAGAATCGCGGCGAGAGGGCGTGCTGCGCGCCTTCTATCGTGAGGGGACGGGTTCGCCGACGAGCGTTATCGGAAAGGCGAGGTCCGATAAGGGGTCGGATTAACGATTCGAATTCTGGACCGGCTGTCGAGTTATATTCCGCCGACGTAGTGCTTGACGGTCGACTGGCTAGGATGCTCGTAATCCTAAACTGCACCAATCTCCCTATTATCGCTAGGTAGGCGAAGTCAACAAGGTGGGCAGCGCGCCGTAAGGGTTGACTAAACCCCCTTGTGTGTCAGCTGCGGGATTCGAACCCGCGACTCGTCACCGACCCAAGTGGGCGAGGCTCAAATCGGGACTTATCTACCAGCGAAGTGACCAACTACACCAGCCGACATCCTAAAATAGCTTCCTAGGGACAGATGCACAACATGCAGCTGCAAGCACCGCCCGGCCCCACAATTGTCAGCCGCCGAGGGTGTTTCTCTCTACTCACGGTAAACACCAGACTCATGATACACATGCACGGTGCACCGCATAGTCCACCAGGTCGTGGAAAGCGAAGGATCCGAGCGTGTACCACGCAGTTTGTCAACCTGCAGGGAGCGAAGGATGCGATTGTGCACCGCGGTGATGACGTAGATATTCACAACTTCGCCAACACGTATGGAAATTTACTTCGGGATCTTGTATGATCTTTCAGCATTGCCCAAGATAAGCAAGCCGGTTTCAACATCAACGATGGCTCTCCTTCACGATGGATTCCCCGTGCCGTATCAAACGCAAGCCTTTGCCAAACGACACTTCTAGGAACTCAAGCATGAACACGTCAACTCCGCTCCCATATGATTCAGATCATTCATCGCAAACCCTGATTTCCGAGAACTTGTCTATGCTGACCCATGATGGGGTAACGACCCCTGCATTGATGCCCGTCTATATGAATGAGTTTCAAGGCTGCGAAAAGCAACACCCTGACAGGCCGACATCCAAGTTCAAGATCCGCGGAGGCGGGTGGGGTCTCGAGATTGCTGGACTCCTGACGACCATACTATCATTCATCGCTCTCGTTATCCTCGTACGTAAGGTCGACGGCCAGCTCCTCTCGTCATGGAAGTTCTTCCTTCCCGTGAATACGGTCGTTTCCGTCCTGTCGATTTCCATAAAGACGCCGTTAGCATTTGTGGTAGGCGCCTGTATAGGCCAGAATAAATGGTCCTGGTTCAGCAAGCGGCCAGGCCCACTCTCGGGATTCGTCGCCTTTGATGAGGCGAGCCGTGGACCGCTGGGTTGTCTTACTTTGCTCTGGTGGCTCAAATCATGGTGAACAGTCTTCTTTTAGTAGAGCTAAACATAATGATAACTTACCATCTTAGTCACTGGGCATCCTTGGGCGCATGGGTCACCCTCACACTACTCGCGGTTGATCCTTTCCTTCAGGCGGTCATCATGTACGAAGGACAACTAGATTCCGTCTCCGTCTCCGCCGCCGAAACTGGCATCTCTCGTGCCTCCAAACTGGACTTTGGGGACTGGTACTACGAGATCATGAAACGTGTGGAATACAGAGGCATCTTTGGCGTCATGGGTATATGTGAGATGTATCCTGACGCGGGCGTGTCCGCAACGACACTCATGGGCTTCGTCAACTCGTCCACTGCCAGCCCTACCCAACCACCCCTGTTTACATGCCGCACAGGCAATTGCACGTTTCCACTTTACTCCTCGGTGGGAATGTGTAGCCGATGCGCTGACGTGTCGGAGCATGTGGTGAAGGAAAGCAGGTTCGGACTGCCGGACGAGAATCCCTTTACCCGAGCGCACGGGTCCGATGCCGTACAAAGCATGAACTATACCAACTACGTTTTGCCATACAACTCAGGCCGTCGGCTACTTCTCCAGCGGAACAACGGGTTCAGCAACCTATCGAGATATTCGGGGAGCCGCATACCCCGTGTAGATGTTACTTCGGTCTATTATCCGCAGCAGACCTACTCTTTCCAGGACTCTAGCACTCTCCTAGCTTCTTTTGGTATAGTCAGCGTCGACCAGTCGTACTGGAACAATCTGACCCCCTGGGAAGACACCAATATCTACGCCACCGAGTGTGTACTCGAATTCTGCGCGCAGGTATTTCAAGCTACGGTGCAAGATGGTATACTACAAGAAATAGCAATACCCAGCGCCACATTTAATCGAGTTCCAAATTCGTTCCAGCCGACAGCCTGGGAAACAAAGGAAATTATGAAGGGGATCGAGACCGACTTCGGCAATTCCCTCGGCATGTACGACCAAAAGTCCTACGGAGTCCTGCCGGGAGTCGTCCTATCACGAAGCGACCTCCAACTCAGAATGAACGGCGATGCAAAGCTGCCGATGGGCGATAACACGGTCCAAACAGTCTTCAACATTACCCAGAAGTCCATCCACACCATCTCATACTTCCTCGCCCAAAACACCACCCTCGACTCCATCGTCTACTCCCTTTCCGACTCAACCGACTTCCTAACCACCTTCCAGACCGCCGCGCGTCTGCTTTCCAACCGCTTCCGCGAGCTCGACGACAATAAAAACAACCGAAGCAGCACCAGTAGTAATCTCGTTACCGGCACCGCAGAGCAGTGGGTGACCTACATCCGGGTGTGCTGGGTCTTCTTCATCGGCCCCACCCTGGTGTTGCTGGCGGGGTTCGTGTTTGTCCTCGGCGCGTTGTACGATTCCCACAGCCAGAGGTTAGAGAAGATGAATTCCGATGCGCTGGCTATGCTGATGCACGGCGTGGATGGCGAGACGAGGGCGAGGTTGAGGGAGGAGAAGAGAGAGGGGAGGAGGGCGGATCGAATTTGGGTGCGGCTGGAGGATGAAAAGAGTGGGTTGAGTTTGAGGTCACAGGAGTAAGGAGGATAGGGGCTTGGATTGATTATGAGCACTGGAGGTATGGATTACAGTAGGGATAATGATGGTGGGAACATCCGGGGATCTTCGGTAATGATCATTATTGGAGCGACTCTGCTCAAATCAATATTGGACCAACCCTTCAAATGACTCCAGCCCCCCGACTCTGAGCTTCTAACATTTACAGCAACTCTAGAACCAAATGATGAATCAATTCTAAAGCTTAAAAGTACCCGGGTGCTTGGTTTCGGTTGTTCTGGGCGGCAGCAAATACAATGCGTAAGATCTCATAAGACCTGATTTTAGCCAGCAATTATGACCAGTGACGAGCAGCACCCCAGACGAAAACCACAGTATACGATCTTCTCCCGTTTGATAGCCTTTTGTATTCCCATCTCATAGGGAGTGACATACAATATCCTATTTGTTCTCAATGGGTTGTTCACAGGCTAATAGTTCCAATTGAGCCAGAGTCATGGGGCGGAGGAACCTCCTTCAAGGCTTGTCGAGGCAAGGGGATATATGTGACGAGTTGGGCCCTTCTGGAGACAGAACAGAACTTGCAATAGTGCAAGATAATTAGATAGCACAATAGAACTGAATTCAAACAGTTATAGAGGTAGTGCACGTCTCGTGACTTAACTCTTGACGAAGTGTTCATTCCCCTCAGCGACGACAGCACTGAATTTCTCAACTCCATGACGTCCATCCTAGTCTTTCTCCTCACAAATGCCATCACTCCATGTGTCACCGGACACAACGCCTGGCAATGAAACACTCATGTAAAACCCCCCCCTGCCCCCGCCCATCAAAACTCACAATCCAGGTTTTCGTTCTTGTGCATCCACAGTGCCACCTAAGCAAGCCATGAAATCGCCAGATATATGACGTTTCTACACAACACTAGCCTATCTATCAGCCATGCACCCCCTCATCTCTCCGTACCTTGCATTAGCTTGCCTAGAACACTGCGTGCGTGAACAGTCGGTCAGGTTGCACTCAATACCACCTCAACCATGCACCTCATGCATACCTGACTAGGAGGATCAAAAGGAGCGTAGAACCAGACTCTCGGTGGTTTGGAGGCTAGAAAACCAAGGAATGTGATTTCAATACCACCAATCCCGCCTGCCACACTCGCTCAACATCACCAGCAGAGGCACAACACAATTTCCAGAAACGGCTATTAGGATGAACATGAGCGGCTGTACCTCTCTCCGAATGCTGACGAGTAGCTCCAGGGCGGCTCCAGTGATGATGTGATGTAATCAAAATCAGCTCATTCGGCCCCAATCTGTAATTTATGACGGCAGTAGGATCTGAAAGTACGGGAGATTGGGAGTTATTTCAGGAAGCATGGTATCATTTATACTGATTAAGGTGGTTGGTTGTAACGGTAGTATACAGAGTGACGTTTCATATCGATCTTCGGGACCGAACCCGCAGCTGTATCGACCATTGAGGGCGGAAATGGGAAAACCAGACTTCGCACTTCGCACCTCGGTATTCCCAATGCTCATACATATGAATTGTTCACCATAAGGGATGGATGGATGCGAATGGCATATTGCCCTCAGTTTCGACATGCGGAGGGATCTGTCAATTAAACCATCACAAGAGCATCACCAGCAGGTCTGCGCCAAACAGTCAATCATCATCATGATGGCATCACGGGAATTTACCAAACAGGTTCCATGTATCCTCTTTGTGCTGCATTTATTCGGCTCTATATCAGCTGGAGAGAGTGCGATCAGTCCTCATGACCCATCTACAACATCCCAATAAAATCATTACGTCATGAAATCAAACACGGCATCCCATGTGGGGGTATTTCTCTTTTCGCTCCTTCCATATGCTGCCTCCAGGTGGTCGTTACATTCACAAAGGTCCTACCTGCTCTGCGAACGACCACCAATGCAATAATGTCAACGCTTGCGGATGTGTTCCATGACACTTCCGTAAGGCTCAAATCCCCTAACTCCGGCCGTAAGAACTGCACAGGCCCGTCATGATGTAGATGCCAGAGGATGCAGGTGAGAATACAACGCCCTAACGCCTCAGATCATTGGTCCGGTCTCCGTTCGCGGCTGCGTTCTGGGCACCATATCTTCATATCGGCGAGCTCGGAGGTCGACGTCGCCGTCTCGCGAAGGTGGAGAAGGAGTGTATGTTGACTTTGGCGAATGTTGCGATGATGAATTGGACGATGGGCTGTACGGCACCGCGGGGAAGTCGTGGAAATTCGGGTTGCCTCGCTCAATGTCGTCTGCAGTGACACGACCAGAACCCGGGAGAGGGTTGGAAATCTGCAGCGTAGCTGAGCCACGAGGTGGGCGAGGCGGGCTGATATTTTGCTTCTTTTGCTGGTCGGTGTGCTTCTTGCGCTTCCACAGCATGCAACAAGCGAGGATGGCTGCGACCACAACGGCAGCACCAACACCGGCTCCGATGCCTGCCTTTGCTGCAGTCGTGAGTCCACCGACGGAGGAAGCCTCTGCAGTGTCTGCACCAGCGGCGGCGGTGCTAGACGCGCTTGATGAGCCCGAGGACGCTGTACCACTGGTAGAAGGGGAAGATGATGCCTACACGAGATCGTTAGCTGTGGTGTCTGGGGTGGGATTGGTATTTTTAGAACTCACGTCGCTTGTCTGACGCGCACCCGAGGCCTGGGCATCTACCGTGGTACTGGTCGGGGATACCGTTGTGGTACCCTTGTCCGATTGGGCCGATGTAGGGGATGATTCAGGGCTCGTAAAACCTGCGGCCGTTTCGCCAGGCTGAGTGGTTGTGCTAGGTGAGGTGACAGGTGAGGTGTCAGGTGAGGTGGTAGGTGAGGTGGTGGTCACAGGCGATGCAGCGGCCGGTGAAGTGGGCTTTGCGGTTGCCGGAGCAGTGGTGGAGATCGCTGCATCAAGTCAGTAATCGATTGCGAAGTGGCTGCGCGACGTGGGGCGCCATTGCAGAATTGGACTTACAGGTGATAGGCCTGCAGGTATCATTGTTGAACGCTAACGAGGCGCCAACCTGAGCCGTCAGCTCGTCTCCGGACAGATTGCAGGCTTGCGTAATGCAATCCCTGATGCCATACTCGACGTCAGGTTGAGCGCGGCATATGCAGTTCATATCCTGCGGAGCACAGTTCAAAGCGACCGGGTTGGCATATAGATTTATCACGCATCCTTTCTGTATTCGAGATGCAGGTGTCAGTCAAAGCGCTATGCAGGTGGAGAGGATGGCAGTCAATTGACTACTGGAAAGGGGAGATAGATGGCGCATTGGACCAATCGCTAGTCGTTGTCTGGGCCAAGAAGATGGGTTCATTGGAGTTCGGGTGACTTACAGCGCATGCGCCAGGTTCGACCGCATTGGCAGAGGCCAGAAGGAGGGCGCCCACGAGAAGGGCAATGTGGAACACCATGTTGGGGCAGCGAATCCAATGGATGCAACTTGGAATTCGGAAGAGTAATTGATCTGGCGATTGGATGATACGAGCTTGTTTTCGAGGTCGCGAGATTGTTGCCGAGTGACGTCCAGAAATGCTGATGGCGGCAATTCGAGGAAAGGCAAGACGTGAAGAGAAGGAAAATCGAAGGGGTATCTCGAAATGATGGTCTGCAACCGAATAGAAATGAATGTACAAGAACGACGACGACAAGAAAAAAAAGTGCTGAGTAGGATGAAAATGAATTAAAGTCCCACAAAGCGGCACATGGTCGTCAGTCAATCCAGTTGCTGTGTTGGGTGTGATGTCAAGTCCGTTGGTGTTGGTGGTGACAGCAGGTGGGCTGCTGCGATTGAAGGCTCCGATCTTCCCGAGAGTGTGCTGGAGAAAAATGGTGACCAAGGCCAAGGCCAAGTTTGTCAAACACCAGACGAGTACGCGAGGTCGAGATTTGGCAATCGCACAAGCGCAGATGAAAGAGCCCGGCCGTCGACTTCGTGGTTCTTGTCGGTCGTGATAGCGAGAGATCCAAATCGATGTGCACCTCCAAAAAGAATATCAGGCCACGACGGGTATCGGTCCAAGACGATGAAACTGGAGTGGGGAAAAGAACGAAAAATATTCACAGAGAAGGGAAGCGACGACCACGATGCTTAAAAGAAAGTAAACAAGGGTTGCCTGTGGCAAAAGAGAGCATGGGGGAGTGAAGTGAACGTGAAGACGAAGTTGTACTGCAGGAAGGAGCAAACTGGGGCTCTCGTGTAAGTCGGGAAAGAGGGCGCACCGCATACGTATAAAACGGAGGGATCCACAAGAGTCCCGAGGGGGTTCGTAGGCTGGTAGGGAAGTTGGTTGGTGGGGACTGTCTAACTCTCTTTCGGGCCTGAGCTGGGCTTGGCTAGATGTTCAGCGTGATGGCTAGCATCAACATCCAGGATGCCCATGAAGCCGTCTTAACTGGAAAGCCACGATGATATGTTGGGTGGCCTGGTCGGTCGCTGTGGCATCTGCAGCGGTTTGTCCGTCGGGCTAAACCTCTACCTCGTATCTACATGCATGATCTTGGGATTGACTGACGACAAAACTCGACGTCACACAAGAGCCAGGGCTAGGACATGCCCCTGTTCAACTTGGGGACACAATCATTATGTGAGATCTATTGTAGCCAACTCTGCAGCCTGGAAGTTTGTGAACCGCCAATCAAGAAGCCACGCTGCTCACTAGGAACCGTGATCACCTCTTCCCTCCGCTGCAGCCTTTTCATCATTGCTGGCATGCGATAATATGGTGGGTGACAAGGCTGCTGCTAGCTGACGATGCAATATCCTCCATCCCTCCAGAAGCCCTCAATTCCAGACTGTCAGAGCAAGTCACATCAATGCACATCTTGGTACTATGGCGGGCCTAGTCTATATGTCAACCTGCGACCGTGTAACACGGGCTTGGGGTCTCCCGGTCTCCTCTTTCCTCGACAACACCCCAAACACGTCCAATTATGATCCAGCATTTTTCCATATTGATTGCAGCAGAAGAATATGATCTGGACTAACGGTGGCAGAGCAACATAAATTTGGACTGCGTCATCGGACGAATTGCAGAATTAAGACATCAGAAATACCTGTTGGAATGCCTGGCCCCCAATGGATGACAGAGCTGACCGACTGACTGACTGACCATGCACAAGATTTTGGAGGCTGACGATGCGGGTATCGCAATTCCGCAGCAGCGGCCCGTCGTTGCAGTCAGGCCAACAGGTCCATGGAGTAGTGTTGGTTGTTTGTTCTCCAACAAACCCTCTGGTTTGAAGTGCTTGCACACAATGCGCAGGGTTACGATTCACAAATGCCCCTCAATTTTTTTTTCGTCACCACGAACGCCAAAAATGGAAGATCGTCACAGGGGGGCCAGCAGGTACAAGTTGAGCCGCTTTCTTCCATAGCGACCTTGATCGTCACTAGTAGCTTGAGTCAAACCAGGTTACTTTGAACTACTTGCCCGACGGCGGGAATATCCATTATTAGACTCGTAAATGATGAGCGAGTCCGGTTTGACAAACCAAACCATCAATTCTAGGAATGGGAACCTATGGGAACCTAGGCCAAGATGGGACGAAGACGGGTTCCTGTTCCAACTGCATGCCCGTTATTCATGCACTTGGTCCAACGCCCACTGACGTCGCTAGCAAAAGTGGGAATCGCAGTGGATTGCGCGTCGAATACAGCGATTTCCATCGTGCTCATTCAATTACAGCTAGTTGTCCGCCAATTACTCAAGTCATTGCCCCTCTCCACCTCTGCTATTGAAACCCAGTGAGCTGATGCCGGCCGAGCGCTTCCAGCATCTCAACTGGCTCGTCAGAATGCAACACTGAGAAGTCCATCTCCTCGCAACAGCCCAGCTTGCCCGATTTATTGGATGCGGCTGCGGTAGCGGTAAGGCGATCAGTGCTCGTTTGACACTGGTTTGTCCCCTAAGACGATTACAGGAACGTGTTGTCGCTAGCCCTAAGCAGCGCGCTGTCGAAATCTGCTCCGACGACGACGGGAACCTTAAATTGACAGGAGTGCGTTAGGTTAAATGTTTAGCTTTACATTCCATGAGCCGCAATAGCGCGTGAAGGAAATGCGCATAGTTTCATCTCTACGGCTTACGCAATTGGTGCACTCTCGTCCAATTGATGAGATGACAGGCAGCACACAAGCAAGTTGGACAACATGCGCACGACGTCAGCACCGCACCTGAAATCTCGCAAGCACCCGATATCACAACCCAGGGCCTTGGGTCCTCATCTGTCGGCCGGATATCAAGGACTCCTTCCGCCTATGTCGGATTGATATCTTGTCAAACCGTGAGGCATCATTGCTTCTCTCGCGACTGCCACCCATCTCGCACGTTTCACGCCAATTGGCCGAAACAGGACAATGAAAGCCAAATTCGCCAAATCTGAGATGGCTCTTCACTATCTGCACCAGCGTCTCCGTAATAGCTAACGCCGTCCCTGCGTTTGAAGATCTCCTGCCGCTCTTCCGACGGCGAATGTGGCCCGAGTTCGCCGTTCTGAAGAACCTCAGCGTGGGCGTGATCTGCTCACTAGCAGCAAACATCTGGCGCCTCTCAGCAGAGATCATCCGGGGACCTCATTAGCCGGAAGACGGCCACGCCTCACGCTGGAAAATGTGTTCGCGGTACGTCACGTAACGCGATATGACATTGCAGCACGTGAAGTGACACTTGAAGAACTCCCAAGTTGTGATTTCATTTCTCCTTCCTGTAGGAAGCCGCGTGACGCGTCTCAAAGTCGGTTTGCTCCAACATCGCACTTTGGCGGCTCCCGACACGAGAAGATGATTGACAGGGTCAACATCTACCTTCACAGCAGATCTCGCCGGAGAGTTGTCTGATCGGATCGCCTGACTCAGGGCGTCGTCACCTCGACGCTGGGGCGACAGGGCAGTTTGACTGCGCCCCATTTCAGCGTCCCTGAGAGTTCATGCATTATCACGGGGTGAAGACAGGCCTACCATAATACAAGTGAATCGAAATACTTCCAGCGAGGACCCTGTTGACTCCTGCACTTCAACGCCGCCACTCCACACTTTCTTGATTCGTCGTGAAGCCTCCATATCTTCTGTGGGGTCACCCTCGATTAGAAACAGATCCGCTCGCAAACCAGCAGCAATGACGCCTCGGTCAATGAGCCCGAAGTGCTTGGCAGGGAGGGATGTCGCGGCTGGCAAAGCCACGATCGCTGACAAACCAGCCTACAGGAGGTGTTCAAATTCGCGATGCAACCTGTCAATGGACACTGCCAACCCCGGGGACGAGTTGCCACCCTGGCATTCTCGAGCTTCGCAACCGGCTGCAGGCCCTTTTCTGACGCCTATACTATCATGGTCGTGTCGGCACCACGATGGTGTTTTGCTGGGCAACTCGAGTGGCGACCTAGTCGTCGATTACACGGTCCATGCAAGCGTACGTGACGACGTCGATGGAGGCATCCAACGCCCGCTGGTGTGCAGCGAAGTGGGCAGATGGGCGATGCTCAGCTTGCCGCAAACTTGTTGAGCATGATCTGGCTGAACCCGGCCTCATCGGCGCTAATCTCGATGTTGTCCCCCCGCCCCCCCGCCCCCTCCGCGATCAGAACTTGCACGAACTCAGCCGCGTCATCTTTATCTTCAACGGGTGGGGTCGGCAATTCCGTGCTGTTGAACATATTATCATGCCTGGACCCTCGCACGCACGGCGAGGCTGGATCCAAGGTATTGCGCTGAGTTCTTGCGGGAGCGGAACGGCTGTATAGAGCTGCATGAAGCCATACCTAGCACCGCTGCGATGCTGTGACTGCCGTACAGGTCTAGCTCCTCGGACTGCGACCTGTGGACATGGCAGTCGATGAGGCTGGGCAGGAGAGTGCAGCCCGTGCCATCGATGACAGCTGACTCGGGGTCTTTGATGAGCGTCCCGTCAAAGATAAGTTCGTTTCGAAACGCAATATCCGGCATTGTTTCTCGTTAGATGCCGGTTTCGGTTGGTTGCTGGTGTTGGTTGGTTTGATTTGAGGTGAGATGAGACAATCGGCCAAGGTGTCTTGCGAGGCCCATACATCCTGAATGAGCTTTCTTGACACTGTTTCGGTGCTTCTTATATGCCGCTGGCATCTTTGCGCTGTCAAATCCTGACGTGCCATCTTCCTCCCCAATTTTCCGACTGTCCTCGCCCGGAATATGGCCCTCGGCCCCGAGTGGGGCCGTAGCTGTCAATGAGTCTGCAGGCCGGCGAGACGCGACGGCTTTTCGCACAGTATTGCCGTCGCAGCAAACAGCATGTCGGCATTTGTGTTGCTGACAATTCTCTCACAGCGACAGTATTGCGAGGGTACTGCCACTTTTACTGTGGGTGGAGACTAGCTACGGCTCGGCACTGACTTGATGATTCATGGCAGAAGCGTTCGAATGGTTGCGGTGATCTTCCCATCCGCATAGCTAGACAGACTCGCCTATCAGGTACAGCACGCAAGGAGTTTGAAAGTTAGGATTGCTCACCGCATTTGGCGGTCCTTGCAATCATGCCAAATGGTCTGATCCATTATGAGGTTACTTGATAGCGACATCTAGCTCACTGCCCAGCAGACGTGATCGAAGTCTGAAGAGTCTCCTGTACACTATTCTACACACCCTTGCCCCCCACGCTCCACCCCATAATCATTATGAAGCCCTCCTCCGCGTATTCCCATCCCCCTTCCCCGCCTTAGGTCTTTCATTCAGCGCCCCTGACGCCCAAGGCAACATCGCTGCGTAATTCCGACTAAACTCAGAGTGCCTCCTGATCTCGTCCTCCTCCTCTGGACTAGCCGGCCTTGGCGCCCAGTACGGACACCCATCGTCCAGACTCCCTGCAATGGGTGCGCTCGGCACATTCATGTGCGCTGCTGAGTCAACCAGGACTATCTCGCGGGCCTCGGCATGCAGATCTGGGACGGTGGTTACCCCGAAGAGGAGCTGCATGTTACCGAGCGTATCTTGGCCGGTTACTATGAGGCGGCGGAGGGGGTAGCTGGGGTTCGTTGTTAGTATTTGTGTATGTGTTACTGGGTGCTGGGCCAGGCAAATGCGGTGCGAATGAGAGGACTTACAGAAGACTGCTTTCGAGACCACCGGGACTGCCTTGGGGGAGATTCAGATTCAGACTCTCTGCTAGGGCGCGGGCTTCTTCGTTGAGGTGCGCTTCGTAGACCCAGTGGTGCTGAGCTTGGACGGTTATGCTGGGACGGCGGGGCATTTTCTCTTACACGATGAAGATGAAGGAACTGCCTGCAAAATTTCTACAACCTTGTCGAGACGTACAAATATGGGGAAAAAAACAAACAGGACAATACAAGACGAAGAGAATATATGTGCGCCGCATAGCCGTCTGTGGTTGCCAAACCAGAGCCACGCCATCCCGTCGCTGAGTTGCACCAGAAGTCGATGTTGGTTGTCATTACGCCGGATTTACTTAATGGACGCAGCGTTGGATATGTCCTTACTTAATGGGATGCACACCGCCGCGGAGAGCCCTGAACGTGGGGGGTTTCTCTGGGGTAATTAGCGTGGTTGCGGCTCACGGGTGATGTGCCGGGTACCTAAATAATCGGGGGCTAGTAGATCCACGTGATCTGGCGCCAACTGGGGTGTAGTGGTGTTATTGGACCTACAACATCGCATTATCTTGAAGTGGACTATCCGGCCCGCCAAAATCGTCCAGAGAGGGGATTTGGCCAGAAGGGTCTCAAGTGCTTGGAGTCATGCAAGTCAACACATCAGAAGAGAACGAGGTGGGCCCAATTTTCGGGTGATGTTCGTCATGCCACGTACCAAGAGTTGGTGACAATTGCCAAGGATTCAGCTCACATGGTCCAACAGGTATCACCCCATAATCCGCATGCCAAGGCTGTACTCTCGGGACTCAGGACGTGAGTTTGAGCAGAGCGACGTCATGTCGGCAAAGTCCAGTACACGCGTTATGCATTCGGGTATAGGGGGAATCCATTCGCATAAAGATTCCGTTCGCAGAATAATGCTCACACTGACGGCTTACGAAGAGTAGAACTACAACAGCACCGCATGGTTGGAAAGTAAGAATCACTGACGTCTCATTCGTACAATGGCCTTGCCGCGGTGAATTTTACGTGCGCAACTCCATCTTAGAACCACAGTATCACAGAGTCAAGCTGGTAAAATTGAGTCAACTACCCATGAGCTAATAGTGGCATCGCATCGCATTATTTGTCACAAAGAATGATCAACATGACCGCGTCCACATTTCCAGCTCACAACATTATAGGAAATTGGTCGGGATCTCACATACCCATACCCATACCGATACCCATACCAGATGGGAGGTCATCCAAAGTCACCGAGCCAATGTCAATAGGGAGGACTATCTCATATTAGCCAGGACCACGGGACATGCGGTCATAATGAAGTCCGACTTACTGTTAGGCATCTTCCCACAAACCCCGGTCAATTTCTCGTCCTTCCTTTGCTCATCCAATCTGGTCTGCGCCTTGGCAGCTCCATCTTTGAACTGTTGCACTTGAGTCGCATTATTAGCGAAGTGCGCGTTGAGCGCCGCATCATCACTAGCCAGCTTGACAAACTGCGTCATTATCTTCTGGCCAATGCAGCGCACGTCAACAGTCGAGTCACAGAACCCAGATTCGGTAGCGTTGGCTTTGACGGCTTTGGCTTTGTCGTCCAAGGCAGCTGAGAGTTTCTTGAGCATGTCGACATTCTGCGGGTTAGATTTCGTCATGGCGTCTACGGCAGTTTGGTTGGCGAGGATGTTGTTGAGTTGGGTGACGGCTTGAGATTCGAGACAATCGGTGACTTCGTTGTCAGTGGCAATAGTAGGTTGGCAGTTGTCGACAGTAGCCTAAAAAGTGACGATTAGTTGGTGATACGTCTTACCACTGGTCTGAATCCAGGGGTCTCGTGCGGATGAACACGCACAGCGAAAAGATCGGCTGGGAAACAATGATATTAGATAGAATTGTGCTGACCTTGTTCGCCTTGATAGGATCCATCTGGGCATTGAGTATGCTCACGAGAGCCTGGGACATCTGCGCCTTGCTGGGATCCCCGCCCGTCAAGGCGTCCACGACTTTGGGATTGTTGGCGAGGTCAATGATGTTGGTGAAAAGGGAGAGCTGATGGCATTGGCCCTGGGGTGAATTATCCAGCTTCTTCATCAGTATGCCAAAAAGGCCCACCGCGCCCATCTGGGCGAAGGCACCGGTGGTGAGGGTTACGAGAACAAAGAGCGACCTCATTTTGGATTAGGATTAATACGATGAGGATGAAACGGTGGCTGATGGTGGGTACGTAAAGGTGGATGAGCGACGACTGAAGAAAGCGATGCAAGACCAAGCTTGACTGTGAAGCGGAAACTTGAGTGTGAACCTGAGCATTGACGGTCTCCAAAGAAGCGAAGTTATATGGCCACGTCTGTAGATCTTATAGAAGCCATCACTGAGATCTGTTCTATCAAATATGATTACCGTGCCATACCAACAATGGCTATGTATATGTGCGGATTTGTTTGTCCTAATGTTTGCCCATGTTCGGAGTGGTCGGTTTGATCGGACGAAGTGCTATTAGCTCGAGATGCGTTTCAAGGGCTATAGAGTTGAATGAAACGACACAGAAGTTGCCGCATCTAGAAGTCCAACGTTTATGCACGTACCATTTGGAGCTTAAGAGGCATGGACCTATCTTCACCGCGATCCAACAAACTTTGGAGGGGTTCCGAGTTAGTCATTGACCACTAGCATCGACGAGTGAGAGCAAGTTAGATCTCGGGGAAGAAATACCGGAGGCACTGCTCTGTGGTCTAGAATTTAAATTCAAAAAGAGATAGCAGATCATCCAACCTGCTGTCTGTGCTGGACATGGGAGCATGTAGTGAGCAACAATAACCGACACACCCCTTATAACTCCACATCTGATCTTTGCTGAATGCTGCTGTGAAACAACAGACATCGGGAGATCTGACTCGAAGCCTCCTTCGGTGATTATTATCATTTCACATCGTTATCATTAATACGAATCTATGCGGATGGACTCAGATTGCTGCAAATCTTGGCATCACCCACCGTGGCTCGTTCATTCCTGAATTTGTCACACTACGAATATGCCGCCAATATGTTCAAACGAACAAATCTACTGCCAGTTTCAATGCCCCTTCCTTTCGCATTGGAGGTGGGCCAGGTTGAATAACACAGAGCCAAGACTGGTGGCCCATCAGAAATATCGAATATAATCCGCTCTAACAGGCACGCCCGGATCATGGGACTAATTTAGTGCGAAGACATAATCCTTCTGACCGACCCGAAAATTAATCCCCAGAGGCGTAGGCTTCAATAGATCCTTGGCACAAGTGAGGATGCCGCCGCTGACACCACCCCAGAAGTTGTCGCTAGCCTTAAATTTAGGAATCCCGGTTGGGGTGTCGTCAAAGGTATGTTATACGTCGGCCACATTTTCTATGTCTTCAGGGGGAGGTTCTTGGTGCAGGACTGTGTCATATCTAATGGACCAAAGGATTGTTGACGAAATGTATTGGCCCAAGATTCTGAAATATTGTCGATGAGACCGGCAAGCGCGAAGTCAAAGTTATTGTATTGAAATTGCTGTCGGAATGGGTTGATGGGAACCTGGTCGTTGAGGAACTTCATGCTATACTCGTGGGCGATGACGTTATTGTCACTGCCGAGACAGAAGTCGCCAAGTGATCAAACTCGGAAGAACTTCCACAACAGGGAGATTCCAGTTGATATTGTTTGTATCGTAAAAAAAGTAGCGAGGGGCAATGCTGGACAATGCTGCGGAAAGGTTGGTTGGTGAACAACTGGGCAAAATGGGTTGCTCTGACACACAGGAGGCTTCGCAGCCACATCTCGATAGCCGAAGTTGGCACATCAAGACAACCCGGCCTACCCAGCGATCTGGAGCAGTTCTTCAATCTTGGAATTCAGTGCAGGAAGTTGGTCGGCCAAAAGTTTAGGCGACGGGCGGGCTGCTTGCTAAGCAGAGCGAAAGCGTCAGCCGGATAACAATGGGACTCGAGACAACAAACCTAACCCCATAAGCCTCCGCATCTACTCAGCCATAATGAATCGACTGCTGCGGATCCCAAGTGCGAGAGGCAGACGGCACTGAGATTTGATGACGGACGTGACGAGAAACGCGGGGATCAAGCAAGGGAATGCTGGTTAGATCGGCCGCATTCCAGTAGACTGCAGGTTGGTTGTGTACCAGCTCTGCCAATGCTACCATTACTACAATCTGGCAAAATCGAATCCACATGTGCGTTCAAAGGTAAAAAGAATAGCGAGAGAGGAAGGCACATGCTGTCTAATTAACTCTATTTCATTCTTCTACTCCCTTACGAGCCAAACAGAGCCTTTGGGTTCTTATTAGTTCCCAAGTGTTCATCATGCGACTATGGAGCTAGCAGCTTCCTAAACCTGCTCACACCTGTCCAATTGAGGTCCTCCTAGACACCGGGAATAAAGCCTTGCCGAAAACTCATACCAACATATCGGCATGTTACTGAGCTAGGTCCTCGCAGAATATTGCCTTGAGACCTACATGAACATCCAATGAGCATGCCTCGTGGCATATTGAAAGGAGTACAAGCTGCCAGTAACTCTAAAGTGCATATCCTATACCCTGATCCTACAATCCAGTTGACTCCCACTCGCAAAGCCACCCGCAAAGCCACTCGCAAAACCCCTTCCTAGGGACCAGATCAAACAAAACCACCTTCTCCGCTACCCAACCCAGATCGCCAACGTCACCTCGCCATCGAAACCAAACTCAAAAAAATATTCCACCCAAACCCCACACAAGAAGCCACAATAACCCTCGACTTAACGGGCACCCAGTAAAAATTGACCACACAAACCGCCGGCCAAATCGTCCACCCCGCCTTAATCAACCCCCACTCCTTCTCCTTCACGACATCCAAGACCATGGCGAAAGTCGCCAACCGCGCCACGTTCGTAATGACCAGAAAAATCGCAATCATGACCGGCAACCCCACCGTCTGATCCACAACGACCTTGGCCCAGATATTGCGCCAGCTGACCTTTAACTCGCCGTTCTGCGTTGCCGGTACCGGCGGGGCCTCATATTTGAGCAACGACTCCGGGTCGTCATCTGAGTGTTTGGCGATGAAAGTGACTGTCCACGTGGGGAAGCTGTGTTCTAGAAAATGGTGCCACGCGTACCCGACATTGGCACCGATGAAGCCGAAGATGGCGAACTCGAAAATGCGCTGCAGGTCTAGAGGCGTGGGGATGCTACCGGGTGGTGTTCGCCATCGCGAGGCGAGTTGGGCGGTTAGGTTGGCGCCGGCTTTAAGGAGTGTGTTTTGGAAGGCGGTTGCAAGGAGGGAGGGCATGGCCGGTTGCTAGCTTGCGGGATGCCCTGCAGCCCTCACTCTCTTGTTAAAAATGAAATAAATGAACGTGGGACACTGCTGGTGGGAAGATATGTCGTTGGATTCGAGATGAGGCCGGCTAACGTGCTGGGATAATGATAGACGCGGTTCGATAAGGATACATCTCACACGACAAGTGGACCAACAGGCAGGAGGGAACCCAACCACTCGGTAAAGTTAGCCCCTTTTCGTTGGGTAAGATGCGACGCCGTTTCAGCAATGTCCCGCCCGGCGTTTTCCGAAATAGGGCCCTTGGCGTGTGGGGTGGGCTGGGGTCCCACGCGAAATGATTATTCTTGGTTCGATTTCGTGATTTAACTCTAACTCCCCTTTCTTCACCTGAACTTCAGAGTACACCCGACTGCTTTCTGGCCTGGCACGGAATGCAAACGGGTCCTCGCGGGAAATGTATACTTTGGAGTTGGCATATCATGCGGGTACGCTTCGGGACTTACGTCAAACCTCACTAGTTGCGAATCCCCCTGTGCAGATGCAGGCCAGCCGCATCGACTTCGGCATATTCGAGGATGAAATTATTGCCGAATCCAACTCATATTGACACCCAATGTCCAGATTCAGAGTTCATTCGGACGCAGATGCAGTTCTGGTTCAACATGAGTACGGTGTGGCTCTTACGTCACCTCTGTGGAGGATAGCACGGTCCAGTGGGAATACCAACCGAGGTGTAAGTCGATTCTCCAACCTGAGAGTCCTCTCTGCATAGTGTGATCAACGAGACTAGACTTTAGCAATCTCTTGGCACATCTGCCCCCAAATGCGCCTTCGGTTTGCCGCCATCGTCACCGGCCCGCTCATCCCGACCCTCGCCGTGGGACAATGCGTTCGCCTATAGGAACAGTCCCTTCATGTCTTTCCCTCGTATCGTCTCCTCTTCTCGTATTGGCTCATGGATCTCAAAGAACCACGACATGTGGCTTGGATCCGAGACTTCCAGTATCCGTCGTTACTGCGCAGGGCCGTGTTGATGTGGCAGGACCCCATCAGAACAGCCAAGCTGTGTACGCGGCTCCATTACAACCGCATTGTGGAAGTATTACCTGAAAGATTTAAGATTTAATACCAGCTGCATTAATATCTTTGAGACGTGTCTGAGGGAGATAAATAGGTTATTCAACGTGAAGACGTCTTTAGCCATATAGTTCCCCCGAAAACCATATAGTCCAGCTGTCACCTGTGGCTGCCGTGGACGTTAGCTTCAACAAAACTACCACAATTCCGCATGCATCATTTCACACAGAGTACGAGACGTCTGCTGCACATGGGGCAACTGAAGCTAGGCTCAAAGCATAGTGTGCTGATCTCTCATTTCCCGATCCCCGGTCCAACTATCATATCCGGTGCTGATAGTGATAAGTGTCGATTGGCGGCACAAGATACACGCCAAGTTCGAGCATGGAAGTGTTCACACATATACAAAATATCCTTCCACCTAACCTAGGTGATATCACTTCTGTCGAATGGGCCACTAAATATCACAGACAGGTACGATCCACGCAGTGGCAGGGGCTGAGTTTCGGAGAAAGGGTGCCGGAGACTTAAGTCCGAGCTTATATGCTATATAGTAGTGGTGATATCGTTGTGGTCTACTTTGGTGGCGTACGTGCTGCGGTGGAGGACGAAAGGAGAGGAAAGGGTGTGGCTGTTTGCTGGGAAGTGCTACATCAAAGACTTGATAAAGTGCAAGCACATTAGTTATTGGGTTCGAGATGGAAATGCGGCAAAGGCGCATGTTTGTGTTGGCCTGAGGTACTAGCAGGTGGGCTAGCTGGTGACTTCGAGTCAGGAGCAGATATGGCGGAACCATTGAATTGCATCTGTGAGTATTGCAAGAAACGCAAGACTTGATAAAGAGTGATGATTTAGAAGGTGCCTTGGATAAGTCTTCTGGAAAGTCAGGACCTCTGCTTGCCATGCATGCAGCTTTAAGCCGGATGGAACTCAAAGGCAAACGAACGAGACCGAAGAGATCTAGGATTCCAATCTGAGACTAGCCATGATTGTATGGGTTATCAGTAATTCTACAAAGCTCTGACTTGATGGAAAGTCCTTCAAGAACCTGGGAAGGGGAAGATTACGGGCGGTTTGTAAATTTGCTCCGCGTAAATATGTTTCTAATGTCAAGTTGGCCACATGGACAGAACGCTGCTCGCAAAGCTGAGATGGAAATCGGGACTTTTGGAATGATAAAAGTTAGGAACTTTTTCTTGAACTTGACAAATTATTTTTGAAGGGAGGAAGTATATAGTGATATATTTGTTTCAACATTCACGTGTTTATCTGGTGTATGTGGGTGGGATAGTGTAGTGTCTGTGGCAAGGAGTCTGCTTCTACTTGTGAAATTTTAGTGACGACATCGTCAATATTACTGACCTGTATGGGACTAATCTAATGATTTATGGTAGTGAAAGAGGCCTCCTCCCTATTTACCTCAAGCACTCCCAGCCTTTCAACTCCATTTGGTGCCTCCCTTATCTTCAAATTCCAAAATACCTAGTGTCCCAATGCTTGCCAGCCCAGGCAACCAAAGTTATCCGAAAATCATCATCCTAAATTGTCTGAGATCTTTGCAACAAATATTCTTATCCTCTGTTGCCTGATTTTGAGCCACTTTCTAAAGCTCGTAATCAAGCTAGCTGCTTGCTGAGCTTGGTCGAGAGTGGCGAAGAGGTGAAGGGGACGACCAAATTGCCCTTCCATCACCGGCTCATCACACCCAGCCTCACATTTCCGTTTCCTCGAGCTTTTCCTATTTGCTTTTCAACCAAAACAACGCAAAAGGGTATAAGATACGTCCCAAGCACCAACAATCCGGTCACCCGCAGCTGCTCCGAGTTTGTGCCTGGCCATTTGCTAAAGTTGAGTCTCAACCTCAGGCGTCCGTACCTAAGGCGTCTGTTTGCATCCAACCCGATCCCACTATTTTATGGGTGAACGAATATTTTCATGGTTGCCCACGTCTGCCTCGCACTCGACAATTAAATTCTCCAATTCAAAACATCTCACCTCCACCTACACCGCAAGCTTTCCACTCTGGTGCTTCAATAACATCACGAAAACAAGAGCTAATGCTCCTTCCAACACAGAACTGAAGTTGCAGACGCGTTCATCTGTCATCCCTGACGACTATTGGAGCCAAGTTAATGGTCGTGCTGGTTCCATTGGTTGGTTTCTGGAATAACCTATCCCCTCCAGTACCATGCGGCTTGGACTCAGACTAGCCATCTAGATGTCATCGTCATTCAACCTGCATCGAGGCCCAAGGGGCGGGCGCGCAAGCTCCCGTAGCACGGATCGTGCACGACATGGTTGGTCTGACACAAAGGGACCTGACAGCTATGGATACGACGCGTACCATCCGAACACTCGCCTCAGAAACTACGACGTTCGACCCCAGGGCGCGTGCCTTCCGTACAGAGAACGCCCTGAGAACAACCCACACCCTTCGTACACTCCACACTCCCAGCACACTGAGTACACGCAACGCCATCAGTACAGTCCACGACCCGCCGGCCAGCAATATAGTACACGTGATCATTCAGCAAATCAATGGTTCGCCTACGGACACCGGGCTCAATCACCTCAAAGACAACAAATGGAACAGATTCCTGCTGATGTCAGCAACGCTCGTCAACGTGCTAACAACTACGTGGATAGAGACGTATTCGTCACTGACCAAGTCAACATCCATGAGGCGAGTCCGTTGCAAAATCTTGACCAGGGTACCAATCAGGAGAAATCTCACGAACAGACTGCTGCGGCATACACTGGGGCGGCTGATGCTGCGTTCAAAGCTGCCTTCCCGTTGGCTTCATCCACTGGTGCAGCTGATGCTATGCTCGATTCTGTTGCTGCACATGTGCTTTCCGAACCCACTGCAGCTGGTGCTGGCAATAACCAGCCAAGCGCTGCTGCCGATCTGCAGTCCGGCGGCCCTTACATCGATAGCGACATTGCCATGTCAGATCATCGTGCAGCATACCCTCAAAAGATCTCTGGCATCGACAGTCTGCATGCTGCAATGAATGGTAAAGCTATTATCCCGACAAAGGTCCAAGACAGCAACGTAAAGAAGAGACAACGACTATCTAGATCCCCGTCCACCTCTCCAACCAAGAGAAACATGACCAAGGAGGCCAGGATCACTGCAGCTTATGATCATACCAATGCTTCAGAGTCATCTCAACCCAAGAAGAAGCAAAGAATTTCTGCAGTACCTAAAATACTTTCCGGACCCCTTGCGCAGAAGGAGAAGAAGGCACCCGCTAAGCCCAAGGCACGCACTGATGTCAAGACAAGGCGCATGTTGTCAACCTCGCATGAACCCGAGCATGCGCCGCCGAAGATCGAATTAAAAACTAGCACTAATTGCAGAATTATGGACAGAGCGAAATTTATTCCGCAACCCTCCCGGTTATGTTCAAATGAGTATTCATATGAACCAGACCATACAAGTGGTGATAGAAAAGAAAAGGAGCCCAGAGGCAGGGCTACCACCAAGAGCAGAGATATGAACAATGCGGAATTCATTTCGTCCCGGTCTCAATCTCCTCTGCACCAGAGTTCGACTGAATCAAAGCATATCGATGTCAAACAGAAGCGAAAGAGCCCGAAAGGAAGATCTACTGCTAGCGAGCACATAAGTATGGGCAGTGCAGCATCTGTTCCCTCACCATCTCCTGAGCGTGAGCGTGAGCGTGCAAGCTCATCTGAATCAAAGTGTGCAAATGGTAAAGGAAAGGGAAAGAATCTGAAAGGAAGAACTACAAACAAGAACAAGAGCCTGAATGTCGCTGAGTCTTTTCCCTCACGTGCCTCATCGCTTTCGCCTGAGCCAGAGCACACAGACGGTAAACGCAAGGGGAAGAAGACTGACAAAATTTTACATACAAATTCCTTGTCAGACAGCTCCGTCAACTCTCCCTCGCCCTTGCCTGAGCGCCAACATAAGCACCTGCAAGGTATAAACCCCAAGCCGAAGAAAGCAAAGGCAAACGCAGCGACAAGACGTCGATCAACCCAAGATGACGATGATGAAGATGAACATCACAAACCTTCCATGTCCCACTTCCAGGGACGTTCTGCCATTCGGATTGATAATCGTTACAAATCACCGTTTCACATTTCCCCAATGGACACCTTCAAGGTCAATCTGAAACGGCAAATAGAATTGATGAAGATCTGCACGTCCCTCGAGAAGAAGTACTATGAAGTGGACGACGACGAGATGCTTCCCAGTGAGGAGTTCTGGACGGAGGTAATGGACAAATACAACATCGAAAATGATCAAAAGGGCTTTTCGGACTGGCGCTTCCTAAGGGATTGGGTCAACGAGAAGTGCGAACACCGATATAAGATGATCAAAGAACGAGATCTCCCTCCCCCGACCGGAAAGAAAGAACCCTTGGCTGTGTATACCGACAAATGGTGCCGCGTCATGATCAAACACAAATATCATCGCGCAAAGGAATGCGTCAGGGCTGGGTTGTTTGCCATTGTCCAGAACCAGCTCCGTGCGTCACTACGAACCTTTGCGGCCAACGCCGCGGTTGGCAGTTGCAGAGATCGCGAAAGTATGATTGACAAATTTGTTGCGGACTTGGAGAAAGCTGTTCAAATCAGCATTGGTAACAGCACCAGCAACGACACAGGTACTGGCAACAGCACCGGCAGTTATGCCTCGAGGCTGAACTAAATATTTCCAGCCACACTCGTTGTATTATCTAATGTATTGCAAAGTTGCTTCAGGAATCAACAGCCTGTTATATATACGATTTGAGAGAGCATCGGTTCATTCCAGACTTTTCTTCCGCAAAGCAACAATTCATTCCATATACCATTCTATGGAGCAACTCAACCATTTCCCTGCATACTCCATGGAGTAACGGCTCATATTGATATGAGTTCCAAGGATGGAACAGTTCATTGTATTGTTTATTTCATCTGGAAACAAGGCAGACGACAAAAATTGGCTCCTACAAGCATATACTGCAAGGAT